GTAGTTGACAAGCTCATCATTTGGCACCCAAGTGGCATGATAGTGAGACTTTTCTTGCCACTTGATGTAGAAATCGTAGTCTTCGCGATCAACGGAAAGATCGCGGCTAGGGTCTTTGTCCTTGTTCAAACGATGATTGAGGACCACATCCACGGCAGGACGACTATCGACATAGTCCACGGGCCAGTAATTGTCCGCTGCGTGGCCTGCGCCGTCTTCGAATATGTCGTCCTCATCGTCATCGTCTTCATTGTAGTTTGAGACCTTGGCAGCATTTCTGGTAGAGAAGCGGACTTCAGAAAGCGAGGGTTCCATTCCAGCGCTTTGCTTCAATGCGCGGCGACGTCTCGCTTTGCTTGCTTGGCCGCCGTACTCATCACTGTCTGATTCCGAGAATGATGAGGCCGTAGCCGACCGCGAGGTCTTCGAGGGCTGGTGTGAAAGTTCTTTGCGCGGACGCTTCGCGCGAGGTGCGACGGTATCAGAGTCGGAGTCGGAAGAGTCGGCGAGGGTACGCGCTGTGCGCGCGCGACCACTACGACGAAGCCCGTACAGATCGGGATTTTGTCTCATGTATTGGGTTTCGTCCGGCGGCGACGATTTGCGCTTGAGACCTCGGTCAGACTGCGGCGATGAAGAGTTTTCACGGCTCGATGCATCGAACTCATCGTCACTGTTATTCATCGCGCCATCATCGTCTTCTCCGTCAGAAGCGGGAGACTCGGCATCATATGAGTCGTCCACGGCATCGGGCTCGGGGGAGGACTCGGAGACGGGGTGGGACTCGACGGGTTGGGCTGGACTGTGCTCGCCCTTGGCGACCACGTCGGATTCAGCTCGTGAATCATCGAGAGCTGGAGAGTAAGGGAAGCCGTTAGGCATTGTGGAGGTAGAAGAAGGTTCTTGACCCGATGGGATCACCATGCTAGAGGCTGTGACAAGAGGGGCAGTCAGCATTGAAGCTCAATTCTAGCAGGCGGGCACGTCAGAGATGCATGGAACGGTAGAGGAGTGGTACGCGACTCGAATGGCGGGGAGACCGAAGCTTGTAGGCAGCATATTGGGGCAGAATCTCAACTCTGATGGAGAAGGATGGTTTTTGATGGCGGGTGGCATAGACGCGGGCACGGTATGCCAGGGAGGCACTGGGAAATTGACACCGATCATCCGCCCAGCAAGAACGGCAGCCTCAGATTGACTGGAGACCGGTCGAGGGTCTCCTCGATCTCAAGTCCAAAAGGCAGATTCTGGATCTCGTGCAGTGGGTCGAAGAACGCGGAGAAGTTCCCGTACAAAGAGTTCGGACAGGGCCTCGGCGTGTAAAAAAAATCAAAATGACTTACATTCCATAGCGTGGTGACCCCGCAAGAGGGGGAACTAAATTATCAATTTGTAAAATAAATGGTGGGCGAGGAGGCGGAGGATGAACGAAGTGTGGGTGTAGACGAAACGAGTGAGGAAGAGCAAGAGTTGGGGAAGTCTGATTCGGTTTGGTTTGGTTTGCACGGCCGATCCGTTTCCTGCCTAAGATGTCAGGCACCCGCCAATGACCCTTTCTGGGACTAGTGTCTTCGCTTGCCGCCGGCCACCTGTCAGTCACGTGAGGATATCCAGATATGACGGGAGTGGCGGAACAACAGTCCCCCCGAGAAGCCAATGGCAGGCATTGAAATTCGTATTGAATAAGAATCGGCGGGCGGGCGGTCACTAGATGCCTCAGGCGCCACAGCCCACAATAAGAAAGAAGTTCAATTCTGCCCCCTCGTCACTCGCTGCTATTGTTCTCTCCTCCACTATTGTTCCGAGTTTGCGACACTTGGTGCTCTTCTGCGCCTCGATTTCCCTGGTTGCGGCGGCCTCTTATTGCTCCAACTTTGCAGGGTCTCATCCTCGAAAATCTTTTCTTGTTACCCGCTTTTGATACCTGATTCTGGTTCCTCGAACATCCCGCCACAATGTCTGACAGGCTCACTCGGTACGTTGCGGATGAAGGCCCTCCTGAATGGCGCATTGCTGACAGGCTCGTTTCTATAGTATCGCGATTATCAACTCTGACAAGGTTCGTCTCAAATACCCCGCTAATCGCGTTTTGCTCGTCCCACTCACCACTCGTTCAAACCCGACTGACTCGAAACCTTCTCGACGTATAGTGTAAGCCGAAGAAATGTCGTCAGGAGTGCAAGAAGTCTTGCCCTGTGGTCCGCACGGGTAAGATGTGTATCGAAGTGACCCCCGAGTCCAAGATCGCCTTCATCTCCGAGCAGCTGTGCATTGGTTGTGGTATCTGTCCGAAGAAGTGCCCGTTCGGCGCCATTCACATCATCAACTTGCCCACCAACTTGGAATCACAGGTCACCCACCGTTATTCCGCCAACAGCTTCAAGCTTCACCGTCTGCCCATGCCCCGTCCCGGTCAGGTTCTCGGTCTCGTGGGAACCAACGGTATCGGAAAGAGTACTGCGCTGAAGATTCTGAGTGGAAAGCTTAAGCCCAACCTGGGCCGCTACGACAACCCCCCTGACTGGGAGGAGATTCTGAAGTACTTCCGTGGATCCGAGCTGCAGAGTAAGCCATATTAACTGAATTCAGATGTGAAAGGACAAAATGCTAATAAGATGTAGACTACTTCACCAAGGTGTTGGAGGATAACCTGAAGGCAGTCGTCAAGCCTCAGTATGTTGATCAGATCCCTCGTGCTGTGAAGGGCCCGGTCCAGGGCGTCCAGGATCTTATCAAGGCCCGTGCCTCTCTTGGCAACATGGAGGAGATCATGGATGTTCTGGAGCTGCGCCAGGTCGCAGACCGTGACATTGGCCACCTTTCCGGTGGTGAGCTTCAGCGTTTCGCCATTGGTCTGGTCTGTGTGCAAAAGGCCGATGTGTACATGTTCGATGAGCCTTCTTCCTACCTTGATGTCAAGCAGCGTCTGGCTGCCGCCCGTACCATCCGCAGTCTTCTTCGTCCCGATGACTACGTTATTGTCGTCGAGCACGATCTGTCAGTTCTTGACTACCTTTCCGATTTCATTTGTGTTCTCTATGGTCGCCCGGCTGTCTACGGTGTTGTCACTCTGCCTTCATCTGTCCGTGAGGGTATCAACATCTTCCTTGACGGTCACATCCCTACTGAGAACTTGCGTTTCCGTGACGAGTCCCTCTCGTTCCGTCTGTCCGAGGCGGGTGATGATTTCATTGCTGATAAGGCCCGCGCTTTCAGCTACCCTGCCATGGAGAAGACCCTTGGCGATTTCCACCTGAAGGTCGAGACTGGACGTTTCACTGACTCTGAGATTCTCGTCATGATGGGTGAGAACGGAACCGGAAAGACCACCTTCTGTAAGATGCTGGCTGGTGCTGAGAAACCCGACCACGGCTCCACCATTCCCAAGATGAACATCTCCATGAAGCCCCAGAAGATCACCCCCAAGTTCCAGGGTACCGTCCGTCAGCTCTTCTTCAAGCGTATCAAGGCCGCCTTCCTCTCTCCCCAGTTCCAGACCGACGTCTACAAGCCCCTCAAGATTGACGACTTCATCGACCAGGAGGTCCAGAACCTGTCCGGTGGTGAGTTGCAGCGTGTTGCCATTGTCCTCGCTCTGGGTGTCCCCGCCGATATCTACCTGATTGACGAGCCTTCCGCCTACCTCGACTCCGAACAGCGTATTATCGCTGCCCGTGTCATCAAGCGTTTCATCATGCACACCAAGAAGACCGCTTTCATCGTCGAGCACGATTTCATCATGGCCACCTACCTTGCTGACCGGGTTATCGTCTTCGACGGTAAGCCGTCCGTGGACGCTTGTGCCAACACCCCCGAGTCTCTGGTTACTGGCTGCAATCGCTTCCTGAAGAGCTTGGATGTCACTTTCCGCCGTGATCCCAACAGCTATCGTCCTCGTATCAACAAGCACCAGAGTCAGATGGACCAAGAGCAGAAGTTGGCAGGCAACTTCTACTTCTTGGAGGAAGAGAACTGAAGAGGGCATTGTTCATGAGAAATACCGCCGCCGTCACAACCGTGATGGCCGCGATTCTGAGCGGCGGCGCAATCGGCGCCGCGGCAAAAGACGGGTCGGGTGGTTAAAGGCGTTCCCAGGCATTTGCAGAGCCGTGGCGGCCCAGGGCGGAGGACCTCGCTGTTGCATCGGGGCTTTCCCTGGTGATGGAGAAAGTTTTTCCGAGGATGACGGGGATGACGAGGACGATGATGTTCCTGGTAATGAAGATTTTGGCTAAGTAGTGATTGGTTTCGACTACTATCCTTCAGCCCGAACACACTTCTCCAGCCTCTTGTCATCGTCCATTCCATCGTTAACCCTCGCCATTCGTCCTGCAATCTGCCTTTTCCAGAGCTCTAGTCTTTTCTGTAAATTGCCCGGATCTTTGGCAACTGGGCGGGAACACCTGATCCGTCACCGATCTAATTTCAGATCTAATGGGTTGGGTTTTTATTTGCTTGGCATGGTTTTCACAGGAGTTTATCGTTATGCGAGGGTCGGTTTCCAAAAAAGCTCTTCCATGACTTCATGATTGATAGAGATGGTTTTATGGCTGGGGAAGTGGCCAGGCTGTGGTCACTACTGAATACTTGAAGTTTGTTTGCATCGGGTAGGACATCATGTATATGGTTCTAGGCCTGCTATCTGCATATTTATATCACCATTTTCTTCATCTTGTCCACGTAGTATCTATCGAAACACTCGCACCCGTGAGTCTGCACATCCAGTTGCAACAACACATCGGATCCCTTTCACGCCATCCATCGGCTCACCTTCCATCATATTCGGCGCCCATCGAATACAAGTCACAAAAGCACCATGCCCTTCTAGCGTCTTTACCAACCTCCCCTCCTGCTCCAGATCCCAACATCGCATAGTCCCATCGTCACCAACACTAATCAAATACCTCCCAGCCGGATGAAACACCAAACCCCTCACCCAATTCTCATGTCCATCCAACCTCTTAAAACAGACCCCCCTCGAATCCCACAACCGAACAGTCTTATCCCGCGACCCCGTAGCCACAAACTCCCCCCAAACTCCCCGAATCCGGCCGCTTGACCCCGGCCATCTTCGCCAAAGCCCCATAACTCGCCACCGGGGCAAAAACACAACACTCAACATAATGCTCATGCCCATCCAACATAGCCTTCACACTACCGGACCCCAGATCCCAAATCGTGGCACCTCTATCCCGTCCCCCGGAAACAATCCACCTCCCATCCCCAGAAGGACAAACCGCATAAATCCAATCCCTAGCATACAAAACCCGAACACAGAACCCCGATCCAACATCCCAAATCCTCACACTCCCATCCCGACTCGCAGATACTAGTAAATTCCCACCCTTCTTTAAAAACCGCACACTAGTCACCGAATGCTCATGCCCCGATAACGTTCGAACATTCGCGTACCCGTTCGCCGGGTCCCAGATCTTGATTGTCAGGTCGCTGGAACAGGAGGCAAGTACTGTGTCGGGGAAGCCGCCAAAATCGACGCCGTTGGAGCTACGGATGTGGCCCCGGAGGGTCTTTTCGAGGTCGCCGGATTCTTGGTCCCAGATTTTGATGCTACTGTCGTCCGAGGAGGAGGCAAGGGTACTGTGGATTGGGTGGAGTGCTATATCGGTTATGGCGCTGCGGTGGGATTGGAGGGTGTGCATTGCTGGGCCTGGGAGCCATGTTTTAGGGTCTTTGGAGTCCGGGTTTGCGTGGGTGAGTCGGGTTTGGAGGGCTGATAGTTGGGATTCGAGGTCCATTATCTGAGGTTTCCAAGTTTGTAAGTGCTCCGTTCTTGATTTGAAGGTTGCTTGTTTGGAAAGTTCGAATTATTTTCAGAAATGTACTCCGACTGAGACAGCTGTATGGACTTATCTTACTTTCTTCTGGAGTCGTGCATTACTGGTCCATTTCCTTTCCAGTAGTCCTTCGTACTTCTTGACTGAAGCTTCGGTGAAGGATTGGGGGACTTCGAGTTCTTCTCGAAGCATCTTCATGCTTTGTGAAGCGTTGATTGACGACAGATATCCAATCATTGCTTTGTGCCTGTGTCTGTCTCAGTGATGTCTCCCGATGTTACGGCAGATCCGTGTACCTACAGCTCTTCGGCTTGTCGCTTCGTCAGTAGAGGGGCCATCATCACGAACATCAAGTGATGTAAAATGGATTAGAGCCTTCACCTTACAACGACACCAGGGCTTGAAGGGCGTTCGATCCGGCTGCCCCTGTCTGTGAGGAACCTCCCGAGGGGTTATGCATGGATCGAAGCAAAGCTGCACGGACAAGGGGTCGCGTGTTGCCCAGGCGAGAGTCAATAGTCCAATGCGATAAGACTTATTTCCTTTCACCTAGGTAACCCTCGAATAGGAAGCTTTTAATGTTTTTTTCAACCAAGATTGGTTTGCTAGCCGCGGGGTTCAATGTTGATGGTCGAGATGGTGGCAGCAATAGAACGCAAGTATATACATCTGGACCCACCCGGCACCACAACGCATGCGATTTGGGATTAGAAACATCTTAAAGGTTTGCAATGCAAAAAGATTTGACGATACGATGAAGATAAGGAAAAAGATACAGCTTCATGTCTAACCCTGGCGTGACTAGCAAGTATTCAAGTCAAGCTAGTGACACCGAAATCCACATAGATGCACCTAGTCCTCCTCGATCTCCCCCTCCTCACTGCCAGAGTGGATGGCTTTCTCATCCTTCTTAGCATTTTCCTCCGGAATCGCAGAAGTCTCCTTCGCACGGTCTCTGCGCGGGCCCTTGCTACGCTCCCTCTCCCGACTATCCCTGCGATACCGCTTCACAGACCGACTCGCGACACTCTCCGAGTCGCTTTCACGTCGACGTCGGCGGTCACTGCCCGTACTACGAGCATCACCACCGTAGTCAAGCTCGTCGCGACTACCGCGCGGATCTCCGCGGGCGCGGTACAGACGCTCGCGCTCATCCTCGCGCCGATCGCCATCGCGGGGACGTCTGTCATAGTCCCGGCTGTCGCGTTCACGGTGGCGCTCGCGGTCTCGATCACGGTCGTCGCGACGATCGCGCGTAGGTGAGAAGCCGCTTGTTTTGCGGTAGGAACGTTCGCGGTCTGCCATAGCCTTGCGCCTGTCTGCTTCATAGGCGTCAGGTTCTGGGGAGCGGCTGACACGGTTGCCGCCTCGTCGTTCACCACGGCTACTGCGGTAGTCGCGGTCACCGCGGTCGTAGTCACGGCGGCTTCGATCTCGATCACGGAGCTCACGGTCCTTGTCAGTGTCTTCTTCTTTCTCCTTTAGACGACGAATGACCTTTTCGAATGCTGATTCGCGAAGCTCGTCGGATTCGACGGCCTTGTATTCTTCGTACTTCTCAACTCGGGGCTGGACCTGCTCCCATGTATCTGTGATGCGCACGGGCGGCTCCAGGCGCTTGATACGAGAGCGCAGAGCATCGACAGCACGGCGCTGGTGGCGGTCAGCAACATGTTTCTCTTCTTCGTCTCTGCGAATTGCTTTATCCTGGATGCGTTGAAAAATGAGCTCGAGGACGTCGGGATCAATCTTGGAAGTGCGTCGGTCAGCAACCATGATAGAGTTGAACTCTTCATGGGTAGTTTTAGTGGTAATCTCGAAGCGTTTGTCCTGAGAAGAAAAGTTAGCGGGGGATAATTGCACCTGACGGTATAGTTACTCACATCGAGAACGTCCAGCACATCATTACGAGGACCACGGAGCGAGCGCTCCTCTTCCTCCACCACGTCCCAGAACAGATCCAGAGGGGTCGATCCGGCCTGACCCAGAATTGCATGGTACCTGGGATCATCTTGAATCACCGGGCGGATGTTTATCCACTTACTGCCAGCCTTAATCTTTCCTTGGGACTTCAGCTCCTTGAGAAGCTCTAGATACTGCTCACGGTGGCGGCGCTCCTTTCTGGCCCGAGCGGCCTTTTGCTGCTGCCGAGCATCGTTGAAAGTACGCTCCAAGGACTTGATGTGATTCTCGAACGCGGTCAAAACATCGGATTTGCTCAGGGTCTTGAACTTATCGTCACCCTGGAACTTGTCACTAGACTCGATAGTCGCTTGTGCCTCCGCCCAGCGCGTGTATGGCTCCAGGTCTAGTGAGTTGAGAATACCAACCAGCTCATCCATAGCCGCCTTGCGTGTTGCAGATTCCTGCTCCACGTGAGTCTTTTTGAGTTCGGTGACGTACTCTTCGAAAAGCTGGCGTCTCTCGCTCTCGTCGTCGGTGGCCCGGAAGGTAGTCTCACCCTCGATGATGGGCCGGATTGTCTTCCAGCGACTGTAATGCTTGATTTCAGGATGCCGCTTCAGCATGGTATTGAAATCTGCACGGAGCTTAGCGAATCTTTCCTTCGCCCGATCCTTTTCCTGCATGCGAACCTCGACCGCATATTTCTCAAAGGCAGACTTGCGGTCTCGCGGGTCTTTAAGGGAGCGGTACTGCGGGTCCTTAATCGTCTCTCGCATCGTTTGCTCCCAAGTCCAATCAGGCTGGACATTGTGGCGCTTCAGCATCTTCATGAAAGCATTCTCAGCCTCCTCGGTCGAGCCATAAGCAGGATCGGGCCCAGTGTCCACGGCTGGCGCAGGCATCATGCCATTTTCATAGGACCCATACCCACGCCGTTCACGTTCGCCGTATCCCCTGTCTCCTCGGTCACTGCGGTCTCGGTCATAGTCATCACGTTCACGTTCACGGTGCGGAGGTTGCGAGGACAAGACAACGGCGCCTGCCACGAAAGAGGGGGCACTTCAATGGTATTAGTACGAGCACGAAAATGAATTTCCGCAATTGCACTTACGCAGCTGGGGGGGCCTGTGCTAGCGCCTTCTTGTAAACTTCGGGCATCTCCCATGTGCTCTGCTTGCTCTCCGTGTTGTACCAGTACTTGCGTCCTCCATCCGCTGTATATTCCTTCCATGGCTGATCTGCCAGAGCACGCTGTATATGCCAATGTCAGCTCCTATTCAAAACATGCTGCCGACTGTGAACTCACCTCAACGCCTGTCATCAACTCCTCAGGTTTCGTCCACTGTGTGGCCTTGGTCTGCGTGTTGTAGTAGTACACCCTGCCCTCGGCATTACGTGCCTCCTGCCATAAGGCTGGAGCACCCGACGGAGCGTTCATTGCGTTCATGGTTGACCGTGTGAAGACAAATGAAGGCAAAAGTGAAAAAGAGCAAGCGCGCGGATTGAGCTTGGGGTGTTTGCACTATTTGCACCACCACCTTATCACCCGTATCGCTCTCCTTAAGACGCTTGTTTGTTCACAAATGCGACGACAGCTGTCGCAATGCCTGGCCTGGAGATCCCCGGTGAATTCCTGCGACATGCGGTACTGGATACAGTTGTGCCTCATGCGCCCGGGCTTGACATTGAGGGTTCCCTATCTTCGGCCCTGGAAGATGGCGCCGACGATCTCCCCTCAGTTCTATCTGCGATTCCCCAACGATCCCTGCTTTTCTTCGGTAGGTAGCCAATTGAGCTCTTGTTGATCGAGCCATTGTTAATATATGGCTGTATAGACGAATTCCTTCCCGTTCGCATCGTCCTAAGGCTGTCCGACTGCACAGAATCCACCCTGAAACATTACCTCCCTCGTCTTGAAGTCAAGCTTGATGTTTTCGCGGTTGACCCAACGGAGTCTGTCGCAGAGAATCCAACGCCTACCCGTGAGATTATCTTCTCGGGCTTAGTGGATACTGAAGAGGAGCCGCTCGTGGTGTTCAATGAGTTCGAGGGCGATGAGGGGACTGGAAATCATGTATACCTCATATGGAATATTGAGACCTTCATCAGTGAGTTATACCTTCAGCCCTGCACAATTGGAAGTCTACTGACGAAACAAAAGGGCGACCTCGCAACCGCATTCAGCATCCGTCGCTATTGTTCATTGCCTCAGCCAGCTTGAACCCCTCGGAAGCTTGTCGACCAGAGGACCCAGAAGACGACTATCTACCTCCGCTCGTCCCTGCCTCGACAAATATGTTACAACCCTTATCCGGCGACAAAACTCTTTCCCATAAAGAGCCCTTTCTGCCCGCATCAAGACTCTTGCGCGTGGTACCGACGACCTCCTATGAGGATCCCATATATAATATCCAGCAGAGCCAGGGCCATCCACTCCGTGTCGTACCTGCCGCTAGCGCAAGGATCCGATACGCGCGACTCAGCTCATACAATGGCATGCCCCAGACTGTGGCTAGTCTCGACTTTGAAGTGACCCCATTCTTAAATTGCGAGGTCTCATTTGAAAAAGCAGATATACAATTGTCCGAAGGAACCATTGAACCTCTTTCCAATATCCCAGGGCTCACCCTTCCTCTAACCTGTCGGCCTCGAGACGATGTGACATTAGTGTACAAACTCACCCCCGAGTATGGACCGGAAACCAATCCATCCTCGACTGCCATCATCAGCACGCTGGATATCTCTCTCGGAGCAATCATTCTTCTTTCTGATGACTGCAAGCCTCGCATTGCAATGGAATGGAGGACCAATGTTGATTTCTCCATGGCCTTGAATCCTACTTTTGGCGGCCCTAGCCAAGCACTGCAGAGAAACAATCGGCCGACGAGCCTATCCGTGAGCACAAATCAACCGGGAGTCACTCCGAACAACCGTAGCTCATTACGGGAGCGAGCCTACTCTGTCACAGATGTAGGCGTGACGATTTCATTCTCTGGACCGAGCCGCGTGCATGTTGGTACACCATTTGCCTGGGGAGTGTTTATCGTGAACCGTTCAAACATCCCTCGGAAGTTCGCCTTGATTGCTATTCCGCGACGGAAACGTACCGATCCTCGGGGCCACGTTGCGCGACCGTCATCCTCGTCCATCTCCAGTCGAAAGGAGAACGAAGTGGCCGAGGCTGTGACAGACGACAACATCGTGCATGCGATGCAGAAGAATGTGACAGGGCAAGAGGCCGAGCTGATCAGTTTGAGTACTGATATCCGCGTCGGGTAAGATGATCAATCTCCACTCTCCACGCATTGATAAGAGCGAACCTTGGAAGCTAACATATGTCAATAACGACGTAGTCCTCTTCTGCCTGGAACCTGTCACTCGACCGAGATCAAACTCCTTCCTTTGGCCACCGGCCCCCTTCATTTGGAGGCAGTGCGCCTTGTGGACGTGAACACGAATGAAACGACCGATATTCGAGACTTGCCGGACATTCTCGCCGACGATCAGCCTCGAGCATCTACATAAAGCACTGAACTACCAAACCACTGTACATTGAGAATTAAATGATGAACATACATTAAAAAAAAAACAAAACCAAGAATGTAAGAAGTATATAGGGCTTAAGCGCAAGGTTGCAGTTGGCCAGGTGACTTTAATGGAACGTTTAGTCATAGCGGAGACTTGCGCATCCCTCCACCTTTGATCTGGGGTAGATTATCCCAACTTGCTCCTCGAAAGACTCCCTAAAGTGCGTTTCATCTCCGTTATCATATCCAGCAAAAAGCTAGAAAAAGCTGGCCGACCGTGCATACCCAACCAGTCCGAGTGGTTCGTCCTAGATTTGCGTCATACTGGCGCGCGACAGCCCAGAACTTTGACCGGAAATCTTGCCTTCGCTCATCGTTCCATAAAGCGGTTCACGCCCACCCCTGCCCATCATGATTGCCGCCACGAAGCGAAAAGTCCTTGATGGTTTAAACAGGAGATACATTTATGGTCGCGTGGTGAGTCTTTCCTTCTTCAAGTCTGCATTGATTCCAGGCTGATCCGGTCGCCTCCCATGGCTATAGCCCCTCCTGCACACGATCATCTTCCTCATCGAGATGGCTGTAGCCACTCGAATCGCGGCCAAATTCAATACCTACTATGCTGAGAAGCCAGGTATGTCATTCTTTTACTGCCCCGCCGCATCCCGGCTTCGGTGCGACCGCGCACTAACGTGTCTGCCTTGATAGTGCTCACGACCATGGTCACCAACGCCGTAAGCATAACTCAATCTCGATGAACGCAAGGACCGAATATTGGAATAGTATATTGACGGATGCATGATCATAGGTTCTTGGTGGCGTGGCCGACACAGTTGCCCAGCTTATCACCGCATTCCGATTCCGCTCGCAACAACGCACACAAGAAATAAACGACTTCATATCGATAGAAATTGAAGATCTGGATAAGCAAAGACCTCCTGCTGTTGGTGAATTGGGATATACGCGGAGCTCGCCACCGCCGTTCGATTTTGAGCGCGTGACGAGGTTCATGGCATATGGCTTCTTCATGGCTCCGGTGCAGTTCCAGTGGTTCGGTTTCTTGTCCAGAGCGTTTCCTCTCACCAAGAAGAACCCGAGTATTCCTGTATTCAAGCGTGTGGCCTTTGACCAGCTCATTTTCGCGCCTTTTGGTATGTGGCGGCGTCATCGTCTTCGACGGTTTTTACTGACATGAAGGATAGGTCTAGCTTGTTTCTTCACCTACATGACGATTGCTGAGGGCGGAGGCAAGAGAGCATTAACATCGAAGTTCCGAGATGTGTACCTGCCGACTTTGAAGGCCAACTTTGTACTGTGGCCGGCGGTGCAGATTCTCAATTTCCGGGTGATTCCCATCCAGTTCCAGATTGTAAGTCTCATTCCTACCATCAATGGTCCCTGACTAATAAACGAACTAGCCATTTGTTTCATCCATTGGTATTGCGTGGACCGCGTACCTCTCGCTCACCAACTCCTCCGAGGAGTCCTGAGTACGATCTCCTCAACGATTTTCACGATCACGATCCTTATACACTGCTTCTTCCATCCCATGGTTTCTTTAGTTCAGGCGTTCCGGTTGTTTTGAGCTTTCTGGCTTCGTGTACAGGTATAAATTCTCGCACGGGAGGACCGGTTGCATTGAAAAGGGTTTGTTTTGCGCATTGGGCTGATCATTGATCCTTGATCATTCGGGTGCACGTTCTTGTCTATTGCAATCATTTGGAATACTTTCTTCTTTAGGTAACTAGCTTGAGGGCTATTGCTGTTTTTATTATTATTCAAACACTCGGGTCTTTCACAAGCAAGGCGTGATCATACTCCGTAGCGGCTATGGACACTTCCAGCCGGACCAATCGAGAGTCACTGGTGCAGCGGTCTCCCCAGAATTCCCCGACTCCGAGGCTATCCAACACCCCAGGTTGTCCGGGCTGTTCCGCATCAACGGGGAAGCTCTGACATCAGTCCCGCATCAGCCCGATCTATAGCCCCGGAGGATGTCGGGACACATAGGAGGTGGGTATTTTCAGTCTATAGACTACTTGTAAATGTATGTGAAGCTGTATAAACAAGCTAGGTACCGACCACGGGTGCAATACATCATCGGTAAGTACCGTTGCTACGTGCAGACTCAAAGCGGCCAACCTCCCTCACCGGCTGCCCCACCAAAACTACCCCTCCAATCTTTGGCGCGACTCAGCACTCACCGTGACCTGATTAAGTTCCTATTCCTAATATCCTCTTCCTGTTGGCTTCAATCTCTCACCTCCTATCCCGCTCGTTGTCGAGGTATTACCTATACATTCTCCCAACCTCCAAAACCTTCACTGACATCACAGACTACTACACAAAATGTCTCTCTCCAACAAGCTCCCCATTACCGACTGTGACCTCAAGGACAAGCGTGTCTTGATCCGTGTATGTTCCTAATCTCTCACCACCTCTTCCCACGATCCAATGGCTCATAACAATCCCTACAGGTCGACTTCAACGTCCCTCTCGACGAGAACAAGGCTGTCACCAACAACCAGCGCATCGTCGGTGCTCTGCCCACCATCAAGTATGCCATCGACAACGGCGCCAAGGCCGTCATCCTGATGTCCCACCTCGGCCGTCCCGACGGCAAGGTCAACCAGAAGTACAGCCTTGAGCCCGTCGTCCCTGTCCTGTCCAAGCTGCTCGGCAAGCCCGTCACCTTCACTGAGGACTGCGTCGGCTCCAAGGTCGAGGAGACCGTTAACAGCGCCTCCGGTGGCCAGGTTATCCTGCTTGAGAACCTGCGCTTCCACGCCGAGGAGGAGGGAAGCTCCAAGGACGCCGATGGCAAGAAGGTCAAGGCCGATGCCGCCAAGGTTGCAGAGTTCCGCAAGGGCCTCACTGCTCTCGGTGACATCTACGTCAGTACGTACCACCCCCAATTCACTTCATTCTTTACACAAAAAATAACTAACTAACCACTCCTTCAGACGACGCCTTTGGCACCGCCCACCGCGCCCACAGCTCCATGGTCGGCGTTGACCTCCCCCAGAAGGCCGCCGGCTTCCTCGTGAAGAAGGAACTCGAGTACTTCGCTAAAGCTCTCGAGAACCCCGCTCGTCCCTTCCTCGCCATCCTCGGCGGCGCCAAGGTCTCCGACAAGATCCAGCTGATTGACAACCTCCTCCCTAAGGTCAACAGCCTGATTATCACCGGCGCCATGGCTTTCACCTTTAAGAAGACTCTTGAGAACGTCAAGATCGGTAACTCCCTCTTCGACGAGGCCGGCAGCAAGATCGTCGGCGACATCGTCGAGAAGGCCAAGAAGTACAACGTCGAGATCGTCCTTCCTGTCGATTACGTCACTGCCGATAAGTTCTCCGCTGACGCTACCGTTGGCACTGCCACCGATGCCACGGGTATCGCTGATGGCCTGATGGGTCTGGATGTTGGTCCGGAGTCCGTTAAGCTTTACCAGAAGACCATTGCCGAGGCGAAGACTATTCTCTGGAACGGTCCCCCCGGTGTCTTTGAGTTGAAGCCTTTCGCTAACGCGACCGAGAAGACTCTCGATGCTGCCGTTAAAGCTGCGCAGAGTGGTTCCATTGTTATCATTGGTGGTGGTGATACCGCTACTGTTGCTGCTAAGTACGGTGTTGAGGATAAGCTCTCTCACGTCTCTACTGGTGGTGGTGCTTCTCTTGAGCTCCTTGAGGGCAAGGACCTGCCCGGTGTTGCTGCTTTGTCCAGTAAGTAAATGGCATAAAGAGAGTCCGGGCGAATTCCTTGCGGGATTTGAGACTGGATTTTCTGGACCTGTTGGGTCATTTTCACGACACTGTAATGTACACAGCCTACATCGTTTTATAAATCAAAATTTTCTTTCAAATTTCATCTCTATTGTTGGGCTGGGGCTAAGTTGTGCGTGTCGTAGATACGGGACCGAAGCTGTGATGATCCGTCGAGGACCTTGGAGGGAAGTAAGGCCTAAATAGGTACCTTGGGGTGGCTACTTGAGTACCTAGGTAGGTAATTGTACATAGCGATCGTGACCATACAAGTCTACGAAACCCAGCATTGAAAAGGTGAACATGTCTGCACTTGATAGTGGAGGCGCAGGCCCCATCGTCATTAATTCATCCTTGCTTGCTTGGTCCATGCAACCCCGGGAATCTAGTCTAAAACACATCCCAGAACTTCCAGGCTCTGCCTTAGCAGGTAACAGACCAGTCAACAGATTAGAATAGCAGGTCATCCGGGCGCAGTCCCCATCGAATGCAGCCCAGCTCCCATTCTCATTCTCTCAATCTAAACAAGGGGGGTATAGTGTGTATTGCGAGGTGCGTTCGTTGTTTTGTTTAGTTTCCCATCTAGCCTAGTGCGCAGCCTCGACCTTCTTGAGTTCCTCCCTGTAGTTCATCTCGTTAGCCTTTGATTCAAGTGTGGGGATGTTGGCGTGGTAGGGATGCTAAACCACCGTAACATGGAAAAAAAAAAACGTACTTCAACTGCTTGGAGAAGTCCTCTGCGGCATCATCGTCATCCCAGCTCTCTTCCCACAAGTGCTCGTTTCCGCCGTTGGCTGCTGAGCCGGCGGCTTGCTCCGCTTCTTCCTGGGGCCAGTCTGTCGTCATTGTCAGCGTTGATTCCGATTTGGGGTTGGAGTGTGGTTGCGTGGGGTTGCATGGGGTTGTGAGAACGTACCCTCGACGGGGAAATCTTCGAATTCGTCGTCTTCTTCCAGAACCTGGGGCTTCTGTTGCTGCTGGGGCTGGTCGGAGGGCTCAGCCTTGGTTTGGGTAGTGGAATTGGACATTGCGGTGGCGGTTGTGAGGGTCCTTTGGTTGGACTTTGGGTTCTTGATGAGGTGAGATTGATCGTGAGGCCCGATCGGAGAGGAAAGAAGTCGTGAGGATGGAGTTGATGATGGGATGTAGATGGGGTTCTGGAGGGTTCGAGCTTGAGGAGGTCGGTGACTTAGTCAGGATGCGATAGGCGATAAGAGTCCTGAGGTGTTCAACGCGGTTTATACTACTTTGCGAGCTAGTAGCTATAGCACAGATGTAGGATAGAGAGACAGTTAGGTAATGTGATGCTTCATATTATGACTGTATCTGTCTGTGGACATAGCGTGTATGGCTACAGCTCCCTCAGCCTCAAGGATAGCTCGCCATCCGGTGCAAGTTATGCACCGATAAATCGCCCCTCGGAGCCGCCGGCACGCGGCCTCTCAAAGCCTGGGAATTCAGACGTCTGATTCGATGCACCAGATTTGGGGCTTCGGAGATTACCCCACGACGCTGATTTATTTATTATCTCCTCTTCCCTATCCCCAATCGTTCTCGGATGTCCGTGCTGCATCTTATGGAACCGTTGACATTCTTCCCGATCCGTCTACCTTAGGGCCATGAAAAAACTGCTTTGACCGAACTTTTCCTTCTACTTTCTCACCTAGGTCATCTCCACCTGTCTCGGCGATCCTGGCGATCTCGGATCTCTTTTCACCATGCTGCGCGTAGGCTCCTGGTTGTACGGCAAGAAGCCGGCCAATGCCTCCACACAGTCGCTGGACTCGCTGTCCGAAGTGAAAGACTGTAAGTATCGTCGATCCCAGACCTGACTGTCATGGCGCTGGTAGGAGTTGGGGACAGGAGCGGTGAACTGCATGCTGACGATCTCGAGCGGGGAACCATAGTGGATGATGCGATGAAAGGTACCGTGTCGCTTTCCTTCACCTATGAATAATCCTAATAAGCGAATAGCGGCCACTTTGATCCTGAATGACGATGTCGACGGCGCCGAAAATGGGCTTGCGAAGGGCACATCGACTTTCCACAATGTACGTGCTCTATGACGTAGCGGGAAGAGTCTAGGAAGTATGCTGACACGCTGCAGTTGGGAAAAGGTGTGGTAGCATTCGTGCGCGCGACCTTGGGATTTGAGCAGGAGATTATGCGACAAGGTTCGTTCGCTTTTCCCACGGGCGGTAACCGTGCTGACATCCAGGAGCGTCCGAGCGGCTTTATGAGGCTGAGACGTCCGCCGCCAGTGAACAACACCGGGCGCAACATAATTCCCATGCCCCCAATGCTTTCCGATCGGAGATCTATGCCCCGGGAACGGAATATGCACTATGCCAGGCTATTGCGCAATTGATGAGCGCCGTGGTCGGCGTTCTCAACGAGAGCTTGACCGAGAGTATCAAGGCTTTCTACCGCTTGCGCAAGGCGTACATCGCATTGGATGCCATTATGAAGATGGAAGAAAAGTTCATGGAGTTGAGAGACCCCAATCGCGACCTTCTTAATAGCTCAAGTGATCTTTCAAAGGCCGGTCCAGTCCGATCGGACACAATCAGCAAGTCATCGGAGAAAGGTCAACTCATTTCAACAGAAGAGAAAGACCTCGCCAAGTCCCTTTCGGGAATGGGTATCAATGAGCCCGCTTCTGATGTTTCGGGCACTTCTACCCCCAACGGGTCCAATATTATCACTCACGATCCTGATTCGGACATCTTCCAAAATGAGATCGACATCTTCGTGCACTCCGGCGCCAACTTCTGTTTCGGCATCCTCCTCCTTCTCATCTCTATGGTGCCCCCCGCATTTAGCAAACTCCTCTCTATTATCGGCTTCCGTGGCGACAAGCAACGGGGCCTGCGCATGCTCTGGCAAGCCAGTAAGTTCCACAACCTGATCGGTGCCATGGCTGCATTGGCGCTATTGGGCTACTACAACGGGTTTGTCCGTTATTGTGACATCATGCCCGATCCGACTCCTGGTGAGGATGACGTCGAGGGATACCCGCAGGAGAGACTGGATGCGCTGTTGGCCGAGATGCGGTCCCGATTCCCTAATTCTCGACTCTGGCTGGCAGAAGAATCGCGGATGATGGGTGCCAATAAGGATTTGGAGGGTGCTTTGGAGCTCCTGTCTTCTGATAATAAGAGTCCGCTCAAGCAGGTTGAGGCGCTCTGCACGTTTGAGAAGAGTTTGAACGCCTTGTTCCTGCACAGATACGACGTGTGCTGTGATGCATTCATCGAGGTCAGTTCTTTCCATTGCCTTTCACTTTACCTTTACATTTTCATCTGTCTTTTGTGTCCGGAACTAAATTTCGCAGTGTGTGGATCTCAATTCCTGGTCTCGGTCTCTGTACTACTACATCGCCGGAGCTTGCCACGTCGCACTTTACCGCCAATGTATCGTCTCAGATCCCAAGCAAGCCGAGAAGCATGCCGCGGCGGCGGCCGAGTACATCCGCAAAGCCCCATCCCATGCAGGCAGGAAGAAGTTCATGGCGCGCCAACTGCCCTTCGACGTTTTCGTGACCCGCAAAATCGCCAAGTGGGAAGCACGTGCCAAGGACTGGAATGTTCCCCTGGTGAATGCGATTGGCGTGGATCCCATCGAGGAGATGATCTTCTTCTGGAATGGTCATAGCCGCATGACAGAAGCCCAGCTTGAGGAATCCCTTGCTCGACTGGCATGGTGCGACAGCGATGCTAACGAGACATGGTCTCGCGAGGGAGCTGAGGAGAAGGCTATTCTTGACCTCATTAGAGCTGCTGTGCACCGATCCCTGCATAACTATGAGAAGGCGAAGCAGATTCTTAAGACTAAAGTTTTGAATCATGAAAAGGCGCTCTTCAAGGGCCATCTTAGGGACGATTGGGTTCTCCCGGCTGCGCACTTTGAAATGGCTGCCAATCTCTGGATGGAGCGCCCGACCTACCAGGCTCTACATGGGTTGTCTGGTAAAGCAACTACAGAATCGGGTGAGAAGAAGCCTTTGAACGAGAAGGAGCAGGTTCGCAAGTGTAAGGAATATCTGGAACACGCTGCTCGGTGGGAAAGCTACGAACTGGATGCTCGTATCGGATTGAAGGTCACAGCTGCGATGGAGGCATTGAACAGGTGGGAGAGCACACACTGATAGATTGGCGGTAGAGTGGGGATCTTCACCTTTCCATACGGGCGTTTTGTCTATAGCCATCGCATTGTATCATAAAAGCCAGTCAACACAAGTAGAGGATAGAATGTTGAACGCGGAATCTGGAATCCGATATCATGTGACATCTTCCACCCTGATCGCCGTTACTTCCAACACGTCAAGATGATTGACAATCCACCGCGATGCGTTGTCTCCTATCGAGTACTCAGTAAATCAATGCTCCGTAGCTACCTGATTCCACATCCCTGGTTGGCTGTCCCGACTCCGTTCGGGAAAACTCCACATGCCCCTCTTAGTTAGCTTAATTAGTTGGTCCCGATTTCGGCTTTGAGACATACTCGCCGAGATGAGGGTCTTCGGATTATGAAAATTGCTCGGCATATCGGAGGCCGAGTAACAGATGCCATATCTCCGGACCTATTCTTTGTAGCTGTCTGTAGCTGTCTTGTGCGAGTATGGAGGGGTCAAGCGATCGGCTTTGCTTGTAAGAGCCGATACCCTCGTTCGAGGCCCACAAGGCGCCTCCCGGATAAGACGGCTCGGCGTCGGAGGTCCGAAAAAGCAATTGGATAAAACGCAGTGGACGGCCCCCGGGTTATCCAGAACAAGCGCACATATTGCAATCATCTTGATTCTTTCCTTGGGAGAGAATGACGTCGTGATCCACGGTTCCTGTCCATCAAAGCTTCAGCACGGGGCTATATCTTTTTCCACTGCACCTTCTTGTTATTTGGAGAATGCGCCAGCGCAAGCTCAAGCTCTGAACTCTTTCTTCAACTCTTACCTCCCATAGTGTGCATCCCAAAGCATTGGGCGCACACATATAAACCATGGCGCAAACCGATCATGCCCACAACCCTGACCTCGACCGCGAATCAGACCACGACCACGACAACGACCACGACCATGACCACGAACACGACCACGACCACGACAACTTCTCCCACAGCTCCGTCGACATCGAATCACACGAATCAACCCCGGCAAATACATTTCCGAACAGACTAGACAAGCAAAGCACCGCCGCATCAGGCCTCTCCGTCTTCGAGCAGCACGCGCAATCAGTAGTATCGCGCATACGCAGTCGGGAGCCCGGGCAGACGGCGAAATTCACACATCCGCTATCCCATACGAAAACGAGTTCAGATGCCATTGTTGAGTTCGAGGGGCCGGATGATCCGTATCGGCCTTTGAATTGGGGGTTCAAGAAGAAGGCTGTTACAACGGTTTTATATGGATTGACGACTATGGGTATGTGAATCTGAGGGGATGCTGTGCGGGGAATGTGGAGCTAATTTGGGTCGTTCTTGGGGATAGGTGCTACTTGGGCGAGTTCGATGTGAGTTTTCCTGCTTGATAGAGCTTTGGATGCTGGTGCTGATGAGAGTAGTTATTCAACGGGTCAAACGCAGATTAGCGATGAGTTTGGTGTTTCGACAGAGGTTTCGACGCTTGGTACTTCCTTGCTTCTTTTTGGGTTGGGTCTTGGGCCTCTTGTTTGGGCGCCGTTGTCTGAGGTCTTTGGCCGCAAGCCGGCTGTTCTAGTGCCGTATTTCATCGCTGCTATCATGTCTTTTGGCACGGCGGTGGCGAAGGATCTGCAGACGATCATGTTGACTCGATTCTTCTGTGGTTTCTTTGGGTCTGCGCCGGTGACTAATACCGGTGGTGTGCTGGCTGATATTTGGACGCCTGAGCAGCGCGGTGCTGCAATCGTTGGATATGCCATGGCTGTTGTTGGTGGCCCTGTCTTGGGTCCTATTGTTGGTGGTGCGATTTGCCAGAGTTATCTAGGCTGGCGATGGACTGAATATGCAAGTCAACCCTCCATCATGATTATATGGACAAGCTAACATAACTCCAGCTTACTGGAATCATGATGATGTTCTTCCTCGTCCTGGACCTTCTCTTCATCGACGAAAGCTACCCTCCAGTGCTACTAGTCTACAAAGCCCGCCGCCTACGCTTCACAACAGGCAACTGGGCCCTGCACGCCCGTCACGAAGAATGGGATGTTACTATCAAAGAACTAGGCAACAAATACCTCGTCCGCCCTTTCCAACTCCTCGCAACACCAATCTGCTTCCTTGTCGCCCTTTACGCCTCCTTCGTCTACGGAATCCTCTACCTAAGTCTCGCCGCCTTCCCAATCGTCTTCCAAGAATTACGAGGCTGGAACCAAGTCGTCGGCGCCCTGCCCTTCCTCGCATACCTCGTCGGCATCCTCATCGGCGCCGTAATCAATATCGGAAACCAGAAATTCTATATCAAACGCTTCAAAGCGAATAACAACCGCGCCGTCCCCGAAGCCCGTCTTCCGCCCATGATGTTGGGCTCTATTCTCTTTGCAGCGGGACTGTTCGTCTTCGGCTGGACGAGTCCGAAACACATTCATTGGATCGGACCTATTATTGGTGCTGTGATGATGGGTTTCGGATTCTTCACTATCTTCCAAGCTGCTCTGAATTACCTCATCGATACATTTCAGCGATACTCGGCTAGTGCTGTTGCGGCGAATACCTTCCTGCGCTCCGTGTTCGCGGGCACTTTTCCGCTTTTCACGACCGCAATGTTCCACAACCTCGGTGTGCCGTGGGCGGCGAGTGTTCTTGGATTCATTGCGGTTGCGCTGATTCCGATTCCTTATTTGTTCTATACATATGGACGGAGCATTCGCGCGCGTGGTAAGTGGTCGCTTGAGTCTCTTTAAACTGGGATGGCATAAAGGTTTCGGTTTCTCTATTTTTCTTTTTTGGTACATACTTGATCGGGACTGCATGTTGTGTTTAATGCTTGAGATGCTAGATAGATACCCTTTGCATTGCACTTGAGACTCTCCATAAAGAGGGGGGTTCTGGACATGAATGAATCTCATGAACGTGATATGGTTTTCATACTATAATTGTTAGCCCTTGAGGACCCAAGTAGAGTCTCCGCCCTTGGATCTATTCACAATCTGCTTAGATGTAGTTCGCGTCTGCTGTGTTTAGCTTTTACTTCGCTGGGCTTTGTTCACGAAGCTTGAGGTGGTTGATAGCCACGGGATAGCGAGATCTTACCCCCGAAGAGCGCTCTACCTCATGTGTGCGCCTGCGACCTCACTTCCACTAGGCGACTACCTATTTAGCCGAAGTCATCTCTCAGCAGCTCTGCTGTTAAGCCTCTGTATCCCCCCCTCGTCGTGCTACTATCTCGCTATCATATGGCTCAATTCTGCACCTCTCTTTTTCAGCTTACCTCCTCACTTCCTCTTCATTCCTATCTCTGACTGTCTTTCCAGGCTACTGAGCCCGTTGTAAGTTCCAAAGCCTATTAAATAGTCCTTGATAGCTCCTCTTTATGGCATGCTTGACACGCCGACAAGTTGATGTATCCTCTCCTGTGCCGGTTCCTCCACTCGATGGCAGTCTGGCTCTGCAGCGTAGGCGACACCAACAGAAGGGAACACACATAAGCCCTCCTATGCCCTGGAAGAGGTGCTGAGAGCGGTCGCCGAATGGGCGGATCGAATGACTCTTAATCCTGTATTATCCAATCAAAGAAACTGGTGAACAACGTAGTAATGTTCGGGTAGTTGCCCATTGCATCTCACTCTTCATGAGAGAATACTGCATGTCCCTCGAGGCATACAAGACACCTCAAGCCGCAACCGTGCTACTGTCAAACTCTTTCCGCTGAAGGATGAAACCTTCCCTTGAAAGTAGATAGAAGTTAGAAGTAAAAGATTAGCAGGTAATGAGAGGCCAAAGCTTTGAATAGCCGAAGGCATACAGATATCTACAATAACAGATAGGTCCCGGAAGAATACTTTGATAGAGGTAAATTTCCATTGTATTAGGAGATGATAGGTCTGTGATAGACATTCAACGTAGAATTTGAATGTAAGAGTGAATCTACATAAAGAGAGAACAAAGATAGACACGACACAAAAGAGAAAAAAGCGAAGGACCGACAGACAATTCGTCTATAGAGACCGAACTCATAAAGACATAACAATAGAAAAAGTAAAGAAAAAGTTGCGATAGCAGCATGATTAACCAGAAACAAATCACAATGACAGGAAGGATAGCACCGATCTTTTGTTTGCTTTGCAAACTTTTTTTTTTTTCCATGATCTATCTGCATACTCCATGAGTGAGTCAGCCTCGGCTGGGTACCATATTATTGCGGCGAGTCAGCTTTCTCGCAAGGGTCATTGCCTTCTCCCAGGTCTTCTTCTTCTCGACTGGGTTTCGACTTTCTGGATCGGGGGAGACCGCACCAGTGGCGTATTCGGCAGGATAGTCATCCTGGTGCTTGGCATTGTGCAAGGCCAGGACGGCCATTTGACCCAGGAATGAAGGGTGTTCGAGAAGGTCTTCGAGGCGAACCTTGAGACCCTCCTGTTCGAGTAACCAGGTGAGCTGAGCCATGTTGAATATATCACCACCCAGGTCGAAGAAGGATGAGTCCAGCTGGAAGGCTGGTTGATTGGCAGACTTGTCTCCAGCATCGAGGTCACCGGTGGGGGCGTTAGGTCGCTGAGGCAGGGCCTGGTGCCACGAGCGGGAAAGAATGTCCGAGTGGACAAGTAGCTCAGCAATAGAACGCGACTTGAGGTGGGCGCTGAGGAAGTGCTCGTCCGAAGAACGGGGAAGATCGTCGATTGTCTGGGACGGCAGAGAGCAGAGCATGTTGGGAGACGGCAGGGCAGTGGATGGGTTGGCGACGAGAGACTGCACAATTTCGCAGACCATGTCGAGGACTTTTTCTGCGAAGGCAGGGTGAACGGGTCCCTTCTCAGAATAGCCAAGGGTAATACCGAGGTTGCGCTCGTCGGTAGGACGCGAGACCATGGTCAAGTCTGCAAAGTTATCGTTAACACCAGCACCGCCCATGCGGTACTTGGTGTTATCGAGCTCCAGAGATCCCTCATAGTCGACGTTCTGGTGGAAGACCGAGGTAGTAAAGTAGGTCCAGTCAGGCCAGTCAGTGCATTTCCTGATAATTTCACGGAAGCCGAGAGACTCGAAAGGCATGTTGGAGACCTGCTGGTCCTGAAGGTACCGGAAGAGATCCAGGCCGGTCCATTTGTCGTCAAACTTGACACGGACGGGCACCACGTTGACACAGGGCCCGACAGTGGATTCAATGCCAGGAACAGTGGCGTTGCGGCCGCTGATAGTGAGACCGAAGACAACATCAGATTGGGCAGACAGCTTGGCGAGTGTGAGAGCCCAAGCAGCCTGCATGACCGTTGCAACAGTGACGTTGCCAAGGGCAGTAGGAGGAATCTCGATTGTCTTGCGGATCTCAGTGAAGGCACCGATGTTTTGGAACATGGTGGTACCCTTACGACGGACGACCTGGGTCATACGTGAACCCTTAAGAAGCTTCGACCAATGGTTGTAGTGATCCGGAGTGATTGTTCCTGGGAGCTGGCGAAGGTAGCTGGCATAGGGCGTAACAGAAGGTAGAGGGCTGCCTTCATAGCCGAGCTTCAGGGCAGTCATGATCTTGGACAAACACACTCCATCGTACTGGGTGTGAGACAGGCGGATCATGATGCGGTGCTGGTCGCTTCCCTTCTTCTTGACAACATAGAATTGCACATATTGTTCACCCTCACGAGGGCCATACTCGCGGTCGCGCTGCTGCAGCGTCATGGTGAATTCATCCAAACCACGATCGGTCTCATAGACGAAGATGCTGGGACGAATCTTGCGCAGCACAACCTGGAAGAACTGGTCATGGAAGCAGACAAAGACAGTTCGCAGAATATCAAAGGCATCAACCACCTTCAGGCAACTCTCACGGAGGCGTCTTAGATCTATAGACCCATTGCCCTCCAAGAAGAAGTAGTTCAACATCCATCGCGACTTGAAAAGAGTCGCGGTCAAAGACATGGCTTGGAAGTCAGTGACAGGAAGTACATCGGCAATGCCACCCTTGAAAACACCAATCTTTGGGCAAATGCCATTTTGAAGCGAGGCATCATCAACAGCCATGCTGGGTCTGAGAACAGATATGCTCTCAGTAGATGGGTTCGGCGCAAGAGTAGTAGGCTTACTACCAGGGAATACCTCGACCTCCTTAGGCGTGGTCTGTAGATCAGCATTCAGCATCTGCTGCGTCACATTAGCGGCGCTCACAGTTGCAACCATGTCTTCAAACACAGGGTTGTTGAAGACATCCGCAACAGTAAGAACGAGACCCTCTTCACGGGCCGCGCTCACCATCTTCATGGCAGTGATACTATCACCGCCCAACTTGAAGAAGCTGTCCTGGTGTCTCACGGTATTGGGCGAGAGACCGAGAGCAGTACTCCAAAGACTCCAGAGCTTCCTCTCCACATCGGCCGACATCCCATCCACGCTGGATCGAGACGTTGCCGAACAAATACCCGAATCATCTGCTCCTTGCATACCCTCCAATGGGTAAGGTGAATCCACTCCATCATCAGTCTGGCCGTACACGGACAAACTTGTCTGCAAACGAGGCACCGGCGGCACCATCAACTTCCCGTCCCTCAACATCTGTCCAATAACCTCAGTCACTCGGTCATCAATCATCTTCTGAATGGCAGCGCCATCTAGACCATCCATAGCAGGCTTCGTCGTTTCGCTAAATGTGGCCTGCGAGTTGTCCCATTCGGAGCTAGTATCGACGGCCTTTTGACCGAACTTGGCGTCTGAAAGGGTTGCGGCTGGAGACTCAATGAAGAATGTGAATACCTTCGCAATTGTGTCCACCAGGGACTGCGCTTGACCATCAGAAATCACGTCGTTCCAGTATCGCAGCATGATTCCTTCATTGCCGCGAGAAATATCAACATTGACAGTGACGGCGTACTAGAAGTCGGTTTAGTGATTTGAACTATCAAACGAATTTCGCGGAGTGACTTACCTCGCTTGGATCATGAGCGTGCTGAAGGTCGAATGACAAACCCTTGTCCTTGGTCTCGCCCGCAACGGCGTGGTTTTGGATGGAAAGGGTAGTGTTAAATAGAGACTGGCCCTGTATGCTAAGATCGTGCTGAATACTGGCAAGGGAGCAGCTCTGGTGGGGAATGCTGCGGATATAGTCTCCATTCACTCGTTTAGAGACATCGGTCAGAGTTTCCTGACCCGAGAATTGAACACGGCAGCAAAGCATGTTGATGAATATACCGACCATGTCCTGGATGCCGTTGACAGGCGCATCGCGACCGGCAGACAAGTAACCGAAGCAGACGTCGTCGGATCCTGTGAACTGTCTGAGGACGATAGCCCAAGCAGACAAGGTTAGATTGGCCAAAGTAACCGAAGCCTGTTCACAGAAGCTGAGCAGCTCAGGGTAGCGAGAGAAGTTCATCAGGATGCCCTTCAGCTCACGGTTGGCCTGGAAGGTGGAAGGGGGCGCAAGGTGGCATGGGCTGACACCACCGAGATACTCCTTCCAGTGCTCCAGGGCCTTGTCCTGGCTCTGGGTTCGGATATACTTGATGTAGTCACTGAACTTGGGACCGTCGGCCTCAGACAGCCGACGATCATAGGCCATTGTCAGGTCACGGAGGAGAACATCAACACCGCCACCGTCAATGATAGCATGGTTGATTTCAAGCTTCACCAGAACACGCCCACTGGCTGTACGGCAGACAGTGAACTGATGAGAGAGCTTCGCGGCCCGCATGGCGTTGAGATCTCGGAGTGAGATGGCAGCCAGCTTCTCATCGACCTGGGCATCGGAGCATTCCACTCGCAGGACATTGTCAGTCAGCTTGGCGAGGACGAGCTGGTCAAAAGAGCCACCGCTGTAATTGCTGTCAATGAAGACAGTTCGCAGAACCGGGTGACGCTCCACGAGCATCTGCCATGATCGGGAAAGCTTCTCAGGATCGACCTTCTCGGTGCGGGCATCCTTGATCTCAAAGATGGTGTGGAACATGTACGCACTGGGATCACGCAGCTGGCTGAGCAGCAGACCCTCTTGCATGGGGGAGCAAGGATAAATGTCCTCGACCTCGTTCTTGTTGCGAACACCAAGCTTTCGGAAGGTATTGTTGGTAAGGACCTGAAGGCCCTGGTAGTTCAGTGGCAGTAAAGGGTAGTCGCTGAGGGTAGGTTCCGGTATAGTCTTCCTTAGGACAGACATATCACGCTCCAGAACACCCTTACACTGGAGGATCCAACGACGCACCTGCCCTTCACGGGTCATTTTACGGTTGTAGGTAAACGCGACATTCAGGCGCTCCTTGATGACAATGGCAGATACCTCGAACAGGGCAAAGCGAGTAGTTTCCGGACCCATGTCACCAGCGACAGCGAAGTCTGAACTATCAAAAACGCTGCCCTGGTGGCGGAAGAGCGAGTCGGCCCGCTCAAGCTGCTGAAGGCGACCGAGGTAATTGAAGAGAATCTCCAGAGGAACTTGGAAGTCTTTGTGGTCGGTCTGTAGCATACTTTTTGCAAAGTATGGACGGCCGTTGTCGGTGATTTTGCGGCGAGTGTCTTTGACGCGCTTGATTATATCGATGATTCCTTCTATTATCTGTTAGCAGTTGACGAGGTCAAATAAATGTAATGGAGATACACACCATCGTCGCATTCAACAAGCAGAGGGGCCATGGTGGTGAACCAGCCCACGGTCCTTGAAAGGTCAATGTCGGCATCCCAAGGCTCGCGGCCGTGTCCTTCATTGTAAATTGTCGGAACTTTCCGGTCGGTGAAAGTTTGGCGGAAGGATTGGATAACAGATGCAAGCAAGATATCAACAGTATCGGTACCGAGAACTTCGTGGCATCCATCAAGAACAAATTTGGTAGCATCTTCACTCAATTGGAACGACTCCATCTTAATGTCGCCATAAACGTTGGGTGAATCATGCATGCCCCAGTATTCCAGATTGGCCTGCTCCGGGGTGAAGGGAAGGGTAAGGGAAGAGTCGTTCGCCTTGACTCGCTCCTGTTGCATTGAACACCAGCTCTGGAAGGACAGGGCTTTGTCATCAGAAAGGGAGCCAGACACGACAAGCTCCTCGAGGTCCTGGAGAATGATTCGCCATGAGACCATGTCCACGCAAAGATGGTGAGCAACCAGGAAAAGCACCTGGCCACCGCTGCGCAGGTTGAAAAGATCAGCTGCAAATATCGGCCCGTTCATCGGATCTAGGCAGGCCTGGCTGTCGGCAACCTTAGGAACCATTGCACGGGTATCGCTCACTGAGTGAATTCGGAAGCGATAGGACTCTTGAATCTCCTGTGACATATTTTTAGTAATGCTCAATTTGTCAAACGATGAAAAACATACAGCTGCAGCCCTTTGCTGCCAAGTGCCATTCACCTTGCTGAATCGAGCCCTGAACATTGAGTGTTGGCTAGTAACAGCAGTGATCGCCCGTCGAAGCACTTCTCCCTCGATTCTGCGAGAAACCCGCACAGTAATACTCTGGTTGAAACGAGCGCCCCCCTTGAAGGAAGCCGATGATTGCATGTAGAGTTTCTGAACAGGAGAAAGAGCGAAGCCCTCACCAGGCTTCTCCTCAGATACAGGCACAACAGGTGTCTTCGCGGTGGCAGTCTGAGCCAGTTCCTTAATAGATCGGCTCTGCAAGATATCATTCAAAGTGACAACCAGGCCCTGTTTACGCGCCCGGGAGATCACCGCCATCCCGGTGATACTGTCGCCACCTAGACAAATTTGTTAGTGCACTGGGGTTTGGAATCGGGACTGGCATATATTGAAAACTCACCCAAGCTGACAAAGGAGCGGTCAACGTTGACTTTCTGCGGGGAGATGTTGAGGACTTGCGAGACGATTCCGCGCATGATCTTAAACGAGCCATCCTGTTCTTTCTCCTGGGGCTTTTCAATGTCGCCGCGCTTCATTCGGTCGTAGTCGGCCATAATGCGTTCGTAGCTTTCGTCGTCAATGGTCTCAAGCCAAGCAGTGATCTTCTTTCGGTCAAGCTTGCCGGAAACAAGCATAGGAAGCTTCTGGATGAGAGCCCAGGTTTGTGGAACCATGTAGACGGGAAGCTGGCTCTGAATATTCTTCTGCACCTCAACAAGGCCAGCCAATCCTTGGCTAGACATATCTTCTTCATCAACGAGCTCGCAAGTCTTGTCTGAAATCAACTTATTGTCTTGTGCGATCTTGTTTAGTGACATAACAGTCACGAGGCGCTGCTTGAGAGGTCCAGTCTTCGGCAGGATGACAACTGCGTGGCGGACAAGTGGGTCCTCATAGAGTCGGTGCTCAATCTCACCGAGCTCCATGCGCTGGCCATGCAGCTTAACTTGGTGGTCCTTCCGACTGATGTACTCGATTGAGCCATCAGGGTTGTAATAACAAAGATCACCAGTCAGGTATATTCTGCGAGGAGAAGGTAGAGTCGATGAGTGCTTGAAGTCCTTGGCCCAAACAGGGTTGGTGATGAAGCACTCAGCATTCTTCTCGGGATTCTTGAGATACTCGCGTGCCAACGAAACTCCTTCCAGGGCAAGCTCACCAACAGCACCGAGTGGGACCAGACGGTCATGATTGTCAGGATCCACAATCCAAGTGAGGGTACTCGGGATACCGTAGCCAATTCGTCCAGGATCGCGAGTGGCAGCTACGGCAGTCTCCATAGTTGCGAAGACACATGTCTCAGTCGGCCCGTATCCGTTCATGAGCTTGACTGTGTTCGCCCACTTGGTAATGACTTCACGAGACATCTTCTCACCGCCGCAGATGAGGAGTTTCAGCGAAGGCACTGATGACGGCTCGATGATACTAGCAATGGATGGCGTGAGGAACGTCCAATTCACATTCAAGCGTCGAATAGCACCCGCAACATCGTTCAGGCGATCATCTTCGCTAGGAACACAGATGCAGCCGCCGACCATCAAGATGGCCAGTGTCTCCATGATGGCGGCATCGAACGTCAAAGATGCAAATTGGAAGACACGAGACGTGGAAACCATCTCAGTCAATGGGGCGAAGGCCATTATACTGCTGGCGACGTTGCGGTGCTCAACTATGATACCCTTGGCCCTGCCAGTGCTGCCAGAGGTAAATAGAGCATAAGCCATGTTAGCTGGAGCTGCCTCACTGCGGCGCTTGGCGGAAACATTGAGAGATCCGTAGGCCATCAGGGTTTCCTTGCTGATGGGAATCACAGCCTTGACAACACGATTATAACGGCTGGTATACTTGGGAGTACAAAGAATCATGCTAGCACCAACATCCGCGAGGATCTCTTCATGTCGCGTAACAGGGTGATGGGGATCGAGTGGAACATATCCACCGCCAGCAATAAGAATACTGATGAGGGTGACCATGGCCCACGCTGACTTGTCAAGGCAGACAGGAACAAAGACCTCGGGACCAACACCACGGGAAACCAGGTAATTAGCAAAGGAAGAAGCCAGATCCCAGAACTCTTTGTAGTTAAGCTCGCCATCCCATGCGCAGACGGCGGGAGCATTTGGCGTCTCAATGGCCTTCTCTCGGATGAAGTCGTGAACAGTGCGCTCAACCACAAGAGGATCGCGGCCGTTCCATCGGGCAATCTCCATCTTGTCCTCAGGACTGACAACTTCCAAGTCAACGACTTTCCCAGTGCTTGTCTTGGGAACGGACATCAGCTGCTTGAGAACATGACTGAATTGCTCAGCAAGATGCTTTGACTGCCATCCGTTGATAACAAGCTCATCGTGGTGGACAGTAAAGTGGATGTGGGTCTTGGAAATACCACACTCAAGGACAAGGGGGTGGGTGAAGAAGTCCTCGCTGGTGGCTTGCTTCTCGTCGAACCAAATTTCGTTATTAAGTTCACCCTCACTAGGCTGGATAACCAAGAGGTTCTGGAAGTTGCACGCAGCAGCAGTGTCAGCATTTAGCTGGCGGATGCGCTGAAGACCAGTGTGAAGGTGAGGAATCATGTCGGTGGTGGACTGGTGGATCTTTTCGAGGTACTGAATGAGAGGCGTACCATTGTCGACAACGATGCGAGTTGGGACAGTCGACAGGACAGGGCCAGCGATGTCGCCGACACCAGGCAAGTCGATGTTACGACCTGATAAAGTCTCTCCGAAACATACATCACCAGATCCAGTGTGGGCTGCGACAACGATAGCCCAAGCAGCACGCAGAAGAACAGGCAGAGTAAAATCGACGCTGTTGGCGGGGCGCGAAATACCCATACTATGGTATTGAGTGTTTCCAGCACGCATAGCATCCGCAACGGCGTTCTTGTTTTGGGGGAAAAGTGAGCTAGAAAACTCGGCGAAGTAGTTCTTCCAGAAAGCATCGGACTCTTCCATGTTCGTCTTGCTGAGGTATTCGATGAAGAGACCATAAGAAGTGGCAGGCTGCTGGTTTTGGGCATTATTGTAGTTGTCCTCCAGCTTGCGGTAGACGAGGGGAATACTCCAGCCATCGTAAAGAGCGTGATGCACAGACCACACGAAGTAGGCAGCACGAGATCCGTGGGGTTGGACAATCGCATAACCCGTCAGAGGTGCGCCGTTGTGTTTGGGTAATTCAATTGAGTCACCAGGTAATTTCTCAAAGGACTCGGCATGAACCCAGTGGATGGGAGACTCCTTGAGCACGACCTGAGCGAAGTTCATGGCGTCAGTGTGCACAATGCGAGTACGCAGAATTTCAAGATCGGCTACAGTCTGTTGCCAGGCGGCCTTGAATTGGTCAACATCAGTGCCATCGGCGAGGCGGAAAACAGGCTGAGCGACATAAGCACCATGGTTCTTAACAGACATGGTCAGAAGACCTTCTTGAACGGCACTGCAAGGGTAAACATCAGAAACCATGTCGGTGGCAACGCCACAGTTATCTGTAATCTCATCCATGAGACCCTCGAAATCAACACCATGAGGGAGAAGCGAAAATGCCTTGAGGGAGGTCTTTTTTAGGACCGGGGCTTCTGCGGTCTCCGAGCAAGTCTTCGCCATTTCGGACAACAAAGGGGACTTGAAAATAGTAGCAACATTGAGGGCGATGCCCTGGGCCTGAGCGGCTCCAACCAGGTTCATGGCGGAGAAAGAGTCACCACCAAGCGCAAAGAAGCTATCATCGTTGGTGACTGAACCCTCTTCCAAATCCAAGGTTTTCTCCCAGAGGGTGCGGAGCTTGGCGTCAACACCATTCGTTGAAGCCTCTTCCTTCTTGCTGGGACCATTGAAGGTAATGAAGGACTTAAGATTCTCCTTGGACAGAGTCTGGACCATCGCGCGAAGACGGCGGCGGTCGATCTTGCCGGAGGAAGTAAATGGCAGATTGCGCAGCGGGAAAAACAGGCGCGGCATCATGCTCTGGGGAAGGAGGTCAGGGAGGGAACTCTTCAACCTCTGAATAGCATCCATGTTTGATACTGAAATCGGAAGAAGCAGAGGGTCTGCACCTGGGATGGTAGCAACAAAGTCATCAGAGCTGCCACCTTGGAATGAGTCCTCGGTGTGAATGGTGAAGAAGGCCGCGAGACCCTTGGCGACCGTTCGCTCCTGAGGAACAACAACATCTACAGCAACCTGAGCCCCCTCAGGAAGCGCACGGGCACACTGGTGTTCAATCTCCTCAAGCTCGATACGTTGCCCGTTAAACTTGATTTGAGTGTCTTTGCGGGAGATGAAAGCAAGAGTGCCATCACTGTTGTACCTTACTAGATCACCAGTACGGTACATGCGATCCTTACGCTTGAATAGTCCATGAAGGCCGCTGTGGTGGCTCCAAACGGGATCATCGACGAAGACTGCTTTGGTCTTCTCGGGGTTGGCGAGATATCCACGAGCAATGTTGCTACCTTCGAGGAGCATCTCTCCAACAGCCCCGACAGGGAGAAGTCGGTTGTAGTTGTTGGGATCGACGATCCATACTCTGCAGTTGGGTGCGGTTCCAATGCAGGTTGGATCATTGTTCACACGGTTGCCATCCCAATCAATCTTGACACCAACGGTGGCAACAACAGTAGCTTCGGAGGGGCCGTAGGCGTTGATGACAAACCGATCGTGCCAACGATCTATATGGTTGGCGGGCATCTTCTCACCACCGGTGATGATGGTCTTCAGGGTGGGCACTGACTTGGGCTCCAGGGTGTTGACAATAGCAGGAGGACAAGCCATGTAATTAGCTTCCATACGACGAATTGCACCGCCCAAGTTGTTCATGCGCTCCTCCTCGCTCGGCACGCAAACACAACCACCAGTCATGAGAGTCATCATGATCTCGAGAATGCTGACATCAAAGGTATAATTCGAGAATTGCAGCGCCCGGGTACCTGTGTTCATGTGCAGAGCATCAGCCATTGCCATAGCGGTCGTGCTGAGAGCAGTGTGTTCGACAACGGTGGCCTTGGGCTTGCCCGTAGTACCAGACGTAAAAATAGCATATGCTGCATTTCCAGCGCCGGGTCGTGTACCAGAAATGGCCAGAGGGGACTCGGGAAGCTGAGAAATGGAGCTCTGGCAGACAGCGAAAGCCTTCTTGCACAGATTGGCCATCTTCGGCTGAAGGGTAGAAGAGCATAGCACAAGATCTGCACCAATTTCTTCGATGAGCATCTGAAGTCGGGAGTCGGGGTGAGAAGGATCGATAGAGACAAATGCGCCTCCGGCCTTGAGAATTGCCAGTTGAGAGACAACCGCCCAAGCAGACTTCTCGAAAGAAAGGACAACGAAAACCTCCGGCTTCACGCCCATGCTAGTAAGATACCTGGCGAGACGCGTAGACACAATCTCAAGCTGACCGTAGGTAAAGTTCTTGTCCCAAGAGCAGATGGCCTCTGCACGAGGGTGCAGAAGGGCTTGCTGTTGGATCAGCTCATCGGCGCACTTCTCGAATCGAGGAGGAAGAACAGCATTCCAGTTGTGGATCTGACGACAAGAGCGCTCGGGGAAGAGGTCCAGATCACCAATAGGGCGGTGACAAGGGCTGGAAGACATCATGTCATTCAAGATGTGGTCGAAGGCATCGATGACATGAGTCATTTGGGCGGAGGAGAGAGTATCAGAGGAATAGCTGAAGTGAATTTCAGCGACGGAGCTAGACACAGTGGCCTCGACAGCAACTTTGTAGGTGGTTGTAAAGGTGGCGCCGCGAACTTCTCCTTGGGGAAGACAGGAAGCAGTACGGTAGGTCAGGAGGGTATTGAAGATCTCTGCGTCTTGCATTCCTAGTTGCGTCTTCACAGCAGTAAGCTCGGCAAAGTTCTCACGGCTCTTGTCAAATTGGGCCTTAGATTGCTGAAGAGCTTCGTCAAGCAGACGGTCGTTGTTCAAAAGAGTGCGGAAAATGGAAAGAGTCGAGGAGATATCAGGTTCGCCAGTGGAGAATCCGAAGCAGATATCGTCGTTGCCAGTATAGCATCGCAGGACAAGACCCCAAGCAATTTGGAATAGGGTCTCGACAGAGACACCAGACATCTTGCTGAATGCATGAAGCTTGTCGGTCTGCTTGTTGAGGGTCCGAGTGGAGCGAGCCTCACTACTGGCGTGAAGGGAGATAGAGGGGAAGCTGCAAGGCTCGATATCGGCGAGATACTCCTTCCAGAACTCGAGGTTAATTTCAGTCAAAGAAGATCCGCGGGAGTTGCGATTTCCGGACTTGGCTTCGGTCCAGTGCTTGATGTCAAAAGACCGGACGACACTACTGGATAGGGCGGCGATTTCTGAGCTAAGGGCCTTGTAGTTAATTTTCCCAAGAGGGGTTAAGGGGATTGCTGAGATGGGTATGTATTTACTCGGAACCTTGCTAGCAGGGAGCTTTGCACTGAGATTAGTGTGCAGCGCTGAAATTGTGGACGTCATATCTTTCGCGGAAGTCTGAATGACTCGATCAACGAAGGTGGCTGCCATTCCATCCACAGTAGCGATGAAAGCGACAATTGATGTCGAGTTTTCAGCAGACACCACATCAACAGCAACCTGGCGTTTCGATCCAAAGTGGGCATCAATGGCATTTTGTATCAGCGAGCGATCGGCGCATGTAATGGAAGCATTCTTCTTTCCGAGGAAGACTAAGGCTCCGTCAGAGTTGTAGCGAGCAAGATCGCCAGTCCTGAAGAATAGGCGAGACTCGTTTATCTCAGTCATTTCAGATGCCCAAATAGGGTTCTTCAAGAAATTCTGACTAGCTATCTCATCGTCATCGAGATAGCCACGAGCGAGAACGGGACCTTCGAGAACAAGCTCACCAACCGCACCAACAGGGACGAGAGAGTTGGCATTGGTGGGATCAACCAACCATGAGACAGAAGAGGAAGCAAATCCAATAATAGCTTCTTGAGCTCCGTGGTCAATTATTGTGTGCAAGGAAGCAGAACAAGATTCGGCGGCACCGTAGATGACGTGAAGGTTGAGATCATTAGACTGCCAGTTGTCCAGGACATTTTCCATGGCAGCTTCTCCATGAAGCACAACAATTTGCAAGCTGGGAACATCCTTCGGAGAGATGAAGCTAGCCATAGTGGGAGTGATGCAAGCGACATTGGCACTTAGAACGCTGATAGACGCAGCCAGGTTCCCAGGCTCAACATCAGCTGGAATACAAACACATCCACCGCACATGAAAGTGCCGAAAATTTCTAGCAGGAGCAAATCGGAGGTATGGGCTGCAACTTGGAGCGTTCGAGAAGTATCTGACAAATTTATGGAGAATGCGAAATCCTCGGCACGAGTCATGATCGCAGTGTGCTCCAAAACAACACCACGGGCTGAACCCAAGCTTCCAGCAGTAAAGGCGACATAGGCTGGGTCGGATGGGGAGGAGGTGTTGACAAGAGGCTCGTCATTGAGGTACTCCAGAAGAGACTCGCTGACCGGGATAACGTAAGGAATTATTTCTTCAAGGACTTGAGCCTTCTCGGGAGATGCAAGGGCAACCTGAACGGCGTTGGCGACAACCCACTGCTCCATGAGACCCACGGTATGGGCGCTATCGACGGGAATGCAGCCGCCGCCTGCTTTCATGATCGCCAACATAGAAACCGTGTTCCAAACAGACTTGTCGAAGCAACTTGGGATCAGGGTGCCAGGCCCAACGCCGAAAGTGATGAGGTAGCTCGCGAGGCGGGAGGAATACTGATCCAGCTTGGAGTATGTAAGGTTTCCATCCCAAGCAATGATAGCCAAGGCATCCGGACACTTTTTGGCCATCTCCTGGACAACCTGATGGACACATTTCTCTACGCCATGAGGGATAGTATCGTTCCAAGTCAGGATATCAGTCTTGTTCTGTTCACTGAGGCTGTCAATCTGGCGTATCTCACTATCAGCGTGGGTCAGGATGCTCTCAAGGAATTGAACATAGGTGTTCGCAACGTTGGTAGCCTGAGCGTCGGACAAGTTGCTAGTCCAATAATTGAGGTCAATACTGGCCTTGGTGTCCTGGGCCTCAATATTGATGTATACCGGGAACTCAGCCGGATCATGAATGGATCCAACCTCGACACACTCAATTTCACTGCTCACTACATCCTTTGCGCTAGGAAGACGACGGTAAGAGACACCTGAGTCAAACAGATTGGCGTCAGACAGCTTCAGAGCATGCTGGATGTCAATAAGCGAGGTGTGGCGATATGGAAGACTCTCCATGTAGTCATTCTGAATCTGGTTCAGAACATCGCTGAGCAGAGAATCTCCCGAAATCTTCATCCGGCAGACCATCAAATTGATTACAGGACCAACGACCCACTGCACTCCATCTGCAGCAACGTCACGAAGAGAGGCCATATAACTGAAGCTCACATCATCTGAGCCACAATACAGGCGCAAGGTGAGACCCCATGCAGCATTGAAGACGTTAGATAGGGTGATTCCCTTCTTCTCGACTACACTCTGTAGCTTATCCAGAGAACCGAAATTGACTGGAATAGATCGAAGGGTCTTTTGCAGAACATTTTCGCCATCGGTGAGAGTTGGGAAGAGGCAAGGCTTCGCATCCGCAAGGTAAGAGCTCCAGTACTTGATACTAGCTTCTTGTGGGACATCCTTCAGCCATTGAATATAGTCTTTGAACAAAGGACGTGGACTCTCTTCCAGTCTTCCGACATAGGCAAGTTGCAAATCCCTGAGAATGATGGAGATCGAATTGCCATCCATAGCGGCATGGCTCAGCTCAATACGACAGAACAGTCTGCCAGTCGACGTCTGGCAAATGCTAAAACGGTAGGCCGGTCGCATCTCGCTGTAATCCTTGGGCTCCTGGGCATCAAACGTGGTTAACACATCGCTGTCGCCAGCCGACTGAAGAATCACTGGAGCTTGATCATACTCCTTCAAAACAACCTGGCAGAAGGGATCGCGAGGAGTAAGGTTTTCTGCGAAGATAGTTCGAAACATTGCGTGGTGAGAGACAACCTGCTTCCAAGCCTCCACAAGCCGGTTCAAATTAGGCTCAGTCGATCCAGTCGCGCGAACCTCAAATGTATCGTGAACGGCATAGTAAGAGCTATCGCGAGTACGACCAAGCAAAATACCCTGCTGCATACGAGAGCAAGGATAAATATCCTCAACAAGCTCTGGCGACTTAACACCAATAGCTGGCAGCTTCTGAGTGAGCAACGTCTCCAGATTGTCATATGACAACGACAGCATCGGGTAAGAGCTCAGGGTCAGGCGAGGCGACATATTCATTAATTGATCAGACATCGAAACAAGCTGCTGCTGGCAGTTGGAAACCCAAGTATGGATGCGATCCTGGTGCTGCATGAACTTGTTGAAAGAAAATGTGAACCGGATCTTCCCATGCACGACCATTGCAGAGATCTCAAATAGACCGAATCGAGGGGTGTCTTTACCAAAGTCGGCGGCACCACCACCCTGCCCAGCTTCTCCGGCCATCTGGTCGACGAGTTGGAAAAGACCATCTTGTCTCTGTAGGTCACGGTGCTGGCCAACATAGTTGAAGGAGATCTCGAAAGGACGTGGGTGAGTTCCGCTTTGCTTGCCGAAGCCAGGAAGAACTCGGCTGGCGAAGTCCGCGCGACCGTTATCAGACACTCGACGTCGTAGATCCTTGACTTGTACAAGAGTGGCGATTGGACTCTCAGCCTTGAAGGCAGAAACGAAGATAGGGTGTAGAATGGTGAACCAGCCAACAGTGTGCGAAATATCGATCGAGGGGTCCCAGACTTCACGACCGTGGCCTTCGTTATAGATCACGGGCAAGGAGCGGTCATTGAAGGAGCGGCCGAACGAGTGAAGCATGGCTGCGAGGAACAAATCGATAGGCTCAGTGTCCAAGGCCTTGTGGCACTCGAGCAGAATGGCGTTGCTTTGAGCAGCATCGATCTCGAAAGAGGCACAGTCGACGTCACCATAGGTCGTCGAAGTACTTTTTAACCCCCAGTAGCTGTAATCTGTGGGAGGCAAAGAGTCGGTCGAAGCCTTACCTTCTTCAATCAAAGATTTGCTGTGGTCGACCTGCAGACGGCACCAAGTCTGGAAAGGAAGAGAGCTATCCTCGCTGACAGATTTCTGGGGGTTCAAAAGCACATCCTCCAGATCCTCAAGGATGATTCTCCAGGAGACAATATCAACGACCAAATGGTGTGCCGTCATAGACAAAACATGAGCCTGGTCTTTGCCCTTGACGCGGAAGTAATCGATAGCTAAAAGAGGCCCGGTGAAGCAGTTGATGGAAGACTGACTGTCAGCAATGTAGGGCTTTATGTTGTCCATGTTGGAAACACTATGAGTCTTCCACCGATACGACCCCTTCACATCTTTTGTAATGCGCTGAGCAGACGCCACCGCGTCCTCAGCATGATTGAAGCGAGCACGGAGCATTGAGTGACGCGAGACAAGTGTTTCAATTGCCTTGCGAAGTGTACGCTCATCAACAGGCTTGTTTAACTTGGTAAGAATCCCCTGGTTAAAGTGCCCCTGTCCCTCTTTACGCACACCAAAGTGAAGGACCTGGATGGGCGAAAGTTCGAACGGCTGGTCGACTGCCTCCTTGTAAGTCGTGCCGTGATCGATTGCTTTCGCACGGGTAGCAAGTTCCCGGATCGACTTGCTTCGCAAGACCTCCTGCACCGAAAGACCAAGACCACGCTTCTTGCACAATCCAATACAAGTCATTGCGGCGATAGAATCACCGCCCATTGCCAGGAAACTCTGATCCAAGCTGACATTGGTCTGAGGAATGTTTAGAACCCGACTGTAGACGGCGGCCAGGGCCTCCTCCTTTTCGTTTGCCGGTTGAGACATCTGTTCCTCCGACACAGATACGGTGTTGGCGGTTGTAATGTCGGGGTCTTGTTCCATACCACCAACCCAGCCGGCAATACCCTTTCGATCGAGTTTCCCAGAAGGGAGAAGAGGGAGAGCTTCGACGCACAGCCAGACGGCTGGCACCATGTATGTCGGCATCCGGGCCGACAGACGCTCTCGAATTCCAGGCACAAGCTTTGCTTTGTCCGTGGCAGAAATTAATCGCAGAGGCTCCAGCTCTGACTCGGACTGTTCAGCCAGAAGACCGGTGGAAGAGATGACAGCGGCCAGACGGCCCTTGGAGTAGCCAGTCTTGGGGAAGAAGACAGAGCAATGAGTGACGTTCAAATCGGTACTCAGTTGCTTCTCAATTTCTCCCAGCTCAACACGCTGGCCGTGTACCTTCACCTGGGTATCTTTGCGACCGACGTAGTTAAGCGATCCCTTCTCGGAATTATATCTCACCAGGTCGCCAGTCTTGTAGAATCGGCGATTCGTGCCCCGATGTGGATCACGTTTTGTCCAAACCGGATCGTAAATAAAAGATTCGTTCGTCTTCTGCGGATTGTTGACGTAGCATCGAGCGAGGGTCGGGCCTTCAAGCAAAAGTTCTCCAGGGCAGCCAACAGGTACGAGCTCATCGTGGTTCTCAGGATCCACTAGCCACGCTCTGACGCCGATTGGCAGGCCTATATTCTTACAATCGGTGTCCGGTGTGACATGGGAGTTCAGGACGGATGCGACACTGGCCTCAGTAGGCCCGTAACCATTGATCAGTTGAATTCTGGACCAGGTTTCCAGTTGTGACTGGGACATTGCCTCTCCGGCCAGGACCAGACTCTTCAGACCCGGCACGCTTCCAATTTCAATAAAGCCGATGAATGACGGGGTGAAACACGCTTGGGTCACCCGCATCTCGTTGATCGCTCCCACAATGTCATTTAAGCGAGCTTCCTCGCTTGGAATGCAGACACATGCACCAGCGATCAAAGGTGTCAATGACTCTGACAAACTTGCGTCAAAGGTGTGAGCTGCAAACTGCAGGCACCGCGAGTCTCGGTAAATAGCCAACCCAGGTCCGTGGGCCTTCGAGCTGGACAAGAAAGCACGGTGCTCAAGGAGAGTTCCCTGAAAACAAATCATGTCAGCCCAGAAGCCCGAAAGTGAGTTCGGCAACATTAAAACATACCTTGGGTTCTCCTGTGGAGCCAGAGGTGAACAGAACATAGGCCGCATTCTGGCTAGTCACACCAGATGTAAGGTCGACGGCAGGGTCTGACAGGCGTTCCAGGGTTTCGGCGCAGAGGGGGATTAAAGTCTTTACAATGGGACGGAGGGCCTCTGCGCGAATCTGTGAACACAGTACAACCTGTGCCTTGACCGACTCGATCAGGCGCTGCAATCGAGAAGTCGGATGTGTCGGGTCTAATGGGACGAAAGCTCCTCCAGCTTTCATAACACCAAGCATTGCGACAATGTTCCATTTCTGCGCTTGTTAGCTCTATTGCACGAACAAAGACAATACGCCACTTACCGATTTATCGAAGCACAATCCTACTCGCACTTCCGGACCAACGCCCTGCATACGCAAGTGACATGCAAGCTTAGCAGCCGCCTCATCGAGCTCGCGATACGTCAAATTACCATCCCACGCGCACACGGCCTCCCTGTCCGGCCCATTAATCGCGTTGTCTCGGATAACGTCGTGGATGCACTGATCATAGAGCTGCGGGGTGTGGGCATTCCACTTGCAGACTCGCTGCCAATCGTTCTCCGAAAACAAATTAAGCTGGCTAATAGCGGTGTTTTCCGGAGAAGAAAGGACTTTGGCAAGTATCTGCTCAAAGATGTGGGAGACACTCTTCATCTGCTCACCGGACATGTCTCCATTGCGCCATTCAAGGAAGATATTGATGTCCCGGCGCAATACCTTAACATGAAGACGAACTTGGCACTGCGATTACGTTAGCAATGCAATATGCTGAGAACTAATGTTGCAACTGCATACCTGGTCTGGGAGTGCGGATGCCAGAATGGGTTGAGAGGTTGAAGAAGGCGGGTCATTCGCCTTGCGATATGTGCGGAGCATGAGGATGGTGTTGAAGGGCCAGTAGCCCTCAGCTTGCTGTGATTCTCTATCTCCATGCACTTTATCTACAATTGCCTTGACGGTGTCGTTTTCGTTCACCGCTAGTCGCACGGCGGAGAGGTTGGGCGAGCGCTGTACAGGGTTTCGGGTCGAGATGGAGTCGCCATCGATGTGTTGATAGCCGAAGCAAATGTCCTCAGAACGGATATAGTAGTGCAAAACCAGTGCCCAGGTGGCCCGCAGAATGGTTTCGAGTCTTCCTTCGTGCCATGCGGTTAATAACTGCGCGTGTTGAGAAGGAGTCGGTCTCGTCTTTATCGAAACCGGTCGTTTAGGCCCATCGACGGCCGCAGCGAAGCGAGGAAGGTAGCAGTGGGAGGATTGAGTCATGGCGTGTGACTCTTTTGTTCGTGGGTGGTTTTTTGCTGCCAGAAATTCGATCGATGGGGTATCGTGCGTGTTGAGAGAGCCTTCGTATTAAGGATGTAGGGAATTAAGAGTAGAAATCCGAGTAAAAGTCTCGCACACTGGTCCGGCGTAGTTGGATGGTCTCAGTCAATTTGAAGAGGTTTTAATTTTCAGAGGTCAAGATTATTTACGCCGTCATTGGGACTAGAGGCTGCATGGCCATGCTCCAGCTCGTTTACGAACATCATCTATGTACGGGATTACAGTAATACCACCCCGGTAACCAATAACATCGAATGGAGCTCTGCCAATTTCAGGATAGCCCCAAGTATCTTCCTTGCATAAGTTCGGATCTAGATGATGAAGGGTTGGAGACGTTACGCCGCATCGGCCATGAGTGGGTCAGCATGCCCCCACCCCCCTGTGGAACTGTGGACCCAAGACAGGCTCAGACAGCCCCGATTCGGCTAGGCTCTATACAGCCCAGTCCACCTTCTGGACCCAGGTTGTGGTATCCGGTATTTCCGGCACTTTGCCTATGTTTTGCTATTATGAGAAAAAATAAACGAAGCAAAACATGCTGAGCTATGGCGATCTACTCCGCTTTCAGCTCGCTCCAGCTCGCTCCAGCTTGCAGCTTACTAATTTTCTAATTTTCTATATTTGTCTTCCTTGGCCCTTCTGCCCTCGTAATCGTCAATTCTTTTTCTCTTGGAAATTTCCACTTATGTCGACTAGTCGTATTGCGCTGCAATTTCCCGCGTCCTGATCAGACCCCCCTCCCTGGGATATGCGGTCTCAACGTGGTTCAGCAAGGCGGACGCCAGGCTGTCAAAGGAAGGAGGATCTTCCATTTAGGCCTTCGCTACGGTAATCCCGAAAGGGCGCGGGAATTTTCTGGAAATAGCTCAAACACTTCTTCTAAGCGCTCAGGTCAGGCGTGCTTATGACGATGGTTCAGATAGTGCACAGGGCGTTCTCTAAAGGGTAGGTTCGTCCGGGTTGTCCCCGTTCCATGCATGTAGGGCTGCCACCTTCAGTGCATTAATTGGCCCGCTGAATAGCTCACGGGGTCTGGGGGATCTCAATGAGTTACACTGACGGTGAGCAAGATGAAAGCTGTACACATGGCAAGATCCACGTCCCATGGCTCGGGACTCTTGTGAAGGTCAGTGCACATGAAGCTTAAGGCCCAATGCCAGCAAGGTTTGACCCGGGACGGGATGATCAGACGATTTACCGCGCATTTCTCAGGAACTTTCGTCGGGAGAGTTACCGAGATCGGTTGATCACGGCTGGGCTCCAACACCGAAAGTTTGACCCCATTCTGTCTTTGCATCCCTTTCAGGTCTGAGCGATTTCACAGCAGTCTGCAAAAATCATTAGTGGGGGTGTTGCAGTCGCTTAGCTCAGATCTGTTCGCGACTAGGGAAAGACCTTCCATTATTTGATATGGTTCATGGATGTACGAGTCTGAAACGCCCCCAGCAAATACTAAGGAGCGGAGCCAGTCGGAACATCATTAGTACGGAGAAGGTAGCCTGTTATACAGTAAGACGAATGAACCACTCCCGGTAATGGATACGATTGGTGAGATTTCATAGCAAAACAAGGCACTAAGGCATCACGGCAGGTACTACGTGTTATGCCGCATACGTCAATAGTGTGGGGTCCGTGGCGTAGAGACAAGAGATGGCTAAAACGATGGTGCGCTCCGACCCCTGTTCCCTAGCGTTGGGCGTGCCCACTTCGCGGTCTGCAAGGGCTCCAAGGGATATTCGCGGGCAGATCCGACGACAGACCTATCGACTCCTTTCCTTGGATCACTTTTTTCTTTGGTACCTGTGACCAGCTAGACACTCCGCTATCATTTTCCCCTTGTTGCCTGGTCTCCTAGGATACATAACAGATATATTCGATTTCTACGCCACTCAGTCACACCGGAGAAAGGATAATCATCCTGGTGATGTTCTCTCATCTGATATCCGCTTCTAGGACCTGGGATCCGCTATCCGATCTTCAAATGCAAAATACGAAATGCGATCGTTGGGCCCGAATCGTAAGGCGCCACTCACGGCGGGTTCCTAGAACACGGTCGGGGGGGGGGAAAAATATTTTAAATATTAACCATGGTTCAGGCGTGGGCGGATTCCTCAATTTCTCCGCCCATGTGGCAAGATTTCTTGTGCTCGTTCTCGCTTCAGCAAGTTTTATTTGGTTTTTTTTTTTTTTTTTTTTTTTTCGCGTGTAGGTAAACCGGGCGACCGAGCGTTCGAACCTGCCGGAGACGAATTGAATGCCGGTTAAACGGATGAGGATTTGCCCTCATCTGTCTCCCGATGGAGGGCTTCAGGCTAGCACCAGCTTCCTTTTTACAAGTCCGTGCCAAGATTTTCCAAGTTTTGACGTTGAACGCCTGTGAGGAATGGGCGCGAACCTGGCAGGAGAAATGGTTAGCTAGACGGTGGGCAAGCCACAGTCGGCTAGTAAACCTTAGTTAGTGGGATCCGTGAAATATATTTTGATCGTCCGCTAATTCAGGACCTGACATATCATCTCCGATCTCTCGATTTCAAATCTCCAGTTGTACCGTTACCATGGATCTGCCCCTAACATCTTGATCCAACATTTTATCGGTGAACTTATTCGTAATTCCTCACAATAATGTGCTAGGGAAGATTTGAAACTGACTGGGGAAAAGTGGAATCGTGGAAAAAGTACATGCAGCTTAGCCCGCCTTCGCCACCCATAATCCATGCTCCACGCGCCACGCTGCTACAAAACAGGCTTATCCTGGTTATTCTGCATGCACCTCGCTTTCTAGGGTTCTCAGCATGCTCTAGCTGTAGGTACAAGCCCAAAGCATGCAGCTGGAAGCCACGGGCAACCCCATGTCGAGTGCGCTGTTGCGCCACGCCAGTCAATACTCAAATGCTTCTGGTTGAACGTCACCCCGACTTTTGCCCGGTCACGCATTGCCATCCACACCGAGTTCTCGTCGTATGATTTTTCGTCGTACAAAAGCCCCGTGGTTTTGGGCATGTTTGTCTGACCTGTAGAGTTTTTTGTCGCATCTTCTAGCTGCCGTCAGGGAAGGTTCCTCTAGCAACTCTAGTTGTCTCAAAAGATGCGTCAGCCGTGATCATCAGGAAGATTCCTGGGCTCCTCCATCATATGGAAGACGCCCTCGCATGAAGCTCATTGTTATTTCCCTCAGGGACTGTAAGTGTCGGCTCAAGGGGTCTAGGTCAACTTTCAACCTGCACAGTGAGGTCTCCACATTTGCCCCGAACAATTGCTCCTGCAAGGTTGCACCGCGTCTTCCTCGTGTTGGTCTGGCGATCTTTCCTCTTTAAATCTGGCCAGACCTGTTTCCCTCCAGGGGGTCAGGCCCTATTGACGCCTGTGCATCCACATCCCAAAGGGGCAAAGTCAAAAATAGACAGCAAAAAAAAGACATTAGCGGGAAAACATGGTCTACATGGTAGTTAGACTAGATCGATTAGGTCATTCGGCATACACAGAAGGGAACGAATAGTGGGGATTAAAAAAATTGACTCGGTCAAAACACCCGATTACATTCAGGCAAAAATAAAGTAAAAAAAAAAAAAACTGGGTACACTGCAGTAATACAGATGAGAGCCCAAAATGACCGGGCTCTGATGTTTTCCTAGGACATTTTCAGTAATGAGATTGTAAGAAAGCTGCATTGGCAAAGCCCACTTTGTTGCAGGGACCCAGTGGACAGTCCCATAGGAGCTCAGGAGTGTACCTCTCCTGCATCAAAAGTAAGCTCCTGCGGCCGGAAAGGAAGTCACCCTGGGCCTTTTTGGATCAATCTGATCCAGATCATAGACTACTCATTTCGCTCCCCTAAGGATATGATCTCTCTTGCCATATTCTAATTCAACAAACTCGACACTCGTGGTGCCTTATTCTGACAACTCTCTCACCATTCTTCAACCCGGATGGTTATTGGAGAGTAAGTCATGGCTATCTCTAGCAATGGGCCTTCGTGCCGCGATCTGGACAATACCGTCCGCGTTGGTATGAGGAACTGCCGCGGAGGATTCGACTTCTCTCTTCTCTTTGAAGAGACTATCCTGGAAATCCTGCCTATTGCCTTAATTTTAATCATTACTCCTCTCCGTGTCTGGCAACTCTCGCAAAAACGACAAAAGGTTGTCGGCTCATTATGGCTACCTGTTAAACTCGTGAGTGATTCCCTTCCACACTGTACATAACATTGAAGTTGTGTGACTTTGTGACCTCCCCGGTTAGAGAAAGTTCGTCTAACGTTCATTTCCCTTGCAATTACCAGGCTGCTTGGTTGTTCTTCTTCGGTATTCAAATCGCCCAAACAGTCCTCTGGGCTCTGCCCGGTGCCGATAGAACTTCGGTCTCAATTGCGTCCAATGCAATTCTGAGTGCTGGTGCATTGTTCCTTGCTGTGCTTTCGTATGCAGAGCACACGCGGTCTGTCCGACCTTCATTCGTTTTAAACACCTACCTTCTCTGCAGTCTGCTTTTCGATGCTGCGCGGGCCAGAACCTTGTGGCTGCGGTACACCGACACATTCAATGAGGTCATTGCAGTTGTTAGCACCGTTGCTGTTGCAGCCAAATGTCTTCTTGTCCTCTTGGAAGCAGTTGAAAAGCGAAGTATCTTGAAGACGGAGTTTGCCGGTTACCCTCCTGAGGCGACAGCTGGATTCTACAACCGATCCTTGTTCTGGTGGTTGAACCCTCTCTTCCGCGTTGGCTACAGCAATATTTTGTCTGTCAAAGACCTTTTCGTTTTGGACAAAGAGTTGAGTTCTGAGAGACTTCTTGCCCTATTCGAGGAGAGATGGAGCAAAGGTAATTCCCCTGCTCTATTCCAACTGAGCCTATCTAACTCTCCCCAGTCCAAACAAAATCTCCCAACACATTACAATTCGAATGCTTCAAGGCGACCAAAGGGCCCCTCCTGGCTGCTGTTCCTGCTCGAGCATGTGTTGTAGCATTTAACTTCTGTCAGCCTGTCCTCCTGACGCGGTCGCTCAATTTCTTCGATCAACCAGTAAACGCCGCCACCAACAATGTTGGCTATGGTTTGATCGGTGCTTATGTCCTGGTCTATACCGGACTTGCAGTAAGTTCCTAATATCATTCCTATATCTTAATTTTATTAACATTTAGATAGATTGCAATGGGCCAGTACCAGCACAACACTTACCGCGGAATTACTATGGTGCGCGGTATCTTGGTCACCATGCTCTACAAGAAAGCTAGCAGCCTCGGCGTCAACGAGGCTGATCCCGCCAACTCGCTTACTTTGATGAGTGCCGATGTCGAGAGAATTACCAATGGTTGGCAGACTATGCATGAAATCTGGGGTAACACCTGTGAGATTGGATTGGCGATCTTCCTGCTGGAGCGCCAGCTCGGTATCTCCTGTGTCGTTCCCGTTTGCGTGGCATTGGTTGCCTTGCTTGGATCTCTGGTCGCAATGTCCTTTGTTGTATCTCGGCAAGCCAGGTGGCTAGAGGCTATCGAGCGCCGCATCTCATCTACTTCAGGCATGTTGGGATCTATCAAGGGTGTCAAGATGCTGGGCCTGCAGAACTCTTTCATGAATTTCGTTCATGGTCTGCGTATTGACGAACTCAACATCTCCAAGAAGTTCCGTACCCTTCTTGTCTGGAACATGGGATTCGCCTGGTCGACTCGTATTTTCGCCCCAATTGTCACCTTCGGTGTCTACGCTGCTATCTCTCCGCATGCATTGACCGTTTCGAAAGTCTTCACTTCACTGTCGCTCTTCTCTCTTCTCTCTGACCCTCTTATGACCTTGGTGATGGCTCTGATGTCATTCTTGGGTTCTGTCGGATCGTTCGTTCGTATCCAGGAGTTCTTGGACAAGGAGGAACACTCCAATCAGAGACGGGATGTCCCTCATATTCCTTCTCTTGAGGATTTGGGGGAGACCAAGCTTCTTTCCAAATCTGGCGATCTGGACCTTTCCTCGAGCAACTCGGGGTCCGTGGAATCCCTCAAGCGCGGCTCTACTTTTTCCACTTCGCCCAACGCTGCTACCATTCAGAATGGAACCTTCTCATGGGACACTTCCAAGGAGCCTGTTCTCAAAGATATCACTATTACTGTTCCTCGGGGCAGCTTCACTATGCTCATTGGGCCGTCCGGGTGTGGAAAATCAACTCTTCTCAAGGCTCTCCTTGGTGAGATCCCTTGTGCCGAGGGAAAGGTCTCGTTGTCTTCACCCAGTGTGGCCTTCTGTGATCAAACCCCATGGCACATGAACGGAACCATCAAGGACAGTATCGTTGCCATGTCGGAGTACGATCCTAAATGGTACTCAACCGTGATTCAAGCCTGTGCACTCGAAGAAGATTTAAGTCAATTCCCTCGCGGCGACTCCAGTATTATTGGAAGCAAGGGTGTCGCACTCAGTGGTGGTCAAAGCCAGCGTATTTCTCTCGCCCGCGCGGTGTACGCCCGTCGAAAGGTGATCATTTTGGACGACGCTCTCAGCGGCCTCGATGCCACCACTGAAAACCACATCTTCCACTACCTCTTTGGTAACTACGGTCTTTTCCGAGATATTGGTACCTCCATCATCGTCGCCTCTTCTTCTGTGAAGCGTCTTCCCTACACCGATCATATTGTGGTTCTCGACCCTACCGGTCGCGTTTCTGAACAAGGCAGCTTCAGCGCTCTCAATAAGACGGGCGGTTATGTTGCCAGCTTCGGCCTCGGCAGTCCTGAATGGGAGTACAAGACAAAGCGATTCTCCGAGTGTCCCAGCAGCAGCACCTTCGATTCGGTCGAGAAAGAGAAGGAGCTTTTGGCTCCTGAGCCTGAGCACCGCGAGACTGGCGGTGACTTGACGATCTACACATACTACATCAACGCCATCGGCTGGGGTCCCGCTATGGTCTTCATTGGTGCCATGGCTGTTTTCGTCTTCTGTCTCTCGTTCCCCAGTATCTGGTTGAAGTGGTGGGCCCAATCCGACACATTGGAGCCCAAGCAACACGTCGGCTACTACATGGGCATCTACGCGATGCTCGGCGCGGTCGCTATGCTCTCTCTCATTCTTGGCTGCTGGCAAATGATTATCACTATGGTTCCAAAGTCAGGCGAGAGCTTCCACCGCAAGCTTTTGGTCACCGTTCTCAGTGCTCCTATGCTGTTCTTCTCAACCACCGACAGCGGTTCTATCCTCAACCGATTTAGTCAGGATTTGCAACTTATCGACATGGAACTTCCTATCGCCGCCATCAACACTATTGCTACTCTCTTCCTTTGCTTGGCTCAAATGGCACTGATCGGGGTTGGATCTGAATATGCAGCCATCTCCTTCCCTATCGTGCTCGGTATCTTGTTCCTGATTCAGAAGCTTTACTTGCGTACCTCCCGTCAGCTCCGTTTCCTGGATCTCGAGGCTAAGGCTCCGCTCTACTCCCACTTTACCGACTGCCTTCAGGGACTTGTTACCTTGCGAGCCTTTGGATGGCTACATGGTATGGAGAAGAAGAACATTGAGCTCCTGGATCAGTCTCAGAGGCCATTTTACTTCATGTTCGCTATCCAGCGGTGGTTGACTCTTTCGCTTGATCTTCTTGTCGCTGGGATTGCGGTCCTTCTGATTGTGCTTGTTGTCGTTCTCCGTGGAACCAGCCTCGGTGCAGGCTCTGTTGGTGTCGCCCTTCTCAATGTTATCCAGTTCAGTCAGAGCATCAAGCTCTTGATTACTTTCTGGACCAACCTCGAGACCCACATTGGTTCTATCCTACGCATCAAAGATTTCACTCAAGCTGTCAAGTCCGAAGACCTGCCTGGGGAGGATGGCGATGTGTCTCCTGACTGGCCCCAAAACGGCGCAGTAACCTTCCACTCGGTCTCAGCCGCCTACAGGTATGGCTATCTACAACCCCGTTTCTTGGTACGCACAGCTAATTCCATTCAAGACCCGAGGAGCCGGTCCTCAACGAAGTCTCACTCTCCATCCAAGGAGGGGAGAAGGTGGGTATCTGTGGACGAACAGGAAGGTAAGACAACCCAACTCAAATCCACGAACGAAACTCACAAATCGCGCAGCGGCAAAACCTCAATGATCATGAGCATCTTCCGCATGATCGAGATGACGAGTGGTACTATCACTGTGGACGGAGTTGACATCACTCGACTTCCCCGTCGCGAAATTCGCTCACGCATCAACGGAGTCTCACAAGACTCCCTACTGTTCAAAGGCAGCGTCCGTCTCAACGCCGACCCAACGGGGGCCAGCACCGACCGAGACATCCTGAATGCACTCAAGACCGTGCAGCTTCTCCCTGCAATCGAAGAAAAGGGATCCCTGGACACCGACATCGACGAGATCCACCTGTCGCACGGCCAAAAGCAACTCTTCTGTCTTGCTCGAGCGCTCCTACGCCCGGGCAACATCCTCATTCTCGACGAGGCAACCAGCAAGTGAGTACACTCCGACCTATTGACTCAGCCCCTTCCCTCATACCCTCGCTTCCTTTTGCTCCACCTTGATCCTTTCTTTTCTTTTTTTTTTGGATTTCATTTTCGGCGCTACACCTTGGATCTTCGCGCATATTAGCGCCTGTCAGCCCCCCTGCATATGCGGTTTGACCCGAGCGCAATCATCGGATCTATAGTCCAAACACCCCCTATCCGCCCCTTGCAGGAACTTATGGAACAAACAATACTAACCCTTTGCCAGCATCGACACCAAAACAGATGAGATCATGCAGCGGGTCATTCGCGAGAAGTTCTGCAAGCACACAATCCTCTCGGTTGCGCACAAGCTCGATACGATCCTTGATTATGATCGGGTAGTGGTGCTGGACGCCGGACGGATCGTCGAGACCGGCGAGCCGTACGCGCTCTTGACAGAACCCAAGTCGCATTTCAGTAAACTATACTCGAATGCGCTGGTTGCTGATGACGACGAGTAAATACGAGTCCATGGTTTTGATCTTGGTTTTCTTTGGGAGGTTTCTTGCATTAGCATTGCACAGATTGAGTCCTTGTGGCCTGCTCGATATTTTTGTTTTGCGATTGGTACATATCGTCCTTACCATACAGACTTGGATAGTGGTCTGGCTTCTGTTTTTTTTTTATTCATTTTCTTCTCGGTGCTATGATTCCGATCCTCTTCTTGACTCTCGTTTACCACACTTTCTCTTTACGGTCCATGTGGCCTTTCTTTGCCCTCCAGGTACAAACTGTGCCTTGGGCGGTATGTCTATAATATGGATTTTGCGGGGATACGGATAACTACTTAGCCGTCTTAATGATAATCAAGACAACTTGAATATCAATACAATGGCCGTGAACTACTCCTTTACAATAACTTATTGTAGAGAACGCAAGGTTGAATTTTTCAGTGTCCAGTGGTCGTTACCTACCGCTCCTTTAGCTAGTCCTGATCTCTACGTCTACGGCCCCGAGGCGCTCCGGGGCTCCTGCTGCCTTGGAATAATTTGAATACTTTAGTGTCGATTTCCGAACCTCCACTACTTTCCGCTTTGAAATATTGAAATATTCATTAGATGGTATTCAGCCTATTTGGAGCTACTCAATATTCACTTCGGGTACCTTATAAGGTCAATAATATTTATGATAAAATTTGCGTGCATATGTGGGTGGTGGAAGTGGACGTGTCTAGATATATATCCACTGCAAACCTTCAAGAGCTTACACCACTTTCGCCATTTAGGAAACCCATCCGAGTTTCGAGTTTTCACGTAACCACAGAGATCTTTAAAGATCAATGCGACCCCAAAAACTTCTTAGGATCCTCATATTCCCACATGGGTGACTATTGGCAGTTGATGGTTGGGGTTTTCGCCCAAGTCCACGGGTGCCACTCCGGCAGGGCGCCAGGTCTGTCAAGGTTGCAACTAGCTGAACACAAACATGGATTGTGAATGGTAATGCTGGATTTATTTTAGCACTGGAAGTTTCCAAGGTTGAATTCGTGGGGTCGAAGATGTGATCTGATTAACTATAGCACTGGGATGAGATAGCTACACAGGCCTCCATCTAACCAAAAAGCATGACTAGAAAAACATCTCATGTCCTATTTTGCAGCACCATACTACCCTGAAACAGATAGAAAAATATGAAAACATGCTAGAAACTCCTCCGATGACAACATCCAGCCACAACAACCAAAAGGAAAAAGAATCTCGACCAACAACATCCCTACGACAAAACCATCGTGTCATCGTTATCGTCCTCGTCCTCATCATCCAGAAGCCCAAACTCCCAATCACCCCTTTCAATGCGACTAACACGGTCAAGTTCAGACTGGTACTCTCGGCGCAGATGTTCAAGGGTAACAATGATGCGCTCCTGGGGGAGCTCGATGGGAGCTTTGAACGAGACGCGGGGACCGCTGATGGAAGAGCGGCTTCCTCGACGACCGGAGGCGAATGATGCGGCGCTGGAGGAGCGGTGGTGACCATTGAGGGGCGCTGGGGAGCTCTCTGCGTCTTCCATGAAGACGTTGCCGTCGTCGTCTGTGGAGCTGCGGCGCTTTTGTTGAGAATGGGTTGAGGCGACGGGACCGGTTTCGACTAGAATGTAGGCTTCGCTCTTGTCGACGGAGGCGAGGAGATTCATCAGCGAGAGGAGCTCGTGACGGATTTCCTTGCTCTCGATGTCATCTTCAGGCACGCCGGTTTCTTCGATTTCCTTCTTGGATTTGCGGGTCAGGGCGGTGGACTGTGTGTCTCGTGCTTGGCGGAGTCGCTGGACGTTGCGGTAGGCTATTTCGGCGGCGCCGCGGAAGTCGCTGCGGGCAATGCGGTATGCTTGCAGGATGCGATGGTAGTCCGGGGAGATATCGGTCTCGTTGTTGTCGACGTCCAGCCATGAGGAGAAGGTGTTTTGTTTCCGTGCGAGCGAGACGAGGATTTCGTCAACGTGAGAGGCGATGTTGGGAACAAGCGAGGTGGGGAAACGGAGGATTTGCTTGAGACCGGCTGGTCCTGGGCCGGAGACGACCAGGATGTTGGAAACGAGGGAGCTGAGTGCGGACCTCTGCAATGCAAGATCCTGGTACCGGGCCAGAGCGGAGTAGGCTTGATCGAATTGGCAGGTCTTGAGGGAGGCATGGAAAAGTCGAGAAAGCAAGTCGGTTCGCATGCTTGTGTACTCCGCAGCTTGTTCAGCCCACACTTCGGAATCGAGGGCCTGCAGCGCCAGGCTGGCAAAATCCGCGACATGCGAGAAGGAACGCACTTTTTCGAACACTGAAAGGATATGCTGGTAGTACTTCGGGATTCCATCATGGAAGGACTTCACAGACACAAGGTCCAGAAGTGTTGAAGACATCTCATGGAGGTTGCCCAGGGCCTTTCCACTAGCTGTAACGACATATTAGCTAATTGAACGACAAGATCAGTCTGGGTGTCAACTTACAAAGAAGGTAAGCGGCCTTTCGGAAGTAGATGGCTGCGGTATCAAACTCTGCCATGGCCACATACAGGCGACCCTTGACATAAGTTGCCCAGGGCGTGCTTGCTTGAAATCGAAGGAAATCCCAGGCGAGGTCGATGTTATTCTTGGCGATTAGGTCACACTGGATGTAGGTCAGGGCATTGGGATACGCCACTTCGCCCTGCCGGGTGACCCAAGCCAGGACATCCCGGATGCCCAGGGTTAATGTGTAGCTTTGCGGCAAGCCAATGGCTTGACGAGGCTTGATATCCGAGACAAAGAGATCCTCAAGGATAGTTGCACTTCTCTGGTGCTTATTTTGAGACTTATCGTCCTTCAGTGAGAATGTCTGTGAAGAATCCGTACCGCTGCTGACGGACCGATCAGGACATTTGCGGACATTTGAGCTCAGCCAGTACATCATTTCGTATTCACGGAGAAGGTCGATCAGGGTAGAGAACAGGTCAGGAGCATCGAAATTAGAACGATTCCCTTGCTCAATCTCGCCATCCACGAAGACGATCAAAATTAACAGGTCATAGAGAATCTTTCGTGTGAGGAGAATGGTCTCTAATGCACCACTGACAGTAACCCGCGAGCCGAAACAAGTTGACTTAAGTTCCGAATCTTTGCCGTTGAAGCCAAGAGGAGCGGTATTGATAATGGCGTAAAAGGCATCGCTGGACAAGTTTTCGGCATCGAAGTAATCGTTCAAGGACGCGACGAGACTGTCAAAGGTCTTGTTTGAAATCCGATCAAACTCGCAACGCTCTCGGAAAACGTCCATGCGGTCAGTAATCGATGAGAATGGCTCAGTGAAGATCTCAACTTCGAGTGCAGCACGGCATGCGACATCGAGCTCTGCCGAAAACCTTTTCCTGAAATCAGAGGCAACCTTCATCAAGGATGAAGCCTCTTCAAACAGATTGCCAAGCTCGGAGCTCAGGTTACGGTGCCTCCAGCGGTCCACGATCTTGGGAACATCATCACGGAATTCCGAGGGGGCGTTGTTCGCGAGTAACTCGGCAGTATTGCATTCCCGAATCAGGGCGCAGGAATCTGAAAGGAGCAGCCATGGCATCTCACTGTATGAGTCGTAGGCGAGAGAGATAGGTTCGAAACGGCGCTTGTTGAGGTCGTCCGCGACTTGCCAGAACTGACGCCATTTCGCATCTGTGTCCGTTCGATACCGAGTGTAGTCCATCTCATCGTCGGCGTACTTGCGCAGAGAAACAGTGGCTGCAATCGTCGCGCAAAGCCGCTCGGGGAGTGGCACATCTCTTTTCAGTACTCCTGATGAGGCTGCTGACAAGGGCTTGAGAGCCTCCTGGTAGACTGTAAGTGCTGTCTCAAGGACTTCGGGTAGATATCTAGTGGGATGCAAAAGGTATGCAAGCCACTTCTCGGTCGGGTCCACTACATCATCAAGTGTCGGTGCAGGTAGGGGCTCTTGTCGGTGCGTTTCGAATGTCGTTGAAACCCAATTGGTCTCCCAGTCAGTGACCAGTGTCTGTAGATCAAAGTGAAGACTATAAAGTTGATAGAGACCGTGATTTCTCCACAGAACCCACATCTCCATGCCCTTTCCTTCATCCACGGCCTTGACCTGGAAATCGGCAATGCTCCAGAACATGTTACCCGTGGTATCTGGGTCCTCGGGTCGGAACACAGCCTCTGCGAAGAGATCTTCAATGACTAGATCGGATGTCAGGCCTCCCTTGACGGCCCAGAACTTGAAGCGGCCATCCTCGAAAGGGGAATATGTGACCACATAGAACCGATGACTCCCATCCAACGCTCTTTCCGCATTGAACACTCGGATAAACGACGTCTCCGCGGGATTCAAGGTGTACGGCACTGTATCGGGATCCATTGGGCGATCCAGAAGATCCTTTGTCCCAGCCAGCTTATTCGAAGCCAAATTCCAAATCTTCAAGGTGTGATTCAAGCTAATCGCGAAAACGTAGGTCTCGTCGGAGGTGGTAGCGATAGCATTGGCGACATTCGGATCAAGACTGCGTCCATTGTGCTTAAGCGAGGAGGGTGCGTTCCATTTCACAAGGCCGCGGATCGAAGCGCCCCATGTCCGTTCGTCGAAGGTAAGAGGAGTCCAATGCGAACCTAGTGAATTTGAGATTAGTATTTGAGATCAACACACGATGCAACAGGCATTATCTGATCAAGGGGCTTACCGTCATCACCAGCCCTCCGCGTCAAGCGCAGAAGGGCGCCATTGTCGAGGGAGATGAACAACTCTAGCGGGCTGCTCGCGTGTAGTCGATGAGGATAGGAGAAAGACAACGGCGCTGGCACGCACGACTTGCACCAGTCGGACACGTTCTCATCGATTGACTCCGGTCTCCGGAAGAACTCAGGGCGAAGCGAGAGAGTGTGAAGCTGCTTCGAGGCGGTGATCACAAACACGGTGAGGATCTCATGGTCTTCGCGATCGGCTAACGCGACACCGGAGGGAATGATCTGCTCGTTGAAGTTGAGCCGCAGAGTAACGTTGTGTTCGAAGTGCTCCGAACCACCCTTCGTCAAGTCCGCGCATTGAATCTCCAACACCTTGTTGTCATTGACGACTCTCCACAGGAACGTCCTCGGGTAGGTTCTGCGTTTGCGGAAATAAACTGCGCCCTGCGTCGCAAGGTACTGTCTGGCGAATTCGTCTTCATCCTTAGCGATCGGGGGTTCGGGGTCAGAAGCAGAAGCAGAGGAGATTGAGAAGCGCGGGCGACGTGGCGCGCTCTGCTGAGGCGAGACGTTGATATTGGCGACCGTGGCTGGTGAGAATGGCCGGAGGTCAACCCTCGTATCTTTGTAAATTTTGGCCATGATGAAGGGAGCCAGCAGGTCTCAGACTTCCATGGCTGATGGAGAAGGTTGCAGGGCGGAAAGCTGGAGCTCTCAAAAAACAGAGTCTTGGCGCGGGAACTTCTTTGCGCGCCGTCCACCCACTCACACCACAATGTGACGGGACCGAGCTACTTGAAATTTAAGAAGCTTGATTCAAAATTGAAATTAGTGTTCTAGATTGTATCATACACAAATAATGTCTGTTGAGCCTCTAACTACAAGGAAGATGGGAATGCTGGGTAATAAAAAAAAGTTCAGGGCTCGTTAAGTCACTAAGATCGTGTCAACAATAAAGAAAAGTGTGTTCACTCATTCTCCACATCCTTCTCGTTAGGATCGCCGATACCGTCCTCGTTGATAGCAAAGAGACAATCGCCTTCAGGCAGACAAGGGCTATCATAGATTTTGCAAATACGAGTCTCACCACGTCCCTTCTTCAGGCTGAGTCGAGTGGTACTCGCGTGAGCAATGATATTACCACCAATAGGTTTTTTCGGATCGGGATTGAACATGGCACTCGGTCCACCATCAACCTGAGCAACAACCTGGTTGGTAATGACAACCGCGATTCCGAATTCATCAGCGAGACGCTGCAGCGTACGCATGAACTTGGCCAGATGCGTCTGTCGTGACGAGAGCTCACCACGACCGTTGAAATCCGTACGATAGAGCGAGGTTGCTGAGTCAACGATGAGGAGTGAGAATCGGGTCTCGCACATCATCTGTGATGCCTGGTTGAGCAGTTGCAGCTGGTGGTCTGAGTTGTACGCGCGTGCATATGCGACGTTGTCGAGGACTTCTTCTCCGACAAGGCCGTACCTCTGAGCGACTGCCAGGAGACGAACGGGTCGGAAGGTTCCCTCGGTGTCGATATACAGACACTTTCCTTCACCTCCGCCCATGTCGAAAGGAAGTTGACAGGTCACGGCGAGAGTGTGACAAATTTGACTCTTTCCCGTTCTAAATTCTCCAAATATCTCAGTGATTGAGCCGGTTTCAACGCCACCTCCGAGCAGGGTGTCGAGGCGCTTTGATCCGGTGGTGACCGATATGAGCTCACTTCGTCGGGCATGCATTTCAGTGGCCGTTGTGAAGCCCATAGGCACGAGTTTCGCAGCTGTTCAGAATAGTCATGTTAGCCTTATTTGTACTTCGGATTGCATGGCATTGCCACAGACGAAGACTCACCCTCGACCAAGACCTTGGTCGCCTTTTGCTCAGAGATGCCTTTGATCTGCTCCAGCAGACGTTTTGGTCTGATACAATCCATCATGTCAGTCCTTATCCATCTAAAGGGGGTTCGGCGGGTTTTGAGTCGCAGTAGCAGACAAGGATGTATGGCGGGACACATACGTATACGCAATCGACTCAACAGTGTTGTACCCAGCATCAACAAATAGCTTGATATCTCTAGCCGTCAAGCCCACAAGTCCCTATTGCATCCATCCAGATCAGCTTGACGCCAATTGACTAAACAGAATGTCTCCAGCGGGATTACTCACCTCTAGTGCGGATAGAGGGGTAGGCGCACCGGGGCCAGGCAGCCCACTCTCGTCCATCTCCTGAGTCTCCATGTTGTCGACTGTCATTTTCGGGGGTCTAGAAGTCGCTTCTCGGATTGTAGCAGCCGTATGCACGTCTCAATCGGATGTGGGATGGTCGATCAACACGAAAACACGCGTCCGATCTTGAGGTGTGGTTGGTCGCGCAATGGCAAGATCCTCTGTTCAACAGTGGAGGAAAAACCAACCTAGATTGAAGATGAGTCACCAGGCAGCCTCTGCTGATAAAATGGAATGTTTGTGGCGAAAGCCGGATTCTCTTAGCAAGTCAGTATTCGCCATTTTTGGACGCGTCGAGGCCGTCGCGCGGTCACGTGCATGTGTTCGTCTTTCCTATTTGGGCCCAGGCAGCAACATCCAAATACAGTATAATTTGTTCAGGGATTTTATTCCATGACATCTACATCATAACTTTGGTTACCATCGGATTTCTTTGGTCGTAAGGGGTAGAATATCTACACCTGGTCGAAGATAAAGGGAAACAGTATTTGCCATGAATGAGTTTCAGTTCCATAATGTGGCTGGGCTCCAACAGTGGCAATTAATATCAAATGCAAACAGTAAGCAAGGGCTTGATCGCAATAGCGAGTTTTGCTTTCAGCAACCTCGGGGAATCACAGCCTCCATGTCACCTCCTGGTACCATCCACTTCATCCAACTCGAAAACCAAAGCACAGCTGACAATCAGAAACTATACTATGAATTCATCGCCAGGGCCCAAGTAAAGATTTCCGAAGGCTGTGTCTCTTTTCTCGCAAAGTCGGGTTGAAAGTCGGGTTGAATTGAAGTTCATCGCTGGGCATTTTCATATGGATTCTCTCGTTGAAGATCCCACTCACCTTGCGTCTGAACTCCTCCGACGACCGCCTTCGAAGAAGTCCTGTGTAAAAGATTGGGTTAGTACCTGGAAACTACATTCTACTTTGGCCAGGGAGGACATTACTACTGGTCATCCGTGAGGCCTGCTGTTCGACCGGTGCGGAAGCACTAGTGTCATTGCCAGCTGAATCCAACTCCGACTCGTCAAGGTCGTTGAGGCTGGTGCAAGTTTTGATGTCAGCCAGTTTGCTTGCACGGACGACTCGGGTATGGAAGCTGGCTCGTCTGTCGGTGGAGGTCACAATATTGCTGCGGCGGTTGAATGTGCTTGGTGAACTGGGGAATGTGGATGTCATCAAAGGGGGGTACACTCCTTCGGGTCGTTGTGGCTTGTAGGTGTAGCGGATTTCTTTGAAGATGTCTGCATCGGAGAGAAGTGGGGTTGGGGCGAATGGTGGCAAAGATGCGCGAGACGCCGCAATATTCTCGAGGTTTGGTGGTGCCAATGGCATTTCTGGTTGGATCAGAGGTGGGTTTAGGTTTGGGTTGGAGGAGAGACTTCTGAAAGACGAGCAGCTTCGAATGCTGTTGGGAGTCCCGGGTTGACAAGGTGTTTGGGCTGGGGTATTGTTGTTGGAAACCCAGATTCCTTCGACTTCGACTCCTCTCTCGAGGGCTCTGGCACCAAAGGGGACGTCGTCCTTTACCAGCATGGGATACTGCTCAACATCCTCCAGTTTCTGACCAACCTCGAGTTCTGCAAACCTGCGGGTCCTCCATCTCTGGAACATCAAGACACAAGTCGCCGCAATCAGCACGAGCGCCTAATGTATCTGTCAGTGCGCCTGCTTCAAATCATAGCACGACTTCTCGCACGATCAAGAATCCCAAAACCTGTGAAGTGAAGTTGTTAGTGCGTGACTCCAATGATTTTCTTTCTTGAAGCCAAGGCGTATTCGCACCAAGGTCAACTTTTCCCACAGCGCCCAGTCAACCCAGAATGCCATGTTCATATTTTGATGTTGAACGTTTCAGCCGATCTAGCGATTGATCTGATAGGAAGCAAAGTAAAGCAGGGAAAGATATTGATTGATTTGAATGATTGAATGAGAGAATGGGAGGTTGGGGGCTCGTGGGGATAACAAAAAGTGCATGGGCAACTGTGTTCACAGACTCATTGAGCCGGGAGGGAAAGAGCAATGCTGGCCACTTCTGGCAACGGTCACATTGATCATGCCGGACGCAAAAGATCACTGGGAGATTACCTCTTTGGAAAACTCTTATACTACTTGCCCAGCAGTCTCATTTGGGCACGATGAATTCACTCATTTGTTCCGTTAACTGTCCAGAGTTACAGGCGTCCTGACGATCGGTGACCAGACTCCTTGGTACAGCTCATCCTCACAGGTCAGCTAAATGTAGGATCACACTAGAATGTAGTCTTCGTGACTGACATTATGTGCAGGGTTTGAGAGCATGACGTGATCTGGAAAAGGAAAAAAGAGTGTTGAGGAACATTAAAGAGAGCCCTCAAGCATATATACCGTAGGTATTCATCTGACCTGCGGGGGATCATCGTGATTGATTAAAATATACTCTCCAGGAATTATGAGGATTTTGGGCTAAAAAAAAGCTGTAACCCAGTGTTGATGATTGGTGGACGGTGAAATTGGCAAAAAGAAACTCTCCCTCGGGGAATCGAACCCCGGTCTCCCGCGCTTATCGGTATTAATGACAAGCGGAAATCATGACCACTAGACCAAGGAAGATACGATAGTCGAGTTGCTGCTCGACCACTTGGGTGGTTGATGGAATATGATGACAGTTCTTGCTCTATGAACCACAATTCAAACTCCCAAATTTGCCACTTAACAGGTTTTGGTCCCGATCTCGATGAGCTCACACTCGCAAATAAGGTTGAAAAAGCGTTCAGGTTATTTTTTAGTTATTGTTGAACATAGGTCGTTTCTCCAGTATTTTAATTATTTTCTCTTTACGTTAGGAAAGTTGAATTTAGTGCTGCAGAGGTATATATTAGGATCAGGGTGTGTCATGAAAAGCAGGCAATGTTTCCCTCCAAATATTAGTCAAAAAAAAAAACGTCAGTATTGAAATTGCAAATGTCATCAAGTCGCTCAAAGATGAATACACAATCATAATATTTAAACATAATTCGTTAATACGTCTCATAACTCCGCCAAGATGTTCATTGGTGTGCTCGCGTGCAGCCGGGTGGTATACCCCGCGACCGTAACCGAGAATTCCGCCTGCAGCGTATTCAAATGCCGCAGAGTATGAGTAGAAAAGGTAGGTGTAATATGACCCGTCGCAGCAACGTCTTTCTCGCCTGCTTTCAGACCGCTTGCGTGCAGAGTAAGCTGAAGCATTTTGCCGAGATTTAGAGTCTGGCTCTTGTCGGTCAAGGGAATCATCAACGGGAAAGCGTCAAGTCTCCTGAAAGCCTCTTCAAGGCCGAGATCGACAAGAGAGCAATGAATACTGGATGGTGAGTGAACTGAAGTTCCTGCGGTCACTCTCGTCTCGGATCGTATGACAAACTTGGCCGAGTTGAAGAGGACTTTCAGCTCGATACCCCGTAAAGCGTTGCTGGTCTGCGGTAGGAGCTCAAATTTCAGCTTATATGGGATATTTGATAGGTTACCAAGTTGGACGGTAGCTGGTGCGTAGACTTCGACTTTATAGTGAAGCTCTGGAGCGCTGTTTGATGGGTGTATGAAAAATTCTCTTGTTCTTCGCACGAACGAGCGTTCTTCATGGTGTACCACTGACAGCAACTGTTGGCCTCGAATACTTCGGTTCAAGGTCCTTCGTTGCCTGCCAAATCCAGTGAAAATAGTGTCTGGACTGTGTCGCACTTGAACGGGACATGTTGAAGTGTAGACCTTTTGCTCGCCTCTCTCGACGTATCGCATCTCGGCTTCGAGATAATACTCCACCCAGCACGCTGATGAGGAGCTTCCAACAGAACAAAATGTTCCTGGCAAGCGAGAGCTGGCGATTTCCTCCCAACTCGGGAGCAGATCACCGTTGAATTGAAACTCCGAGTCCTGGGAGTAGGGTGACATCCTGATTTCGAAAGGCCAATAGACAGAGTCATTGTTATCTGGTATATGAAGAGGGCCCTGGAACAAGGTATGTTGCTCAGGGAGTAGAAGCTGCTTATAGATAGGCCCCTCCTGGTGTCTATCGTAGGGCGCTCCCGATCCCTTTGTGACCTGGGTCTTGACTCGTCCCCTCAAAGCCAGCTTGACGGTAGCTTCGGATGTGACAGTCGGTGCATGGCGAGAGACAATGCCAATGACCGCATCACCAGCGATGTAGCTCCATCCCTGTGGTGCAGCAAGACTGATTTTCAGGGTGCAGTTGCCACGGTTCATAGTGGGCTTGCTGCTGTTCATCTTGAACGGTAAGCAAAATTGCCCAGTATAGATCAACTAGATGAGGATGCACGGACGATCATGGACAAAATGGGATAAGGAAAAGGAAGGTTTGAAGGGGGGCGAAGCAAAGGTTTTCTTCGTACCCCGGACTACGAGGATCTAGATTGACCAAAATAGCCGACCCACGCGAGCTGGGCACGGCCCCGTGCGGATGCGGCCAAAGCTCTCGCCACTATACTTTCAAGGTTCGTATTTGCCTCCAATACCGCCCAGACACCTTATCTGGCTCTGACCCCGCTCACTCTGGTTCTGATTCGGGCTCTGATTCGATGTATGGTAAACCCCGACCAAACAAAATCCAAATGGGTTGGTAATTGTCAATCAGCTTAGCGAACGCATTGGACTCTCGCGGTAAGTTTTGGATCTGCCCCCAAACCTATGAGACACTGTATAATCATAAATTCGCCTACATCGACGGACAGAAACAACGTGGAAACCCCGTTGTGGTCCCTGGAATCCACTTATACTTTCCGCTCATAGTGAAACGTCTGACCGAGAGGCGGAGACCTGATTTGGCTCCCCAGTCTAGAGGGGTCTTGCTCTTTCAATCCTTTTATGTCAGGACGGATGCCATCGGAATTTAAAAGGGCGATAGTGGTTTGGGCCCTGTAGCCACAAGTACAATGGAGTTTGGCCAAACACATCGCACGCGTTTGGATCCGCGCCTCTCGCCAGGAGCAAATCGATTGTAGAGTTGCAAAAGAGAAATGACGCCTGATGCAGTACAGTGCGACCGAGAGAGTCTCGAGAGTCAATACTGGAGCCCCTATCAAGAAAAAATTCGACTAATCTTTCGCATCGTCGGTATAAACCACGCCCGGGTGGTAAGCCTAGATAGCAACCATGTGCTACTGAAGTTGAGCTGTTATCACGGAGTCCGGCCTGATAATTATCGAGCACCGTGGGAGGTAACACAGGAACCCCGGCGCTATTCAGGGCTTGGAGAATGAGATCGTCATTCCCAATACGTGCAAAATCCTCTCTAGCGCCTGCGTTTAGCAAAATTATTGTTGCCTCATGACTCCCATTCGATAAGGCATGACATAGAGCGGTCTTCCCATCCAAGTCCACGAAATCTATCCAAGCTCCCCTCTCAAGGAGTAGTGAGATGACCCCACTGCGATTATTCATTGCTGCGAGGCGAAGTGGCACATCCCCGTTCGGATCGATAAAGTTTGGGTCCACGCCGCGATCCAGCAAGAGCCTGACAATATCCTCATGGCCCATCATCGCAGCAACACACAATGGCGTATGGCAATTTGAGCAGTAAGGGACGATTGTTTGTAAGCTAGGGAAACTTCCGTAAATAAGGATATCTCTCCGCGGATTACGTAAAGAGAATGTCCCGTATTCCCCAGATATAACCCTTAGGAACTCCTCTCGTGGCTTTTTGGGAGGATATCGGGCCTGTTCATCGAGACCTTCCGGATTAACACCGGAATCGAGCAATATACGGACCACATCTTCATGGCCAATAAGTGTGGCGATAAATAAAGGCATGAAGTCGTAGATGCTCGTCCGGTAGGGGTCCGCACCTCGATCAATCAAGAGTCTGACAGTTGCAGCGTGGCCCTTACCTGCGGCTGCATAGAGTGGACTTCTACACCCATTCGGTTCGGCAAAGTTGACATCGAACCCCCAATCCAGCAAAACCTTGACACAGTCGTTACTGCCCTGAGAAACCGCTGAATCCAATAAGTAGTCACTGGATTTGAATCCACGTTCAAGCATGAGCGCGAGAATAGAATTGCGACCTTTAGCCACGGCCAAGCTGACCAGTTTTGCCCCACTATCAACCAAAGATGCTGGTTTGGCCTGACTGTCTATTATAATTCTGGCCACTTGGTCATGACCACCACGTACGGCGTTGGAAAGTGCAGCGCCGTGAAGATTTTCAGGGTTTCCATCGGAAGTGGTAGGGACGTAGTCAAGTAAGAACAGCACAACATCTTTACGCCCATATAAAGCGGCCTCATTCAAAGGCATTCCACCATCACTATCGATGTAGTCGAATGGATCCTGCCCTTGGTCGATGAATTTGCGAACAGCCCCGAGCTGGCCATGTTGGGCAGCAAGTATTAAGCCGTTCCCCTCATTATCCTTGATGTCACGGACATAGACGTGAAAATTAATAACTTCGTAACAGCGGCGGCAAACCTGGGTCAAAGCATTGATATCACCCAGGTTTTTGAGCTGAGAAGCTATGATCAACAGGAGTTCATTAGGCAGAGCAAGAAGGGGCATGATCTGCGGGGTCGAATGACAGGGATGAGATACCAGAGCCCCAGGGCCAGATATTGACGTGCGGGTTTGGGGGCGGGGGGGGGGGGGGGGGGAAACCAGAACACAAGGGACAGGGGACAATCTGATGGAGGGTGGAAACACAAGCAAGGTTGATCGCTGAAAGTCATGTTTGTGGCCAGTCCGGGTGTTAGTTCCCGTCCTAACCCGAACGGTCAGGCTGGTCCAAAAATGGGCGGACCCACCGAGGGTGTTGGATCTTCGTGAACGCGTCAACTCCACCCCATTGAGATGGCAAGCTCTAAGTTTTTGTATGAGTCGGCAATTTGAAACTAGCGGCGATCATCAGGGGAGTAGAAAGATCGTCCTTATCGTTGGGATCGTCGTCTCAGGGATCAAAAGAGGGATAACGTGTACGATGGTGCAACTGCCGAATTTTTGATTGGTGAAAGTATCCTTTCTAGGTTCGTGAGCTCCTTAGTTTTGAGGATCGCTGTTGCCGAAACTATCGAGCTTAGTTTATTGCTTAGCAGGTGCTGTTGACTGATAAGGTGCTTTATGGGTCCGGACAGGGTCTGGACAGGGTCTTTTCGGGATCCGCTCGTCCAGAGTGATTTCACATGCAATGTGATAGAAATCTGGACATTTGGGCAGGATGTCATAGAGGCACACAATTCCATCACGATCACGCCGAGTAGAGAATCAGCTCAATGAATGTCCGTATACGGACATTCTCGGTTGTCAAGATACCAATGCCTCATACCCCCATATGTAGGAAGATTACGGGATAAGCATGCCCAGGTGGTTTTCCCAGCCAGAGTTATCCCCCACTATCGACATATCCTGGCAGAAAGCTGGCGTAGGCTTCAATCTCCTGTGCCCAGTAGAAACTTCCGGGGAACACATCGGCATCCACATTCTTCGGCACAATGTCTATTCCGACCACTCCGAGTCCATGAGACCCGGGAGGCTTCTCGCGACACCTGCACTCCCTGTCGCAGAACGAACCATGTCGCAACATCCTCCTCGCCCCTCCCCCTCGCTTGACGCAATTCTCGCGATGATCATTGAAAGAATACCACTGAGATATTCTCCGTTTAGGATCATAATTCTGCCCTCGATCACGCCTTGCACACATGTCTGAGGCACTTGATTGCGTAATGCTTTCTTTACATGATTATGCTGATGGTGCCTTATTGTCTAACCTTAATTCATGGCACAGTTCTCCCGGGTTATATCGTAGTTGGAGGTTTTGTACCTGGTGTTTAACTTTGAGCATCGCTTAATCGAGAACCGCTGAGTTCTGATGCCAATGAAAGTCTCACGTTCCATTCGCTCGTGAAAGCGTTATTTGATCCAGCTCAAAAATAGATAAACCATTCCCAGACAAGGTATCGCAGCCATCGCACCAAAGATAATGTCGTGACGTAAGTTCGGGCGCAAATTCAGAGATCTCTTCTCCAGACGTGTTTCAAGCCAATCTATGGAATGCTGGACCCTGAAAACACAAGTGCTTTACCGGGACAGACGGAGCATACTGTGGTGTACATGTGGTATCCGACCTCCACTTCCAGGAAGAGCGGGCCACGTATTCATGATGTACATCGAGACATGATATTTTCAGGAGATCTTAGAGTGGATGGTGGTACGTCAAACGAGAGTGAGGAATGACAGAGAAAGGGGGAAAAGGGGAGGATGAGGTATCTACGCAGTACCTCGCGTCTCTGATTTTCATGTTGGGGTCAGTGACTGACCATACAGATCGTCCAGATCATTGATCTCCCACACATCCCTCAATGTCCGCAGTTGGAAGATATACACCATAAAGTATGCAGATCGTAAATTTCAACAATCAATAATTAAGAAAATGAAAAAGCTCGGTATATGGATATCCTATCTTTGAACCTAACCTTGGTTGAGGACCGTCTGGACTCTTCCGCTGAGTGTCGGCGAGGCGATGACACGCGTAGGTAGATAGTCTGGCTTGCGAAAGAGGTTCACAGAATTCAGACACGTCCACATGAGCTGAACGGCTGCCGTTACTCGCTGGGAAAAAAGCCGCGACAGTCTCAACTCTTGCGAGTGCTGGATGGTCCACCCCATCCACAGGCGGGAGACTCCCGACGGGGCCAGTACCCACTGTACCCGCTTTTTCCAGATGTGCATAGTTCGGATTTTGGAAAAAAAGATTTTAATAAAGGACTGAACGGAGCTATAAATGTAAGGCAGGATGTCCTAGGTTCTTCATTCCCATCCGACACGAAACAATGGCAATCGTCGGCTGGTTTGATCGGCTTCGTGGCCAGGCCACATGGAACAATGGGAATGCGCAAGACCCTCCTTCCCTTAAATACCCTGAATCTACCGTCATCTCTGCCTCTGGTACCGGTTTTCCTGCTTCTCCTACTTCAACTGCCTCGACTGCTTCAACTGTGGTTGGTACTCCGACCGACAACGAAAAGGCCATGACTTTGGAGAAACTTCCTCAAGAGTTCGGTCGGCTGGGTTCTTGGAGAGGTGCCTTGATCTTGCTGGTCACGTCGGGCTCCCAATTCCTGGATAATGTTTTCATGACCAGTTCTAATATGGCGTTGGCATCGATCCAAGAGGAGTTTGATGTGTCGACTACGAACCTGCAATGGATGATTTCTGCATACACCTTGACCTTTGGAGGTTTCCTTCTTTTGGCTGGAGCTTTGTCCGATCGGTAAGAATATTGCTTTGAATTCGATTGAATGAGTGCTGACACTGATTTTAGCCACGGGCGAAAGCTGATTCTCTGCCTTGGTCTACTATGGCTTTCCATCTGGACATTGGCCATTGGCTTCGGCCAGTCATTCATTCAGCTCACGGTCTTTCGTGGTATCCAGGGCGTTGGAGCTGCCATGACAGTCCCTTCCGCTATTGGAATTATCAGTTCCTACTTCACTGGTACTGATCGCACTCGCGGTCTGTCGATCTATGCCGCCTCAGGGACATTGGGCTTCTGCGCCGGTCTTATCCTGGGTGGCTTCCTTACCACTTCCTTGGGCTGGAGATACATCTACTACATTATCGTCATTATGACTGGTGCACTATGCACCCTGGGGCTGATTATTCTGCCCAGTGACCGAGCACCCAAGGCTGAGCAGCCTAAAATGGATTACTGCGGTGCAGTTCTATCAACTGTTGGCCTGATCCTTCTTCAATTTGTTCTTTCCAGCGGCAGTGTTTACGGCTGGGACAAACCGTTCATTATCGTGATCCTTATTTTGTCAATTGCCCTTCTCGTCGCATTCGTTCTGCTTGAGAAGTATACCGGCAACCCTCTCATGCCATTGTCCCTGTGGAAACTTCCCAACTTCGCAGGCCTCTGGATCGCAGGCTTCACCTGCTATGGAAGTTACCAGAACGTCATTTATTACATTGTATTGATAGCGCAGGAAGTGGACAAGCTTTCTGCAGGCGAAACCGCCCTTCGCTTCTTGCCCATGGGAGTCATTGGCTTCATCGCTTCCATGGGAACAGGCAAGCTGCTCGAATACACGAACGGGAAATACACACTTCTCATCGGCCTGGTGCTTACAGTATTGGCACCGATCCCGAGCGCCCTGACCGTGATCGGAACGACTAACTTCTGGGTAAACAATCTTGCAACCTCACTCATCAGTATTTCCGCGGTTTCCTTCATCTTTGTTACGACCAGCACAACCATCCTGACCAGTGTCCCTGTCGAAGTCAAGAGCCTGTGCGGCGGAATGCTTAACACTGCATTCCAAATTGGTTCAGGTGTCGCGCTGGCTATTTCTGCTGCCACCACAGAAGCAGTCGACATCAAGAAAGGGCACGAGCTCGACCAACAATACTCAACGGGTCTCTGGTGCTCCTCGGGCCTTGCAGGACTCGGTCTCATAATTGGCTGCTTCGCCGTCCGAAGAAGGGGAATTGGTCCGAAAGATCGAGCGGAAGGAGACGATGTGGCAATTTGATTTGATTTATCTTTCTGCATATTTTATATTTATACAGCGTTCTCCATAGGGATAGAAGACTATGGATGCACAGGGTACATAATGATGGGATGATATCCGTTTTCGGCCCAAGTTCACACTCGTAAATGATTCACCATGGTATCCCGGCTTAGACCATACAATTTACAATTTGCCATTCCAATGTGAAGACATCGAAAAAACTCTTCCCAGTCCTTACCTGATGCCGTTAAGCGCCCGCAGTGGAGATAAAATAAGGAAAACTTGACCCGCTCTGATAAGGTTGCCCACGGCCCAATCTTAGTTCCCTCAATCGCCCTATGCTCCTCTGATCTCAATCAAGTGCTGCAAATTGTTTTTTGCAGGTGGCAAACAATGTTTCACATCACATATCAGATATGCCGATCCACCGACCACTCCAGCTGGCATGTCGTGACTCCACTCGGCCCGTGTTTCCACTTCTCGGCCCGCTTCAAAAAAAGCCTTGCGGTAGGTTTGCCGAGCAAAATTGGCCACTGCAAGATTCAATTTCTGAGCGTCGACTGTGTAGGTCGCACAGATTGAGTTTTCAGAATTTTGGCCGCGTTGGCAAAGCGATTCAAAAGTTCTGCAAATAGATGGGCTTCGGCGAACCGCTGGTCGGTGTGATCCCGGGAAGACTCACGAACCCGAAACAGGGAGTCTCGAAGGTCTTCCCCTGGCAGATACATGACTATTGCATTCCCCTGCCACGTACGTCCCACATAAAGTACCAAAAAAATATTTCTGGGAGGATCTGCCCGGAAGGGCAGTTCCGGACTACCTGCCCCTTGTAGATCATTGAAATTCATCCATTCTATTCGTTTTGCTCCCCTGCAGCCAGAGGTTCTGCCTGCTGCCCAATTTTATCTGCTATTTCCGCGCGAATATTGACTGTGACTAGACGGTAGCGGTCTACCTTATGACTGGGTTCCAATCCGCTAATTTATTTTCACCTCGTATGGTCGAGAACAGGTCTGTAGCGAACGGACCTGTGTCACTTGGTTAAAATCGCGATTTGTTGGACCAATGGCGTTGCGACATTCAGTATGGTCTGATTTTCGGGGCATGTTTCGGTTCCATGGTTCGTGGTCGAGCAAAATAAACGGTTGCTATCGCGTTTGGATGGCATACGCATTAGCTTGTTGGGAAATGGGCTAACATCACAAGAATTACGGTCGCCACTACGGTCGCCTTGGTAATAGTTTGACTCTGGAATTGTAGTCACTGAATGTCATTTGAGTTGTACATTAGGTTTAAGCCTGGAAACGTATAGAAAACAACAATGAAAAGAATGAATTGTGATATGCCCATCAAAGGGCGCACATGGAAAGAAAAAGTAGACAGCTTGATAGGCATCGAGATTTAAACCGAAAGCAAAAGTGAAAGTGGAAAAGGAAATGGATTTCAATAGCTTCAAATATCACCAGAAATATCAGAGATGCAGAAGTTAATAGGTGAACAAGAATTAATGTTCGAACCAACAACAGTGTAGAGTAGCTTCGGTTCCTCGAGATACGCGAGAGTGAAAGGCTGGGTAGTGCTGTCACTAGAGACAACAACCAGGGAAGGGTCTTGTTTCTCCCGGCATCATTACTTAGCACACAAAAGTAAAGCGCGCAGGAGGTACCATCAAGGGTCTACCAAGGGTCTGTGCCTCGTGAAGAATGCTGATGGAACTGGCCTCAAGAAAGGAGAGATACTCGGCCTTGCCGGGAATTTTCGGCGCTCTTAACAAGGCGAAGATGCGAGATATCAGTCTGGGTTATCTCGTCAGGAAAACGACGGGGAAATTACGAGCGCTGTCACCGACCCACACACTAGTCGGAGAGTGGCGCTAGGTCGTGGCGCTGCGTCGTGGCTTGACCCGAAACGAATCGGAAGCCCGAGGTCTACAGGCTTAGAATTGGCTTATCTGAAGGAAGGGTTCGCGAGAGACCGGAAAAGTCCGGATACCCCTCTTATCAATATAATAAGATCCGAGAATATTTTTGTTTTCTCCGAGCTAGATCCAGGGACCATTCGCTGTCCTTGGTATGTTACTCTATTTAAACCGATCCTCTTTGCAGGGTTTGAGCGCCTATGGGCCCTTATAGCGTGGACTCCAAGAATTTCGATCTTTGGGTGATGCTTGGAACCTATATCAGGAAGGGTATTCTGGCCCTGGCTGAAATCTACTCTCATAGTTCTATCGCCGCTCTTAGTCTCAAGAATGGTACATGATAGCTTGATCACAAAGAAAAGGTAAGGGCTCTTAATCCTCCGAGAGGAAATCAGGATGCTTCTACTGGTCGGAGAGGATACCCGGTATCGGGTTTGGACGGACATGCCGTCACGCTGCAATTACTCAGTTTTTACGGAACCAGGAACCAGGAACCAGGAACCAAAGACTAATGGATACTTGGAGCTTCCAAAGGCTTTTAGAGCCATCGAATGTCTCTTTTTGTCACAAAATCAAGGCTTATAGCAATCAGTAGAGTAGTCCGGTATTTCCTTTCTAATCCTATTCTTTTTCAGGCCACAAGCTTCCAATTAACTATTTCATGCGCCGTTTCTATTACTTTCTTCGTTTAGGATCAATGCTTGATGATTTGCTATCACTTGCTCATTGGAAAACATTTTCGAGTCTTGTTAGCGCCCGACTTGCTCCTTTGCACAATTGCATTTTGAACGAGCTAAAACTGATCCAGGTTACGAGGGATAGGTTTCGGTCGGCTATCCTGACTGTTACCTCAATGTGGATATGAAGCTCAAGTGACTCAAGCCAATCACGAGAAACTTGTCACCGCCATTGGCTGTCACAAAATCGGAATTGACGTGGCCACCTCCCCATCCCCACCACAGCTTACTTGGGTGATTCTTGATAAGGTCAGCACGGCACTTCGCTGGAACTGTTTGTGTGGGATAAGCCCCTTTAGTTCGTTTTTTTAGGTTTGCGCTTGTTTAATAAGTTCACGTAGGGTACTAAGTGAAATAATAGATGTCAAGCTGAGCAGCATTTGGGATTAACAAAGAGATGAATGAGAAGAGGCTGCTTTGAATGAAGTCGTTGAACGGGATGACAAACGCGGATGCTCAGGACACCGCAGAAGCGGTATGCTGTCGAACAATCGCTTACTAGCGTAAGTTGTCCTATAGCTCAAATTAAGACTAGGCCCCACCCCGCGGGATCTATTCCCATACTAGATGGCACATTCCTTGATTGTACAGTTCATACGGATTGTACTATAGTTTTAGTGTTTGAATCAGAGCAGCCTTCCGATTACACAGCCCCGAGGCAGAACATAGCCGCTCTTTGACAAAGAAAGGGGCAATCCCGCAATCCCTTACCATAACTGTCTGATGTATGATTGCAACTTGATATGCTACAAGTTGCATCTCTCAATCATCACCAATTGGAACTGAATTGATTAAAAACTTGCGGAAAGTCTATCATATTATTGCATAGAAAAGAACTCAAACAAGGTGACCTTTGGTAATCCGTTTAAAATGAAAGAAGACAGTAGGAAGGTTCATAGCTCAAAGTCATCATATATAAATGTCGAAAGTGTCGATTAGTTCAGTCCCAAGACCAACGGGAGAATCGCGGCATTCACAACCTGGATAGCGAGCGGACCGATCGCAATACTAGCAGTCGAGTATTCACCCGGCTTAATTTGCCAGCCCCAGGGAGTGGCAAGAGCCATGACAACCATCGCTAAAAAGCGAGTTAGCCAGGAAAATGGCGTCACAGATGAGAAAAGAACATACCAGCAGTGAGAAATAAGCAAATAGCCCAAGTATACTTGAACTTCTTGACCATCCTATCCAGACCAATGAAGAAACCACCTGGACCGGGCTCCTTGGCAGTCGATGACCACTCAATATTAATGCTAAACGCGTGGCACAAAATAGCCTTGGCGCAGTTCAGACTAATACCGCCGAAGTAGATGATCAGGAATGGAAGCCACATCACGGATTGGAGAAGGGCTTTGTAAAAGACCTTCTCCTTCAGCTGATGGCGGGCCATACTAAATGCGACCGATCCGACACCATTGAAGATGACAACCAAGGAGATCCATATACCCCATGATCGCAGATAGATGTGGTCGATCTGGGAATTGAAGAGACCGACAATAACATAGTTGACTGTAGCCAGAAGCATACCAGAGCCAATTGCATAGTCTGTCACTGTTAGACTAGAAGGCTGTGAAGAAGATGGGTAGGGGACTTACAGGTGAAGATATATGCAATGATGGTCACCTTACTGGTGACAGGCATGTTACTCCACAGGAAGCGAAGGAAGAGTCTTGTCACCGGGCCCTTGTACGGCCATTTGTAGCTAGGCCATGTATTAGCAGGGGAAATGTTTCAGAAATCACAAGAATACTCACAACGGGTGGAAGACGAGCTCGTTACAGCCGTAGGCATACTTTTCCCAACGCGTCAACTCATCATACAGGGTGAGCGACACGCCCTCTTTGAAATCGCGATTGTGGTATGTAGCCAGACGAACAGTCATGCCCCGCATCTGCAGTCGAAGACTGATATCAAAATCCTCGGAGACATGTGCATCAGACCACCACTTTGTCTCCCCATCTGAAGGATCCACAAATTGAATGCTCTGGATGGCCTTCCACCGGAGGAAGGCGTTGTGGCCCACGAAGGGAGATACATCGCCACTGCCAACGCCATACTTAATAGCCGTATAGACAACATCTGTAAAATAAGCAACTGTATTTGATGTGTGAGTTAGTTGTTCAGACCGAGGGTTAGAAGGGATGACGTACTGCCGTTCTCGAACATATTGTGGACCACTTGCATGACGCCGGAGCCATGTTGAATAATTGCGACCTCGGGACTCTCGTGCATTTCCAATGCTCCATAAAGCAGGCAGTCGATCGGGACTCGGGTATCGCAGTCAATGCTTATAATTGTTAGAAATTATCAAGGATAATTAGGAGAGGAAAACATACATGAGAATGTGTTCACCAATGCGAATATTTCCTTCAGCCCCTGCAGAAAATTAGCAAGCTTTTTCAGTGAGGAGCATCGAACAAAATTACTGACAAGTGCGACCTTCATCTTCAGCCAGCATGTTAGTGAGAGCCTGCTTGTAAATCCGATCATCATCCTCGACAACCAAGTCGTCATTCGTACATCCGCGCTGCTGACACTCCAGTTCAGTCAAGCGAACCATTTCATCCTCCACGCGATTCGAGAAAGCAAGACCGTAGTTCATGTTACTGGCCTTCTTGAACTTTCCCTTACGCTCAAAGCCAATCTTGTTCGCGATAGCCTGGGGGCTGGTGGCGTCTTCTTCCTCAACTTCGGTGGTTTCGGCGACCGGCTTTGACTTTCGGAAACAATCGAAACGGCCACTCTTTTTCTTCTGAGAAGACTTCTTGTTGGGCAGGCGGGCCGTGTAGCCGATTCCGTTCTCACGGTAGTACTGCCTGCGGGCTTCGGCGAGCTCAGGCTGGATACACTGCATACCATCATCATTGATGAAAACGGATGCGGTACCTCCTTGCTCCTCGTAGAACTGGACGGCGGCAAGGACACTCATCATAGTCGGGACGATGACACTATGACTAGTAAGCTTTCTGCTCCAGAAAAGGGCATAGTTCACGTACCCCTTCAGACCCTCCTTGTACACGGGCATTTGGATGGTGATGTGGGGTAGTTCATAGTCACGATGGAACTTGGGGTTTGGCTTGATAGCTATGGGGGATTAATAATTTTGATTCGAAGATGTAAATGCGAAGGGAACGAACCTGAGTGGAATTTGGAGTTCTTCAAGCAGAAGCTGGCTGGGAGGAATAGCTGAAAGGCGCTGGTGACTATCACAATGAAGAAAAACTAACTCATGTTAGTGAAATCCACAAGATTCATCAAGCAGACTTACCAAAGAAAACAGCGCAAGCGGTGGAATGGTCACAACCTGTGTCGGATTAATACCACGATGCAACATTTTAAAAGAGGCAACGGAACAAACCAATGCAAATCGAATATAACCTCCATCCCAGGCGTACTCATTGATCAACTGTAGAGAGGTTAGTTTGAAGCCAAACAAAATGAGAAAGAATTCTTCCGCGCTCACCCGAGACACACCAAGCGCCTGGGTCAGGATCACCAGCATGATAGCAAAGCTGATCTTGAATGCGTGGATTCGGTGAGCTGGCCTGGGAGCCAAGTTGCCCTCCAGGTCAACTGGAGTTTCGTCCTCCTCGGTACCCTCTTCCAAGGCCACAGCCTTACTATAGACCTCATGCTTTTCGTCAAGTGCTCCACGAATAGGAAGCACGGTGCTGTTGGCCTTGGTCGAGGTCTGCGCGTCGAGGTCAAAATCCAGCGGTGAAGAGCGACCGGAAATGCGTGGAGTAGTAGCGTTGGAGACACGAGGACCCTGCAGGACGAGGAAAACATGTTAATTACTGGTGTCAATAATTAAGTCCAGGAAAATGTAAGCCCTAACCTTTCTGCCAAGCTGTCGCTCAACATCAAACGCCACGTTGAGGATTGCGCCAGAGTCGTGGGACCAGACCAGAACGATCTTTTCTTGCACAATAATGCAAGCTCGGGCAAAATGAACCAACTCGGAATTGACATCGTTCAAACAATAGACAATAGGGATGCGAGCACTGGTGCTTTCCACGATCAAACTTTTCTGACCAGGCACAATGGAATCAATCAGAGCGGATGTAAATCGAGAGGACATGGCAACCGCAGCTGTTTCGCCCAAACGGGTAATAGCTTCACCTAAAGCAGGGTTGAAATTGTATGGGAAAAAGAATATTCGGCATCAGGAAGGCGAACAGCGATGCAGGTTGAGGACCAAGTGCGAATGCCATTGTCGACCTCGCCTTCGTCGAACCAGCCAAGGAGAGTTGCTCGTCGAGCGAGGTATCTCGCCATCTGCAAAAATATTATTATCTTCTGCTTGATATTAGAAAAGTGAAACTTACTGAGCTAGGATCTTCTCCTTCACCTGACTCAGAGATTGACGGCGAGGCTAGAGAGTGCGCAACCGAAGGTGGGCCTCTTCGTGTACGAGCGGAGTTTGCAGACTGCGTAGGACCGGGCGAGAGCACTCGAACAACCTCTGCCGTATCCAAATGGGGAGTGGAAGACCTTGATTGCAAGTAATCAACTTCCAGGTCTTCATTCTGGACACGATTCTGAAACGAGATTCCTTGCTGAACATGAGTAAGTACTGAAGTTTCAAGTTGAGCATGAGTTTCGACAGAAGGAAGCGGCCATTCCCCCGACTTAGCCATTCCCCTAGTGAGAATAGCTTCTGTTTGACCAGTGCCCATGATTGGACTCTGGGTTCTCTATGGGAGGAAGAGTATATGTCTCCGCAGAGATGAAGACTTGTGGAACCTCTACCTCTATGTCCGCACTTGGGAGGACCCGGGATACTTAAGAATGAACTCGGAAATTCAGCTTTAGCACCACATAATATGCTGATAAGCAATGAGACTAAAAACCCGGTCGAGACTTTGGTTGAGAGAGAGAGAAAAAGAGAGCGGCAAAATAGCACGGCCATCGCCGGCGTATACTGATTAGGAATACGACAGATTGTCGAGGCGACTCAGAATATTGAAAAGTGGCTCTGGAAGCCGATGTTGGAATGCGTACTATAGCTGAGCAATGCCATCCATCCCCGCTAGAGCTAGAGTGGCTCAATGTCGACATGGGATAGGGCTCTCATGGCCACCTCTGGACTCGGGCGGATCCATAGGCAGCATTGAGCTACTGCACTATTCGGGTAATCCAGCTTATCTTGGGAGCGTGAGAGATGTTTGGTATCACTGGAAGCTCGGGTACGCCGAATGGGTGGCATTTCGCAAGGTAAGCGCTATCTTGAGGTACCTTCGTTGGCTTTCAGAGAAGGCTGTCGTGATGCACAAAGGTACCGTGTGTAGGCAATTTGTTGCGAGGGGTCGTGCCGCTATGGCTTTTCAGGAACAGTTCGAGCGGCCTAAGCACCGCTAGGAACGTCCCCGCTCCCCTGCTTGATTGGCGGGTCATAGCGGCCATTTTTCTAACCGAGTGTCCGGGGTTCTAGATGTACGCTAGCATCAATAACCTAAAAGTTTCTGACGCTTATCTGTCGGCTTGGCAACTTCGGCACTTTGTATATCAGACCAAACGGGAATCAAGGCTATTACAGTTCATTACAGACATGATACCTAGATGAAATAATACTATTTTAGTACTATGAGTTGGCTGTTACCACTTCCGAAGGTATACTCATCAGAACCTTCGTTCACCGTACCTTTTCCACAGAAAAGATAATCCCGACGCCCAGCGGGAGTCTAGCCAATGGACGCCTCCCTAATTTTAACGCCTAAAAGGCACTTTTCATTTGCTATCACCTAATAATTGTGTTTCCCATGGTGCACAGTCGTGGACAGGAATAGTAGTGGAGAGATTAGGATAATGAATATGATGCAAAGTTTGGCCGAGACATACAATTACTCGGCGAGCCCCACGGGCGTGATGTAGGCGATCACCGATCGCACCGTAATTTAATTCACAAGACCGACAGGGGACCTGCTAAAAATGACATAGGATAGCCGAGTGGCTGCGAATCTTGGATCTACACCATTGCAAACGTAGAAGGAGGTTGGGTAGTCCTGCATCCGAGCACCTGGAACTAGGTGAATGCAGCTAGCCAGTGCCATGGCAGTGCTCATCTCTCCTTGCTACGTGGTGCTATTCAAACCGATTGGATGAGTTCATAGACTCAAGATCGCTGTAAAGCTCTCGGCGCGAAGAGGTGAGAGCTCATTGTTCCGACACAGAGCTATGAATGCCCTTCCGAGGCTTTTTGAGTGACAAATCTCTTTATCCAGTGACCTGCTTCTAAATATAGCATGTTCATCACACTTCAGAAGAAGCGTCTATTCGAAGGGGGAAACCATAATTCACTTTGAATAAATCCATTCGTTAAGCCATATCTAGCTATTCCGCCGCGCTCCCCATATACAAAAGGAAGTCATCATTCAATATAAATTGATAAAAAAAAAACATTTAAAAATTCCAAAAAAAAAAAACTTATGCGCAAGCTCCTTGCTGCCACATCTTCACCGATCGGACAATCATGCCACGCTCTTCTGGGGTGCCCCACGAAGGAAGCCAAGAACCCTGTGCCAGGTAGAATTCCTTCATGGCACTGGAACTAGCATCAACCCAAGGTTTGCCACCAAGTTCATCACTGGATATCTTTGTTAAATAAGAGCAATCGTCATAAGGATAGGAGACTAACGGGAAGTAGTTATTGGTGCCACCAACGGCGACATTGAGAATAAGGTAGAACTCTTGATCGAAAGGAGTGTTTTTCCGACTCGTTTGAGTCCAAGGATCGCTAGGGACAGTCTTGTTCACGGTGCTACCGGCAAAGCCACCATATATCCACATGTTCTCGTTTTTGTTGAAATCGAAGTAAAGAATTTGCTGTAGTCACGACCAAAATTAGCCCCCATTTAGCATAAATGCTTCCTGTTGATACGTACCCGCAAGCGTCCGTCAAGCCAGGTAAACAGATAATCCTCAGTCCATTCCAAACCGTAAGTGTGGAATCCATCGCTGTACTTAGTGCGCTGCGCACCCCAATCGGAGGTACTCTTCAGATATGCATCATTCAGATATGTGGTCCCCCAGTGCATGGTCGAAGAGATAATGTTGTTGCCAAGCGAATAAGTCTCTGCGTCATTGCCGCGAGCTTCACAGAGATCGATCTCCCCACTCTTGGGCCATGGGCCATAAACAGAGTCCTCGGGCATCATCCTACTGTGCGTTAGCTGATAACCACACTGAAACAAGGAAGAATAGGCTACCAGATGGCGGGCCACAGCCAGTCTCCCTTTGCCAGCTTTGCAACAACTTCTACTCGACCATACTTGATCTTCTTCTTGCCCTTTGTGGTGAGACGCGCCGACCGAACGGGGTTCAGGATCTGTCCGGACGTGGTGTTACTCCTAACCTCGCACGCGCTCCAGTCCGCAAGAGTGGACACACGCTGTTCTGCGTAGGTACAGGTTCCATCGGCGGTGAGATTAAGAACAGTGTTGTTGAGCAGCTGAGCTTCGGTGTATTGGGTTGTTTCGAGGGTAAGAGTCGGGACAATGTGAAGGCCTTCCGAGTCAACGTAAGAGTTCTTCGGGTCGGTGGTAGTCCAGTCAAAGGATCCCGTTCTAGAGTGGCAATAGGTTAGCAAAAGTTGAAGAAGCAGGTTTGAAGGCCATGGTAACTCGCCCAAAGCCGTTCAGCTGAATCTCGTGGCTCCAGACATCGGTGTTCAAGGTCTCAAAGCCTTCATCAAGAATCATGCACCACTGTAGGATAAGAGTCAGACATCTTGCCGATTCAGGAAGGATTGGTTGAGGAAGTGAACGCTTACTTCGTGTTTCGGAACCTTTGCATACTCGTTCCAGCAGATATAACCGGAAACAGCTTTGCGTCGATAGTTAGAATCATTTGGCCTCGGAGTAATGGTAGACTCCTTACCAAGTGCAATAGTAATACATGTATAGAAGATGATGCTATCCCAGTTGGGTCTTCTCTTATTGTCGTTCAGCCATGGCTTTTCGAATTCTCCGATTAATCGAGAACTCCGGAAGCGTCGGCGAGTACCAGCAGGAGGCGCTGAGTAGGTGATTAGCGGATTCGAAAAGTCTCACACGAAAAAGAATTACCTAGAGGTTCAGTAGCAGCCGAATCAGGCCTTCGCGACCGAATAGACCCGATGGGGGTCGCGAACTGCGGTGTTGAAAAGGGATTGTGCGAGACACGAAAGTGTTCAGTAGTGGTCTCTGTAGTTTCCATCACGGACGTCTATAGATTTGCACAGGAGGAATATGGAAAGAAGAAAACGGACTTGAACTGTAACACTTCAAAAGCTCCTCAAAGCCGTTCTACCCCGAAGGTTATATGATACATTGCATTTTGCACTTCATCGCCTCCGCCATAGTTCTGGATTCTAGATCCGGCTATTATCAGTATCGTATTCCATGGTCTCTTTTGATATACAAAATAGGACGGACCTGCCGAGCAGTAAGGCAGGGAAAAGGCCCAGGGCCATGAGGGGCTTAGGTAGGACGCATGAACGGAGTAGCCAGCTGAACACGAAACGAAATGGGGTTAGGACGTTAGTTGAGAAACCAAGGCTAAAATAGACTAGCGACTGCCGAAGTGACGGGTTCTGACTGGTGATGACAGGCGCTAAATAGGCGCTAAACCTCGGGGAGAACGGGGCCTCCCGTACGGCCCGTCCATTGGCCACGAATACACGCCGATCCCTATTCTGAGTTAGCGGCTGTTCAGCACTGACCTGGGGTGCATACTGCTTTTGGCTCACTTATCAACCCTTGTTCTTTGTTATCTTGGAGCCTCTAGAGACAAAAGTACGCAGATTTTAGGCGAGAAACGGGGCCCAAAAACAGCCACATGTATTCACATTCGGCCACGATTCAGATTCTACTAAAACGGTTGCCACGCGTGACTTACCCGGTGATTATGAGCTGGAAGAACAGCTAGAATTGCGCTACGCCATAATTCGTCTTCATCTTCATTAAATGAACTGCCGGCGAACTCATCGCCACAATAAGTATATAATACTTTCTTATCCTTGTCCGGTCCTACCCTTGTATCATCGTGCTAAAAATGGTACCAGGTAACCATACTACTGCAATCGTAAATTCCTCACCCCAATGATACGTAACATGGAAATTATAAACGAGCTCACTAGACTCCTGTCTCTTATCTCGGACTCACCGACGGTGGAAGAATACCCCGCCGTTCTCTAAGGCTCGCTGCCTCCGTTTTCAGCTCGCCTCGCTCAATGGAGAACGCTATTGGCCTCGTGGCTTGACAATTCCTGGGACAATTCGCCAAAAGTCATCATCATAGGTAAATTCTACCCCGTGTTCCCTATATGGCTGCAGGAGAAACCCATGGGCGCCAATTTGTGACAAGTCTGCTCCTTGCCTGGCGCTGGCCTGCGTCCCACACTAGAAACTTTGAATGAAATTAGGCAATCGTGAATTTCCTTCAAACATTTTTCTTCTAAATACGGTTACGAGGTGGAACTGATAGCTGAGAACTCTCTCGGCATTTTCGACCTCAAGTTCTTTTCAGGGGTTTATGGCTGAAAGGGCAGTAAACATAGCTGAGAAGCCTAAGGCTCTTATTTCATAGTTATTTAAAGCCTCGAGATAGCCCGGAACTGCATACTCTCGCTAAGCTACCGTCGTAAACAGAGCTGGGATTCAAAAACTTTGAACTCTTCGTGGCAATTCCATATCGCCTTCGCAATCCAAATGTTGATTCTTACCTTTATCTTTACCGGACTGGGCCTGGCCTCCGCCAGTCCCACTAGCATGAGCGTACGTCCATGACCCACCCCCTCACATGTATGTATCCCAGGTGACTGATCCAATCTGCCCATAGCAATCCCTCTTCCCGAGGTCCTCAGTATCTACCACCGGTACTTGCGGAGCCTACAACGGCACGGCCACCTGCTCAGGCAGCGCCTTCGGCAACTGCTGCTCCCAGTTTGGCTGGTGTGGCGGTGACACTGGCTACTGTGGCTACGGATGTCAGTCTGATTATGGGTCTTGCGGAGTCTCGACCACCCTGACTTGGAAGAGCCTGGGTTGTTACTCGGACAACACGCTCTCCCGCACGCTTAACACCTCCTTGACTGTTTCCGGAGGCACCATTGAGGCATGCCAATCCGCCTGTGAGGCCAAGGGCTTCACTTACGCTGGCATAGAATATGGTACCCAATGCTTCTGCGGTACGGCCATCATGAACGCTGGTGCTTCCATCGATTCGTCAAACTGTAACACAGTATGCCCTCAGGCTAGTGCTGAGGTCTGTGGTGGATCGAACGCTCTTAGCCTGTACCAGGTTGTACCTATCTGGCAGAGCATTGGTTGTTACTCCGATACTACCCTCAAGCGCACTCTTGCCCATTCATTCAATGTTCCGGGTAACAATGTTGAGAAGTGCCAGGGTGTCTGCCAAGACAATGGATATATCTATGCTGGTATGGAGTATGGAAGCCAATGCTTCTGTGGCAACACTATTGATAATGGCGCTACGCTTACTTCGGGATGTGGTACCGTGTGTTCCGGGAACTCGGGGGAGATCTGTGGTGGTTCTAACTCCCTGAGTATGTATTACCGTTTTGAATAGGTAGTACTTGCGGTATGGAAATTTACCGGGAATGATGGATATGGCAGAGGGTGAACAGGAGTTGAACGTATTGGGGCTTTGTATTTGTGATGCTTTTGATGTACTTGAAAGTAAGTAGCCTTGTAGGAGAGATAACTATTTCATGTGATATTTAGTCTACGAGTCATGTCAAGAAATTGGCTTCGGAAATCATCCAGATCAGGAGTTGATTCGTAGATCCCTGTCGTTCAATACCTCAGTGTCTAGCTCTTCCGACGATTGGTGATTTATGGCTAAGCGAATGTGAAGCTCGTATAAATCGCTACTTTCGGTACTAATGCGCACGCATCGATTGATTCAAAAAGACGCCAAGATATCACCAGCTAAGCAATGAAAACCTAACAAAGAAAGCAAAAGACTACTACTCCACAAAGTAGTTGACAGTGAGGTATGTGATAAGCAAGATCGAAGCAAGGGAAGCCTTTCTTGCTAGTTCCGAATGAGAATCTTGTGAATGAGTTTTCAGCATTTAACTCAAGCTGCACCGATACCCCACAAGATTTCTTCCAGCGTTAAAATTCACCAGTACGAATGAGCACTGGAGTATAAATCATACCTATCGAGATTCATAAAAAGTTTGAAGAGATATCACTGGTCCAACGACGGGCCGGGTTGTTTTTTGAGAAGGGGGCCCCAACGAAGCAGATTTTCGAATGCTGATTCAAACATCAGAACTGGTTTTGCCATGAAGATAGTGCCCCGGGAACAATATTCATACCTTCCGGTGGTGAGCCCTGAGGCAAAGGTATGACGACTTTTCGATAGTGAAATGGGGATGGCTCGATGGCTGTCTGACAATGCAGACTGGGCACCAGAAACACACACACACACTCTCTCTCTCCCAAGAACTCAGGAAGGCGTAATGTACACGTTCTGTAGGTGGATGTCGCTTTATCCTTGAAGGTAAATCATGATGCAACTTTTTCTCAACCTCATAATTGTACCAAGGTGCGAGCAGGTCGGCATCACAATGAGTCTCTTCTATGACACCTTCACAAAGCCTGGAGGGGTGTACATCCTCCTATTAACCTATAACATAAACAATGATTCTAAAAGCCCCTTTATCGCTAAAGAAAGTTTCAGAAATCTACCCAAACAGACTATTAAACTGGTTGTCCACGGTCCACGACCCAAATTTCTACCTATGCTATTGGAAACTGGCCCTAGCTTTGGACGGCGAAACTCAATTAAATTCGTTGAGATTGGCTTGATCAGACCACATACCATCAATTGGGAGAGACCACTTTAGGGACATAAGAATGACTATCAGTAGAACGGAAACATTACAATTCAAATTAACTATGTAACGAGAATAATAGCGCGAAGCCTACCGCATGACAGAAGACAAGTATTCAAATATACAACTTGCCGCACAGGCAAAATTATCATTTACCTTCAAGAGCGACGCTCTCACGCAGCGGTATATGGACAAGGACTGCGGAGAAGATATGAAAGCAAAATTGAATAACAATTTTGACCGAAAGAATATAAAAAAACGTAAATAATTAAAAAAAAGATCAAGTCATGAAATCCCTTTACAGCACGAGGGCAAAGAGGACCGCAACAGAGGCCAGGCCAAGGCCGGAAGAGACGGTCAAGGGAGAGGCAGCATTGAAAGCGGGGGTAGCACTGGCCGAGGGGGCGGTTGTGGGATTGGATAGACTGGTGCTGATCATGGTGGAAGAGGCGGCGGGGCCAACGGGGATGCTAGTGCTACTGACGGGAGAGGTGCCGGAGGGAGCAACACCGGAGGGAGCAACACCGGAGGGAGCAACACCGGAGGGAGCAACACCGGAAGGAGCAACACCAGAGGGAGCAACACCAGAGGGAGCAACGGTAGACTCGGTAGCAGGGCCAGTCATGGAGGGGATAATGACGGAGCTGCTCTCGGTCTCAGTGGCCCCGGGGGCAGGGCCAGTAACGGTCATAGTGGAAACAGAGCTCCAAGTGGTGGTCATGGTGTTGGTACCGGAAGTCATGGTCTCAGTGACAGGGCAGATGGTGGTGGTCTCGTAGGTGGTATCCGTCTCAGTCGACTCCTGGGGAACGGAAGTAGCGACAGGAGAAGAAGGCGCAGAGGTGACACCAGTGGCAGCAGGGCCAGTAGGAGCGGGGCCAGTCACGGTCATAGTAGAGATAGAGCTCCAGGTGGTAGTCATGGTGTTGGTACCGGAAGTCATGGTCTCAGTGACAGGGCAGATGGTGGTGGTCTCGTAGGTGGTATCCGTCTCAGTCGACTCCTGGGGAACGGAAGTAGCGACAGGAGAAGAAGGCGCAGAGGTGACACCAGTGGCAGCAGGGCCAGTAGGAGCGGGGCCAGTCACGGTCATAGTAGAGATAGAGCTCCAGGTGGTAGTCATGGTGTTGGTACCGGAAGTCATGGTCTCAGTAACGGGGCAGATGGTGGTAGTCTCGTAGGTAGTGTCAGTAACGGTCGACTCCTGAGCAGGAGCGCTGGACGACGGGGTCTCGGTAACCGGGCAGACGGTGGTAGTGACCGGGATAGTCGAAGTGACGACGGTAGTAGAGTCCGCAGGGCAATTGGTGACGGTGGAAGCACAGCTGATGACGGTAACCTCACTAGTAGTGTAGATAGTGGAGGTAGTCATCTTAGGGGGGAGTGCTAGTGATGGACGAGGCCATGCTAGTAGTCTGAGACGAAGTAGGAATGGAAGAGCTACCAATGGGCGAAGAGACCGGGGTAGAGACCGGGACCGAAGAGAAGGGAATCGAAGAGCTGGGGATGGGCATCGAAGAGCCAGGCGCAGTCGGGGACGAAGTCGGGATAGAGACCGGGATCGAGCTGTAGGTAGATGACTGGGTAGAGCAATCCTCGGTGGACGACTGAGTGGTAGTAGAGGTGGCCTCATCACAGGGAGTAGACGATGCCACAGGAGTCCGGGAAGGGCGGACCAGAGGGATGCTAGAAGTGATCTCTCCAGGGGGAGGAATAGGAATTGAAGTGCCAAAGTGACGAGCCTGGACGGCAGCGGGTGCCTTGACGTGCCATGCCTACTATAGTGAGTAAAATGGCATGGTAGAATGAGGTATAAGGCGGTAGGACTCACTTGAGCAGCAGTCAGGATGGACGCGAGAGCGACGGCGGAAGTAACCTTCATTGTGAGAAATTACTGCAAAACAGAATTACACAAATTAAAAAAGAGTGATATAACTGCAAATTGGCAGACAGAAACGAGGGTTGAGGATTCCGGTCAAACGAGAGATACCAGAAGCCGTGGAAAAGAATGAAAGACCGTAGTCGAAGATGAGTGTTCGAGGAAGGAGAATCGGAGAGCGAGATCGAGCCCTAAAAGAGCCCCGAGAGACCAGTGACCTACCTACTCCACTGGATGCTCAACAAGGAAAATGAGCAACAACAGGATGTCCATGGATTCGGCGGCGCACATGGAACCCACTCGAGCCACGGCAGATGCAGGCACCAGTGGGGAACTGGCGCCGGATCTGAGCCAATTGGGGGTCTATGATGGCGAGCTCGTTCCTGCGGGAAGAAGGGTCCAACCGAAAAAAAAAAAAAAACCTTATCGCGCCATGTTCCTGGATATCGGCCACGTTCGAGGGTTAATTTGAGTCAGTTCCTGATGACTATAGTCAGCGGTCAGGAACTACTATAGATAGACTCGGCTGGCACCTTAAAATCATCTGTAGTCCTCAGATCCGACATTCAACCTAGGGACAAGACACAGATCGAAGCGATCGATCGTGTTTGACAAGACTTAGTCTGGCTAAAGCACCTAAGAAGTCTAGGTTCAGAATCGATCGGCATTCGCATTTTACTGGCCCCTTGTCCCCTCCAACTCCATTGATCTCAGTTGGTTTTGACAATAATATTGCGATCGGCATAGACTTTGCCGGTTGCTGCCGCGGACTTCTCCGGACACATCCAGCGAAAACTTTTGTCTCTTCTTCCCATCCAACAGGTATTTGTATTTTCATCTCAATTCTCTCAGTACGAGAGACTCTCTAGCCTTGGCGATAGTAGTTCGCTTCGAGAAATTAAAATTAATACCCCTATGTCACCTCGGTTATAACGCCGAGCATTTCGAGGATGGCGGCTCCACTCGGTCCCCTCGCTGCTCCCGTTGGACCCTAATTGAAAGACCATCGAATACCACTTCTTCCGGACATGGATGTCGAAATCAAGATTTATTCGCCTACGGGCGGAGAATTTACCCACTTTCTGAATTAGGCTAATCTTACACTACCGTACAGTATGTACGATATGTAACTCTCTTGGAAGGGAAGTCTGATTGGTATCTCCAATGCCGATCCGAAGACCGACCATGGTCCGGGCCAGACATTTTGATGAAAATAGGACACTAGCTCCGGGGGCGCCACCATTTAATCTGACAAGTGGAGACGCTTCGACCAACTTGGCCCTCTGAAGGCACCGAGCCTGAGCCCCAAGCCCTGAACCCTTAGGCCAGCTCTCGGGCCAGCTCTCGGGCCAGCTCCAGGGCCAGCTCCACAGTCCCCCTCACCGAGTGGGCGATTGGTAATGTTGTTTCCTTGATCTGAACTCTTGTGGTGATCGCCAGCCTAATTTAAAGAAAAAATCAGGCGTTCTGTTATTCTAGATCATTGAATCATTGAGAATTAGCTTGGCGGGACTGCCCGGTTCAGGAATACCAACGGCGGAAGACACCGACTAAAAAGTGGCTACAAACGAGGCTCCTTCCGGCGTCATCCGCTAAAGGAGCAGGTTTCGGTGCTATTCGCTACTGTCAAAAAGGGACAGTCCAACCTGCTACCAGTTGTTGTGGCCAAGGCTTCTCCCACTTTGGAAATGCTCCGTAGCTAGTTGCCCCAAAACCACAGGGCTATTCTTTTAGCGCAGGCCAGTAGCTCGGAATTTTAAGCAAAGAAAATTTACAGTTGCAATTGAGGCTGCTTTTGACGTCGGTCCCGTTTCCTATGCCCGAGGGGTCTCAGGTCAGATGTGCACAAACGTCCGCCCCCATATAGTTGACAAAGACAAGCCAGAGAACAAGTTTCAAGGGAAGGTGTCACACAACGGCGCCGTTTCAAAAATTCGCGGGTCCAACGACGCCACAAATAATGACGGGTTTGAATTTAAGTCTAAATCTTTCCAAGGTCCCGAGGTTTGATGTCGACATTGATTCGATCATTGAAATTAATCGTCGTCCACGTCCACGGGTACTAGTGCCTCTCGGAAATAGTTTTTCGCCTTAAATATGCTTAGTACTTACCTTGTAGCCGGACTTGGGATATTTTATATACAGATGGTTCTAAATAAGCGGATGTGACACTCTCTTTAAACATAATCGAAGTCATCCAGATAGAGTGAGATTATGGGAATGGAACAAAAAGAGGTCTAGGAAATTTTCGCAAACGCCAGTACATTGTATCACCCATTGAATCTGCTTGGTTTGTCTTTTCCCGACATCACCACGAGTGCGGGGCTTCATGTCACACGCCGCGGGTAAATAGCAAATTACTGCAGATCGGGTAAAAATATGAACCAGCTAGGGTTGCATCTCTCTGCAAGTTGCTTGACTACCAAATAAATAGCCACGTAATGACTCAAACTCGTTGTTGACTTGTGGACCGGATCTGGAATTGAGACTGTCAGAATGATCATCCTTCTACTTTTCTACATCCTCGATTTTGGCGACCTAGCAGCTGCAAAATGGCTCTGGTCAAACTCTCCAGTGAACATTTCGGAGATAGAAAGAACTGCATACCCTCTGGGTAATGGCCGTATGGGTCTCCTGCCCGCCGGGAATCCCGGATCCGAAAGTATCAACATCAACATAGACAGTCTTTGGACAGGCGGACCATTCGAAAACAAAACCTATTCTGGGGGCAACCCAGCTCAAGACCGGTCTCAGTTCTTGCCCGGTATACGAGATGAGATATTCCAAAATGGGACAGGCAATGTGAACGCGCTTCTCAGCCCGATCTCTTCTTACGGATCATACACACCTCTCGCCAATTTTACAGTCAAAATTGACGGCTTCGATGACCATTCTTCTTATTTTCGAGGTCTAGATCTCACAACAGGAGTTCACGATGTTTCGTTCCTGAGTGGAGGGAATCAGTTCAATGTTTCTATCTTTTGCTCAAGACCCGATGACATTTGTGTTTATCGCATCGCGTCGGAGTCCACGTTGCCGAACATTGAATTTACCTTCCAGAATAGCTTCTTAAATGAATCGTTGATAAGAACCACCTGTGCTGATGGTCAGCTGCAGTTGAGTGGTCAACTAGCGCAACCAGGGATGAAATTCATCGGAATAGCGCAGTCACTCCAACCAAGCGTTATTAAATGCGACGGGAATTCTCTCGCACTTTCCAGCTTGTCTAATTCAAACAGTGCATCGATTTTGATTGGAGGCGGAACAAATTACGACATGTCACATGGTAACAAGGAATTTGAATTCTCATTTCGCGGAGATGACCCTGGTACCTCAGTCAAGAAGACCATCTCTGCCGCTACCTCTAGGTCATACGAAGAGATCTTAGCGCGCCACATCACAGACTACCAGAAACTCTTCAACACTTTTTCTCTCGACCTACCCGACTCCTTAAATTCCAGCACAATCAAAACAGCCGACTTAATCTCAACATACGATCTCAACAAAGGAAACCCCTTCCTAGAATCATTACTGGTAGACTACGGTCGTTACCTCCTCATAGCCTCATCGCGCGACAACTCACTCCCCGCTAACCTGCAAGGTCGCTGGGCAGCTTCGCAGTACCCAGCATGGGGCGCAGACTACCACGCCAACATCAATCTACAAATGAATTACTGGGCCGCACCACAAGTCGGACTCGGGTCACTGCAACAAGCTGTCTGGAACTACATGCAGCAAACGTGGGTACCATACGGCCAAGAAACTGCGCGTCTTCTATACGGAGCAGAGAACGGGTCGTGGGTTGTTCATGATGAAATTAATATCTTTGGATACACCGGGATGAAAAACGATGCAACATGGGCCGATTATCCTTTAGCTGGGACTTGGATGGCTCTTGCGATTCCAGATTGGTTGGATTATTCCGGAGACGTGGATTGGTATCGGAGTCAAGGCTACTCAATATTAAAGGGCGCGGTCCAGTTCTGGTTAAGCCAGCTCCAGGAGGATAGGTATTCCAATGATGGAACTTGGGTTGTTAATCCGTGTAACTCGCCAGAGCATGGGCCGACCACTTTTGGATGCTCAAACTATCAACAGCAGGTTTGGGAAATCTTGGATCGAGTTCTCGTGTTCCGGGAAGAGAGTGGTGATGATGATGAGGAATTCTACCAAAGTGTTGAGATGTCTTTGGCTCGACTCGATCGGGGAATCCACGTTGGCTCGTGGGGGCAGCTCCAAGAATGGAAGCTGGACATCGACGTCAAGAATGACACACATCGGCATCTGAGCGGCTTGACTGGCTGGTATCCAGGGTACAGCGTCGCTGAGGAAGCACAAAACCAAACGGTGTCATCCGCGGTTGCAACGATGCTATGGTCTCGCGGCATCGGAAAGGGCAGTGACGCAAACGCAGGCTGGGAGAAGGTTTGGCGATCGGCATGCTGGGCCAGACTAAATGACACTGAGCGCACGAACTTTGAGCTGCGATTTAGTATCAGCGAGAATATTGCAGCCAACGGCTTCTCACAATATTCTGGGCATGACGGGCCATTTCAGATCGATGCAAATTTTGGAATGGTTGCCGCCGTAACTGCAATCTTGATCCGTGATTTGCCTCAAGTCCATGGCGATCTGAGTGTGCATACTATCCTCTTGGGTCCGGCTATCCCTTCCTCATGGGGAGGGGGCTCTGTCCGTGGAGTACGACTTCGCGGTGGGGGAAGTGTTGATTTCTCATGGGATACGAATGGCGTTGTTCAAGATGCCACAGTTCATGGGCGAAGCAAGCCAATGCGGATGATCAACATGGAAGGGCGTGTGGTCGTGAACTGAAGAGAAGGAGCAAGTTGCTAATTTATCTGCAAATAACTTGAACGCAATGATATCATAATTTTGCCCAGACACCCTTTGAGTGTAACCAAATCTTGATTAATATGCTAGTCCATGAGCTAATGGCGTCCAGCGATAGAGTGAAAGAAGTTCTCTTCGGCGTGCTTTATGTTCATCCCATGAGTGAGGCCCAGGCTGCTGTGCATCATACAACATAGAGCGGAATACCTTTCGGAAGTTTTTCTGTAGAAGACTTATTAGTATTTAGAAGTCCCTTGAGGCTGTTCAATATTACCTGGAATGTGGTATCCAAAGTGACGACGCTCACTTCATGGGCCCGGATGATAGTCTCGCAGACCTCCTCCACCGATCGATTCGGACCCAGTTCGGGCATACGGTCTACAAAAAGAAGCAAGATGAAACTTCCTTGGAGAAGGTAGATGCCAAAGAGATACGGCATAAACGCCATCTCTGGGTCTAGTGCAAGTATTTGAGATACCACGCCAGTCGCAGTTAATGCGTGAGAAGCACAGGTTAAGAAGCTCTCCGATGTGATCCAGTCATCGTTATCCTCGATCATTGATATCGGATCCCATTTTCCGTGAAGCAGGATGTAGAAGACGTGCAGTAAATAAGTGCTGTAGGCCTTGACCAGGGCTAGTTTAGCGGACGATTCCCCGGGAAATAAACCCGGCCGAAGTTCCAGTTCTGTCAAGTCTTGTTCGCATTGGGATACCATGCTTTCGAGCCGACGAACTGCATCTTGTGAAACAAATTCTCCTAGAGTCGGGTGGTTGCGAGTGTGGTGTAGGTCGATGATGTGTCCCAAGACTCGAGCAAGGGGGAGAAAGTATTCGAAGAACCCAGTTCCTGACACCTGCGTCGGAGGACCTAATGGGCAACTTGGAAGGCAGTTGAGGTCGGCGGAGTGAAGTGTTTGCCATAAGCTTTCCGGTAGGGGTGTTCGCACACAGAATGTGCCTTCTGATAAATTGAGATTCATGTTAAAAGACAATGCCAAGTGTCGGTCTAAGCAGTAGACGAGCCAGAACAGGCGACGGCGCTCTTCTTTAGCAATGAACCATCTCTTGAAAGTGGAGTCGCCGTTATAGAGGCCGCAAAATACAGGACCAAGATCGATGTCTTGGTCTTCCATGGTCAACCCACTGGCTCGAACTAAGCGAATCAATTTGTCTCGCCATTTCAAACAATCGGCTTTGTAATGGCCGCCTGATACGGCCAGGGTCAATATGGCTACCGCCAAGATGATATCCGTCGAGCCGAGTTGTCTGGGCAGTAGACCCTTTCCACTAGCTTGTCGGTCTGAGGCCGACGGGAAGTTGTTACTGGGAAAGTCGCTAGAGGGCCGAGGATTGTGAAACTGCCATCCGTCTAGAAACATAAATGATTTGAATCCATAACCCCTCGGATCACTTACCAGAAGTTCGAAAATAGTTATCTGGGTCCTCACGCTCGAGCAAATCCAATGAGATACGATAAAGATCTACGCTCATACGGTCCCGAGCCCCAGGAATATCGAATATCCTCATGTCAGCAGTTTGGGTGACACAAAAGAAAACCACCGCGAGCAAAGCTGGAGATATCGGGCGTGGATCTGTTGAATGGAGCACCGAGGATGGATGTAGTACATGAGCTAGCATGTAAGGTGACGATGAGTTGAACATAGACTCTTGATCTTCATTGAAGTATACTTCAAGCATCTCCGATGCCTCGGCTTGCGACAAAATGTTCTGTAGATATGGTAGCACCGAGTCTAGGCATCGGTACGGCCGCCCGATGACACTTTGCTTAGGCTGATCATTGGCAGCTTCATCAAAGACTCCTGGGTGGAATGAGAATGGGCCTTCCGTGCCCACGGAAATCTTGGGAATTATAGTTAAAAGAGCGGTACGATTAGGGAGATTATTGCAACAATTTGGCTCACTTACATGGCCCGGTATGATCGCTGCTTGGGACACCTCCAACTGGGTGCCACCTAGGGGACCTGAAAGCAAATCACTCAATGAATTCCTTACATTTGCTGAAGACGGATTTGAAGGCGTGAACCTCTCGGCTCCAGTTGAGCTTCTGATAGGTGATAGGTCGTTTGGGAGTTCTATTGGTGATAATCGATGAGAACCGCCTTGTACTGACACACTGCTTGAAATAGCAGTGTCGTTTGGACTACCGGCTGTGAATTGAGGCGATTCAAGCTCGACGGAAAATTGACTGGCTCTCCTCAAGTCCCTGCTACCATCCAAGCGTGGTCGTCGACCACGCTTGCGAACAGCTTTGGTATAGTTGCATGGCTCTTTGCGCTCTACTCACATCGTTAGAGTAGAAGGATCGCCCGAAAGTTGAACCAAAATTCAAATACCTGCACATCGACGGCTTCATGCAGCTGTCAGCTTTTAATCCGGACCGCACAATTTATGATACGTACCACGGATGCTGCCCATCACAGCGTTGCTTGGAGTGAGTACATGTGTCGCAGGCTCGTAGCACACGCGACTGACTGCGATAGGACTTGTGAGTGCCCACCATCTCGCAAGACACAATTCTGGAAAAGGAGGAAGATGCAGGATGCGGAGGCGGAGATGTGGGGAGAGGTGGAGACAGGGACTCGGGTGTCATAGGGGCAGCGGCTAGGTTTCGTGCATGAACAGGCCCTTACCGAAGTGAAAGTCCTCGACAGAGAGAAAGTTGATGAGATTTTCTTTTTCAATGAAAGATTGTGGTACACTTCTATCTCCATCTCAGTTCCTGTTCGCTCTCGATTCTCACTCATAATCTAGTATCTACCGGCCGCTTCCTTGCTACATCCCATCCATCGCCTGGACTTGGAAAACAATAATCTTTCCATACTCCTAGTATATCTTGCACAGACTTAACCAAGGCCTCATATTCCTCTATCTTGGGCTGTCCCAGTTCCGCTGGTGCTGCATCATCTGCAGTCCAAAGCCAGCGCTGCCCACCAGTCACCCGAAGAACCTGCCGAGCTGTATCAAGGTTTTCTTCAAGCTCAGCGACCGAGGTAATCCCCGTTATAATGGCCACTCGGAAATTAGAGGCCGATATTGACTGTGCTCGAAGAATCGAATATCTCAAGGCCAAGGCCGCAAGGGACTCGCCCCGTGCAGCAACATAGTCCGCTGCTTCCTTTGCCGCGCATCGCAGCCCTTGAGGCGCTGGGTGAAAGTCGCCCAGATCACCTACCGGGACGCCATTTGATCGCAAGAGCCCAATCGCAAGTGGACTTGAGCTACAAACACAGGAAACGCCAGCCTCTCGAAAAGCCGCCAAGCCTTCTTGAACCAAGCGATCGTTCTGCAGAGTTAATTGAGCCCAGTTCTGCACTACATCAAGAGGCCTTGAATATTTTTCTTGAACGCGTCTCGCAATGCGCGTGAGGGTATCAATGCGATAACCCGATATTCCAACATATTTGATATGGCCCTCGTCAACCATCTCAAGTAAAACGCGCACAGCTTCGAGAACCTCCTCTTCGGGGACAAATTCCACGTCGTGACAGAATACCACATCAAGATACTCCGAGCGCAGTCGTTCAAGTGATCGCATGACTGAGTTTCGAACCCAGGCTGGCGAATAGTCAAATTGCGTAGCAGTGATGCGACCGACTTTGGTCATCAAGATGTATTGATCGCGAGTGTAGTTGCTGGCGATGTCTGGATGAGCAAGAGCGTCACCAAGTAGCATTTCCGAAGGGTGATAATAAGCAGATGTGTCGATGGCGCGCAGTCCGAGTTGAAAAGCGCGTTTGAGCACCTGGAGTGCTTGCGCGGAGGTCGGGTTCGAAATAATTTGGTGGGAGAACCCAGCTCCACCCAGTATGAGTGGAGGTAACAGACGCGACAAAGGCATTGTAGCTCGGGAAGGTCTCATGGTGAGGAAGACTGCGAACGTACGAGAAGATAGTAAAAAAGAAGATTTTTTTTTCTGCTCCAAGACCAGACTTACGCACATCTTGGCCATCCCGGACAGCCCACTACCTACTGCCCACTACAGGCTGACTCGGATGCAGATTTGCAAAACGACCTAAGGAAAGCACGCAGCGCGGAGTGGAATTGCCCGATTTTAATACCCGACGGGAAATTGATGATTGGCTTGCGGGGATGAAGATCATTACCCTCTCTCCACAAATCCCCTATCGCGTCGTGTCCAAAAACGCGATAAATCACTTCGAACATGGGGTATGTTGTTTGACCTCTGGAATTAGAATTGAACATGCATCTAGGAATACTTTTGTCAACGCCTTCGATTAAATGACGACGATTACTGGTTTCACTTCTCACGACGTCCGATTCATCATCGGCTGCGGCAAGGGTTTCTTATGCAGTGCAATCGACCTAATGCTCTAATGACAGTGGGCCGGAAGTTAGAGAAGTTGGTACAAGACTGGGCGGCAACCTGGCGCTATCTCACGCCCGTCTTCCAGCTCCCATGGGTAGGACCAGAAAAAGGAGCTCTCCACGTGGCACTTGGAGCAGTTGATACAGGCCATGACCATTGATGTTTTACAACCCGATGCTTGCCGTGTTAGATGCATCAATGAAGACTTGGCTATTTTGCCACTTGTCTACAAGTTCGAGATCCTACCGTCCCTCATTCAGGAGGTGTTTGATGGCCTGAATGTTCTCAGCATCTGGGTGCCATCAAATACCTAGTGGTGAGTGGGCAGAAGAGTATCCTGGGGTACGTGGATTATCTTAATGAAAATTTCCTTGACCCCGCTCAAACCGAGACAGGACACTATATTAACCCACAAGCTCCTGGCTACAGTGTTTACATGGAGCCAGAGAGCCTCGGGGAATTTACTTTCCCTGGCAGGCCAAAAAGATGGTGGAAAGAGGACGTAGCTGAAGAAATCATCAGCGGCGATCGGATGGCTAGCCACATTTTAGACCCAATAGAAGCATTCAAATGTTAGAATTCAATGATCAATTGTTCCTTGGCCTTGAGACTAACTCAGACGTGATTCTCAAGTTCTGCATATCATCGAGGCCGTGGTTTCCCCGCACAAAGCAACACAAGCTCAGCGGAAAGTGGATCTGGGCCCCCGGATATTTGCTCATTAGCTCCCTTAGGCAATGAGGGGGCCGCAATTACCCGACAAGTCATCGCTGCGATAAATATACTGTGAAGTTCCTCTTGAATCCACAGCTCTGCAGCTACCATTGCGCTACTATCATCATAATGCGGGGCTCATGGGTAAGCATTAACACCATAAGAGATTGTGTTCATCTCTAATGCCTCCAGAAAATGTACCTTTACGGCATTGCGCCATGCACAGGCGGCGTGGCCTTTGGCTATGTGAGTTCGCATTGATACATGTGTTGAATGCATGACCAACTTACTGACCTTGCCAGGATACCGGCTCGATGAGTGAGTGGAGGGAAGATGGTTTATTGGAGAACATACTTTGACCATTTTTAGGCGGTATCCTGGTCATGCCACAATTCCTATCCTATATGAATCATCCTGGAGACTTCCTCCAAGGCGGAATAACGGCATCTATCCAGGCAGGTTCTTTTGCCGGATCGTTGCTCACCGGCGCATTCTTGGCGGATCGACTGGGCCGTCGTAACACCATTCTTCTGGGTTCCGCCATTTTCACTATCGGCGTTGCCATCTCTTGTGCCGCCAATAATGTGATTGCACTTATCGCCGGGCGTGTGATAAATGGATTGGGCAACGGGTGCCTGGCAATGATGGTAAGATCTAAATAAAGCATGTGAGGGTCACGAATTAGCAAATCGAACTAACGCTGGGATTCTTTGCTTTGCAGGTTCCACTATACCAGAGTGAGATTGCACCAGCTCAGTAAGTATAAATACCACAGCAGGCATATCACTGGCTAACCTAGTCGATTATCTACAGAATCCGTGGTCGCATCGTTTCTCTCCAACAATGTTGTATCAACTTTGGTATTCTCGTCGCGTTCTGGATCCAATACGGAACAAGTTTCCTTTCTGGCAACGCATCGTGGCGCCTAGCTCTTGGTCTTCAAATGATTCCGACAGTCTCACTTCACATTACGATGTGGTTTATGCCTGAATCGCCCCGTTGGTTGGCTCAGCGGGACGAACATGAGAAAGCATTGACAGCACTGGCTCAGATGCATTCAAATGGAGATATCAACGATCCGTTTGTTCAGGCAGAGATGGCTGAAATCGAGGCTAAAATTCAGTGGGAGAGACAAAACTCGTCCCCAGGCTATATTGAGATGCTTATTGGACGGGATCGTCGTCGAACATGGCTGGGTATCGGTGTGGTAGGTTACATTCCCGGGGGTGATAGTTTCGGCGCTAACAAATCCTCTAGCAATTCTGGCAACAAGTAACTGGTATTAATGTGTATGTTCCCGTTCCTTTGAAATCATATGAGCATCGGCTGATACAAAGGGTAGAATCATGTACTACGCGGTCTTCTTGTTCCAGCAAGCTGGTATTAGCGAAACCAAGGGATCATTACTGGCCAACGGTATTCAAGGTGTCGTGCTGAATGTCTTCACCTGGCCCAACATGTTTTATATGGATACCTGGGGCCGCCGGACACCGATGGTGATTGGCGGTGTTGGCATGGGCATCTCTATGATGTTGATTGGAACAATCATGAAGACAAAAGGTAAGTCAGCAACAATATAAGCTCTCAGGCTGAGGCTTACTTGAAAACTAGGGAGCCCGGTATTCAACCCTCTTACGCAAAAGACGAACTTCCACTTCAGCAGCCAATCCGCGTCAAATGCCACGATCGCTTTTGTTTATGTCTATGTCATGACCTTCGCTCTGACATGGGCTTGTGTCGCTTGGGTTTATCCTCCTGAGCTATTCACAACGGGCTCACGTGGACGTGGAACATCCATGACATCGGCGACAAATTGGTTTGTGGTAAGTTCAGCAGGCAGATATTGGGGTCTCCTGATACTGACACTCACTAGAACTTCTGGTTTGCTCTCTACATTCCGACGGCGATGAACAAGATTTCGTAAGTCATTGGACATACCTCATTTCTATTTGAAATATTGACTTTGCTAGCTGGAAACTCTACATGATTTTCATGACCATATGCTTTACCATGGCTATCGTGGTATATATTTTCTATCCGGTTAGTGCCCATCAAGCAAATCTAAAGAAACCCTCAATATTGACTTTGACCAGGAAACCGCTCAGAAAACCCTCGAAGAAGTGGATTTCCTGTTCGACAAAAGTCGAACTGCGTGGGTATTCCGCGATCGGCAGGCTTGCAAAGTAGGCGCCATCTTCGACCGTGACATGTCCCGTGGAGAAGCTCTCACAGAGTTCAATGGTAAAGGCACAGGTGCCACTCAATTTGCCCATGTCGAGTTCGGCGAAGTGAGCACTACCTCTAATCTAGCATAAGTGTGATTTGTCAGTTTCGCTACATAAATGAACATCTGGACCTGGCCACATCTGGACCTGGTCACGCCTGACTATTATGTGTGTGCCTTTAAAGTCAAAGAAAAGAAGGAGTTATAATATGTGGATGCCTTTCAAATTGCGAAGAAAATTGTCTATTTGAATATTCCATAATATTTACCTGTCAACCACGACGTACCCCGTATCTTGGCTTTCTCTGGAAAGAACGCGGGAATCAGCCAAGATAAATTCGAGGATGGGACTCAGCAGCGCTTCGTCTAGCCCAAGGGCGTGCAAATCTCCGATCTGCAGCAAGATAGGCTTAGAACTTTCCACGATTGCTCGAATGGCGTCCTTAACATCCAACCCAATCTGGGCATCACGTAAGAAGTCGACAATCTGAGGCGCAGGTTGATTCACACTTAGCGAAGGATGAGCTTCCAACGTGACTAAAATTCGGATGTTTTCTGGATAGGACCCCAAGTCCACAAGTAGCCCATTATTGACCTTCTTTCCGATGACGGTCTTGGTTTCACCATCAACATTTATTTGAATCTGCTCCGAACAATACCCAAGAAATTGTACGCTCCAATTGCGGGTATGCGGAGAAACATCCCCGCCACTCGTCGGCCCGATGTGTAACTCACCAGCCTGTTGATGGAACGAGATACATGTGCGACGAAAATTGATCTGGCCCGTGTATTGGCCGCACCCATCATCTTCCACGAGCTCGAAACTGCCATCCGCACCTACAACGACTAGAAGTTTGATCATTGCGGAATCTCGACAACCATTTTCCAGTATTGGCGCTGAATCAAGGGGTAATATGGCTCCTTCTGGAGCAAAGACTGGGTATTCGCTCAGTCGTCTGTTAATCCAGATTCGACGGTCTCCATCATAAACCCCGCCGGTGAATATATCCACATGTCTGCCTGGAGGAAGCCATGCGAGGACCTGAGATCGGCGAGTTTTCGGATTTTGCGGAGCGGTAATTGGAGCCACGATGAGGCTTGACCCGAAAATGTATTGGTTTGGGACATTGTAGGCCTCATCGCTCTCGGAATAACCCCAATACATAGGTTGGATAAGAGGGAGTCCATCCACCGCAGCGCGAAAATTCATCGTGTAGAGATATGGAAGCAGGCGATGCCGAAATTGAAGATATTGTTTCATGATCTGGTCATATGGGGCGTCGAGATTCCACGGTTCTTTGATGCTGAAAATATTGTTCGACGAGTGCAAACGCAAAACTGGCGAGAACGCACCGAATTGCACCCAACGAATGAGCATTTCATCGCTCTTTTCGCCATGGAAATGGCCGCCGATATCATGGCTCCACCATCCGTAGCCGATGTTTGACGCAGTTGCGGTGAACTCTGGCTGGAAGTGAAGCGAATCCCAAGAGACAACAGTGTCTCCCGAGAAACCAATGGGGTATCTGTGACTACCAGGGCCGGCGTATCGGGAAAATGTGAGGGGTCTCTTGTTATCGAGGGCACTATCAAGGAAGTGGAAGTGATTCAGGACCCAAAGTGGATCAATCCCCGGAATGCGGGAATGTGTTCCTTGCTGCCAGTCCACCCACCAAAGATCAAGACCTTCTTTCTCAAATCGCCGATGAAGAACGTCGAAGAAGGCATCTAGAAATTCCTGATTGGTGATGTCAAAGGGGACAGGATCGCCCATCGAAGTGTCATGCTTAAGCGCAGCGGCCATCTCTTCGTAGGGATCTTCGTAGCTCTGAACTCCGTCGGCTGGATGGTCATTCAAAGCAATACGTAGACCCTGGTTGTGGAGCTCGGCCAGAAAGATCTTTGGGTCTGGGAAAAGCTTTTTATTCCATGTGTACCCCGTCCAGCCGGTCACACCTGCTTTCTTAACTCGGTCATCATCGACGATGTGCCAATCCATGTCCAAAACCGCGACGGCCAGTGGAATCCCATTTTTGCGGAATCGACTCATCAAAGCTAGGTATTCCTCTGCAGTGTAGGCATAGTATCGACTCCACCAGTTACCCAGTGCCCATCGAGGAAGAAGAGGCTGGGGCCCCGAAAGAAGGTAAAATGCCTGGATTGCTTGTCGGTAGTCGTGTCCGTAGGCAAACAGGTAGCCATCGATACGGTTTCCGGGAGATCTTGTTGCTACCCATTGACGATCATCAAAAAGCATCGACTTCGAGTCATCCAGTGTCGCGAAACCCTCTCTTGAGATAATACCCGGCTCAAGGGGGATCCGACCATTGGTCTCGTCAAGTGTTCGGGTCGTGCCGCCCAAACTTGAACCCGGCATGCCATAACGCCAGATGCTGCTGTGGGGCCCATAGTGTCCCTTGATCACGGCACTAAGTCCATTGGGAGAAAAAAATTGTTTATCGTATGTGAGATGAAATCGAGCTGTAATGATTTGGAGGCAATTTTCGTCTTGTTTGACTCGGAACTGGGGGACAGTAAGTCGACGGTTGATAGCGAGGACTGAAGCTCGATCTTCGAATTGCTCATCCTCGGCCCATTCGTAACGCAAAAGACCGTCGGCAAGCACGGTGAACCGGTACTTGCCACTGCCCACGATCGCTTCGGGATTAGCGACAGGCGTGTGCGGGAAGCAATAGCGATGCATCCTGGACTGCTAGGACGGCAAACGCAAAGGTATTGACTTGTCCGGAATGTTCCATCCTGATTGTTGCAGATCTGCTGAATGCTATATAGCAGTCAGGGTAATTCACGACTTTTTTTCCATTCCGAGATTTGGGAGAGACCATCCCCGCAGAAGACAAGTTCGGCGGGATTCTCGCTGGAACAGTCGGCAAGCGCCATGCCGGGGTCGCTCGTATTCCCATGTTACGGTGGCTTCTTGGTCTTTGGGGCGCACCCCGCATGGGCGCCACCAAATAGACGTGGCGAAGGCGGGGAACTGCACAAAGCAGAGGACATGGGTAGTCCATGATTTAATTCTCGCTGCAATTCCCGGCTCCGTCGATATTCACCGGAGAATCACCGAGAATCATGGACAGCCCCTGCGATGGTTGTTTCGTTCGAAGAGTCAGGTGTGATCGGCAGCGTCCATGTCAAACCTGTCAGACCAGATCTCAAACATGTACATATTTGAGGGTCCGAAAAAGACCAGGTCCAAAGGGACCTCGATCGAGCACTAATCAGAAGATAGAGGAAATACAGCGAGGTGCGACAGCGGAACCTGAAATGGCAGCTGCGGCAGAGCAAAGCGTAGCTTTGTGTGCCTCGAATTCCCGGATTTCTATCACAACCTACTGCACCGTTCTTGACATCTTTCGGAATCGCCTATATGATATCTGGCCCATCGTTGATGTCGAACATATGAAAGCGCAGTTACGAGCTCGCGATAATGACCCCACCACCTATGCTTTAGCAGCAGCGCTGTGTGCTGCTACACTAGCACAGATACGCCTATGGCTCACGCCAGCCCCATGTCCTGACAATCTTTCTGTGACAGCAGAAGATTTCGCGAAGGAGTGTCTTCGTATTCGATTGGAAACTTACCACCATCAAGAGGCATCGCTTCAGGCTCTTGTAACATCCATATTTCTTCACATGTACTACGCGAATCGAGACCAGATTACGCCCGCTACCATATCTCTTCGCGAGGCAATCACCTACGCGGACTTGATGCATCTATGTCATACATCACCGTCAGATTCTACAAGATCCAAGCAGTGGCAAATGGAGCTTCGATGCTACTGGATTCTCTTCGTTACTGAAAGGTGAGTGAAGTCTGAATGATTTGAATCTTATTCTGATCGCAATCGCAGAACGTTTTGCATCCAACACGATCTTCCCATTACTCTGAATAGAACACCTAACCTACCCGAAATCGAACGAAATACATCGCAAGGCGACCTTTATGCAGGATTTTGTGCGCTTGTTCAACTATTCCTCCACGTTCAACGCCCTCTCGTTCTTCCTGCCTCCTCAGGCAAAGCCATCGAGGCATCGGAGATGTACTCGAAAACCAATATATCAGACATTCAGCGACGCATTCAAGTGGACCGGCCCAGACTCGACCTCACATCTGAGATTCAATTTATTGATATTCTCACCACATCAGCCTGGGTCCGCTCTTTGCTATGGCAATACTCTGCTTCTCGCTTCATGCTCTCATCATCCACTTCCATTGAGCCTTTATCTTTTGACTACCCGCTTGCCATTGCCAAGGATTATTTGGAATCTCTTTCACAGGTCTCGATTGAGTCCATGCGGAGCCATGGGTACGGTATGGTATGTGATCTACACCTATTTCTCTCCCAAACGAATAGAGAGTTATGGCACTGACAGTGGATTTTTTGACAGGAAATCAAGCTTCTTCAAATCGCAAACTCCGTTCTTGACGTCGTGCTTTGTATGCCAAAATTCCTCAACCACCAGACTTGCCACATCGGGCCTTTAGATGCTGTCATTACGATTGAACATCTTTTGTCTCAGGTCGGAGGGGTCAAATCCGATAGACTTTCTGTTCTCCATCAGCGCTTGTCACAAATGCCTTCTTCAATTACGATGCCTCTTATGCTGGAATATCCCGAAGAAGAGATGCTGTGTGAATCTACCACAGAGCCGCAGTGTTAATTACATTGTCATACGATCGAAAATAGCTTGAGTGTAAGGACCAAGATGCTTTTACAACAAATCATTTCTATCATGATATGAAATTCCCCCATGTCCATAGGATACCATTCCGTGCCGATGCTAGAGCACCCGCTTTGTCTTCAATCCAAGAAGTCTGTGCATACGTGGAGTGAGTCAATATATACAAAGTGCGTCGGCTATCTTTTGCTTGGCATATAGCTAGTGGGGCGCGCTAGAAAAAGGGGTGCAGCCCATGGGTGTGCAGTCCACGAGAGTTGACTGTACTAATGTTACGCCAACCATACAATGAGGTGAATATCAAATTACCATTTGGAGCTTTCACAGCTCTTGTGGTTATATTTGTCTTCCCTCAGATCTCGAGTAATGTCTCCAACTCTTCCCGCATTACCACTGGACAGAATATTCCCCTTCCCAGTCTCCCGGCGGGCCTGACCGTCGCAAGCATTGTCAAGGCCGCTGCAGCCTGGATCTTCACCCGGCATACCCCGTCAACACAACATCGTCCTCGGCCAAACAGAGTCCGGACGCAGCATGCCCATCGTAGGCATCGAGAAGATGCTCGGCCCTTGTCTGAATACAATTCCATCCCGGGTGAAGCTGCAGCCAAGGTGGAGTGCTCTCGATCTTTTGCAGCACGTTCAGAAGCAATGCTCCGCGACGTTTGCGCATGACTACGTGGATCTCGCGGATACTGTCCGCACCAGCACAGACTGGTCGCCGGATAGTTATCTTCCCTGTATTATTCAACATCAGAAGGTTGTGCAGACTTCCACTCTCTCATTACCTGATGTTGAGTGTACCTCGTCTGGCTGGGCATATTTCATCCCGCAATCCGGGTTGTGGATTTTGTCCTCGCCGCAGGACTCCATGTTACAGCTTATGCTGTGTGCGTCGGGGGTTTTCATATCTCTGGAAACAGCCAGATCCTGGGTCAAGAATCTCGCGACCGCTATCACTATTTTCGCAAGCCAGCCTGACATACTGCTGGATGATGTTCATGTATAATTATATTACATCCCCTACCAAATGTCATTACCCACTCCATTTTTTCGGGTCCTCACTCATAATATATATATCACTGCGAATGTGTATAGCGGCATCTGTCTAAAACTAATGACTTAATGACTTAATGATATTTTAACACATGTCTGCCTGAATTTGCCTGACTTTGGACGGTCAGAAAACAGATACCTGAATTACTATCACAGACCTCGGGTGTCCTTAGTAAGCAAGGTACCAGGGGTACGAGCCTTAGACAGAGTAAGAAAAATGAAGCTTTCTTACGCCATATAAAATGCATACATCTCCATTTTTGTGGTGACTGACTGCAATTTCTCTGTAATTGAAGCTATTCCGACCGTACAATGTGTATCTCCTCTACCTCCAGTTGTATCCTCCGCCTCTATCTCCTCCGTCGTTGGCTCCTCTGTGGAGAAATACCGCAGGAGCTGGCGATACCGACCTCGGCATGGACTGGGTGAGATGCATAGAGTTGGATGGAATCGGTTATAAAACACTGTATGGAGCGGTGTAGAAAGCGGTGTTGAATAAAGCTAGACTAAGGCCCAATTAGGGAATGAATACTGCAAAATGGCATTATGTCATTAGTTTTAGACAGAGGCCCCTTGACCCCTTCGCAGTCGATGTCCCGTAGAATTGGCGATTCCTACACCATTTGACGAGCGACTCCTGAAATATGTTAGTTTGCTTCGTGTGATATGAGGAAATACTCATCATTCTTTATCTTCGACTCTGTTAGCCGCTTCTCTATGTACTCATGGTGGCTAATAGACTGCTGAAATAACGCTAAGATACGGCTCTTGGCTTGGAATTAGCTAGTGAACCCCCTATTACAGTCAGACCCAATGGGTGTTCATTATTTATAATAGTATGGAAGGTTGCTCTGGATTCGCCAGGCAGAGATTGATCGAGCCGCGCCACCAACTCGTGCGATTCAGCGTACATATTCAGTCGCGGCCTTTACCGCCTTTGATTCGAAATACATGGTTGCAACCTTCTGGCAATTCAAAGTCCCAAATGTCAGGGAGCTGTATGAGTAGCGCCGAGAGTATGTTGAAGGGTACGGACACTAAGCCTTGTAGAACCTATTACGTATTTCCAACCAGCAGCTCCGAGATCCAGGGTAGCACTCAGTACTTGCGTTGGGATGCCGTTGCTGTGAGTACATCTGTAAGGAGATCGGTCTGGCTTAGCTGAATCTTGCTCCCATGTGCATATCCGGCCTAGCTGGGCTAGCTCTGTAATCTGCACAGAATGACGTCAGTTATGATTGAATGCCCGTACTATTGAAATATTACTTTTTCTAATTTACAACCTACTATGTATGTCTGTTGCATTGAAATTTGCCAATACCATGCTAAATGTTGAGGGATCGTCACTGTGACCATCCATTTGAAAACCACAGTCCAAATCTCGAGGCAGCGCAGGAATTTGTTGCAGTGTGTCTATGTTTCAGAACGAAACCTAGCTGGTTTGGGGCGAGTCGTTAACGGTAGTGGTTTCATTGGTAATTTGAGATCAGCGCAGTGCAGCATTTTCCACTCTGTGGCCACAAGTTCACAGATGCAGTAGTTTGCATAAATACTCAATTATGAAGGCTTGAGATTTGAATGGATTAAACAGCCGAGGAAGCTAAGTATGCAATGCAATGCTGACCGCAATTTGGTCACCGCAATTTGATCATTTCTCATAGATGTAAAATAAACAATCACAATTTAAAGCAGGAAAAGAAATAAAATGTAAGGAGGAAACTAGTTGAACTGAGTCGAAATGGGCTACTAACGGTAGACCCCCCTAAATGCTGGAATCCGTCGATGACAAATCGCTTGGGCACCGAGGGAGCTGCAGGGCAGGTTGCATTACCCATCCACCACCTTCGTACATCAACAAATGAAAAGACCGGATCACAATCCAAGTTCGCCGAAATTAAGTACTGAATTATAAAAGAACCGAAATCAATGGCGCAGAGAAAATCGTAAGTTCCCTCTTCTTAACCGTGGCTTGAAAACCAGTGGACTTACTAGCTCTCATCATGTTCCACAGCGGTAAGCAGGCCCTTTCGTTCTTGCGATGCTCAATCCTGCTTACAAAAGAAAGCTCTCCTAGTGCAGCAATCTAGGACCAGCCATGGTGTCTACAAGATAGGCCAGATTGCGAACCCAACACTGTCTGATTACAAAAGAAAAGACCGGATGCCTTTCAGTTCGACTGCGGGTATATTTACAGTAAGTGATAGGACTCATTTGGCTTTCCAATGTTCTTACTGACTATATGGTTCCAAAACAGGTGTCGGGGTCCATACATGTGGAAACTCTGGAGATGGAGGTCACTTTAGAAGTGTATGAAATGAACCTGGGTATCTTACACGGATACGCTGGTCAGCCCTTCAAGATCGCCTTGGATCTAAGTATGGTGAAGGGCGACATTGAGCTACGATTGACTGGTTTTGATGAATTGTGGCTTGACATCGATACAAAAGTGTTTCAAGCGGCCGAGGATGGCTCAGGGCAGTTTGTAGAATACAGGAAAGCCCATCTTATACTGGAAATGCCGGGTATCAAGTGCGCACCTTGGCTTTCCCCTGGTTCGGATCTTTAGCAAATAGACTAAGCCGAAAAAAAGGCACAGTGTGCTTTACAGGATCGTTATCAGTCAAATTACAACCAATTAAGTAATGGGTGAATCTAGTCGTGGGCCGCAAGCGATGCCATGAATATAGCAAATAAAATAAGCAGGCGGCCTTTCTACCGAAAGCCAAGAATAGGCGAAGGCCATGGCTACATGGTGTCTCCATTATTTTCAACCCATCATTCTTCCCGATATCATCTAAATATGGAAAACCCCTTGATCGCTTTAGTGTTCGACAAGCCTTCGTACTGACTAACTCCATCGGTCGCCAGACCAGGCTGACAATATAGTTCTTGGGAAAGCAAAAATTGAGGACACGGCCCTTGGGTTTTGATTTTGAGAACAGCTCACTACCATCGTAGAGCGACCGACCGACCGACCACGCTACGGCTACCGTAGAGTCAGCTGGCTAAAGAAACTACAAAGTGATGAATTGTAAAACGATGATGCGCCCTCTTCTTAAGGCTTGCCATCGGTAGGGCAGTTTAAATTAGCCCTTCAGAATCGTTGCACCTACGATCTTACACCATGTTTGTTAGGAACCTTTAAGCTCTCACCGAGGCCAAATCTGGCTACTGTGAAGCTCCAAATTGACCTAACCTCGAGTATACCCGATTGTTCATTGATTTTTACTTGCTTGCGGAATATACCTTCTAAGGCCGGGTCAATCTCAACGAAATTGTGCTGAGCAAATTATAGTTGGTGTAAGACACGCAGCCAGTGCGATTCTGCACAGCTGGGACTCACTCGACATGCTCATGCACCTTTTCCAGCTAACCCTATCTCCGAGCACCCATAAACTTATACCGGTCCAATTTCTCTGCCATTGCCAGTATGTCCGATCCTCAAGCTCTGATATGATTCAGTGTTCAACAACAGGCGTAGCCGCGAATCGGGGGCTTTGAGAGGCGAAAAGAGGGATATATGTCGAGACGAAACGGACGATCGAAGTATTGTTAGGTGAAACTGTTTTGATGGAACTCTACTATGTAGGGCTCCAGATAAATGATAATGAATGATAATGAATGATAATGAATGATGATGATAGATGAGAAAGAGAGATACTACACTATCTACCTCTGAGAGGTGCATCACCTGACATACCCCATGGCGAAGGAAGCCCATGACTTCTACAACATGTTTTCGATCCTCCCTGTATCGAAGAAAACCTTGGAAGTGCAGTACTTTAAGCCTGAGTCACTATCTCGGAGGCAGCTCAGGTGCTTGGAGTGCTATATCGAATGTAGCTTTTGATGTTGCTCGCAAACTAGAAGGTATCGGCCGATCAACTGTTGGTGGTTTTTTCAGTGGAGGCTCGAGGCCTAATGAAGTCACCAATCAACAAAGCTTAGGCGTGGCTGCATGTAGGTGCTAAGAAACCACTGTTTGAAATCCTCCATTGATACGCAATTATAGCACTAAACTCTGGCTAGGCGGCCTGTGCGGTGATCGCGCCGGCCCGCAGGATTCTCACCCTGTCTATAGCGCACTCACCCTTCTTGCCCCGGTCGCGCGACCGTAAAGCAGCGCTCACCCATTTCTCACCCGGGCCACACCCACCGAACTATTGACCGCACATAAGCCACGCGCCAGCAGATTAGTAGTTAGGTGGGTGAACACCAGCGAATCCCTGCTGTTGTATGTTCCTCTATTTTTACAATGCTTAAAAACTCTTCTTGAAGAAATGTTCGATTTGAGGGTCGCATAAAGACTATAGAGAACAAGAAATGCTCTCTGGCGCGCAAGTATGTTCGCAATTATGAAATTATCAATAATTAATGTTGACTAAATACAACATTTGATTGCTTGAAATGGCCTCTTATTAGCTCTATAACCACTCGGATCATGTCACTTACTAGAGGAAAATTGCCGGAGCTAGCTCAAATATAAAATTTGAACTCTTGGCCCTGCGGGATCCGCCTCTCTTGATTGATAACTTTCTAAATTATGATGTCCTTGCGGCGGATACTGTGACTTCATTAGCCCACACATAAATCCTTGCTGGGCTGTCCATACACATGATAAACTATGCTCATTATGTTCAGGGTCTAGACTTTTCGTCTTCGGTGAACCCTTCAAGGACTTTAGCTCTTGCTCATCAGAGATCCACTTGGAAAACATCCGAGACTCGATTCTCAGAGTGGAGCTCAGACCTACATCAGCTGGGCTTGTGGTTTAGTGGTATAATACTCCCTTAGCATGGGAGTGGTCCGGGGTTCGATTCCCCGCGAGTCCATTTTTTGCCTCTTGCCTTCTGCTATTCCCTCGAGAATACGACATGTGCATTAACGTGGTTAGAAAGAGTCGGGCGTGGCGAGGCATCCTAAGTGGGTCCTTCGGAAAGTTCTTGCAAATTTTCTGAAATGCCTCCAGAAAGTGGATAAAACCCCGCAATATGAAAAGAATATGTTCAGAAAAAGGCGTTGATATAACTGGCTTGCTAATGATCAACTTAGCTAGCTCGCAGTCAAGTAATAGCCACGGCAATGTTCCTCCAATTCCTGCGCCCCATAGCCACCGATCATAATTTCCTCGATCTTCGCGACTTATTGAAAGCGGCAGGTTTTGGGTAGTTATTTTCTCCCTCATATTTCCTTCTTTACAGAGCTGTATCTTCAGGAAGGTGGATTAGAAGAATTTTTGACATATTTTCGCATTTCAGCTATACTGTTTCGCAAGGTCGCGAGTTATTTAACAATAGGAGTCTCTCATGCACCCCATTCAATATATACGACCATCGAGTTGGGCTTTGTGGCTGCGTCCATAATTTTGCACATGATACCAGGCCTCAACGGCTTTTTCAAGAACATATGGTTGTGGGTGGTCGACTATGATATCGACGATCCGGACAACACCAGATCACAGTGGCAGTTGCTCGAAGCCTTCGAGTCGAGTCGATCTCCGGGTCAATCTAGATGTACGGCATGGCCTCGGAGCACTCGGTACTGTATTATTACAACTTCGCTTGGGCTTTCGTCATGAAAGAAAGAAAGAAAACACCAGCCTGCACTGTCGCCGGTGCGAGCCTCTACTCCTGGTATGATGACTACCTTGAGACCTACGTCGACACCCAGGACTGTCAACAGCGGCTGGCCTTGGCCCCGGACGATAACGGGGGCCTCTATGTTTGGAACATGATCAACATTGGAGCCGTGGAGATGATCAGCAACGTGGCGGACAACTACACAGTCCTGGACAAGAACAACACCCAGGCGCACCGCCGACTACCTGAACGACTACTAGGAAAAGGTCCTCTCATGCCCGGACAACTCCACCGATGCCGCGTGCCTGTCTACCTGGAAATGCAATTTGAGCAAGACTTACACCTAAGTAGACGATTTAAACTCCGCATCCTCGACATATCCAGACCAACGCATGCCGTACTACACCCTGGGCACCTTCTATTACACCCTGAACGACACCATGGACAATTACACTTCGGCCAACAAGAACAACGACGAGTACTCCCAATACTGCCAGCAAGTCCGGGAAATGGTTCCAGAGGCCATCGATGACTTCAAGGCAGCGTTCACCCCCAGCAAACCCGATAGCGGCGCAGGCAACCTGTACTTCGATTGCACACTTCCGGGATACAGCACAACCTCGACCTAGCAGCGCCTCTTCAGATACACCCAGCTGACGGGCGCGATGCGGTACATCATGACCTACACCCCGAAAGACACGGCCGGCTTCTACAGCGCGCTCGAAAACACCTACGGCATCAACAAGACCTGGGTGGAGTTTGTCGACAAGGGTGCCCCTAAGTAGAATTTACCCAGTCACCTGACGATATTGTTCTACTTACGGAAAGGGATACGCAAGTTTTTCAAGTATAGAGAACAAGGTGAGAGCAGGAAACCAGTCAAGATCCGACAATATCTGTCTATATCAGGCCAATTAATAGCTTCCTGGCCATGTTGAATTTTTATGTGATGATCAAGCGAGTCTTCTGTTGATTGGAAATTGAAGCAGGGATGTGAAGAGATTCACTCGTTGGTAAAATACGGAAGAGGCTGACAACAGATCAGTAATCAAATCAATACGCACAAGTTGCGGTGAACGGTCGTATCCCTCCGTCATCCAGAGAGATATTGTGGATTTACGTGATTTGTTCTTATGCGGATGGACAGACTATGTCAAATCACAGGCACAGATTCTCCCCATCACCGCAGTGGTCAAATCTACCACCAGAAATTGATTAAACGGTTGCAACGCCGAGAACATGCAAGGATTCTACACCTTCCATCAAGATTAGCCCATGCGGGACGCGCCGATGCAATTCAATCCTCCCTTGCGTGGATGCATGTACGGAACTGGGGCCACCAATGTTGCACAGCATTCTCCCTTATTCCGATCCAGCAATATGTTTCTAAACTTAACCAACGCCTAGGCACCTTCGTCTTGGAAAAATATTGATATCCAAGATCATATCAAAGACAATAGCCATGTTTGCTATTCTATTTGATCATCCTTTTGTGTTTCTGGGCGGTGTGGCTCTACTAGTGCTATCTATTCGTCGATGGTTTCAATACTACCAGTCATGGGTGTGTGTTAAGATTTTGACCCCTCCTATCTATTCTTTACCAAAGCGCTCTGCCAAAATTGGGATCTAGTTGACACATGTATCTCATGCTAGGTCAAAGTTCCCGTCATCGGAGGGGAAGGAATGTTTGAATCTTGGAGGGCCGCCCGTCGTTGGGGTAGCTGTGCCCCCAGGTTGCTTCAAGAAGGATATGAGCTGGTAAAATTTTGGCCTTCACCATCTGATGCTGTATGGATATCTTATTACATGGATATAGCATAAAGACTTTGCATTTCAAGTGGCTACACCAAACGGCTGGGAAATCTGCATCTGTAACGATGCGATGATCAGGGACTACCTCAATGCTCCGGATGAGTACCTGTCCTCCACGGCTCCAATTCAAGGCGTATGTGACTTTGTGTTATTTTCGTCTTTCCTTCCCATACATGGCGAATAAACACTAATGATTGAATAATACAGTTCTTCCAGTCCAGATTTACGGCACCCGGCTTATTTCATAAAATACCGAGCTCAATGATGAGCAAAGCTCTCACCTGGTCTCGAACACGCACCAGATCGACAGATCAATATTTTCCGAGCTTTATTGATGAACTCGAGTATTCGTTCGAACAGGAAGTGACAGATCACATGAAGGTTGATGGCTGGAATGAATTCGACTGTTACACAATCGCCAGACGTCTTATAATGGGACTTGTTGCAAAATTACTGATAGGGGATGGATGTCGAAATCCAGCAAACATCGATCTTTTCTGTGATTATACGGCGGAAATTATAACCGGGGGACCATATATCAGGAGCTTTCCGGAATTTCTGAGGCCGTAAGTTAGAGTTCCCCTTCTTCTTCATTCATTATGCTCATCTTGACGTTCGTTCTTGAAAGGATTATAGCACGTTCATCTCGGGTTGTCAGATTATCCAGAAGAATGCAGAAACTTTTCCTCAATCTGATAAATAGACGGAAAATAAAGTCAAAAGAGATGGAAAAAGAAGGACGACAGCCTGAAGTGAGTGTCAATTTTCTCCTCTTTGTCTTTCCGGCTTACATTGTACCTGGATCTGTTCTTCCATGCCTTCCTTTGACATAGCTAAAGAGCCCTTGCAATGAATATAGGACTTAACAGATTGGTTCTGGCGATGGTCTCAACGGAACTCAAACAATGGTCTTAATGAGTTGGACATTGCCCAGCTACTTGCTGCGAATACTTTTGGAGCTAGCTTTAACACCACCGTGGTCCTTATGCAATGCCTCTGCGAGCTTGCCACCAGGCCAGAATACGTCAATCTCATCCGGCAAGAGGTCATCTCGACTATTAAAATTCACAAAAATACTTGGACGAAAGAAGCGGTCGAGTCAATGAAGAAACTTGACAGTTTTATTAAGGAATCCCATCGATACAACTGCTTTGATCTCGCCGGGACCCCCCGAGTTGTAAAAAAGGATTTCCAATTCAAAAACGGTCTTCGGATTCCGAAGGGGACAGTTCTCTTTACACCAAATGCGGCCATGTTATTCGATGAAAAATATGTCAAGAGTCCTTTTGAATTCAACGGTTTTCGATTCTATGAACTCGCCGAGGGTTCTGAAACACCCGAATTGTTCAAATATACTTCTACAAATCCTCACTACCTTCAGTTTGGAGATGGAAAACATGCTTGGTAGGTCTTTTTTCTCATTTAGCTCTTTGATTTGGTATTAATGTTATTATTTTCTGGCTCTTTGTTTAGCCCGGGTCGCTTTTTTGCAGCTGATGAACTTCGACTAATTCTCGCGTATCTGCTGTTTCATTTTGAGATCAAGATGCAGGGAAGCTTGCCGGAAAACTTCAAGATTAAGAGACACAATTTGCCGCATTTGGGGGTGAAAATACTTCTAAAGAAAATTGGAAGGTAGAGTATTGATTAGCCAATCTGTGGTTTTGTGTCGCTCTCAAGAGAGTGCTCACTCAAGTCCAGTCGGCTTGAAGTCTTTAATTGGTTAGTTTTAGACTTTGGAAATGGATGAATCAGGACCTTCTGAAGCATTAGTATAGCTATATGGCCAATTAAGATTACAGTGTGTTGAAGCCTAGGCATATTTTAGAGATGATGGAAATCGACCGAATTAAATCAGAAATATTTACATCCATGGCACTTTTTGTAGAAATTATTTGATTTTGCAAAAGAGAGCAGTAACAAATATAATATATTTAATGACCTAGTAGTAGGCTAAAGTATGATAACTTTTAGTTACAAGACGGAGATCTGCGAAGATGCCGCTTTTGGCAAAGGCCTGTGGTGACCCAACAGTCTGATGTTTTGCCATATGGCCGCCGTGGAGTGCGCATTCAACACCTCAATAATGTTTGCAAATAGAGCGGTGCGACGATAGCATTGCATTGGCATGCGCCTTCCACAATGAAGAAAGCGGCATGTTAGTATACCACCTTTCTCAGCTGATGAAGACCTTGCATGGAGCGATTGTGAAGCAACGAACATTGCGGTGTGTAATCTCTCTGTTTCAAATTTTTTAGACACAGGTGTATTTGCGGTATCATATGCAGGTCTGGAAACACGAATCTATAGTCATAGGATGAAGTACCCCCATATCAGTCAGCGAAGCACTGCATTCAGGCAGCCGTAGCGAGAGTGTAACATCCATACGTCGCAACGCATCTCTAGGTAAGGAGGCTACGACGAGAATATTCTTTTTTCTTTACATATCTTTCTCTGGGAAGTGAGGAGGTCATCTACAAAGCAGATACTCAAGGGGCAGATCGATCGGGGATTAAAAAAAAAACCAAGTTCAAGTTCTGCAGGAAACCAGTCTCGGAAATAGAGAATCCCAACAAGCCTTGGGGTTCAAATATGCTAGGTTTTCTCAAAGTTTGATACTCATCTTTATCACCAATATTTTGTCTGGAGCACAACTTCGTCCAATCATAGTGAAAGTGCCCTTATCTGAATTGAGTCAATATGTCTATCCCCGAAAAATGTACTGTGTTGGTGGTAGGTGGTGGGCCAGGAGGGTCGTATGCTGCCTCGGTGCTAGCGCGGGAAGGAATTTCCACCGTCTTGCTAGAAGCTGATTCGTTTCCCCGGTGAGTTCCATCAAAAGTTTAATTTCAACTGAGTGCCAGGGCGATTGACTAGAGAGTTAGATACCACATTGGCGAGAGCCTGTTGCCATCCACGCGCGAGTTTTTGAAATTTATTGACGTGTATGACAAGTTTGAAAGCCACGGGTTCATTCACAAGGTCGGCATGATGACTCTGTAAATTTGTCTTGATAGCCAACTCACATGATTACAGAATGGAGCTTCGTTTAGCTACAATAGCAAGCCCCCAGCTTGTAAGTAACTGTCAGGATGTTGTTGGATGTTTCATGACTGACTGAAGGCTAATTAGACACAAACTTCCTTGCGTTTGGTGGTCACGCATGGAATGTGATTCGCTCCGAGTGCGACCAAATTCTTTTTAAGCATGCTGGAGATAGCGGCGCGAAAACCTTCGACGGAGTGAAAGTCAATGCAATTAAATTCCAACCATCTGGCTGCCAGGAAAGCCATGGCGACTCCAGTCTAGGATGGCCCATTTCTGCCTCCTGGGCGCGCAAGGACAAAACAGCCAGCGGCACAATTCACTTCAAGTACCTGGTGGATGCCAGTGGACGAGCGGGCTTGATAAGTACCAAGTATATGAAGAATCGCCGATATAACGAAGGTCTTAAAAATATCGCGACCTGGGGTTATTTCGAAGGTGCTGGAATGTACGGCATGGGTACTCCTGCACAAGGAGGTCCGTTCTTCCCCCGACTAAAAGGTACATGTATCAGTATATATCCAAATTGATATGACACCGAAACAGACCATTAACACTATGTACTCTTAGATGGAACCGGTTGGGCTTGGTTCATTCCTCTTCACAACGGCACAACTTCCGTCGGCTTGGTAATGCAACAAACGAGCTTCACAGCAAAAAAGAAGGAGATGGAGTCGCCCAACACGCGGAACTTCTTTCTGCAGCATATACACGACGCTCCTATGATTTCTGAGCTGCTGGAAAATGCCATACTCGTGTCGGAAGTCAAATCAGCCACCGACTGGTCGTACAGCGCACCAAGATACGCCAGTCCCTGCATCCGCATTGTCGGGGATGCCGGGTGCTTTATTGACCCTCTCTTCTCGTCGGGTGTGCATCTAGCGTTCACTGGAGCACTCTCTGCCGCTGCCTCCATCTGTGCGGCAATCAAAGGAGACTGCACGGAGCAGTTGGCAGCCAACTGGCATTCGGAGAAGATTCGAGAGGCCTATACGCGATTTTTGCTGGTAGTGACTAGCGCGTACGCACAAATTACAGGACAAGAGCGTCCGGTGTTGAATGAGTATGATGAGGAAAACTTTGATCGTGCTTTCAGTTTCTTCCGACCCAGTAAGTCTCTATCTTTCTTTCAGCTGTTTTGCATATATCTTTGATACTTGTGGTGCTGATATAATGCCATTCAGTCATCCAAGGGACCGTGGAAATTGGTGGAGGAAAACTAAGTCCCGAAGACGTGGCCGACTCAGTTGAGTTCTGCATGCGAGTCATCCGCAAGGTTGATGGCACTACGAACACAGACCCAAATGGAAAAAAGCCGAGTGAAGATGAAAATGGCGAGTTGACGTGTGATCGTATCAAGAAGGCGGAGCTAAAGTCAGATATTAACAAATTCCGGGTTGATATCGTGAATGGGATGACCGTCAACCTTCAACAAGGAGCTCTAGGTCTGGTCAAAATGGCTTGATAAGATTTCAGGCGGTTTTGAATGTGATTAGGTGGCTAGATAAGGATGGTCAGCACCGTGAAAATTTACAAGGCTTACTTCGTGTTGAAAAGAGGCCTGGGGTTTATTTCAGTTGCAAAAGAATTCTTAGTGTTCTAGATATGCGAAGTAGGCATAAAGAATGACGAGTCAAAGCTTTTAGGTTTTTCTATGAAATCTAGCAAAAGATTGCGGCTCCTTATACTTTGAATAGCGGCATCTTTTGTGGCAGCTACCTGCCGTAAATAATGAGTCTCGGCTCCATTAATCACCCAATCATCATATGCGGCACCTACCTACGTGTGGAATTCTGCATATAATATATCCATATAGCTCGATTTCAAATTGAAACTGGGTGGTTAGGCAACTTGACAGAGTCTAGAATAGCGTTTGGTTGTCATTTTGCAGATTCAACGGATTAAGACATTAAAACGTAGATATTTCTCGTATTTGCGGGTATTCAACTAGGATTTGTAATTGTGACATTATGACTAACAGCATAGTCCTCATATTAGACTACCATATGACATGATATCACAACCATCAAATAGAAGTAAAGGGTTTCTTGAATTTTTGACATCGTGGTTGGTGTCATGGCATATTGATATTCTATCTTGCATCCAGAAGCGGTAGCTCGTTTTCTCGTCAATCTTTATTCATCATCAGGAAAATCGGCCCGAATTGCCTCGAGAATCGCTTGTCGATGAAGCCCAGCAGTGGTTGGCCGCCATACCTGTACCAGGTTCAGTCCCACCGAGACGAGCAGATCTCGGAACTGCGTCTCTGTTCGTTCGAGCGACGAACACAAGACCATCATACTGAAATCCATGATGGTATCCGATAGATGGACCTTCGCCGCACCATCTGGAAGCACGCGTTCATGGATGAGAAGCAGAGAGTCTTCGGCCATCGCATTTCGGATGTGCTGCAGGATGTTCCGCGCTTGAGTATCTGGCCAATCGTGCACGACACGACCCAAAAAGTAGACGTGTGCACCTGTAATGGGCTGTGGCTCAAAGAAGCTGTACGGCATAGCCTGCACTGTCTGCATTGTGGGGGTAGACTGGAGTTCCGGCAGCATGTGTTGGACGACGCCGGGTACGTCCTGAAGGATGAACTGGCCTCGGAGACACGGAAAAGTGTCAAGCAAAACTTTGATTTCATGACCTATACCTCCTCCGATATCCACAAGTTGAAGCTTTTCATCAGAAGGAGGGGTGGTGTTCATGAATTGCTGGAATCGCTGCGCGATGGGAAAGATTTCGGTCCATCGAGCAGCATTGTCCCGCATAATACCGGCTTGCATTGTACGGTTGAAGGCATCGAGCTGGGCTGGGTGCGATTTCATCCAGTCAAAATAATGCTCATCTGTATTGAAGACACTTTGAAAAGGTCCCGCATAGGCGTTTATGGGAGATTTGTATTTTGTCTCCTTCAAGTACTGGGGAAGTTTCGCAAATATTTGGAAGTGAACGTCACTGATGGCACATGAGTAGAATTAGTTTGTTCAATTCTCCTTGACATAGATTCTCTGCGCTTGTATCTATGCTTACAAGTTCATTATAATCCGGCTTGCCAAATAGCCACCTCGAGCGAGGTCCTTCACAACAGGATCAGGTTTGTAGGTCTCTGCTGTGGTGACGTTAAAGATCCCAATCGCCGTCAACGACCGTAATATACGGACTATTCAATTTATCAATCAGCTGCGACCGGCTTTGAGTAAAAGGAAGGAAACGGCGGTTCTCGTACACACAAGCAACGGGTCTCCACCCGCGTGCGATACGATTTCGTCGCCCTTGAATTCTTCTTTAAGAGAATCATGGACAAAATCGAAGATTCCCAGGTTAATGGCGATGCGGGTTGCCACAATTGGGGTCATCTACTCGGCGTCAGTTCACTCAGTGTCCACATCTCTCATTACGCCAGGAATGGATTTACAGAAACGCTGGCTTTCTCTAATCTTGACCTTGGCTGCTCCATAGTTGAGGAAAGTTTTTCGCAGGCGCGTGACAGCTCTGCCCGCTGTTGAGGGTCAATCCCCTGCTGGCTGGAGAGGAGCTCCGCCGCCTCGCAGATCGAATTAGTGAGTTTAGTCAGATCCATTGCTTCCAAATCAACAGTGCTGATACATAAAATTGAAAGAGAAGACGATTACTGCTTCTGGATGTCTAGAGTCAAAAGCCAACTGTCAAAGTATCGACTCCTGAGCGCCGTCTTACGAGTACTTGCAAGGGAGGAAAATTGTAAAATAAGGTCCGCATGACTGTCATCCCGACTGTGACCTCTCAGATGCACCTGATAAGTGGCCGCGCATTTTTACAGAAGAAGAATATTTAATATTCATATCATAAGCGCAAGCTGTTCTTATTGCTACTACAGCGTATATCCCAGAAAGTAGAATCATGGTGTTGCATGGCATTAGCGACATGCAAGGACTATGCGTCCCTCTTCTTTACGAAATCATTCTCAAAATCTAGGCCCGCATCACACCTAATGATGCCGTACGAAGCAGCCGAGTCCAAGTGCCGATCTTCCTGTTGGGAAAATAGCTTGGCCCGCTGGAGGTGCTCTAGGACGATTTCACCGACTGGCAATCTGATACCCACAGCAGCAGCACAGTCAATGGCGTGGTCAACATCTTTCAGAGCCAAATCTAAATTCGACCACGGAGATGTGCCTAGCAATCCATCGTTCGCAAAGTCAGCACAATCTTATTATGTTTCTAAGTGGAATTCTCACCCTTGCGCGGCATATAGATTCCTTGAGTCAATCTCTTAGAAATCATGGTCGGCAGAGGTCCAAACTGGGCTTCCAACAGCTTCTCTACCACCTCACAGCCCATCTCGCTTTTCTCTGCAAATACATGAGCTTCACCGACAATCTCTGTCAGGCCCGACACGAGGAAGTTCCTTGCATTTTCTTAGATCTTATGGAAAAAATATTGCAAGAGTCTAGAATACACTCACCCGATGATTTTCAACAGAGATGCCTTTTCTGGCTTCTCTGCCACCTCAAGCATATCACGCGCTATCACGCCTTTGATGTAAGGGGAGATACGGTGTATCATGCAGGGAGCACCGGCAGTGACCATCAGGATCTTTCGCTCTGCAGCCATTGGGGCGGAGCCAAATATAGGTCCTTGATCATGACTGTGGTAAGTATAGTAAAAGATGAAGAAAGGAAAAATAAAAAAACAAGGAACCCAAAGTGAGGGCGAAATAACACACCGGAGATAAGAAAGGCATTTTCCTCCGCCAGCTTCGTGGAAACAGCTTTGCTTGTATTTGGATGAACAGTCGTGGTATCCACAATGATCTTGTCGGTCAAATTCCCGGCTGATAAGATTTCTGCCATGATAGTCTGTAGTGCGTCGTCGTTACTGGTCTAATTGTTTGATTGGTCAGAATTCTGGACCATGAGACAAGGAGCAGTACCCCCCGCACCGAGATGAAGATTATCGCACTATCCCTGACCACGGCGGCGATAGAATCACATTGTTTCCCACCAAGACTAGTCACCCCGTCGCCTTTGCAGGGAGTGCGATTCCAGAACCGCAATGGCGGCTGACTCTGAGCGGAGAGATAGCTCTGGAGATTTGAGGCCATGGCAAGACCCATGTTTCCGAGTCCTATAGGAATCTTCTGATGTTAGCGAATGTCCAATCAACGGTTTCCGTGTTAGCGGGACTTGCCAATCCACCCCAGTTGGGGAGGTGCTGGGATAACCATTGGGCTCCGTCGTTTTGAGAGCTTTTTAGATGTTAAGCTGAGAAATAATTGAATTGTTTTCATTTATAGCGCCATAAAATTTCATGGCGCGCCTGTAAATAAATGCTAGAAACCCGAATTTAGCCATCTCGGTCTGGTTGCTTCAACTCCGCCTCCACGTCATACAAGACATCCCCATTCAACACCCCCGACATAGACATACCCCAGAACCGATTCACATGCAACATAATCCACATGTACCACTCCTTACACCACACAGACCACGGCGACTGATTACGGCGCATTCTGCCATTGCGTAATGCAACCTCATTGATGCGCTGGATCCGCGGGCGACGGAGCCGATCGAATCGGCCAAAAACCTCCCCAAGGGTTGTGCAGTCACCAGCTTGGTACTGGGCCAGTAGTCCAGAGAGTAGCAGCACATCCTCCAACGCTAGAGCGACGCCCTGCCCGGCGTGAGGTTGCACGGCATGCGCGGCGTCCCCCATCAACAGCACGCGCGGCGATCCCTGTGGGGCATCCGAGGGCAAAAACCACCGACCCCCTAGTGGCAGGCGATAATGCGGGTAGAAATGCACATCCCGGCTAGCGTCGACTAGCTGCCGCAGGTATTCTCCCCACTGACCATGTACGCAGTCCAGCACGTTCGACAGTGAGCTGCGACAGTCGGCCAGCTCTTTCTGACGGTGAAGCAACCATCCATCACGGACGTCAGCTGAGGAGGTGCCTTTCGGCAAAGGCACCTCTTTGCTAAAGAACCAGAATATTTGCTTGCCAGCGCAGGGCGCGGTAGCCAGCATTCCATGTGGCGTGATTGTTGAGTGCAGGCAGTCAGTATCGTTGGGATCTCGATTGATCACATCGTCCACAATAGATGATATCGCCGAGATTCCCGAATACACAGGGGCAACCCCTGGATCGACGTGCATCTTGCGTACAGCCGAGTGGATTCCATCGCAGCCCAGGAGAAGTGACGCCGTGTCACTGGTACCATCGGAAAAGGTAACTGTTACGGAGTCTCCACGATCGTCGATGGAAGTGACCTTTTTGTCGTAGTGGATCGGGATCTGGTATTTCTGAGTGCCTTCCCGCAGGCACTCGACCAGATCCACCCGGTTGATGCGAAGATATCCGAAACCCGTCCTTTGTTTGGCTTCTGAAGCGATATCGACTTCACTCAGAACACTGCCAGATGTGGAGTGCAGGACAGTTTTGGTGATGTCTACGCTGCGCGGGAGGATTATGTTCCAGAGGTCGAGTCGGTGCAGGATACGCACGCCATTCGCAGGAATGCCTAGAGAGCCGCCGATACCTGCAGTTTCTGGGTTTCGGAGCTCGTAGATGACCGGGTTCAGCTTGTTGTGTTGAGCTAGACGGATGGCAGCTGCGAGGCCAGTAGGTCCTCCCCCAATAATGATGACCTGTGCTAGTCAGCGTGGCCGTGGTGATGAAACAAGGGGAGGACAAAGACCTTCTGGAGATCATACATAGTGTCTGTGGTATGAGTGAGAAAGACCAGAAGGAAATGTTGACATTATATATCTGCGAGCCCCTCCCAAAATGGGTTCCCGGGCAAGAGAAGCAGCCCTGAAGCCATCTGGACAACGACCACTGTTACATTGTGCGGCTCCTTGCAGCCTTGCAAGATCCATGACAGATTCAAGTTGCGGTCAACATGGCATTAATAAAAGCAAGGCCTATGCGAGTAGGTAGTTTGATCATTGAATTTTGGATCACTCGCAACAGATCCGTGTCTTATAGGCATATAATCTAACGCTGCTCAACATTGTTTCCAACCAGACATACTAGTTCCACAATTTCCCCTGTCTTTTTTCTAGCAAAAAATGGCACTTACAAACCTTACACTTCTTCTGGAGGCTGTCGCCCAAGAGGGTGGCGGGCATGTCATTTGCTATCCGCCCCAAAACACCACCAAGCCCAAGTCATACTCCTACCGCCGGCTGCTCGAAGACGCCCAGAGGGCCTCGTGGGCATTGCGCTGCCGACCAGAGAAGTTTCGTCGAGGTCGAGTGATCCTTATCCATCTAGACACCCACTGGGAAAACATTGTCTGGTTCTGGGCCGTCACGCTGGCTGGCTGTATCCCGGCCATGTCCACGTCGCTGTCCAACAACTTGGCGGCACGCGTATCACATCTGGAGCATCTAGCTACTACGCTCAAAAGTCCTTCGTGTCTTACTACAGCGGCAAAGCTGTCCGAATTTGGAGGACAAGACGCTATCACTCCAATTGCTCTCGAATCGCTGGACGTGGACAATGCCCCAGCCGCAGAGCTGAGCAACGTCTATCGCGAAGCCATGCCTGGAGATATCGCCATCCTGATGCTGACATCTGGCAGTACTAGTCACGCTAAAGCGGTGATTCTCACTCACCAGCAGATCTTCATGGCACTGGACAGCAAGTATAAGGTGGTGCCGCTGCCTAACAAGACTTCATTCTTGAACTGGGTCCGCTGCGACCACGTTGCGGCCATTGTTGAAATCCATCTGCAGGCCCTCTTCGCGCATCAAGACCAGGTACATGTACAGGCTCCGGATGTCTTGTCACATCCCCTTGCATTTTTGGATATCATCAATCGCCATCGCGTCTCCCGTACCTTCGCACCCAATTTCTTCTTCGCTCGCATCCGCACCGCACTTGAGGGTCACGGGGACTGCTGCACTCCATATGGCTGGGATCTCAGCTGTCTGCGGTACATCGCCTCAGGTGGTGAGGCAAACGTCACCAAGACCGGTGTTGCTGTCGCAAAGCTGCTCGCTCAGTACGGTGCCCCCGAGACCGTCATTGCTCCCGGCTTCGGCATGACGGAGACTTGCGGCGGCGCAATCTACAACTTGGACTTCCCTCGCTACGATCTCGACCGAGGTCTAGAGTTCGCATCCGCGGGAAAATGTATGCCAGGTCTAAGTATGAGAATCACCATCGTTGAGGACAATTCCATTGCACCGGCTGGAACAGTGGGCAATCTCGAGCTGGCGGGGCCGATCCTCTTCGAGGGATACTTCAATAACCCGATGGCAAACGAACAGTCGTTCACTAGCGATGGCTGGTTCCAGACGGGTGACTTAGCTTCTATTGACGACAAAGGTAATCTTCATTTAATGGGCAGAGCTAAAGAATCCATGATCGTCAACGGCGTCAAGTACAGCCCGCAGGAGATTGAAAGTGCCCTAGACGAGCCTGATGAAATCCCTGGCCTGACCCCGAGTTTCACATGTTGTTTTTCTTCATTTCCTCCAGGTGGTGACACAGAAGTAATCTGCGTGGTATACTTGCCGAGCTATGCGCCCGACGACGATGTCGCGCGAGCCACAACGGCCGACGCTATCACCAAAACTACCATGATGTCGACAGGCGCGCGACCACTGGTGCTACCTCTCGATAAATCGCAGCTGCAAAAATCAGCACTGGGAAAATTAGCACGAACAAAGATCAAGATGGCCTTCGAAAAGGGCGATTACAGCACCTATCAAGATATCAACTCGGAGGCAATCAAGTTGCACCGGGCGACGGCCCGCGTTCACCCTGCAAACGAGCTAGAGCAACGCTTGCTCGACCTCTTCACCAAAACCCTTGAGCTGCCTGAGGAGGAGTTTGACGTGCAGTCTTCTCTATTTGACATGGGCATAACCTCTGTGGAGCTCATTAAATTGAAGAAGCACATCGAAGAGAATTTGAGTCTTACGCAGGAAATCCCAATAATCACTTTGATGACCAATCCGACTGTTCGCGATCTCGCCAGTGCCTTGCAGGACCAGCAGGGTCCTCACAAAATCGGAGATTATAATCCCGCGGTCACGTTGCAGTCCCAGGGAGAGAAGACACCGCTATGGCTTGTCCACCCGGGCGTCGGCGAGGTTCTGGTATTTCTCAATTTAGCAAAATTTCTGGTGGATAGGAAAGTCTACGCCCTACGGGCGCGCGGTTTCAACGAAGGCGAAGAGCCTTTCGAGACGATCGAGGATGTCGTGAGCACATATCACATCGCCATCAAAAGAAAGCAGCCGCATGGACCATATGCGCTGGCTGGGTATTCATATGGCACAATGCTGGCCTTCGAGGTTGGAAAGGTATTAGAGAGCAACGGAGACGATGTGCGCTTCCTGGGCTCCTTCAACCTGCCACCTCATATCAAGACTCGCATGCGCCAATTAGACTACAAGGAATGTCTGCTTCATCTCTCTTACTTTTTAGATCTGATGACTGAGGATCGCGCGCGGGAGTTGGCAGTAGAGATGAAAGGCACGACTCGGGAGGCCACTCTCGCGAAGGTGATAGGAGAAGCGAATCAGGATCGCCTCGTCGAACTGGCCCTGTCCCCTGAGGCTCTAACCAAATGGGCATGCTTGGCTTTTGCCCTGCAAAGCATGGCCGTTGACTATGATCCCACCAGCTCCATTGCTGGCATTGATGTCTTCTACTGCAATCCTCTGGCCGTCGCGGCCTCATCCAAGGCCCAATGGCTCAGTGAGCACTTGAGTCAGTGGAAGGATTTCTCGCGATCCACGCCGCGCTTCCACGACGTTGGAGGTGCCCATTACACTATGTTAGGGCCGGAACATGTTTTTGGTTTCCAAAAAACACTACGGAGTGCTCTGGACGCAAGGGGGATTTGAGATTTTCTTTTTTCAGGTATGGAAAGTAGCGTTGCAAAAGGAGTTCATGATGATGGTCAGGATGGAGAAACATTTTATCTAGAATTTTGATTACTATTGGCAGACAGCTACCCGAGGAGAAGTGATACTTCAATGACCTTGAATTTTCAGACATTGCACTCAGCAGGGGAAGAGACTCGTTGAAATGCACTTCATTATATAAGGTAGTTACTCTATATAAAAATATGCAAAAAAGACATGGTACATACGACCATAGGGTGTGGAGAACAGGGCTTCCCGTCCGCTCAGCCGTACTTAAGCCACACGCCGGCAGGTTAGTAGTTGGGTGGGTGACCACCAGCGAATCCCTGCTGTTGTATGTTTTTTGGTCACATATTCCAACTTTGGCTGCTTCTTTATCCTGTTGACATGTCTCCATACCCAAGGAGAACCTTGCCCAATGGAAATTAGGCAACCAGTAAAGGCGGTCAGATAAAGCCATGGCTACAATATCTTCCTTCTCCATGGGTCATGAGCTTATGATCCTTGTCATCTTCTTTGTTCCTTTTTAGGCTCTATAAGCAACTCTAAGGTATGCCTGATCGCGATGATACTCCATATTGCCCTCACCTTCCACGAAGCGGTATCAAAATTTTGCAAGATTGAATCTCAGGGCTGTTTGGAAATTGATTCAACAAGATACTTGTCAATGAGTGATGTGTTCTGAAATTAAATTGGTTTTCCTGCATGCATAGGGCGTATAACAACCTTAAATTGCGGGAAAAAACTTATTTAAAACCATACCCACTTTCCCTTCCTGGCGAGGCAAGTGAAGGGCTTCATAAGTATCAATCTCTTCCCTCAACCCCCCAAGGCTTAAGTCTGCATTACCCGGCCATACATATTTGGTCTTGACACAAAATTTCCAACCGAGGAAAGCAATGATAAAGAACCCAATCATCCCATAGTCCAAGAAAAACCACATCACATCCCAGCCGCCTTTCAAGAATAAATCATAGCCACCTGCCAGCACCATAAATAAGGTACCAACCATGGCTAGATAAGAAGTGTAAGGCTGGAATCGGCCTTTGTAAGGTAGTGTATCCCGAGAAATTCCTTGTTTAGCTAGGGCAGAGTAGAAGTGTCTGTATGTCAAAGCCGTGAAGCCATAATTGATCAACTGACAACACGTTACTAGATCGACAAGGTAGTCCATTACTGCTGCAGAGGAGCTGTTGACCTGCAGAAATGCAAGAAGACAGAAAGAGAGTGAGAACAGAAGAGCCAAGAGGGGCACTCCGGCTTTTGTGCACCAAGAGAAGTACCGAGGTGCGTAGCCTTTGATGGCCATACCATGTAGGGTGCGCGTGGCTGCAAATAGAAGACCGTTCCCGGCGCTAAATATGGATGTCATGATCAATGCATTGACGAGGTGAGGTAGACCGTGGATCTTTAGCCGTTGCATTGCGATGACATACGGTCTGATGGTATGGATGTTTGCGTGGGTGAGTGAATGCTATTTTGAAAGGTAGAAAGGTAGCGTGGATAAGGAGAACTCACGAGGCAGCACCTGTGCCAGACCCTGAGATGTCACCGTCAAGGATGGAAGCCAGTGTTGAGTCGTTGTAAGGAATGACGATCCCCATACAAAGAGCAGAGCCCACAAAAAATAAAAGAATGCGCCAGACGAAAGATCGGTAGGCTGGAGGTAGGGTCTTTCGGGGGTTCTCGGCTTCGGCAGCAACGATGGATATGTATTCCGGACCGCAGATACTAATGGAATGTTAGAATTGGCTCTTGCTCTCACATCAGAGACTCACGAGAAAGTAGCCTGATATACGCATGACAAGACACCTAGGAACCTTCCTCTTTTTCCGGGGACAAGATGCTCGACGAATGCGCCCGGGTTATCCCAATACCGAAACCCGTATCGATCGTGCAACGGGTTTCCCCCTAGCATGGTGATGAAGGTAAAAAAGAACAAAGAAATCATCAAAAGAACTTTGAAAATTGATAGATAAAATTCCGCGACCCCAAAATATTCCACGCTTATCGCATTAAGCAGAGCGTAGAAGACAATCATCGCGACAATGATAGCCTCGACAGGAACCTTATCTGTCCAAAAGGTAATCATAATGTTCATAGCCACCATCTCAAATGGCACGAGAAAGGCCATATTGAGGAAAAAATTCCACGCCATAGCAAAACCCAGTGCTCCGTCAACCCACTCGCCACCGAAACGAACGAAAGGTGAGGGTACCGGGAGGTATGTCACCATCTCTGCGAAGCACTCGTTGACTGCCCACATGACGATACCCCATAGTATAAAGGCAATAAGAAGACCTGCGGGACCTCCTTTAGGAAGAGCAGAGCCCATCTGTACGTAGAGAGCTGGAATTGAGATTAGACTTGCTCTTGAAAAGGCTTGAACTTTGAGGACCGCTTTTAACTTACATGTACCAATTGCTCCGCCGATAGCAAAAAGCTGAACCTGTCTTCCGCGTAACCTGCGATGTAGAGCTTGTGATCCAGCAGTTATTTCACTTATAGTTCCGGTATTAGCATCTTCGCTAGCATCGTGGATTGGGTCGCTGGTGGTAGTTGAAAAAAACTGCCCTGGAGCCTTTTCAGGCAAAGGGCTTGCCGACATAGATGTTATGGCTTCAATAAATTGAAAGAAATTATGCATTCACGTTGGTTTTAATAATGAAATGATATTTCCAAGTTTGTGTGAGCATTCCAACGTAGGGTTGGAATGTGTCTTATTATTGAATGTTTCTATAGCTGTAGCCTATTGAAGGATTTACTTATCGGTCGCGAAAAAAAACCTTCCTCGAATTAACCGGCCTTTCACAGATAGCTACAATGTCAGGAATTGCTTCAGTAGATAGGGAGTGGTCTCATTCAAATGACTTTATTTTGCTAACATTACAAATCCTTGCCTGTGCATTGGTCCATGCACATGATCATGGACTATCATTTTATCGGGCCGCCCGATGACTTTTGAGCACTATCTATCCAAGTACGGGCACATATCGGCCTGTCCGACATGATTTATTATGTATTATGCTTGCATGCTCTCCAATCTTTTGTTATGTTATCTTCAATATTACACGCGAGGAACAAGATGTACAAAAATATGAATCTGGGCTATAGAGTAAAAGAAAGCATACTATAAGGAAATTATACTGTTCAATAATAGAATAGTCCAAAAAGAAACAACTACATCTATCTACACACTCTGACTGGGAAACAGGCCTGTCGACGAAGTAGGTTCTTGCGTAGCTGGGTCTATGTCACTGCTATCCAACCTTGTGGTGCTATATTTGCATCCGCTTTTCAAATAGACTTGTACCACAAGACCTTTAGGATTTGAAAGTGTTGCCACTCAAGTACTCTTCGTACTGATAGTCAGGCTGAAACTCCGCAAAAAGGGTCTCCTATGTCTTTAAATTAGTAGCTCAGCTAATGGAATAATCGGATTATGTTACTTACCGGAGTGCTGGCCATCTTAAAATTGTAGGCGGCTTCTTTCTCGCTCACATTTTTCTTCTCAAACTCCGTCCGATCAGCTAAAAGCTGAACTTGACAACTCCGTTCCATCAAACAAAAGAGAAAAGCCGCTTCATCCACCGTCTCACCAACCGTGAGAAGCCCATGATTCAACAAAATAACCGCTTTCCCATCTGCCAAGCTTTCAGCGATTCTTTGTCCCTCGGATGACTCGTTGGCAATGCCCCCGTAATCTGAATACACCGAATGGGCCTTATAGAAGTAGCAAACATCTTGATTGATCATCTCAAGTGGCTTTCCAAATGCAGACCAAGCCCTGCCATGAATCGAGTGAGTGTGGCATATGGCATGCACATCCTTGCGCGAGCGGTGAACTGCACTGTGGATCTGGAAACCAGCGGCGTTGATAGACCCAGCCATATTCCCGGCAACTACATCCCCATTCAGAGTTACACAAATCATGTCACTGGCCTTCAACATTCCAAAGTGAACCCCGAGTGGGTTGATCCAAAATCGATTCTCGAACTCGGGATCGCGGACACTGATGTGTCCAGATATGCCTTCTGCATAGCCGTTACGCGCAAATACTCGGAATGCACCTGCCATATGTTCCAATTGCCATTGCCTTTTACTGGAATGGGAATCAAAACTAGGAATTCCAGGGAGTGATTTGCCTCGATGGGCCATAGCAGCCATAGAATCGACATTGTCGATATTATTCGATTCAATACCAGAATGTTGGTATGATTGTTGGGCTGCGGAGAATTGCATATTGATCGGTGAATCACAAGTAGATAAGCGGATTGTGAAGAACAGGCTCTGGTGGTTTGAAATTTTGGGAAGCGCTCAGGTGTCATACATGTGTTGGATCTGGTCATAAAAACTAGCATCGAAAGTCACTTCCGCGAGGTTTTAATCTCACGATTCAGATAAAAGCCGATATAGGATAATCGTGGAGCTGAATCATGCTTCTTAGGGTCGGAGATTCCGACAACAATGGGTTTGGTTTTCGCCAATAGATAACAAATAAGTACTCAGAGTTAACCCAAAATCGGGGTATCCGATGAGATATTGGGTTAATGATAAGACAATTTGATGCAATGCGGGGTAATTATTTGGACTATCCTAGACATGTTCGGTGATATGTTTTCCTTATCTCATGCTTATGTTAGTCAAATTTGGTGATTTTGCGTATTATTTTGCTATCGCTATTGTAGATTTAATACGTTCGCTCGGGCAAAGTCGTTTCTCGGCGCGTTATCTGGGTTAGCAAGCTGTCGGCTTTCGCAATATACGACACGGTTTGCATATGAGATATCATATGCACAAATCGAGCCAACCAATCATCTCGATGTGTACGTTATAGTACCTTTATATACTCCACTTGGCAGAGGACAGATATAAACATAGAGAGAGAGATGCTGATCGATGGTCCGACCTTTTATGATAAAATATGAATTCGAAGAGCTTCAAATATATACAGTTTTGAAGAAGTAAGAAAATGCGGTAGCCTTCTATATCCTCTTCAACGACGAAACTAGATTAAGTGAACCCAGAGAAAAACATGTACGCCAATGTGCCCTTTCATGGTTGACGCTGTCCGCAACCTCTAGTTGCGGCGGTGTGTAAACGCCAAGGGACTGAACGTTTCAGAAGGAGACGTTGCGGTCCAATGGAGTATACCGTACAGATCAGCTGAACGGGCCAGCGCGGTGCTCGCGCGCCGGGGGAGAACTAGGGAGTGATTCTTACATCCTGTCTAGAGTGCGCACTCCCTCCTCGTGATTGTAACTCAGGTCTTTGAAAAGAGATACATATCACATACGACCATAGGATGCGGAGAACAGGCCTTCCCGCCCGCTCAGCCGTACTTCGAAGCTGTATATTTCAAGGAAGTCAGTATGATACGGCACCCCAAATTACAAGATAGAAGCTACAGCAGTCGAATTGCGCTTCATGTTTGGACTCTCTCGAATGCTTCCGAAAGGGTGACTGGAAGCGAACTCACGTCGGTACAGGACTTATGTTCTTTCAATTTTGTTAAGGAACCATTCGCATGTACCCATCGTTCGATCTTCCACATGATCTTTGTAATACTCGTATGTGGCATCTTCGGAGCCAGAGATGAGATGGAGCAACTGAAGACACTATTCTTGCCACTGGCTTACAATGCCCACTTGCTTGACGAATACGTTATACAGCACCAAGGTGACGATCACACCAACCGCCATATATCTCCATCTTGCAAGCCACCTGGTCTTTTAAGTTCAAGAAAGCATGCCAAAGAGGTGAGTGGAAAGCTTGCCATCCTCTCGCAAGACATCACGGATCACCTGGCATGGTGATCGAATTTTCAGGTAGATCAGGGTTAGGGAAGCATTCCGTTCCTGAAGATGTCGGATGATGTAGGCAATCAAATCTCCTTGCCTACCCGCTGTCTGTCAATTTATAATAATAACAATCGTTCTTTTATCGTACTATTCTCAAGATGCATCTCAATGGCCCATAATGCTACCTATACATACATATTACTTGTGATGAATTATAGACGTGGCTTAAGTACATCTGACGCCCCATATCCTGCGTCATCTTTCAAAGCCTGCTCAACAAGCTTGATAGCGTCCTTGGCCTTCGGTCTTGGCAAGGTTGACCGTCCGTGAGGACCAGTGTCATTGAATAGACCCACCTCTCGCCACCCACCAATATCACCAATTTCAAGCACAGTTCCCGGGGGATACTTCGGGTTCGTCACTAGTGACATCATTGCTTTGACAACCTCCTCGGGCGGAAGGGTAAAGTCTGTATCCATATCTATGTGCTGGCGAGCTTTAGCGCTATCGCGGAACAGAGGAGTGTCCACGACTCTATTATAATGTATATTAGCGAAACCATACAATTGATTTTGGAATGTTGAATTGCTTACCCTGGTGCAACAGCAACAACACGAATACCAGCTAGCATATCCAAAGGAGCCATGCACCTCACAAACTGACTGATGGCCTGTTTCGAAACCGAGTAGAGAGGATTGACGACGCTAGGAATCTGCGCCGTAATGCTGGAGATATGAACGATGACGCCTGGCTTTTGAGCACGACGCAGTCTTCGAATAGCAATTCTTGACATTTTGATAGGATGCATGATGTTTACGTCGAAAACTTTGTAGTGTGATGCAGAGTCTAGGTCTGCCCAGAAACTGTTCGAGGAAGGCTCGTAGACACCAGCTCCTGGAAGAACGATGTCGGGGGTTCCACCAAACTCTTTATCGAAGACATCGAAGGCCAATTCGAGTTGTCTCCAGTCAGTAACGTCAGTCTTCTGGAATCGAACTTTTGGGGAAGGCTGGCTTTCGATGCTTTGGAGCCACTCTTGAGCTGAGGCGTGGAGGCTAAGGTCCGCTAGGAGGACGGAGCAGCCATTATCATACAACGCCTTTGCAAAGGAAAGACCAATTCCTGGTATTTCGTGAGCAGTGCTTGATTGCTGCATGTCAGAAGACTTACCTGAGCCGCCACCAGTAATGATCGCTTTCTTGCCGCGTGGATCAAGCGGAGGCATTTCCAATCGTGCTGGTTTCTGTATTTGGTCTTTGGGATTTAAAACAATGTGAATTGTAGGGAGACCCCGATCAAGATCTGAGATGTTCAAATAAAAGCTAATCGTTGAGCTTGATGGCTCTATGTTGTGTGGTGCTGGAAAGCTCCGCCCGGCGGTGTTGAGGATTCCGCGGAACAACATCTCGGAATCAAGGCATCTTTTGCGACCAACAAATTGGCTGACTGACCTCGGGTCATTATTGACCCACTCATTTTTAATGCGCATGTCCGGACTTTCGGTGCTTAATATGCATTGAATCTGTAACATTGCCCGGAAATATATGGCCCAACCCGGACTTGTTCCGCAACCTAGCCGGTCATATAGACCGGACTGCCCGCAAGCCTCGAACCCATCCAAAGCAGCTATACGTTATCTTTTTTCATCAAAAAAATGAAAATGACTCAATATTTGAAATCCTCATCCTCCACTCCGGCAGGGCTCCCAATCACAGCGGGAACAACATACAAGATTGACGAAAAGACACCTGAGCTGTTCCGACCATTGACGATTCGCTCTGTCACACTTCGAAATAGGATATGTGTTTCGCCAATGTGTCTTTATTCCATTGCATCCTCAGGACCTCTGACGGGTGTAATGACACCTCTGTATATTACCACGATCGGCCACAACGTCTTCAAGGGAGCCGCCCTTGCCATGATTGAAGCTACAGGTGTTCAGCCAAGCGGTCGTATCACTCCGCACTGTCCGGGTCTTTGGAACGATGCCCAACAGCAGGGTCTGAGGCCAATCGTGGATTTTATTCACTCTCAAGGTGGTCTTTGTGGTGTTCAGCTGTCGCATGCCGGAAGAAAGTCAAGCACACAGCCTCCTCTGGTCGCGCAGCAGCTGGGAAAGTCGAGCGCAAGAGCTTTCGAAGAACACAACGGCTGGCCAGATGATGTGTTAGGCCCTTCTGGTGGTGCCGAACATTCATGGGATGGGAAAGGCCAGGACCCTTCCGGGGGCTATCACGTACCCAAGGAGATGACGGAGTTTGAGATCAAAGAGCTGGTGTCAAATTATGCGAAGTCTGCTGAGAGGGCGGTAAAGGCTGGCGTCGATGTAGTTGAGATACATGCGGCCCACGGCTATCTCATCAACCAATTTCTCAGTCCTGTCACCAACCGCCGAACAGATAGATACGGTGGGAGTTTTGAAAACCGGATTCGTGTGTTGCTGGAGGTCATCGTTGCAGTGAGAGCAGTGATTCCTGCAAGCCTACCTGTGTTTGTTAGAGTCAGCGCGACCGATTGGCTTGAGCACACCGAGGTTGGCAAGAACCTTGGAAGCTGGACGGAAGAGTCAACTATTCAGTTGGCTAGGCTGTTGCCGGAGCTAGGTGTCGACCTCATCGATGTAAGCTCAGGAGGAAACCATCACCAAGCCAGTTTCAACGTGTTTGATGGCGGAGAGAAGCATACCGAAATCGCTTTGAAAATCAAACAAGTCCTCAAAGCAGAAGGAAGCAAGCTGCTGGTTGGAACCGTCGGTCTGATCACTGAAGCGAAACAGGCCCGGGATCTGGTGCAGGGCGGTCTCAGAAGAGGACCTGGAGTTGATATCATTTCCGTTGGTCGGCAGTTCCTCAGAGAACCGGACTGGGTTTTGAATGTTGCTTCAGAGCTTGGGGTGGATGTTGTTTGGCCCGTTCAACTTCAACGTCTTCGGCCTGGCCCTACTTCCCGGATCTAGAAGAAACGAAGGAATAGTGTTTGGATAATAGGAATGATTGTTAATGTTCCATAGTTTTACGGGGTAAAATTTGATGTCATTAAGAAAAAGTCTGACCTTGTCGGTACTCTCCTGGTGATAGTCATTTGAACCCGTTGACTCAATAACCTGCGTAGTGTCTACAGTTTCTGACCTGTTTTGCCTATTCCTTGTAATCCATACTAACAAAGTCTATGCTGACTCTAATTTGTTACAAATAGGCCTATATTTTAAATGTAATTTCCTTTCCCAATTGCTGTGTCTAAGCTGTCACGCTTCTGTCGAGTCAAGCCTCTTCCATCATCTCAACCGATAGGCCGTTTGAGTTTTTACTGTAATTTCCAACCTCATCTGCATCATACAGTCCACCGTTATTCAACTCCCGCTGATACACAGCAACCATATCGTCGTCCCCGAACATCCCCGCAATCTCCTCAAGAGGCTTATTCCGGGTATCCTTAAACCAAATAATGACTAAGACCGCCGCAGTGCCCGGAATGCATGTGAATACTAGATACCAGCGCCATGAGATGGTACTTATGGCATAAGGGGTAGCCTGTAGCCACATTAGGTTGGTAGCTGAAAGGACAGCCATAGCGATTGCAAATCCTTGGGACCTGACATGCGAAGGCCAGATCTCAGCAATATAGAAATATGTTGGTCCATCCAAGGTAAGTGAGAACGTGGCTTGGAAAAGAAAAATGACAGCGACACAGGCACCTAGTCCTGCGCGATTCTCGGTACCAAGGTAGAAACTCTGCAGTGCAGTTAAGATACCGACCAATGCGCCGCAGCCCAAGAGGCCACCAGCAATAAGCCAAGGCCGGCGCACGCGGTCGACGAAGGTCATGGCGATGACGTTGAAGACAAACCCAGCTAGCTGAAAGCCGCACTGAAAGTTAAGGATCTGCACTGTGTCAAAGCCGAGAGATTTCCAGATGATAGAGCCATAATCTTGGAATGTCAGCGACATGCCTTGGAAAACGTCGTCACAATAATATGGGGAGAAAAAGAGCTCGACTCACTTAGGATAACTAAAATACCTGAGCTCATCAGAACAAACTCGAGAAAAACTGTCATTGCCAAGCGTTTCCGCATGGAGCTTTTTTTGAGAAGACTCCAATATGATGTAGCGAACCCGGCGTCAAGTAGGATCTGTTTCTTCATCTGGAAGAATTCGCGGCGAGCAAACTCATGCTCCGGATCAAGTGGGCTTGAATGCATACGGAAGATTATGTCACGGGCTTCTTCGTGGCGATCCGTGGACAACAAGTATCGCGGCGATTCTGGCATCCAGTATAAACCAGACAAGATAATAACAGGTAGCGCCATCTGAAGTGCGATAGGCCCGCGCCACTGACTGCTGCCTTTGACAAAGTAAAATCCGAGACCAACGTAGCAAGCAAGTGTATAGCCAACCATCATCATCACGGCATGCACATCAGTCAGGAGTCCTCGGAGGCGGGGGTGGCACAAGCTCAGCGACCCAAATAGGGACACTGGCGACAATGACCATGGAGCTAGTGAAAACAGGACAAAGTCAGGGAATTAAGAACCAATTCACATGTAAAATGTGTAGCATACCCGAAGCCGCTCACGAAGCGGAAGGCAATGAACATGGTGGGGTTGATCGAAGCTGTCATACACGCCCCAGAAATGACTAACAGAGCATTTCCAAAACCTGTTGAGAACTTGCGACCAAACTTTTTGCTGCTCCACCCTGCAAAGAAACTTCCAAACACGCCTCCGGTGTAGAACAGCGCATTCATTGCACCTTCAATGGACTCGGCATTCGTAGCCGTGTCCAGTTCCATATGTGTTATGAAAGACGGCTGCGTGAGGGTAGTTGCAATGACAGAGCCTGCGTAGCCATAAGCAGCAGAGCTCAGAGTGATAAAGAAGATAACAGCAGCAGAGTATACGTTGACATGTTGTCTTTTGTTGAATTGATCTTCTCGACTTTGCAGGGTTTCACTGGGCTCTAACTGTTTGAGCTGCATGATTTCGATTGTCAAGTTGATAGATTGACTATGAGTCGCAATTGAATTCCACAAAAAGCATTGTTTTTAAATTCACAAATTCTCTACTGCTTATCCATGCTTTCTCTTTGACATCTGCCGTTGCTAAATGCCATGTTTCCGAGATTTCTAGTGGCTGAAGGAGATAGACTTGCGACAGTTACCAGATCCACCATATCCCCGCATTTTCCCAGATTGTGGCTTATGATCATTCCGCGGAATTTTAGTGCTCGGAATGAGAAAATAAGGTTTCACGTTTGGGCTAGACCTAACAAGCCATGGTAGATTGCGGGGTACTTCAATCATTCCAGTTTAGCGTAGACTCGATCATTTCATATACCATTTTCGACCAAGAACATCGTGGCTTCAAAAGGTTGCCTTGATCATCTTGGCAGCTTCAACTGGAGGAAGGAACCAGCTGTTGAAGTATTTATATCAGTCAACACTATTTATTTCATTATTTGATAATGGGGCACTCACGTCAAATCCACTTCAGACTTTTCCTTACACTCCTCGACAATAAATCCATTACCTAGCCAAGCAAAGATAAGATCTTCTTCCTCGCACAAGCTGGTCCAGTCAAAGTCTTCCCAACGAGGATGTTTCAGAAGCTCGAAATAGTGCAATCTTGACCCCGGATGAAGAGAAATCAAAGGACCGTCTGGCTTGCCATTCTTGTACGTGGATGCGCAATTTGAACTCCAGGCAGTCTTATCCAGCCAGGCAAGAGCCTGTCGTTGATATGCACGAGGGATATGTGGCTTCGGCACCACGGAGCTATAATTCTCAGTTTGAAGCTTGCGGACAAATTGAGCAATGTACTCAGTCACGCGCTCGAGAGAGCTGACCACGCTACCATGTCCGAGGGGGCTGCCCGGCCCAAGATAGATAAAGAAATTGGGCATATCGGCAGCAGTGACTGACAGATAGCACTCCGGGTTATCATCCCATTTCTCCTGTAAACTGACGCCCTTGCAACCAATGATAGGGAAACGAGGGGAGAAAGACATATTGAAACCAGTGGCGCAGATGACGGTGTCCACATCTCGCTGCTCACCATTGGCAGCTAAGAGACCGGTTTCGTTGAAAGAGTCTATTCCTCCCCAGATTATTTCAACCTTGGGGGAGCATAGAGCCTCAAGATATCCGTTTCCAGGTGTCGTGCGACGACAGCTGTAGTGGTCACCCTGTTAGCCGAGGTAGTCTATTCGTGTATTCGGTAGCTCAACTCACCCAACAGCGAATTCAGGAATTAACTTCTCGCCAATTTCTGGCTTCGAAGAAAGCTTTTCGGTCATTTGAGAAGTAGAATACCCAAGGGCCTCCCTTTGGGCATTGGAGTCTTTGAGGTAGAGGAGGAAGCGGGAATTTAGCTCTGACTCGACCTCCTTCCGATACTGGAGATATTCATCGGGATTTTCGGCCCAATGCCTTTTTTGTCCCTCTGTAAAGAAGATATTCGCACCATTTGGACCAGCAAACTTCTGAGCAAAGCTGGCTGTCACCCATGTCTTGCTGCGAATATAGACATAGACCTTTTCCACATCATCAAGGATGTTAGGAAGAATCTGGACACCCGTACTGCCATTGCCAATCAATGCTACAGTTTTGCCCTTAAGCTCCACATTTTTGGGCCAAGCAGCGGAATGTATCATTTGACCCTTGAAAGTTTCCCTCCTAGGAATAGTTGGCCATTTCCAGTCATTGAAGCAGCCCCCGGCGTTGATCAGCACATCGCATTCTTCAGTAAACGGTTCTCCAGCTTCACCGTCCTTGTTGACCCGATTGCTGACCATCAATTCCCTACCGTCGGTCGCGACAATGTTCACTTGCCATTTCTGGCGTTCTTCAATCCATCTAGCTCCGATGATTTTGTGTGAGACTTTAACGTGTTTTCGAAGATTATGCTGATCGGCGACCGCTTCGATGTAAGTGTGGATGTCTTTCGCAGGAGCATAGTAGCTCTGGAAATAAGGACAGGGGGCCCAAGAGTACTTTAAACCAGTGAGAAGAGATAATACACGAAGCAGAGATGCATGCTATACCTGGTAATTATGGATGGGAATGTCACAGCTATGGTCCTGATTAGCATTCACTAGTAGCGATAGTAGGGAAGAGTTCCATACGCGCATCTTTGCATAAATCAGCACTCAGAATCCATCGACGGCTGTATTGAGGTAGAAATAACATACCCAGGGTAGCGATTCTCATACCAAGTTCCTCCAACCGAGGCGTTCTTCTCATATACCGTGAGACTCACATTCGGCAGATTGCCTAGTTCGACCTCTCGTGCAAATGCCAAGCCACTGAAACCCGCACCAACACAGATCACTTTCAATGCTCGAGGAGCACCTAAAGGCAATCTTGAAATGGCGTATGCAACATCGTCTACCTCTTTGTAAGCCTCTGTTGCTTCTCCCAATGACACATTGGGCGGTAGGATCTCCCTGTATCCTTTGAGGGCGTCTTCTTTCGCTTGATCGGGCATTATGGAAATTGATCTTGCCTCTAGGTGGATATGGTGACGGGACAAAATAAATTTAATGCTTCGGTTTGATTCAAAATGATCACTGCATAGAGCATGTTTATAAATGCTTCTGCCCGACTGACCATGAAGCGGTTGGGCCTGCAGTTCCGATACAATTTGTGCTATTATACATTGTTAATGGCGGTAACAAAAAGCCCAATTACCGCGGTGCCGAACTCGGTAATGCCGTTCCGGCCCCTAAACGTGCCAGGAAAAATACAATTCCGCGGAATGACGATTACTAGGGATAAGAAAATAACAGAGCAGAAAATTCATAATTTATTCATATTCGATAATGTTGTAGTTCTATTTTCAATTTTTCCCTCATTACTCCCCGTGAGTAAAATGCCAGGAGGAACTGGGCATGTTCTTTAGACTCACCCTGTGAAGATCCCGTTTTGGCGTATCTTGGTCGATCAAGGCGCTAGTAATCAAGCAATCCTCGACCACGAGTACCCAGGATCGGGCACCGAACACGACCCCTTTGTGGTGACTTGGATCCCAAACGACTGTCGGGATCCCCATTTATTCAGCTTTCCCAGTAAAATATGCATCATGCTTGTCGCCGCATCTTCGACTCTGATCGTCTCCTTGGCATCCTCTGCATAGAAGTGGAAGTCCGGATGAAATAATTGTCGATTTCAATGTCTCCACACCGGCTGCAACACTCAGCTGCATCCTGCCTGGCTGGCTGGCTGTATGGATTATATATCTGCCGTCGAGACTTGATAGAGTTCACGCCAGAGTTGACAGCCACGCTAAGCCTACTCAAAATCAAGTCTCGACATGAGGTGACGAAAGGGGTATAGTTGTGCTGAGTCAACTCTGGCGGGAGCTTTTCCAAGTCTCGACGTGAGTTAATTCCTGCGCTGGATGTCTTGGGGTTTGCGATTGGTCCGTTACTTTGGGCTCCTTTGAGCGAACTATGCGGTCGCCAGATTTCGTTTTTGATTAGCTTAAGCGGCATGGCGGCATTTTTGGCTGGCTGTGCAGCTGCTCCACACATTTAGTCGTTATGTATCCTTCGTTTCTTTGCCGGCTCTTTCGGCTTAGCGCCGCTGAGTAATGCTGGAGGGACCATTTCAGACTTAATTACAGCTAGACAACGAGGGTTTACCCTTAGCTTATATGCCGCCGCCCGATTACTTGGTCCATCTATAGGCCCTATCATCGGTGGCTTCCTTAGCATGAAGGCAGGTTAGAGATGGGTGGATGTTTCCTTGCTGCTACTTCTGGCTTTGTTTGGGTCTTAACGACACTCCTGATCCCCGAAACATATGCGCCTGTTCTTCTGATTCGACGAGCAGAGAGTCTCTCAGATACCTCGGACAAAGTTTATCGAAGCGAAATTGCCTTGCAGAAAAGCCAACTGCCATTAAATAAACTGCTTGGAAGATCTCTATCCAGGCCACTAGTATTATTAATTAAGGAGCCTATCGTATTACTCTCTGCGACGTACGTCGGCATCGTTTACGGAACGCTATACAGATAGACCTACATAGACAAATAGAAATACTGCAACTTCAAAACTAACCTCCGGTGGTAATTAGAGCGACGAGGAGTACTTCCAAGATTCTCTTTAAGTAGAAACTAAATAGCTTAGGATTAGGACGGTCAAAAATTGAATTTCTTTTCCCCTAATGGTGTTAATGACCGCCGTGTCCGTATCTACCTGTACTACGGAGTACAGTTGGCGGATTAGTTTGAGCGTCACATAGAGTCACTGGGGAAAATTCTACGTCAGACCGTCTTTTGCAAGTCATTGGCAAAGTAATGACCAACTAATAAGAGATGATTTGGGGTATCGAAAATGATACGATTAAATAACGCTTTACATTTATTTTAGCACGAGCTGCCGTCATATCGCAATGCCGCTAGGTGTCCCGCATCGACCGTAACTGATGACCCTGACATATAGCTAGCACCACAGCCACTTAAAAATATACACACATCAGCAATCTCCTCAGGTATAGCGAGTCTCTGCTTTCCGTTTCCCTCCACAGCCCATCCCCTGGACTTTCCTGGTACAGTATAAATCTTCCTACCCGCAACCATGGGTGTCTCAGTCATACCTGGACACACGGCGTTGATACGAATCTCTTGCGGGGCATGATCAATAGCCGCAGATTTTGTGAGACCGATGACAGCATGCTTTGAGACGTTGTATGGCATCATATTTTGCAAGGCAGCAAATCCAGTGATAGAGGCAATATTGACAATACTTCCTCTCTGTGCTCGAAGTGGGTTGTCGATTCCCGGGGTGCAGGTAGCGTCCTGCTTTTGCATCACCTGTATTTGCTGCTGCATACAGATCAAAACGCCCTTTGTGTTGATTTCAAGGATCTTATCGTACTCTTCGTGAGGGTAAATCGCGGTTGGTACGCGAGCGGTTGCTGTGATTCCGGCGACATTGGCAGCTGCATTCCCATTGTTATTATCGACCATCGATAGACCTGAGAGACGAACCATAATCTAGGCTTCCAAATGCGCTGATAGTCTCTGAGACCATGTGTTTCACTGACACCATATCTGTAACATCTGTCTCTAATCCCAGTGTCTGTGTCGCGTATCCTCGAGCTTTTATCAATGAAATGGTTTCGTTGATGCCGTCAATCTTGATGTCGGCCAATACAATAGCCCTGCATCCTACCTGGGCATAGGCGAGACATAGCTGACGCCCGATTCCAGATCCTGTTATAGTTAATAGTCGTCCCTTTCATTGGTAATTTCATTACGAACCTGCGCCTGTTACCAGAGCCACGCCATTCAGCGTTTTCACTTGAGCCGACATAGTAGCAATGATTCAGAATGAGATTGGAACACAATATTATTTCTTAGATGTTCTTTAACTGAATTTTGGAGATATAATATGTACCTAACCAGTGTGCTTACGCTCGTTTCCCGCCCCTATTCCCGGCTCGGAAGACTTCCGTGGAATTTACATTCCGTGTCAATACCCTCCTTAATACTAGTACCGCCAATTCATTAGCTACTCCAACGCTCTATTTATTGAACAATAGACTGCCTTAATCAAGACCCGTCTGATATTTTCTCTTCCCAACCCTATGTCTTAGTGGGAGAGTTGTGCAATCAGTCTGTTCCCAACTTTCGTGGCATTGTGAAAATCAAATTCCGTTCCACCACTGGCAAAGTGAGAATTAGTCACCATGATCAAAGCCCCGATTGGTGATTTTCGTCGAATTGAAGATGGTTTCAAGAGAGGATACGAGGGACATATGATCCGAATGATCAGAATGGTCTGAATTTACTATGTACATCATGACGACTAGTAGAACGAAATATAGATGCCAAAGAGAAAGCGGGGTATGCCAGAAAAAATGGGGATAAAGTCACTGCATAACTTTCCTTGCCACTGGCGAGCAGCAAGGTCCAGATGGGTACCGGGAACCTAATTTCCCCGCACGATTCATTGGTAGTGAGACTGGGGGTGTGCAAATCCCCCACGACTGCTTTGTCTGACCTTTTCATGTGGTGTTCCATTTTACTTGTAAGCTCTACAGCCCATCTTCTAAGTCCGATATCGCGTGTTGCTCGCCTCGTTCTTCTCTAGCTCGAGAAGAAAAGAACAGGAATACCCATTTTAGAATAGGAAAAAACATCCATCAAGCCCCATGCCCAAGGAGACAAGTCGCAAGGAAGGCTCCAAGCGTGATAGGTACACGTCACAAGCATGGTCAGCGTCCTCGGTTTCCCTTCACTTACCATACTGACGCGCGAACTAACCATCTAGCTTTGAATGCCAACGACGAAAAGTCAAGGTTAGTTTCGAATGATTTGGTGTTTCTTATCTTGATTGCAACTTGACGTCATTAACACACAAAAAGTGTTCAGGGGAGCCCATATGTTGCAGCTGTCGAACCAGAAGCATCGAGTGCCACTATGCCAGGGGAAACCAACCAGAAGTACCGATGCAAAAAAAGCGCACCAGAGAGGAGTGAGGTTCACCTTTACCATCGGTCTTCCAAATCAGACGGCTGATGATATCCAGATACCCTACGGAGACATCCCCTAGACCTTGTCCGCGGAAAGAAATCAGAACGTCCATTTCCTTGAAAGAGCAACTTTCCCAACTCCAAGATCAAGTGAATGCTCTTTCTAAAAATCGGAGCTTCGGCGTGACAGATAAAAAAGATGTGGCCGACGCACTGTTTTATAATATGAGTGTCTCTGAATCGGAGCAGTCTCCCAAACGAAGGTACCCGTCTATGTCCAATATCTCGGACAACGATATTTTTGAAAATCGCTCGGTCTGCAATTTCGGGTCCTATCAAGATATTCCCAGTCCTTTGGAGGAGCCTATGGAATCCGATACGCTTGGTGTTACAACTTCATCGCTCAATAGCCTGCCAATCGGCTGCCAGCTGAATGCTCTGAGACAGCTACGGCAGCCTCGCGCTACAGGTGACCTCAGCGACCCTTCCCAATCTCGGTTGGCTACAGTGACTTTGCAAGAACCGCAAGCTCTCTGGGAACTAGTCAACATCTTTTTCCAGGAATTTGAATCCTATTTTCCATGTCTTAACCAGGCCGTCATATATGAGCGACTGTCAATGGTTCTTTCCTTGCACGGATATGAGCATGGAAACCATCGAATTGTGATAGGTCCTGAACATTGCAAGATCATCGCCATTCTGTTGAACATGTTAGCCTATGCTGAGTCTCTTACCCGCCCTGTTGAATCTTGCAAGCCCCGGCCAGTCCCGCAGAGTTACTTACAAGGGCTAAAGCTGATGCAATATTTCAACAAACTTCACGAAGCTGACCTTGGAACGGTCATCTATCACACTACTTCGTCCGCTTTTCTTCTGGAGATGTCGATGCATCACATGGCCCTTCAGAGCATCACACAAGGATTCCAGATTGCGTTAAAAATCGGGCTCAACAACCAAACACTGTGGCCGAATGATGATTCTGATCTTGTATCTCGCCAGGGTCTGTGGTGGACACTTTATTTCCTTGACAAACGCATCACGCAAAAATGCGGCATCACGTATTTTCTACGTGAAGATGAGAGTGCTGTGAGTGATTTTAGCAAACTGAAGAATCATATGGGTTCAAGCAAGTACGACCTTTTACAGAGCTTGATATCATTCAGCCGCTTGTGGGCTTACATTTGGGATGGCTTCTTTTCACCCCAAGCCCCGAAGGTTGATGATTGGGGGGAATCACAGATGATGGATACGCGGATTGTTCTTTCATATCGGCAAGTACCGCCGAACCTTCACTGGAAATCGTCTAAGGTCGCAGAGTATATGTGCTTGGAAGGAGAGACACAAATTCGCCAGAGACTTATTGTATTTTTGGTAAGAAGCAAGAGTCTTTTAGAACCTCGTTTCACTCAAGCATGGCCACGCTGACCTATTCTATAGCGGTTCCAATCCCTTCGTTTGAGTATTCGCCATAAACCTCTCACATCTACTGAACATGATATCGAGCGTCGGCAAACATCGGTTTCAATTTGTGAAGCAATTATCGAAGCAATTCAAAGCTATATGACCATGACCACTTCTTTGAGGCCATCTGGGTATATTCTGACCACCTCCCTGGTCGAGATTCTGTACCATATCGTTCCAGAAGAGTGTGATCCAAAGCCTATATTTTCAGTTGAACTTCTGAAGGGGATGGTGTGCTCTGCTAGTCAACTTCTTCAAACGCTATCAAATTCTGTCGCGACGGCATCCCACGTATATCAATATTTACGGGATCTTCTACCACCCTACGATAGGTTCAGACCCCTTGACGGATTGACTGCATCTCCACCGAGCCAGAACGGAGCAAATCAAAAAGCTCATTTGGACTGCTCTGCGGATTTGGACACTCTCTCTGAGACATTTTGGAGAACCATTGTGGATCGACCAGGGCAAGACAGGAGTCCAGCTGGCATACACTCAGAGCCCAATAATCAGGGCTTTCTGCCTTTTTCTATGGCAATGTCCAAAAATCCTGCGACCGACTGCTTGCCATTCAAAGTGGATGACTTCCAGTGTCAACTTCTGATGAACATGGATCTGGAAGATATAGCGTTCAAAGCCCAACATGCACTTCCTATGGACTATTCTACCACCCACTTTGGGGGAGATCTTTTGTAATATATAAATGATTCCTTGATTTGAATTCACCTGGGTATGACCCTTAAGTTGAATGTTGAAGCTCGATCGCATCTTCCATTTCATTTTCGTTTCGCATATTGAACATGTTAGCTTAGCCTGCGATTAACTATTATGGAAATTGTAAGCATTTTTTTTCAATTTTATCTATCATTCATATTCTCTTCCAAGCAAAATTATCAAATGGAATATTATACCTCCCACCGGTGCCAAGCGTCGATGGGGAAACGGATGAAAACCTGGGGTAATGGTCCGGCCCAACTAAATCAGAAAGTTTATTCCTTGGTTCCGCGGAAGACATTTTGCGTATATACCCAAACAAAAGAAGCAACTCTCAGCATTATGTCCAGATACTTCAGGATACATGAAATGAAAAGTGGCCCCCAATGACGTACCCGATGAAGGGATACACTGGTCAATACGCAGGAATCACGGCATAGCTATCTGAAACGCTGAAGATCCCACAACCTTTAGGACGATATGCTAAGTTGATTTGAAGTTAGCGCGTCCATAGTGCTGTGCAACCTTTTTTCTGCATAATCTCAAATAAATATGAGACAACGGCCAGTATCTTGCTATACTATGTCAGATATCTCCCACTTTATCTTCTTGTCTTATTGTAATGCCATTCCAGCCGATCTATCCCTTCTGACCAGGAAAAACATTCTTGTGCAAGTCAAAGATGCTCTTTCAATCCGCCTCAAGCATTATTCCTGAGCACTACATTTCAGTAACTCTTACCTCGCTACGTTTCACTTCCTGTTATACTAGATGGGGCCTACTGACCGAGCTTGATTAGACTCTGCTTGTCTTGGTCTTGCAGGTCTATTATGAAGTCTTCATCAACCCCCTTGGTAAGTACCCGGGGCCAATGTTCGCAGCTGCATCGCGCATACATCAACTCTCTCACACTTTCAAAGGCAACTTGCTTCAGTGGGTCACTGGATTGCATGTCACGTACGGTGATGTAGTTCGTGTCGCTTCGGATTAATTAAGCTACACTACTGGAGAGGCACAGAAGGGAATCTATGGTCATGCGGCTGTAGGGAAAAAAGTTACTGAGAAGGACTCTCGGTTTTATGGCCCATCTTTCAATGGAGCTCTATATATTATCCGGACGGAAGGACCTGATCACTCTCGTTTCCGTCGCAACTTCTCGCATGCCTTTTCTGACCGGGCGCTTGGGGAATAGTAGTCCTTGACCTGCGGATACGTAGATATGTTAGTTGATAATTTCAACCACATAATTACCCTAGACGATGGATTGCTTGTCTGCGGGGAGTATATCCCTGGAAAGGTATTTCTTATCTAATGTATACATTCATTAATCAATTTCTAACTTGTAGATAAGTAATAGACTGCACTATCTGTTAATCAAAGGGCTTCCTATCAAAACCCAAAAAGTTAAAGCGACCTGATGATTTCATCCCTGAAATCTGGATTGGCGATGATTTTGCTCCCGTTAACAAGGCTGCGTTCTAGCTATTTTCGTTTGGCCCTCGCAACTGCCTTGGAAGAAAGTTGTCTTTCTCTACTCTTCCATAGATAATTTGCTAATGATTAAACAGTCTGGCATACCACGAACTGCGTGTGATTCTGGCGAAGGTGTTGTATAACTTTGAGTTTTGTCTTCTCCCCGAGTCTATTGGCTGGGAGAAATATAAAACTTTCTTCCTGTGAGACAGGAATGATTTGACGGTTCAACAGAAGACGAGAAGCTAGGAAGGGGATGGCAGTCTAGAAGAGACTTAGGATTGGAGGCTGTTTTGGTTTCCAAGCTTGTATTGAGCGAGATATTTGAATCGAAGAGACTACTGGAGCCAGTTCAAATGTACTCTTTAGCCAATAACGTATCTTGTAATACAAAGCGGCACCATTAGCTGTATATCAAAGCCATAAGACAGAAGCTCCCGTGGTTCTCTTTAAACCAAAAAACCGGATTCCCAGCTAAGGCAGAAGTGAGTTGTCACAGCAGGGGTAAGGGGGTGGGACTATTGCCAAACAAGTTAGTTGATTCCGTGTACTTTCCGAACAGAATGCCCACTTTTTGTTCCGTGCTAGTCTCTTCCGGCATTACTGTTCCGTTTCATTATGAGTACTCAATCCCGAAATTATGTCCCCCAGGCCTGAATAAAATTTGTACATGATTATTGCTTGGCATCTATATATGAAAGCGATGTAAAACTGCCAAAATAAATATCACATTGGAGGAAAATCGTAATTTCAATTGCTTGTGTTCCACATACCACAGAAATTATGTCATTGAACGTGCTGCCCCTTCCTATTGAGGAAGCTACTTTGAAGGCTCGCCTTGAGTTTTTAGACAAGTTTGAAGCACAACTCGCAGGAGGTACTCAATGGCAAGAATGTGAGTCTCCGGCTGCTTACCGTAAAATGCGCCGAGAGGGTCTGAATGGGTTCACGGCGCCTGCTCTCAACCCTAAAGCAAGGACTGTAAATATTTTTGGAAGAGACGATTATCAAATTGAATTGAGAATCATTGAACCGACTGAACAATTGAGCAAAGGTGTCTGGCTTCACTTCCACGCCGGTGAGTAACACAGACTGCCAACACAACCCGATCCTTCGTGCATCAACTGACTAAAATTTGACAGGTGGCTTTGTTATCGGTAGCAATGCATCATACGATAACTATTTGACCACCTTGTCTGATCGCTTGGGTCTGACTATGGTCTCCGTTGAGTACCGACTGGCACCGGAAAATGCTTTCCCCAAGCCTTTCCACGATTGTGTTGATGCGGCTCTATACGCACTCAGCTCAGCCGGCGAGAAAGAACTCGGTGCATCACTGAAGGTTCTCGGGGGTGAATCAGCAGGTGGTTGGCTCGCAGTTTCAACTGGTCTCTCTCTTCGCAGGGACTATGGAGTCGACGTCCGATCAAATTTGGATGCGATTGTGGCTGGATATGGAATCTTCGATCTTACCTACACACCATCTCTTTTGAGCCACACTCGGAACATCGTACTGAGTAAAGAAGGCATGATGGACTTTTGCGAGGCAGGCTTCAGCCACATTCCAATGATGCAGAGGAAGGATCCACTTGTTTCGCCTCTTTATGCCGATTTGAAGGAAATGCCAGCGGCACTTTTTTTGACGGGCAATATTGAGCCACTACTTGATGATAGTATTTTCATGGCCGCTAGGTGGCAACAAGCTGGAAATGTGACCGAGTTGAGTGTGGTTGATGGGGCATGCCATGCCTTCACTATTATTCCGATGGGAAATGCGACTGAGGAAGGGTTAGACATTATTGTTCAATTTGTGCAGAAGAGCTCTAGTAAATAATTCATACTATATTATGATATGTTTTAGAATACATAGCTCTCCCATTAAGGGAGAATTGTTTTAGGATAGTTTTGCCAGTATCACTCTATTGTATTAGAATAGAATGCATTAGTACTCGCGGAATATATAGGAGCCTTTTAGTATAAGATTGTTTTAGCTATAAGTGGCTTATTTATTGACCTTTCCCTTTAAATTGACTGTCTAAATTACCTTATAATCTTATCGCTTACCTTACTGATCTATCAATATTCCTAACTTGATTTTAAATGGCTTAATCTATCAAGGCCAAAGGTGCTGGTAGAGAGGCTCTTATATTATGGGCATCGCACTTTGAAAGTTCTGTTAATAGGATTGCCATCTGAAGGTGGTTGGTTTGATCCTGGCTGAGCGTGAATTTTTTTGAATAACACTAGCTATAGAGATTGTTTTTAACTAAAATAACACAAAGAGACTACTACGTATCAGAGGATATTGCTGGTACTCAAGAAATACTTATTCTTATTTTATTCTTCCTATTCTACACATTGAAAAATTCAACACAAAAATACAGTGGGTAGGAATGTAGTGAGTTATTAATTTATCTAGCTTCAGGATAGTCCGTATTATAGAGATAACTACTGGAATCCGCCATCGGCATTCAGGACCTATATTCAATAATAAAGTTAGTTTTGATGTAGGAAAAAGGCAAGACAGTTATAGAAAGACTTACACTTCCTGTGACAAAGCTAGAAGCATCGCTCAGCAAGAATAGAATACATTGGGCGATTTCTTCGGGTTGGGCAAGGCGTTGCAGCGCGGATCTCGCAACCAATCTCTGGAAAACCAGGTCAGGGGAGCCAAGAGCAGTAGCGAGGGGCGTATCGACAACACCACTTTATTCATCAGCACCTGTATTCACAAAGGGGGGTCATTTTCGCTCACGGAGCCACAGCGTTCACTCTAACGTTCTTAGATCCCGCTTCCTGGGCGGCCGACTTAGTCAAGGAAATAACACCCCACTTAGCTGCTCCATATGGAGCATTCCATGGGGAGCCTCGTTGGCCTGCAATACTCGCGACGTTGACAATACTTCCACTGTCGGCAATATGTCTAAGCTCCGACGACAAACTGTTCCGAATGCCGTTCAGATTGATTGCCATCATCTTATCCCACTCCTCGTCCTTGATGGCATCAAGTGCATACCCCTTTCCTGTAAACCCCTGAGTTCCAATCCACCCGGCGAGATTGGCTGCACCGTCAATCTTGCCATAGTGCTCCTTGGTTGCTTTCACGGCGGCCTCGATTCCGGCAGAGTTGGTAACATCAACTTTGAATCCGATGGCTTCACCGCCGACTTTTTTAATTTCGTTGACGACTTCTTGGGGGTCGTTTAGATCCAAAAGGCCAAGTTTTGCCCCTTGACGAGCGAGGAGAATGGAGGTAGCGCGGCCTTGCCCAGAGGCAGCGCCCGTAACGAAGAAGACTTTGTTCTTGAGATCGGCGTAAGACATTTTGCGTTTAAGGTACTGCGATTCGATAGAAATAGAAAGAACCAAACTTGTTATGATAATTATTTATTGATTCAGATTTTCCTTTGTCTTAAGTAGCACCTACCTTCTTCTCAGTTGAAGCCTAAAGGCAGATGGTATCCGACAACGGTTTCCCTTTCCCCTCGGAATGAATTTTATACACCGTATTTCCTAAGCAATTTGCGGGTACTGGACAAGTTGTGAAATTCCGGACCATTTGGATGTATAGTTTTCTTATTCGCTGAGACTTAAGTGGTTCCCACCGCCTTCGGAACAGCCGCGGATGACCTTAGTTCCGTTATGCTTCAATTCCGGCTCACCCCATGACCTTACCTCACCCAGCATCAAGGGAGAACCATCATAGGATGGCTTTTCCGGTATCACTCTATTTTATTGGCATATAATGCATCAGTACTCGCGAAATGCATGGGAGCCTTTCAATATAAGATTACTTTAGCCATAAGTAGCTTATTTTCCAACCTTTTCCCTTCAAACTAACCGTCCAAATTACCCCACAACCTCGTCACTCACGTTACCAACACATCAATATTCCTAGCTCAATTTTGAATATGACTCGATCTGTCGAGGCCAATGGTGCCAGTGGAGAGGCACCACTCAAGCCTATCGAAGCCACCGAAGCATACCGCAACAAATACCCTGTTGCCTATGAACAATCCAAGCTTCCCTTCGATACTCCTCGTCGTGTGAAGATTATTCTTGCCGGTGCGGGTGTCAGCGGAATTTCTTTTGCTCATGCTGTGCAAAGCGGCCAATTGCCCAATGTCGATCTCCAGATCTTTGAAAAGAATGCTGGCTTAGGAGGAACATGGCTCGAGAACCGCTACCCCGGATGTGCCTGCGACATCCCCTCCCACAACTACTTGGTATGTTCAATCCACAATATTCGTGGTATTTTATTACTGTATACTGACATTGTCTAGTTTACATGGGCACCTAACCCCAATTGGTCCTCATTTTACGTCTCGGCGCCTGAAATTCTTGAGTATATCGAGAATGTAGTCGATAAGTTCGATTTGACGAAATATGTTACAACTTGTCGCAAGATCACCGGGGCTGTCTGGGACGACCAGAAACAAAAGTGGATCGTCACCAGCAAGAACACAGATGGCCGTCGCACTATCGTTTCCGCCAAGGGTGTTTCCGATGGAGAGGTTGGCGACGACATAGTGCAGGAATGCGACGTCTTCATCAATGCCAGTGGGTATATGAACAACTGGAGATGGCCCAATGTTGCCGGTCGCGAGAAATACCAGGGTACTCTCGTTCACAGTGCCAACTACGATCCTGAGATTGACCTTCATGGCAAGAGGGTCGCTGTTATCGGCAACGGAAGCAGTGGAATCCAAGTCACTGCAGCTGTTCAGAAAGTCGCCAGTCATGTCGGGGCGTACATCCGATCCCCAACATGGGTGACAGCCAACCTCGGCTCTAGATTCATCGGGCAAGGGGTATCCAACATGCTTTACGACGAGGAGCAGCAGAAGAAGTGGATTGAGAACCCAGAAGAATACCTCACACTTCGCAAGGAAATTGAGAAGGAATTGAACTTCCGATTCCCCTTGTTTATTCAAGGAAGCGAGTTCCAGGAAATGGCTCGCAATTTCACCACCAAGGATATGCGCTTCAAGCTGGAGAAGAAGCCTGAAGTCGCTGACCTCCTTATTCCTTCTTTCGGCGTTGGATGTCGTCGACCCACTCCCGGACCAGGCTATCTTCAGGCGCTCGCTGCTGATAACTGTGAGGTTGTCTGGGGAGAAATCGACTCCTTTACCAAGACTGGTCTGAAGTCCCACGATGGTACGGAGCGTGACTTTGATGTCATTATCGCTGCCACTGGATTCGACATGTCCTTCATTCCTCGTTGGCCCGTCATCGGACGGAATGGCGTAAACCTCCAAACGCAATGGGAGAAAGACCCAGCCTGCTACATGTCAGCGATCGCGCAGGACATGCCCAACTATTTCATCTATATGGGACCCGGCAGCCCAGTCGGCCACGGCAGTATGATCACTTCTATTGAGCGCATCACTCTGTACCTGGTAGACATGATCAGAAAGTTGCAGCGGGAGAACTACTCTTCATTCCATCTTAAGGATGGAAAGGCGAAGGCTTACCAGTTCCAGATGTTGTCATGGTTGGACAAGACGGTTTGGGGTGACTCTTGCCAGAGCTCATTCAAGAATGGCGACGCGAGTGGTGCATTGCATGCTTTCCATCCTGGTTCACGGCTGCACTACTTTGAACTTCTTCGTCGCCATCGCTATGAGGACTTTGAGTGGGAGAGTCGATGCCCCGAGCCTCAGTTGGACTTTGCTTGGCTCAACAATGGGTTCCTGTCGCATGAGTTGTCGATTGAGGAGGAAGCTGATCCTACGTATGTCACCTCGGCCTTTCAATGCAATTACAAAGCTAACAACATGAATAGCTGGTACTTAGATCAAGATCCGGTTACTCTCACAAGATTTGTCAATGGAAACTAGATTTGAGGCGTCTTCATTGAGGAACGACTGAGATATGTATTTCAAATCCATGTGTGCTTCGGCGGTAACTTAGAATACCGCAAAAAGATAACACCGAGATAAATTACTACACATGGGCACACTATTGCAAATAACATCCTGATTCATAAAAAGGCATACCATTTCCTCGAGGAAGAGCTAACTAGGATAAGCGCAGGCCGTCAACACACTAGCAGGAGCTACACCCCTGAAGGCTACTTATGGTGTCGTAACTTCGTGGTAATTAGCAATTGAGACGCCCTTATTTATCGCGCGCTCTCATTGGCCCCACTCTAGGTATTTCTGAGGAAACAGAACCTGTTGAGGTTGTAGTGGACGCCTCTATGATATGCGTAAGCTCACCACGGTCGACGATGGAGCTGCTATGGTTACAAACTATTATTTGAACCAAGAATGAGACCTGTCAAGGTTTAGAGGCCCGTCCCTGGACCCTATCAGAGCGTCTGGATTACAAGAGAAAGGCATCAAAGCCCGCACTGTCGATTTTGAGTGAAATTAGGTTGATCGATCAATCAACGCGTACTGGTAGTTGTTTACTCTGTATAATATAAAATGTTCTCGAAATTTTATTCTTTTTGCGACCCTACTAGAGGCTCTTTAAACTAGGGGTGTCGCTTGATAGGCGCTTCACCCGGTAAAAGCCTGCTTTTGCGTTGTGAGACTTTTTGAATGGTATTCTTCACTACCTCCACAACAATGAATCGGATTTCGAAAGTGTGGGTTCTGATGTGTCCGTGCTCCGAAATAACAAAGAGGCACACCCGTGCCTTTCCGGCCTTTCCGGCAGTAATGCTTGGAAGTATTTTTTGCCCCTGCTAATTCAATTCGAATCATTTGCAGCTATATCTTCATAAGTAACCAGCTCGTGAAGGTCCAAGTGCACCGGTCATCCTGTGCCGCCAACTTCTAGCGCCTAGGGAAGATCCTAAGCTTCCGATCCCCATTTGAAATAGGGCGGGGCGCCGGTCTTTCCATGGAAGTCCCGGAATGACCAAGACCGTGAGGGGCAAAAAGCTAATTCCGTGACTTTTCCGACGCACGCTGTTTATCACACGCAAACTATGTAGAAAAGGAAACCTACGCAGCTGGAGGATACCCCTGATTATCCTGCCTTTTTTTTACGATAATAAATCACTTCTGCGAAGATAACACTTGCCTAGTCTTTCTGGACGAACGGATTAGGGCCGTGATGTCATTTTCTCTGTTTATAGTTTCCACGGTGAAGAATTACTTGATCCACATTCTCGTTGCGTTCATCACGGCACATCTCATTCATAACAGAATCGGACATGGATTGAGCAAGATTCCTGGGCCGTTCCTCGCTTCACTAAGTGGCATATGGCTCTTCGTGCACTATTTTCGGCGGCGAGGACTTACCGAGTTCGATCTACATTCTAAATACCAATCGCCACTAATTCGCTTAGGGCCTAACACTGTGTCTGTATCGGATGCTGAGGCACTGAAGATCATATACGGCTGGAAGCCAATCTTACGCAAGGTAAGGAGGAGATTTGCGCAGTATTGGCATGGTACTTTTGCTTCTCAGCTACTGACGAATGACACAAAAAAAGAGCCGGCTCTATATATCACAGTATGTGACAGCCAAAGATGGAAATGTTCTAGATAACGTGTCCTCCACTCGAGATGAAAAGAAGCACAGTCTTCTCCGACGAACTGTGGCGAACGCTTATGCGCTTGGAACGTTGATTGAATTTGAGCCGCTTGTCGACTCGACATCCCTCTGTTTCTTTAAAGAACTTGAGTCACGCTTTGTGGCGACCGGTGCGACGTGCCCTCTTACCGACTGGGTCCAAATGTATGCCTTCGATATTATGTGAGTGAGGCTGTTCTTTAGCCTCGAAAATAGTCACTAAGTATTATGTAGTGGCGAACTCACCTTCAGCAAGCGCTTCGGCTTCTTGGAAAGCGGTAAAGACATTGAATCAATGATGCTTCATACTGGAAAAGCCATGGATTATATTGGTATTGTGCGTTACGTTGTTATCCATACCTCTCCATTGCTAACAGCCATATTCTAGATGGGCCAGTTACCTTTTCTTGATGAATACGTGCGGCTCAAGGGATTTGGCCACATCTTCCGACTCTTCCACCCAACCGGCCCCCTTATGAAGTTTACGACAAAGCAGATCAGTCACCACGCTGAAACCCCTGGTGCTTCTCGCCGCGATTTCTTGACAAGATTTTTGGAAGCACGCGAGAAGAACCCCGAACTCATGACTGACCAGAGGCTTGCAACGTACGCAAACACCAATGTTAGCGCGGGCTCGGACACTACTGCCATTGCCCTCAGAGAGGTCATTTACAGAATCCTTAGCCATAAAGGCTCTCTGAAAAAGGTGCTCTCCGAGATCGCTACAATTGTCCAGGCCCGCGTCGCTTCTTTGGTGGACCAGAAAGAGCTTAAAAAACCTATCACCTGGCTTGAGGGCCAGAGCATGGTATACTTCCAGGCTGTCCTCAAGGAGTGCCTCCGGATCCACCCTGGCCTTGGGCAAATCATCCCCCGTGATATTCCTGCTGGCGGCCTAGAAATTTGCGGGCAGTACCTGCCAGAGGGGACTGTGGTGGGCTGCAACGCCTGGACTATCCACCGTGATCGAAATGTTTTCGGTGACAATGCAGACGAGTTTGTGCCTGAGCGCTGGCTCGACGGTACTGAGGAGCAACTTCGGGCCATGGAAAATGCGATCTTCACTTTCGGGGCGGGCTCTCGCATTTGCCTTGGGAAGAACATTGCGCTGCTGGAAATTTACAAAATGGTTCCGGAGCTATTCCGTCGGTTTGATCTTGAATTAGTCGACCCCAAAAGGTACCGTGTGAGACCAGGATGGCTAGTTTTACAGGAAGGCCTAGACGTTCGATTAAAGATAAGAGATCAGACTCTTTTTACGCACTCTGATGAACAAGCGTCCTAACATAGCTAGCTATTGAAGCGACGGAGCATCTCCAGGCTGCCTTTGCGGCTGTTCAAGAAGCCTTCTCGGGGTTATGTAGCCCTAAGCAAGAATCCACGATATGCGACTTTGGGCTACTCCGTTATGTACCGGCACCTTAATTTGAATATTAAACCGAAGCAACATTGTAGGAACCAGGATATATCGAGTGTCATTTTTCAGCTCACATCTATTGATAAGGTCCACTCAAACTGCTAGAAATTTAGTGAACTCAATCACTATGTAGACGCTGGCGTATTCGCAAATCCGACGTGAGAGGCTTGATATATATCGTTATTATTGCTTGTTTACATTCATTTTCTTTTTTAGCCAGGAAATAGTTTCCGGGGAGCTATACTGTTAGCCCATGTTTCCTCGGGGTTGACTAACAATAAATTGAAGCGGTTGATCTTCTGATAGTCTCTGGCCGTCTAGGTGTCGGCATGTCATTTTGCACAACAGGGTCCGTTAATCACTCCATCAGGGGAAACGTTGAATAGCTGAAACAGTAACTTCATGATTTACTTTGACTGATTGTCGGCGCTGTCTGTACTGATGTGGTTTGGCTTTGCCAAAAACATCCGGGATGGTTTCAAATGGACTAACCTTGGTACAAATGCCACGAGAAAATGCAAAACTTAACCAATGGACTGTTCTTCATCGAGGAAACCTGTCTGTGGATTCAACTCTCCCAGCGTGTCGAGTCTAACCTGCCGAGGATGATGAGAGGCCAAGCTAGTGGAGCTGAAACTTGAGATAACCCGTTAGTCTAGTGGAAAATCAATACCAGAGGGGCTGTGTGCGGATATCAAGAGAGATACTGTTTCAGATGATGATTTGTAACCCAATGACAGTCTACTTTTGCTCAGCTGGGAAGGTCAGTGTGGTGGTCGCGCCAGCCCGCAAGATTCTCACCCTGTTCTCACCCACCTGTCTATAGCGCACTCACCCTTCTCATCCCCGGTCGCGCGATGCTCAAGCGGCCTTCGCCCTACAATCAGCTGGGATACAGCACTTGACTATACTAATTAATCGACGGAGATCTTTTCAACGTTTACCACAGTACATACGACCATAGGGTGTGGAGAACAGGGCTTCCCGTCCGCTCAGCCGTACTTAAGCCACACGCCGGCAGGTTAGTAGTTGGGTGGGTGACCACCAGCGAATCCCTGCTGTTGTATGTTTTTTTGGGGTTTGAAGTTTTTGTGCCATGATTTTATCCAGTTAAAACATCTTCGCAAGGTCTCTAGCCACTTTCGTTCCGGCAAGAACTCTTACATCAGAACATAGATGTATTTCCCTGGAGCTAGTCAATCTCTAGCATGGATTCGAGAAAACCAGACTTGGTTACTTTGATTGAGTAGGCTTCAATGGAAGATCCAAATGGTGGGCTTTATCTACGGTCGGGCTTCAAATGCAACGCCGGAGGAAAATAATTTCTGAAGACCATCACAGCTGTAGAACGTTTGCTTCCAAGGTTTCTGTTTGTAGCCTAGATAGCCTACTTCTCCTCCCATAGCACTAATTCATCACTCTTACACATATCTCTGTATTCAGTCATCCCTCTCTGACAGTTTCAAAGAAGAAAAAGAACTAAGAGATTGAAATTTATCTCGACGTATGGCTGGATGGTGAAAGATTAGCTAAATAGATAAACCAACGTTCTTTTTCGAAGTCGCTCCCGGTTTTGCTAGGCAGCGCACCCGTGTTAAAACTTCATTCTTACCGTGCCTGGGTGTCATCGAAACATTTATAGATTCTAGTCTAGTAGTAGACGCAAAGTTGCATCTGACCTGATGGTTGTGCCCAGATTCCGGAGAGTGATCGTCTCTTTGTGATCTGTTTGCGTTTACAAATTGTCTATAGCGAGGAGATGTTGCAAGTGTCAGACACCCTTCACGATGAATTTCATTCGTCAGATCGACCTGCTCACACCTGGTACACCCCCACCTCGGCTGACGAAGACCTTCCAGGGCTTCAACCATACTCAAGGACCTAGATGTGAATGGATGGCAACTTAGAAGATCTCCACTTTTTGTGGCTAATGATACTGGTTATTCGACTTAACGTCATCGATCACATCTTGTCTGGCCTTCGGCATGAGATGATCGAGAACTTGACCAGCTCACGTTTTCTGTTTCGTGAGGAGGAACTAAGATTGTACACCTAGCGATGGCATAGTGAGTCATCCAGGTTTGCCATGATAATTAACACTTCTGTTTGCTCAGTTGAAAGAAGCTGCTTGGGAATAAGTCGAAACTTTGCCCGATTTGGTCACTGCGCGATGGCCAGGCGTGGAGCCTGTTTAGGCGGTTGAGTGGGACCGTCTGGCCATTCATGGACAAAATTAATATATCGAAGTCTCTCCTGTGGCTTGAGCCACCAGGACCCACGTCATGGTGGTGTGGGTCCTGGTGGCTGCGGTCTTGTGTTCTTGATCGAAATAATTCGACCAGTGATGTCTTGACACTCAAATGTGGGTTCGAAATAGATTGGGATATGACCCAGCACAGCCTTTGACGTCATCAGACTAGATCTTCATATAAACTCCTTGACATTGACCAAGACCGCAGGACCTTTTAGGATCAAATATCGAGCACTAGCTATCTAAAAACATCTATTAATCACTACTGGTTGAACATAACCGATATTCGCACGATGAGCAACACAAACAATCCCGCGGACAAGCTTACGGGCAACGACGTCCAGGAGAAGCAGACGTACTCCGAGTGGGCCAAAAAAACCTACGGAGATCAATATGAGAATTGGATGCCATGGATCGAAGATCAATATCTCCGATGGTTTGGAAAAGGCGATAATAAAGCATCCTACGCGACGAAAGGTAAGCGGGCAAAGACGCTGCGAAAGTCTTTCATTCAAAGCTGATATCGGGTACATAGAGCAACTTGCCAAGACGAAAGTCACTGGAATAGATCAAGTCGATCAAATCCAAGACGATGTGTCCAACCTCGCCGGAAACCAGGTCGGTGACAAGGGACTGTTCGCGCCAGTCGGACAGTTCGCCTCAAAGGAGGGAATCAACAGAGCCGAGAGAAACGGGAAAGATGAGAGTGGATCACACGCCGGACCTGCTAAAAGCTACGTCGACACTGGAAAGGACGGTGCCAGCAACGTGGGATCGGGCTTGGCTCAAGGCGCCGAGTCTGCTCAGAACTATGTCGCCGGAGGCCTAGGTGGTGCTAAGAGCTTGCTGTCAGGAGAAAAATAAATCAATCGATGGAAGTTAGAGAGGCTGATTGATCTCTTATAGACAACCAGGCCAACGTTGCTTAATGTTTTTGTTATGATGACCACTAATAGTACCAGCGTGTTCACGTGGCGAATTTGAGATAGAAAATCCCTCCACAATTCTCATTTATAAGTCTTTTCGATGTAATTTGTTAAAAGAGCAGAGAGTGACGGTGAGAGAGAAGTTTATTCCAGTGTGGTGTTTGGGATGCTGGGTCCAATAGGCACCGTCCTCATCTCTAACTAACGTTTTCATTCCCAGCTTATCGGTGGAGTAGACATGATTTTCACTCAGCTCAACTCCTCAGTTAAGACGGTTGAAAGATTTCGAAGGCTATTTTGAATTACCATCTCGAAAATGACGATAAAATCAACAGAGCTTCAAGCTACCATGAGGCCTTGCATATGTTTGCACGGACTATTGTTCAGCCCTAAGGACACATACGAAAATTTATAGTGCTTTGAGGATCATTACAACAAAGATAAAGAAGACGAAAACCACTCCATGAAAACGTGGAGAGCTAATGCCGAAACTTGATTGGTGTAGTACGGTGGAGATATTGTGATCGTGACTGTGGTTGCTGCGAGAAAAGAGAGCCAACAGTCTAAAGACAGAAGCGGTTGGCCTCTGCATTGCTCAGTGTAGATGTTGTTCCAAGATACGAGGGTTCAACATCTTAGCCGAATCTGCACCCGGGCTTTCAAAGAATTGGAATCCATTCATCCCGCTTGCAAGGTGGGAAAAGTGCTTGAAAAGTCGGGCAAATTGCTGAGCAAGTTGGTCAGTAGACATCAAGGCTCTGCGAAGTTTCGAGGATTATAACAAAATTTATTCATCTCGCACGATAAAAGTCTATTTTACGGGATCAAGAAAGTGGTATTGAGATTGACAGCATTGAGTCAATTGACCATACTGAATGTGCGTTAATAATATTACTCGTATCTGCATAATCAAAATTTACAGGAACATGAAACTGGCCGTAGTCAGTGCCGCGACCAGGGCCAGGAGGCTTTGTGCACCAGACGAGTTCTTTGTCATTAGTCCACTAGCAGCTCCCTTGGCAGTGTGATTCGCTGACCCGTTGACTGCTGATGTAGATCCGAGTCCATGAGGCAGTCCCTGGTATCCAAACGTCAGGTTCTGGGCGATGGACTGGTTGTAGCACTGTCCATTGGCAATATCCAAGTTGGTCAGATCATCAGGGTTCAGGAAGAACATGTATTGCGTCTGATTGAGGTTCTTGAATCCAGAGGTGTCGTACGGGAACTTGTCGCCAGGGTCAGTGGCGGAGGTATTACGGAGGAAGATGCACTGGACTTGGCCGGGGAACTCGGTTGCCATTTCGGGATAGTCGCGCATGACATCGCTATTGCTGGTGTCTGCGATCAAGATGAACTTGCGCTCAGGGAAGGTTTCGAAGACCTTTTGCAACAAGAATTTGCGGATTGACAGGGTGGCTGAGACATCGCTGAAGTTGAGAGGCCGGGTGTCGAAGGACCCACCAGGGTAGTTGGTGTAGATGAACTGCATGTAATTTCGAGTGATTTGCTCCGGGGTAGTGGTCTGATATGAATGTTAGATCTCGAACAAGAAAAGGAAAGCATGGGGTACGGAAACTGACCAGGTAGTGGAAATGCATGTTAGGGAGGCTGGTAGACCAATTGCGGTAGATGTCTGGCATGTTCTCCCAAGCCCGGAACGGGCGCGCGAAAGAATTGAGCAATCCTTGCTCCGGCTCGTAGATCTTGGTGACACGTAGAATATCGTCAATGTCAGACACAATGGTTAGGCCGGTCGGAGGCACCAGATATGCGGTACTATTTCCGATAGTTGCACCCTCGACGTAAGTGTTGAGTCTCTGGATTGCTGAGGTTTCATTTCCCGCAGTAAGGCCATTACTCTTGATGGGCACAAAGGTGTCGAAATCGCCCTCAACTGTGGTGTTGTAAGGCAGGGTAAGATCTTGCGTGCCACCCGTGGTGTTAGATGATCCGCCGCCGCCGGGCTGGCCACTGGCTCCCTGACTAGGCGCAGGCTCGAGGTGGATCGTATTCACGGCAACTTCTGGCTGCTGGACAACAAAGATTTCGGCAGTCAGGTTACGAGCCTGAACCTGCTGGGATTCAGGAAGATCCGAGATGCTAGTATTGACGAGGAAGACATTGGCAAGCTTGTTCAACTCGGAAACAGAGGTATTAGGTTGCTTATAAACGTTTCCATGGAAGCGAATATTCCAGCCAGAGCTGGTCCAGTTGGCATATGGATCGATATTTAGCACATTGGTTGGCAGAGCTGCCAATTCCGAACTTTGTAGGCCCAAGGAGCTCGCAACAGCATCCCCAGTTGGGAACCCCTGGAAGAAGTTGGGAACACCCGATGCGACCCACGAGGGTAGGTCGGACCCAAGCCCCGAAAGAATGGTTCCGACATCAGAATCAACGTCGCTCAAGATATTTCGGCCCACGACTGGAGAAGGGTTGCGCTCAACCGGGGAGGGTGTAATGGCGGGGTTGGGCGGTGCGACATCGTTACTATTGGCGAAAGCAGTTGGAGCAGGGGAGGCCAAGGCAATTGAGAGAAGGCATGCCTCCACAAGAAGCTGACGCGCAAGTGAAGACGTCCTCATTGCACGAAATGGATAGGGACAAGTTAGGGTCCTTGATAATTCCACCTGTCAGATCCAAAAAGATGGCGCGGCTCTGATACCAAATCAACTATCGAATAGATAGTTGTTAGGCTGTGATTGAAACGGATAATTCCACCTGTCAGATCCAAAAAGATGGCGCGGCTCTGATACCAAATCAACTATCGAATAGATAGTTGTTAGGCTGTGATTGAAACGACCGAGATGCAGGAGAAAGAGAAAGTCCTGTCAGCTAGAATCTGCGAGCGATCGTCAATATTAAAGCCCAAGTGAATTTAAATTAGGAGGGCACGGGTAAACATGGAATCAGCCACGACGTCACAGGGCTCAGGTGGGTTCACGGGGGTCCACCGCCAATTTGCTTGATTCCAAGTTTGTGCACCGCCGTAAATTGCTCTGAAACACCAGGGTCCAGGGACCTCTTCGCTTTTAGCTTACCCGTGCGTCATTGCCTACTAGCTGTGTCCATGGTGCCCACCCCGGTCGCGCAACGCTAAGCCGCTCCCTCATTTCTCACCTGTGCGCCACGCAACCCGACTACGCCAGACGGAACATCAAACTAATTAATCGTAAGTAGCCATAACTAGGGTATAAAAGAGAATTTCTGTCCATAATAGCATCATCGGAATTCTCGACCCTAGAAAGCTGAATTATTCAGAGGAAATATGGGATGGGTCTGGCACCGGGCAATTAAGAAGAGTTACAACTATCGTGTAGCCCCTGCCTCAGGCTTGAAGACTGCAAACAAGGCAAAACAAGGCAGATTCAAAGGATGCTGTTTTTAATGCCAACATGGTATAAAATCTCAACACACGTATTACATATTAGATATCGAACTCTAGCTCTGTCTGTTTTATTTCGAAAAAATAAAAATTTCAACATTTCAAGTCACAAGAGAATTTCACTTATCCGCAACCTCCTCCCCGGTCAGATTTTGAGAATGAGAAAAAATTAAGCGAAGAGTGAAAGCTGCTGATTTATTACTTGACTGGTGCCCAACCGGTTCAACTCAATTGAGTAATCAAAGATAAATACTACTTATGGACAATTATTCCTGAAATTTGTATTTAAAACCGTCAATTTCCAACCAGTGCTTCTTTTGCACATGTACCCCTTCGCCCATTTCACTCGCTCAAGGATCTCCCTTAGGAAAGCCCAACAACCTCATAGTTCCAATTACAAGTCGCATTAGTGCTTTGAGACAAGACATTCTTCGTCCCAGTGGCTGAGGCGACAATGTTATTAGAGCTGTCAACCACCTGCAGCATCTGTCCGCCACCTACTGCAAGGCCAAGGACGCTGTTATAGTTCAACCCCTTCTGACCAACGAAGCTGCCAATCAATTTGTTGTTACTATATACCTTGATCGTATAACCAGTCGAAGGTAATATCACAGCGAAGTTGACCGCATCGCGCGCGGATTGATAATTGGCGATTGAAGAAGAGCAGCTGGCGCTAGTCAAGAGGGTTCGATACCACAGAGAACCAACAGGTTTGGTGCTGGGAGGAGTGATCTGGGATAAACTTGTCGCGCCAGCCTTGTATGCCTTGATGAAAGGCGTAATGATCTGCAACCATCCCTTATGGTCGAATCCATCGGCATAGTCACCGATAGTAGAGCCTGCAATCTGCTCTTGCCAGAAGTCACCAACGTAGTGACTCTCTCCAGCATCATTCCAGGTGATGACTTCGACGAAGTCGGGCTGTAACTCCAATATCTGTCCCATGCGCTGAGGAAGATTGATCTCGCCAATGCGATACCAGTCCTGGCCACTGCCGAGGTACTTAAACTGGTAAGATGAAAGAGCTGGATACAAGTTTTAGTTATATGTTTCTTGATTTAACGTTGTGTGGAAAACTCACGCATCATGTAGACCTTGCCAGCGGCATGCGCTTGCTGCAGAGCAGCCGCGTCCACGCTGTCACTGACGTTGGCCGGTGTAGTACCCGGCGAAGGCCACGCAGACTCCCAACTAAAGACTCCGCTCAAAATAGGGTAGGAGCTGAAAACTCCTGTCGGATATCCGGAGAAGTCATCAAAATTGGGTACGAAGTATGGAGTAATGCCGTAGGTCGAGGTAAGAGGCTGGATGAATCCGGTTTGCCATGCGGAGTTTGAAATCGTGCCTCCTGTATAGGTACTAACAAATGCTTTACCATTTACCTTGTAGTAGGCATTTTGGGTCGCATAAGGTGCTAGGAACGCCGCAAGCTGCGTAACATCCAAGCCCCAACTCATGTCAAATGATATGAACAGCTTGAAGTTGGTTCCTGCGGCGGCAGCGAACAGGTAGTTCAGTGCATTTGTGTTCCAGGTGTCAGATGCGCTGATGGTGTGGGTATTTAGAGCGAACCCATCAAATCCGGCATTCATCGCGTCCTGAACGTCTGTCACAGCTTCGGCTGATGTCATAGAGCCGACCTATCTCTTATCAGAATGAACGGCATAAGGAGTCAGAAGATTTGAGTACCATATAATGCGCAAAGACGCCCTTAGTTCCGGTAGGTTGCGTTGCACTCGTGGTGGTAGTGGTTGGTATTGCCATTGTGGTAGTAGACGTTTTTGTTGATGTGGTTGTAGTAGCAGTAGTAGTCATTGTAGTCCCGGTGCCACTAGACATCTATTGTTCATGTCAATGCCCTTTCAAAAAAAATCGCATTTTTTGTTCAACTCACCAGCCGGGCAGCGGTTGCCGTGCCAGCTTGGCCTGAGGCAACACAAGTGCCAGCGACTTTCCCACTGGACTGATAGACACCAATGAGGCCAACTTGACAGCAGAAATCATTTCCCTGTAGCCCTTGCCAGAGTGACCAACTGGAGTCAGCACATTTTGGTCCACCCTCTATAGCACCAACACACACTGAGTCTGGGGCGATGTCAGTTTGATCATCCAAAAGGAGGGAGGAGGGTGAGACGAGGATCAAAAAAAAAAAGGAACTGGGTCTTACTCGAAGAGCAACACGATGCAACTTCATTTGTCTGCGCAGTGAAGCAATAAAGACCACTAGGGCAGCATGCTCCTCCACCGCAACCATTTGTACCGCTAGGGCAAGTGCCAGACTGAAGAGACCAGCCCTGTGCGACTGAGCGCTGATTAATTACAGCGGCGGAACTGAGGAATGGGGTATAAAGCCCTAGCAAGAATATATGCGAAGAATGCATTATTGACAAGATCCTATTCAACCTTTCGACTTCGGGATTAATATGTCTGTTGCTATGCTTCCGTCTTTCTAATTAGGATAATCTCCAAGTGACTTATATACTTGCTGGTATATCAACGATGATCGTCAAGTCTATGGTTACGGCACAAAACCCCACATCCAACCCCATACAATGTGACAAAATGCGGGGATTAATGCCGAAACGTCTTAGCTACGAACCCTATCGCTAGTGCCGAATGCCGGAGTATCCTGAAGCATCAGGGGTAGAGACCCGCGTTGCATGCGATTAAAAAAGCGTGCCTCACAGATAAGACTCGAATATATTTCGTTCGCGCCATCTAACTTTTCCAATGTTATCTTGATTTAGTCTAGACATTTATTGCTGGCTTCACTCAAACTCAATGAAAATGCCAAAAAAAAGCAGCGACTTTCTCAGCGACGCCGTCGTGATTCCTGGCTCGCTTCGACGCTTAACACTCAGGCCACGCATTTCTAAAGCTTTCCTTCTTGCGAAAAATGGACCGAAAAGGTTTCTCTTCGCTGAAATTTCTCTTTCCTTTCCAGGGTTTGGTGTTGCTGGGCCAGCACAATCTAGATTCGCTCGCCGCGATTCACCACGCCATCCGCCCCTTGTGACCTTTTCTAAGCCTCGGGAACAAAGGAAACCACCTGACCCGCTTGTAGTACGCCACCCCTAATTGGGAAATAGCGTCGCCAAAATTTCCGTGCACCCTATAGGACTCATTTGAAACAAGTCTCGCCTACTGACAAGGTTGGCCCGGCACTAGGTCGCACCGAAAAACACAGCGAAAGACAGGGCGCAACCATCCAATCACCTCGCTTCCTCACTATATCCAATGGAAGCTAATTATATGATGCCGGTGCAGTCGCCTTTTTCGGACACGATGGAGGAAAGTTTACCTGGCAACGGCATTTCCCCACAATCTCCCCGCAAAAATTAGAGCGACCGACCGCTGTGGTCTATGCTCAAGTCTTTGTTCATTGCACGAGCCCAATACATACGAGAAGAGCATGACTTGAAGTAGCACAGCCATAGGGAACTAAATGGTCGATATAAACGCGATGCTCATCCGCCTTTGGACCTTCTATCTCACGCTCAAGTCTCACCAAAGAATTATAATCTGGGTTCCGACTTTCTTCCATCTTTGCTTCCATCTCGAAGCTTGGTAGGACTTCACCATGGAAGACGTCAAAGCCGCCGCTCATGTTGAGCATCAGCTCGCCGTTCCAGCGCAATCGCTGGGTGCAAATACGATCGGAATCGATGATGAAGTCCTTCTGCGAATGTCCGAGCAGATCCCGAACTTCGCTGGCCTGGTAGAAAAGGCTCGCCGTGCTTCCGACTTTGAACACAAACTCACCAATCGAGAGGCTTTTAAGCTTTTCCCTAAAGCAATTATTTTCTCCTTTATCCTGTCCCTTGCCATCATTATGGAGGGCTACGACACCTCGCTGCTTGGCTCTTTCTATGCCTACCCGACATTCCAGGAGCGATTTGGAATTCCTGTGAAGGGAGGGGGTTACCAAGTCACTTCGAATTGGCAGACTGGCTTGCAGAATGGAACCAATGTTGGTCAGATCATGGGTCTCCTTGTCGCTGGTCTAATCGCCGATCGCTGGGGGTACAAGAAGACTATGCTTGGTGCTTTGGTCTCTCTGATCGGCTTTCTTTTCCTGATGTTCTTTGCCAATAACATCGGGATGCTATTTGCTGGCGAGGTTCTTTGCGGTATTCCTTGGGGTGCCTTCCAGAGTTTGACCACGACCTATGCCGCCGAGGTTAGCCCCGTTATTCTGCGACCGTACCTGACCACCTACGTCAACCTGTGCTGGGTTACTGGACAATTTATCTCAACCGGAGTTCTGCGAGGTCTTTTGGGTCGTACTGATCAATGGGGATGGCGTATTCCCTATGCTGTTCAGTGGATTTGGCCCGTGCCAATTATCATTGGCGTCCTCTTTGCACCAGAATCTCCCTGGTGGCTAGTTCGTAACGGCAAGGTTGAAGAAGCGAAAAAATCACTCAGTCAGCTGTCCAGCCCTGGAGTCTCGAATTACGACACAGAAGACGCCGTCGCTTTGATGATCATCACTAACGCTCACGAAAAGCTGACCCGACAAGGAGTATCATACTGGGACTGTCTAAAGGGAGTCGACCGTCGCCGTACTGAAATTGTCTGCTGCGTCTGGATGTGTCAAGTTTTCTGTGGTATCTGGTACGGTGGCAACATTGTCTACTTCCTCCAACAAATCAGCTTTACCAACACTCAGGCTTTCGATTTCGGTCTTGGTGTCAACGCTATCGGCTGGTGCGGTACGGTCTGTTCTTGGTTTATTATGCAGCGAGTTGGTCGCCGAAAGTTGTTTGTCACTGGCTTGGGGGTCATGTTCACGGTGTTGATGTTGGTCGGCTTTTTGGGTATTCCGAGCCACACAAGTCCAGGTCTGAGCTACGGATCTGCAGCTCTCCTTCTTGTCTTCGTCTTTACCTACGATCTTACCGTTGGACCGGTCACTTACTGCCTTATCTCCGAGATTCCATCTACTCGCCTTCGCATCAAGAGCGCAGTGCTCGCCCGCAACTGCTACAACATTGCTAGTATTTGTGCCAACTTTCTGAATCCTCCTATTCTTAACCCAACTGCCTGGAATCTCAAGGGCAAGGGAGGCTTCATCTGGGCACCTTTCTGTCTCATCTGCTTTCTGTGGTCGTTCTTCCGTTTGCCGGAGCCCAAGGGACGCACCCCCACGGAACTTGATATTTTGTTCGAGAAGAAAATTCCGGCTCGAAAGTTTTCCAATTTCGAGGTCACACCGTTCCGCTCCAACAACTTCGAGGTTGTTTCAGAAGGTGCCGCTCTCAAGGAGATGCACTAGGAGCCATTTAAATTTTATGCGAGTAATCAGTCTTGGATCTTATGCAATCACGGGGGTATGCTGAATTTTTGTTGATCAAAGAATATATGAACGAGGGAACGAATCATGTATGAGCTGTATGGGCTATGTAGAAAAGTTTCCACCAGCCAATGAAATCAGTATCATGATTCTTATTGGATGTTTGCGTCTTATCAACTTCATACCACTTGACAGCGAATATGGCATTGTATAAACTCAAATGTTATTCGAACGGTTTGTAAGTCAAAGCGCCTCCAGTAAGAAAGTCCCCTACCTTATCACCGTCATTTGCTTGAGTCGCTTGTTGATATGCATTGAACCCCGATTTAGGACGCTATTCATCCTACGAAAATTGCCCATTTCCATTGCAAATTGAAACATTGCAAAATGCAGTTGGGCCCTAACGGCCGAGCTCCCAGAATTATTGAGATATTCAACCATTTCAAGCTTCTTCTACCGGATCGCCGCGCGGTCTGAACTTGCTAAATGTTTGGCGGGAGTTGATTGGTCTGTCAGGTATGATCGATCCACGCCTGCACTCCCCACTTTTTGTCATTCTTTGCGAGTTTGACAAGCAAATGGTAGGATAATCCGTGGACCCGTGCCTGCCAGCCCCTGCCAACGGATAGTCGTTTGCTGCTAGAACCTGCATGGTTGTAGCGGATCTTTGGCGGCAGCAATGCTGAGCGCAAGAGTATTGAACAGTTTGCTGTAAAACTCGCAGATCAAGGCTTTGATCATAAAGTGATTGCAGTCCAACACAATCCCCTCACATAATTGCCCCAGTAGCAAGTGCCATCTTCAAAGTCTCCTCGAAAGGCTCGCATGTTGCCCGGGCCAAATGTGTCCGGGAAGACCTCCGCCCGAGCTGCCTATCAGCTAGTATCAACTCATGCATATAACATTTCCTATATTGTTCGCTGCCATTTGTTTTGGCTATTTTCACTCCCTTGGTTCTATGAGGAAAACAGGCGAGCCTTTTGGGGTCTATGCTTTATTTCCAGTTTATAACAGATGAAAGATGGATAATTCATCATTTCCTGGTCGCCATTTGTCCCTGGCGATCTTCGGCAAGAACGCCGTATGTTTCAAACCTCGGCGGGAAGACTGCCGGACTCCAGGTATCACCCTCTCGGATCTCGGGGCCCGCATTCTCAGGGCGCCCCATAAACACAGCAATTCTGGCAGAATATTCTACACGGGCAGCCAGAAGGAGCCGCGACTGGTCAACCTTCATGTTATTTGAAAACTTTATATTTAGTCGCAGTCGTGCCGACCGTCACACCCCGCACCGCACGGCTAGGCCACATAAGCCTGAGGTTAAGGCCTTAGATTATATGAGCATGAATTGACCAGTGAATTCATACTTAATTGGCAGTGACACAAAGCAGTTGCCCAATCATTTCGCTGCAGGATTCCACGGGGTGACTCGGAGGTTTTGATCAATTGGATGCTAGACCCAGATGTTGATCATGTTCCTTATTTGGGTTAGTGTTGCGGCCGAAGCCGTCATCCCCTTATTTGGCCATTGTTGATTTCCCTTCACTTGGGCCAATTCAGGCACAATTCTCTCATATTCATATTTGCATGGATGGATGGGGAAACTGATCATCATAGAGGTTGCAAAATGATATGGTTGTAACCGATCCTTGCAACATTGACAGACGCTAGCGCTTAACTCTCGTTTTAACCGATACTTGATGCAATCTAATCTCATCCCCCGTGTGGGCTTGATTTGATCTCATTGGCGATAAACACCTGAAACTTCCCATCGGGTCTCTCGGAGGAATTACCCGAGCCCCAGTTCTGGGCTGGATCCTCGTATACAAGCATTTGAGGATGCAAGCTTGATTTGGTGGGGACGCATAGCACCCACGTGGGATGAAGACAAGCATCTTCCATCATGGCTTCCACGCAAGGACCAAGTATAAAAGCACTCTGGCCCACTGCTGCTGGATTACCCCCTCTTGTGCAACGGTAGCTTCTTATTTTTTTCAGAAGAATAGAAAAAGACAACCGGCCAAAATGCATCCCAGTGCTCTTGTTGGCCTCTTGGCCTTCGCCGCTGCGGCGACTGCTGTTCCCCACAAGCCTCGCTCCGCTCACTCGACTTCTTCCATTGAGAACCTGAAGTCCAACGTTAAGAATGTCGTCGTTCTAGTTATGGAGAACCGCTCTCTGGACAACCTTCTTGGTGGTCAGACCATTGCCGGTCTGGATAACCCCATCAACAGCGGTCCTTTTTGCAACCCTTACAATGTGACCGATCCATCCCAGGGGCACCACTGCTCTGTTGCTAAGGACTACGACTCCGTGACTGATGACCCCAGCCACGCTGTCACTGGTAACACCATGGAGTTCTTTAGCCAGTGGACCCCCGACAATGCCGCCATTGCCGATGGCAAGTTGGTCCCCAACAACAACGGTTTCATCCATGAACAGATCAACAATTATGGCGCTTCCGCCAATGAGACTGTCAAGGCTATGCTGGCCAAGCAAGTCATGAACTACTACACCGAGGATCAGACCCCTGTTCTGACTTCGCTGGTTCAGAACTTCCTGACATTCAACCACTGGCACTCCGATGTCGCTGGTGTAAGTAGGAACTTTGATCTTATGTTTCGAGCCCATTATACTAACATTAACTTAGCCTACCGACCCTAACCGCTTCGCTGTTGTTGCTGGTACTTCTGCTGGCCACGGTTCCAACGATGCCACTTTCGGTACCTACGCCTTCACCCAGCGCTCCATTTTCCAGCAACTGGGGGAGACCAACCACACTTGGCTCAACTACTGGGATACCGCTGGCGGTACCGGTCCTGAGGCCCATTGGTTTGCCTGGACCAAGGCCACAAGCAATCAGGATAAGGTTGTCCCTATGGACCAGTTCTACTCCGATGCCGCCAATGGCTCTCTACCAGAGTTCTCCTACTTGAACCCCTCCTGCTGCGGCGTCGGTACCACATCTATGCACGACAGCGGTCTCATCTCCGACGGTGAGGCCTTCATCAAGAAGGTCTACGAGTCTCTCCGTGCCAGCCCTCAGTGGGAGGAGACTCTCTTTGTCCTGACTTTCGACGAGAGCGGTGGCTTCCATGATCACGTTCCCCCGCCCCTGGCCACTCGCCCCGACGACCTGACTTACACCGAGAAGGCGCCCAACGGCGAGGAGTACACTCTCGAGTTTAATCGTCTCGGTGGCCGCATTCCCACTCTCCTCATCTCTCCCTGGGTCAGCAAGGGCTACGTTGAGCAGAAAGGTACCAACCACCGTGGCCAGACTCAGTCTTACTCGGCTACTTCTCTGCTTCGCACTCTTGGTTATCTCTGGAACTTTGAGCCCTTCAACCCCCGTGTTCAGGACGCTGCTTCTTTCGAGCACTTGATCCGGAACTCTCCTCGCAAGAACGCTCCCAAGAAGCTTCCCACTCCCCAAACCTTTTCCCGCTAGATGGGCAAATTAAGAGGCCGCAAAATGACCGGACTGGGTAGTATAGACTTTCCTCAATTTTGACCTCATTCGATAGAATTTGGAACCTAGTATGCAAGCTGGCTTTGTAATGATAGATGCTTTAAGAACACAACCCGTATAAGATGATTTCATTTCTGTGACAAATTCTCTCTAAAAGAGGAATCATAATACCAGGTGCTCTAAGAGTGTTTTCCGAGTCAAATCTTGATGTAAATCTGGTAAAATTTCCAGTACGTAGCAAGATCCCGTGTCAGCTCGATGGAATAGAGAGATAACATAAATATTTGCCTTGTGTTGCCAATAATTCAATGCAAATTAACCTTATTTGCTCCGCACTTTAGCGCCCTCTTTCAGCCCCCAACAAATGCCCTAGGCCAGACATCCCCATTGGAAGATTTGTGCGCCACGAGAGCTAACTATATGCAAGCCTTCCCATGCTCTTGCAGTAGGTCGAGGATACTGCGGCTCTAGAAAACACGGCATTCGATGAGGCTGACCTACACCGCGATCTGAACACGAACGTCCGCACCCTATTGTTCGTCCACGACAGCATCACATGCTACATCCATTGTAGCCTTCAGATGACTGGCCACCGGGGCAAAAGCCTGATTCTAGCCCTGCTTGCAGGATGCGGTGAGTCTCCTGGCTGAATCGATGACATGACTCGTCATTTCATCAATAACTCATTACTGAGAACAGGAGAGGCTATTAAATGCCGCAACCATATAGCTCTTTAATCTCACATTCGCTAGTGCTCAACTATGACCGGCAACGAGATCGGAGTTATAGAAACGATAGGTAGGATGTTGCTCGAACCTCGACAACGTCGCGAATCAAAAAGCTACCGAAGAATTAATTATTCCATCCCATATAATTAAGTGCGACGAGGCGTAAACAATTCCATACGATGCGATTCGCAATCTGTTGTCCGAACATTAAACGAACATAAGGCATTCATTGAAGCTGCACATCCGACGTAAACAAGAGGCCGTAGACCATTAGGAGGATGAGTCGGGAGCTAGTGACGACACGTCTTCTACAATTGAGCGACAAGATCAGGTCGCATACAGGGAAGGGAACAAAGCTATCATCAGCCCAACGCATAAAGCATAATCTCCGAGATAGACGATTGCCAACAGAGCATTCCGAAGTGAAAGATAAAAGTGAGCCTCGTCATCCGCGCAAGGGACTATGGTACTAGGAATTTAGGGTCCGAGAAGAGAAATAACCACAACCTGTCGATAAGAGCCGGAGCTATATGATCCCTGGAGGTGGAAATTATGCTCTCGGTGAGCCTGGGTGGGGGCTCATAGCATAGACCGCCAACAGAACCATGGTTCCGCCCCGAGGCCCCGAGGCCCTGGCCTGGGTGCTGGGTCCCTGTGTTAGTGCGTGATAGAATGCAGAAGCTCCATTGAGAATGCGACCAACACGAGATAGTGGTTATGGAGGAACGCCTCAGCGGCTACGGGTGATTTTAGTGCAGTTGGGCTTTAATTTGCTTCATTTATTTATAGGCGCTCGTTCTTGCGCGTATCTATTGGTCACCGTGTGATCCACCAAACGGCTCATCACCGCGTTTGAAGACGTGATTGGCTGGTTTTAGGTAACTTTTGCTATCATTAGCAACAATTATGCAGCTAAATTGCGAATAATTTGGCCTTATTCTATGTTAAGACGCCAACGTGCGGGGAACCTATGTTGGTTGTGTTGTGTGTTGGTTTGCCCCTGGTGATTTTTTATCTATATCAGGACCCTCGGCTGCACCTGGATTTCTTCATCTGGGTTTCTCCAGAAAGGGTCCATGAGATATCCCTAGACTCATAGTCGTCCGAGTCATTAACTCAAGTCATAATTCACAATGGGTGTCATCCGCTTCGGTCGCCCCACGGGCATTTATGTCCCTAGCTCTCCTGTTCGCCTCACCAACGATATGATTTCCCCTCCTCTTTCTTCCGACTTCAACTTCGATGCCGAAACCGTTACTCTCTCCGCATTGCCCGCTCTTGAATACATCTCCAAGAAGCTCCAACAACGAATGATGCATGTCACCCTCCTCGTCGGTCGTGGAAAGCCCTATCCCACTGGCGAACCCTCTGACCTGATGATCATCCCCATTACATTCCTCGATGCACCAGCATGGCGCATCCTAGAGCGAGCCATCTCCAAAGCCGCAAAGAAATTCTCATTGGGCCAAAGCTGGTCCGACGCATTGAACCGTAGCCAATACGAACGCCATGCAAACGAGTACCTGGTCCAGCAATCAATCCTCCAAAACGAAGTCGTCTTCAGCCAAGAAGGCTTGACCCTGCTCAACATGGATCGCATCTACACTTTCAAACGCCGGTTGTGCATCCTTTCCAACCGCCCATTCTCCCGCACAGACGACCAGTCTATGGCCTCCTGTGTGAAACTCTTGCACCGCCTTATCGATGATTTTCAAGGCCGCCCATTCAGCAAGGCATTCTTTCACCGTGTTTACGAACAGCTTGATGTGAGGGATGATCTGCTCACTGTCATTGCGGCTGCTTACAAGAGCACGCATAAGCTGGACGCGATCATCTTGCCCTCACAGCCCAAGGCTGAGCAAGAGCAGTCAGTGGCTGAGAAGCCGATGATCCAGAAACCAATTGTTCAAAAGACCTCTGCTCAAAAGCCCTTTGTTCAAAAGAGCTCTGTTCAGAAAGCCTCTGTTCAGAAAATCTCTGTTCAGAAGCCCGTCGCTCAGAAGCCCGTCGCTCAGAAGCCAGCGACGAAGGCTGCACGTGCTAAACGCCCGGCGCAGCCTGCTAGATGCAGTATCCAAAGGATCGGTGCTCCAGCGAGGAGAGGGCCGAAGACGCCCCTGTCGGCGTCAGATGTGACACCAATCACTAGAAACGAGTGGAACATACTCGTCAGCCAGGATATTCGCTTACAGCCGACTGTGACCAAGTGGACTCCATCTCCTACTGTGTATGCTGTGGCGTGAATGAGCCACGGTGTGCAGCGAATAATATTAATATTCTATCAAGAAATTTCATATTCTTGGGGCTGTCCCATAATATGCCCTCAGAACAGCCACTGACTTCAGCAGAGATATTTGTGAGTCATCCTTGTCGCTGAAGAAGTTCTCGAGAATACGTCGCTGACTTCTCTCAGATCTTCTAAGCGAGTGCTGCTTCGAAGAAACCCGGAAGGCCCAAATCTCGATGCCCGCCCAAGACCTCTGTCCAGTGTTTTGGCGTTACTGCTGCCTTTCACTCATCTCAAGGTCACGCATGTCCACAAGCACCGATGCCGACGAACATGTCTAATCACTGAAGCGAGTGGTATGCGTATGGCTTCTATGGGAGCCAAGCGATTAACCAAGGTCCAGAAACTGAAAGAGACCGCTGGAACGGATGAAGGGGAACTGAGTCGCGAGAATGTATTATACTACTACGAAGTTAAGAAACGCCAAAGCGAATCCCATCATCCATACACATGTGTTTAATCTCACTTAAGTCTTTCCCAAAACAAGCTATCTTCCTATGAGAAGCTTGACCAAAAATTCGCCCAATCTATCCATGGCTTGCCGTTGAACTGAGACAGAATACCAAGGTACCTAGCTAGCTTCCCGCGCAATCCACAAATATATTAAGATGCTCTTATCCAAGATATCGGATGAACCTTATTTTTGACGGACGAGTCTGCCGCGCGGCCGTCGACGGTAGAACAAGAGCCAGGTCATCGGCAAACGAGGAACGACGGCATTCTTCACACGCCGAATGTGGGGACCCCGATCGCAAAAAGTGGGCACATTATCATATCAGAACAAGCGCGTTGAGTAATTATCAGCGTGTCGGCCTCCTCCGTGACCCCGCCATGTCACGTGACGTTACGGTCAACAGCTCATCCCAAGGTCAAGCTCTAGAGAACTAGCGGACGAATTTGAGAAACCCTCGTCTGGGAAGTGTGGTTGAGTCGGAAAGACGCCTAAATCTTCTCGGCCTGTGCACATTTACAATCATTCGACTATCCTATCACGAGGAGTTCTCCGTACGCCGACAGCTTCACTGCCAAGCGGATCTAAAGTACTCGGTCAAGCTTGGCGACAGGACAAGACGGCCGATAAGCCTAGCGAAAATTTGCTCGGGTTCTTAAGATCAGCAAGCTTGTTTTGCGGTTTATAATTCAATCTCTCTCGCTTTTTGCTGTGCCAACTGTTTTTTTTCTCTCGACAACCATTGGGAAATTTTATCATTTGCTCCACCTAGAGCAGGTGCCACAGAGTATACAGGGCTGCCAAGGAAGATATCTGAAACCCGCTCGGGGAAACGCGAAAAATGACGTCCTTCATTAACGATACGCCTGCCGATGCGCGGAGCGTGTATAGCGAAAGAAGTTGGAGCTTGAAGCCGCTTATTCGCCATGCTCAGCGTTCGCATAGCAAGATGCCTGGCTTACGCAAGATCCCTCTTCGAGCGATCGGTATAATCACGTTGGTTGCACTTTTGAATTGCGTTGTATGGGTTGCTGCAGCAATTGTATTGGTAAGTCTAGAGTTGATACTTTGTCTCAATATCGATTGGTGCTGATACCATATAGCGTTATCATCCGTAAGAATGTGTGCGACACTTGACAATATAATTGAGACTGACTAAAATAGGACGATGGTGTCTACTGCTGTGCTCGCTTATACTCTTGGTCTGAGACATGCGTTCGATGCCGATCACATCTCCGTATGCTCTCCTTCATACCGAGCCGAAGATCACAGGTACTGATTGAACAATAGGCCATCGATTTGATGACTCGACGACTACTCGCAACAGGGCAAAAGCCAGTCACCGTGGGAACATTCTTCTCTCTTGGCCACTCGACGTGAGTAGATGCGACCTTTGTGGGGTGTGTACGTTTATATACTAACCAAAGACAAGAATCGTCATTATCACATCAATTGTTGTCGCGGCAACTGCTGCAGCCATTTCTACTAAGTTTGACAGCTTCAGTACCATCGGCGGGATCATCGGTAGCTCTGTCAGCGCCGCGTTCCTTATTCTGCTCGGTATTATGAATGCATACATTCTCTACAAGCTGATCAAGCAAATGCGAAAGGTGTTCAGCTTATCCGAGGACCAAGCCGACGAAGCCTGGAAGATTGAAGGCGGTGGCGTTCTATTCTCCGTTCTAAAGAAGATGTTCAAACTTATCGACCGGTACGTCAAGAAATCTCAATATCAGAAAAGAAAAATCCCCTTTACTAACTTGCCACAGACCATGGAAGATGTACCCGCTCGGAGTCCTCTTCGGACTGGGCTTCGATACCTCGTCCGAGGTCGCTCTCCTCGGAATCTCCTCCGTCGAAGCAGCAAAGGGAACATCTTTCTGGGTGATTCTTATCCTGCCAGCGCTTTTTACCGCGGGAATGTGTCTTCTAGACACAACCGACGGCGCCCTGATGTACTCGCTCTACATCCAGCCCTCCGCCAACTTCCTCCCGCCGAAGCACGACAGCATAGTCTCCGATAACGCATCGGAGACGCCAGAGGACGAACTTCCCCAATCTCACGACAATCACCGGGACCCAATCGCCTTCTTGTACTACTCAATTGTGCTGACTACCTTGACGGTGATCGTGGCCATGGTGATTGGCGTGATCCAACTGCTCACCATGATTCTGAATGTCACCGACGCAACGGGCAAATTCTGGGATGGTGTGCAGGTTGCAGGCGATTACTACGATGTGATTGGTGGAGGAATTTGTGGTTGCTTCCTTGTCGTTGGTGTACTGAGTGTACTGTGTTATAAGCCGTGGCGCCGCTGGATGGATAGACGCCATGGGAAGACCGTGGTTAATGATGAAGAGCGCTATCGCGACGATGCTCCCGAGTCTGATAATGGCACTGGTGTTTTTGTCCACGATTCTGGAAGTCGTGTTGAGCGTGGGCAGACAGAGGTTGTTGGCAAGGGCGGTTCGCACGTTGCGGTGAAGGCAACCGATGAGCCCCGGATTGAGGAAGAGATTGTTCAGATGGAGTGATCGCTCAAATTGCTGCCGACTTTCGAATTTGCATAGATACGATCCATAAATAGCGTTCAAATATGAATTGCCGATACTCTAATACTTGTCTTTGGCCTCAGGCAGATATAATGACGTCAGCAAATTCCTGGCGCGCGCCTCAATCCATTTCTCGCTATACGAACACCATGCAGCATGTTAAATGTCAACTTCCCTTGGTTACTTGTTTCCACATACTTTCCAAGTTGAAAATACTACAAGTTGCTCTGAAAAGTATGCGGCAGTCAGTGACCCAGTTTATGACAGGGGCAAGCGCGCAGCGATTGCAAATCCCATGAAGGCATGCATATGCAGCCGGAATGAACAGACTGACTCGTACTTGAACATTTTGTCTGCATCGAAATGGATGCAGACCCTCCTTCTGGATGTTCGTCCTCCGCCAAGCCAACTGAAAGTGGCCAGGGGATATTCTCATCACAACCCACGGTTTTCATTCTGCCCACACATTTGAGTCTGGATAAGCTGCACGAAACAGAAAGGCGACTGGTTGAGCATGGTGGGAAAATCACCTACGACATTACCGAAGCCGGTCTGATTTTGGGGAAGATTGGCCAAAAGAAGCGTGCTGCCCTGGAGCTTCGCTCTCGTGGGATCAGGACGGAAGAGTCTCCGTCAACACCGGTATCTACTCAGGCGATATCCTTGGGGGAAAAGCAGCCTCCAGTCAAAAGAAGGAAGATTGAACAAGATTATAAACCGGTCCGCGATGGAGCCGGACCAGAGATTGTCGACCTCAGTACTGAGTCTGAAAGCGAGAAAGATGGAGTGAGAAGTCGGCATGATCCTTCTCAGCACCTGGTGCAAGTCCAAGACCCGCCAGGCACTATCACTCTTCTTAAGCTGGAGTGGCTAGACCGTTCCATCATAGCCGGAAAAAGTCTCTCTTACGAGTCGTTTCTCATATACCAGGGCCAAAAGACCAATTCTCCGGGCGAAACATCTGCAAAACTAATATCTGAGAAGCTACCCAGCGAGATTCTCCAACGTGCCAAGGAGGATGCAGCTTCACAGCCTCCGCCAGTTCTCACAACCCGATTTCACCCTCGGCGCTCCAAAGAATCACACGATTGGACTTCCATTCAAAAGCCACCAACCCTTGTCCGAACAACCACATCCGAGAACGATGAAACTGCCACTCCTCCAGACCAACCAGAGTGGGTAAAAAATCAAATTTTGTACGCATGCCTACGCTCAGCCCCACTGCACACTCCAAATGCAGATTTCCTGGCGCAACTCATCAAAATTCGCCGAATACGCCAATTAACACTCGACGATATCGGCGTGCGAGCATATAGCACATCAATTGCGACACTCTCAGCGTACCCGCACGTCCTCAAACGGCCCAGTGAAGTCCTCGCTTTACCAGGATGTGACGTGAAGATCGCAAACCTCTTCTCTGAGTTCCAGCAGCACGGAGGCTGTAACCACACAGACGACGACGGAAATGTTGCCGCAGCAGATGCATTGGATACAGACCCTATGCTGAGCGTTCTGAACACGTTCAACAAGATCTGGGGCGTGGGCGCCAAGACCGCTAGAGAGTTCTACCTTAAGGGGTGGAGGGATCTAGATGATATTGTTGAGTATGGATGGGACTCTCTCTCGCGGGTGCAGCAGATTGGAGTCAAGTTCTTTGATGAGTTTGAAGCTGGTGTTTCGCGCGTGGAATCAGAGACCATCGCCGATCTTGTAAGAAGGCATGCTCAGCGTGTGAGGCCAGACGCTGAAAACATCGACTGTATCATTGTCGGCGGCTACCGTCGTGGAAAAGAAATCTCTGGCGACGTGGATATTATATTAACACATCGCGACGACTCAGTCACCCGAAACCTGATCGTTGATGTGGTATCTAGTCTAGAGAAGGAGGCATACATCACGCATACCCTCTCCTTGCATCTAACTTCAACACTGCGAGAACAGTCAACTCTACCATTCCGGGGCGACGAAACAGGAAAACATTTTGATTCGCTCGATAAGGCACTTGTCGTATGGCAAGATCCTATCTTTGACTCTACAGATGCGAGCGATGCGGAGGGGCGGAAACGAAATCCGAATCCGCATCGTCGGGTGGACATCATCATTTCGCCGTGGCGAACAGTGGGCTGTGCAGTGCTTGGCTGGTCTGGAGACACAACATTCCAGCGCGATTTGAGGCGATTTGCGAAGAAAGCGCATGGTTGGAAGTTTGACTCTAGTGGGGTGCGGGAGCGTACTGCTGGCGGGGAGGTGGTGGATTTGGAGTATGGAGGGGAGACCTGGGAGGAGAGGGAGAGGTTGGTCATGGAAAGGTTGGGAATTGGGTGGAGGCCCCCAGAGGAGCGATGTACGCGTTAGGTTATGTGGCATTTCATGAGTGTCACAATTCACACTCTTTGACATGTTCCCTATATATCCTTGATCCATAGAAAGGTAGCTTCGGGGTAGCAATAATACATAGTTCAGCAGTCACTTGTCAGCCCGACCAGAATGGTGACCAGGCTGAGACTAAATGATTTCATTCAAATAGTCCCCTGCACAAGATCTGTTCCAAGATGTTGAGGTTGGCGATGCTTAAGATAGGATAGGTGAGGCTGAGGATCAAGTGAAAAGTTCAACAAGTCGTAGTATCAGGCCAATAATATCTGTGCATTATATTCAGAGTACAAAGACTATACTGAAGAGAAAGAGCAGAAAATCAGGCGATTGAGCTTGGATATCACCAGGACAAGCTCCCTGCGACAGCCATCTACCTCTTCATTATATCTGCCGTGGAAATTCGGATAAACCCAACGGTAGCTCTAGGTTCTACTTACCTAGTAAAGACTTACTGCTATAGTTTTTTGCCCTAAGAGTAAGGAAACTCAAAGCCAAGGGAATGCTTACATAAGCAGCGGCAAAGACCATGGAATCGCGTACAAAGACAACCACCCAAGTTCCCCAATTAAGATAGAAATTTCAGTTTTAAATTAATTTTTTTGGTTTTGGGCACAGAGCCTCCGTACGCAAATCACCGACTTTGCCGATTACAAGACAGGGAGAGGACACCAAGTGTTTGCCGATCGAAATCTGCAATCAAGATGCGACGGAGATGGATCAACTGGGCTGGGGCGATGACGTCGGAATCTAAAAATGTTCCGTGTGTGCAGGGCCTCCTAAGACCCCGCTCCCAGGTGCCGTGCTGACACTCGTGGCGTAAAACCGGTCGGAGTAGGCCGCAGGGCTGAGCCTGGGCCGTGGGGCTGGGCAGAAATCAATGCGATAGGATCGTTTGTAGACCCTAACGTAGCAATGCATCCATCCCCTCGTACTCCCGTATGTACCCGTAGTCGTTTTCGCATTTGCGGGAACCCGTGCGACCCGGGCGGAAGCATGTTGTTAGATCAATTTGGTCGGGTATGACAGTCATTGGGAAAGAAGTATAGTAGAATAAGTGACAAGATTTTTCGACAGTCTATATGCAAGTGGTATACAATCGTGTCTCATTCAAAAAAGCCCAAGCTAAAACCTGGGTTTGGGCCAGCCATCGATATCTCCATACCAGCGCGACCGGTAGATCTCATCACCGATGTTGATCATGCGTCGCTTTCCATTAACAACCAAACTGGTATGGAATCCGCGGAACTTGGTCCAAAGAGATTGCACATAGATGAAGCTTCCATCGGGCGCGAGATTAAAACTTTTCAGGTCCGACTGCGGAAGCTCCTCCCACTCGCCATCGCTATTATACCCATGGCGATCGTCGGTCGTACACTCGAATCCTTGCATATATTTATCGGTGACATTCTCGTAGTGTTCGGTGAATTGACCAAGCTCGATATCGAACGCGTGAAGACCGCGATCCTCCGATACTAGGAATTTGCGCTGGTTGGGAACGGGTACGAGATCGTGTAGCCCAGCCCACCAGGGGTAGCCTTGGCCCCATTCGGTCATAATATTATATGCCTCGGGTAATTTGTAGATAAAGCGATCGTCCTTGCTCAGTAGGCCCGTCGTCGCGTCCCAGGGATAGCCGATGATGGTGCCGTACGCAGGGACCGGATCGGACCCGTCCGCAGCGGCGTCCGTTCCGGCTGCCCAGAGCATCTGGCCTTGTTCATCCCAGATCATGCCGTGAATGGCGCGTAGTCCAGTGATATTTTGAAGGATAGGAGGGTTATCCGTCAGGGGATTGGCGGCGCTCGCATTGTATACGAGGATACCGTCCCAGGGTCGCTGGCCGGTAGTAGCGACAGCGAGTCGCTGCCCTGGCAAGGGCTCCACTGTATGCGCATTCCAAAGGACGGCAGTATCTCGACAAACTGCGAAAGTGATGCGCTTATCGGTTTCCGGGTTGTTCGGGGTGTGATTAATGACGAGGGCAAGGTTGCTATAGATAGCGCCAAGACTGGTGCCGTTGTTCATCCATTTAAGCTCTGTCGCATCGTTCGCATTGCTATAGAGACAATTCTGCAAGCCCGGGGGTAAACTCTGAGTGACGTCCTTGCGTGCGAAGCTCCATTTCACGTCCCCGTCGCGGTTATGGATCTTCAAGAGGGGCGGAACGCCATATAGGCCGGTGACGATGTCCTGCCACGGTCGGTGCTCGGGTCGCAGACGCTCCTGTGGCTGAATAGGAGGAATATTCCAATCTTCCAAGCCAAAAAGGAAGGGAACCCATCCTAAGAATCGGCCCAACATGACGATGGTGAAGAGGAGAAATACCCCGAACCCCGATCTCGAAGTCGCCTCCGAGTGGAGCGGAAAGGGGCCAAAACCTGGGACCAGTGCGCCCCAACGCAGCCAAAACCCCGAGTAGAGCCTGTCGGTCCCTTTTTTCGTTCTCCACCTGAGTGAACGAGTCAATCACACTCAATCACGCCTTAACCTCGATCCTTGGCCCTCTTGGCGACTGGAGACACCTGTCTCACACTTTTTTCCCTGTATTACCCCGAATCTTGACCTTTACCTGACCTCCTCTTCCCTGTCATGGACGACTCTTTTTAAACCACCATGAAGGGTGTAAAGGCACTCTTGTTTATGACCGGCGAGCGATTGGCGGAGGTCTTTCGATCGCCCGGTCAGACCCTGGATGCCTTCTCCAACTTCGCTCGCTGCTACTTTTACGCGCTCGCATTCTGGTCTCTGATTACCGCAAAGCTCTTACATCTCTATGCACATCTATACTCGCTACCAGGAAGCCAGTTTGTCATCTGGGGCATTACTTTCTTCTTCCAAGATGTTGCGATGCTCCTATTCTTGCGCATCATTGCTCAACGAGGGCGCACGCGGCCCCTTGCTGCTTTGGGCGCACTTGTGCTTATCCCGTTTAGGTAAGTGACCTCGTGCTTCAACGCCTCAAGCGCCTCAAAATGTCGGCCAACGTCTGCTAACACTGGGACAGTTTGATCGTCTCGGGAATGGCTGCCGCTAATTTCTCTGTCTATGTTTTTACCGGCGCTGAAATTCACTGGAAACAAGCCAAATCCTTTACCAATGACGCTGCCGCAATCCGAACTTTACTTACCGGTTTGACCGGATTTCTTGTCGGCGAAGCTATTATTGTCGCCGCTGCCATTTTAACCGGTCGTTTCGTTCACAGAGTTGCCGGAGGTTTATTACACGTTCTGGCATGGCCTCTGCGCTGGCTGTTTGGCCGCGTGAGCACTTGCCTGTCGCCTCTGCGCTCACGACTGAACATCTTCCCAATCCGGAACCAGTACAAAGACCTACCCGATCCGGAAGTCTATGAACGAATCGCTCTCGAGGACGACTACCTGAACGATACACCCGATGACGAGTCTGACGATGCCTATGATGCCCACTCTTCCAAATGGGACAGCAGACCCATAACCGATCGGCCCCTTCCACGAGTTCTTATCCTTGGCGCATTTTCTCTATTCCTGTTACTACGCATTCTCCGGCCTCCGGACTCGGTATTACTGTTCCTTTCCGGAACTCTGCCTTTGACGACGGTTTTCCAGGGCGGCCACCGGGGCTCGCCTGTTGATATCTCCGGTGTTCCGCTCGGATATAGTTACCTCGATGGCGCGGAAACTCTCCACCCTCCGCCTAAGTGGTCATGGATGCCCAAGGACCCAGGTCCCGGATTCAGAGATTGGGAACCCGAAACCCACGCCCTTCATTACGACGGTGCCAAAAACCCGCTCCATATTTCTAATCTGCAGGAGCCGTTATTAAAACCTGTCCAAAAGGCGATAGCTGATAACAACCTCAAAATTAAACACGTGGTTTTGTTGAAGCTCGAAAGCGCGCGCGCTGACATTTTCCCTCTGAGGAACGATTCATTCATGCGCGAGCGCATCGCTGGATCTTATCAGGATAACCAGATCCCCGAGGATGTACTGGAGCGCATTGCAAACCTCACGCCTACCGCCAATTATTTGACGGGTTTCGATACTGGGTTTGGTCAGGACAATGGTATTCAGCGCAGTCGCAAAGCGTATGGGGGTCTCAGTGCGAGAAACGCCTACACGACTTCTACCTATACGCTCAAGAGTCTCGAGGGCACCCTGTGCGGCGTTTCACCACTGGTTGCCGATTTGAACCGCGAGTTCGAGCATCACATTTATCAACCATGCATGCCTCAGGTTTTCGACATGCTCAGCCGACAGCCCGAGATCACCAACAAAACCGATGATTTCACCCTGTGGCCGTGGCACTCCATCTGGATGCAGTCCGTGACGGAAACCTACGACAACCAGGACAAGCTAACTCCGAAATTGGGCTACTTTGACAAGCAGACCAAGGAGACCATTGAGCACCCGGATGCCAAGCACTTCCCGCCGAAGACCGAAGAAGTGAACTACTACGGTTACGCGGACACCGAGCTCAAGGAGTACATCCGGGATGCGATTGACGATGCAGAGAGTAATCATGAGCGTTTATTCCTTACCCATTTGACTGGAACTACGCATCATCCATGGGGTTTGCCTAACAATGCATATGAGCAAATCATGGGCTCGAACAAGGGACACAACGAAGACCTGAACCGCTATTTGAACACAATTGGTTTCGTGGACGGCTGGCTTCAGACGATCCTGGACATCTTGGAAGAGAAGGGAGTAGCCGACGAAACCCTCCTCGTCATGGCCGGTGACCACGGCCTCTCCCTTCCCAACGACGGCGGCATCACACCCTACGACAATCCGCACGTTGGCAACTTCCAAGTGCCCATCGTCTTCGCACACCCCAAACTCCCACCCATCGAGATCAAAGCCCCTGTCTCTAGCATCCAGATCGTCCCCAGCATAATCGATCTCCTAATCGAATCATCTTCCATTCCCAAAGACACCAGCAACGTCGCACGCGACATCCGCTCCCTTTATGAAGGCCAATCTCTCATCCGGCCCTTAATTCAGGAGCGCGACGGAAAGAAAGACTGGCAATTCACCGTGATGAACACCGGTGGAACCTGGCTCAGTGTACGCTCCGCCGCGCGACCCGAGTTACGACTCGTGATTCCGCTCATCAACGATGTCGAATGGCGCTTCTCTGACCTGACCAAAGATCCGAACGAAGATAAGCCCATTATGAGATTCAATTTGGCTGACATGGCCCACACGCTTCAGAAGAAGTACGATGACGAGATTCTTCGTTGGCTCTTCGATGCTGTGTATGTGGCTAATTGGTGGGTGAAAGAGAACTGGGATCGGTATGGATACAATCCTCATCCGAAGCACCATGACAGGTGATCCACTGGTGAGATTTCTTGTTTATTTCTTGCATTGAATTTTGCATCTACTTCGTATATTTATGTATCTAATGCTTGGGCTCGTCGCCCAAACATACACGAGGCGTTCTGGGTTTGGGGCATTTCTCTTTTACGGGGAATCTGGGGGATCGGATATATTCGTTCAATGTTCATGTTTCATTTTCAATATGATACTCTTTCATATACGCATCACTTTTCAGTCTAGTAGTAGATCAAGTGCCGTGTTCATACGCACTCCTCGCGCGCAACCTGGGACCAACCCAATAGAACAGCCATGGAATAGGTGCCATAATCAATGCTGTGAATCCGAGAACACTCGTTGCCCAGCCCACGCCCAACCCCTCGTACATCTGAGTCACGAAGAGTGGAAATGCCGCTGATAGTGTATACCTCGATAACGAGGACGCTCCGCTCGCTGAAGCACCATACTTGGAGCCATACACATCAAGCATGTAGAAATTGCATGGCACATAGATGAGAATACTCCCAAGAAGCGCCATACCCTGTGCAACGATAGGACTGATCCAGTGAATCGAAGACTTGGCAGTCCAACCAAACCAGAAGAGAGCGACTGGAAGAACCAGACTTCCATACAACGCCGTGTATAGCTTCCTCTCCGGATTGAAAGAACCATCCTGCTGAACCGGGTGGTGTCTCTTCAGAGCCCGATTCACTGTAATCAAAATCACAGGAGCCACCAAACAACCCACGACAAGACCCAAAAACGAAAGACCTTGCGCACCTAGCGAGAACCCATAAACCGTCTTAAACACCCACGGGCTCGCCACAACAAAGGTATAAAGCAACGCAAACTGAAATCCAGTATAAAGACACAGAAACCCCACCAAAGGCTCCGTCAGGAGCATATGCACTGGTCTTACAATGGTCGAAGTAACCAACGTCCTCAACTTCACCCACCCGTCACCCTTCCTGACTTCAACCCCCATCTTCCTAGCCCTCTTCTGCAGGATAATAGTTTCATAACTCTCCCTCAAAAACAACGCACATGGATGAAACACCGCAGCCATCACAAGAACCACCCAAGCCGTCCACCTCCATCCCCTCTCTTGCACAACGAACCCCCCAATCAACGGCCCAATAGCACTGCCAATAAACGGAACAGAATAATACATCGCAAGAGGAATCACCCGATCCGCAGGCTCCGTGAAATCAGAAATCGTAGCCGCAGCCACAGAAACACCCGGCGCAGCGAACAAGCCCGCTAGAAAGCGACAGATGATTAACGAGGCGATGTTCCGCGACAGGCCCGATCCTAGCATGAAAATGTCGAATAAAGGAAGGGTAAATAGGTAGACGAATTTGCGGCCGAAAGTCTCGGAGCACGGAGATGAGATCATGGGACCGAATGCTAGGCCTAGGGAGTATGCTGATAATGGGAGAAGGGATACTGTTGTTGAGGTGTGGAAGGCATTTTGTACGGTGGTGTGGCCTGGGGAGTAGATTGAGGCGCCGAGGGTTGTTATAAAGCCGATAGAGCAGATTATAAGAGTCGAAATTGTTTTGCGGAGAGTCGTCCAATTTCGTGGGTTGGTTTTGTCATAAGACCAGTCGGTTATGTCGGTGGTGAGGGTTGTGTTGGTGTTGGGGTTGGTGTGGTCTTTTTCATGGTTGGGGTGCATCTTGTCATTTTTGGTGTTTTTGAGGGGGATACGAGTCTTTTATGTACTGATTGACCCCAGATGATGTTGGATGGAGTTGAAGATATCGAATCTAGAGGTTGAAGAGCCAGTGTCGATCAGGTCGGCGCGAGATCCTAGCGCCCGAGACCTCGGAGGACTCGCCCGAAGTGTATCTATCAGTCGGGAATATAACCATATCCACGAGTTTTCTATTTGGCTACAAGGTACAGAGAAGCAGATGATATATGAGTTCATGTCCAATTGAAAATAATCAAGCTAAAAACACATCACATCGACGAAGAGTATGTCACAAGGCCTCCGCCCGAATAATAGCACTGCTATAATGACGAGGCCGGAGGAAACGAAATGTAAAAAGTACAAAATTGTAAAGCTACCAACATTTGGCTACTAATGCAGGACGAGATGCAAAAATGATTTAATCATAATGCCTGGGTCCTGGAACTGGCCATTTCACCATAGCGGCCACGACCTTGGGTGGTATCGTAGGCGTTCAAGACGCGCATTTGGCCGCCGTCATCAGCTTGCGAGAAGGCATAACCACGCTGTTTGCGCATACGCTGGACCTGTCGGACCTTGCGGATGGCTTTCTGGAACTGTTCCATGCGAGGACGGTAGTCCTGCACGTTGTACTTCTGAATCTCCTGGACGTGGTGGTAATGCTGGGGGTAGTACATGCGCTTGGCGTACTTCCACGCGTAATCCCGCATCAGGCAAATACAGGGTAGAACGAGAGCCATCAGGTAGAAGACGGGTGTTTTGAAGAGCACGGGAATAGTACCATAGTATTCGGTGGAGAATCCAACGGCAGGAGCTCCGAAACCGTAAGCCGGGAGGAAGATCAGCCAGATGACCATGGAGCCGGGAATTGCGATGAAGGTGTATTTTGTCCAGAGGTTTGTGATCAAAGCGGCCTTGCCGAGAACTGTGGCTAGGACAGCAGTGTATAGTGCCTCGCCCCAGACCCAATGACCGGCAGTCTTACCGTCACCCATGGGTAGGTCCCAGTAGAAAATGAGCTCGGAGACGAGATAAAGGATCAGGGAATGGAAGAATCCGTTCAAGACCCAGGCCCAGAAGCTATGTGTCTTGAAGAAAACACCCTTCTGGCCCAGTTGGTAAAGTTGAGGATAGCGGTCAAGCATTCGAGCGGAGATGTACTGATCAAAGATTCCCATGGCAAATGGAGGCAAGACGGTAAAGAGCACGTTGTAGAAAGAGAGGGTCCAGGATTCATAAATGACTTCTCCGGAGAAAGCGTTTTGGAAGGAATACTAAATGAATGTTAGACAAAAGAGACAGAGTTGTGACCATCAGAATACAAAAGCTTACCCAGAACTGTGTCATATACAAAGTAATGTTCTTATAGAACGAGTACAGAATGACTCGACTGATGCGAGAGTAACTCCAAGCACCGTGAACCAGGAGAAGTTTCCGAAGGAAACGGAACTGGCCGATAGCCACGTCAGCAGATCGAGCAGCCTGGAGACCCTCCATACCACTGATACCCACGCCGACGTGGGCAGCTTGGATCATGGACACATCGTTCGCACCATCACCAATAGCCAGAAGCAAAGACTTCATGTGCCTCTTGACAAGCTTGACGACCAATGCCTTCTGGAGAGGAGACACACGGCAGCAGACAACAGCCTTGCACTGAACAGCCAGATCCAAGAACAGCTTTTCCATGTCCTTCTCCAAAGCAAAGGTGAGAGATTTCCCGTCAATGATCAAAGCTAGGGCTTCAATTTCCCCGGAACCGGCTTGACTATTGACGGCATCCATTTTCTTCTGCAGACTGGCACGCGTAGCCTCAGATGACTCTTCGTTGATGATTAGAAGTGTCATGTCCTCGGAGATGAGCTTGCAGGACATGCCAATGTTGATGGCAGTTTCCTGTCGATCACCAGTCAAAACCCAGATCTTGATTCCAGCTGTTTGAAGAGTGTGAATGGTATCCGGGACACCATCCTGCAGACGATCCTCAATAGCGGTAGCACCAAGAAGATAGAAGTCCTTCTCAATCAGTTCAGCAGCTTTGTCAAGCTCATCAGCGCGGTTACCGCTGACGGTAGTGTTAGCCTTGTCAAAGACTTGCCACCACTGCTGGAACTCGTTTTCGGGGACCTCGCGCATTGCCAGACACAGTGTTCGCAGACCTTCGGAGGCATACTCCTCGAGGTGTTGGAGCGTGGTTTCCACGGTCGGGTTGTCAGGATGCAATCGTTCGAGAATAACCGTGTCGGCACCTTTACAGTAGACCCGAATCTTTCCGTCCGGGCACCTGAAAATTGTCGACATTCGCTTACGGGTTGAGTTGAACTCGCAAACAGCGAGCAACTCATACTCGAATTCTTGGCCGTTAGCCTCAAAGATAACAGAGCGGGGTTTCCGATTGGTGAAACGATATCCCAGTTCAGCGGCACCGTCTACCAAGGCGCCCTCATCGGGTGAGGCAGCCTGATATTTGATTTTCGTCGGATCATTGGCATTGCGTTCAGGAATAACCGTGTGACAGGTAGCCAGAAGAGTCAGGAATTGCTGGATAGCGTTCCGAGACGGATGCGATTGCGCGTTCTGTCGCAGTGTCTTGAGATCGTAGACGCCGAACTCGTCATCATCGTCCCCGGTGGCTCGTCGATCTTCGGAAACATCATCACCATATTGGATGCCGGCAATGGTACACTGCTTGAACTCCATCTGGTTGCAAGTAAGAGTACCTGTCTTGTCAGAGAAAATGTACTCAATCTGTCCTAGCTCCTCAACCAAGGAGGATGTTCGGCAGGTGGCAGGGGTGTCAGTTTTGTCGTAGTAGATATCCAGATCGGAGTTGATGAGGAATGCCTGGAAGTATTTGACAATTTCAATGGTGACGAAGAGAGAGATCGGAACTAAATTCGAGTAAAGAACCCAGTAGGTGAAAAGATCCATGAAGAACTGCTTGACAGGCTGGACAGTTCCGTAATCGAGGTAGGCCAACTTATTACCTGCTGTTTGACGAATGATGAGGTCGCCGACAGAACTGATCACACTCAGAGCAATAAGAATACCAACGAGCATCAAAATCTGAATGTTGACCATCCGCTCAACAGCAGTCCGCTTGATAGGCGTTGCCGTCGCATTTCGCATCAATTTGGTTTCGTGACCTGTGAAGACGACAATACCGTGAATCCAAGGGGTGTTTCGTAAAGTGGCACCACGCAGCAGAAGCTGATCAGGTGCGAGGGCCAATTCCTTCTCACCACCACCAGCATTCATAGTCATTGTAGCCTCGTAGGTATACAGACTGCTGTTGGGTTGTTCGGATCGGACACGCCCGCTCAGACGGCTCAGGTCACTGGGACTAACCAGATGCGCGGTTTCAGGAATGGCCTGCTTGATCTTCAAGTTTGTCTCGCCATCCAAGTTTGCGGTTTCGATGTAGCAGAGACCCTCGGGCTCGGATGATGCCAAGAGAACCAAGTCCGCTGGGAATGGCTCTTCTGACTCGACTCGAACCACGTCGCCTACTGCAACATCGATCCATTTTGATTCGTGGAATGAAGAGCCCTTGAGAACCTGCGTTTTTGAGTTGTTCAATCCCCTGTCAGACATCCGTCGTTTGTAGTCCTCTACCAACTCTTTGATGGCTGAGACTGCCAACACAATAGCGAGCGGAACAATTGTCGTATACCTGCTTGTCGGGGACACATTGGGGATTTGTTGAAGAACGGCGGTGAGCAAGAAGAACAGGTTGGCGTATTTGGAAAATTGTTCAAAGAGGAATTTGGGGATGAAGGTGATGATGTTGTACTTGGCGGTCGACACATAGTTGCTGACGAACTTATGCGACGCGTTAGCAGGCGGGTTGTTGATCTGGATCATACGGGGGCCCATAGTCGAGGGATCAGCCTTGCCTCGCCCAAAGATGGACTTGAGACCAGACCCGCTGGACTTCTTGCGCTGTTTGGAAGCTACCGGCGCATCGGTGCTATCCACTGTAGCTCTTCTCGCGCCGGCCTCTGTCAACGGAAGATCCATTTCAGAGTATTCATGCGGCCCCATGCCGAACATGTATTTGGCCTTTCCCATCAACCCGCCGCCCAACCCCAGAATACTATTCCGCTCATTCCCTTTGCGGACATGGTGCACATTCGCTATACGGTCGTCATCTGCATCGAGGTCGTAGTATCCGGAGTGTGAGTCCTCAAGTTCGTCAAAGGAGTAGCGATTATAGTTGTCGAGCCCGGAGGTCTGCGAGTAGGTACGATTCATGGACTCTTCGGAGTAGGGGTCGTTTGGGTAAGCGCCGAGGTGTCCCGCATGCACCGGACCAGGTGTCGCATGTTGATGAACTCCAGCCTGTTGAGGCTGGCTACCAACGAACTGGTCGTAGGATACGGAAGGACGTGGCGGCGCGTGGGGTTCGTCGGAATCGTCGATGTTGAACCGTTGCAATAAGTGTTCGTCGTTCACGGGCGGGGGCTGGCCGGAGTTATACGTTGGGCCCGCGTCAATTAGTAGGTCGTCATCGTGGCCAGCAGGTTGATGCGACCCGGGAGGCCTACCGCTGGCCATGCTGCCGGCGGGGGAGCTGACACCCTCACTGAGCGAAGCGCTAATGCCCCTGAGGCATTGATTGGGACAAGGACGAGGTTGAAAGGAAGTGCGCTGCTGAACCTGAAGGGGGGTCCGTCAAGCAAGGATAATTTATCAGCCAGGGAATCGGAGATTATAGAAGGTGAAGAGCGTCGATAGGAAAAGTGGAAAGGCAAGGGAACGAGGTGGCTTAGCGGGTGAAGGCAGCAAGTTCGTGTTGACGATCGTCCCGCTTTTTCGGATTCGGGCGGTAAACCACGTCTTGGAGCAATGACTACACGGAAATTAAATCAGCATTAGAGTTAAGCAATCAAATTGGTTTGAGATGTGTTCCACAAGAGCAGGGTCCAGTGCTTCTTAGCTGTGATCGGCCTGAAACGCCGTGGGCTAAGAATAGGCACATTCTTGGCGCCGTAGCCGGAAATATAGTGGCACCCATACATTTGGGCTGTTCTAGGACATAGCTATGTACTCAATGCCTAGACAAGGTTATCCTGGTCTTTTTCTATGAGTATTACCACCATCCTATCTCAAGTGCTAGCACCTTGGTATTGTATTTTTCATTCTCACTTCTCACTCTGATTCTTCTTTTCGCAATCTTCATTGCCGAAGTATATATTTCTGCATGGGGCACTGGATCCATGCTCAATACCTATCAATGCCACCAGAGCTGGCATTTCATTTTCCTGAAGCTGGCAGTCACTTCAACACACGCGGCCCCCGAAGTTCCAAGGCTTCGAGCTTCGCATAGATTGCGTACCCGTGGACGTCCATACGGTAACTAGGCATATACTACGCAGACGCAAGAAAAAGTTAATCACAATGCTATGGAATTTCTGAAAAAGCAATGCGGAACTCCCATCCCAAGATCGTAAAGGTTTTAGTCATACAAAATGGTCATGAACTTGGATCACCGGTCATTCTCCGCCCGTGATTCATCTGCCATTCCCAGCTTTGCCCGCCGGGCAAGGTCGACTTGCATTATCTTGTCAACCTTAGTGTTGATCTCCTTGACCTTCTCCAGGGCCACATTGGACTTAGTCACCACCTCCATCGCATCTAGCGGTGCACCCGAAAACTTGGAGAGGAAGCAGACATCGCCTCCGTTGTTGATACCAATCACGAGTTCTCCTTCTGATGCCTGTTCTTCCTTGCGAGTTGCATCGACGATGATGTTATTACCCTCGTTGAAGGCATTAAATGTGACGGAAAGTGGGTTATGGGTGATGTTCAGCGCAACGGGGACTCGCTCTTCCACACCGTAGACGATGACCTGCCCGTCTCTGACCACAGCATCCGGCCGGCGGAAGTGTCGAAGTCCGGTCATGATCGCAATGCAGGCTGCATCGGTCAAGTTGCCGTCGTAATCGAGGACGTGTACGTCAGCACGAATACTCCAGCAGCTGACACCTTTAAGGATACAAAGAGACTCGGTATCTAGGGCATTCGAGCGGCGGATAACGCTGTCGAGAACGTGGGTGACATAAGCTTCCAAATCGTTGGAGCTGTAAGACCGCCAATTAATTAGCTGCGAGTTCCATGGAAGACGGGGGACCCATTGGAGCTTACCGTCCATTCTCCCAGGCTGGCGAGCCCATGGCAGACAATTCGAGATTGATGTTAAAGAGGCCATCGAAGGGACGGTCGTCGCGGGGTTTCGTAACCTCGGCGGAGATGCGAACAACAATGCTAGGATAAGAGTTTAGTACAGGCGACTTTGGTGAAGGCCATTGGTAGCGAAACAAACCTGGTTTTGCCCACTTGGAGCTTCACATGTCCATATTCATTACCGAACGACAGGTTCAGAGAACGGAACTGATCAGGGCCACGGCCATCCAGGCGCACATTCTCACGGAGCGCTTCAAGAATGAAGTCGCGCTCTGCGACTGAGAGCTGTGCTTCCTTTGACATCTTTCCAAATAGTGCCCGTGAAGGAGAACCAAGCGTTGGTGCTTCGCGGGGACCAAACGTGCTTTTTTTGGGCCATTTTGCCATGACTGGCCGCATTGTTGCTGCTGCGTGCCAATAGAAAGCGCGGAATCCTTGAGCGGTGAGAGGTGAAGGGCGACCTGCATCTGAAGCCTCTTCGATCGTCGACAGTGAACTTCTCAACTTCCACTTCACTTACAAAATGACTACAGGTATGTTTTGAAAAGCTCTCGGGGACATCACTTAAAGTTAATAACCTACGTACTTCAGCCCATCGTCCCACTTTCGATCCGGTATGGCAACTCTTGACTACCTCGACTCCCATGAGCGCACCACTAACTCAAGCAGGCACAAGGCAAAGAGGCCCTCCGTGGACCAGCCTACCACCAGCGCCTTCTCCCCGCATATACACATCTAAAAGTCCGGTACGCGCGACCTCCACCCAGTCGAATTGCTCGACGAGTGCTAATAGTAACCCAGACAACCTGGACAGGGTGGTGATGCCGATAACGAAGTCCGCGACCTGCGCGCAGAGCTCCTCCAGGCCGAGGCTGCCTATTTCGCCAAGAAGAACGGTATCCCCGTCGATGGACAAGCTGCCGCCGAGCCGAATGCCCCGAAGCGACAACTTGAAACCGCGCCCGCGGATGGCGATGAAAGTGGCGAAACAGAAGATCCAGAAGCAAAGCGAAGGAGGATTCTAGAAGAGACACGCGACATAGATGCGGACTCCGATGGATCAGAAGAAGAGAGCAGCGACGAGGAAAGCGACGATGAAGACGAGTCAGCAGAGCTAATGCGTGAGCTGGAGAAGATCAAGAAGGAACGCCAGGCGCAAAAGGAGAAAGAGGTATGCATGGTTGGGTTGAGCAGAATTGAGAGCAAATACTGAGACTACCCAGGAACAAGAACGGGCCGCCGAGGAGGAAGAACAGCGCGAGGTCGATATCGCACGAGGTAACCCTCTGCTCAACTCGCAAGATTTCAACATGAAGCGGCGATGGGATGATGATGTGGTGTTCAAGAACCAGGCCCGGGGCACTGAGAAGAAGGACGGCAAGGAGTTTGTCAACGTGAGTCCGCCTTGAGACATGAATATTATCGATCGTAAGGCTAATATGATGCTCCCAGGACTTGCTGCGCTCTGATTTCCACAAGCGATTCATGGTATTTGCAATGATATGCTCTTTATTCTGGAATTGTTTTACTAACTCCATCTCAGTCGAAGTACGTTCGCTAAACCAATTAACCTCGAACTTCCTTATGTCAAATCGACGATACAAGGTAGCGTGGGCCGTAGGCTCGATCAATCGGTTTAAGATACCCATGGCGCAGAAGGCGCTTCCATGACAGTAGGAGGAATATCGCCAAACAGACCTCAGCAAGATGGCTTGATGCGTCGAAGAGTTGTTAGCACCTGGCGTTCTTAGGATCTGCCTTTCGCTATGATAAATAGCCAGTTTACACGATATCATTAAATCCAAATAATTCAAAAACTAGAAACAATTTCCTTTCCTCCATTTTGAACAATACTAGATCTTAAAGTCAACCATTAACGGTCCCCTGTTTAACTGATCGCCCTCCCCACACTGCTCTGTCACCGCCCGCCCGCTTATCGTTCTGATATGGCAGACCCCAGGCTTTCAGACTTCAACGCCATTGAGATGGACGGCCAACCTACTGCGAAGGCGCTGCACAGTATGATCACCTCTGACAGCTGTCTCAGGAGCTTCGGTTCAAGACCTTGGTCCTCGAATCACGCGGCTAACACAAAGTCATTATGCAGATCGCATCAACGCCGATATCTCGCAACTGCTGCAGCGGTTCGAGAACATCATGGCTACTGCAACGGTAGGCCTTTGGCCTTGAACGTGCCCTTTAATCCGAGCACTCACTGATTCGTCCCGTTCAGGTCGATAACCCCAGTTACACAGCGACTGCCGTCGAGACGTATCAACTGGATGTCGAGTCCACTGCTCTGGTAAGCTCTACTGCAATACCGCCATCTCTCAATCACAAGGAGATCTTCTTCTCAGAGTGATATATTCTAATTTCTCACGATAATCTGACATTTTACTTTGCAGATCCGTGCCGCAGAGGACATTCTCGCCTTGACCCGCACGATGAAAGAGACCTGGCTCTTCGGCAAGCTCGACACCCTCGGTGAGGATGATCGTGATGTCCAGCGCCGTGAAAAGCTTGAGAAGGATGTTCTCGCAGTTCAGAATGCCATCGAGGAGGGAGGGCTCCTGAAGATATCTCCAGAGAAATAGAGGGATAGGTATACCGGGGTCGTCACAACATTTGCATTGGGTCCATGCACCCTAACGGCGTTTACGGGAGAGGCTCAAAACCTAAGAGTCTGGCATTGGGATCTGATATTAATTATGGTGGAGAGGAGCAGGGGCTAGAGCTGAATCATAAGGGGGAGAGGGAAGCAAGTGAATCCAAGGCAGCTCTGTCTTCTCAATTTCATGAAATCCCAGGTCGTAGCTTCGTTCAGGAGATAGACGATGGAGATATTTACCGGACCTGGGTGAGAGTGTGAGGCTCAACTGTGTAAGGTCCTAGACGTTGAAATTTTCTACATCGTAATCGCGTCGAGGTGATACTCTACCTGTGTTGACGACATCGAGAATTCCGAGCTGTGTCCCCATGAGCTGACACTCATCTGGCTGGCCCCTTTCTCCTATTTTATACCCTATGTTGATGTTCTAGTCGCAAGCTAATGGGAACCCATCCTTCATGCATCTCTGATCATCCACATCTGGGCGTACATGACACTGGATTTTCCTGAGGTCTCCCCCTAGGCCATTTTAATACTTCATTTTGGACCAAGAAACGTCTCATCGATAGTGCAATGACTTTAACTGATATAGTCCCAAATCAAATTGCTTTATTTTCCGTATAGAATCCAAGCCATGTAACAACGAAGCACTAGGTCCAACACTGTATAGAAGGACCCTGCGGGGCCCGATAACCTATCGCAACTCACACGCGATAAAACACGTCTACACGTCCCTCTCCCAGCTCACTCCTCCCCTCCAAACCTTTCTACCAGCGCCCCAATACAACCCTAGCCCGAAATCCAAAAATAAAACTAAAAAGGCGAAACCACCCAAAATGCCTCCGGCAACTAACCATACCCTCCCACACACCCTCCCTCTCACCTTAATTGTCGCAACAACCCCAATTCGCATCGCGTCCACCCTCACCCCACAAGACCCAAATGACTCAACCCGCCTGGGCATCGGGCTCAAGGGCACTCTCCCATGGCCGCGCATCAAAGCCGACATGAACTTCTTCGCGCGCGTGACATCACGCCCCCCGGTCCCAGGAACCACGAATGCAATTATCATGGGCCGCAAAACATACGACTCCGTGCCGAGCCACCTACGACCCCTCGGGAAACGAATTAGTGTTGTGATTACGCGTGATCAGACGGGATCAGTGAAGAAGGGTGTGTTGAAGGAGCTTGAGGCGAGGAAGGAAAAGTTGGCTGCTGCTGCAAAGGCTAAAGCTGAGAAAGAGGCTGAGTCGGAGAAGGTGGTGGCTAAAGAGGTGATTCCGGAGCCGATCACGGATGCGATTGTGACGCCGAGTTTGGATGCGGCGATTTCAGAGCTTGATTCTGTGTATGGGGCGAAGGGCCAATTGGGCAAGATTTGGGTTATTGGGGGTGCGGAGATTTATGGGGCTGCGTTGCGGATGAAGTTTGATGAGGGGGAGAGGCCGGTTAGGATTGTTATGACGAATGTGGTGAGGAAGGGCGCTGGGAGTGAGGCTTCCTTTGAGTGCGATACTTTCTTCCCGTTGGATGGAATGACGGAGCAGGATGGATGGAGGCGTGCTAGTTCGGAGGAGGTTTCGGAGTGGGTTGGGGAGGAGGTTAAGGGGGAATGGAAGGAAGAGGGGGATGTCGAGGTTCAGATGGTTGGATTCGAGCGGTTACATTGAGGGTCTAGATTCCAAGGTGGCAGATTTGTATAGATAAAATGCATTGGTTCAATTCACTTGGAATTGCTGGGTTCAAAGTAAATGTGCAGTGGTATTCGCTGTACAACCAAGCAGGCTGAAAAGAAAGCAATGAACATAAATGGCTCTATGCAAGATGCCACCCATTGAAGCCGCGGAGAGCTACCAAGGGAAATGCAGATGAGATCATATGCAATGCTATACGATGTGTCCGTGGACGAATGAAGTCGAAAAATATCAAACCGTTGAGAACTCCAGTCGATGCGGTTAAGAATTCAGTTATGTAAAGTGCAAAGCATCTCCTTCGAGACCGCTTATTCGTTCTCTTTCATGAACTTAACAAAGGCCTTCTTATGCACAAGGCCAGTATACTGTCCATTCTGGACAACGCAAATGTAACGCAAGCCCAGCTTAGCGAAGCACTGGTAGACGAGGTCCATTGGGGAATGGACATCCAGAGCCATCGGAGCCTAGGCTGTGTTAGTATTGGGGCCACAAAGCCAGAAGAAGAGGGTTGGCTCACTGGGTCGATATAACGAGTGAAGTCCACGTGATGGGCGTCCTCGTTATCGCTATCATAAATGGCAATAGACGAGTCCATTGACATAAGACAAAGCGTATTCTCTTCGCCCACACCCAGTTCATCCAGCCCGAATTCGAGATCTGGGGCAGGGATAAGACCCTTGAGGACGTTATTGTACAGGACTGGAAGACCGCTATCAAGCTCTCCGGCCATAAGGAGAGTTTCGAGTTTGACACGAAGATCAGAGGCAGCGACAAAAGGCGATTCTGTAATATCGATGATGCGATCCTTGCGGTATGGGCGAACAATGTCGCCAAGAGATGCGTCGGTCACAGGCTGGAGTTTGCTGTCCAGGAAGGGATATGAGTTCATATCCGTCAAAAAGTCCTGTGAATGATTAGCAGTCGCTCGACATAGCAAGGAAGTGACTCTTACATAAATGCTTCGAGGTTCGATGGCATCAGCAGTCCATTTGGCGCAGAGAACTGCCAGCGAGAAGGGTAGTACGTGATCAAGACTTCCCGTCAGCTCGAAGAGAATAACGGCGAGAGTCACCGACAATCGAGTGACGCCGCACATCGTAGCACCAGCGGCAACCATCGCATAGACACCCGGGGTGATGCAGGACTCCATGCCGGCAATGTTGGGGCATGAGTCGAAGAGGAAGAAGGTGGGGTTCTTGATAGTCCAATACTGCACCGCATGTCCGACAATGCGTCCCATCAGACCACCGACTACCATAGACGGCACATAGATACCGGCTGGCACCTTAATGCCGAATGTGATAACAGTCAAGAGACTCTTGATGACAAAGGCAACGACTAGTAATTGGATGACATCCGAAATACCATCCTCTTGAGGGCAGAGGCCCGTGCTTTCGAACGAGACTCGGTCACAAGGACTTGCCAACTCGAATAAGAGTTCTGTGACAGGCAACTTGGTGTACGGGTTCCAGAAGCTAACAATACCAGTGACGGATGCGACGAGGAATACTTCCAGCATAGGGTAGCTCTTGATGATCGAAATGCGGCGGAATGAGCGAGCCCACCAGCTGGATGCCTTGATGAATAGGGCACCCAGTGCGCCACCGAGAATCCCGAGGAAGATGAACACGAAGATTTCAAATATCTCCCAGTCCGTCAGATAACGAACAGAGAAAAGAACGATCTTTCCAGTTCCGTATGGATTGAGGAATTTCAATGACAGTGCAGCTGCAATGCAGCAGAAGAACGTCCGGAAAAGTGTCTTTGGAGGGAAATAGTAGCTGACTTCTTCCAAGCTAAAGAGAACACCTCCGATAGGTGCACCAAAGGCGACAGCAACACCGCTGGCGGCACTAGCACTCAAGACCTCACGCCGCTTGCCGTCATTCTGGTTGTATTTGGCGAACAGTCTGCAGCAGATATTGCCAACGCAAGTGGCGATGTGAACATAGGGGCCTTCCTTGCCCAGACTAAGACCAGACGAAACACTGAAAATGAGAGCAATCGTCTTGACAACTAAAGTTTTCAAGCCCAAGTACCCGTGAAGAACGAAGCCACTGTTGATGACCTTTACCTCTGCCACCCCACTGCCAGCGGCAGAATAATAAACCATGGCCGGGCGCGGAGGGGTGTTGGGAAAGGCGCCATGGGGGCTTGTCACAGATGAAGGAGATCCGAACCCAGGGGTGCCAGCGTTGTGCTTGTTACGGTCTGCACCGAGGTTCTCGTCGAGAGTAGTTAATGAGATAGACGACGGAACCACCGTCTTGGTTAAGAGAGTTAGGGCACACGAGATCATGGCGAGAGCTACGACCCAAAAGATGAACATGGCATAATTGAGCCACTGGTTGTCCGACGCTTTGCTGCTGAAGATTTGCGCCCAAGAAAGGTATTCAGGGCAGCTGTGCAGCCCGTCACAGCACTTCTCCCGTCCAGCGAAGTAATGTGTCGAGCAGAAACCGATCTTCATATCGAATATCGCATCCTCGGTCACATCCACAAAGTAGGCAATTGCGGCTGTGATGCATCCAATGAGAGCCACCAGAACCCAGCCCTGCGCACCGTCAAACCATGCAAGCATACGGCCCTTAAAATCCTTCCGCTGCCGCAGCAAGCGGAGACGCTCCCCATCAGCAATGCTGTCATGGACCCAGTCAGTCGAAGTGAACTGGTCGTACCACATCCGCTCGTCCAGGAATGACGAAGCGGTCAGGCCGTCCTTCGCAGATGGCGGTAAACTAGCGGGCCTACTCTCGTCTCCACTACTCCCTCGGCGACTGAAATCTCTCGCAGCTGAACTTCTTCGGCTGTGATTGCGAGTGCGGCGCAAGCTCCCGGCGGTCAAGAGATATCGGAGCGAGTCCGGACCCGAGATACCTGACGTGCTGGTATACGACCGCCGTGGCGCTCTGCGCTGGCTCTCGGAGCCCAGAAGACTAGTTGTTTCACCGATTTCCAAATGTGATTCGAGTGACTGGTAGCCGGTATGTGGTTCGGCGAGGTAGCTCTGAGCTCGGCGGTAGGCCGTTGGAGATGGTGGAGCCGTGCGGGCATGGGAAGTGTCGCCCTCATCCCGCTCGGAGCGCGAGGCGGAGGTCAACTGGGGAATGGAGCGAGGCATTTCGTTGTTCGGGAAGCGTCTACGCTTCAGTGGAGGGGATATCGGGCCTGCTGCAGCCTGTCAGTTCTAAAAGGAGCGAGGCCCGCAATGACGCAGGAGAGAGACCAGGCCATAAGGGGTATAACAGGAACGATCGAGAACGGGTGTGTCTTACCGACGAGACATTTCAGAGCAAGAAGAATAGAAGAAAAGTGAAGTTAGAGATAGAAAGTAGGAGGAAGTAGTTTGGACGCGTCAGGTGAAAGCCCAAGGAGTTACCGGGTTCCCGTGTCAATCGGCGGCTCCACTCGATTTGCTCACGCTGCAGCTACTTAATTTATTTCCTTTCATCCTCCATTCCAGTGTGGAGGGCAAGTTTATCTTTTGCCTCTTTCCTCCCCGTCCCGCTGATCTCCTCCGTGCTCATGCGTCCATACCAGACGGAAGGAGGTTCCGAGCACCAACAGTGCGGCCTAATCACCTCATTCGCTAGGGTTCAGCCCGACAGTCAGCCACGAGCTCGAAGCGGACCGGTCGATCAGATGAGTTGGTCTCAGGATGCGGAGAAGATATTCTTAGCCCAACCACGCTGGAACAGCTTGGAGGTTGGATGCGCCTGACGAGATCAAGCTCCATGAATGGCTGATGCATTATCAAGGTCCCCCACCCATTGAACTTGAGATAGGTTTCCCACTAGGATCGACATGCGTCCAAGTACAGTACGGACACTACCGGCCCGTGCTTCTCCATTGCCCAGGGTAATAAATTTACAGGTCACAACCGAGTCACCGTTAAGACAGCCTGGGGCCAGTTGTGAGTTCCCAGACATTCCGCTGCATCTAACCTTTGACCCTTCGCTCAGGCGATCTCTTGGCAATACGTCGGGAAACATCGAAGGGTCTCCGTGGCTTTTGCGGGGCCAGTAGGTTCTCCGCATGAGGTGGATAGGAGGGGTTTTTAATTTTTTTAGAAGAACAGTGCTACACAAGTGCAAGTAGTCAAGCCTTTTTCCCTGCTGCCTCTGGTGCTATGATGAGCTTTTCGTTCGGTCCTATAGACGCACGGCTATAAGTCAGTAATTGATCGTCCACTTTGCCAGGCATGAGGTTAATGTACGATGCAGCGGGGAGGTGGACGATCTGCGCCGGGTGTGTTATTGGCCGGTTGGAGGGGAACTCGAGAGTGGGCTAAGCTACGAGAGATTCTGATATGGACCTTCAAGGCGAACCAGGAACTTGACCTCAGTCAACTGGAGTACAAAATGTATACAAAATATAAACAGATGCAGATATCACAGACAATACAGATCTAGAAGTGTTCTAGTCACAATTGAAGCGGTAATTGGTGGATAATTGATAAGCTCGCACCGCATCGAGATCCACTTCCATTTTGCCCACGGAGCTCACCCCACCATTTTCTTTAAAGGCTTCGGATATCCCCAAGCTCGAGCTGGGACGATCTCTCGAGCAAATTGTGTTGGATGTTTATTTTGCTTTGTCAATATGACTGAGATCGCAGCCCACCAAGAAAGCGAGGATGTGTGCAAGCCGTATGACCAGTTCATCCTCTTCGGCGACTCCATCACCCAGATGTCTTGCAACCAGGCACTCGGGTTTGCCTTTGCTGCAGAATTGCAAGAAGGTGAGATGATGGCCCATGGACATTCAATTCACCTACTGTACTAACCTTGCTCAGTCTACAGCCGCAAGATGGATGTGATCAACCGAGGCTTCTCGTAAGTACTAGAAACCCCCCCCCCCCCCCCTTGCTACCCGGTACTGTTTCTGATCAATAATAGAGGTTATACTACTTCCCACGCAATTAAAGTCTTCCCGAAATTCTTCCCATCTCCGCAAATTGCCAATGTGCGATTCATGGTAAGCTACCCCCGCGAACGCATAGGATGGCCCAGAACCCAATTTACCAAAACGGCAACAGACCATTTTCTTCGGTGCCAATGATGCATGCGTTCCAACTCACGATCAGCACGTCCCTCTGGAGCAGTACAAGGAGAACCTGAAAAGCATTATCCAACACCCTGCTACCAAGGCTCAAAACCCTTACATCATTATCATCACTCCGCCACCAGTCAACGAGTATCAGCTCGAGGACTTTGACAGTGAGAAAGATACTCCGCATCCCAGCCGAACAGCCGCATTCTCCAAGATGTACTCAGAGGCTGCCCTTGAAGTTGGCTCATCACTCAATATCCCCGTGGCAGATATCTGGACTGCATTTATGGAGACTACTGGCTGGAAAGAAGGCCAACCTCTAGTTGGATCCCGGGATCTTCCTAGTAATGAGCAGTTTGCCGACCTGTTTACCGATGGTACGTGGGCGATACTATGTCTTCACCTGCCGCTTCCCCCATATTGACTGCATGTCTACAGGATTGCATCTGATGCCAGCCGGATACCGTATTGTATATGATGAAGTGCTGAAGGTCATCCGAGCCAATTGGCCCGAGCAGGCTCCTGAGAATCTCCCGTTGGTGTTTCCCCCGTGGACCCAGGCTCCGAAATAAGTTTTGTATAGATTGCATTGGGAAGTGTGAAAGCTTCCCGCACTTCAAGCTTGGGAATTAGCGACTAGATAATTTCGACACAAAAAATGACTTCAGCTAAGAAACAAACTAACAGCATGTTGTCAATAAGAGCAAATAAGTCACATTAGATTGATAGTGTTGTCGGGGGCCCATTCCATTAGTGGAGCTCGGGCGGTCTAGATCAACCTCTCCCCTCCTGCATAACCCCGTCCTCTCCACCCCCGATCTTCCTTGTTGCTACACGTTTTCACTTCGACGCATATTAATCAAGGTTCTCCGCTATATGTTCATCTAATTTCACTTCCTCGAAGCATTTGCTAAGACCCTTTCTGAACCACTGTTGCCCGCCGTCTCTCCGAACAGATCCACACCCACATCCCCATACAAGAGGCAGCACCCTGCTCCTTTCACTTCCAAGACAGCTTCACCCATCCCTCAGTAGTTTCGAACCGGCCCCGACTCAAGCTGTCCTTATTTCACCGCAGTGTCAGATACGCAGACCCATTTCGACGTCACTTGCCCGCCTCCCCGTGTTTCACGCCTATGCTTTGAACTGAACCACAAGACCGTGCAACCCGCATCATCGTGGACGGCCACGGGGCCGTCGCGCAGATTGAAGGAGGGAGAAAGAAGCCGGCGGCTGAGGCGAGTCGAGCCGTGAACAGCTGGCGCCACCATCCTGGAGCTTCGATCCGAAGTGCTGCTGAATGACCAGCTCAACGGATCGAGTGGAATGCATGACACGCTATCTCGTCGAACCCTGATTACCTCGTTATTTTTGACTTCGGGCTGTCATGGATGCGCAGTATCCCTTTGCCTCACGCGACGATATCTGGCGTGTCCTTGATGAGCTGAAGGAGATCCAGGTCGCTCAGTATGAACAGGGCGAGCGAATCGCACGACTGGAACGTCGTCGCGACGATGATGCGCGGTTGAAAAGCCTCTGGGGCCCCACATCACCTTTTCCGACTTTGGTGGCGGGCACCGTCCCGGCAGGTAAGTGTCTTCGTCCTTCACGCAGCCCCGATCACTCGACTCATCGCCTTGCTGTAGACACCACCTTCAATTCTCCTCCGGATCCCTTCAAGGGCTTTGACGATGGACATCATCACGGGCTGTCTACGTCTACTGTTGGTCTCGAGGGAGAAGATGAGCCTCGACGTGGAGCCTCCCGGGCGAACAGTGTACGGTTTGACGAGAGCGCGAATCATGGATACTACGGACAGGCGAACCGTTCCAGCACGGATCTTCCCGTGAGGACAGGAAGTGGGATGGGAAGTCACCCTCTCACCGAGAGATCCCTATCTCATCGGTCCGATGGCCGGATGAGCTCGTCGGGATTTTCGCATCAGTCGGCCCGGACTAGTAGTCTGGGACTGGACAGTCGAGGATTGTCAGCCTCTTCACTTGAAGTGTCTCCTATGACTCCACCTCCTGATTTGTTTTTGCTTGGACCGGTGCCTTCCATCATTCGCTGTTGGCTGACAACTAACTTCTCAAATGAGTCGCTCCTTTATGCGGCTGTGTGCTCAGGCTCTTACGTATCTTCCCTGGGCTCAACCCTGATTTCCAAGCTTGGACTTGAACAGTCCGTTATGCACAATGAAGAACGGCCTTACATTAAGCTTTCTCTGTATCTTACCGAAGCTAGGCTCCAACAGTCATCCTCACGCCCAGCAAGCCCCCAGCCCGAGCCCCAGATACCGTCTGTGAAGATCAAATTCCTGGTGCGCGAAACCGGTCCCGAAGACGAATCGATTCAGATTGTCATTGGGAGTGACGTGCTTCGCTCATCTAATGCCGATATCTCTTTTTCCGACGACAAGATGTCCATGGCGGACGATGATGGAAATCGGGTTTACATTCGACTCGTGCGTCCTGAGAAGGACTCTACTTTCAAGTACCTGTGTACTGGTCCCGACACCACGCACAAGAGCTCCCAGCTCTCGCAAACCAACGGGAAGTACTCTGTAGGGGCCATTGGCCATTCTACTTCAACTGCACACCAATCAACCTCGGCGCCTGTATCAGCCCGCGTGTCCATCGGCTCGGCGGACGAACCCCATAAGCTTCATCTTCAAACCTTCAGTGATTCCCCCAACAGTGTATCGGCTTACTCCTCGTCGGCCACCGCTACAGATCAACCGCAAACTACAAATACTAAAGCTGATGGGGCCGGTGTATGGGGACCATGGCGCCGTGAGTCAAAGCAAGACACTGCCGCCGCACTCAAAGCTACAACTGCACGAGCTCGCACGATGAAAGTTCTTCGACCCTCCAGTCGCGTGACCTCTGCTTCGACTTCCACTCATGCGACGTCCGAACACCATGAATTCCAAAACAGTCACCCAGAGAATATGCCGCCAGGGCAGTCTGCACGTCGAGCTTCTTCCGACGAGGTTCGGTCTGGAAAAACACCAGCGTCCAACCCCGTTGGAGGTGCATCTGCATTTGGATGGCTCAAATCGAATTCATCAGGTGCACGTCAGTCCTAGATGAAATAAACTAGGGCTGAAGTGTCTACGCACCCATGGACCCAATGCTCTTTCTCAGAGCACCAAATCCTTTCACATCTTATCAAGTAATCGCCAAAATGAATCCTCTCACTCTGAGGAAGTGACCTCTTACCACAGAGATGCCTTTCTCCTACTGCCCACGAATGAATACAAGCTTCTGAGCCTGACAGACCTGAAGCAATGGACCGAAGAAAATAGAGCCTGCCCTCGCGTCAAGGGGAAGTAAATGTCATCTGATGAAAATCATCATCAACGGCGATCACCAGCTCATGCGCACCGAACCCTTCATTTATTTTCACCCTTAAAAGGGTCATTCCAGCACCGGCGATGCGCTTGCAGAGCAGGGAAATGGCTCCTTGGGGCTACCTGGCTTCTAACTCTTGACTATTTTTCAGTATGCAATGTCTCCAAAGTAGACTTAAAGCCACGACCGGAATTACAGTGATCCCAATGAACCACACATCCACCGTATTCAAAGTGATTCTTCATTCCCAAGTTTCGTATCAATTGTACACCTCCACCCAGCACCCCAATCAACCAGCCCCCCTAAACCTATATCTTCGAAAAAACCCCAAGAGCACTCTTAGTCTCCTCCTTCGTCTCCTTCACCAACCCACTAACATCCCTAAATGACTCGTGTCCCGCATCTCCCAAAATCTCGAAAAGCACACTTTCACTACTCGTCACAACAGCCCCCGCATCCCTGAGCCTCGCAAGCGCAATTCCCCTCTCCTCGGGATTCATACTACTAACCCCATCAACAAGGATATAAACTCTGTGTCCTCTCGCCAAGAGATCCAGCGTTGTCTGCGTAACGCAGATATGAGTCTCAATACCCACAATGATCACGTCAAGGTTGGAGGGGAGCTTGGACTCGATCTCGGGGGTTATCATTGAGAAGAGGGTTTTGTCGACATCGGCGCGGATGTGCGGGCCGCTCAGATGGGGCTGGAGCTCGGGGACGGTGAGTCCTAGTTTTGCGCGGTTTTGGGTGGTTATGTAGACGGGTATTTGGAGGGATTGAGCAGCGCGGAGCATTTTCGAGGTTGTTGCGATGCTTCTTGAGTGTTAGACTCCTAGTGGTATATTTGGGCTGTTGGGGGAAAGCGCACAGCTTGGGGAATTCATAGATGCCACGGAACTTCTCTTGGATGTCACAGATGCTAGAAAAATGTCAGGTTCTGGGGTTGGGAGGCTTTCATGGGCTCAAGAAGATGCGACACACAATAATGCGGGGTTGCCTATGTCTTGGTTAGCTTGGATTGAGTGAATATGGGATTTATACTTACGAATGCGGCTCGCGCGGGAAAGGGAAGCCATGATTGAGATTGTATTCTTGTTAGACGATATGTATGGAAAAGAGGCAGGGAGGTGTGAAGAAGTAGAGAGCAGAGCGGCGAGCACCGGCGGGGAACTCGGAGATGCGGGGAAACGGCCGAAGGGAAACTTCGCAGCAAAGCCTAGCCACGGATAGTCTCAGAACGCTTTAAATTTGGGAAGCATCACTTTTGATTATCATTTACATCATTCGAGCTATTGATCTAGACTTTGACATCATGCACCCGAGCCCGACCAACAAACCAGCTGTCGTCGCCCTTGGCCGCGGCCGTGCGAATGGCGTATAGTTCGTCGAGGAAAGCGGGAACAAAGCTACCGGGTCCACGGACGTATTCCTTGGATGCTGCGTTTTCGGCCGCGATCTCGTACATCAGAATGCCGGACAGGACGGCAAGGAGCTTGTCAGAACGGTGGGCAGTGAGGAAACAGCCTGAAATGGTGCCAATAGCGCAGCCAGTCTGATGAGTAGAGTTAGTTTGAGGGCCGAAAGCAGCTGTGATAGTTCTTGGGAACACATACTCCTGTTACTTGGCCAAGATAATGGTGACCGTTCTCGACAGCAATCACACGCTCGCCGTCGCTGAGATAGTCAACAGCGCCAGTCATCAGTACGACGTTGCCTGCAATTAATCAGTGAAAAAAGGCCGCGTGAAAGATGATTACAAGAACTTACGCTCTCTCCGCGCCAGGTCCCGAGCCAACCGAGCCTTTTGTTGGCCATTGAGCGTACTTGGCCCGCTATCGACACCGCGCTGCTGCTCGGCATTGCTACCCCAGACTTGCCGAATCTCACCCTCGTTACCCTTGACAAGGTCAAAGTAGCCTCCGGCCAGAAGAGTTGAGACAGCGTTACGGCGGATCTCAGTTGCAGCTGCGCCGACCGGGTCGTAAACAACTGGCGCACCGCGAGCGTTGTACGCCTGGAGAGCTTTCAAGTAGTTGGATACGCTATCGCCATTCAAGGTACCCATGTTGATGAGAAGAGATCCATCCAATCTAGCCAAGTCTGGAGCTTCCTCGCCGTAAGGAGCCATGATAGGCGATGCACCGCTGCGCCGGTGGTTAGCAAAAAATCTGGCAATGACACATAAGTAGTAATGAAACACGCACATTGAGAGAGCAACATTAGCGACGAAGTTGACCACAACGAAGTTAATCATATTGTGTACAAAAGGGTGTGCCTCGACCATCTTGCGAACAATCTCGGGCACCTCTTCAATCAATGCCTCGGCCTCGTTGACTCGCGCAGACCTCGGATTCAAAGCAAATGCGGGAGGAGACTTGATGAGTTTGGCGAACTCCTCGGTGGAGGCTTTGGGGTCATCTGCTGCCATGATGGCACTGACAATGGCGACTCCGTCCAGGGACTTATTGGGAGACTGGGACTGATACATGACTCGTTGCACATTAGAGTGGTTGATACCACCAATGGAGACGGTGGCCACGTTTGTGGCATCACTGATGGCGCTTAGGATTGCCTGAGTTCCCACTGTTCCAATAACGGACTTGGTGTTGGTCTTTCTATACGGGCATTAGCTTGCTGCACTCGTGCTGTCAGAATCCGTCGAACTTACGTCGGAGTGGCAAACATCGTCCCAATGCCAAGATAGTCAGCCCCGTCAGAAATGGCTTTCTGGGCCTCCTCGACGGAAGAGGTGCTTATTCCGATAATAGCATTCTTAGGTAGAAGCCTCTTAGCTTCCTCGAATTCTGAATCTGTTAGATGGCTCTAGGAAACAGTAGTGGCGATAGACCAACTCATATCATCTTGTCCAAGGTGAACACCCTCCGCACCGACGGCAACGGCGACATCCACTCGATCATTGATCAATAAAGGCACTCCATAGGACTGGCAAAGGTTGTGCAACTTTCTGGCCGTCTCGACCAAGACCCCGGTATCGCTGGTCTTGTCCCGGTATTGCACCACCGTGACACCTTAGGTCATATTAGTACAGTTATATTCAATGCTGTATTACACGTACCTCCTTTAAGAGCCTCCTCAACAACCGTGCACAGGTCTCGACCCTTAAGAATGGCGGGAGTCGAGTCCGTGACGAGATACAGAGAAAGGTTCACCATGGTTATTCTTTGAGTACAGTCAATGAGCGACGGCAGGGCGAGACACTTATAATTTAGCGCGGGTTACACTGGCGAGAGTAACACGCACAGAGAGATTACAACGCACGTCTCGACCACGAGCCAGGGCGATCCCGGTCGCCGTTGGGGTTTTGGTGGGGCCGAGGGGAATTGACCTCAATATGCAGCGGAAAAATAGACTTTGGGTTTTTCTATCATAGTGAAAGAAGGCTGCAAATAAAGAGACGTATAGCTAGGACATAATTATTCAAACTAGGACGAAAATAAAACAGTTAACGTAGACTACTAGAGACACAAAACGAGCGACACTCAACGGAGAGTTAACTCCGAGACCACGTGCTGTGCTGACATAACTCAGGCCCGCTTAAAATCCTCATCGCTGTTATTCTCCCACTCTTCATCACACTCATCGGCTTTGACACCACTGTGAAGCCCTATTCCGCGTCTGCTGTTCCGCACAGTTTACGCTATTCTATCTATTCGTGATTGATATTGGTATCGCCATCATCACTTTCTTCAGTCTCCAAAACCCGGGTCTCCGGCCTCTGCATCGGACTCCCAAAAGAACAACTTCGGTCGTTCTCGCCCCCAAGAGAAAACCGCCCAAGACATCCACTGCGAACTCGTCTATGTATTCGTCCTCCGTGCAGAATTTCGATCATCACCTGCCGCTCAAGCTGCAAACGTTTCGTGCGTCGAAACCCTGTAGCATACACCTCAGATCCTGTGGTTGAATCCTCTGGTCTTTCCTGACTCCCCTGATTCCGCTGTGAAACCGTGAGAAATCGCGTTGTTTTGTCAACAGAACCAACTCCAAAAAAATCCCCAAAATTCTACTCGACACGCATGTCTTGTTCAGTCAACAAGATCTCGGTCCAGATTCCCTTCCGCTACCTATTCCGCATTCCGTTCTCGTGAGCACCAATTTAAACAAACCCAACCGCCAACATGGCTACCGTCAATATACGCCGGGATATCACCGATCCCTTTTATCGCTACAAGATGGAGAAAATTCAGTCCAAGATAGAGGGCAAGGGCAACGGTATTAAAACCGTCATTGTCAACTTGAACTCAGTTGCTCAGTCTCTGGCTCGTCCTCCAGCCTACGTGATCAAGTATTTTGGTTTCGAACTTGGCGCTCAGGCCAACGCTAAGCCTACCGATGAACGTTGGATCATCAACGGCGCCCACGATGCCAGCAAGCTTCAGGACTATCTTGATGGGTTCATCTCCAAATTCGTGCTTTGCAAGAAGTGCAAGAACCCCGAGACCGAAGTTAGCATCAAGGATGATAAGATCATTCTGGACTGCAAGGCCTGTGGTCAGCGTACCGATGTTGACCCCCGTCTCAAGCTTAGCACCTTCATTGTCCGGAACCAGCCCAAGGCAGGCAAGAAGGAGAAGAAAGACAAGAAGGCTCGCCGTGAAGCCAAGAAGGCTCAAGCCAACGGTACCAACGGTACCAACGGCGACGATGCTAGCCCCGGTGACAGCAACGGTTCGGAGCACGATGACGAGGACGGCGATGAGGCCCTTGAGGCTCCTAGCGATGACGAGGTGCTCCGTCAGGCCAATGCTATCGAGGCGGATGCTGAGATCGCTGACGACGACTGGGCTATTGATACCTCCGCTGAGGCTGTGGCGGCCCGCACCAAGGACCTCTCTGCAGATTTCAACCGCGCTGTTGTCCTTGATGATGGCGATGACGAAGCCGATGGACCCTCATCCTACGAGGAGCTCGGCAGCTGGATCCTCGCGACAGCCGAGGAGAAGGGCAGCGTGAGCGCTGTTACCAACGATGAGATCGAGAAGAAAGTTAAGGAGCTTCTTATCGAGTCCAAGCACAAGACCTGCGCCGTTCTGGCCCAGAGCATCTTCGATGAGAACATTGTTGCTCAAATTCCCACTCGTGCTAAGCTTCTCAAGAGCCTCATCACCTCTGAACGCCACGAGAAGGCCTTCCTCGGCGGCACGGAGCGTTTCGTAGGTGTCGACCACGATTCCGAAACTCGCCAGACTCTGAAGAAGAAGATCCCCGCCATTCTCCACGGCTACTACGAGCACGAGCTCGTCGATGAGGAGACTCTCAAGGCTTGGGGTGCCAAGGCAAGCAAGAAATACGTGAAGCTTTCGATCAGCAAAGAGATTCGCGAGAAGGCTCAGCCCTTCTTGGAGTGGTTGGAGAACGCCGAGACTGAGGATGAGGACGAGAGCTCTGACGAAGAATAGCCGATGGATGTCGACTGTACCATTCATTGATGTTTGTCGTTTTGGCTTTTTGCTTAATCCGTGACGCTTGTTTTGCTGCTCGTCGTTTTGGTTTTCTCTCTGATCTGGTCCATTTCTAATGGATGCACCCGATTGTGATATTTGATAGCTTAGCTCACTAAAGTCACTCCTTTTATGATTTCTGCCTTGAACTATTATTGTAGTTACGTATCATGTAAAATATAAGCACTTGAGAGCGGGTTTTTCTGGCAGAACATTTCAAATGTTGGATATAGCCATGTAAGTCGGCTTGTCTTGCTAGCCCTGGAGGTCGATTCAAGCAGCAACTCGCCACTGTATGCGTGACGCAACTCTTTTCTACCTAAGAGGTTAGAAAATCCGGGAGCCTGCCTTTAGCCTATCTTCCATTCCATTCAAACAATCAGTAGATACAGCCAAAGATACGTACGGTGAGTCAAACCTAGTTCAATGGTAGTGCTTCCAAAGTTGATCCGGCTACGCCGATACAAGTCCGGTACCAAAATCCAGCATGGAATATTACAGCGAAACTCATGAATGCCACCACGGCAATGACGTCTTATTGCCTTGTTAGAAGACCCTAGAACCAAATCTCTGCACCAGTATACCCAAAAAGAATTTCACTTGCCAGTATTCTCATAATATCTTCGTCGGAACTGGGCCTGGTCTCTTTGACCAACGAAAGGCCTACATCACGTGCAAAGCTGTTATATGGGACGATTACAACTCCGGTACTCAAATCAAACTCTCCCATCTACAGCATGACAGTCCGCGTCTCTCAACATGTCAAGCCTTACTCTTCGTCGAAATCGATCACTAGCATCATGTGAACCTTGTCGCAAAGGCAAGGTCAGGTGTGATCATGAGAAGCCAGTTTGTGCATCTTGCAGACGTCGCGGCCGAGAGTCGCAATGCTGGTATCATCCTTCACCAATGACGAAGAGGAGTTCACAACGTTCGACTTTGCAAACGCATTTATCAAAGCTTACTGAATATGAGAAAGCTTCCAACAGCAGTGTCGATGTATCAGAAAATACCTCTGTTGCTGCCCCAAGTTTCCATTCTTGGCCTTTCATGTTCGACTCCAATGGGCCAGCTTCGTCAGCTTCAACCCTGGGGCGTCTGGATAAAAAAACCCAGGAAGAGTCTTTGAAGGCTATGAGAGATTTGATTTCAAACATCAAGTTTCTGCCAGCGATTGAAAAGCATATTCGTGCATACTTCTCATTCAGTCAAGGAGCCCTTGTACAAAGGCCGATCATCTTGGAACTTGCAAGATTGGTGCGACAAAGCCTTGAAAGTTCGGGGCTCGTTACAGAAGAGACAGCAGACTTAGTTCATTTCCAAATTAATCACCGTTTTACTCTAGATATGCTGCGCTGCTCCTCGAGCGAGGTTATCGTCTCACCGTCTTTGAACCTTGAAGAATTCTGTGCGCTTTTCTGGGGAGAAAATGTGCGTGTGGAGACTTTGGGACTGTTGTTTGCAGTGGCTGCGCGCTCTCATCTATACCGCTACTCCGATGACGATAGAGACGATGATTTCATTAGTGAAATGAACCGCTGCAGCAATTTGAGCTTACGACTAGCTCGCGATCTTGCGCCGCAAGCCACTGATCTCATGGTTTGGCTTGCACACGAGCATTTGCAACTAACAACGACAATCGAAGGTGATGCTAGTGAGCACTACCACTGACACAAAATAAAAGCCGGGTATTAACGTTTCTATAGGTCTGAGTGTTTGGAGACGTATGGGCGATCTCGCAACAGATCTCTTTGCATTGGGTCTTAATCGCGAATCCACATACTCGCCCAATTCCATACCATTCTTCCTTGCTGAATCGCGACGACGAATGTTCTCCAAGGCATATTACCTCGATAAATTATTTGCAATGGTGTTCCATCGACCACCTCGGATAGCAACTCGACACGCAGATTGCAAGCCTCCTTTGGATTTATCTGACGACGAGTTATTCCCAGACTCCCCCGAAGTATTGGATCGGGCCCGAAAGAGTCTCACGCATGATGGTTGGAACACAGATGGGCGATACAGACCAACCACATGGGCTCGGGTTCGGTACATCCTTGGGCAATTCCGCGAAGAAATCGTGGAATATCAGATTCAACCTCGGCGGTTTACGGATGATACAAATATCAGGTATTTACTCGGGCCCAAACAGCTCTCAAGGTATCTAGGTGCTAACTTGACATAGGGATCTAGCGATTCGATGCCACGAAGCTTGGATTGCATTGCCCCTGCATACGCGATACGTCAAGGAGAGTTGGACGTCAAATATTCCGCCAGAAGTCTTGTTCATGCAAGGAAAAGTATACTTGTCATATCTCCATATACAGTTTCAGATTTATCGACTCCTTGGCGAGGGTAGTATGATTCCGTCATCCGAAATCCTGGGTGTATCAGCAGATATGCTCGAGACAATCATCCAAGTGGCAAATCCGCGCGGAAGAGCCTCGTATTGCCCTCGTGATCTACCTGGAATTGTAAGTTTCCAATATCTTCCACTCCCAAACTTCCTTCAACTTACAAGTGAAAGCTTCTATCATATGGTCTTCCGTCCGCTTCAATGCTCATTAAAGCATTAGAGAAGGATAATTCGGAATCAACCAACACCCTTCCACCCAGCATGAAACCATCTAATCTAATACGAAATCTCTCCGTGCTGGTGTCTCATTTGGAAAACGTCTGCAGTCATAGGGAGACCAACCACACATTCTGCATACAAGCCTCTAAGGCCATTTCAAGGAAGCTTGATAATATCTTGAATGAGCCTATAATGCCGGCGTCTTCAACCCCTTTCAATGCGCTGCAGGGCTTAAATACGCCATCCAAGGCTTACCCGGCCCCAGGAATGTCAAATAATACACCATACGGGGGAGACGAACTTGATTTGCTTGACATGGATGACCTTGACGGCTTTGATCTGGCAAATTGGGTTACAGATGTTGATTTAGATACTCTTGACAGTTCTTGGAACATTCAATGAACAGGCTGTGCACGTGGCCGCCAAGGTAGTAGCGCTGGATGTCGGACCGGGTGGCGCACTCTTTATTTCCCCAGTTGAATCGTCCTAGCCCTTTTGGGGGAGAATACCAGAAATAGTCGGTGCAGAGAATACAACTACTAGAATGAACTATTTGGTGCCCAAGGTGTGCTCGGTCTGTGACCGGTGAGCAATGCAAGGGGGTCCTATGGTGCAGTTTCACACCAAAAGCAAAGAGGAAAAGGTAAGGAACTATCCATCGCGCATATATCCGGCTTGTGGGTATCATGACTCAAAGATTCCCCCGTAAATATATCAATCAGATAATTCAGAACCAGTATCTCGATCCCCAGCGGTTCATGGTTGGTGCATAATGTGACATGCATTACGTTGCAACGGTCGGATTTCATCGGAAGGATGGGTTCGCCCCCAAATTTCCGCACTGGAACAGGAAACACGGGAGATCCTATCACGGTTGATAATCAATCTGATAACCTTAAAGGGAAATTCCGCCCGTGGCTGAGCTCACAGAGGCCGGAGAGCGGACGGGGTTAACTGTTGTCATGAAGGAACAAGCTGGAAGATATCAAACGAGAGCATTGCATTGAATGTAGCATCGAGACTTCGCGTGGTTTAAATTGATGCCGTTTAGTGGGACCCGTTTTGAGGGTCCTGTGAAGCCGACAGATTTTTTTGTCCCCTCAATCGACCCGAGGCCAGGGGTCTGAGGCCACACAAAGTTTCCGAGTACCCGGTGATTGACAGTCAAAGGATCAGATTTAAATTATCTGATCCCGTGGTACAACGCAGATTCGCACTGGAAGCGAGTGAAAGTGGGCGCTGTGGACCCTGAGAGCAGCCCGAGCTAAGCGCGACTTAGCGGACGCCATCTCCACGCCTCGGACCCTCTTTCTCTTCTTCATAGAAAAACTTGACCTCGCCCTCTTTTCTTGTCGGTTGAAACCCTCTCAATTGTTGCTTCACTCCATTCAGCGCGGTCTGCGCTCACAAATTCGCTGTACTCTGGGAGATTGGTGATCGTCGCGATCCGAACTATCCGCCATGGGTGTATTGGACAGCGTCCGGCGGCGTGATGAGAACAACCGCCTTATGAAAGTTTTCGGGTCGTCTGCCGAGGAGAGTGACGAAGTCAATGGGATAAATGAAATCCCTGTCGAAACCAAGTCTCTGGAGGGGCAGGATGAGAAGGAAATCCAGCAGCGCCCAAATGAGGTCAATGTGAACGCCTCCATCGGTTTGCAGAAGGCCGAGGCCGCTGCTCTTGTCTATAGTAGAAAGACCCTCATTGGGATTTATGCATGGTGAGTTACTATATCGAAACGCGCGTGCCTTCAAATCACTACACATGTAATTGACTAATTCAACAGGATCTGGGTCTGCTTCTTCGTTTTATCTTTCCACGAGACGATGTTGTCCAACCTCACCAACTATATCTTCGCCGGCTTCTCGTCAGCACCCCAGGTGACTACTTCTTACATTGCGTCGACAATCATCGGCGGAGTGATGAAGCTCCCCTTAGGTAAGACTCTCAACTTGTGGGGTCGTGCCGAAGGTCTGCTGGCCTCGCTGGTTGTCTACATCCTTGGAATTATCATCCTTGCTGCCTGTAATGGCCCCAATGCGTACTGCGCCGGCTATATCTTCTACTGGATCGGCTATGACTGTCTCTATCTCACCCTGCAGATTTTCGTTGCCGATACCACCGGATTGCGCAACCGAGCCTGGGCCTTTGCGTTTGTTAGTACGCCTTTTATTGCTACTGCTTTCACTGCGCCCCTGGCAGTAACTTCCTTCATCAACATATCAGGTTGGCGCTGGGCATTTGGCGTCTTTGCGATCGTTCAGCCCTTCGTTTTCGCCCCTTTGGCGTTCACTTTCAAGTACTACGAGAAGCAGGCTGTGAAGAAGGGCATTTTGACGAGAGAACGGAGTGGTCGCTCTGTCGGACAGTCAATTATTCACTATCTTCATGAATTCGATGGTAAGTCCATTCTTCGGTAGACTCTCAACTGGCCCTAATTTGGAATCAAAGTTATCGGTGCATTTATCATTATGGCTGCTTTCATTTTATTCCTTCTTCCGTTCAGCATTACATCTTTTGGCGAATCTCAATACTCCAGTGCTACATTCATTGCGATGATTGTTGTTGGAATCTGCCTCTTCCCGGTCTTTGCCATCTGGGAGAAGTGGTTCGCGCGCACCCACTTTATCCGATGGGAACTGTTCAAAAACCGCTCTGTCGCTGGCGCCTGTTATTTGGCCGCCGTTGTGTTCTTCAGTTTCGATCTCTGGAACACTTATTTCCAGAATTTCCTTCTGGTTGTTTACAACCTTGACTACACCATGGCCGGATACTTGATGTCGACCTATAACGTCGGCTCCTGCTTCTGGTCCGTGGTTGTTGGAATCTATGTTTACAAGACCAAGCACTTCAAGTACCTTTGTCTGTTCTTTGGATTACCGCTGATGATTCTCGGATCTGGTCTGATGATCTACTTCCGTGGCAGTGAGCACGGTATCGGCTATGTGGTTATGTGTCAGATTTTCATTGCCTTCGCTGGAGGTACGCTGGTTATCGGTGAAGACATGGCCGTCATGGCAGGTGGGGACCGCGAAGGCATTCCCATGGCCTTGGCTTTAATTAGCTTGTTCTCGAGCGTGGGCTCGTCGATCGGATACGCCGTGTGCGCAGCTATCGTGAACAATGTCTGGTTGCCGGCCATCCGCAGCCGCCTTCCTGCCGATCTGAAGTCTCAGGCTGAGGCAATTTATCAGGGCGGCGTCACTAAGCAGCAAGGTTTTGCACTTGGCTCTCCGGAGCGTGAGGCTGCCGCCTACGCCTGGAGCTGGTCCCAGCGACAGAACTGCATTGCTTCCACCTGCATCTTAATTTTGGGTATCCCTGCAATCATGATGTGGAAAAACTTCAATGTGGATAAGCAGCAGAACAAAGGCACAAATATCTAAATATTAGCGATACAGGCAGGCAAATACCTCTAATTACAACACGGCACCATACGACCAACAGAAATGATGAGCATGCAAATGACTGGATTTCAATGCATTCAATTTGAACGGACTGCGGGCTTATTATAAATGCCCTCAACGAGACTCGTTGCAATACCTAAATACAAAACACTCTCTTTCAAACAATGATTCGTTTTCAGAAGGAGTATAGAACACTTAGTCTCCTAGCGGGTAGCAGTGCATGATCTGCCCATCTATTATCCATGTTCATTAGCATCACCGTAGCGAGGGTTTTAAGTCAGAGATGCAACACTTACAGTAGAACGAGGCATCGTTGCTTGCCAAGAAAACAAAACTTGTAGCGACTTCACTAGCTTGACCAGGACGACCGAGGCCTTTTTGTGCGCCTAAGTTTTCCATTCCCTTTTCATCGCGAGTATCGGCCTGAATTGGGGTGTAGATCACACCGGGACTGTTCTCAGATTAGCATAAATTCGACAGAAGAGTGAAAGAGGAGTGACGCACGCAACAGCGTTAACACGGATACCCTTCGGCATGAGTTGTTGCGCCAGTGATCGCGTAAAGCCAACAATAGCTCCCTTCGTGGCGGCGTAGTCGACCATACCAGCCGTTCCGCGGAATGCAACAACGGATGTATTATTGATGATCCTGTCATTAATTAGTCATCGGGTCGCGAAATCACAAATGGGATCGTAGAACATACGAGTCACCCTTGGACAAGTGCGGAAGAGCGTATTTCGTGATGGCAATCATCTGCAGAATATTTGACTGGAAGACATCTTCGACTTTCTCCAAGTCGATCTGGGCAAAGTCTTTGCAGGAAAACTGCTTCGAGGCGTTGTTGACGAGCACATTGAGGCCTCCGTGTCTGTTAAAAGGTTAACAATCTGATAGATGTACAAATGAGTGGTAACACATACTGCTTGACGTGTTCATCGACTGCGTGTCGACAGAAATCATATTTCCTGAGATCTCCAGGAATAAGAAGACATTTCTGGTTTTCCGCTTCAACCATCTTTTTTGTATCCTCCGCGTCGCTTTGCTCTTGTGGCAGATAGACAATCGAAATATCAGCGCCTTCTCGCGCCATTAGGACTGCGACTGATCGGCCAATTCCCGAGCTAACGATTGTGTTAATAACACAGGCATAAAGTTGTTGTACATATATCAGACATACTCGCCACCAGTGATAAGGACTTTTTTTCCTTTGAGCTTATTCGCACCAACATATTCGACCAGTCCTTCGCTTCCGTCGAGCTTGGTGACTTCGCTGGCCGGTGCCATCTTCTGTTCCAATCTGTGGGCGAATATTGGTCAATATAGATCCTGAATCGGGAAAATAATGTGGTCTTACCCAGGCTTTTGCTGCTGGCTCTGGCTCGCCTGAGGCGGCTGGAAAGTGGCACCCTTTTGAATATTGCTCGACATGTTGCAAAGGCTTCGTAACATTCAATGGGGATAGATGTGTTTCAAATGCGATCGCTTCGTGAGAGAGTCGGCAATGGAAAAAGGTCTGTCGCACAGTGTCGTTTTTTACATATGACTTCAGAAAGAGGGCCAAGAGCGATTGTGGCTCTTACCGTCATCCCTGCGTCAATCATTAGTTTGGCAGCTGGAAACATGTGTTGGTTAAGATGTTCGCAAAATCATGTTTTCGATCGCGTGGTACCTGATACTAGGTCATGTCATGACATCATAGTTGAACCTTTCCTTCTACCTATATTTCAAGATCGCACGTCTAGAGCTGTAATAAGGTAATAACTGGTGAGAAAGAACTGATGGCTTATAATGTAGTGATGCTATTGCTAGTCACAGTAAAAGTATTTTGATGAAGTCGTTCATCAGAAGTAGGCAGGCACCCAGTTACCATTCACCGAGCAACACTTCTGCAGAACATGCGATGGATCCAAACATGTAAAACCACCACCAAGGCAATCCATACAAATGTCAAAGTCATCGTTATGACAAATTGCGCAATGAAAATGGTTATCGTACTGAGAAAGTGCAAATTGGCATTGATCACATCTGGCGTCCACATCTAAATGACGTGCCTTGTCGGACACATCCTGTACAGCAACAAGGTCAATGTCGGCATAATACGGACAGGCAAGCCATTCCCAAACGGCCCGGAGATTATTTTCTCCTACTTGATGGTCATTGGCAAAGGATAGGGGGCTCCGACCGGCGCAGGTCTCTTTCTTTCTTGCCAAACTTCCCTTGGCGAGCAGTATTCGAACTATTTGTTCATGGCCGTATAAGGTGGCTAGGAAAAGGGGCGTTCGACCACATTTGTCAGGTATGTCTATGTACTTTTTCCTAGCGTCTGCATCCACTTCTAGCAGAGCTAGCGCAGTACTAGCATGACCGAATCGAGCAGCGAGTGCAAGCGGGGTGCAACCATCCACATCTTTACTAGCTGGGTCGGCGCCACGTTCTAATAAAGGCTTGATCGCATCTGCAAAGCCAAGAGAAGCGGCAACCGCTAGTGGCGTTCTCCCATTACTCAGACCTCGCCTGTTGATCTCGACATTGTGTTGTAAAAGAAGGGTGATGGTCTCCGTCGGACCTCGATTAAAGCATGCAAAGTGCAGAGGAGTGTGGCCGCGCCAGTCTGGGACATCAGAAGCAGCGCCTTTGTCAAGTAAAAGCGCCACAGACTTTGGTTGTCCCCGCAATGCTGCCCAGTGAAGGATGGTTCCTCCCTCTTCCGTGGTGGCCTCAATATCAGCACCAGCCTCTAGGAGTGTTTTCATGACATCTATCTTTCCATACCGCGCTGCCCATGCTAATGATGAGCCACGCCCGTGGATATGAGTCTCTGTGGATGTACCTCTCTCAAGGAAGAAAGATACTACATTGGCTTGGCCCTCAATGACTGCGTTTGCATAGGCAGTCTCATCATCATGGTCCACTGCCTCGATATCTGCCCCAGCCTCCAGAAGGTCCTTAATGATCTCCACATGGCCCTGTGCAGCGGCGCGGTGTATCGGTCTGCAGAAACCACATTGATGTTTCTCATTGGGGTTGAAGTCATGCCAGAGCAGCGTTTGTACAACATCTCGGTGACCACAATATGCTGCAGCCAGAATCGCCATACTCGTGTCATTGTCAGGACAGAGCCCGGCGTTCAGCAGCTTCTGGATGGTCCACACTTGACCATGTCGTGCAGCCCATTCTAATGCGCCGACTGAGGGTGCCGTCACCTTTACGGTGCCCCGGTAAAGACGAAAGTCGAAGTTAACTCTAAAATAGCGACATGTCTGAACCAGTGCATTCCTGGAGCCCTCGTCGCTCTTAGGATCAAGGGCGTCCCATATCTCCAGGAGAATATCGTGCGGAAGATTGAGGAGCTGCATAACCTACCCAAGGCAGGGTTTCTCAGATGAAGTAGCAGATGCAGAGGTGACTAGATATCTAGAAATGATAAGGAAATTTTAAGCTCGACCGTATAGGACAGCGTTCATTTAAGAAAGTCGGGCCGTGGTTGCCTCGAGGTGGTTGTCATCACGCCAAGACGCTAGTGGCTATGCAACGAGGCTGACACTTTTCCTCAACGCGGTGCCCGATCCCGGTCTGAGTCAGAATAAAACTGTCCATAGTATGGCTGTGAAGCGGCGTATAGGAAGACCCTCTTATTCGTCAATTACGGGCTAAGAAAGCAGGCATATTGATAGAAACAATGATGTCTGGAGAGCGGTGTAAACATGAGACTGGATATATACTCTTTCAATACACTTCATTATGGACTAGAATGCGACATTGGCGAAATGGATTGACTCTCCAAATACTTCCGCAGTCATACGCCCAGGAACATGTCTTTTTGACTGTTCTGAGGCTTTCATCTTCTCGCGTGCGAAAATGAACCAAGTGAGATCCTCGTTCCATGCCTCCATGGCCCGGATCGCATCTTCGGCTGGTTCGAGAACACTTCTTTGGGCCTCATCCAGGGTCGAAGAATCAGTAGTGCGCCTTGAAGCGCGGAAGTAAAAGTCCGGCCCGACAAGGAGAGTGATCCATGAGCCCAGCATCTCACAAATCTGATCGCCTACCTCTAGGGGTAGTCGAACAGTTGAAAGTACAGTCAAGAAGAGAGAGATGAGAGCGCGCCACAGAGTGTGGTGAGGCGTGAAAGCCCTGGAACCTGGCGTGATTGGTGAAAGGGTGAGAGAGGAGGATAGTGCCATGCTCAAATCGGTATCCAGGTCAGAAGACGCCTTCTTTTGTTGATGCTGCCGAGTGCGTCGCGCGTTGGCTGCTTCTGCATCTTGTCTCACCTTACTCCAGACACGTCGGTAGAGACGTTCCCAGCGGGGGAACTCGGTCTCGATACGCGAAGCCATGAAGTCACCCGCACCCTTGCACATAGCCTCAATAGCCTGGCAAGCGGTGATCATAACAAAAGTCTCTTCCTGGAAGATATGTATATCGGGTTGGTTGGAGCCACTCTCAAGCTCAGTGGAGGGTCGGGCTATCAAAGATCTGGATGAGGATGTTTCATTCCCAAGCGATGAGGGAAAAATAATTCTCGAGGCCACGGTAGACCACAAGTCATTTATCAGTGGGAGGAAGCTGTTCTCGTTCTGCGAGAGTGCTGGCAACACCTCATCAAGAATAGAGAGCAAGGAGCGCCGGAGGTACGGGGATGGCGAGGTGAGGTGAGAAGGAATAGATTTGACGATGTGTACAAGTAGGGAGTGGGTCTTGCTCAGAGGCTTCTCACTATCCTCTGGCTCTTTCGGCGGAGGAAGTGGCTCGTCTGATTCGGCCAAGTTGAGCATCTCCTCGATAGTCTCCGGTTCTTTAGGTGCCTTGTCGTATGTCTCAGACCAAGGCTTCTTTGGGTGAGCCAAATTCCTGTCGGCTTCCATATCTTCTTCGACCGTTCTATCATGCTTTGACTTGCGGTCTGCAATATCTGTAGCGATGGTAGCAATTGAAAGATGCTGGTACTGTGGTTTCCGGCCCTCACGTGTGCCGTTCTCTCGACCGCTATCGATTGTCAACAGCGATGGCTTCTTGGCTCCCTCCTCAACAATAGCTGCAAGTGTTCTGAACATGATTTCGACGAGCTTTGGGTACCCATGATACAAGTCCAAAATACCAAATATAGAGTCAACGAGATCATCAAGGTATGGGATCAGCCGTGCGCCACACAGCTTGACCATCATGAACAGAACTTGTGGAGGATATGGAGATACATCGAAAGTGTTCAGCTTGAGGGCCACTGAGTTCACCAAGTAATCCACATTATCGATAATCATGGAGCTGGTGTCCGGATAATTGCAAGATGAGGTGAGAATGTTCAAACACGTCATAGCATGTCGTTGGAGGCTGGAGTTGTTTGACGCAAGCAGTTGCAGCGTCGGGTAGAGGGCATCCATGAGCTCAGGTCTGAAAGCTTCTCCAAGCTGCTGGGCTTGAAGTGCCACCGCCTCCAATGCAAGTGCTGACGTCCGCCAGTCACCGGAGCCATCAGCGGGAACGTCGTTCAGGATCGTCAAAGAAACGTAGTACAGTTCTTCGATCATACCGCTGCGTTTGGATCTCGAAAGTGGCAGTTCCACAACGTCATCGGCGATGAAGTCATCGAAGCCAGCACCGACCTGAGATTGGGCACGAAGAGAAGACAATGCTAGCCAGAAGGGCGCAATAACAGAGCCATCTGATGTGGCATGGAGACGGTTGACAACCAATCGAGTAATTTCGTTACCCGACTCCGAAAAGTTAAGCCTTTTAATCATTGATTGCAGGTCTTTCAAAGTTTGCTGCTGGCTTCGATGCTCCAGTAAGATAGGTGGGAATGTTATCGAGTCAGAAGCGTAGCGAAGCACATCCCAGCTTAAATCACCTAGCTTTGTAGAATCCAGTGGTTGTAAGGCACTGGTGCTAGACTTAACAACTGCACTGACACTATCGCAGAGGCCAGATGCTAGGCTGCCCGTAAGAAGATCGGATTGAGATTGAACTTGAGTGAGGACTTGGAAAACAGTGGAGATCTGGCGGATGCCCCACTGCTTAGCAGTCTCATCGGTGCTTTGCATGATCCGAGGAAAGGATGTTAGCCACGTATGAAGGGACTCTTTGAGAGACTCCAACACGACTGGATATGTAGTGGAAAGATGGAGGACAGTGTTATAAGCCATATTTGAGGCTTCTTCTTCCTTGTCAGAGAGAACAACAATGGTTTCTACCATCATAGAAATAGCATCATTGAGGGTAGTTGGGCATTCCTCAACCACCATCACGCAAAGCTCGAGTAGAGCTGATTGAACTTCTATCCGTTGGTGGCGCCGAATCTGAATGACGTTCGCCAATGCCAACTTGACTTGCGTACAAGTTGCTTTTAACCAGGGGGCGTCGAGTGAGTTATCCGTTTTGGCCTCGATCGAGGCAGGCTTCTCAATGGGGTTACTGGCGACACGGTCACTAATGACGGTGCGGAGAAGGTAAGTCAATAGCTGTAAGGATGTCTGTAATAGCTTGTATGACCGACGACTTTGTGTTGTAGGCCTCACTATTTTAGTCAATGCAGACACAGTGCGAGGCATGATACTTGCTAGGACGACACGATCGGTAATCCGAACATACAGAGCTTGCATCGCCTTCGCAGCCGATAGGCAAAGCTCGTCGGAACGTTCGTCAGCGATGCCCTCCAGCAGAATATAGACAGTCTGGTCGACGACAGTAGCTGTGCCGATCTCGTGAAAGATGGTTTTCTCCGCCACGGGGCCCTCTAACACGTCGAAGATTGCATGAAGACAATCAAAGCCTGCAATCGCAAGCTCCTCTGACACCTTCGGGGTAGGCAAATCTTTCTCTTCGGCCTTGCCTGGTGACCCTCCGACGATCAGTGTCAGCAATATGATCAATTGTTTGCCCAACGCGGGCGACAATCGTTGTCGCCATCCTTCAGCGACCAATATTCGTAATGAGTGCACCGCTAGCTCAAGACAGCGCGCCGGTAGCCTTTGTGTCTCGTTGAAGATGTGCGAAAGAGGAAAGAAGGCATATTCGGCAAGCTTCTCATCGAGAAGCTTTTTCCCCGCCAAATCCTCCAGGACATTATGAACGGGTTCGAGGGCTCGGATAACTTCGGCCGATGAAGCTTGGTTGCCGCGGAATCGTAGACCTATTGAGCTGAGCTCCACACACGGTGTGCGCAGCTGTATTGCTTGTCAGTAAAAGGGCATTCTATAGTCCGCGTGGAGAGTGACACACCCGCTTAAAGGATTCCTGCTGCTGGTTGTCCATTACGGTCAATGTAAATTATCGAGCGCAGCAAAGACTGTGTATTCGGCCACGTACAGAGCCTGGTTCTGGACTAGGATCAAACGCAATATAGTCCTTCCATGTTGGTACGACTTGGGAGCTCGTCGTGACGGAATCCTCGTCTCGACCAACAGCAGTCCACCGCCTTGAATTCTGCATGTTATATCGGGCGGTGGGTGTTGCTTTATCGGGCAAGATAGATTGCACGTGACTGTCGCGTCACGTCGCGTGGATCTTGGAGCCTCAGTTTCTCGAAGGTTGCCTGGTGTCGAGGGTGTTCTGCCTGATCGCATTGTGGTCTGCCAACTATTTAATCCAGTATAATCTGCCTGGATTTCATCCGCGGTAATTTAAACATTGTGCCTATGCGTGCCTTGCGGATTGCAGTTACGCCTCCATCTCTCTCGCGCTCTCGACCCGTCTGCATCGGAGCGGAACATTCAAGTACCTCATATCTTTGCTGGGCCGCAGATACATCCCCACGATTCCTTCGGCACTCCACCCTTGCAAGACCAGGAAATAAACACATTTTTGACACAGGACTAACGGCATTGCGCTGGAGTTCTCGATCAATGGCAGACGATAAGAGCAGGAAGCAGGCTACACTGGGGTATGTGCGCGATTCTCAGATGACGTTAGGGTGCGTCCATCTTTTTTTAATATGGCGGCACCTGTCGGCCTCGATGTTCTCCGAATTGGTTGCAATGACTATTGTACAGCTTGCTAACACCCTTCATTCGCACTGTAGGAGATTCTTCGGTTCCAATTCCGATAACAACCAAGCCCCCAAGAAGCAAACTACATTATCATTCGGCGGAAGTAGGCAAAGAGCCAGCAGCGGTCCTGAGGCCGCATCTGTCGATGCCCCAGTCAAAATCGAACCGGAGGAGGTGATTGACGAAAATGGAACTGAGCCATCCAAAGGGTTAAAACGCGAGAAGGTCGAAGAGACAGAGGAAAGCGATGACTCCGATGTCCAGCCAGTATCCAAGCGTCGGCGTAAAGCCACACAGGATGCATCGTCTCCCGCCCCGAAGAAACGATCGACGTCACCCAAGAAGTCCGCCTCTCCTAAGGTCAAGAAGACCAAATCACCTTCGCCCAAACCTGTCGTAAATAAAGCGCTCGAGGAGGAGCATACATCAGACAAGGATGAAGAGGAAGCACAGTCTGCCAGTGAGGAGGAGGAGGAGGTGAAGCCCGAGGCTAAGAAGAAAACCATTGCAAAGGTGCAGGCGACCTTGAAAGCTACCGGTCAGGACCCATATCCTGACTGGAAAGCCGGGGACCCCGTTCCTTATGCCGCGCTCTGTACCACTTTCTCTAAGATCGAAATGACCTCCAAGCGTCTGGAAATCCTGGCGCACTCCTCCCTCTTCCTCCAGCAGGTCCTGCGCCTGACCCCCAAAGATCTTCTCCCTACTGTTCAGCTCATGATCAACAAATTGGCTGCCGATTATGCGGGCATTGAACTCGGTATCGGAGAGTCGTTAATAATGAAGGCTATTGGAGAGTGTACTGGTCGCAGTCTGGCTGTCATCAAGACTGACCAGCACGAGATTGGTGATCTGGGACTGGTCGCTGCTAAAAGTCGATCCAACCAACCCACCATGTTCAAGCCCAAGGCCTTGACTGTTCGAGGAGTGCACGAAGGCCTGCTAGGCATTGCTAAGGTTCAAGGCCACGGGTCCCAGGACAAGAAAATCTCCGGCATCAAGAAGCTTTTGTCTGCTGCCGACGCTGCGACTGCTGGCAAGGGCAGCAAGGGCGTGGATATCACGAAAGACAAGGGTGGTCCCAGTGAGGCCAAGTTCATCGTCCGCTTCTTGGAGGGCAAATTGAGATTAGGACTTGCAGAGAAGACTGTGCTTGTCGCCCTTGCACAAGCAATTGTCCGCCACGAAGCTAAGGCCGCGGGCGAGAAAGACCTGTCTCTCGAGAAAGTGGCTGAAGGCGAAGCCATTCTCAAGCAGGTCTACAGCGAGCTGCCTTCGTACGAGGTTATCGTTCCGGCTATGCTGGAACACGGCCTGTTCAACTTACAAACCGTATGCAAGCTGCAGCCGGGTATTCCTCTGAAGCCCATGCTTGCAAACCCTACGAAGTCTATCACCGAGGTTCTTGACCGCTTCGAAGGAAAGGAGTTCACCTGCGAATACAAGTACGATGGAGAGCGAGCTCAGATTCACTTTGTGGCGCCAGATGCTATTCACAAGTATCCTGAGTCCACCATCACCCTGCAAAAGGATGCCAAGGGACACGCCGCGATCTTCTCTCGAAACTCTGAGGATCTCTCCAAGAAGTATCCAGATATTCTCGCCAAGCTTGGCAGTTGGGTGAAGCCCGGCGTGAAAAGCTTTGTCCTGGACTGTGAGACTGTCGCTTGGGATACTGTCACCAAGAAGGTGTTGCCATTCCAGCAGCTGATGACCCGTAAGCGGAAGGATGTGAAGGCGGATGAAGTCACGGTCAAGGTTTGCGTCTTTGCATTTGACCTACTATTCTTCAACGACGAGGTAAGCTACCAGCTGCTACGAAATGTCTAATTTCCTTCGTTGCTAATTGATTTGCAGCCATGCGTCAAGAAGTCCCTTCGGGAGCGTCGGCAAATTCTGCATGATTCATTCCAAGCGAACGAGGGCGAGTTCCAGTTTGCGCAATTTGGTGACACCAACGTCCTCGATGAGATTCAGAATCTGCTGGAGGAGAGTGTCAAGGCATCATGCGAGGGCCTCATGGTGAAGATGCTTGACACCCATGAAAGTGGCTACGAACCAAGCAAGCGCAGTCGCAATTGGCTAAAGGTATGAAAGATTTCTAAAGCATGGTTCTTAATATACTCATCCTTTTCTCAGGTCAAGAAAGATTATCTCGCGGGCGTCGGAGACTCACTTGATCTAGTCGTTCTCGGTGCTTACTATGGTCGCGGAAAGCGCACATCAGTGTATGGCGCTTTCTTGCTGGCTGCCTACAACCCGAACAACGACAAGTACGAAACCATCTGCAACATCGGCACCGGTTTCTCAGAAGCAGCGCTTGAAGAGTTCCACCAAGCTCTGAGCCCCCTGGTCATCGACCGGCCAAAACCATTTTACACTCACTCGAGTGTACCCAAAGATCAGCCCGATGTGTGGTTTGAGCCGCAGCTTGTGTGGGAGGTCAAAACCGCCGATCTGACATTGAGCCCGCGGTACAAGGCTGCCTCAGATGATTTCGAAGGGACTACAGGAGGCGGAAAGGGTGTTTCTCTCCGATTCCCTCGGTTCATCAAATCGCGTGATGACAAGAAGCCCGAGCAAGCAACTACAACCCGTGCCGTTGCGGAAATGTACCGCAAGCAAGAGGCGGTCACAAAGGAATCATCCGGTAAGAAGGGCGTTGATGATGATTTCGAGTATTAATTTATCCGAACTTCGCGCAAAGGGTGCTATTGAACGTTCTGTTCCTGGGTTTATTATGATTATCGTGCATCACATCATCCACGAGCTACCTAGTATACACCATCAATGATATAGTGTCCATCATCCTTTTCTCATGCTGCCTTGTAATCCATGACACCTTAGGACACATTCATTGCATCTTCATCATTTCCCCGCCCCAAACACCCCCAAGGGACATCTCCGCTCCCAGATACCGGCTATCACCGGGAGATAAGGAGGCGCGAGGCTTGGCGCTTATGGCGCTGTAACCCAAGAAGCTAGCGACTTCTTTGTTTCCTCAAGACGAGTTAGCGCAGTCCAAAGGCTGTATAGCGCTGCAGACATGGCCTGCCCAGCAACTCCGCTCCCTGCTTATCACTCTTGGCGTAGAGGAATGTAACATTTCCCCCCTTGGGGAAGCTGCCACCCCGATGTCCCCGCAAAAGCGTATAAATACATTCCGCGTGCGAGTCAATCTGGTGCTTTGCACGATTATCTTCTGCAACGCATGTGCATATCTCTTTGTGAACATGCGCGCATTCCAATTGCTGGCTATCGGATCGGCGGTGCTTCCTGCTGTCGCCTTGGCGCCCAAGTTGGTTATGATCGTCTGATCGTCTGTGTATCGTGTTAACTCTGTCTTAGGCAATTAATTTCGGCTCCAAGACGTAGCACTGCTGTGCCAAACCCGTCTGGAGTAAGTTTTCTTTGATAGAATTGCCAAAGTAGTTAAGCGCGGCGCTGAGGAAGTATAGGAAGTCGCGTTGTTCTCAACCGGGCAGTATTCGTTCGAAAGCCATGAATCAAGCACAACCTGGAACTTGATCGATCTCAAGAGCGGCAAGATCTCCGAGCTCACCGATGACAGCAATGTGTCTGAGATCATCTGGTTGGGATCGAGTAATTCGGAATTGCTGTACATCAACAGCACCAACGCTGACATCCCTGGAGGCGTTGAACTGTGGATTTCTGACACTGCCGACTTCAATAACTTGTACGCACAATTCCAGATCGCCAAGTCTAAGTCATCTCTCTAACATCTTTCAGCCGATATAAAGCAGCGTCCTTGTCGGCTTCCCTCTCAGGTTTGAAGACTGCTACCACCAAAACCGGTGATATCAATTTCCTCGTCTATGGACAGTCCTACGGTAATGGAACTGCATATAACGACAAACTAGCAGTGAAGCCCTTGAGCACCGCCCGCATTTATGATAGCATATACCCGCGCCATTGGGATACATGGCTCACGACGACATTTAACGCTGTCTTCTCAGGGACCCTCGAGCTGAAGAAATCTGGACAGTGGGCTACATCACGCTATGTTTCCCGTGGCGCTTTGAAGAACCTTGTTTCTACAGTGAAGAACCTCGAATCACCGTATCCACCCTACGGAGACTCCACCGATTATGATATTTCACCAGATGGAAAATGGGTCGCTTTCAAGAGCAAGGCGCCCGAGTTGCCAAGGGCGAACAATACCGCGTCGTATATTTACTTCGTTCCGCATGATGGCTCTAAGAACCCCGAGGCAATCAATGGCCCCGATAGCCCAGGCACTCCAGAGGGTGTCAAGGGAGACTCCAGCGGGCCTGTATTCTCACCGGATAGTGAGCAACTCGCATACTTCCAGATGACAGACATCGCCTACGAATCGGATCGCCGCACTCTCTACGTCTACACGATTGACTCAAAGGAGACTATTCCGGCTTTGGCGAAGAATTGGGATCGCTCGCCCAGCGCAGCCAAATGGACCACCGATGGTAAAGGCCTCATTCTCAACACCGAGGACCGAGCTCGCAATCGACTGTTTATCTTGCCTTCGGATGCGGGTGATGATTTCGTCCCTCGCAACTTTACTGATAGTGGCTCCGTGAGCTCATACTATAACCTTCCTAATGGTGAGATTCTGGTTTCCGGCTCGGCAATGTGGACTAGCCGGATCATATACACTGCGACGCCGGAGAAGGGTGTTACCAATGTGGTCTTCTCGGCAAATGAGGTTGATCCTGCTCTCAACGGCATGAGCTCTGCGGACGTAGATGAGTTCTACTACGAAGGGAACTGGACTGAAGTATGCTCTATCTATCGTTCTAGGTGTGCATTGCTAACTATGCTAGATCCATTCTTGGATTATCTATCCTCAAAATTTCGACACGTCCAAGACCTACCCTCTCTTGTTCTATATTCACGGTGGCCCTCAAGGTTCGTGGGCCGATTCCTGGAGTACTCGCTGGAACTACAAGGTTTGGGCCGACCAGGGATACGTGGTGGTTGCTCCGAACCCAACTGGCAGTACTGGGTTTGGTGATAAGCTTACCGATATGATCACGAATAACTGGGGTACGTCTAGGAATATGATCTTAGTCCAATTCAAAATCTCACACTGAATAGGAAGCTATCCATACGATGACTTGGTGAAGTGCTGGGAATATGTGCGTGACAACTTCGACTTCATCGACACGGACAACGGTGTTGCAGCTGGAGCAAGCTATGGCGGCTTCATGATCAACTGGATTCAGGGCAACCCACTGGGCCGCAAGTTCAAAGCCCTGGTCAGCCACGATGGAACATTCGTTGCCGATGCCAAGATATCGACAGAAGAGTTGTGGTTCATCGAACACGATGTATGTACCCCGCTTCGTACCTCTTGGGTCGTTCGCTAACATCTCCAGTTCAATGGCACCTTCTGGGGTGACCGAGACAACTATCGCCGCTGGGACCCATCAGCTCCTGAACACATCCTTCAAATGGATACGCCGCAGCTGATCATCCACAGTGATCTAGACTTCCGGCTGCCCATCTCAGAAGGACTTAGTCTGTTCAATGTCTTGCAGATGCGCGGTGTACCAAGCAGACTGCTCAATTTCCCAGATGAGAACCATTGGTGAGTCTGTGACTGTTAGGCATCAAGCTCTCCGTCATAAAACTAACTTCTGTTTAGGGTCACAAATCAGGAGAACAGTTTGGTTTGGCATCAGCAGGTTTTGGGCTGGATCAACAAGTATTCTGGCATTGGGGCTAGTAATTCCAATGCTGTGAGTCTGGATGAGACGATTGTTCCTGTGGTTGACTACAACCCATAAGTGTCACGGCTTTATTATTGGGTTGGCAGATGTGTGCTATGCTTAGTACATACTCTCACAATGAACATTCGACTGTCTTTCTTCGATGGATATCACTATGTCTCACAAACCACCTCATTTCCTGCAGTGAGGATCATTCTCTCGGTTGCCTGTGAATTATTTGCTCTCTGCTCCATGACTGAGAGTGGCCATAAATATCTTCCTAACTTCCATCTCTCACTCTTCATCCTTCTCCTCTTTCATAGCTCTACTCCTCCATCCACCCAGCGTATTCCATCAGGTTCACTTTACCACCTTGTCCTTGTTGCTTCAAAATGCCTTCCCCATCCAAGCCCACCATCTCCAAGTCAGGAACTCGAAAGAAGATTGTGCCTCACGTACCCAACTCCTCTCTTCCCAAGACTGCCGCTCCCACGACCTCAAATACCGTAAAGAAGGATGACCTTTCCAATACAATTCCAATAAAAGAGAATTCCCCTTCTACTCCATCTCGTGCTCCCTCCACTGCTCCTCAATCCTCTGCTCCTCGGTCTACCATCGGTACGTATTCTATTCCAAATTCACTTTCACTATTCTTCTTTGAAGATGCAAGCACTCAAGCAAGCCCTCTAGATACAGTCCAGCTCCAGCTCCAAGAAGCTGACAGTAAGGGACCCCCTATCTCCTCCCCCGCGATATGGAGTGAGGATGCTAGAGAGGACTATGACTCCGAGCTAGACCCAGGCGAAGACGAAGAGATGGAGGCATTCGAACACCATCTCGTGGCCCACCGAAGCACCTCTGAAAGCGGTCTTGCCGAAACAGTTCGCCATGTCAATGCCTTCCTTGATTCAACCAAGGATAAACACAGCATTGAAATCCCTACCGTCCGCCTTCGCGACCATTCCAACTTTCATGAATGGAAAATTGCGGTCGAGCTTCGACTTCGAATGCACCAGGTCTGGTTCCTCTTTAGAGGTCTTGACGACGGTGATAAAATCACCCCGGTCCCAAACGATCACAAGCTTTCCCTCTGGTACGAGCGTATGGTCGACGTTGCATCCGCAATCATTTATTCGAGTGTCTCTTCCGACATTCGGAAGCAGCCTTGTTTCCTGGGATCTATGTGTCGGCGAGATTTGGAAGATATGATGATTCACCTTATCTGTCACTATGCTCAGGATCCTGATGATGTGTCGGATTCAGATTCTGATGATATTTCAGGTTCGGATCTCGATTAGAGATAACATCAGCTCAGACGGTGCGTAGGGCTACCATGCTTGTCGTGCATCACGAGGACAATTCTTCATCTCTTATGTTGTGGTTTCAGGGTGCCATCATTTATTGTTTTCTTATTACGGGATGGAGACGCTGCGGTTATTGATATCATTATCTGAATGAGGTTCCTTGAATTACATGCTTCGCTCATAGACTGGATCACCACGTAGATGGCATTGTCTAATCTCCTCGTCGAAACATTATCTGCAAGTATTTGTATCATACCACTATCCTAATCTTCAAGAGCTCACCCATCCTCTCAAGATTGAAGATGAGAAAGACCGCTCAGAATCACAGCTGAGGATTAACCACTTGCTGAGAACTACCCCCGGCCTCAGTCCTAGCCTGAACCAGATAATCTCTCAACCAAGTCAACAGAACCTGCTTCAGATGCTGAAGCGTAACAAAAGTAGGTTCATGGCGGTCCAGTCGCTGCTCCAGGGCTGTAACCTTTTCTTGGAGAGACTTGTTCACATTCTGCTCGGCGATGGTCTGACCACGCAGGAACTCGTTCAGGCATCTTTCAACCTCAAATTGCGAGCGAAGAGCTTCATTCCTCTGCTTCTCAATGCCAAAGTCGAGGCGAAGCTGGGAGAGCTCGGCGCGGAGTTTCACGGTTTCGACTTCTGCGCGGGGTGTTACTTCGACTTGCGACGGGGACGTGGCTCTGGTCTTGTTAGTTTGGTATGGTCACTTGGGTTTGAGTTACATACTGCGTTGGGGTCAGTTTGATGAATCTGGCAGGCTTGTTTCGAACTGAAGACGGAGACTGAGGCTGAGGTTTCTCCTGTTTGATTGGGGTAGGCTTGACCGGGGATGACTTCCTGGGGGACGACTGGTTGCTTTGACTCAATACGGAGCTGCCAGACGGGGTGTCGAACGAGGATGTGCGAAGGCGTTTGGGGCTTGGGCGTTCATCCGCGGTCTCGTAGTTTACTGGACGGGGCATTCCTGTGCTTGCGTCGGGTGTGAACGAAGGGTTTTGAAGTTCCACATCAGGCTGGGTTGAGGATGGTGCTTCGAAGCCGGTAGAGTCGAAACGCTTATGGTTTTTGTTATGGGGACCGGGGGTATTGGTGCGTGGACTGCGACGCGGACTCATGATGAATGGCATGGAAGAGGAGTGGGGAAGATGGGAGATGGATATGGATATGGAGGTGAATATTGGAGATGGGTTGGGATTCTTCGAACACGGGGAGTCTTTCGTTTGAGATGATTGTAAACAGAGTGAAGGATGCAGTTGTTACTGAATGTTATGAATGTCGGGTGCGAGCTTATTGCGTGGGCTCCAAAGCTGCGAGACACTGCTCTATTTCACTTGGTCAAGGCTTCAACCTGTGGTGATGGCCCTTCAGGAAGACCTTTTACTCCTCCTACATCCAATCAGAACCATAGCTTCAAGCACAAGAGTATCGTGCATATTGCAATCGTATGAACTATCATTCTTACGTATCCCATTTAGATTCTAAGTGACCACCACTTAAGCATCGTCGTACCCCATCAGATTATCAGTCAGCACCACTTCCTCATCCTCACAAGACCGAATAGCACATTCCATGCAAACATCTTCCCGATGCGGAACCTCCAACCTGTCAGCACACTTGTAGTATCTAGATCACGGTGTCCCCCACCTGTTCAAACCGAGTCAAACGGGCCTCCGTACGCTCCGACAAGAGTTGAGCCTCAAGGGCCTTGATCTGAGTCTTATCGATGACACTTTCGTAAGCCTCGAGAAGTGTTGCCATTGCAGCGACTACCTCCTTGAGCGAAGCGATCTCACTTTCCAATTCTTGATTGGTAGCTCGGTCTGCGCGGGACTCATGCAGGAGTCTGGTTACGAGACTGCGGAGGGCGTTGAAATCGGCTTGGCTGACGGTCTCAACTCGGGAGGTGTGTCTGAGGAAGGTCAGTGGTGTTTGTAGGGGTAAATTTGGGGTGAGACTTACTGAGGGATATTGTTGGCGGAAAGGCTTGGAGCCATGCGTTTACGTGAGGGTTGGTCTTCGTCGTCTGAGGAGAGGAGAATGGTAGAGCGTTTATTGAATTGAGCGGTCATGTATCGGGAGATGGGGTCGGGGAATTTCTTCGTCGAGGGTGTTTTTGTTTCCTTCTTGGTTGAAGTCGCGTACTGATGGGTAATAGCATCACGAGCGTTGAGGGCAGCCTCTCGCCGGATGAGCCCCTGAGACTCTCTCTCCGGGGCAGTCATGCTGGTAGAGGATGGTGGGAAGAAGGAAGGGTGGGAAGAAGGGAGAAGAAAGAAGGAAGGAGGAAGAAGGAAGGAGAAGAATATTGACAAGGTCGAAAGTGAAGGCAAAGTAAATAAAGGTTTTTGGGACTCGAGACGAGTTGATGCAAATGATCAAATATATTCACTGACGCTCTAAGAATGTACACTTTCCAAACGCCTTGCTACCAAGCCCATGCACCTTACGTACAAAGTGCCCAAAGGCCATCATATATCAAAAATGTGCAAATCGAAAATCCTACAGCTCATCGCCATGACGGCCGGGCTTCTGGTCACCAGCCATGAAGCCACCAGCACGAACACGCAGAGCAAAGTTGACCAACACGACGGCAACGAGACCCACGCTAACGACTGTGGGTCCCCACTTTTCATAGTACACGCGCTTCACATCGCGGCGCTTGCGGATCTTGTCCACGCGCCAGATGTACAGGAAGAGGCTGTAAATGAGAGCACCGGCGGCGAGGACAGTGAAGGCCCAGGACGATGCGAGGGAGATGCTGTCGACGCCAAAGTTGAGAAGAGTGGCAGCAATACCGCCGAGGATGATGGAAAATTCGAGCCAGGAAAGGAAGGTTCGCTCGGCGGCGAAGTAGACCTTGGGCTCGACACGGACAGGGACGAAGATACCTGGGATGTGTTAGTGGATGTATTGGAGGCTCTAAGACGAAAAGAGCACTTACGCTTTCCTGGAGGAGCCTGGAACCGCTGGAGAGAACGCTGAGTTCCCTGGAGCACAGCGATTCCACGCTGTTCGGCGGGAGGGAGGGAGGTGGGTGTAGGGCGGGGAACAATAGCAAGGAGACCCCGAGCCAATGTCTTGCCAGTTTTGCACACATAGTGCTTGATGAGCTGCTCGGCATAGTAGGCCCCGCCGACGCGACGAGCCTCCTCGAGCTCGTTGGTATCGACAGTCTCGTCGTCGGAATCGTAGAGCGGGTAGTCTTCATCACCGGCGACAGGCTGCGCGGCGATGCGCTCCTCAATATCCAGTTCGTTGCCGTTTGTCTCCGTGAACAGACCACCATCGTTACCATACTCTGTGTAATAGCCGTTCTGGGGACCATTTTCAGACTCAGGGGAGTCGTCATCATCCGAGTCCTCCTCATTCGCGGAAACAGAAGTACTAGCGAGAGGACGATGGATACCGTAGCGGCGATTGGCAGGCTTACGGATGTCAGTGTCCATCTGGGGGTACCAGAATGGAAGAAGGTTGATGCGGCTGGGGAAGAGGGTGGCAGTGCCGTGGATGAATTTACTGAACTTGGGCACGGCTTCGACAAGGTGACTGGCAGTCAAGTCACGGATCCACTGAGGCGGCTCCTGGCCGGCCTGAGTCTGCAGCTTGACTTCCAGCACAGCGTAGGGGAATCGATCAATGTCTTCTGGGGGCAGTTGGGAGAAGGGGAAGTCGACACCGATGTCCATCCGGCGCCAGCTATTGCCAGCGCGGCGGCGACCGTCCAGATTGTCCTCGCGAATCATGGTCAACTCAGTATCGAGGGAAATACGCACACGGGCGTCACCGGGAAGCTGGAAGGCGGTTCGGTGGTAGAATGTGCGGGTAACGGGCACGAGGCGACGGGTGATGACGCGGTACTGAATCTCGCGGGCCAGCTGCTCCAGGTCGTCAATCTCCGCCTGGCTCTTCTTGCCCTCTTTGCGGGCCTTCTCGAAGATTTGTTCGACTGTCATGCTGCCGTTGAGATATGCATTGACGTTCTTCTCCTTCAGCGAAAAGCGAGCCTTGACGGACTTCTCGCCAGTCCAGTCTTCGCGGTGAGTCTTGCGCTCCACGAAGATCTGGTCACTCTCCATACCACCGTACCAGCGGAGACGGATAGCCTCTGCGCCCTCGGTCTTCTTCAGACGGCCCTGGTACAGCTCCCACGTATCGGTGTTATCGTAGTAAATGGAGGAGATGGCGGTATCCTTCTCTTCGAACTCCTTACTGGCGTTGAAAACCAGCACGGGCAAATGCTTCAGAATGACCAACTTCAACTCGGTAATGTTGTCGCGGTGGACCCAGTACTTGGTAGTCTGACGGACGAAGTTCTGCTGGGTACCACCGGCGGACGAGTCACCCATGACAGGGTTACCCTTGGTGCGGACCAGGTCATACAGCTTAGAGAGCTTAATCACGAAGGCATCGTAGTTATCCTTGAAGAAAGGCTTGGCGTTCAGACGGGCGGCGAAAACAGGCCTCAAGTACCAGTTTGTCTCTTTCTGTTCGGGAATTAGCTTTCTGGACAGCTCGAAGACCATGCCTGAGATCAATCAAGAACTTACGTCATGCTTCTTAATAATCTTCTGGAAGCCCGTGTAGTTTAATTGAGTGAACTTGGCGAGATCGTGTACATCCGCAATAATATCACTGAGGACCTGCTCGAGGAGCATGAAGTCTTCGTCGGTAGGCGGGGGCTGGGCTGCACGGCCGCTCTGACGGCGCGAGCCGGTGGAATCATCGAGACGCGAGACCACATCATTCACCTCGAACTCGCTCATCTTAATGCGCTCGACAATCTCCTCGCTCTTGCGCTTCTGGAAAAGGAAGACCTTCTCCAGCTCGCTCTCGAGCAGAGTGACAAAGTGCTTCTCGTCGTCCTCGGACCATTCGAGGCGATCGGGCTTCGCATTGTTGGGGGAAGGTGCGGTGACGAAGTCGGTCTTAAGAGCCTTCTTCAGCTCATCGTAGGCAATGTAATGAGGGTGATACTCCCTGATCATGGAGGATCGGAGGTGCTCGCCGAACCTGTGGCTAGGTCAGCATGCGGGGAACAGAGAACATTCTTGGGGACGAAAAAAAGGTCGCGAGTTCACATCGGAATGCAGGGTACTCACCTCATGATGGGCAGAGAGACTCGAGGAGTGTGTGAAAAACTCGAGAAAGTGATTCAATTGTGTATGAGGGAGAGAGAGAGAGAGAGAGGATCGAGGATCGAGGAATTGAGCCGAATGGATGCTTTATCGGTCGCTGCCCGAGAACGGTCAAGTTCAACCTCTGGGGGCCCGCTCGTTTCCAGAATACTAGGGTTACTTACTAGGGCGCTCGCGTAGGAGCTCGTGAAGTTATAGCTATATACGCCGAAAATACCAGGTCGTACAAAGTGCAACGATTTTGGATTTTGGATTTTTTTATTTGGCATGGAACTGCGCATCGTTGCACCACGAAGCGCATTGATTGGACGATGCGTCAGTAGCTCGCAGTTCTGCTGAGTCATCACTGCGGGTCGTTCAACCAGTCACTGCGCTCAATGCCGCACGTGCTGCGCTATCTCCCGACACTACGCTTGGTACAATACGCTTAGTTCTTTTTGATATGATATGATTCATGTGGTCCTCCATCGAAATGAGGCGCTTTTGACTGTTTCCATGAGCTCATCGACGGTTGTGCTTCCACGTGCAAAACCGACTTACTCCTACATATCCCTATAGAGTCTCTTGATGATCATCGTGGTCCTCCTCGGTATCAGTAGCTCGTTACGAGACCCATGCGGGTGTGGTGGGTATCAGCGGGAAAGTGTGGACCTGACAGGCAACTGGCTCTTTTCCTATAACGGTCCCGGAGTCCCGAGTCTAGACAGAAAAATTGGATATCCATCGGTACCCAATTGTAGGCTGTAAGATGGACGTTGAGAATTTGTAAAAATCACCTCAAACAAGTCCCCCGAATGGAAAGGTGCTGGCAGGGATTGTCCCAAATTTCCCTAGTGAAACGGGGGCGAGGCATATCCATCCATGGCCCACTAGATCGGACGGAGAAGCCCGAGTGGGGGGAAGAGAAGTGATGGGAGAGGATACAGATACTTACTTTTTAGCCGAAATTACTTCAATTCACATTCCCACATTCCGTTGGGTAGGTACCCTTACTCTATCGACTACCAAAGCGGAAAGACCTCACGCGACATCTCGGAACCTGGATTTCATAGATTTCACTGAGAGAATGAAAATAAAACAAAAAAAAAAAATAGATAATGCAGCCCTCCAACTCCAATTAACACCTGCAAACCCAGGCGGGGAAGCAATGACATGCATCCTCGGATCATTGCATCGTGGAATAAAATTGTAGAAATAGGAAGAGGATGAATCGGCATGATCAGGACATGCCGAGCGCGGCACGGCGGATACTCCGTCGAACGCCCTCGCCCAAAACGTGCACCGCACCCTCCGCCTCCAACGAACGAACAGCATCGCCAAACTGGTTATGATCGATTGCCGTGTCGCTGTGCTCTCCCATGTCGCGGAACAACTCGGACCACCGAACAGCAGTACCGCTAACACCACCCCGCTCATCAAGGCGAGCCAGCACGGCGCGCTTAAGGTCCTCGCGCATGCGACGCTCACTTGCACTGGTTCCCTCAGTCAACAGACCCATGTCGATCAGGCCCGTGCGTGAGTCGGTCGCGGCTTGCTTAATGGCAGAGCGAATCAGACGCACGGCTTCTTCGACATCGGCGGTTGTCACCTGGGAGGATAGGCGCATACGGGCATGAGCCTCGGAAAGTCGAATCATGGATTCCAGCTGTCGGGTGGTGGCTGTGATGCGGCGCTCTTGGGTACGGATATCGTCACCCAATTGACGCATGGCAACATAGGCGTCGGTGAGGGCCTTTCCGGCCTCGGGGGTCAGGACAGGGTTGATCTGGGTCTTGGCGTAGGTGATGTAGGCAGTAAGGAATTCAATGGGCTAGGGTTGGAATTAATAAACAGAAGTAGATAAAACGGGGTTGGTGGCCTTACCATAATCTCCTCGGAGCTGGCATTCTCCGGAGCATCCTCCAGGTACATGCCGACCAAGTGCTTTGCCAGGCGGCGATCCTCAGTCTCATCAACACGATCAAGCACAAGGTACACCAGATCGAAACGAGAAAGCAGGGTCGGGGGAAGATCGATGTTCTGGGGAACGGGCAGTCTGGGGTTGTAGCGACTGCCAATGGGGTTGGCAGAGGCCAGAATAGAAGTACGGGCGTTGAGAGTTGTGATAATACCGGCCTTGGCAATGGATACGGTCTGCTGCTCCATCACTTCATGGAGCACAGAGCGGGTTGCGTCGTTCATCTTGTCGAACTCGTCAATGCAGCAAGTACCGCCATCGGACAAAACCAGGGCACCGGACTCAAGGACCATCTGCTTGGTCTCCGGATCGCGAGTCACATAGGCAGTCAAGCCGACGGCCGAAGAGCCCTTACCACTGGTGTAGACACCACGGGGGGCAATCTTGTGAACGTAGCGCAGCAGCTGCGACTTGGCGGTGGAAGGATCGCCACAGAGGAGAATATTGATATCTCCACGGTAGCGGGGGTTACCACCCTTCTGGAAAGTCTTGTTGGTACCACCAAACAGCTGCAGTAAAATACCCTTCTTCACGTCGTCCATCTCGTAGAGACTGGGAGCCAAGGAGCGGGCCAGCAACTCGTAAACATCCGGGCGAGAGGCAGTGAGCTTGATCTTCTCCTCCTCCTCGGCAGAGATCTTGCGTGCTTGATCGGCCTCAGCAGCCTGCTCAGACATCTCCTGCTCGACGGTGGACACATCGATGCCCATCTTCTTGCGGTCGACCTTCTGAACGTGAAGAACATCGATGTATGTCTTGAAGAGGGCCTTCTGGGAGCGCTGACGAGCACTCACGCGCATCGGGTTACAGCGGAAGATACCTGTCACCTCAACACGATCACCAGCCTTGCAAATGTCCACGAGTTCATCGTACACGCAAAGAGAGACGGAGTGGGGTGTCTGGCCATCAGGAACATTGTCGGGGGTTTCCTGGAGCTTGATAACCTGCTTGTCCGAGAACGAGCATCGGTTATGAATCAGCTGCATCGAGTTTTTCGATTTACAACTATCACGAGGACACATTGTGGGCTCCGCGATACGACCACGGTCAATGTCAACTTGAACACCGAAGCTGCAAACGCTGCAGCGGAAGAAAGCCTCCTTCATGTCGGGGATGATAGGAGTAGTCCGGATGACCAGTCCCTTGATGCTGACGAGCTTATCCATATCAGCCGGGTCGAGGTCCCTCATGTTCACGGTCTGATCAAGGCCGAATGGGAGCACCTTGTACGAAACGGCCTCAACTTCACCAATCAGGTCGGGGACATCAGCTGGTTGGACGATGCCATCGGATGTAAGGATGGACTGGCCGCGGCGGTCGCGAGATTGAGCACCCCGCTGGATCTCAGACCGTAGAACGTCCATCTCCTTGAGGGCCAGATCAACCATCACATCCTTGACAGCCTGATCCATTAGAGGGATGATTTCTTGAGGATATGCGGACAGCTGGTGCCAGAGCTTTAGAGTTAGGGGATACGACTTCAGATTCCGGGCATCTAGGTTGAAAGTCGTCATACCGAGACGGCGCATATCGTTAAGCATGGTGATATACTCGCGCCTCTCTGCCACCGCACCCAAAACCCTCGTCTCATCTTCGGAAGCGCCATCGGCCCACAAGCGGTATTTCGTAGCAAAGTTATACAAGAAGTTTTTGAAAGCGGACATGGAATCCTGGATCGAGATGTTCGTGCCCCAGATAACACGCGAGGAGTTACCGGCGATGGCCTCAGCCTCAGAGGTGCCAGGGTTGATGTTCGAGAACGTGGCATCGGAGCGGGGGACATTATCTTCAGAGGGGATGCCATTGGCACCGACGAAAACTCGGTTGCGGCGAGCAGGAGTTGATCCAAAACCACCGGAGTGAAGATCGCTTCGACGAGGAGCAGCCCGGCGACCGTGGCTGGGCGATACAAATAGCGCGCTGCTTTCACTCAGAGCATCGGAGCGGATGTCAGAACGAATATCTGTTCGGCCGTAACCAGGGGCGGGGCTCGAGCTGGCAATGTAATTGATAGGGGATGAGTCTGTGGAAAAGTCAGATTCAATGCATCCGAATCAATTCTAATGTGCAGCATTGAATGCTCTTTTTCTGCAACATACCTCGAATGCCGCTTTGAACAGCGCGAGGGGTTCTATCCCCATCATCAACTTGTGAGCTAGCTTCGTCCATGCGAACATCGGGAGTCTCAGCATCTCGGCGTCCTCTGATGGGCGATGATTGGTAGGCCATCGGCGAGGATGATAGACCATTTCCTTCAGCGGTCAGTTGTCTGGCAGCGCGGGGAGTGGCTTGGCGAGTCGGGCTGCTAGGGGGTTCACGAGCTGATCGAGTTGATCTTGTTGATCGGGCCGATGAGACCGGCGATGCTGTTGATTGTTTTGAGGAACGAGTCCCCCGCTTTGTCGGTGAAGACATTTTGTGGGTGCGTGAAGAATGGGGGGAGGGCGGGATGGATAGTGTGTTGGAGTCGAGAGGATCCAAAGAAGGGAGCAAAAAGCTTTGCCGGGACGCGAAACGCGACTCACGCGTTAAGTGGTTTCCTCTTTGGGGCTGCGTGTCGATAGCCACAGCACGTGATATATATGTGGCTGGTACTCATGCCTCAGGCTTGAATGACATAGTGTGGTGCATGACATAATCGGCGCCCAATAGCGCAGGCCAATCAGCAAGGTTTCCCCTTTTTTATCAGCTTGTTTACGAGTGGAGTCGGAACAACCCTTGGCAGGACTGAATATCGCACCCATTCGTTTGTGTCCTGCTTTTGTGTCTAAGAAAACTTGCCGCCTGCAGCAAACCCAGAGATAGCACCGAATCGGCTGCCATTCGCCTGAAGCCGCCGGATTCTGCTTGGCTGTTTCACCTGACGCTTGATGTCATTTTACATCCCGATCGGCGATCCAATCATCCCTACAGTTCATTGGTTTGGCGGGGAGCTAGCGCAGCCCTGAGCGCCTCCCCAAACACCAGCCACTGTTGTCATTGTGTGACGCTCAAAGCCAGCGGTTATCATCTATCAGCGCTCCACCGCTGATCAACCTTTGTTGTCAACGTTCTTTTTTTGACATCTTTCTTGCCCTATTTCCGTTGAGTTCTGGTCAACTCCCTCTTTCGCAGCACTCAAGTCGACAACGTGCGGGAGAAATTGTGGGATTCTTGTGTCTTATCCCTTTAATATCTTAATCTGAAGGGCCTTGAGTTTCCATCTCTCATATTGTCCTCCCTCTGTCGATCACAATGACGGGTTTGGAGGAAGCGCTGGAGCACGCTGGTGGGAACGGCAAAGCCGACTCGGGTATTTCGATTCAGACCTTTCTAGCGTCGCTGGCGACGGCTACTGTCGTTTTCGTGGTCGAGTTTCTGCTCTTTCTACTACTGAAAGGCAAATTGACCCGCATATAGTGAGTTTCTGCAGTCAATTTTGCCCACTGAAGCATCGAGGGCCACAACTGACCATCACCTATAGTCAGCCGCGAACTTATCTAGTTCCAGATCGAGAACGAACCGAGCCATCACCACCGGGCCTCTTTCGTTGGATTGGCCCGGTGTTTCGAACTTCCAGCTCAGAATTTATCCAGAAATGCGGTCTAGACGCATACTTCTTTCTGCGCTATCTGCGCATGTTACTTAAGATCTTCGTCCCTCTCGGGCTGATGATTATACCCGTCCTGATTCCAATCAACCGTGTTGGTGGGAAGGGCACAAGTCGTAAAAATGCGACGGACTCATCGTCTTCATGGGACGTGACTGGCTTGGACCAGCTGGCCTGGGGAAACGTTAAACCCGAGCATACTAGTCGGTATTGGGCTCACCTTGTCATGGCGGTTCTCGTCATCGTCTATGTCTGCGCCATTTTTTTCGATGAATTGCGAGGCTATATCCGCTTACGACAGGCTTATATGACCTCCCCGCAACATCGACTTCGTGCATCGGCGACCACCGTGTTAGTTACGGCTATTCCGCCTGGTTGGCATGACGTTGACTCCCTCGATTCTCTCTTCGACGTCTTCCCTGGTGGAGTTCGAAACATTTGGATCAATCGCAATTTTGATGACTTGAACGAAAAAGTCAAAGCGCGACAGAAACTCGCGCTCACACTTGAATCCGCCGAGACGGAACTTATCTCCAAGTGCAAAAAGGCCGCGCTGAAGAAAGTGAAGGCCGAGGCAAAAGAATCCGGGAAGAGCAAATCCAAGGCTGAGGTTAAAGAAAAGATAGCCACTGACCAGCGTGCGGCTGAAGTTGCGCTGGGACCCGGTGTCAGTTCTGGTGATCCCCATCAGGCGCACACGCTACGCGACGTTCTTCACCGACAACCCGACAACCACAATCGAAACACGTCTGATGAATCGAGGACCGGCGTAGTGTTTCCACTCGCAGCCGTTGGTGCTGTTGGCCAAGGTGTCGGCAAACTGGGGAAGTCGGTGCTGGGCGGCCTCAAGAAGGTTGAAGTTGGGTTTGACAGCACTTTAACACGGACGGGCGGCTACGTCGACACTATGGAGGACACGGTGCCACCTCGAACCGGCACCAAGCCGCCAAATAATGAAGATTTCCACATCAATGAATTTTCTCTTGAACGTCCTTCCTCCGCCATGAAGCTTCCTACTCCCGAGCCCCCAACTGCCAGCTCTGTGTGTCAAGATACGAAGCAGGCACCGAGGCGTCCGTCTTGGAAGCAGCGGCTATCTTCCCACACCTCGAAATGTTCTGCGCCAGAAGCCGATGAGTATCCTCTTACTGGTCCCGATACACCTGTCGATAATGGACCCCGTCGTGAATCGGCCAAGTCATCTAAGAAGGCTGATAAGAAGAAAGACAATCGGAAAAGTCTCAAAGAGGGTGATAAAGTGGAAGGAGAGCAATATCCTGTCGCTTACAATGAGGACTTTGACAACGAAGACTACGGGGAGCCGATGTGGCAGAGGTACATTCGCCAGAAAGACCGAGACACTCATCGCCTTCCTATCTTTGGGTGGAGTTGGATGCCTTCGCTCTGGCTCATCGGGAAAAAAGTTGATACAATTGACTACTGTCGCAAGGAGCTTGCTAGGCTAAATCTCGAGATCGAGGTCGATCAGCAGCACCCGGAACGATTCCCGCTGATGAACTCGGCATTCATCCAGTTCAACCACCAAGTCGCTGCACACATGGCATGTCAGTCCGTTGCTCACCATCTGCCTAAACAAATGGCACCCCGGGTTGTCGAAATCTCTCCCGACGACGTCATCTGGGACAACATGTCTATCAAGTGGTGGGAACGCTATCTGCGCACCTTCGGTATCATCACCCTGGTTTGTGCCATGGTTGTTGGATGGGCATTCCCTGTTGCCTTCACTGGCCTTCTTTCTCAGTTGACATACCTAGAAGGGGCGTTTCCATTCCTGGCTTGGATCAGCAAGCTGCCGAAATGGTTTATATCTGCTGTTCAGGGTATTCTACCCGCGGCTTGTTTGGCCATCCTGATGGCACTCCTACCCTTGACCCTTCGTTTTCTGTGTCGTACTCAGGGTCTGCACACGGGTATGGAAATTGAACTGACAGTTCAGAACTACTATTTTGCATTTTTGTTTGTCCAGTTGTTCTTGGTTGTCACGATTGCATCCAGTTTCAGTACTATCATCGACAATATCACTAATGTGACCAGCTGGCCGGAAATGTTGGCCAACAATATCCCCAAGTCAAGCAACTACTTCTTCTCCTACATGATTCTTCAGGCTATGTCTGTGAGTGCCGGTGCGCTTGTGCAGATTGTTCATCTGATCAGCTGGTTTATTCTCGCTCCCATCCTGGACAAAACTGCTCGGAAGAAATGGGCTCGGACGACCAACCTCAATCAAATGCATTGGGGTACTTTCTTCCCCATGTACACGACGCTTGCCTCTGTTGGTACGTACAGCCTCCACCTCTTGCTCCAACCCAGGCTTTCTAACAATCTCGCAGGTTTAATCTACTCCGTGGTTGCGCCCTTAATTCTTGTGTTTAATATCATCACATTCAGCTTGTTCTGGTTCGTTTATCGCTACAACACGCTCTACGTTACAAAGTTCCGCTTCGACACCGGCGGTCTTCTATTTCCTCGTGCCATCAATCAGCTCTTCACTGGATTGTATGTTATGGAATTGTGTCTGATCGGCCTCTTCTTCCTGGTCGAGAATGAGAAAGGTGAAGTGGCCTGCAAAGGCCAGGCCATTATCATGATTGTCGTTACGGTTTTGACCATCGGATACCAAATCCTTCTTACCGACGCATTCGGACCTTTAATTCGGTATCTGCCTATCACCTTGGAAGAAGCAGCCGTTCGCCGTGACGCAGAGTTTGAGCGTGCTCAACACGCCCGGCTTGGACTCGCCATTGACGATGGTGAAGAAGAGGATGATCGTCTCGAGAGCCGCCTCGCCAAACAAGAACAGCAAGAACACAACCAGGGCCAGGATGAAGATGAGCGTGGTCGAGATATTGAGTTGAACAACTTGGAGACCGATCGAAGGGCTCAGCTGAATCGCAACAACTCAAGTGGCCTACTTTCGACGCCCCGAAGTGGCACCAAGCGACCTTCGTGGGCCGATCGCTCCCCAAATCGAAAGTCCAAGTTCTTTGGTGTCAATTCAGCCGGCGCCAGCCCAACTATCCAAGCCCTGCGCGAGAAGATGGCACAGGACACGGAGGCCCAAGGGCCTCCTACCAACGCAGTCGGCCATGCCCTATTTGCAGGCATTCATGATGAACTGGAGGATTTGACACCAGATGAACGTGACCAATTGGTGCAACGTGCCTTCCAACACGAAGCTCTCCGTGCCAAGCGCCCAGTCATCTGGATTCCTCGTGATGATTTAGGAGTCAGTGACGACGAGATCTACCGGACACAGCGTTTCAGCAAGCACATCTGGGTGAGTAACGAGTACCAAGCCCTGGACGGCAAATGCCGCACGATCTTCAGTCGCAGTCCGCCAGATTTCTCCGAGATAGACTTGATTCAGTTGTGATCGTTACATATCATAAGCGTTGTTTGTATTCCCCTGTGAAGCGTTTCCCCTAGCGTCGCATATCTCTGTATCATAAAGCGAATCATTTTCCCGAATAAAAGAAGGGAAAGGGTATATCCCGTTGCATCTTATCTTCCGTATCCATCTCAATCCATAAATCGACACAAAGGCAGACGGTAGTTATCAACTACCCAGTACGCTCTCCTCACACCCTCCCACTCGCCCTCCAGCTTGGGAACCGGGATATCCTCCCACTCAACATCAAAGCCCGCCTCGAACAGATCCATCTCCGCAACCTTCTGATAGACATCATAAGAAATCTGCCGATCAGCACCCATCCCATTAAAGAAACCCCACTTCCCCTCCTGCTCCAACAATCCAATAACCTGCTCCGAGAAGAAATCCCGGAAATCAGCATACGATTCCGCAAACGTATCATAGTAGATCGCGTCAAATGTCTCCCCGTTCTCTACAAGAGCAGGCAGAATATCCTGCCACCGGCCCTCATGAATAACAACACCAGGCTTACTATCCCAACCACGCTTCTTCATCTCTGCCACAACATCAGCATGCGCTTCGATAATATGGTGCGACGCAGGCGCCTTCTCCTGCAGGAATCCGTCCACGATTCCCATTCCGTGGCCGATGTTCAGGACCTTCAAGCCCGGGGTCGGGAGGAGCTTTGCGGCAGATTTGCGCATGATCTCGCGCTCCCATTCCATCATGACGCCGTTCTGGTCTGAGTCGAGGATCCGGTCTTGTTCAATAGTAAGATTCGAGTCAAGGTAGCCTCTGTTCGAGACTTGGGGGTTTGCAGGCGCGTCTGTCGGGGCAGTTTCTTGCTCGGAGGCGTCGACGAGCTCGGGGGCTGTCTCGGGCTCTTCTTCCGTCTTCGCTTCTTGTTCCTCATCTTCGTTCTCGTCTTCGGAGAGCTCTTCGTATCCATCCAATCGGTTCATCAGCATTTCGGCGCGCACACCGGCGTCGACGATCAGCTCGTACAGCTCCAATGCGCCGATGCGCCGGGCGAGACAACCCGGGGTCTCATCGTTATTGTCGAGATCATTCCAGATCGCACCTTCCTGGAGGAGAAGCTTGACTGTGGCAATGCCGGACTTCAGCACGTCGGGATCAACGGTAGCGGCGCCGTTGGTCTTGTCGTCTGTTTCGGGCTCGCAGGCAGCGATAGCGGAGTGGAGAGGTGAGTAGCCTGTTTCCGGGTCCTTCACATTGGCTGCGTCAGGAAGCTGGGATTGGGTCCGGACGAGTTGACGCAGCTTTGCGAAATCGTGTTGGGAGGCAGCGAGAAGGATCTCTTGCACGTCAAGGTCGACGTCGATCTGTGTGAAGGTGATCTGGGGGTCTTCGGTGGGCTCGGCCATGGTGGTGGTTTTCTGAGGTGGGATTGTTAGCAGCTGCGTATCTTTGACACTCCCAGAGTTGACTGATCGATCTCATCGATAGTGAATTGAATACTCACCAAGGCTGTCTGTCTGTGTCGTTGTGAAGCTCAAAAGTGGCGGATAAAAAAAAATGTTGGTGGAGCCCCGCTCGCCGCTCTTGTCCCCGCGTCGAAATATATCATGACGTTACCAGACCAGCTAGTTAACACCCGTAGACATGAGTTGAACCTCAGATTTGACCTTGAAACGTTGAAATGTTACCTGCCCAACATTCGTTCAATCTGTTTTCTCTTAGCGCGAGAATTACCATTGCCTAGGTTTCCATTGATGCTTTAGGGTGAACAGTAGCTCGCATCTTGACTACAATCAATCTTAGATCTGGAATGATATATCATACATAGGTAGTGTTACGACCTCGATAGCCCTGGAAGTTGAAAAGAGAAGAGACCGCATTTGGATGCTCCTAGAAAGCTATTTGTACATGATTCCACAACCCTGCGCCTGATTAATGTAGCTTATTTGCCCTCCTCGGTCGATGCGTTGACGTTCAAGCCCAGACCCTGGTTGTCGAGATACAGCTTGTTACGGCCACCGTTCTCTTGGATAATAGCGGCAATCTGTCGGGCGTTTTCAATCTTACGCAGCTCGATATAACTCTTGCTCTTCTTGATCGCGTCACCAATCAGCTCGGCTGAGCGGGCTTCACCCTGTGCGCGGACAATGAAGGCCTGCTTCTCTTGACGGGCCTTGTCAACCAGGAAGGCAGCACGCTGAGCATCCTGCTGAGCGACTTGCTTGGCCTCGACGGCAGCGGTGAATTCGGGGGAGAAAGTCAAGTGCTGCGGAGAAGGCCGGAGTTAGCGGAGCACATCTTGAATGATCCAAATGCAGCACTTACAGTCAAGGAAACATCATCCAGAGCAATGTTGAAGCGCGCAGCACGGCGGGCCAGGTTCTCGCGGACCAGGCGGGCAACGTTCTCACGCTGAGTGATCAGCTGGCTGGCGTTGAACTGAGCCACGACACTCTTCAACACTTCGTTCACGATCGAAGGAAGCACACGTTCGTCGAAGTCTTGACCGAGAGTACGGTAAATTTGAGGAAGAGCGTCGATGCGGGGTTTCGACAGAACACGGCAGGTGATGTTGACCATCTGCAAATCCTTGGTGCCGGTCAAGGAGGCAATGTTGCGGGGTTTGGCGCGGACATCGTAGATAATGGGGGTCTCGAACCAGGGGATACGGATGTGAGTACCTGCGATTGTTCCGAATCATCAGTAATAGCTCATTCCAGCTCCTTGAAAGATGTTTTACCTTCGCTGTAGATTTCCTTCTTCACACCACTCAGTCGCGAGTACTTGATAGCGCGGTGACCACCGTCAACTGTACAGACTGTTAGTAAGATCCAGATTTCAGTGGGCGCTCGTACATACCGTTGAAAAGCGAATTTGAGACTGCCCAGGTGCCGACACCGAGAAGCACCAAACCAGCCAAACCCATGCCGCCGCCACGGCCACCTCCGGGGATGCCGCCAAAGTTACCCTTGCGCTTTTGCAGCATGAGCTGCACGCGCTCCCAGGCCTCCCGTTGATTCTGAGACATGATGTGAGCGTGGTGATGGATCTGAAAAGATGGTGGATGAAGACGGGACGTCAAGAGAAGGTGATGTAGTTGGCGGTGAGTAAAGTCCGGCAGAATGTCTCTTTCGCGCTTCATTCGACTTTCATCCTTGTAACGCCATCATTCCTCATCGCAGCTATGGCGCCTGATCGTACGGGAAAGAGTGTGTTCCTGGGGAACATCCCCTACAGTGAGTACCCTTCTATCGTGTCTCTTACTGGTCCCATTGGCGCAATACTGATCATCCGCAGATCTCACGGAGGAGCAAGTCAAAGACATTCTCAGCACGGCTGGCACCGTCACCAAGTTCCGCCTGATGATGAACCCCGAGACCGGCAAACCCAAGGGATATGGATTCGCTGATTTTGCCGATGCCGATGCAGCAGCTTCAGCTGTCCGCAATCTCAATGACTACGAAATCATGGGCCGCAAAATCCGCGTTGATTGGCCTCACAACAACGAGAAGGATTCTGTGCCCACAGACTATCCTGAAGAATTGCAGCCTATGGCCCAAGATTCGACTCCCCAGCTTCAGCAGATTCCCGGGTCTGCGCCGTTGCCCCCCCTTCCTCCAGGCGTTGATGTGCCCCCTCACCTCGACTGCCCTAACGCCATCTCTCACACTCTCGCCTCTCTCCCTCCCAACCAGCTCCTCGATGTCCTCACACAGATGAAGTCTCTCGCCGTGGCCGACCCCGCACGCGCAACTGAGCTCCTACGTCAAGCTCCCCAACTCGCATACGCAATCTTCCAGGCGCTTCTGCTCATGAACCTCGTGGAGTATCAGCTGCTCGGCTCCATCGTCGAGCAAGCGGCCCAGCCAGCTCCAGTCCAGCAACCCGCACAACAGTTCCAACAGCCATATGGTGTGCCCGGTCAGATCGGTACCCCGCCTGTCGCAGGAACACCATTCGCCCCTCCCCCGCCTCAAGCCGCCGCACCTCAAGGTGTGCCCAACCAAGATGAGCTTTTGCAGCAAGTTCTGAGCATGCCCCAAGCAGCTATCGATTCCTTGCCTCCGATGGAGCGCAGCCAGATCATGCTGCTTCGTCAGCAGCTTATGCAGGGCGGCATGCGGTAGTTATGATGTCTACCTCTTGCTGAGTCCTTGATCTTGTGGCCCATCTTGGCGCCCTGCTGCGAATAAGCTGCATTTGGCACGGCCTCACAATTCCCATCATGTTTCATAGTTTTCACTGGCGAAGGGCGGCGCAACTGGAGTGATTTACTTGTTTTTCATTTTGCATACCAGCTTCAAGGTGGAATCCAGCTGTACTTTAGAACCAGGATAATCCATGTTACTTTTTACAACTTTTCAGTCCCTTCCCATGTAGTCTGTGTCTTCGACTTATCCTGAATTTCCAGAAATGACGTATAGTGTTGTGTCATTGGCTTAGAGGAAAGATGGCATACTTATACTTGTCAGGAGTATACCGTGCCTGCAGTTGACTAGACACTATGGAATACTCCCCATGGCTATAATCAGCCCATGCTATCACTTAGGTTCATGATAGGACATAGGGTAGGTACGGTCTTCCTCGAGTTAGAAAGACCAGGTGCCCTGTGATAACTTCACAAATCCGCTTTCGAAGAAGACTACGTGTTTATCTGCTGCCTATGGTCCCATTCAGTGACTAGTCATTAAACGCCTTGCGCTCTAGAGAAAGAGGAGGAATCATCCAGGAGCAAGTGTCCTCGATATGCGCCCGGATAAAACAAGCGCCGACAGCTGCCGAAGCCCTAACTTTCAAACGACATCTCTACAGCCTATTCGAAACCAGCTAGTGGAAACCCGGGTTTGCAGCCGGTTCATATTTTAAAATAGAGTATAGTATGGTTATACTTTGATATTAGGTAGCTGATTCATAAATGTCCTGTTCTGCAGACATTATGTAGGTTCGTGTGCCATCGCTGAAGCATCATGAAGAAGCTTTAGCGATTTGAACCTTCACAACTCGTACATGAGTCGTGGGACTCGACGAGTCTGCAGGGAGTGAGTATGAGCTTTATTGTTGGTGCTTTATTCACATTTTACCCTGAAGGCACGCGGGCATCTTCTCAGAGGTCCAACACTGTCCGTAAGGGGCGTAGCAGCACTCGTTCCTGGGCATGAGGCCGCTTCATGTATTCTATCAGCTTATTCCACTATTGTGATACTAGGCTTACTATGACTTCATACATCTAATTTCACCTCTCAGTGTTGTCCTTTCCACTAGATAGGGAGTTATGGAAAGCTCGTGGCTGCTGACGTTGAGCATTGTCTCCATTTTACGAATCTAGGTTGGTCATAGTGCCTGCTGATTGCCACTGACTAGGTCTGGGCTTGCGCAGTCAAAGCTGAGTAGGACTCCCAAGACAAAGAAGAGATCAAAGAACATCCGATGCATCAAATTCAAGGATCCCCATGATGAAACCAAAGAAATTTGCGATTTAATGCCGATAGTAACTCAGCCCAATTTGCTTGATGCTCCTATGACAAAGCTAGGAGCCACATACTGTACACGGTAGAAAAAAAAAAAAAAGACACCCTAATTGATCATGATGGAGGGTGCCAAGCACCTCTATTTTTCCTTCGCAGCCCTTGTGTCCTCAAAGGGCGGCATGGACTTTACCATTTCTGAAGAGAAAACACGCACATCATCTTATTCACATCCTTTATTGCTGGGGCTGATCCAGAGCACCGTCCTTGCGCATCATGATCTCGGGGTTCCACTCGGGGACTTCCTTAAGGTTGGTGAGGCCGGCGCTGTTCTCGCAGGTATCACGGCCGGTCATGGGGCCGGGGGCAGGAACCTTGGTGGCGTTGCCAGTGGCGCTGGCAGAGTCTTTCAAGGCAGTGAGAAGAGACTTGATGGACTCGGGAGTCAAGTCCTCATAGTAGTCGTCATTAATCTGGACCATGGGAGCATTGACGCAGGCACCCAGGCACTCGACCTCGATGTAGGTGAAGAGCCCGTCCTCGGTGGTGTGGCCGGGGGTGATTCCGAGGTGCTCGTTGATGGCCTTGACGATAGCGTCGGAGCCGCAGCCGCCGAGCTGGCAGGGGGTCTAAAGGATACCATTGTCAGAGAAGGTCCTGTAGACGTTTTTTTTCAAGCGGAAGTCTTACCGTAGTGCAGATCTGGAGGAAGTACTTGCCAACAGGCTCACGGTTGTACATTGTGTAGAAGGTTGCGACTTCGTAAACACGCATGGGGGGCATCTCGAGCATGCGAGCAACCTCGTTCATTACGCTGATGCTGGTGAAGCCATGCTGGCGCTGGCCAAGGTCGAGCAGAGGCATAACGGCGGCCTTCTTGTACTGGGGGGGTAGCGCTTAAGGATCTCATCGACGAGGGTGAGGTTCTGCTCGGAGAACTTGAATGGAAGGGACAGATTGTTGTGGGGCTTGTTGCGGTGCTATTGAAGCCGTGCTGTTAGTCAATTGACCTTCTTTCTGCCGTCTGGTCGCATTGCCGTGACCCGTGGCCGAGGGGTTCAAAAGGATGCATACCACTGAGAGGGTGTCACTGAGCCGTTGGGGAGCGGCGGAAAAGGGTCTGTATTGAGAAATGGGGAATTGGCGCAGCACCCGGCTGGCCCGTGTAACAGATGAGAGCTTCGACGCCATGGCTGGAGGAGTTATGCGCAACAGACGGGGATGAAGTTGGAGAGGAGAATGACGGATCGAGTTGGCGAGGCGTTTTGCGGGTGTCCAGCCAATCAGAATCGACAGATTACTCCCGCCTTACAAAACATTCTTCTCCGTTCATCGCAACTTCGTCCATGCAATTAGGCCCTAATTGTCTACATTACCTATTCGCTGAAGCTATTGCGGTCCTTGAGGGCGTGTCTCTTCTTCTTTTTCCAAGAATGAAGATGATCGCCTCCGCGACATCTGCCATTGATGTCCCTGCTACATAACCACCATCATTCAGCCAATACCCTGTCCACTAATTAAACAGCTACACATTCTCCATGCGATAAACCTCATACGCAACCTCCTCATACGGATGCGCCCGTACCAGTTCCTCTACTGCCTTCAGCATCAGGTCGTGCCCGATGCACATAACCTCGATTCTAAGCTCCTCGACCTGTTCAACTTCCCCAACAGCCCCAATCGCAGGGTTCGCACCATCTCCAGGAAGAAACTGGCCAGTTCCGTGACTCTGGAAGCAGCACTTGGTGTATTTGCCGCCAGGGAAAGAGCCTGCGCCCACTGCGAAGATTGCTTCTTTGCAAGCATCGGCATTCTCGGTTGGGACGAAGAAGACCAGTTTGTAGCGGTCGGGTACGGTCGATGCTGTAGACATGGTTCTGTAGTTGGTGAAAGATTGGAGCGCGATGGAATCCTTTGCATCAAGCTTGAGGCTTGATATTTGGGATGGATATGACGTTCGAAGTACTGCCCTGGACGAGGGGCGGAGGTTGTAACTGGCTCCTCGGCTGAAGGCCCGTTGTTGAGATATAGACCGGGCAGCTTCCCAGACGCTAGTGCTTCATCGGGGCATCCAGTTCAAAAAGTGCAAACTGAACGTAGATGTGAGCCTGTGAGACGTGGACCGGAACTGCCAGGATTACCAGGCCATCTATGTTATGCCTCAGGCATCAATGAGAATCCACAAATTGAAGAAAGTAGACCGGGAATAACGAACAGCACATTCCCTATATCGATTGTGTCGAAAGTTGAGAAAAATGATATACACAAATGTTGAATCACAGGGTATCAGACACCAAGCACCACACTCCAAATCACCTATTTATACAGCAGGCATATACTTCTTCACATGAGTCTCAATGCGCTCCAACAACTCCGCCTTGCGCTCATTCGGGATCCAGCTCTCCTGAACACTGTTCTCAGCAATGATACGCCACTCCAGAACAGACAACTTGTGCGCCTCCTGCACAGCGCAGTAATTGTCGAGAATGTAGCCTCCGAAGTAGGCCGGGTCATCACTGTTGATAGAGAACTTGACACCAGCCTGGAGGAACCTCCGAATGGGAACCTCCTCCACCTTCTTCACACAGCGCAAGCGTACATTCGAAAGAGGGCAGACAGTGAGAAGAATACCCTCCTCGGCAACACGCTTCATCAGCGCCGGATCCTCAATCAGCCGAATACCGTGATCAATACGCCGAGCACCAAGTTCCAGCGCAACACTAATATGAGAGGGGTCTCCCTCCTCACCAGCATGCGCAGTAAGCGGGATACCACGCGCCTTCGCATCCGCGTACTGAGCACGGTACATATCCTTAGGCGGGCCAACCTCGGTAGAAGACCACCCGAGACCATGGACAACACCCGCCTGGAAATGGCCACTAGCGAGGAAGTTCTCGTAAACCTTCTGCGCCGAATCAACAGGCAGATGGCGAACAAAGCACAAAATCAGCCTGGTGCTCATACCCAACTCCCGCTCAGCACGCTTGCAGCCCTCCGAGAATCCCTCCGCGATAGTCTCATAGGGAATCCCGCGGTCCTCGTGGACCTGGGGATCGAAGAAGACCTCCGCGTGGTGGACGCCGTCGGCATGGGCCTTGGAGAAATACCACCAGGCCAAATCGGCGAAATCGGCCTTGTTGCACAGAACCGCCATGCCTTGGAAGTAAAAGGAGAGGAAGTCATCGAGCGAGGTGAAGTGTTCGTAGCGCGCGCTCAGGGAGGCAATGGATGCGTAGGCCGGGTTGGTCGCAGCGGGCAATTCGATACCATTGCGCTGGGCGAGCTCGAAGATGAGCTCGGGGCTCATGCAGCCTTCTAAGTGGACATGGTGTTCACACTTGGGCAGGCCGTGGATGAATTCGTGCAGATCGGATTGACACATTGTGGAGGATACCGGGATGGGGGGGGGGGGGGGGGGAGGTATAAGAAGCAAGACTTTTGTTTCTCAATTGTAAAAGGCGCGGACGAGGCTACATATACAGGATGACAGAATGGGGCTGTTTTCACCGGAACCCAGATCCTAAACCATCTCCGATCCTCCCAAGTCCCGAGGTTGGAAGTTTTTCCTGATTGAGCGGGGCAGTGGCTCTGATTTCCCCGTCTTATCTCGCCCACGTTGTGAAAATTTTGGCTGCCAGGCACACCGATAAGCTTTGACCGTGGGTCGGAGGTCCCCGACCCATGAATCCTTTCGTTTTCACACTAGAGGAAACGTTAATGCGACTAAGGATGAATTGGAAAGTCCAAGAGGGGTATGGTTGGGCATCGACGTAAATATTCATCTGGTATTGCCCCTCTCCAAACTCTATTCTCGACTCCCCCGCACATCCAATGGAGCAAAGAAATACGTAATATCATTCATATTTGATGGGTTCTAAGCCTTCATCTCCGTTCCGGCCGCTTTCCGTAACCGATTCATGACTGCCGCTGCCAAGTCGCCGTCTTTGTCGGATATCCCCTCCACGTAGATCACGTCGACGTCGCACTCATCTAGCGCGCGCAGCGCAGCAAAGAGTCCGTGTGCAATAGAGACTGTGTCGGAGCCGAGGTGGTAATCGTAGGCTAACTTGGTCCGCCGAGTCGGGCTGCCAGTCTCCTGCACTGGCAGAGGGAAGCTAAGCAGGTTCTCAATGGCGGCGTCGACAGGCTTAAGACCCTCGGCCAGGAGACTGTCGGATGCAAGGCCCAATCCCTGCTTCCAGAGGCGGGTACGCACGATGCCGATGTTGTGCGCGTGGATGGCAGTGTCATGTAGATCATTCTGTACGTGACGAGTCACACCGGCCGGGTTTGACCCCGCTTCGAAGAGAACGACACGAGCTTTCGGCGAGTAATGGCGGTACTTCATGCCGGGGGCGCGGGGGATTTCCTTCACATCCAGCTTTCCGTCGTTGTAGGCTAATGTGACGTTCTCCCAGCCTGCGCACTCGCGCAGCTCTTCAATGCCGATGCCGCCTGGGCGTAAGATGGCCGGTGTGTCGCATAGTCCGTCTACAACAGTACTCTCGACACCCACGCCGGACGGGCCGCCATCAAGTACGAGCTCAATACGGCCATGCAGATCATGATAAACATGCTGCGCAGTTGTAGGAGAAGGCTTGGTCGACGCATTAGCCGAAGGCGCGGCGAGCGGACGTCCCGTCGCGTGGATGAGCAGACGCGCCAAAGGCGAAGCCGGCATACGCGCGCCAAAAGTGGTCAAGTTCGAGGTGACCTCTGGAGCCAGCTCAGATCCAGAGGGATTGGGGAGAATGATTGTCAACGGGCCCGGCCAGAAACGATCGATGAGGGGACTGTAGATCGCGGGGATAGAGACGCGCCGTGTCTTGGTTGCGCTAGGGCTGACTGGGTTTTCCGGGTTGAGAAGACGATTCAGCATGGACAGAGAATCAACGTGAACGATCAACGGGTTATCAGAAGGCCGCTGCTTCGCGCGGTAAATCCCCTGAACGGCAGCGCTACGAGTTGCATCGGCACCAAGGCCATATACCGTCTCTGTTGGGAATGCAACGGGGACATCACTAGAGCGAAGGATCTGAGCCGCCTCTTCGATAGCCTTGGATTCAGGCGTTTCGTTCTTGCGTTCGTCCGCCCACCACTCAGCCAGAGACCGGTCTCCCGGTCCTTGGTTCAGTCGCTGGACGGAGACAACCCGTGTTTCATTTCCGGTCATTGTGGTGAAATATCTAGCAAGCCTGCGCTGACTGCAGCCAGCGAGAGCGCGGGGGAGCAGCAATTTGATATGTAAAGGTCGGAAGAATGACGCAGCTGTCGTCCGCACACGCAATCGGGTTCGGGGCTAGGAGAGGCGTCAACGGCGAAGGGGCCCGAGTCACTACCAAGTGAGCGCTGGTTCGGGCAGATGTAGAGTATGTCGGATCGGGGGTTTAGGACATACGGTCGACGATCATCTCGTGTCCTATCCGATGCAGCCTGAGCGTCTTATCGGAGACGCAGAAAAAACGTGGATCGCCAATTCAGACCATGACGTCGGATGACTCAGCACGTTGGGCACGAACATCTGTGCCATGAGATCAGAGGAAGTGATAACTAGAGGGATGATCCTGGTATAGAGATTGAAAAGGGGCGGATTTGAAACAGAGATGATCTTATATTGTGGGGTTGTGCCTCGTCATACTTTGCCAGGGGTGCTCAGCCCTGCCGACAGGAGGGGGGGTTCTGATCTGCCCAAATAATATCCAAGGTGGCGCTTGTTTATATTTGCAGTTGTAAAGTTGTAACTCGAAACTATCCGGAATCGCCTTTTTATCGGTTGCACTGGCTCCATAAAGGCACTGGAAAATCTATAGGCTTGTCACAGGTGAAAATTGAAGAAATCTACAAATTTGACAATGCATATCCTGAAGATGGTGCAAATATATACTTGAGCTTGGCACCATCCATCAAACCTAAAAAAAATTAAAGCTGAAAAAAAGCTTTATTTCGTCTATCTTGTAATAAAGCTCATTTCTTCTTACTACCCTTGCCACGTCCACCACCACCCTTGGGGCCGCCCTTGCCCTTACCCTTATCACCACCACCGGCACCACCAGCCGCACTTCCCGGAGTCATGATGCGAACCTTGCCCACAGGCATGCTGTTGATGATCTCGGTATCCTTCCAGCCCTTGATGAGCTCACCTTCCCGCGCACGCAGCTTTTCAGCATCAGCGCGAGGAATACCAGCATCCTCGGCATGATCCTTCTTGACCTTGCCGGTGGTAGTCTCATGGACCCAACGGCCAACGATCTCCTTCACGGCCTTGCCCTTCTTGACAGCACCAGGCTGAAGCTTTACCTTGTACTTGTACCGACCAAGAGCACCCCAGGGCGCACAGACGGCAATAGCACCAAGGATCTCATCGTCCGGAGTAGGAGTGCCGACAAGGGCGGGAATCCAGCTCAGGTCTGCGGCTTCAGCTGCCGCGGTTTCGGGATCGTAGTCATCGGTGCCTTTTTCAGTAAATTGGGCATGGCGTTTCTGCTCGGCTTGAGCAGCTCGTTCATGCTGGGCTCGGCGCCGCAGCCTAGTCGCCTCGGCCTCACGGTCCCGTTGGGCTTTGGCTTCGGCAGCTTCGGCAGCCTTGGCTTTGCCCTTGTTATTACCAAGGAGGCGAAGAGCTAGTTCGCGTTCTTCAGCGTCCTGTTGAGCGTACTTCGCTGCAGCACGCTTCTCCTTGGCTTTCTTGCCTCGGGTTGGTGCGATGCGAGGAGCAGCTGGTTCTGCCGGACGGTCGAGTGGCTTGCCCTGACGCAGAGTGCGTCGCTCTCGCGCCGAGAGCTTCTGCTCTTGCTGAGGAGCTGTAGAATCTTGACCAGTGGTAGATTCATCCTCTGCTGGCCCATCCTCTTCCGCATCATCCTTAGGCAATGGATCCTCCTCCGCCTCTTCTTCGGACTCGGACTCAGAAACATGAGACGGGATCTCCTGACGAGCCGGAAGCTCGGACTCGCCTCTTTGAAGGGGGTTCATGGCAGGTGCCTTGTCCTCATCTTCTTCGTCTTCATCCTCTTCTCCAGACTCATCGTCCTGTTGTGTCTCTTTTCCGGTCTCTGTAGTAGGCTCAGGCGTCGACTCTTCCGTCGGCTCCTCAGTGGAGGTCTCCGCGGTAACATCGGAGATCTCGAAATGCTGCTTGTGGTTCTTGACACTCTCTTGGCTAACCTGGAAAAGGACAGCGAATCCCAGAACAAGCTGCGAGGGCGCCAAGAAGTTCTTCTCGCCCTTAATTTGGAAATCACCAACAGGGAGAATTCCGCCACCGACCTCGGCGACCTTGGACACCTGATTCGGGTGTACCCAGTAGGCGGACATGACCGCCTTTGATTCCCAGGCTGTTGAAGTCGCGACACAAAGAATGCCTGCCTGGGAAAGGGTACTGGGAGGAATCGGGGCGTCTGCTGTTCGATTCTTGACGACGATAGGCAGCGCGTCCTTCAGGTCAGCGTGAATGAACACATCGCCCTTTTTCAGATACTGTCGGTAAAGCAGTTCACCCTGCATGGCATCACGAGCACTGTAAGATGGAGTTAGACATGATAAAGAGGAGGCAAGAATGGGATGCATACCCAATAACAAGATAGCCTTCGGAAGATATGAAGAATATGAACTTTTCAAACCAGAATGGCTCGCGTGCGTGGCGCAGAACTTGTTTCTCCTGCTTCAGACCCTTCTTGAGGTCTGCTGTAACCTTCTTCTCATGGCTCTTGAGAGCCTTCTCGGAAGACTGTAGCGTTCTTTGCTGCTTGTCGGATGCAGTCTTTTTCTGCTCATAGTACTGTGTCGCATTGGCCCAAGGAGTGAGACTCAGATCAATATCGATCTTGAACATCCTGTCGTTAGCATCGGCCTGCTTCTGGCGCTCCAACTCTTCATTGTCAGAGTCAGAGTCAGATTCATCGCTGGAGTCCATTTCTTCTTCTTCCTCCTCTTCCTCCCCGGCTTCTCCGAGAAGCAGGGTGACAGTGTTCTCATGTAGTTTAAGAGGAAGCTTGATGATCTGAGCGACAGGGTTTCCTCGGCCTTGTTCCATCTCAATAAGACGATCAATTTCACCCCAATCCATTCCCTGAGCCACAAGACCATTCACGGCGTCCATCGCTTCCTGGACACGATACATATTGTCCTGTATAGCGTCGGCCTTGCGAATATGAAGCTCCTGTGCATCCTTGAGCGCGTCAATTCGCTTCCGATGCTCATCTCGCACAGCTTCTAGCTTGCGCTTAGCCGCCTCCTCTTTCTCTGTAAGCCTTGACTCAAGCCGCTGGGACTCTAGAGACGAGAAATACTCATCGACTGTCGCATTGAAGCGCTCAAACTCCAGAATCGTGATATCAGGCTTGCCCTCAAACTGACGAGGTCTGAACGGATGGAAATCTTCGTATAGAAGGCCAGGAGCCTTGGAAGCACTTTCGCCCTCGGCCGGAGCCCGAGTGTCTGCCCTTGCGACAATATAGCCAGGGTGGCTATCACCAGTGTTGAAGCTGTTCGAAACTCGCTGAGCCTCTTCCAGCGTTTCAAAAACTTGCTTCAGGGCAGATTCATCGCCCAGAACCTGGTCAAGCGGCATCGCCGGATCAAGCTCCTTGATGGCAAACGCATGATCTAGCAAAAGTGGAGGATATTCTGGGAATCCCTGCGACAGAGCCTTTCGCAAGACGTCGGTGTTCTTCTTCTTCTTGGATTTCTTAGGCGCATTGCTCTCCTGGGAAAACAATGCCTGCGCCTTTTCCAAGGTCTCCTTCACACGGTCCGCGGTGATGTCAGGAACCCCGTTGTAATTCTGCTTATTCGTCACGTTATATTTGATGTTAAGCTTGGCCTCCTCTCCTTCCACGGCAGAAACCTGTCGGAATAGTGCGATGATGGTGTACTCGCGATCGGTGAGAATTATGTTGCCGCCGGCGAAGAACTCAAGAAATAAGTGGTAGGCGCCATCACTGAAAGAGATGTTGATGACACGATCTGTTCCAATCTGATCGATGCCCGTAATGCGACGCGATTTTATGAACTTGCGCAAGCGTGTCACGAAGGGCGAAGGAGCGGTCGCGGCTGTGCGGTCGTACTGAGTGACATGAGTGCGGAAACCGGAGTCGACGATGAGTTGGCGCTTGTGGTCCGGCTTCGCAAGCTTGAATAAGAAGATGCGCTAGGGAATCGCAATTAGCTGCAGCTCGGCTTCTCCGCATTTGAGGAATCGAACATACCGAAGACAAGTCGTAGATGTTGGACACCCGGAGGTTGACCAGCTCCGCGGCCAGCTCCTGCGTGATGACCTGAGGCTGGTGAGTGTCTTGTTTCTTGTGAGTGGTTTCCTGGATTTTACCTTGACGTCTAGCGACGAGAACCTCTGCTTCATCGTGGACAGGGAAGTTGCAGGAGAAATAAATTTTCGAGCGTGACGTATGCGGGGCAGGAACCAAGTCGGAGTCTCGTTCAGGAAGCCGCTTACCAACTAGACTCTCTTGGGGTCTAGAATACGCTATACACAATTATGTTATACGACTATATCTAATGGGTTCACTGGGTTTACTAGCTTTACTCAAAACTTTGGTATCGGGATTCGTCTTTTTCATTGCAGTCATCAGCGTACCAGCCATGGGAATATTAGCTCGAGACAATGTCTCGAGACCGCACGGGCAAAGCGCTTTTTTGCAGGATGCACAAAGAGAAGCACGCAAATATCTATGTCCTCAATCCCTGGAATAGCGAGGTTGGACCAAAAAACAAATTAAAGAAAACCATATCACGCCAGGACCAGCCAGGAAAGAACGAAACGTAAAAGACAAGATGGAATGCTCCATAAGGCAGGAATCATAATGCAGGCCTCGAAACCCCCTAGACAAGGCAATTGACTCTTTACATCTGCCGCAAGCCCTCGGCGAGACGGCGCTTGCCGAACTCCCACGCATTCATCAGACCCTGCTCGGAGAGGTCGATGTTCTTCATGTTGGGTGCATCGGCGGCGGGGGCACGGCTGACGCGCGAGGCGATCATGACGGGGTCGGTTTCGAGGATGATTCCGTCATCAATGATCTCGTCAATAGTGAGGGAAACAAGGTCGTAATTCTCGACGATGGTACGCTTGTCGGTGGCGCCCCTGTTGAATATCTTCGTTAGCTCCAAATTCCCACATCCTAAGCTTAAGTCTGGAGCATACTTGAACAGAATTCCCATAGCATCACGCATGGACAGAACCACGTTGTACAGCAAGACCTCGTTCTCCTCGGCGCTTCCCACCACGTAGAGCATCACATCGCTCTCCATCTTGAACACCACAATGCGGTTATCGTACAAGATCACATCGCTGGTGGACTTGTTGGTCTTCTCGAGCAGACCCTTCTCGAATGCCTTCTGCTCCTTGACGGTAGGGTAGGGGTTGGCGCCCGGGTAATCCGTCGAGTTGGGCGCAGTGCCGGCGGGGGGATGGGGTGCCGAGAAGTATTTGGCAAGGATGCGGGACCCGTCGTCCGCGGACATGATGAGAACCGCATTCACGGAGAAGAGGGATAGAGAGCCAGGCATGATGAAATTATTTTTTTATGTTTGTTGGAGCAATTGGCGGAAGGAACTCGATTGTTGATGCGCGCAGGAGCCAGTCTGGCCGCTGGCGGAGTCGCACTAATGTTGTTCCGTGGGTTAGAGTATGTGACAGCGCAACTAAAGAAATCGAAGCTTTGGACATAACATTTCCTAATGTTTCACGGGATCTGAATTCTAGAGAATAATTTATATCTATCAAAGTTGTATTCGTCGAGTTAAACTAAAATGGTGCAATGGGATGGGTATAGGGTTATCTACAGGTCAACTGGGAAGTCACGGGGCTGTCGAACAATACACTGGTTCAAAGGGGAGATTAGGGAAAAGGGAACACAAAGCACTGCAACAACAGATACGTAATCATGACAGTGGACAAAGAAAATAACAATGAAATTCACATAGTGCATCATATCAACACGATAACCTCGCTCGATTTCGAGCCTTTCATTCCATGACATGACCGCGTTATGTGTATCACAAAGGGGTATGATAAAAGACAATTTCGAAATCACATCAAATCATCCAACCTTAGAGCCAGATGCAACTAAGACTGTGGAGGTGGCGGCGGGGGTGGTTGCTGCTGCTCGTCCGAGACAGGGCGGTTAAACCAGCCGGGAATCCAGCTCGCACGGTTCGCTTTCTTTCGCGCAACTTCTTCCTCTTCAAGCTTGGCAGCATCATTAACCAGACGCAGAGGACGCAGCTTGTTCTGTGTCATCACTGCACCGGTGTAGTTGTTCATGCCACTGCTCGATCGAGGAGGGCTAGAGGTTGCTCCAGTAGAAGCAGTGTCGCCGGGTGCATCGCTTGTGACACTGGGCGAGCTGCTTCGTCCAGCGCGGTCGGGCTGGCTGGTCAATGAGGGTGCGCGACTTGTGCCGGAGAAGTAGCTAGCTGCTCCTGAGAACATACTCTGGCGGGATCCCGGCCCCATAGCGGTTGGGCTGATGGGCCCGCCGCTGTTACGCCCTCCGCGGTACATTTGAGTGACAACGGACGCCGCCGCGGGATCTACCTGTTCAGAGCGCGCACGGCGATGAGTGGCTCTCACAGACCCAGCTCGATTGAACGGGATGCTGGGTGCAGTCTCCGGGTTCTCGTTGGCAGAGGGCAGAGGAACCGCGGGCGGGGGCATCATGCTGGCTGGGCGGGACCTGGGGATGGGGCGAGTCTGTGGGCCGGCGACCACCGACTTGGCCCGCTGCAGGAGTGATTGAGACGGCGCGTCATCCTTCTCCGGAGGAGTGGGAGGCAGTTCTTTCTCACTGCCGGCCTTGGAATCAGTTTTGCCTTCATCATCATTGCGGTCCAAAACGTGTTCGAAACCATCATGCTGGAGAACGCGGCTAATGATACGCTCGATGTAGAGTGTAAGGGCCTTATTTTGATCCCTGAGAACCTTGAGATCGCCTCCATCCGGCTTGCGATTTGCGTCTGTCTCAGGTGATTCATCCACAGACTCGAGTTCATCTGCTAGAGAACCTAGGCCACCTCGAGACTCCTTCTCGGGGTGGGCATATTGCATGAAGTCACCCTTAGTGAAGTCACCAGTGAGGGTCTTTTCGCTGAGAAGAAGTTGGTAGCTTTCATTGTCTTCCATGAGACGAGCATTCGCCACACGAGCGTCCAAAAGCTCCTTCTCCAAATCGCGCTGTCGACCGCCACCTTTGTTCTCCATCTCGACAAGCTTGATTTGCGACTCGGCTAATTCAAGGCGCAAAGACTCAATGAGCTTATCTTTCTGGAGAAGGAGGTTGGAGTTGTTACGAGAGGGGCTGCGTTCGATTTGTGATAATGGGGCGAATTGGCCATCCACGTCTGGAGAGGCTCGATTGCGGAAACTGGCTGTAGATAGTGTTAGCGTATATTCTTCAGAAAGATTGAACAAGAAAGCACATACAAGATCGGGAAACTTGACGCTCGCCCTCAACATTGACGGGCATGCTCTTCTGCGCAACCGACTCCTTCAACCGTTGGATAGTCGCCTGCAACTCTTCTTCTCGGCTGGTCTGCTGCTCCTTCTCCTGCAGCATGGCGTTTCGCTCCGATTCATAATTTTGCTCCAGATCCCTGATCTGTCGAGTTTGATCCCGAATCTCGCCACTGAGTGCTTCGATCCGAGTGTCTCGCTCATGCGTAGAGTCTTCTAGCTTGCTCTGTTCGCTAACGGCTTCGTCCAGGCGCATTTGGAGAACGCCTAGTTGTTTCTGGTATTGTTCGGAGGCTGTCTCGGCTTTCTGCAGCTGCTCCCGCAGCTCCTCGATCAAGGCGGCATTCTGCGCCTTTGCCTCCTCTTCGGAGGGGTCGTTATTGATGCGTGGGACGTTCGACATGCTGAGATTGGATCGCCCGCGAGTTCTTGCAGCAGCGCGCGCGGAGACTGGCGTGGAACCTCTTAGGGATGGGGAGCGGTTGAGACCGTTTGTCGCAGTGCTGGGCGAACGTGCATGCCCTCGTGTGGTGGACCCGTTGGTTGAGGGCGGATCTGCGGCCGATGATTTGCTGGAACTGACGGGGGTTCCAGGCTTGCGAGGCGTTGCTGACATCTTACAGGGTCCCGAGGCCCGTGGGACACTCGCAAAGGTATATAAGGAGAATTGGTTCTTTCAGTCTCTTGGAATAGACTGCGACAAGGAAAAGATGCCGGGGTTGAGGGTGGTGGTACTGAGGAAGCGGTCAAAAAGCAAAGTGGACCGCCCCCGGTGGAGTGCCCGTGTACAGACTGGGGACCAGGAATGTAATGAGCGCTGTCAGAGATTGAGTGCTTGCCACATGGTTGGAAGCCGGAGAATCATCGAAGACGGGACGTCATCTGAGAGCAGCGTGGAATGGCAAGAGAGGAATGCAAAGTTACTGATTGCAGTTGGGAGTCACGCTCTTATTTTGGTGAGGAATGCGGGATCTCCCTTACTGGTATTTTTAGATACCCGCAGTAACGCCGACTGGAGGCTGGGTTACGTACGAGGCAAGGAAAAAACAGCAAAGGGTCGTAAATATGCTGGACAAAGAGGAAAAGGGTGAAAGACAAGCTGAGACTCGTATCTCCTTTTAGATCGAGGACAAGTACGCATGTTTCATCCGGGGCGGAATAAAGGGTCATCGATGCCTGAGGCTGTCAAGCTTAAGTTTCAGCAAATACGTCACGTGCTGTCCTGCGTGACATAAGCCAGGACCCGCGGATCGGAAAAACACGATGTTCCGCCCGCACAATCACAGTTTCGCTTCATCTCGACTCTGCATCCACTCTTTAACCACGATAGCCGGAGCGCATTTCTTCCCATTCCACTACAATCTTACCCGAAGTCAAGAACTTCAACGCGCAGAGATGGCCCCCAAGTCCAAGAAGGGTTCCGACAACGTGAGTGCTCTTCCGCCATCTGTCATTTGAAACAAAAATTTGTCCCGAGCGGTCAGCTAACTTTTGCGATCCAGCTCAACTCCAAGCTTGCCTTGGTCATCAAGTCCGGCAAGGTCACCCTGGGTGCTAAGTCTACCATGAAGACTCTGCGCTCCGGCAAGGCCAAGCTGGTCATCATTGCTGCCAACACTCCCCCCTCTCCGCAAGTCCGAGCTTGAGTACTACGCCATGCTCGCCAAGACCCCCGTCCACCACTTCTCCGGCAACAACGTGAGTCGCATGCAAGACACAGATGTATGGAGGCGAATAAAGGCTAACAAAGACTACAGATCGAGCTCGGTACCGCCTGCGGTAAGCTCTTCCGTTGCGCCACCATGGCCATCCTCGATGCTGGTGACTCCGACATCCTCACTGCCAACCAGTAAATGGATGCGGTGAAGGGGAGTAGTTGAGTAGTTGTCGGTTGGAGGATTGTACAGTGATGTCTCTATGAGGGAATCATGGTGCATATAAAATAGTGATGAGCTACGAAACTCCACAAAAGAAAACCCAACATCTTGACTTCTCACATTGATATGATATCAGTCTCAGTCTCAGTAATCCGTAATACGGTAGAATTTGTAATCTAGCATTGTCCGAGTCATAAAGAATCATATTATTGAAAGTCTCCGGGTATTGTAACTGTACCTACTAGCCCGAATAGGACAAAGCGGGGCTCGGCAGAGACTCTGATTCGGGGATGTGTTAGGGTTAGGGCTGTGGCCACTTCGCTGCTTGGAAATCAAAGTATCCCGTGACTGTGCCGCCCTTTTCTTTTCTCTCCTTCGATCCCTCGCCAACGACCGACATCCAATACCCAGTTCGCAGGAAGTGCCGTCCGACTCAAACAGCACTCACAATGGCCCGCCGTCCCGCCCGCTGCTACCGCTACTGCAAGAACAAGGTGCGTCGCCGATATTTGTCTCGTGGGATTTTTGTGTGCGGAAGCTCGGTTGTGGGGGAACGCATGAGGCATCATGATCGTGACTATCTGCGAACGCATCGCAGGTGGTCTGATCGCTGAATGCGCTTTTTCCCACTCTGATTCTCGAAAAATCCGAGGCGGAAAATTTGAAATTCAAGAAAACATCCAAAACTAACATCTGTTTGCGTATAGCCCTACCCCAAGTCCCGCTTCAACCGTGGTGTCCCCGATGCCAAGATCCGTATCTTCGATCTCGGTCGCAAGAAGGCTTCCGTTGACGACTTCCCCAACTGTGTTCACCTCGTTTCCAACGAGTATGAGCAGCTGTCCTCCGAGGCCCTCGAGGCTGCCCGTATTTGTGCCAACAAGTACGTCACCCGTCCTGATCTTTTCTCTCGCTCGCTTCCCCACCGTTCAATATCTAACATGTATTCTCCAGGTACCTCGTGAAGATCGCCGGTAAGGAAGGTTTCCACCTGCGCGTCCGTGTCCACCCCTTCCACGTCGTCCGTATCAACAAGATGTTGTCGTGCGCTGGTGCCGATCGTCTGCAGACTGGTATGCGTGGTGCCTTCGGTAAGCCCCAGGGTCTCGTTGCCCGTGTGAACATCGGTCAGGTTCTCCTGTCCGTCCGCACCCGTGACGCCCACCGTGCTACCGCCATCGAGGCTCTCCGCCGCTCCATGTACAAGTTCCCCGGCCGCCAAAAGATTATCGTCTCCAAGAACTGGGGCTTCACCCCCGTTCGCCGTGAGGAGTACGTCCAGATGCGCCAGGAGGGCAAGCTCAAGCAGGATGGTGCCTACGTCCAGTTCCTCCGCGGCCACGGTCTCATCTCTCAGAACATGAAGCGCTTCCCCGATGCCTACGAGAACGCTCAGGAGGCTTAGATGGTCGTGTGTTGAATCAGAATACGAATGCAAGAACAAAAAAATTTCGATGTTCTCTTAACTGTCTTCCATAAAGCTTGGTATCTCGTTTGCGAAACTAAATGGAGTTCTTCCATGGGTCTTACCTATATTCATGATCGTAGTGGGTCGAGTAGTAGTTGGTTGGATGTCAATATGATGTAGATCCCTTGGGATGCAGTAGTTCATGTGGGTGCAAGCTTGGACCTGCTCCACCTGCCATTAGCATCCACTTGACCTCAATGCCACTTTTGGAATAGAGCTGCCGGCGAGACCCATCGAGATGCTTGATTCTGTGCGGCAGCCGCTCATGGACCCGGGCCATCTTTCTCATGTACGAGTCTGGAGTATCAGGGCAACTATTTTTTCTTGAATTTGCTCTACGAATAGTGAGATGATGTACACCTTCGTTACAAGACGCATTCCTCAACATAACCACATCTTATCTCACAACGTCGCTCTCACTGCTCGTATACACCACAAACCTCCTTGTGCAATGACGCCGCGGCTGCAGGAAAAATGGGTTAGCATCATGGCGAGATGAACAGATTCAGAAAACAAAGAGTTAGGCGACTTACTATCAATATCTTCCTGGATACAAGATTTCTTCAAACATTCCCCAACAGCATCCCTGAACGCATCACTGTGACAAGTGCAAGAGCTATCGACATAGGAAGAGCAGCCGGCCACCCCAGCGCCAATAGAGAGGCACATGATCTATCGAGAAAGAGATGGTTAGCATAACTTGTCGGGAGTCAAAGATCACTTCATCTTGCATACCAGACACTGGCTGAGGTCCTCGTCAGGGAATTCAGCAACCGAGAAGGACAGCAGGGCTGCCAGGGGAACGAGTATTGAGAGCCTCATATTGAGATTGCAAAAGATGGTAGCTATGGGGTGAGCAGATTGAGGTGCTCTCTAGGGGTTATTATATGATGAGGTCCCGTCCAGGCTCACATTCCTTGACGCGACTCCCTGGTGATCTGCGGTATGGTAACATGGTATCTCAGGAATGGAGGCCCAGACAATCGGTTCGGACCGAAGTCAATCGCGCGCGACTGGGCTGGGAATTAGCTTGACTGGGCTTGGTTGCTAGTTCCCAGGCTCCGCAGGGTGCGATCTTCTGTTCTAGAGATCGGAGGTATTTCGATGTTCAAACCAACGCGTCGGGACTTTGGAAATATCTCTTCTTGCCATTCTTGGACTTTTCATAACTCTCCGCGAGAATGACCTACCCGCACCAAAGATCAGACGAAGCTTGAACATTCTGTAGGTGCTGGAAGATGTGCCTTTCGATGCGTTGGTACAAACGTAAACAGTACAGGGGCAGTCCAGTAAAGGATTGCCTTGGTTAAACCATTTGGGACAACCGCGGATGCAAAAGGGTAATGCTACATCGACTTTTCCACACTTTCCAATGTCATTGTTGTGTCGTTGAGTAGATTCCCCGCTTCATTTGCCTTGGTTTCGCCAATTAGACCCTCAGAATCTACACTGTGAGCAAGAAACCTTTGCTGAACTCTTCACCACCAGCATTGCGTTAGTAATACAGGAGAGATTCAACCAACAAATGCACGGCTTAAAGAGTGAACGAATGGTCAACGGTTGGGTGCAGCCATCCGATGTCACGGTCGAAGCCTTCGAGCTCCTAGCAATCATAAACTTCGAAATTTGATGCAAGGAGCCATGAGATATGCAGTGTAAATGCAATATATTCAGAGTACTATTCTGCTTGACTGAGTAATTTCAATCCGAATCTAAGCTGGCTAAGAAACTCGCCGAAGGAGCAAAGAATGTGACGCCCGTCAATGGCTTCGAAAAGTCAAGAATGCGATCATGCAACCCAGGCGGCTCTCCAACAAACATGCGCTCCATCATCTTCTCAATAACCCAGAGGCGGCGCGTATAGCCGATAAAGTAGGTTCCGAACTCTCCCGAGCCAGGAGATCCGAACGGCATATTATCACGCAGGATATCATGCTCGTTCCCTTGATCATCCTCGATCGTAGTAAGCGTCTTATGCGAGCGCTGTCCAGACTCTGCATCGTCCAGCTCGACATTATCAATCTTCGTTCGGCCAATGACCTTCTCCTGCTGTTCAGTAGAAAGATCTTTCCATCCGGGTAAATCGTGCGTGTACTTTTGAACAACAATATAGCTTCCACCCTGGACAGACGTGTCTTCCTCCGCGACAAGAACCGAAACTGGAACAGCCGGACCGACGGGGTTGGCTGTACCGTCGACAAAACCCAGGAGGTCGCGCACGTCGAAGTAGCGGAACCCGACTGTTTCATCCACGAGCTCGACAGAGTCCCCAAGCTGATCCATCAACTGTCTTTCAAACTCGAAGCAGATGTCTCGGCGCTCGGCGCGAATATGGAAGAGTAGATCGCCTGGTGTAGAGACAGCTGTGTGTTTGGCACCCTTGACCTCCTTGAACGGGTGAAGCTCCGATGGGCGCGGCTGGCCTGTGAGACTATCCCATATTTCACTGCCGATGCCCACTGTGCAGGCGAATTGGGAACTGAGGTCTCGGATTGAGACATTCTTCGCTAGACTGTCTAGACCTGCAAGTGTCGAACGCACTGTTTGAATAGAGCCTGGCTTTTTGGTGACCGTCACGACGAGGAAGGTCGCGCACGAAGTCAGAGGTGCATCGACGCGCTGAGGCTCGATCGGTACACGCTGGCTGCTCATGCTGACTCTAGGCAGTTGAGGAGATTTCTGGTAAGGGATGCGGGGTAAGAACGACCGGCGACACTTTGCTTGAGTCGAAAGTGATTTATGGGCAGCCTCGTCGAGTCTGAACGGGCTGCTAGCTGTAATTCGAACGGTAGGATAGATCCGAGCTCGAATTGAGGTGCTGAAGTCTGTGACGGCGGGAGTCCCAACTCTGCGCATGGTTATGCTACGTCGAGGGTCTTTTTTGAGACTAAGAAAATGGCCCTGGAGGAGCATTGGCCCAGATTGCTTATTTCGAGAAGATCATGATTGGTTCATAGTTTCTACCATGCGGGTGGGAACTTATCTGCGAATGAAGCAAGTCGATGATGCATCACTCGATGATGAGATCAGACCGCAAGCGGATCAGCCCCACATGGGGTGATTGTCCTTCCCTTTTGGGTAATACTATTTTTCGTCAAGTCAAGTCAAGTCAAGTCAAGTCATTGTTATTGTTATTGTTATTGTTATTGTTTTTATTTTGTCTAGTTCAGGGGGGTAAATATTTAATATCTTTGAAGACTACGGGAGTGTGATTTTCAAACTGTGGCTGCTCGTAGAAATGGCATGATTTCACAAATGGCGCCCATTCAACGTGACACATAACCACCATCCACACTCAACGCAGTTCCAGTCACAAACGAACTCCGACCCCCAGACAAGTATAGGACCCCATCGGCAATCTCTTCTGGCCGGGCCATCCTCTCCATAGGAACCGCTGTACTAACACGCTCCATCATCGCCTTCAGGATCTCAGGCGACTTAGTCGTGAGAGGGGTCTCGGTGTATCCAGGGCAGATCGCATTAATGCGAAGTCCCTTGTTTGCATAGTCCTCCGACGCGGTGCGAGTCAGACCAATAACTGCATGCTTAGTAGTCGTGTACGCCGTTGACAGGGTAATGCCGACCAGGCCCTGAATAGAGGAGAAATTGACAATAGAACCCCGCTGCAATGGCCTGCCGTCAATAACAGAGCGAATAGGCTCCTGCTTCAACATAATTCTCGCTGCAGCGCGCAGGACATAAAATGTTCCATTGAGGTTGACGTCTAGAATGCGTTGCCAGTCTGCTGTCTCCGCGAAAGCTGCACCGCCGAGATGCTTCATTGCGATTCCGGCGGCGTTAACGACATAGTCAAGGCGACCAAATGTCCTCGCGGCCTCATCGACAACTTCATCGACGCGCTTCTCGTCGGCGACGTTGGTGGGGTAGATCTCGACTCGGCAAGGCTTGGTGTGGCCCAACTCGCGTTGCTTTTCTTGGATCTCGGACTTGACTTTCTGGAGTGCTGCTTGGCTTAGGTCCAGGAGGGCAATACCGGAAGCACCGTCTCTGACAAATCCCAGAGCGCATGCTCTGCCAATACCTGATGCGGCGCCCGTGATCAATGCGATGCCGGAGATATCCATTGGAGCGGTCAATCTGAATCGCGGAGATTTCGGGTTATAGAGAGTATTAGAAGTTGTAGAAGATAGACGGGAGATTCAATGATGATTCCATAATAAATTGGGGCATTACCGAGCAATAAGTAAATCGTGGTGGGTTGGAAGTATACCAACTCCGATGTGGGGTTGTCGCGGAAGCCTGCCTAAATGGATTGCGGCCTTATCGATCTATTACATGTATCGCCATTATCGCTCTTGTGCGTCATAAAAGATAGGTCTCTGATATATAGGTTGTCATAAGCTGCGGGGAAGCGCATGTGATTGTCATTCGAGACTGATATGAAAATGGGTCGGTTTCTATTGAGATATTAGTGTACGTGGATAGGGAGATGAAGATAGAGGAAATCGCTTGAATATATTAGATGTTATAGGAACCGCTTACTAAAATATAGATAGATCTTCGATAGTATAAGTCATCAAAGTAATTATAGCTGCGGCTGTAACGACCCCGATTTCTTCATCATATCCAACCAAGTAACACTACTCCCGTTCGCACGTCGTTTCTCCTGCCAGATCTTCTCCACCGAATCCAATGTCCGAGTAAAGCAAGAAAGCCCACTACGTTGGCCCGAGATCTCAAACCATGCGGAAAATGATTCTTGCACATTTGTATCTTCCGCTTCGCTCGCTGCGATGAAAGCAGGCCAGATAAAACCAGCAGAGCCATGAATAACACTGGAATCGGCATATTCGCATTGAAGTAAGCAATCGCGAACACTAGCGACTTTTTCTTGCAGCATAGATGCATCGAGGTCATAAATGCGGCGGTAGAAATAAATAGCTAGTGCATGGCGCATTGCTTCCAGCATGCTCTCCAGAATTTGCTGGTCGACAGAGGACTGTTGGCTCGAGAATGCAACTGTTTCTGGAATGTGCTTTGGAAGCTCATTGATATATTCTTCCAAGGCCTTTGCGCGGCTGATATAGTCCTTCAAGCCAAGGCTACCTGGAATATTTTTCTCGGCGCCATCTTTCTCAGTGCCGAGCCTGATAACCAGTGACAAAAGAAGGAGCCATGGTTCTGGGATACCAAATATCTCAGGATAGAGGGTAGCAGAAAAATGCCCAGGTCGTTCAAGATGGAGGTCGTTTTCGCCTTCTTCTCTGTCTCGAACGCGAAGCATCTCCAGGTGAAGATTCTTCCACTTGTACAGGCGAAAGGATAGACCGTCGACGCTAGCTGGTGCAAGGCCGCTAGACTCAATTGCGCGACGGACATGTCGGCGCTGAGTTGAGTTGGCGCCGCAGATGAAAATGCTCTCGTGGAACATGCGCTCGAAGACATAGCAATGATGGAGAAGACGAACTTTGCGGGACTTTTTGCGCTTCAGACCTTTCATACGGATGAACTTTTCCGCTTCAAGAAAGTAGCCTTCTGCTTGATTGCGATTGCCACACAAATTGGAAAGTTGTACCATGGTGAGAATTGCCATCAAAATGGACTTGTATTTGGCTGGTTTGGGGATGTCGTATGCTGTCAATAGCATCATTCTGGCGTAATTCTGTGCCTGTCGGAGGTATGTGCGTCCTTGGTTGAGCCACGATTGGGACTGAGAAACACCACTGAGGCTGAATGCGCTGATTGATAGAGTCCCGTAAAAGGCACATAAACTGGCATGGTTCATCTCTTCTCCAAGTGCCAGTGCAGCCAGGCAGTCTTTCGTATGGGGTATGAAAAGTATATGCCAGGGGGTCTTCTTGTGTCGTACAGGCGTCATAAGACTGATGACTGTCGAAGAGTAATGTTTGAGAAGGAAAACTGCGTCCTGTGGGATGGCGTTGGATGAGCCTGGAGCAGAAGTAAAGGATGTAGGAGAGATGGGAGGATTGCAGTAGTTTCCCGGCATGAATGACCTGATTTGATAGCCTTGTGATGATGAGGGCGCTTCGGCGATTCGACTTTGATCCATTATCATTTCCAACAAGTCTGGAGATCTGGGCGTAGTACCCTGCTCGGGCTGTTCGAGAAGGGATTGGATGAAGTCTGGCGACCACTGCGATATCTCAGGGTCAAGAGGGAATGGGTCTGCCATTTGGACGACATCCTGTGAGGGGCTGCTATTGCGGCTGTCTTCTGACTCCACGAGTGGCAGAGGATCCAGGAGAGATTCAATCTGAGTTGTATCATTTTGGCACTGTTGCACTCTAAAGACCCCGAACGGACCAAGAGATAATTGGATCTCATCAGGTGCGGCTGCTCTCTCGCCCTCTTCATCGATCTGAGATAAAAGTCGTTGGGTTGATGCAGGCGGCGCGATCGATACCAGCCACTGACTCATGCGCTGGCGCTCCTCCTCAGTCAACAGAGGCCGACGGAAACGAATCTTACTACCATTATTCTTGGAATCAAAGAAGATGTCTTTCTTGTACCCGGCGCATGGTAAGCCGAAGTAGTGGCACATGGAACATGTCGGACGGCCCTCGTCGCATTTCACATGGCGGCTTCGACACTGGGATCGATCAGAATTGATCATCAGCCGGGATATTGGACTCACCGTTGAACATCCTGTAAATGCCCGTGTGTGTGATTTCACCTCACGCTCGACACGAGCTGCCATATTTGCAATAGCAGAATAGGCGATGCATCTAATGCACCTCTCTCGCCTTGCGGGGGAAGCGATAAGAGTGGGTTGTGGATCCCCGATAGCGCTCACTTTCCCGATTTATATGTGCGCGCTGCCTTTCCTATTTCGTCTATTGTATCTATACTCGCTTGCATAGAATGCCGATCTTGAAATATATCAACCCCGCGATGCTGGGTAGTTGAAATATTAATTTCACGCGATAGCCGGACATCAGATTTCATTACATAATAGCAAAACACCACAATGGCATCCTTTGAAGGCAAAGTGGTGAGGAATGAAATCTTGCAATCGACTATGATAAGACAAAATAATAACGAGGATGGATTTGATTAGATCGCGATCACCGGTGCAGCCTCCGGCATGGGCCTCGCCACTGCTAAACTGATAGCCTCGCGCGGTGCGATCGTATCCCTCGCCGATATCAACGAGTCCGCTATGAAGGCAGCGACCGAGTCATTGACGGGCAGTGACAAGCACATGTACACGGTCGTGGACGTGCGTCATAGTCATTCAGTTGATGCATGGATCAGGTCTACTGTCGAAAAGCTGGGAAAGCTGGATGGCGCAGTAAACATGGCAGGAGTCATCAGCCCGGCAAAACCGATTACCGAGGAAACAGATGAGACATGGAACTTCAATTTCGAAGTGAACGCGCGGGGCGTATTCTTCTGTCTTAGAGCGCAGTTGAGAGCCATGGGCGACGGAGGGAGCATCGTGAGTGTTCACAACTTGTTCAAGCTTATTACGCTAATCATTGGGTAGGTTTCAGCTGCGAGTGTCTTCGGCCAATTTGGATCTCCTGGCGTATCTCCGTACTGTGCCAGCAAGGCAGCTGTCATCGGGTTATCGAGAACCGCGGCAAAGGAGAACCAGAAGATCCGTGTTAATTGTGTTTCCCCCGGTAGGTCTTTGTGTTCCATGGTTGAAAATAAAACAGTGTTCATATTAAGCATAGGCTCCGTCAATACGCCAATGTCTCAGGGCGAAGACCCCGAAGATGTCAAGCGTGGTTTGCAGGTCACGGCCCAGAAGCGACGGGCTGAGCCTGTCGAGGTGGCTAACGTTATCGCATTCTTGCTGAGCGACGAAGCATCCTTTGTGACCGGCGCAGTCTATAACGTTGATGGTGGCTGGGTTTGTTAATTGAATCGCCAAACCTTGACAATCATGTAATATTATGAGCCATTTATAGGCGCCGTAATACTCATGTCACCGCACTTGCGCACTGTATACTCGACCAAAAAGCCAGGTAGATAAATAGCTCATTGATATGTTGGTTCTCCAAACAAGAATCAACATATTGGAACAAATTCCAGAAAGACATCATAATGTAGTGTCAATAAGTGACGGTGTCAGGAAGACGTCTTCGAAAAGATAGGTGAATGGAAATGTGGAATTGAGCACGGCCGAATTCTCATCATGTAGAAACCGTCCATACAACGAAGTGTCTCCCTCTGGAGCACGGACAACATCCTCACTAATAATTGCAGGGTCACCTGTTTGCTGGGTCGGTTGCGAACAACACAGTTCATCCTTCTCGCAGTCCGAAAAAGATACACCAGAATATCGCCTGAACATTGATGTGAAAAAAGGGTAAACCGATGCAATGATTGGCCATGAGGCCCGTAAGTCTTTGAGAATGAGCAAGCAAAAACGTGCTCGATGCTCTGAAATCGATTTGACTTGTGTGTCTCCTTTGCTGGTGTTCACGATATGGAAACAGACTGACGCCATTACGGCGGGGAGCCTATATAGAGAACAGATCAGTGGTTCTCCTTGCCTTGTAATTGAATTCAAACATACGCATGGCCAGCAACGGAAAACAAATTACCGCTCGTCGCCAAGTCCTCAAGCATGCGGAACAATCTTGTGCATATTTCAAATATGGGAGAGCCAGGGCCCATGTTCTGTGCAGCGTCTGGGCACTTCCGATGGAAAAGAAGTTGATATTGGCTGTTGGAATGGTGAGTGGGTAAATAAGTGAAGTAATGTTTCGAGACGTTACAAACACGAAACTTGAAGAGATTGGGAAGCGGACGTACTTGTAAGTCAGTTGAATCAATATGGCCCACACACTTCCGCTCGAAGACGTAAATTGTAATTCGGACGGAAGCAGTGTGGACCAATATGAGATTCGCTCAAGAAAGTTGTTCGGTGAGAGTGTAGTCCCTCCACATGGCTGCAAAGGATGGCAAGTGTTCACTGCGGACTCCTTTAGCAACGCTACGCCTTGAATGGACCAGTAAAGAAGATCACAGGACAGCTAAAAAGACTTAGCAAGTTCATACCTGTTCTAGCAAGTTGAACGTAATGTATCACGAACAAAACTTGCTCGTGGACTGTTTTTCCAAAAGAATCATTCAGATTGGGGCCCGATGGTTCTTTGAAATCATCCTCTGTAAGTGTCGATATTTCACAAAATTTATCTTGTAGATGCGGTACCCTATCGAGACACATAGACAGGTTGACGTCCGCGGCCTGCACGTGGGTAATTTCAGCTAGGGTTTAACAAGCAAGCGTCGATAATTTGCACAGATAGACACGGACATAAATTATCCACCATAACCTTCGCCATAGCCTGCGATGTCTCAATTGAAGGTGAGAATACGATTTCCTGAAAAGTATTAGCACACCTCCGGCCATTCGCACAAGCTCTGGGTTATATTACGTACAATCTATCCATACCAAGTAATTGCGCCATTCCTGCCGTTATACCCAGCCAATACCATGGGTCTTTCTGTTCGAGGGGATCACTCCACCAATGGGAAAGAAGGAAAGTGGCTTGTATGACCACAACTGCATCAGTTTCATAGCCTGTATCATAAATATCTTTAGCTCGATTGTAGAAAGTGAGGCTGGCCACATAGCGGGTTGCAAAACCAGCTTCGTCAATGACCGAATCAGGGCAGTAAATAGTGGCAACCATGTATATCGCATTCAACAACAAATGTGGCACTGTGCCTGTTTCAATACTTTTCATGAAATCAGATCGCTCAATGACTGACAGCGAAGGAAAAGGGTGTTGGAAAAAGGCGTTTAGTAGAGCAGCGCTTATATCTCCCGACGGCAGGTCGAAAGCTCCTTCATTTTTGAGCCTCCCGATGGTAGAGCTTCGAAGTCCCTCGACATGCTCTATTGTCGGTGAACCGAGCCACTCTAACATGGCTCTACGAAGGTACTCTTCGATAGGCAGGACGTCCGTGGCGTTTTGACCTGGGTAGCCAAATTCTCGAATGAGATAATTGATGTTAGATGGGTCGGTCACATAAGGAGTTCTGCCGCTGGACCGAAGGGCTGGTAGAGACGACATTGAACCTGTTCCGGTATCGCTAAGTCTGACATGAGGTCCTTCATGGTGCTCTCGTCGACTATCAAGGCGCTCATTGATTCTAGAGTGAGTTGGCCCGGCATCTCCAACGGTTGACGAAGCCGGCACGTTCGGCAGCACAGGCTGGGTTGAAGTGGTGAGCACGTCAGCGAACGGCAGTTTCCGGTGTCTGCCAGAATGGTTTAGCCCAATTATCCACCATTTGGAGGGAGCACATACCGTCCACGGCGGGAGAGTATGGGTTCACAGTTGATTCGGGCAGTCCGACACTGAGAACAAGACTTGCCTTCACTTCGGTCGCACCTAACTCGTCGCTTATGACATCGCCGGCAAGCAACTTTAGCTGGAATATTTTGCGGCATGTCAGTCGGGCAAGTTTGGATGCAGACACGCTTCATGGGCACAGTAGCTGTCCGAGGACGCAATCGCGGAAATTCCATAATTGTCAATCTTCGCGCCTCAGGCTGCGAAGCGCCCCACGTAATCGCCGAATTTAGACATAATTGATTGGTTGATACATAGCTGCCCCACCAAGTCGCCGAATTTCACTTTCTCCAATTGGTTCTGCTGTCTATGAATGAAGTAACCAAGTAATACTTAAAATGAGGAATAATAACTCGACACAATCCTAAGTCCTTCTACTGCCACTTCAGGGGAACGCATCTGTGCAAAAATATGTTTACCTGCCCAAGAATCCTGTCACAAGTCAGACTACCTACCCGAATATCATGTCAACCACCTTCATCATCGTCGGCATCTAAATGTCTTTCATCAATAAGACCGACAGCTTCTCGCTGGGTTAGCATGGGTCCGGGGCATACACATCTATCGAGCAAGTCCAATGGGGACCTGCAAGCACGACAAAAATTGCATCCCCCTTCCACGACATTCAAGAGCGAAAAGTCAGGAGCGATCGGCTATATGCTGTAGGTCTAGTCTGCCTAGCCGCTATTTCGACTGGTATGCTAACAAATCCCTCACAAAGAGCAAAATCCGACCAGCTTGTGAATTGGGGCAGACAAGGGTCCCTATGGCCATTGACCTTCGCATTAGCCTGCTGTGGCGTCGAAATGATGGGGGCATCGATGCCCAGATACGATCAGGACCGACTAGGAATCATCTTTCGCGCATCACCGCGTCAGTCCGATGTTATGCTAGTTGCTGGTACGGTATGCAACAAGATGGCACCCGCATTGAGGCAGCTTTATGACCAAATGCCAGACCCGAAATGGGTCATCAGCATGGGAAGTTGTGCGAATGGAGGCGGATACTATCATTACAGCTATAGTGTTGTGCGCGGAGTGGATCGCATCGTCCCAGTCGATATTTATGTGCCGGGATGTCCGCCCACTCCGGAGGCTCTGTTGCAGGGCATCTTTCTGTTACAGAAGAAGATGCGAAGGACTCCCGTGACAAGGATGTGGTACAGGAGATGAGAGATTATAGAAAGTTCAGATTCTACATAATCCACTAGTTCAATTGCTATTTTTAGCACCCTGGTCAGACCCCTTGCGCGCTGAGAAAATCAAAGATCATCTTGAACGCCTTTGGGGCCACTTTGTGCAGATTGAGACTGTGCCTAACCTTCAATGTTAGTGGGAAGTTCAAAACTCATATCACGAAAGAACATTCCGCACTCACCCGGCAGGAAGGTCATCCACCCACTCAACAGCTTTGGAGCCAGGGAACATGGCTGCAGTAGCATCAAGTAGGCCCACGCAATTTCCGCCACATGCAGAAACGTCATATTGACCCTGCAGAATGTATACCGGAGCAGTTATACTTGTGTAGTCGAGGGTGGTATTCAACAGCGACGGAAGCTCGCCCACAGCAAAAGGCTGAGTCGAGACCTCAAACGCCCACTTAGCTATCGAGTGATCGAAATAAGGGCTGGCAAAGTAGATGTATGTTTCGGAATATAGATCAGCGGTACTGATATAGGCCGAGTCAAGATCTCCCCAGCGAGCGGCGTCCAATGTGTTGGCTACACGCAAGTTGGAGCCGGCGAGGAACGGCCCGAAGTAGGTGAAAGTGCCCGTGAACCCTGTCAGCACTAGGGCGTCAACATCAACCTGACTGGCGGAGGCGGATGAAATATATGAGCCGTAGCTATGGCCGATGAGCGCGACTTTGGAGATGTGGGGAATCTTGCGGGCGTATTCCACTATTTTATTCAGAACGGCTGTCTCGACTTGGAACTGGGCGTCTGTGAGCCCATTCACCCTGAATTTGTTGTGTGTCAATTTGGCTAGAGTTTAGTCACTTTTGAAGCTGGCACATACTTGGAAGATGAACCCACGCCGATTCGGTCATAGCTCAGTACCGAATACCCAGCTTTGACAGCAGCGTCAATGAAGCTATATTTTCCTGCACCAGGCAAGGAGGGATCCCAGTAGCTAGCACGGAAATTTCATAAGCATTTCACAGGTATCCACCGGACTGTGGCACATACAGCTTAGATTCTAAAATGCCGTGCGTAAGCACCAGCATAGTCTCTCCAGTTCCGCAAAGCGTGGCTCCGATCATATAGGTGTTTTCCTCATCAGCAGTCACATAGTTGAGGAGTGAGAGTGGATCGGCCGATGTACCTAAATCCCGTCGTGTGAGGTTGAATACCAGATCTACTACGTCCCAATCATTTTCGACGGTGGCGTTGATGATAAAGCGCGGCACGGTCACGGGGATGGGGATATTCAACTCGCGACAGGACGCTCTAGAAGAGGGCAAAGCCCAGCTACCAGCAGCTGAAATTGCTAACAGTAGGAAAGAAGCGTGCATGACGGCAGAAGGGTAGAGGACCAGGAAGATGAGAAGTTGATCTGTAATGAGAAATTATTCTTCGTTCGACCCGGTGGTATTTATAAATGCAGGCATACTGAGCAATAGCTCTAATTATTGATTAATATATCAAGCGCACTATAAACAAACTGTGCAATGTGCAGCATTGGCATGTATAGTTCTCCATTCTCATACGTGTGGCACGGGAATTTTTGGTAAGCACGGAATTCGCCGAGCTCGCCGAACTCCCGGTACCCCTTGGGAAGATGCATCAGCACAAAGAATCCAAGCTCTTGAAGACGTTGTAATTTCCAATATTCAACACTGCAAATCCAAAGCGGTCAATTACCGAATTTCGATGGGGGATCATAAATGAGAAGCCAATCCTAATGAGAGGTGGAGGCGAGCAGCTGCATGATACACACAGAGGGGCTAAAAATACAAGCTGATGTCATTTTTTAGTGAATGCCACCGGTTAGTAATCACCAAATTTACATCGTGAGGTGGAGTCTAGGGTGTCTTCGCTAACATCAAAGACTTGGCAAAAATTCGTGAGTAGTGAGCACTTGAACAAAAGGGGAAAATGAATAGCTGGGCAGACAGGCGTTGGGCCGGAGGACGACTATTCATAAATATGGAACTGAATTTACTTCGAATTTTGATCAATTGCTTCAAAAATAATCATATTTTTGATCAATCGCTGTGCATTAAAGTGCAATAAAATGAATTGTCTCAGATGGATACTAACTTGACTAGATATTAGATGTCCGGGGTGTCTTCGCAAAAGTAAAGCCCTTCCACCCAGCCTCCTTGCACTCAGCACATCTCCGACGGTACTCAACCGCAGACCCTGAGTAGCGCGCCACACTGCGAGCCGTCTTTCCCTTGATGTTCTTATTCACACCAGTCATCCAACTATCCACTTCGTTAGAAAGAGACCCCTTGCTGCACTCCACCACATGCTCGGTCCATTCGTCAACAGCCTGCTGCGTTGGCTCAATATACGAGTAATTGTTATCCTTGCAGTATTGCAACAAGTCAAGAACCACAGAAACAGCATGCTCAATTGTCCGGGGCGCATTGCCAAATGGCTGGTGGGGACCGAGCACCATGAACATGTTGGGCATAGAGCAGGCTGTCAGGCCGAGATAGGTCTGCGGGCGGTGATCAACCCAGACAGCTTTCTCGCCCTGCTTGGTGCCACTGGATCCTAGAAGGGGATGGCCTTCCTTGGCGTGCCACTCGATGGCACTAAAGGCTCCGGTGATGGCGTCGAAGCCAGTAGCGTAGATCAAGACGTCAAGATCATGGTGTTTTCCATCAGATGTCTGAATTCCTTTTTCGGTGATCTTCTCAATAGGGGTTTGTTGCAAATCCACCAGGTGGACATTGGGCTTGTTATAAACTTCGAAGTAGCCACTTTCGAGTGGCACACGCCGCGTACCGAAGCCGTGGCATTTAGGAATGAGACTCTCCGCCACCTTGGGATCGTGGACACGCCCTCGGATCTTGTTGGCCATGAAGTCTGAGTAGAGTTTGTTGGCTTCGCGATTTGTGTATGTGTCGCTGAATGTACCCAGCCACTTGGCAAATCCAGGTTTGGCGTAGATATCTTCCCATAGAGCGAGACGCTCTTCAGGAGTTACTTCCAGGGACTTGCGCGGGTCAGCCTGGTGCAAGAAACAGCTGGGAGTCTCATGGCAGAGTTGCCACAAGGCATCGTAGTTCTTCCAGTGCTCTTTCATTTGCTCTAGAGTAATTTCTTCATTGCGTAGAGGTGCAGACCAGTTGGGAGTTCTTTGGAAAACTGTCACAGATTGAACACTGGGCTCGTTCGAACACGCAGTAATAGTCTGAATTCCAGTCGCTCCGGTGCCGATGACGCCAACGCGCTTATTGGCAAAATCACGGCTGATATTAAGGTTTTTCGGCCAGCGAGAAGTGTGAAAAGCTTCGCCCTTGAAGGTCTCGATACCAGAAATTGCAGGCAGGGATGGCGAAGACAAGAATCCCATGCAGCTGATGAAAAATCGGGTCTGATATTGAGCACCTTTTTTGTCCGTAAACAGCCAAGTGCGGTCACTATCTTGCCAGTGGGCAGACTTGATACGGGTCTCGAATTGGATATCCTTGGCTAAATTGTGTTTTTCGGAGACGCGCTCGATATACTGGAGAACATCCGCCTGGGCCGCAAAAGAATCTTTCCAATACCATTCGTCCTGCAGCTCTCTGTCAAAGGAAAAGGCATAAGATAGAGCCTCAGTGTCGACACGGGCACCTGGGTAGCGGTTCCAGTACCAGGTACCACCGACGCTGTCGGCGGCCTCAAGAACTCGAATACGCCAGGTAGGGAAGCGCTTGCGTAAATGGTATAGACTACAGACTCCGGAGAGACCGGCGCCAATAATGATAACATCGTAGTTTTCGACTTGAATTGAGCCCATGGCAAGTTGTTCAAGAGTAGACTGTGTTAGGTTGATGTTAGATTGTGCGGATTGTCTACTCTAAGTCTTTATAGACTACGGCCTTCGATCGAACATGCCACGCATATTGCGTGTGATCATCGCAAGTATCACAGGTGAAAGAAAGCATCGGCGAAACCTGCTTGTTGATTGTCGTATCTTTGGTTTATCTCGGTGTTTCCCCGCGCTGCTCCACGTGACGGGTGGGCTTTCCCAAAAGATCAAAAACCATTAAGATAGGAAGTTCTAGTATGAACAAAGAGATTCAGGTTTCAGCCATAGAAGTTAAGATATCGGTCTTCGATTTCAGATATAATTTTTGAGTTATATAACTTCTCGATAGTACAAGGAAGACTCAATCTTATTCCATGCATCGGTGATCAACTGTCATACACATAACATAGGAAGATTCTATTAGAAAGGGAAGAGGAATGGATCCACTCCGGATTGGCCATCAGTGAGATATTCCTCGGTCCACGGGGCAATTCCACCGTCCAGTATATCCATGACCGCCAGATTTGCCGGGTCCCACGGGCCACCAAGGCCCGAAGCGGCGAGCGGCACCATGTCGTTCATTGACATGGGTGTACTTTCAGTAGCACTATTTGGGGCAAAATAAATTTGATCCATTCCAGGGAGCCCATTTAACCCCTGGAAGGAAGTGTTAGGATGTTGCTGATGTTGCTGAACTCTTCGTGGGGGTCTCTCAACTGCGCGAGCGCGAGCACGTGCTGCGGCAGCGGAAATTGAGGTATTAGTCGAGGGAGAAGTAGACGTAGATGATTGATCCTTTTCGTGAAGTGCTGTTCGAGCCATGCGGTAAATCGCAAGTGGGTTGAGCACGTTTTCTGGGGATTCTTGAACTGGGGATTCTGGAGCAGAGGGTGATTCTTCACTTTCATGAGAAGGCCTTGCGTTCATTGCTGTTCCATAGGGCATCTGGGGTTGGATACCTGCGGCTGCCATCATCTTTATGACAGAGAGATAACAATGCTCGGCCGTAGCAACAATTGCTCTCATCTGTAGGAGTGCTTCCAGATTTTTTTGCACCAAAGTAACTGTCGCGTCAACTTCATTCTGACTCATTCTGTGCGATGATTGCCGATTCAACTTCAGAAAGTGCAGCATGACCTTAGTGCTGTCGTGAGCAATGATGCATAGCCATGTGTCTGCCAAATTTTTGATTCCATGCCTCAAGGCCTCGCAAATAATACTCGAGACTTCGCGAGCATTTTCAAAGCAAGCCCTTCGACAATTTTCAAGGAACTCTTGTTGATCTGGTGGGAAGGTGATATCTTTCTGGATACGAAACAGTATCGGCATTCCAATGCGGTAAAGATCGACCAGTGTCTGGTGATAGGTGCACCAGAGCAGCGTCAAGGCACCAAGCTGTGATGATTCTTTACGAGCATAGATGGCACCGGGGCTCCACATTAGGCTCTGAGGGAGATTGTGTCTCCAGTGATCGAATTCCATGGTCAGCTGAATGAACTCCGAATCCGATTGCCAAGGCGGTTTTGAAGTGTCTAGCTGCTTGACGTAACTGCTCGCGAATTAGACAAACATTGATAGAAGCCTCAGATTATTACGAACCGTAGTACTTTCTTTCTGCTACTCACAAGGCGGATAAAGTAGGCTTCTATGCCCATGTTTTGAGCAGGAAATGAAGGAACATCGTCTCTGGATATGAAGCCGAGGACCTTCTCTTCTTCGAGAGTCTCCGTAATGCAAGGAACACCCAACGAAAAGTTATGACTGTGGCAGGGAAGCTGGATCTTAAGATCCCGATCTTCCAGTAATGTAAGCTGATTGACGCCACTGCCAACCCAGCTGTCCATGACATAGCAGCTCCACATTGACCTTCGTCTAGCTTCATTATCAACTGGGGATGACTCTGATTTGGCACAAAGCACATCGGCAGAGTTTTCCAAGTTCAACTGCAGTGCCTGTGACATTCTCGCCGTAATCCCGCTTAACATGAAAGCACTTGCATAGCTTCCGATTCGAAGATCATGATCGTAGAGAAGGATTGCGGCCTTGGGTAATCAACAAAATGTTAGTTTGACACCTTATCATGCTTTGATCAAAGGGGTGTCGTACCATCAACTTTTCCATGGACAGATCATCCAAGTCCACAAATATCCGCGCCTTCGCAATTTTGGCCCACTGGTTTCCAGCCGTCAAAATCGCCTCAGAAGATAACTGAGAGGTATAGTTAAGAGCAAGGAACCTGCATAAATGTCAGCATAGCCCTTTGAATCAGACCAAACAACGTACTTTGCTCCAAATGCGCAGATCATATGGAGAAGTGATTCATTGTTCCGATATTTCTCTACATCTTCGTCCAGTTGTTGCATGAAAGACGGCTTATGCACAAAGCCAAAACATCTCAAGGGATGTATGTGGGCAAAATACTCCTCAATCAACATCCAAAGTCTCTCTCCTCTTGGTAGCTCCGGAGCATGCAGCCATGAAACCGAGCTAGGTAGACTCTCAAAGTCTGGTGACAACGCTGTCTGATTATATTGTTCAGAGGACCTGCCAATCGAAATGCCGAGCCCAATATCACTGGAAGTACTGGTGCGCCGCGGGGACTTTCGTCCCTCTTGCCTTCGTTCTGAAATGTAAACACACTTCACACCTCTCCTTGAGCAACGTGAACAACTTGACCCTCCGGAGCATCTTGATTTTGCAACGCGGCATGCCTGGCAAGATTTAGATACTCGCTGGCGTAGAGTGCCTGCCTGAGTGAATTCCGTGCCACGATCACTCGATTTACGAGCCTTTGAACGAATAGCTGACCCCTGTCCCGGAGGCCCTGGACAGTCCAATCTGAGACGCTCACAATGCATGCACACTGGCCATGTTTCATCGCATTTCACTTTCCTCGCTCGGCAAAGAGTACATCCTAGGTTTGATAATCAGTTTAATAATGCAGAAAGCAAGAGCCACGCATGTCAATCTAACCTGATCGGGACCTCCTCGGTCCAGACGCATCCCCCTGTCTGGGAACAGGCTGACTGCCATCTCCACTCCACGACATACTGCCGGATGCCGGGAGAATGTCAGAGTGGAAGAGTGCGGCTCTCGCGTGGCGGCACTCGGCAGCGGTGGCCTGTGGCAGAACCCGCCTATTCTGGTCGCCACTGATTAGACTTCGCAACTCCTCTCTTGAGGCGCTCAACACTTTCAAGATATTGCTGTTTTGTGGACCAAGCTGCAGATGGCACCATTGTGCCCCTCATTGACGTACCGTGATCTCAGACGCGACCCCACGGCTGTCGCTAGTTCCCGGATCTCGCCTATACGAGCCGCGCGATTGGTTTGCATTTTCAGTTCTGAACGTGTGGAGTTGACATAAAATCCGGGGCCCCAGACCCTAAAGCTGCAATGAGGTAGCTTGCAGCCATTTTTTTTTGGTTTTCAGGGCCTTCTGCTTCTTGTCGTTATGGGGAAGCTCCCTGGTTTCAGCAATGTGTACCTCATCAGCGGGTTGACGACCGTCGGCGGCCTGATTCAGGGCTTCGACGTGTCAAGCATGTCCGCGATCATTGGTACGGATCAATACAAAACATATTTCAACAAGCCCGATTCAGTCCTTCAAGGCGGTATCACTGCAAGTATGGCGGGCGGCTCCCTTCTCGGATCGCTCTTCTCGTCTTGGACCAGCGACCGGCTCGGTCGACGCGATTCGCTTTTCATCGCATGCATCGTTTGGTTGGTCGGATCGACCTTGATGTGCGCCGTGCAAGATGTCGCGATGCTGATTGTCTCACGCATTTTAAATGGATTCGCTGTCGGCATGTTAACCAGTCAAGGGTATGAAAGCCGCGCCAAGCTTTGTGGGCCTTGCTAACTATACTCGGCTGCTAGGCCGATCCTGATCGCCGAAATCAGCTTGCCTCATCAACGTGGTCGCCTTCTTTCTTTACAGCAATGGATGATTACTTGGGGTGTACGTCAACTTGCCTCCCCAGCTAAACATATCGCCACTAATGCTACGCCAGATCCTGATTATGTATTTTATCAGCTATGGAGCTTCTTTCATGGGGAATAATGGTTCCTTTCGCCTTCCCTGGGGAATCCAGATGATCCCTGCGATTATTCTCATGTCATGTTTACCGATGATGCCCCGCTCGCCCCGCTGGCTCGCTTCAAAGGATAGATGGGAGGAGGCCACTGAAGTTCTTGCACGGCTTCACGCCAAGGGGAACATGCTCGATCCTATTGTGATTGCTCAAACCCAGGAGATCCGCGACAAGATTGAGTAAGTTTGAATTGAAAAACTCAACTGGAAGATGGGTGCGGGTATATACTGACACTGCTGTCAAGGCAGGAACGGCAATATCAAAGCTTGTCATGGCTCGAGCTCTTCAACTCTCGCAATATCGTTCGTGTCCATTGCGCTATCTTCACACATGTTTGGGCTCAAATGACTGGAACCAATGCCATGATGTACTATATTGTCTACATTTTCCAGGTAAGTGGTTGAAGACTTCAGATCTCAACAAAGACTAATTCAAGTCAGATGGCTGGCTTGACCGGCAACCAGACACTTGTTTCTGCTTCCATTCAGTATATTATCAACGTGGTCATGACTCTCCCAGCACTAATTTTCATCGATCGCCTACCTCGGCGCAAACTTTTTATCTTCGGAGCGCTAGGGATGGGTGTTTTTCAATTTATTCAAGCAGGTCTCATGGCTACCTACGGACATTCTGTTCCAGGTGGGCTTGAGGGCTCTCCCACGGTGACATGGAAGGTTACCAATTCCAAGGCATCGAAGGCTATCATTGCATGCTCGTATCTCTTCATCGCAACCTATGCACCGACCTGGGGGCCGCTTGGCTGGTAAGAATTTCTCGAAGTCCCCAATATCTATTTAAAGGTTATTGACTGTTCTCAAAGGGCCTACCCTCCTGAGATCATCCCACTGTACATCCGAAGCAAGGCCGTGTCCCTTGCAACATTCTTCAACTGGGGCTGCAACTTCGCCCTGACATTCTTCACGCCTCCTGGATTCCAGAACATCCAGTGGAGGGTAAGCTATGGCCTCCAATTTCTGATTGAAAAAGCTAACATTGCGCAGATCTACTGTGTTTTTGGAACCCTATGTTTTGTTGCAGCCATTCATGTGTTTTTCCTATTCCAGGAAACCGTTGGCAAGTCATTGGAGGAAATTGATGAAATATTCGAGAAACAGAGTGTCTGGGCTTTCAAGGCTAGGCAAGAGCCCAGTCAGCTTATAGCTGATATCGAGCAGGCTAAGGAAGACATCGGCATTGGCAAAGTCGGTGTGAGCCACGTCCAGACATCCAAGCCTTAATGAGTAGTCCGAACCAATTAGCCTGAATTTATATATTGCATCCACATAGTCCTTATGCCTGTATGTAATCCAGGGGTACGGCCCGATGGAGAAGATAGTTCTGGAGGGGCCTCTACACTTGACTTTTCAAATCCTTCTCGACAACATTTTAGACAACTCTCTCCTATTGCAAGGTTTTTATACCTCTATGTTCTTTTTCCACAACCACACTTTGTTGAATTTCTTCCAAACTCTGAAGACTGCCTATATAGGGTATTATGAAGGCTCTCGCCCTTTAGCTACTTATACACACTAGAACCAAAAATATGTGAGCTGCTAGAATTGACGACGACCCTTGGATCTGCATTACTTGGATGGGTAGTCCAGAGGGGCCTATAGCTGAAAATCTCGAAACTCGGTCAGAAAAGATGTTTTTCCGAGTTTCACTGTTAACAACCTAAACATATCAGTTATACTATGGACATAATTTCACTATCTAATCACTAGAATATTTGCACAAGAAAAATATTTTCGACATCTACTAAGAGTTGAGGCCTCAGATCCTACCCCTATAGGGTAGTTCCAATGTTAGATCTCTCTCTCTCTCTCTCTCTCTGTGTGTGTGTGTGTGTGTGTGTGTGTCAGTGTGTCTCCAGGCTATATCCACATTGATTAACCCATGGATAATTTTGATGAGTCTCAATACTAGAATTATTGTACACTTCGTCACAACCTCGATTCATGCTATATCCATACACTGTCGGTTGATCCATCACGTTATCCAAATATATCACTCCGGCCTCAGGACTCAGGACGTATTTTCTAAGCTGTACAACCACATCACCCTCCTCTGCCAGACTAAACTATACGTAGGCGGTAATCTAAGGGGGCCATTCAGCTTTTCCGACTCTCCGCTAACTAAGTTGCCCTGTGGTGAAAGCACACTGCGAGATTGGGGCATAAGTCTCATCTGGTATAATCGCTACGTGTCCTAAAGAGGTATACCAATTCGTCGAAATGCTTTGAAATCCACTTTCCAGAGAGCGTGATAACTACGGCCTTTTTCACCGCCACGAAGGGCATTGAAAGAACCAAGCACGGCGTTTCTGCCCTTCACAAATCTCGGACTCCGACGCCATGTCGAATCAACTTGTGTATCTTGAATATTTGGCAGAGGCCAACATGTCTGTACCGTCAAATCGAATAATAACGGAATGGCAACTAAATATGAAGCCCGATGGCTAAGAATTGTTGGTTTGGAGGAACATAGATCGACCACGCACTCCGAAATCGTCTGGAGCTCTTCTATTCCCCCCGGATACCGACACCATTCCAGATATTGTTCAATGAAGCAGTCCAGATCATGCGTAGACCATAGCCAGTGGTTTGTTGCAGCATTATGGATCTGGTGGAAGAGCTCAAGTTTCCAGAGGCCTCGATGCGTCCGATAAGTCTCGATCCATGATGGTGGATCAACATCGAATTGGATAAGCTCGCCACCTTTGGGTGGTGGAAGTCTTCTATTCACCCAATCCACAACATTGGCATCGGAAGCCATAGGACGGCGGGGCTCTACGGACTCGAGATGATTGATTAAACGAGCCGTTGAAAGCTTCCTTCACTCGGGGAGATATTTGTTGAAGACCGTCCAAGCTGGTGAAGTCGCAGCAAGATTCGAGAATCTGACAAACAATTTCGGTTGGGAATTTGGCAAAGGGATCCATCTTCGGCGCGATTGATAAATTGATGAATATTGTGAATATCTGTTATTATGTCTCCACTATTCACTTTGGAAAAAGCGACACCCGAAGCGAGATCCGTGCATTTTGCGCCGCGCGCCTTCGCAGTAGCCGAGACCCGTGGCGGATCGAAGATAAGTATGCGGGGAACTGTATTCAATCCTTGAGATGATTTCCAAAGAAGTCTCATGATGGCGAAGAAGAACATTCTTTTGATGATCGCGGATGATCTGGGCAAACAACTGGGCTGCTACGGAAACACCAAGATCCAAACACCTAACCTAGACCAGCTCGCTGCTGAAGGCACCCAGTTCGATCAAGCTTTCACGAGTACCGCATCCTGCAGTGCCAGTCGATCGGTCATTTATACTGGTCTTCACACCCACCAGAATGGACAGTATGGTCTACACAATGGACGTCACCATTTCACCACCTATGACCATGTTCAGACTGCGCCAGCGCTATTCTCTGCGCATGGCTATCACACTGGCCTGATCGGCAAGGTGCACGTTGGTCCTTCTCAAATCTATCCCTGGGATATGCGTGCCGAGAGCGATAGTCGCGATGTTGCTTCTGTTGCGGACCAAGCAGAGGCTTTCTTTGATAGCTCCAAGTCTAAGGAAAAGCCTTTCTTCTTGACCATTGGATTTATTGATCCCCACCGCGATCTTACTCGTTCTGGGTTTGGAAATACTGAAAAGTACGACCCGCGGGTGAAAAAAGTTGAATACAAGTCCGAAGATGTCCAGATCGAGCCTTTCGTCAACGATCTTCCTGGTGTACGATTCGAATTCTCTGAATATTATCAGTCAATTTCCCGACTCGATCAGGGTGTTGGAATGGTTCTGGACGGACTCAAGAAGAATGGAATGAGTGACGACACCCTGATCATCTTCATGAGTGACAACGGTCCTCCCTTCATCAACTCTAAGACAACCCTCTACGACGCAGGCGTCTGCCTGCCGCTCCTCATCAAGTGTCCGGGCACCGACTCCGGCGTGGTAAACCCAAACATGGTCTCCTACGTGGACATTCTTCCCACGCTCCTCGACTGGGCCAAGCACCCTAGCCCTGAACATCCCGCTCGCATAGGCCGCTCTCTACTTCCCATCCTATCCAAATCATCACAGCTAGACGCCTGGAGCCGCGTATTCGGCTCGCACACCTTCCACGAAATCACCAACTACTGGCCAACACGCTTCATGCGCAATCGTCGCTTCAAGTATCACCGCAACATTGCCTGGAGATTGGATTTCCCCTTCGCCGCTGACATCTACGGCTCTTTGACGTGGGAGGATATTCGTAACTCCGAGGCTAGCCCTAAGATGATTGGTTCCCGTCCTCTAAAGGATTACTTCTTCCGCCCTGCTGAGGAGCTGTATGATATCCAGGCAGATCCTAATGAAGTCAAGAATTTGGCTAAAGATCCTGAGTATCAGCATGTTCTGAATGATATGCGGACTGCTACTGAGGTATGGCAGCGTCGGACTGAGGATCCTTGGCTGTATCGTGATGGTGTCTCTATGCTGTTGGTGAGACATCATCTTGGTGCCGGACTGGAGGTTCCGGACCGGTTTGATTTCGATGAGAATGTTCCTGGGAGCAAGGGCCAGCCGATTTTTGATGGTAAGCTTGCTTGGGGTGCAGCGGTTGAGAATTGATTTCTCTACGGGGCTGTTATTTTTCTGCATCTAGGTATTGACGTAGTCTGTGTATTCAATGGAGCTGATTCCAAAGTTGATGTGATTACCTACTTGTATTCATCCACTCTCATGTGCTTATGAGAACCTTGGAAACTCAACATTATTTTGCAAGCTGCTTATCCGTAAAGTAGATCAATCCTCGTTTTGTTTCTTCCTTGCAAGGCGTACCAGTTCCTTGGCAACGGTCTTGTAGGCATTCGTGCAATTTCGAACGAACATTGGCAGTATATCAAGCATGATAGCAATAATCCCATCTATTGCGCTGCAAACCGGACAATTTCGGAATTTTATAACTACCGATCACACTGAATCAAGACGATCCTGGTGCCTACATGTAGGCTTTTTGGCCTCGTAAGGAATCCTCAGTCAGAGATCATGCTATAGATGGATGCGTATAGGCAGTAGACGAGTAGAGACAGATAATAATGTGTAACCCGAGAAGAATCCAAAACACCGATCAAATCGAGAAAAATGGCAGATGACCAACCGAAAGCGCAAACCACCAACCCCATCATCGCCATCAAAATGTATAGTTTCTCTCCTCTCCATTGTGTATAAACGCAACCAAATAACCCCAACGTGATTCATATGAACATGTAAATAATCAAACTTCACCCCAAACGCCGAGGCCAGCTCCGACACCGACACCAATGGCACTATTGCTCTCCACACTGCCACCAATATCCCAGTAGTTCCTACTAGATCCCGTCAGCGTACGATGGCTCGAGACAGCTGATAGCTTGCTCTGGCTCGCGCAGCTGGAGCCGGGGCGGCGGAGATAGGGCCGAACAAGAGGTGACGAGACGCCGACAGGACCGGATATGTGTGACGCGCGGCGAGACTGTGTTTGAGAGCGGGAGTGTGCGCGGGCGACGAGGGGGTGGTGTTGACGGATGATAGCGGCTCGACGGGAGGGGTCTTGAGTATGGCGTGGCGAAGGGTTTGAAGTGAGTTTGTCGTTGGACATGTACCCACGGCGACTGAAGCGCGTGCGCAGGTAGCGGAAGACCATCATGACATCTAGGCCGTGTTCCCAGTATTCTTGTTCTTGTTGGGCGCGAGTAGACTCGGAGACTGGGTCGGGGCCGGGTAAGTCGTCTTCTTCAATGCCCCACTGTGCTTCATGTTCACGATTCGTGTCACGAAGTGTAGGCATGAAGTGCGGGGATGGCATGGAGTCTGCTGTTGTATTTGCGGAGGTTTGAGCGGTAGACTCGGATTTCTGCAGGATATTGCTCTCTGCCAGCCGATTGAGCGGCATGCCTGCATACTCGCTCGAGACGTCCTTGGTCATCTGGTAATAGGTAGAGAATGCACCTGGGTGCTCGCAGAGCTGATGGACCAGAATACCCAATTCGTGGGCGATTCGTTGAAGGACGCGAGACTGCCACAGAGGCGACTCTCCTTGTTCCGGCTCTGGTTCCCGCGCCAGCACAGTCTCCATGTTTAGATCTTCGGAGTTCTCCTCGTGAGGTTCTGCGTCCAGCGGCAGAGACTCGCCAAAGATAATGGACAGCAAGTTCTCGTCGATACCGATCAGATCGCGAATGACTTTCCGCGTGATGCGTTGCCAGAACGACTCGTCAATCTCCAACTCGCCTTCCGGCGCAGCTTCCTCCTCCAGAGAAGAATCTGCGATATTAACCGGGGAAATATAATCTATAGAGCGGGGAACGTTTGACTGGCTTCCACGACTGGATCTTCTCCTCTGGGTCTCGCGTTCGATTTCCTGCATCAACGCCCGGCTTTGGTCCATCCTCCATTGCTCGATTCGCTGCCATCGGTCCTTTTCGACGTTCGTCTCACCCTCATCGACCGTGTCCAAGTGTCGTTGGACACTTGAATGACGGCGATGTTGGGAGTAGCCATACGGACGCCGTTGGGGGTTGTATTGCTCATGCTGCCAGAGCTGGTCTTGAACCTGCTGGCTGGAAGCTTGAAAGCTACCTAATCCATCATGTGCTGGCAGCATCGCCGGTGGCCCTTGGTCCGCCCTGGCAGGGGATACAGGGGAGAATGATGGGGCGCGGAAAGCATGGAGACCATCATCCAGGCTATCCAACTCGGTACCATCTTCATCGAACTGGTCATCTAGGGCTTCCTCGTCTTCCAGTTCGTCCCCTGGGCCAGCAGCGGAGCGGGTCGCGATGCCAAATGAACCAAAGTCGCTCAGTCGTGAGGCTCCTGCGGTGCGGTCTGTGGAGGTCGTGTGGGTTGGGGCGGCCGGAGAGAACAGGACCCATTGTGCGGTATCTTCTTCGCGCTGCTCGGTGGAGGATTCAGGTATTTCAATCGAGGGAGGTCTTTGCGGGGCCGAGTACGAGGTTCTACGGCGGGGAGCCTGAGCTGGTGCACGGAAGGCCATGTTGGAATGCGGTGCACGCGCAACCCGATAAGCGGTTCGACAGAGGTTGGTTCTTCCCCACGAAAAGAGACCGCCGATGCGGCCAGGTATGAAGGGTCAGCCGAAGACCCAGCAGCACCTGAGAAAAGGGATTCAAAGTGGCGGGTATGAAAGCGCGGTTCCAACAATAAAGAGGGACAGGGCGTTCCTAAGGTTGGGTGGATGATGCGTAGATAAGTGATAAGAGGTGGAGTTCCGGATGATGCAACCGGCGGTATCGGACCACAGTTTCGTGTAAACAGTCCTGGATCTGGATAAAATGGCTGAAATTGTACAAGAAGAATTCAAGGAAAACCAGACTAGATAACAAACAGAAATGTCGAAATGTAGAAATGTAGAAATCAAGATAGGGACAGCAAAGTGCCGTCAGGTGCGACAGGCCAATGTGACAGCTCGCGTGTGATTGCCCAACATCTCCGGTGGCCCCTGGCTCTCTCCTGTTTTCTCCTGTTTTCTCCTGGTTCCCTTTACAATACTAAAACAAGTCTGACGTGGAGGATGTGGCGAAACTGATCGACAGATACCCGCTTATTCCTAGCGGATGGCGGATGTAAGGATGCGGTGATCACCTCATTTGGTCACCTTGCACACCGACACCGTACTTTATAGGGGGCCATGATACTTGACGTGATACTTGGGTGTAATATATCTTCGTATATTATGATCGCTCAGGGGTATATACCAAGCTCAACAAAGTAACCTGGAGAATTTAACCGGCCAAGGCCTCACCGACCCAATCCATCTGCACCGCACTAACCCCGCGCGCATAGCTGCGGTTCGTGAAAACGAACTCGTTGTACATGATTGCCTCCACCTTCTTGCCATAGAGTACACTCGACGGGTGGATAGCCACCGTCTGGTTACCAACCACCGTACGATAGCTACCATCTGGCACCAGGCGGGCGGTATTGGTCGCAAACCCACACAAGAAGCTCTGCAGGATAAGAATCGGCGCAGGATCAGACGAATGATCTCTGCCGTCATCTCGAGGGAGAAGCTTGGCTTGACGGCACTGATTCCGGAGTTGTTTGCGGACGTCCTAGAGTTGCGGGTTAGATCGAGGATCACCTCTCGGCGCGAGAATAATAACATACCATCACTGCCTGCATCGCCCGATGCGATACCAAGTGTCGCTCAGCCCATGCCTTTCGGTCGGAATTCTCGGACGCGTACGCTCGTACCGTTGATAACATTGTCAGATGATCGCCCTCCCGTCGATACAGATCCCGCCGGGCCGCTTCGGCCGCTTCCTTCTTCTCTTCCGAGCTGGTGTTGAGGAAGATGTTTTCAACACTGAGACAGGAGATGATGTCGATCACATCGATCAAAACATCATGGCCATTCTCTGAAGCTGCTAAAAGCACCCGCCCCAGTGTTGGGGTGAGAGGGAGCTTGGCGATGTGCTGGCCAACGGCGCTAATCTTCCCCGAGTCTTCCAACGCATCGATATTGAGGAGCTGAAGCAAGGCTTTCTCCAAGGACTCACGCGGTGGGCGCGTCAAGAATGGAAATTTGACGATATCATCCACACCACGCGCTTTCATGTTCAATAGGGCCTGGCTCAGATCGCATCGGAGAATCTCGGGAGTGTTTGTCTCGTCCAGAGCCAGGTAATCCTTTTCGGTGTACAGACGGAAACATTGTCCGGCTGCCTCACGACCAGCACGACCCTTTCGCTGGATAGCAGCGGACTTGGAAATGGGCTTGACAAGTAGCGAATCTAGGCCGAGGCGCGTGCGGAATTGCTTGACCTTTGCCTTCCCGCAGTCCACCACATACCGCACGCCAGACACTGTAACGGATGTTTCAGCAATGTTAGTTGCCAGGATAATCTTGCGGGTGCGTGGTGGAGCAGGCTGGAAGACGCGCTGTTGAGCGATTTGAGGCAAAGCCGCGAACAGAGGCAGGACTAGGATCTTAGGCAAAGATGGATCCATCCCAGTGGCGTATTCATTAACCAGAAGCTCCAAAGCTTCCACGGTCTCCCTGACCAGTCAGGAAAACCAGGATATCACCGGGCATAGGCTCCTTATAGTGAATTTGGAAGATAACCTTAAGAGCTGCGTCCACAAAATCATGCACAGGCGCGGGCGAGTAGATGGTTTTGACAGGGAACTGTCGGCCCTTGATATGACAAGCCGTAATCTCCTTGACGGGCTCTGCCTTCTCCTTTTCGTCAGCATCTCCATTCGAAATGTGCTTAAGCTCTTGTTCTTTGATTTTGAATCCCTCTTGGAAAAATCCCATAAGACTCTCCATATCCGCCGTAGCACTCATGACCACCACCTTGAGAGGCACACCTCCACGACCCTCCTTCTTCCCCGAAACCAAGTTGCGCAGGAACCCAACAGTCAGATCAACATTAATACCCCGCTCGTGAACCTCATCAACCACGATAGCGCTGTACTTAGTCAACCAGGGATCATGCAACATCTCCTGCAACAACATTCCCTCTGTCAAGAACTTGACACGAGTACTAGGAGAAACGGATGTGTCGAATCGGACTGAGTAGCCAACTTTACTCGCTGGCGAAGACGAGCCAAGCGGTGTACCCATTTCCTCGGCGACACGGCGAGCTAGCGTGATAGCAGCGACTCGACGCGGCTGTGTAATCGCAATACATCCACCCACGGTAGCAGATCTTGTCGAGCCATCCTCTTTGGGTACTTGGACAGGTGTCGGTCGGCACCAGAATTCGTTCACCAGGAATTGTGGGATCTGCGTACTCTTTCCGCTACCGGTCTCACCGACCAGCAGCATGACATCTTGATCGCGGAGCTTCTGGCGAATTTCATCGGCGTGGCCGAAGATCGGAAGCTTCTTGCGGAGCTCGTAGAGAGCATTGGCTTTTTCTCGGAGAGGAGCGAAATTCGTCTTGGTGTCGGTGAAGGTCTTCGGCTTAGGCTTGGGCTTGTGTTTTGCGACTTGGGTCTTGTTCGACGGAGGCTGGGGGGTTTCGGGTTTGGTCTCCGGTGTGGGCTTTTTTGTTACCGGCTCAGCGACCAGGGCACGCTCTGGGGCACGCTCTGGGGCAGGCTCTGGGGCCTCGATTGGTTCGCCGTTGCGCGGTTGGGGTTTGTTGGCAGCCTCATCGAGCTTGCGTTTCTTGCCGCGCCTCTTCTTCCGGACGCCGTCCTCGACGGTCGTTGGCTCTGAGACTGGCTTTGGAGACCTGTTCGATGGCTCTCCGTCCGAATCACCGAAGTGAGTGTGCACCTTCTCAGGCATTTTGAATGGGCGTCAATGAGAAGATCATGAAGTTCACATCTCGCCGCGATCTCCGAAATTTTTCGCTTATCGGCTTATCGATAAGAACACGGTGATATACATCGGCGACTACAAGCATTCTAGGTCGGAAAAAAAGTCCGATCCCCACATCAGGCAGGACATAGATGTATCACTAATTGTATTCATTCCCAATATTGAGCGTAATCCAACGAGGCTTTTGGCCGCCCCTATCGTTCTGTCTCTGCCGGTCTTAATGCAGAATTGTGGGGTTTTTACCACCACAAAAGCAAGCAAAAGACGACCTCTTTCGTGCCCGAGAACGTACACCTCGTGAGGCGACTGAGAGTCACCTAGCTAGCCTGTGGCGATCTCTTAGACAACCTCAATAAGCCTCTCTAGGTTCCAGCCAGGCCCACTTTTCCTCTCCGCTTTTATCGAAGTATGGCAAACATACTGTCTCCGGCGCAGCGGAAGATCCAACGCATGAAATGACTTGAACACGTGACAAAGAAGCAATATTCTCCCCAAACGACGTGACCAAGGCCGATGAGTCGTCGCTCTATCTTGTAGCTATCAAGAAATCTCGTCAAATGGATGTGTTGATTTCTTCTTTTCCTAGTAAGACTCTAGTCGACGCCTCCAACATGGTTACAAATATCAGAGTCAAGCTCGAGTCGCTAGCGCCAGCCACAATACCACAGGTTTTGGAGAAGCTCTTTGGTTGGACGTTATCTATCAACAATAAAGCAGTCTTGTTGGGTGCAAGGATGCGGTCGCCCAAATGCTGAAGCAAAGCCGCACCATAGCAATGACCGGGGCTGGGTATTCAATATTCCACCAATGGAAGAGCTATTTGAAAAATCTGCTGGTCATAATTTTCTCGACATCGGTGAATATTACTAGGGGTTGGTGATAGTGGCTGGCCTACTACAGTGGGATACTGCACGTCCATGCCTGCCGTTGTCGGATTCCCGAGAAACGTCGCCCTGGATTAGGCACCTCATCGTATTCACAACGATGCCGTTGCCGCCCTGAAGCATCGGTCTTTCAGTTACTTTAGTTCTGGCAAGGGTGCTTATGCATGATCCCCTCAGAAACACACCCCCTGCCGGGTGCAACAATGACGTTGATCCCACCAAACATTGGGACCGCTTCATGCTGTGTATCACTTCAAGGGATTGAGTGAAGACAAAAGCATTGCTCGAACCGCTCTGTTTCTCGTAAGCGAAGACACTAGTCAGATTGACGGCCAGACTCTACCGATTGATGGAGGGTTAACCGTTCGTTGGGGGGGTTGGTAGAAAAGAGTGCGAACTAGTGAGGCGCAGAACGCGAGGCAAAGGTCAAGGATTCGAGTACTTGAATCTAGACCGCCAGCCGCAAGCAATTGCGTCAGTGCTCAGATCGCGTATTTTCATCGAGCTGAGAAAATCAGAGAAGATCTCTCAGGTACGAGCGAAGAGACCGGTAGTAAACCCCGGGGTAGAATAGAGCCAATGTCAAATGCAACTCAATCCTTATATCCGCCACAAGGAAACAATGAACAGTGTTCTCCACGCTCGAATGTAAGCGAGATGATCCAATGTTTGGGCTGTCAAATGTAAAAATGTATGAATGGATGTATCCAAATCGATCGGACCAATTAGCATTGACGGGGCGCTAGAACACGGTTCGAGTGCGCAAAGGCAAAAATCAATAGACTCAGCTACCGCGGACGATCACAGAACGTTCTTCACGTCAATCTAGTCCTGACAGAACCTTCCCCTGTGCCATTGCATCATAGCATTGAAATTGACCCCGATCCTGTGGGATTGAGCCGCGCATCGATCGATCGCCCTCCCCTGTTGATTTGTGACCTAGCAACTTGACTTCGCCTGCTCTTGTCTTACCTTTCCAATCTCCGGTTCGCATGGATTCTGCAGAAAAACTCGAACTGCGGATATAGACGATCAATTGATGCATCATCCCTGTGCCAAATGGGCGGGGATGAGTAGAAGTATTAAAGGAAAGGTGACTCTCCCGTAAGATACGAAGTTTGTTGCCAAAGTAAATTCCATATCATGTCTCGCACGGATCTCAATGAAGGTTTTGCCGGCGTGGACGCAGAATCATTGCGATCATTCGCGTCGACTCTGCCGGACGACTATCACGACTGGGTTTCTGAATCGGGCCGAACATCGCGGTAAGTGGACGGATCGGGAACCAGATCAGATCAGATCAGATCAGATCAGATCGAGGTTTCCAGAGCTAATTGCTGATCGGATCGACACTAGAAATGACCAAATTCTCGAGGACTTCCCTCACCCGCCCAGTCGGGCTAATAACCTCGACGCCATTGAGGAGGAAGTTGCTTATCCTACTCCTCAACCCTCGGTGAAAAATATGCGTCGCAATGTTACTACCAACGAGCTGCCTCTATTGCAGGAGATGAACCCGTATGAGAATGCGGAGGAGTTTCACCCTGTGAATGAGAATGAAGAGGGCGTGTCCTATGATTTGATCGCGCCGTTCGGTGGCGTCGACGCGCCTTTGCATAAACTGGAGCGCCTTACAGATGTAATGTTTGGAACGGAGCATATGCTGCACATCCTCTCTACACCGCGGTATCTGGCTCGGTTTCGCGAGTTCCTGTACGACGAGAGGCCGCGTTCAATTACTACTTTGACGTACTACCTTAATGCTGCCAAGGCATTGAAAGCGCTTCAATATGCTAATGCACTGGTGCGCTTGTCCACCGATGTGCCACCACCTGCTGTCCAAGTCATCCAGACTGGCAATGATCCTGTCGGGATCACTGTCAACAAAATGCTTGAGGAAAGAGTTGAAGATGGTCTCAGGGCATTGACAGCTGAGGAGCTTCCTGCATTCATCACATCGAGATGTATCACTATTACAAGCAAGATCGTGGAAGAGCGTGTTCGCGGCACTTTACCCTTCAAGTTTCGCGATACATCAAATGCATTGGCCGAGGTGTTTTGTTTGACTGATCCTTCTCGACCGGATAATCCCATCATCTTTGCATCCGAAGGTATGTTTTTCGTCTGTGATGGGTCTTTTGCGTAGTACCAACAGCAACAGAATTCCATCGTACAACGCAATATGGCATGGACTATGTCCTAGGTCGTAACTGTCGTTTCCTTCAGGGTCCCAAGACAAACGCCAATAGCGTACGCCGAATCCGAGAAGCTCTCAAGGAATGCCGTCACCATTCCGAACTGTTTCTCAACTAGTATGTCTTGTCCAATGTCTAGCAATGAAATTAAACTAACATCCGCAGTCGCCGAGACGGTTCACCATTCATGAATCTCCTTCAATGTTCACCCTTGTGCGACAGCCAAGGCCGAGTCAAGTACTTCATCGGTGCCCAAATCGACGTATCAGGTCTAGCTCTCGACGGTGCGCACATGGAATCCTTAATTGAGCTCCAATCTCGATATCGAGACCCCGACGAAGAAAGCATCGCCCAAATGCCCGAATCAAAGCAAAAAGAAGAGTTTCAAGAACTCTGCGAACTATTCAGCCCCCGTGAGCTAGCGTCAGTTCAAGAAAACGGAGGCGATCTCTTCCAACCAATGACCGCACGATCCAGCTCTCTCAACGGCCATCGAACCCGGCTTCAGCGCGGAAATTCCATGGACAGCGAAGTTGAAGCTATCCGACTACGAGATCTCAAGTCGCCCGTGCTCAAGGGGGCATTAGCAGGCGTCTATGAGCACGTAAGTCTCTTCTCTTTCCCTTCACTTAGCATACACTAATATAGAATACCCCAGTACCTCCTTGTCCGCCCTTACCCATCCCTTAAAATCCTCTTCACATCGCCTTCTCTCCAAATCCCCGGCATGCTGCAATCTTCATTCCTCTCCCGGATTGGCAGCAACACTTCCGTGCGCGACGAACTCCTTCAAGCAATGATGGACGGCCGCGGTGTAACAGCACGGATCAAGTGGGTGACGCGCTTCAGTGCCGAAGGCCGTAACCGTTGGGTTCACTGTACACCACTTTATGCGAGTAATGGACAGGTCGGTGTGTGGATGGTTGTAATTGTGGATGATGATGAAGAGCAGATAATTCATTGGCGGAACTAATATGGCTGTATCACTGCTTAAATATCTTTGCACATAGCGATTTCTTCTTATATGCCAGATTCCCCTGTGAATAGAACACGTCCCTCACGATCCATTTTGGATGGATCAAAACCCAGTCTGATACACTCAACTTCCATCAATGCGAATGAAAGTCTTGTATTCTCCATCCTCCAGTTCAGAGCCCGTCACGGGGTCTTCGCTATCCGGACCAAGCAATCTGATCAGCCAGTACGGCTTTCCTCCGCTACCGGCTGATCCATCCTGGAGCTGGACGGCCCAGCTAGTCACATTATGAGCACCTATGAATATACCGTCCTGCTTGACACCATCCAGGTAGTGATAATAAGCCTGGATGGGCAAGCTATATTGCCCGAGACCCCACATGAGCTGCGCAGAGTAAGGAATGTCAGTGACATTGACAGCCTTCCACTCAGCACCGCTCACACCCGATGGAACATATGACTCAAATGAATCCGTTGCATCGTTGCAGCGGAGGGGGCTTTTAGCGAGGTCATTCTTGGAGACAATCCCTATCTGAGGTTTCTTGTTAGATGGTGCTGCCTTTTGAAAAGATGGGAATTTATTATTTGAGGTTCTTACATATCCGCGCACAACACTGGTATCACCTTGCTGGAGGAAGTATACGGCCTCGCTGCCGAACCCTTCAATGTTGCAGGCGTTATCTGTCGCTGTAGTGTTTACACACTGGTTCACCTCGACGATCCACGGTCCTGCGATACCGGTCGAGGAGTCGTAAGATGGAAGGTTGGTGCATCCGCTGGGGACTTCGACTGGGGTCACAGTGCATGCTTGGACAGCAGCTAGCAAAGAAAGCCCCGCAAGAAAGAGAGCCATTTTACTCTTGAAAATTCGAATATATTTGCAGAGACTTAGACGGTTGGTCAATCTCCAAAGTGGTCGTGATAATGAATCGCTTCATGGGCGATAGGCACCTTTTTATGCTCATTTCATGCCCTGAGAATGTAACCTCGAGTACAGTCTATAGTATATCACTCTAGGCTCCCGTAGGCATCTGGAACATATTCCCATGTCCAAGATGGTACAGGGAATTACGGCCGCTTTGGGCTGCGTTAGTGCAAGGTTAGCGCCCAGGGCAGCCTAGATTCTGGACCCACGGGGCTCTGAGTTCAGGCTGCTGTCCGCTATCGCCCTTAAACCATGTGGTGCTTGGTTTGAACAGCCAATATAGCTGTTTCTTGAATATCCCATGGCAACGCCATTTAATAATACATACGGAGAGGCACGCGGGGCACTTTTCAACCATGAATGTTTTCAACCACAGATTTTAAGATAAGAAAAGAGAAATGAGTCTCGTATTCGACGAAATCACAGTCATCTATGCATTTATGTTTAGATGGAATCATCACAACCATCAATCATCATTTTATGAAAGGCCCCAACCCCGAACCCGACGGAAGACAAAGGCACGATCATTCCGAAGACCAAATTCGGCCCAGTCATCAGTGAGCTTATTGTAGCTCCAGAAACCGCGCCAAGTGAGCTTGGTATTCTTCGCAGGATTCACATCCAACTTTGTGGAAGATGTAGACCTCAGGGTCATGAGCATTGTGTAGACATATTTATGGTCGACGCCCTCTGTCTCTATGACAACATCGCGAGGGTCGGTAGAAGGCTCGTTATGTGATGGTGTTTGTTCGGGCTGGTCTTCAGACTCGGGGATGGGGTCGGGCGATGTCAGGCGCCAGCGGCCACGGCGGCCATATTTCAGCGCAGCTTGGGCAACTGGTGGGACGGGATCGGCAGCTCCGGATAATGTCTGGCCAACGTCAGAGATTTGACGTTGATGGCCCTTTTTGTGCGTGGCTCGTGCGGCCATCATGTTCTCTTTGCTGATATACGGAACAACGTCGACAGGTTCAGTCGTAGACAAAAGTGATACTACAGAGCCATCTGGGTAGAATCGCAGATAGCGGTAGTATGTCACAATGTGGATAGGGCTGTTCCAGGACACGGTCTGGAAGGAGGATGCGGCACCCTCCCGGGTGTAGTTGACAGTGCTGATATAGCATCCGGTGAAGCGGATTCGCGGGTATGACTGGAACACTTCACTCCATGAAAAGAAAGGTTTCGGGATCTCTACTGGGGTGTCTATTGGGAACGGCGTGTATCGTGTGCCGCTGAGGGTGAATATCGGATGTCCGTGGAGATCACAGGCAAAGGTGTAGTGCATGCCCTCAAATCCAAACTCTGGCGATTGGCAAATCCGCCTCCAAAGCTGTTGTTCATGTGCAAAGTGGTACGCAAATCGCTTGCATACCAAGGCCATTCGGCCAAAAGCCGCTGGATCTTGCAGTCCCACATAGTGTAGGATCTCCACAATCACCTCCGATGGAACTTTAGAGATGGGGCACGGCGGAGGAGGAGTATTTTCGATTATCGGATCTGCTTGTGCGATGGGCAGGTGTGCGAAAGATGCGATCAATTCGGGTGTAGAAAGTATCTCTGCCTCGGCAGGCGCTGGCGCAGTCACAGAGACAGTAGAGGGTTGGTCAGTAGGCGGTTGTGCGGGCTTCTTCCATACATGGGCGTAGTGCTTGTTTCGGTATTGCTTATCGACCGCAGCGTCCAGCTACAAGGCGTTAATAGATAGGTCTTCTATGGGATGAAACAACACACTCACACGGTATGCTTTACGATAGTGCTGAAGACTGTCACCCAGCTTACCAGCAGCTTCCTTCTCGACCGCACGTTCAAAGTGCTCCAACGCGGTGCTGGGCTCTATCGTGTCGCGGCGAGTAAAACCATCGCCGTCTACTTCCTCTTCTGGTTGCACCCTCAGCTCCCCAACCTGCTGGGCCAGTTCCTCCGGGTCGAACGAGGTAGGCGGAGGCCCCTCCTCCTCGAGGTCCTTGCGGTCTACCAAGGCATGACGAGTCGGTGGGAGACGTGTCGGTGGCGGGGCAGATGGGGCAGCTTGGGCAGCACGAGGGGTAGACCTAGGCTTCGATCGACGAAAGACCTCCTCGCGCCACTCACGGCGGAATGATTCGAGCTCGGCGTTGTCTTCCATGGCGGGGACCCGTCCGGCCTCGGAGGTCGATCAAATCTGATAAGCCCACCTGCAAGGTCCACACCGGTCAAAACCCGCAGAGTGAAATCGAAAATTGATTCAAAAAAAAAAGCTAACCAAAATCAACAGCATTCACCATCGAAGAGTCCAAAGATCCCAAGAGGTTGAAAGTTGAAGTTGCAAAAGTTGCTTATCTCCGCCCGGACGCCGCCGCCGCCACCCGAACCCCGAACTTCAGGAAATCTTGCTTGTCGACTCATCATTCTTTGTCACCCTCAAGCTTGAGCGTCGCCTGCCCAGCTTCGCGTCTAATTAATTTCACATTCGGTCTCCGCCGACTGGATGACGATCGGGCTGGATCTTTCTACTTCGAGCAACCCAGGCGCTCCTGGTAGCGCGTTCGGGACTGAGATCGACTCCTCGGAAGCGTCATGGACGTCACATTTCGACGACCCTGAATCAGCGGCAACCATGGCGGCCACAACAGGAACGGGCTCTGACCCGGTTTCTGCCCCTCCTGCACCGACCGACAACATCTCCGCCGGGCAGCGGATGATATCTGCGACAGCGGGAAACATTTTGACGGGACTGCTAGGTGAGCTCCGAGCGCCGGGCCGGACGTGGACAATGTCGCTAATTCCTTACAGTCACACCGTTGGATGTTGTTCGTGTTCGTCTGCAATCGCAATCCCAAGTCACCAACCTCTCGCCGTATACCTCCCACACCACTCAAACTCTGAAGAACCTTCCTCCGAACATTGGGATTACAGCTTGCTGTCGTGAAGTATTTTGGGTCGGAGACAGTGCGCAGATGTGCATGTTGGGCCCCAATGCCACTGCGATCGGATCACAGGCACACGCAGGAATCGACTGCGCCGTTGAAGAATCACAGCGACGGACATTCACATCGACTTTCGACGGATTAAGGAAGATCGCGAGAAATGAAGGAATCACGACGCTATGGCGTGGTCTGAGCCCAACTCTCATGATGGGGATTCCAGCCAATATTATTTACTTCGCTGGCTACGATTGGTTGCGCACAGATGACCGAAGCCCGATTAAACAGGCTGTATCGGATGTTTGGGCGCCGTTTGTGGCGGGCGCCATAGCACGGACGGCTGCCGCATCGGCGACCAGTCCGGTCGAGATGTTCAGAACGCGTCTCCAGGCAACACCTGGGACAGGTGCCGGTCATTTCAAGGCGACCTTGGAGGGACTGTACCAAATGACCCAGGCGAGAGGGTATGTCTCGCTTTGGCGAGGATTGTCGCTCACTATGTGGCGTGACGTACCCTTTTCGGGCCTTTACTGGTGGGGATATGAGGAGGTGAAGAAGGGCCTTGAGTCGGCACGAAAGAATGCACCGCATCTTCATGGCTCTGACCCGGAGACTCCATCGACCGCCACGGCATTCCTTGATAGCTTCATTTCCGGCGCGAGTTCGGGAGCGGTCGCCGCATTAGTGACAACACCGTTCGACGTGGGCAAAACCCGACAGCAAGTATTCCGGCACATGGACGACCAAGTCTCAACTGCGTCACAGCGTGCCCCGGTATCTCCAAAAGCTGTCGTCCCTGAGCAGTTTCCTCTCCCTAAATTCCTTCTTCATATCTTCCGCGAAGAAGGTATGAACGGTCTTTTCCGCGGCTGGGCAGCTCGCTGCCTGAAGGTTGCGCCCGCCTGCGCTATTATGATTTCTACATATGAACTCGGGAAGCGTATGGCGCGGGAGGTGAACGAACGACGACACTTGGAGAAGTCCTAAATCCTCTGTACTTTTATAATGCATGCGATCGAATCTCTACTCTCGATCGCCCTATCCCAACTCCCCTTTCCCTTTTGTTCTCAGGCGTTCATGTTTTAATGATACCGCATCAGGGGAATCATAGAGTTTGCATCTGTTTCGAGGTCATTCTGGGGGTGGTTTTCTGAGTCAAAATACTCCACTGTACATATGAAGTTCGTGAATTATTTGAAAATACGATGCATGAAACGCAGACTTGTCAGAATACCCAGGTAGAGAATCCGATTAGAAATACTGTACCTGGGTGAAGCGGACGAGAAGGTCCACTTCCTATCGACCATTTATACCCGATAACCTGCAGCGCTGGCGACCCCTGCGCGGCATAATATCAGCCACTATAGAAACGAACCCCTCGTATTCATCACCCGTGTGCATTGACTCACGATCGGCGGACCCAGCCGACTCGGGGCGAACCAGCGTTGCCCGGGCGCAGGCAGATGATCGCACCTGCATGAGGCTGAGAATCTCCTTGAAAGGTGGCCCCCATCCTGCACTTATTTCCCCGCGATTTTAGGTCCTGGATTCAAATGTGACACTCAACTCAAGAGTCAAAATGCCGCCAACGGTTCATATACCACGCTCGGCGAGCTTTGAGCATATAGAAGCCGTCAAAGATACAAACGTCGAGTACGAGGATCTTCCCCGCAAGTTGCTGACAGCTGATAGCTGACTTCATATGTTGATAGTATCGTCGGAGTCCCGCCCATCGGTGGACATCATGAGAAGACATGGACTGAGCAGGGGTCAAGATCACCCTGGCTCGGGATCGAACTACTCAAGCGCATACCCCGGGCACGCGTTCTGTTGTATAACCATGGACTGTTGCACGAGAATGATAAAATCGAAGACCTCGGTCAACGGCTCCTGAATCATCTGCTTCACGAACGGAGATCAGAGAGCATTCGACGCCCGCTCTTCTTCATGTGTCATAGTACAGGAGGTCTTGTAGCAAAGGCATGTCTCGCCTTAGCCTCACGGGCCGAGCCGAACCAGCAGGCCATCCTCACTAGCTGTTACGGTATCGCTTTCTTCGCGACGCCCCACCAAGGCTCCAGCTATCTATCTGCAGAGGAGTATATGTCAAGTATACGTCGTCTACTGCATCTGGAGCAGGAGATACCCGCGGCGCTCAGAGAACAATTTCGACCCCGTCAGGAGAGGCTTTGGCATTTGTCCAACCAATTCAAGGCCATTTCGGCAGATATGAAGGTTTGGTCCTTTTTAGAGACTATAGACTCGACACTACACGTTTTGGACTTGGATACGCAAAATGTTGGGGTATTCCATGCGCCCATAACTTCCATTCGCTCCGGACTGCTCACTATCGAGCATGAGATCGAGTACCCCTTAGCTACAGACCATGCTGGCACAGCTTGCTTTCAGGGTCAATCTCTGAGTTTGGAAAAGTTTCTGGCCGAGTTAAGTCAGTCAGTCACCGATGCAGTGAAGCTCTCCAAGCATATAGATACTCGCGTCGATGTGGAATCCGACGTCATAGTTCAAGTCAATGGGTTTTTTGAAGACACTGCTTTGGGTGTCAGTGATGAGACTCCCTTGAAGTTATGGACTGCTCGTGTTTCTCTGGAAGAATATCTTATCAAAGGCCCCTCGGAATGTCTTCGGGAACGGTTGAAACGTTCGCAGCCTGCAGGACTAGACGACTCTTCAGTGAGTAGTTTTGACAGCCCTCGGCATTCCTTTCCACATGTTATCCCTAGCCCGGACGAACTTGGGCACGAGCAAAATAATAATCATGGCATTGCCCACGACGAACACGACCTTAGACCTTCGAGGCCAACTCTTCCTCATGGTGAAAGCTTCGACTCTATGCACTCTCCAAACATCCATATCACTGTACAACACGAGCAGGAATATTTTGAGCCTCATGAGAGCCCTCCACCACCGGTTGACCGTCCTCGAAAAAACTCAATCACCCGAACCTTAGGACTCAACACATTGAAGTCCCACAGGCGAAGTATGTCTGATGGCAGCTCCCACACAAGCGGCTCGCGCCTATCGTAAGTCTCTTGATTGATTGATCTATCTAACCTCCGTACTTACCATATATGACAGAAGCTCCGGGTCGCCGCAGTCACATTCAAGGTTCCTGTCTATCCCACCATCCACCAGCGATCGTATCAACGAGCACATGGAGACTCGGGATATCCCTCGCTCCGTACCTCGTTTTGACCGGCCTGAGCCCGATACTGAGAAGCTACTCTGGATTCATGTTCCCTATACTCACACTGGATGGGTGTCACAGGTGATTCGACGCGCATGTCATGATCGCCAGGAACCGAATTTGTATGAAAAGCAGTCCCCAGAAAACCTTGATTTGAAGCTACTAATACCGTTGTCTAGTCTACGGAAATTCATCAATGACGAGAATTGGTATCTGAATCTTAACAGAGCTCGACATCTTGAGCCACATGCACGCTTTGTTAGGCCGAAGTGTATTCATTCTCGACAGATGGATGCTTCTCAGCCTACCAAGACTGACACTCCTGAGGACCCCCAACTGGCTCTTTATGTGAATATTTCTACTTTCCCTTTTTGAACTCTTACTGATAGTGAAATAGACCCCATACGTATGTTCGACAAATGAATACAACCTTCGCATATACTAACCTCTTTGATCAGCTTCACTGGGACACATACCGAAACCTAATCCAGCGCCGCAAAGTAGTCGAAGACAGACTTAAACAAGGCCGATCCCACCCAGTGCCAAGCAGAATTGCAAAATCAAGCCAAGAGGCACAATTAATATGGCAGTATTTGGGCTGCGAACCACCAATTCACTTCCGTCGCACGTTAGACCAGTACGGTTATCCCAACCTCCGCTCCACCGTCGCTCGCGATGACGATCAGATGCTATGGAAGCGTACCCGCCGAGCTGTCCGTCTTGATGACCAACTTAGAAGCTATATGGAAGCCACTGATGAGGACTCTGAGGACCCAGAGCCTACCGTATTTATGGATGGGAATGTGCTCATGGTCGATCAACTCTGGCTTTGGATTGTTGACCAGAAGACCATTGTCACATTCTTTCCCAATCAGGAGGCTACCACTTCCGAGGGGAAATTGCTCGACCAGACAAATCTGCATAGCAGCATTTATAACGAGTTGAATGGTGATCTGGCGCGTCGGTTTGAGACGGCGGGGGATCTTGCGGCGCTTATCATGCTGCATGCTGTGACTGTTCTACTTGACAAGACACTGCACCATGACCTACAAGTCTTGCGAATTTTCGAGGAGTCTATTAGCATTCTGGTAAGTTTTCCCCTTCTATCGCCGGGGGTTACAGTGACTAAATAAACCAGACCGAATCCGTCACAAAGTCTTTCAAACGCTTCCGCAACGGCGGCTTCACCAACGGGCCAGCAGACTACAATCTCACAGCCTCAGGAAGGCCAATGTCAGCCACGGAGCGCAACGAGCGAGATCGGAAAATAGCCCTAAGAAACCGTGAAGATTTATCTGTCTTGCTTGAGCTCCGTGATATTGAAGATGAGCTAGCCACTATCCTCAGGCTTCTCGACCAGCAAGACGGAGTGATCAAGAGTATGATGAAGTACTTCGAAATCAAAGGCTGTGGGAAAGTCTTTCTCGACGCAGCTCAGCTGCGAATCGATGAGTATCGCACTCAGATCACAGAGATGAAAGAAAACAGCCACCTCGCGCAGAAGGCGGTGGAAACTTTGCTGGATCTTAAACAGAAACAGGCAAATGTTGACGAGGCCAAGATTGCGCGGTGGCAGGCCGAGGCAACTCAAAACCAGTCACGATCGGTCATGGTATTTACTATTTTCACAGTAATGTATGATTGAATGCCCCCGAAGATCCAGGCTTCGTTCTAATTGGATTAGCTTTCTACCACTGTCATTCTTTACGTCTCTCTTCGGCATTAACGCCAGAGAATGGAGTGGCGAGTCGGCGAATCTGACGCTAGCCGAGATGCTAGAGATAGCCGGTGAGTCCCAAGCTTAATCCTCTCTCCCTTCGATACTAAGACCAGTCCAGCCCCAGCTTCAATCGCCATAATAGTCCTCTCTCTGCTGCTAGCATTTAGCGAAAGACTCCGCCAAGTAACGACAACATCTCAGAAGATCGGCTTTGGGCTCTTCAAAGATTTCTTCCTCCTCCCTATCGAAAGATTCCTACATATAGATACACTCGTTCATCGAATACCATCAACAGCTGTATCGGAAGACTCGGCCATGCGCAAGCGGTTTGATCATTACCTTGGTTACGAGAGTCATAACACGAAACACTATGAAGACTTTTGGCAAATGCGGGAACATGAACGAAGTCCCCTTGCAGAACTTGAGCGTAAGGCGAGGAAGAAGTCTAACTCTCATGGAATTGGTGAGTCAATTGAGTTGAAAGTTCGGAAGCGCGCGAGTAGGTTTGATGTTTGAGGTTTGCATTGTACAGAGTACAGCTTTCTCTTTTTATTTTTCTTTTAGTGGACCTTTGATACCCCCAGATTCATGCATTGTATAGTTGACCATACATAACTTCTCTATACAATTACTAGTTCTTCAAAGTTCTATAGGTATCCCTTCAAATATACCCCCCAGTTCTAAAGTCTACAAACCCCCATCTACTGCCTTCCATTATCCCTGATCATCTGCTCCCACCTTTCCAGACTCTCCGCCCTCCAAACCTCATTCCTCCTATAAAACTCTTCAAATTCCGGCACACTCCCATCAAGCTTAAAAAAGCTCCTCTTACTCCTCGTATAAATCTGCACGTCCGGCTGCACCTTCCACGCTTCATCCAGCGTGCCACCTTTGACAAACTTAACGAGAGATTCCGTACCACCATAATGCGACCAAACAGCCACACGACATGTAGGGCATCTAGCCAGATCTTGACCTTCACCAGACTCAGAAGGGACGGTGACTAGCTCCGGCTCGACAATATGGCCCGTTGCAGGGACGAGTATTGGACCGGCTGGTTTGGCCGGTGAATTGATTGATGCTGGGATTTTGACGGCGGTTGAGGGGAGACCGGTTACCATTTTTGACTCGATTTGGAGGTTTATGGCGAATGCAGAGCCACTTTCGCGCTGACAGGCTGTGCAATGGCAGCAGTGGACTATGAGGGGTCGGATTTCGAGGCGGTAGCGGATTAAACCGCAGGCGCAACCTCCCTCTAGGGGGTAGACGGACTCTTGGTCTTTGGAGGCCATTGTTTTCAAAAGATGGAGGGTTTGAATTGGATTGAACTGGTAGATTGGGGGAATCTACAGAAGTAAGTTCTCGTCATGCTTGGATCTGTGCCTCGCCGTCACGCCTTTCCTCTTCTGTTTTAGTGCTGAGCGGGCGATAACAGGGGCCCGAGCACTGCCTTGTTACACTAGATTGGTGATGCTTGCTAATCGCTTGCAGTTGTTAAGCGTTACGTTGGAGATGTGTTGGATGGGTATACTGTTGCTTGTTGAGGCCTGAACCATGGAATCGAGTTTTGTAAGAAATCAAGCTGGGTAATTTGACAAATGAAAATGAAAATGGCCAAACGCCGTCCGTGGGGCAAATTTACAGTAGTGTAAGCGCCTGGTAGAGAATACGCCGAACCAAGGATGAAGACAATATGAATAACTCCGATACCTCATGAACGACCCATAGAACTGAGATATGGGTTGATGATATCGTAAAAGCGGTAAAGACATTGGTAGTCCATAGTCCATGAGATGGAAACAAAACTCTTGTCCGTGATGTTGTTTACATCTTCGCGAGGAAAATGCAAATATTGGGATGTACTAGGGCTCTGATCCCATTGTGTCTAATGAACGCGTCAAGACGCAAGAGCCTGTAGAGAAGGGATGGTCATAGAAGACCACTTCTGAATTGTCTGCATCATTCGGTTCGGGTCCAATGGTTTGGGAAGATAATCGTCCATGCCAGCGGCGAGGCATTTCTCGCGGTCTCCCAGCATCGCGTGTGCAGTGAGAGCGACGATGGGAGTGCGCGGCAATCCGTTAGCCTTCTCGTAGTTTCTGATCTTACCCGTTGCCTCGAAGCCGCCCATAACAGGCATCTGGACGTCCATGAGGATGACGTCGTATCGGTGCTTCTTGACCTCGTTGACGGACTGCAGTCCATTTTCTACCACGGTCACGTTGTGATTGAACTTCTCGAGCATGCGTACGGCCACCTTTTGGTTCACACCGTTATCTTCTGCCAGCAAAATGGCCAGTGAACGGGTATACCCTGATGGCGCGTGATTAGAGCGATTACCCAGGGCGGGTAAAAGACCATTCCATAAGTCGACCGGGCGACATGGAGTTGCGATGTAGGACATGAGACCGAGCTCACCGGCCGATTTGATCGTGAGGTAAACTAGGGGCGCGGTAAGTACCATTGGGATGGTACTAAAATCTCCGCAAGCTCGCAGCATCTCCGCTGTCTCGATCGAGGAAACTAGAATTGCGGCAACGGAGTAACTCCATTCAGACTTAAACGGTCCGGACGCAAGCTGATGGCTAGTCATGACCAGAGGCTCAAGCCCTAGTCCAAGCAACATTTGCGCAGCCTGGAATCCTTCCATGTGGCCCTCATCAATTATCAGAACCCGACGGCCTCGGTGAGGAGAGAGTTGTTCCGCGAATCCTAGGGGGGGGTTGAGCAAGCTTCACCCGACAGGTAAAGGAGAATGTGCTGCCCTGGCCGGGTTGTGAATCCACCCATATAACACCTCCCATGAGAGCCACAAGTCGCTTTGAGATGGCAAGACCCAAGCCAGTTCCGCCAAAACGACGCGTCATTGACCCGTCTGCTTGCTGGAACTTGTCGAAAATGAGACTTTGCTTGCTCTCCTCAATTCCGATTCCCGGGTCTGAAACCGAGAATTCGAAGATTGTTTCATCAAGCTCGCACTGGGTGTTTGAAGAGCGCTTGATAGCAACCTGGATTTCCCCGGCCTCGGTGAATTTAATTGCATTGCCCACCAGATTTAGCATGACTTGTCGGAGTCGATAGGCATCACCGACAAGGTAATCAGGCACATTTCCATCGATCGTGTAGACCAGGTTCAAAGCCTTCTCGTTGGTCTCTACGGCGAGCGCTTTCAAAACACTAAAGACTGTCACTCCGAGACTGAATGGTGTCTTTTCGATTTTCAAGTGGTTGGCCTCAATCTTGGAAATGTCGAGAATATCGTCGATAATTGTAAGAAGGCTGTTCGCGAGGTTGTGAACCATATTCAATGTTTCTCGCACGTGCGAAGGAAGATCGTCCGTATCAAGGGCCAGACTCGAAAGACCGATAATCCCGTTCATCGGTGTACGAATCTCATGACTGTTTTTGTTCATTAGCTTGTGTCCTGGGCAAGTTTTCAGAGTAAGTGTTACCTCATGTTGGCGAGGAACTCGGACTTGCTGCGATTCGCCAACTCGGCGGCCTCACGAGCAGCAGTATTGCGCTGAATGCTGTCCCGCAGCCCAAAGATCATTTTATTGATCTTCTGTTTCAACTCATCCATCTCACCAGAAGCCGACACGGTAATCAATTTGCTAAAGTCGCCGCTCATCGCGGCCTCTGTGATCTCACCGAAGGCTCGAACTTGAGAAGTCAGGTTCTCAGCCATAGTGTTGACATCCTCGCTTATTGAACGCCAGATACCGAGAGACCCATCGACATTTGCCTGTCCACCGAGCACACCTCGAACACCAACATCTCTTGCCACGCTTTTTAATTGGCTGGCAAAGTGTCCGAGGCCATCGACCATACTGTTTATAGTTTCTTTTAGTGTCAAGATCTCGCCTTGTGCATGAACCTCGATCTTGGTGCTGAGATCACCCCGTGCAATCGCTTGAGTCACGTTGGAAATCTGCCGGACCTGCATTGTGAGGTTCTGCGCCATAGTGTTGACATTGTCTGTCAGATCACGCCAACGACCCTCAACATTCTCCACTTGTGCTTGTCCGCCCAGTGTACCATCGGTTCCGACTTCTCGCGCCACACGGCTAACCTCGAAAGCGAATTGATTGAGCCGGTCGACCATGGCGTTTATAGTAAGTTTCAAATCGAGAATCTCGCCCTTGACGTCGGCAGTCACCTTCATTGTGAGATCACCTCGAGCCACAGCAGTCGTCACCTTGGCAATCTCACGCACTTGCTGGGTTAGATTTGATGCCATGCGATTGACATTATCTGTGAGATTCTTCCAAGTGCCCTCGACACCGTGAACAACTGCCTGACCACCAAGTGTACCATCTGATCCGACCTCGCGAGCCACCCGGCTAACCTCGAAAGCAAACTCTCTTAGCTGATCGACCATCGAATTGATGATATTCTTCAGTAGCAAAATCTCGCCCTTGCAGTCCGCCTGCACTTTACGCGTCAGATCGCCCTGAGCTACTGCAGTTGTGACAGTAGTGATATCGCGGACTTGGGTCGTGAGGTTATTCGCCATGGCATTGACGTTGACAGTCAGTTCATGCCAGATACCCTGGATTCCTTCTATCTTCGCCTGGCCGCCGAGCACGCCCTCAGTGCCGACCTCGCGCGCAACCTTTGAAACCTCCTGACTAAACACCTGCAGCTGGTCCATCATGGTGTTGATGGTCTGCTTGAAGGTTGCAATCTCCGGCGACATCTCCAAGGGATGCACACGGGCACGCTGGGAGAGATCGCCATGCGCAACCTGGGTAATGATCTCTCCGATCTCGAGCAGCTCCTTCTGGAATGCTTCATTGATATGAGTGTGTTTGCGAAGTTCTTTGCGCAGATGGGTACACTCTTGTTCGATTTTCGCGATGGAGGAGTGTTGCTCGCGGCGATAGATGAGCTCCTCGACGATATGAGAGATAAACTCTCGAGGTACAGAGACTTCCGAGCTCTGTTGATGCTGCAGGGCGACATGGGCTTGATGGAGATCCGCGTCGCTGACCAAAGACAGGCGGCCAGTATCCACCAACACCGCCATGGTTGTGGATTATTCTGTCCGAAAACTCTCTCTGATTGATCACACTGGGGATGTTAGTGATGGGGATAGAGGAGGTGGTCAGAGCATACCGTATGGGCAGGTTTGTGGAGAAGTGCGGCAGCACAAAGAGTTACAGGTGCTTGCATACATTACCTCACGTAACGTTTATTTCCCCGCTGTCAGTGCAAGCTCTGTGTCGTGAAGAGTTTCCACCAGCCAAGGGAGGGGAAAGCAGGACATGAGAAATGAGGGATAAGTTCTAGACCGTGACTGGCGCATGCCCGCGGCCCATAACACGTCCGTTTACCCGACGAAACAGCCAATCGTGTCGACAGACGCGTCCTCTTTACCGTTTTTTCCCGTTGGATATAGGGAGGTTCCGTTATAGGGCAATGTCGGCACTATACGTCTTTGATCGAGTAAGACAGAATTGGGTAGATTTTATTGATCAGCGTCTTATCAAAGTTCAGATCGATGCGGGTCGATCTCGGTCCGCACAATTGCCGATCGACTTTGACCCCGGATAGAGTTTTCCTACACGTGGAGCTACACAACAAAAGGTCTGCATCTAATCAATGCATTGTAGAACGAGGCAAATGGAGAGGAAAATATGATACAGGTTTTGCGCCGGAACCTTTTTCGAGCTCCAGGAGAGTGGAGAGTCAAAAAACACACACACACAAGAATACAGGTATAGAAAGCAACATCAAAAGATTACAAAAGATCCAGGGTCGCGTTTAGGATCGGACGATGCAAGAGATGGAAGAAATCATCGCGGAGTTTCGGGGCGCGTGAGGGACGTGGGAGGCATTTAGAACATACCGCCACCCATGCCGCCCATACCACCCATACCACCCATACCACCCATGCCACCAGGGGGACCGGCAGGGCCCTTCTCCTCGGGGGCCTCGACGATGGCAACTTCAGTGGTACCGAGCAGGGAGGCGACACCGCTGGCGTCGACCAGGGCAGTGCGGACAACCTTGAGAGGGTCGACAATACCGCTGGCGATCATGTCGACGTACTCGCTCTTAGAGCTGTCGTAGCCGCGGTTGAAGTCCTTGGCGTACTCGTCGGTGAGCTTGCCGACGATGACGCTGCCCTCAAGACCGGCGTTCTCAACGATGGTGCGGGCAGGGCGGGTGATGGCGCTCTTGATGATGCTGACACCGAGCTGCTGGTCGAAGTTGGCGGGCTTGACGTTCTCAAGGCCGTTGGCGGAAGCCTTCAGCAGAGCGGTACCACCACCGGGGAGGATACCTTGCTCAACGGCGGCGCGGGTGGCGTTCAGGGCGTCAACAACACGGTCCTTCTTCTCACCGACCTCAACCTCGGAGGCACCACCGACCTTGATGACAGCGACACCACCAGAGAGCTTGGCAAGACGCTCCTGGAGCTTCTCCTTCTCGTACTCGGAAGTACCGGGGTCAGCGATGACACCACGGATCTGCTCGCAGCGCTGAGCGATCATGTCCTTGGTACCCTCACCGTTGAGGACAATGGTGTCCTCCTTGGTGATGGTGATGGAGCCGGTGGAGCCGAGCATCTCGGGAGTGAGCTTCTCGAGCTTGATGTCGAGCTCGTCGGTGAAGACGGTACCGTTGGTAAGAACAGCCAGGTCACCGAGGATGCTCTTGCGGTTGTCACCGAAGCCGGGGGCCTTGACGGCAGCGACCTGGAGCTGGCCACGGAGCTTGTTCAGGATGCAGACGGCGAGAGCCTCACCCTCAATGTCCTCAGCGATGATGACCAGGGGGCGGCGGAGAGTGGTGGAAGCCTCAAGCGCGGGGATAATGTCCTGGACGGCGGAAATCTTCTTCTCGGAAAGAAGGATCAGAGGCTTCTCGAACTCGACCTTCTGGGACTTGGGGTCGGTGATGAAGTAGGGGGAGGTGTAGCCACGGTCGAAGCGCATACCCTCGGTGACCTCGAGCTCGTCCTCCAGGGTCTTGCCCTCCTTAACGGTGATAACACCCTCCTTGCCGACGCGCTCCATGGCGGTGGAGATGAGCTTGCCGACGTGAGTGTCGCCGTTGGCGGAGATAGTAGCGACCTGAGCGATCTCCTCGCCGGTTGTGATGGGCTGGGTGTTCTTCTCGAGGTACTCAACAACAGACTCAACGGCAGCCTGGATACCGCGGCGCAGATCCATGGGGTTGCAGCCGGCAGCAACGTTCTTCACAGTCTCGGAGAAGATGGCACGGGCCAGGCAGGTAGCGGTAGTGGTACCATCACCGGCAACTTCGTTGGTCTTGGAGGCGACATCCTGGAGGAGGCGGGCACCGAGGTTCTCGAACTTGTCCTGCAGCTGAATAGCCTTGGCGACAGTAACACCGTCTATTGATGGGTTAGTCAATCGCTGTCCTTCCGAATTATCGCCGAACTGGACCTACCCTTGGTGATCTTGGGGGAGCCGTAGGGGGAGTCGATCAGGACGTTGCGACCCTTGGGGCCGAGAGTCGAGGTAACGGCTTTGGCGAGAGTGTCAACACCCCTGAGGAGGCTGGCACGAGCCTCAACACCGAACTTGAGCTCCTGTTTGCGAAAGTCGGGTTAGCATGGAGAACTCCGGAACGAATGGGATCTGCAGCTGAGGGCCATCGGGCGCATCATCCGAAGGGCAATGGCATTTGAATTGTATTACGCACCTTGTGAGCAAAACGCTGCTGCTGGAGGTTCAGGCTGGAGCGGGAGAAAGGGGCACGCTTCGCGGCGGCCGTGAGGACAGAAGTCCGGGAAGAGAGAGCGCGCTGCATGGCTGTGAAAACAAGAAAACGGAAACGGAATTAAAGAACTAGGAATGAGAAAGACAACCCGGAGATGAAAATGGGTTGGGGGAAGGTAGATGAGGGAAGCTGAAGATGAAGCCAAAGTCTCGAAAATTTTCCAGGCGCTTCCCCATCCCCAGAGCTTGGCGGCAGAAGCAGCTAGAAGGTCACGTGATATCCCGAGGATATCGGACGGCCGGCTATTCCACTATTCCAACCATCCGTCGTTCCTAGGACATTACTCATTCGAGCTTTAAAATCAGTAATATTCAACACTATTTTCATATCCGACGACGGCTATCCGAGCGTTGGGTGAGGACCATCCCACTTATCTGTATCGGATACACATGCGGCCTAGATGCTAGGAATATATAGCCGCCCACCTCTACACTCGTAGATCCACCTTTTGCGAGTCGGCGAGAAAACGGTTGGAACACCATTTGCAGGATACTTAGTCTATCAAATACTTCTAGAATACGAATAAGTGACAAACAACATTTCAAAATGTCAATCACGCTCACCTGCCCGTTAGATAACGCTCTGCCTACTATCAACAACCCTGGAGTGACAGCAACCTGACAATTCTACTGTGAAACCACCTGTATGGGAGATCTTTTGAATCACAAAGCTTATTAGCTTCTTCTATGATTATATGCATGATATTGATATTGACTCAATATGGTCATCGACGTGTGAGTCACACAGCAAGCTTCCACTGAAGCACAAAAAGACCTAGGAAAAGGGAAAGCAATGGCCCTCTGAAGAGGCCCACAAGGGATTGCAAGATGATCTGAACAATTCACAGATAGCAAATAGAGAATCAGAGGACGAGCAAGTGACGTTGAAGTGACGAAACAACAATGTGGGCCAGCTGAGGGCAGTCATTGAAACTCCAATGACCCCACGATGTCGTGAGAAGAAGGCAGTCATGGGAAGGTGACCCGAAGACAAGTGCACGTTGTATTCACATTACCATCCATCTTCCTCTTCTTTGAAACGAGGCTCAGAATCTTCCGGCATAGGGTCTTGTTTCACGAACAAACCGTCACTGTCAGAGTCGTCACTCGACTTTCTCGGGACCATGGGGTTATCCAAGATTCGAGGATCAATGAGCTCCGGTGATAGTGACTGTCCCTGGGGTGTTTGCTGTCGCGGAATCTTTCGGTCAAGTGGAGGATAACCGTAGGATATGTTTGACGCAGACAGGCTGCTTCCGGATGAGGTGACTATACGAGAAACCCGAGGAGACTGAAGATGCCCGTGATATCCAGGTATGACAGGACCCAGAGTCTGGTAGGGGCCCCGGAGAGAAACAGGTTGCTGACTACGAGCTAAAACTCCAGAATTGGTGGGATTTGAAGGGAAACGGCGCTGCGAATCCTCGTCGTACATACCAGGGGGAGCCATTAGCTCGAGGTGGCCGAGGCGAGGATCTCGAAAGATTTGAGATTCAAGGTCCAGCTTGTTATCGTCATCTAGCAGGCTTGGCACTCGCGAGTGTGCCATATGCATTGTATCTCCAGACCAGGCCGGGGGAACATCAGGGTAGGAGCCGTCAATGGGATCCTCAAAGACCCTTTGGCGTTTCGTAGGAGGCGCCATAAGCTTGGCCTTTTTTTTCATGGCCTCTTCTTTCATGGCTTCCTCAAACTGCAGCTTCAAAATGGAGCTCTTCTTAAGCGAAAAGCGAGCAATGTACTTGCTGGACGTGGACTCAAAAGTGACTTTGTTCTTGGGCGGCTCTTCAAGGCCATCCAAATCCTCCCTGTCATCAGCATGTGAAAGGCTAGATGCTTTCGTTAGCTCTCCGTGACCAAATCTGAGGACCGGAGCATCTGCGCACTTTACATCACTCTCACTCTGGAATTCCACCTTCCTCTTTCTGCGGCCAGTAATCTTGTCCCCTTTGGCTGACGGTTTCTTGGGTTTCTTGGACTTGGGCTTTGATTGAGCTCCCTTTGGGGCATGGCGGTTCACATTGTCCACATCACTTTCGTTACCAATGCTGTCACGGCTCTCATCCTCACTGTCATCAATGGCTTTGCGCTGGTTCAGCCCAACTTTGCCTCCGCCGCTGCCACGGCCCTGCAGCTGCGGCACCGGTTTGTCCTGTGACAGGCGCTTGACACGGAGCTTCGACAGGTGCTGCACAATTGCACCCTCTGTAAATTTAGCTCCCATGGCCCTGGCCACTTTATCCCATGGGAGCTTGAGGCCATTCTTGGTGCAAACGGCTTGCAGAGTCATGAGGAGAAGAATATCGAGATCATCTTATAATTGCAGTTAGTACTGACTAGCTTGAACTTCTCCACAACAGAATTGAACTTGCACTTACCATCCCAACGTACGAGCTGTCTGCCCTTGTTCCCTCCGCCGCCTTTGTGGCGCAAGGGCGTTGATATCTGGGACTTGTCGTCGGCTCGGTCTTCGGACTCGTCACCCTCTGACCAGTACTGTTTCTTGCTCTTCTTGGACTGGACCTTCTTAGGGTTCTCTTTTTTTGGGAAGTTGCTGCGTCTTCCTTCCATTGCGAAAGGTAGATGCACACGGTCTGGTCAACGGTCAGCATTGCACACCAACTGTATCATGCGAGCCATGAAAGCAAAGCCGGCGTGGGGCTTCTTGGTCTTACTCGTATCTGTGCGAGGCGAGATCGAACCATTAGCCTAGTGTATTAGAAATACAGAAATGCAGAAATACAGAAGGGAAGACGTGATGGAGAGAATGCATGGCACTTGCGATATAGCAACGACGATGCTTGTACCGCCTCCTCCGAACATGCATCCGATGAACTAGATGCTCAGCAGCCCCGGAGAATAGCAGCTAGGCATCGCACGGGCAAAGCCGTGCCAGCATTGAAGCAGAAGGTATTCATCCGCCAGGCGCATATGCGAACCCTTCTGGAAGCCCCAGAGGCATGCAAAGGCGGGCAAGGAAAGAGGCAAAGGCCACAAGGGTGGTATTGACACTTACCAAGATGTTTTTGTGTTTGAAAGATGGAATGACGCAATACCGGAGAAGTTCGTGGATGGAAGGGAAGAAGAAATGGGAAGAGGAGGTGCGATGTGGGATATGGGAAGGGCGTGTGATCCTCGAGGGCGACAGCACGAACAAAGACCTTCTTAAAGCTTGCGCTAATGCCTGGACTTTAATTGCTTCGATTCCTCGCGCTAAGACATCGTCTGAAGTTCGTGATCTCGCGAGAATATAGAACCGCCCACCTCCAGGACGCTCTACTCGGGGGGTCTTTGTGAGGAAATGAGCTTTTCAACAATAGATGGGAAAGATTCATGAATTTTGGTCACAAAGTGAGAGAGTTGCGGCAAAAAGCCACTCCATACTACCACCAATATTGTCGCCGCCTTCCGTAATCTACCCCCGGTTGAAGAAGCTTCGATTCACCTACCATTGTGCACCTTGGCAGCCATAGCCGCAGAAGGCTCCGACCACATGAGGATCAAATCAATGCCACTGAACTACCATAAGAGCAGGCCCCAATAACAAGATTCCTTAATTTCTTTTGAATTTGCACTACCTATCCGTGCCCTTCACGCATTGTGCCATTGTGCCCGCAACTATGACCAAACATCTCCAAAAGACCGTAAACATGATGAGAAAATAGCACGCTCTCATCTGCAACAAGTTTATAAAATCTGCGACTCGTGTCAATTCCTGGTGTACATGTAGATTTATCCTGTCCGTTAGTGCCTTCGTGCCGAAATAATCGGAAACTATATGGGTATGGTCATGAGAAAGCGCTATTCCACCCGAGACTAGCTCTGTATAATTCTACCAGGCCCTGGGACCAGCAGCGTCCATTTTTCTTTTCAGTTGTGCTAGCAGTCACACGCGATCCCCGCTTCTATGCGCGGTGATGACCAGAAGCCTTAAAAAGCTCGTGATGGTAGATGGCGAGAGGACAGATTTTCGTTTGAGCCTTGTTTGTAGGAAAGTGCTGATGAGGTGGTTTTTCAGACATGACGGAAGTGGTCAAAGTTGGGTGGATAATCGGCGGGATCTTATTGACGATGCGATCTATACTTCGGAAAAACAATTACACGTGATAAGTGCGCAATAAAGCACGTGACCAGAGATGAATCCCCATCATGTGACACAACATCCCGACTCTCCGGATCGAATGCTTCCAAACTCACCCGAGCCGTTTTCACCCCCTTCAATCGAACCACCTCAACCCACCAACCTTCACAATGACTGCTGCCTGGAAAGCCGCCGGTTTGACGTACGTCGTGACCATTCAATTATCATGATAATTGCTCACCCCGAACTAGCTACAACCGCTACCTGGCCATTGCCGCCCGTACCGTTCGCCGGTCCCTCAAGGAGACTCCCCGCCTGAACGCCGAGCGCCGCGGTATGATGGACCTTCGTTTCGCCAAGTGGACTGTGAGTGAAAGCGCTGGAACTTCGAAATCGGGCGGATGGAGACTGACGGAACATTGTGATCACAGAACGGCAAGCAGGGTGAGGTCCAGTCCCTCGCCAAGGCCAACGACGCCGCCATTGCTGCCCAGGCCGAGAAATAGACGAAGAGCGCCATACCCCGAACAATGCAGTAAACGTGATCCAGTCATGTTGGGAGGTGTGACGAGCCCGGGCCTGGAACTCGACACGAGAGGATTTGGACCTCCCGGGGAGGCATTGAACTTTTTGTACATGTGTAGCAATACGGGTCTGTCGGGAACAGATAGACCTCAGAAATCGCACTCGTCTTTCGTATAACCAAACTGTGAAATTTCCAAATATCCGTAGAGGTAGATGTCTCGGTGCGCAGCCACACGTCAGAGAGGGCCCCGTTGTGCCAGCCCAGCCCGCAAGTGCTTTTTCCGCTCCCCGCCCACCCCTCGATCCCTTCCTCACCCTTGGCCGTTGCTTCGATTCGACGTATTTTATTATTTGATCTTATGAGAAGACTCGGCAGCATATTGCAGAGCTTCAAATCTCTGTGCGATGCTGCCGAATAACGAGGTTCGCGTTCCCCCTCCGCGGGCTGCGCAGTCGGTCCCGCGCGACATTACCGCCGAGTTCACGGAGGCCGCTTCGAGTAAGCCCTATCCTCCCAAGACATTAGCTATGATCTGACCGTTCGTTTCATCGGCAGAACTACGCACCGGTCAACTCGTAAAAGATGAATACTTCACGCTGTTCGAGAGCGTGGGCGCATTGGAGGTACAACCAAGTCACCAGGATACGAATCGTGCGGAAGCTGACGATGGTTTGAATTGTCGCAGATCATGGACCCAAAGATGGACAGCGGATACATTGCACCCGGCGAGAGCCACGCGCAGGCTCTAGAGGACGATTACGACGTGCGACAAGACTTGACACCGGAGCAAGTAGTGGGCTTGATGGATCAGCTGTTGTGCCATGAGGTGCGTGCTTGATACTCTTGTGGTATGAACGCTTGCTGATAGACTGCAGATGGCATGGCATATGGGCCATCCTCTCTCACAAACCCTCTTTACATCCATCTACCTCGACAGACTGCTGTGGCCAGTGCCGAGGACCATGGAGGATGCCCGATTTGACCGAGTACCAAGTGACTCGCCTCTTATTAGCGTTGTACTCCGGGCCTACTGCCTTGGTTTGATCAAGGCTTGTGACTTTGTTCATGCTCGGATTGTGACCGAGTACTTCTACGAGGTATGTTGAGCTATTGTGGTGGTTGGACTCTGCTAATGAAGCTGCGCAGGAGGAGGACTTCGTCAGTCAATTATACAACCGTAACCTGCTGTCTCTATTCGATTCATCATACTTCTATCGCCTGCTGGATCAGGCGGTTGCTTGGGTTGATGATGAAAAGGAAATGGACAAAGAGCTTCGAGACGCAATTCGATGCAGGCTACTGTTTCGCCGCGAGTTTCTGTCCGCCTTGGACGGAGACCTCGAGGTCCTTGATACCAGATCAACCGACAATTTCTCATCATGCTTGTCCCACCTGGCTGCGTTGACCGAATCCGTGTCTCTTGGCAAGGAAGTGCCAGAGGCATTCAGTATGAAGATCCAACGAAAACTCGCCAGCACTGTGCCGCCTCGTCCGATTGTCAATATTAGCACCACCGTTGCCCTTGCCCACATGCAGCGGCTCTGCCAAGATGCCATCGATCTGCAGCAGATGCTGGACTACACGGGCCCGACCAACTTCAAGGTAGGGTTGAAGGAAATGCTGCTGTGTGCATGTTTACTGATTGTAACTTCAGACTGCCGTGTGGACCCTGCTGGCCCGAAAGCCCCAGCCCTCGGTCTACATCCGATCGTTACTTCAGGCTCTGATCGTTTGTGAAATGACCATACTGGGAGCGGTCTCCGTCCAACAATTCCTTTATGACGACCTTGCAGAACTCGTATTACCCGCGAACTTGTTGCTTGAAGCGAACACCGACGATGTGGAATTTCCGACGGACCCTCGGTTTCAGATTGCCCAACAGATGAATGCTTTCGTGAGGCGGTTCGCCCAGCCGTTTGTTGACACAGTACGATCTGCTTGTCTGAACCGATGCCGTGTTCGTCGAACGCTTTGCCACACCGTTGAAAATTGGGACGGCTTGCAAATGGAGGTATGAACAACTCAACCAGTATAGTGAAGATGACAAGCTGACCTATCAGGCCGAGGATATTGATCTCCAAATTCAGCCTCTGAGCAGAGAGCCAGGCTTGCAAGTCCAGGGCGGAGAGCCTACCTTTTCCTTCCCACTGAGCAGCTGGGCCTATCACCAGAAACTTACCCAGCTCCGGCAAATTCTCCAAATGGGATTCGAGCTCGCGATGTATTCCCCTGAAGAACTTCCCGGCATGTATTGGTACCTGTCTCATATTTGCTCCGCGCATCTCGGGCACATTGATCGAATCCGGACATTCACCGTGGCGGCTCGAAAGCGAGATCTCGGGATGACCAACAATCGCGGGAGCAATGCCGCCGAGAAATCCGCCGCTTTCCATAAATCATTCCGAATTCTGGAGCGACTGACCACACAGCTCATTGCGGTCGATGCATTTGCGATCGCACTCCACTCCTTGTATGCTTTACTGGCCCGGCACAAGATCCTGCCGTCTGCCTCGAGCCCGGAGGCATACTCCTCCGATAAACTTCGCTATGAACTCCGAATGAAACCGTTCATCCCGATCTCTTTGCCCGAGCTGGTTCCCTTCGAGGAGTACCAGCATGAAGCTACTTTAGAAGGCGACACCGATGCGACCGTCCTCGATCGGGCCTCGAAGGCAATTATCGAGGCACGCAAAGCGTGGGAAGCGACGCTTGCCCATGGTGCGTTTATTGAGGATCCCTCGGCACCTACCCCAAGACCCCCGACTGCCATTGAGGAGGACTGGAAGCGTGACATTAAAGATACCATGCGTGCTTGCATCGGGGCGAGCATTGCCATTGAGACGGTGAAAAAGACAATCACGGGAGACTCTTCGACGGAGAAGCTGCAGGTGACGATCCCGGAGATCGGCTCCAAGACTCACTGGCATGACTGGTGGATCGTGCCCCAAGTGTTAGAGAAGAAGGAGTGATGGGTTACTAGGGTTGCTAAGTTTACTAAGGGAACATAGTGCTCAGCATTTAGTACTAGACGAACCAGCATGGGCTTTGTTATCTCCAGAAGCTGCCAAGGACTCTTAGGTGCCCGTTCTACGAGACTAAAATATATTGAACGGAGTCTATGATTAGTTTAGTGCCGACGAAGTGGAGTAATCAAAAAATTCCGAAATGTTGAACAGGCTCAGGCCAGGGCCTCCACACACAAACTGCGGCCGTTTCGGGCGCGTGGAACCAGGGAACGTGGCTGGCGGATGAGATCATCCATTTTGGGACCTTCTGAGCTTCCGTTGAACCTCACCTAGCCACTGAACTCCCCTGCTGATCTCGACGTGATCGGCGTGACGACGGAACGGCGCCGAGAACTCAAATGCTTTCCCCAGAATCGAACTCACGGACCGCTGATAACCTCATACGCCACGCAGCTCGCTTAGAACTCGACCTCGACCTTGAGCCAACTCTCGTTATCGACAGTCTCTTGCAGCGCCGATCCTCCTATGCCTCTGTTCTTCCGCCTATGATCTTCGCGGTGACGTGAAAGATGCCGATGTATCCCATCCGCCGCCGCCCGCGCGAGTGCAAGACTTGTCTGCCCTGCCGCGCCAGCAAAGTTCGCTGCGACCGCAACGTCCCTTGCAGCAATTGCGTCAAGCGCAACTTCAACTGTTCCTACGGTCGCCCGCCCGCTTTCAAGCATCCTATATCCTCCGCCTCTATCACCGCTGACTCCACGCCGCAATCCTCCTTCATCTCCCCAGCGATCCCTCCGAACTACTACCCGCCCCCGCGCGATGCTTACGACGCCGCCGACGGGCCCTCTACGGCTAGCCCCAACTCAGACTTACCAGAGATCGTCGACATCTCGGAGGCCGAGTGGGATGACATTAATACCAAGATGGCTGCAATGGAGCAGATCCTTGGAAGTCTCCATTCGCTGTTCAACTCACATTCGTCCCGCAAACGATACGATGATCAGCCCGCGGAGCGGAAGGACTCCATACGGTCAGAAGGTGTCTATGGGTCGAATGTATTGAGGACCGGTGCTGTCCACATTGGCTCTCGGTCGGCTCTGGTGGACATCTTGGATAAATCCAAAGGATCCGAGGATATAGCGCAGGCGCTGCCCCAGGAGGATCTACTTGCCGATCTCGCCATGGGTAATGAGTCGGCGGCGTACCCATTTGTGGATCTGTGGTCTTCCGATCCATACACATTTAATATTGCCGGAGTGTGTGCAGTGCTCCCCGACGATGCGCAATGTCATCGGTAAGCCCGTCTCGTCCGATGCGACGATGCGTACTAACGACTGTTCAGGTTTCTGGGATTCTATAAAGAAATAGGTGCCGTCTTGTATCCCGTTTTACCAGATCTTGACATGGTTGAATATAAGGCGAACCGCTTACTCGAGGGGCGGCGTCGGGTTGGGGGTGTCTATAAACCAGATGCCAACGGATTAGTCAAACCGTTCGGCATTGACTTGCCTTTCTTCAGTCTTTTTTTCGCGGTTCTTGCCTCGGGCTGTCAGTTGTCGGATATGCGTGAGAAGGACCGCGAATTGACTTCGTGGGTATACGGTATGCCATCTCCAGCGGATTCCAAAGACTATACTGACCCTATGCTCAGTATCTTGTGCTTACCAGTGCCTGCGGATGTTGAATTATGTCTCGCAACCCACCGTCGAGGTCATTCAGATTCTTCTCATCATTAGCAATGTCCTTTCATATAACATGAATGCGGGTGCATCATATACGCTGCTTGGTAAGTCTGGTCGAGCCTTACTGTCGAATCGCTTTTAATCCAAGCACAGGCATGACTGAGCGAATGTGTCTCGTTCTCGGACTTCACGTCGAATCCACCGGATTCTCCGTTGCAGAGCAGGCTTTAAGGAGGCGCACTTGGTGGGCCATGGCCTTCCAGAATAGCCACTTCTCACTCGCCTATGATCGTCCATCTATCACGATGGTCAGCCAACCTGAGATCCCCTTTGAACCCAAGTCCATGCCGGGGCATCGGACTTATGTCGAGACATCTTGTCGCGTCGTATCACTAGCACTGGAAGTCCTGCGTTTGCGCATGGATCCAAGCTCGGCACAACCACGCTTCCACGATATCCGAGAGTACAAGCATCGCATACACCGCATGATAGTAGAGGCCACACCCCACTTGCGCCATTCGGACCAGTGCCGAACACTGGCCGACCACATCGAACGAACCGAGTTGCGCTTGCACTCTTCTTACCTCCTTTCAGTCCTGTGCCGAGTATCACTCGACCCGCACACGCACATGACCGACTCGCATCGAGCTCTGATCCGGGAAGACTGTGTCAACAGCTTGATCGACACGATTCACGCCTTCGTCGAACTGCACGAGATCAACTCTCACTGTTCCCGATCATGGATCAGCTTGCAGAGATCTATTGCCTCGGCGTTCTTGCTCGTAGCCAACGAAGATGGTGCCCAAATATGGGATCTAATCGACCGATTAGAGAGGGTTCTGGCCGATCACGTCTATGAAGACGGCCACAAAAACCGCACCGACTCCGCGAAGCATCTATCTTCGTCGTTGCGCGCATTGCGCGAAATCCGGGAGGCTTTCCGCGCGCGCAAAATAGGACCCAAGGTATCAACACCCGGTCTTGCATTGCCTCTGAATCTGCCATCCCCGCCATCAGTTGATACCAGCCCCGAGGTGCCGGTGACCATGGCTGCGAACAACGATATGCTGCCCTTCGAGGACTGGAGCATGCGAAACATTCTAGGCCGGGTATCAAATGTGATGTTATTTCCGAATATGAGTGACAACCCCGTCCCCGGAGTTATGTGACGACATCATGTAATCACACCTCGGAAGGGAAAAAAAAAACAAAAAGGAACCTCACATTGTGCGGAGAGAAGTCGGCTTCTACTCCGTGTATATAGCATACGCTCAATGGGGGTATTGGTCATCAGCACGGACTGTACACCCTAATACAACGTTCTGAATCCCATTAGCCTGTTTCACTCATTGCTCCAAGACTTATGCACATACCGACCCTTTCCCCGTAGCTCATTTAAGCTGTGGTCCACAAGCCACCCCGGGGATAACCCTGGCTTCCCCGACCGCCGGCCGATCACCAGGTTCACAGGTTCCAGTGGAGTCTGCGCGTTGCCTTTGCCCGTAGCGAGACCCGACATGCATATATAGCCCCTTCGCTCAGAAGAGAAAGAGAGATGACGAAACAAATACATCCGGGGGGATCCGTCAGCCTAATGGGTAGTTCTTAACCCGTGTGGAGTGTGGAGTGTGGAGTGTGGAGTGTGTGTGCTTCGGCCGGCCGAGAAATCACCGTGCCGTCAGAAACCTTGGTCGATCGACCGTGCTTATTATTTCCCCACTCTATCGAACCCCGAATCTAGTCGTATTCCCTCGTGCGTCGGGGGTAAGTCCTGTTTTTGGCCCTCGGGCAAGAGTCCTGCCCAAGCCATCCATGGATGATCCTTGATCTACGGCCCCGTGCGACTATGGTCGTGTGATATCAGATTCTAGGATCGGAGATCGAATTGAGATTTCTCTATAGGAAGGTTTCTTGGCCCCGCCCCTCCCAAACCTCAGGGAATCTAGCTAACCAAGCCTGGCTCTGGAACCGCCGGAACTAGAGAGCTCATCTAGACGAGATCTCCCCCCGAACCGGTCAAAGGTGTCCAGCAGAACAGCTTGCAGGATATGGAACGCAAGCGAAAACGCCAGGCTAATGCCGACGCTAACCCATTTCGAAATGGTCATCCGGAAATTGTCAGCCAGTCGCCGCTTGTATCCTCACCCTCCTCATTCGATATGCTTACCCCGGGCAAGGCCGGAAATTCGCGCCAAGTGCCTGCTGCACCAGAAGGTTCTTCAAAGCGTCACCACACGCTAGACGGAGTTGTGTCGGTTACTCCAGAACGCCGCCGATCTAAGCGGTTGACAAAGCCTGGCTAGTCCTTTAGGGCGGGCTGCCATTCAGCTACGCCGTCAGCGGATTGCCGAGATCTCTATCATCATTCATTTATTCACCGTTTCCAGTTACGTTGCGTTTGTATCGGGAAGGTAGGTGTCGGTGATAGCGACGCCAGTCCATTAGGGATAACAGGGAGTGGACGAGAGATTCTGCGCAGAACCCTTCATAGCCCTGAAAAGCAGTGAAGCTCCGCCGGTTGAATCATGACGGCCTACCCTAGCAATTTCATAATACATCCATGAACACAAGTGCGCGCTCATTATTGACCCCCCCCAAGGGAGCTATGTGACTTGGTCACTTTTAAGCCCAGACTCTCCTCAACTGGGGCGTATCTCGCCAGTAGGTCAAAATAATGTCATAGCATCACGACAGGGAAATGCTTGCCCAGCTACTGCCTTTTTAGTGAGGAGCCAATGAGGAGCAAGTGAGACATTAAAGGGGGCCTCGGTCAGTTGGTAGAGGATATCATATTTATTTCGGTTATTCTGAGGTTTTTTTAAGTTAGCCTTGATCTTTGGAGGATGCTTCTGGTAAATGCCGTTGGTAGAGGTTTGCCGTGCAGCAGGAGTGGTTGAAAGAGCCTTCCTGCCCCCGCCTGTTGCTTTTTTTCTTTCCTCGGCTTGATGTCATAGCGATATAGGACTTAAATGAGAGGGTTTATCTTCTTTCTTCTCTCTTGGTAGCCTTCCCTCGCAGTAAAGGCCGTTGAGGTTGTGGCTGTTACCACCACAATGGTTGGGGTAGTTGCGGCGACGATGGCCACGCTAGTTATGAGGATAATTATGGCCGTGATGGTTATGACATAATGGTCATTGGTCGCATAGTTGCAGCCGGTCTATTAGGCCTCATTCTGATTGGCGTTATCGTTGACTCTGGTCTCATTGACACCACCCCTGGTTGTCATCATACGCGTGAGGTACCCGCGAAACCTGAGGTTCGTGGGTTAGGGTCGTGGGCCAGCTTCCGGGTGTCTGCCTGTATAAGGCCACACTGGGGCTCGGGCCAACTTTGACGCCAAAATCCCTTCGAGCGGGCTGGCTCTGAGACTAGCTTTGGAATGGTCATTGTTGAGCTGCCGGGTGGTTCTGAGTCTCTTGGAAGGACCGTGAGACGACTGGAAGCTCTTCCATCCTACTGTTGACGCGTTCCATCAAGTCTATCGTCCGTTCATCGCTTTATTCCTGAATTTCTCCTCGGTTATGAAACAATTGGCGGATTTATACCTTTAAGTCCAGTGCGGAGCGGCATCCGGAGGCGACTTCGCCGCAAGGGTCTTTTTCAATAGGCATGGGCGTTGGGAAGGTGGAAGACTCCATGGCAGGAGTGCGAGCTGGGGCACTCAAGTCTGCAAGTGCATTGTCCTGGACGTCTGGACGAGTACTTTGTGCCGTGGCTATCATTGACAACTTACTTGACCTGGCTGCCCGAAAGATCGCTTGCTTAATTATGTTCTTATCAAGAATTTGAATACGGATAGGTGCACTCCGACGTCTTTTTGCAGGTTAGAGGGTTTGAATACAGGTGAAAATTACATGACGATATAGAAGCCAAACGGTATGGATTTGGGATATAATAGCATGCTCTATTTACAAATTCCAGATAGCATTCAGTGGGCGACGATCCTAAACTAAGAAATGTATTAACTTGGTAGGTAAAATGGCAGCCTGGCTCGAATGGAAGCTACCAGGCTGTCTCGCACTCGGGGGCAGTTACAAAAAAAGCTCAAAAAGCTCAAAAACTCAATGGTAATTCAATAACGAACAATGAAAGAACATCACCACGAATATCATTTTGATTTAGTCTCAGCAGCTTGTTCAGGCCCCGAGCCCAGGTTTGATGGTTTCGGCCACCACACCATCGCATATAGAGTGATCCCTGGGCCACCAGGCTGGATAGTAGCATCTGCAGCAACTTTGCCCTTTCCGAGGTAAAGTTTCTCGATCTCCTGGAAGCCCATCGAGAGGTAGAGTAAGCGGGAAGTTTCAGTGGTGGCCTCGAGCCAGATCGGGAGATTCTCTGCTCGTGCCTTTTCTTGGTGGTAGTGCATGATAGCTTTGGCAAGACCTGTGTGTTGATTAGCCAGCTGGCAACAAGTTGCTAAATAATCAAAAGTCCTCACCTTTCCCGCGATGCTCATACTCAGTTCCGATACTGAAGACGTAGTAGTAGCGCTTCTGACCTCCGAGACCCTTCCGCTTCGCGTTGTCGGTCATGCCTGAGAACTCGGTCCAAAGACGCTGTAAGAGGTCAGCAAATATTTCCATCACGTCTGAGCGAGAACCACACCTTGAGACCCGAGTATCCGATCTTCCAAAGAATACACAGAAAGCCAGAGTACACGAGCGTCCAAACATTATCAATGTCCCGACCTGGCGGAATGACAATAGAAGCCGCCTTCCATCCGTCCGCCTCCGTGATGAGCGCGTCGTTCATCAGTGCCGACCTAGCGAGTTTGGACCAGTAACTGGGCAAGTACTGCAGCCGCTGTTCATGGCTCATATCCAAGAGCATGTACGCGATGACTGGATCGTTGTCGAAGACGCGGCCATTCAAGCGGGCGACCGGGTCTAGCTTGTCTTCTCGCGGTCAGGAACCGTGTTAAGCTGGGGTTGGGGGTACGCACCATATTTGCCATGACTGAGAGGAACCGGCGCCTGCGCCATGGCTGTATGGATGAGCTTGAGATCTAGCGTGGCAGCCCATAAGAATAACGTAGGAGACTCGGCCCTGATGATCCTTGTCGGCCATGGAGGAATGGGTGGCACCGGGAGGTTGTCGTGTCCACGGACTCGACGTAATCGGACTTACATAAGCTTGATGTACCTTGAGGTACCCGTGGGATCTTATCTTGACAGTTCTCCTCTTTTGTGTGGATGATCTAAGAAGTTCAGGGTCTGGAAGAAGCAGGGCACATCCTCTCGGTCATATCACCGCGCTAGACTTGGTTGAAAAGCTGCAGTTTCCATTTGGTATCTTGACAGGCTTGAATTTTTTTTTAAAAAAAATAAAAAAAATAAAGCTACCTATGCAAGTGTTGAGGTAATGATAGGTGAAGCCCAAAGTGGTGATGCCCTTCCCGGGAGCCTTGAAGCTGCGTTCACCATCTTCCGCCTCCCATCATCGTCACCACCTCTCAAAATGGAATCCAGATAATGGATTCTCAGCCCGGACAGGTTGGTAGTAGCTGCCTGAAAAAGAGCAACTTGACTCTTGATTGCGTCACTCGTGCCTTCCAACCATGGGTCAACCCGATCCAGGAACACACAAACAAACACCCTACTTCTCGTACTTCTACTTCTACTTCTATTCCTATTATTTACGACGTTTCCTTACAGCGCTTCATTACCAACCAGAAATCTTCCTACTTGTCCAACTGCTATCAACCACGGACGCTCAATCCTCAAAATGGGAACCACTACGCTTCTATTAATTGACATCGACAGCGGCGTCCTCCACATGCTCCTCAATCCAGCCAAATATCCGCCTACATGGATACCATCAAGCCCACAGTCTCAGCCGCCCGCAAGAATAACATTTAAACCATCCACATCATCTCCGCCTCGCGACCCGAGCTCCTCGATCCCGTGCTCCTAGCCAAAGCCAAGTCAAATGGCGAGTTCCCATACAGTGCTCTGATGCATGCGACCATCAAACCCGCTCCAGGCGAGCTGATTATCGCGAAAAATCACGACTCAGCCCTCATGGGTACCTTTTTCGAAGCTACGTTGCGCGGTACAGATACGGACTGGGTTTTCATGGCTGGGTCGGAGACTAGCGGGGCTATCCTGTCTACCATTTGCCACGCGAGGGATATAGGGCTGCAGGTTACTGTTCTTTCGGATTTGCTTATGGATCAGGATGAAGAGGTGCATTGGCTGTTGGTTGAGGGGGTTTTTGGGAAGATGGGGGATGTTGTTACGGCGAAGGGGTGGGTCGATCAGTTGAATGCGGAGGCCCAGAATTGGGGAATCTGAGAAGCTGTCTGAGTATGTGGGAGACTGTCATCATTCACCGAGCTGTGTGCTCTAGCAAGCGTGATTGTTGGTACCTCATATGCAGGCTTGCACGGTTGTCGTAACACACACTTCCCTGAGTTCAAATGACTCGGTTTTGATGTACCAGGTGGACCCGATTGACTCGACAAATTCATTCCCGAATCATGTTCTCCACCACGAGGCCCGCTTACAAATGAACATTGACTCCTGACAAAGTGGGCCCTTGACTGTTGAAATCGAAGATGTCTCAGTGTTGTTCGTCCCACAGCTATCAAAATGCCTTCAAACACCCGCGCATGGATCCTGAAAGAACAAAATGGCATCGACAGCCTTGAAATCATCGACCAAGCACTACCTGAAATCGGCGACTTCGATGTCCTCGTGAAACTGCACGCAGCATCTCTCAATTATCGAGATATAGTCCTCGCAACCGTACGTCCGAGCCCATAACGTCCATACCGACAGAACAAACCCCACCAACACTGACCTAGGGCTCCGTTCCCCTCCCGTTCTTCCGCCCGGGAGTAGTCCCAGCCTCCGATGGCGCCGGCATCGTAGAAACAGTCGGATCGAAAGTCCAGGCCTTCCGACCGGGTGATCGAGTCTGCACCCATCTTACGTCCGAAATGCCGGCCTCAAAAACGCCATCCATGGCCGACATTTGCTCCGGACTCGGACAGCACGTTGACGGAACTCTACGCTCCCACGGCGTCTTCCACGAAACTGCACTCGTGTCAATGCCGGAAGGTCTCGATTTTCTCCAGGCAAGTACCCTGACCTGCTCGGGATTAACAGCATGGAATGCCTTGTTTGGAATCAATGAGTATAGACCCAGGAAGGGGGCTTATGTTCTTATTCAAGGCTCCGGGGGTGTCTCGATAGCAGCCTTGCAGGTAAGAGTACACCCCCATCAGTATTCAATTCTGCAATTAACATGTCCATAGTTCGCCGTCGCTGCAGGTGCAACAGTAATTGCAACAACAAGCTCCTCCGCCAAAGCCACACGCCTTAAATCCCTAGGCGCTCATCACGTCCTAAACTATCGTGATGATTCAAACTGGGGCGAGACAGCGAAGAATCTTACTCACGGCAAAGGGATTGACCTAGTCGTTGACGTTGGGGGTCTGTCTACTCTTCCGCAATCATTCAAGGCCGTTCGCACCAATGGACTTATTGCCCTGACTGGGATGCTGGGAAAGGCTGATGGAGAATTGCCTTCGCTCATGGATTGTTTGATGAATGTTTGTACTGTGCGTGGAGTTTTGCTTGGGACTAGGGACCAGTTTGATGAGATGAATCGGTTTACTGAGGAGAAGGGTATTAGACCTGTTGTTGATGAAAGGGTCTTTGGCTTCGAGGAATGTAAGGAGGCGTATAGGCTTTTGGAGAGACAGGGGCATTTTTCGAAGGTTTGTGTTTCGTTGCAGTGATGGGGGACGAGAGAGTTGGGTCGCTTGTGTCCTGGGTTCCTGGAAGTTCGAGATCGATGTGGCTGAGAGGCAATTTCAATAATCCGAAAACTCTTTCATGATTCATGCATGACGCTATGTACTTATTTTCTAAAATGCACCATCTGCGATGCATGTCCCCGTCACGCATCCAAACACGAGATGGAACCAGTCTACAACTTCACCTGACTGCGATCCTGAGGTCCAGCGCAGCAAGACGGCTCAGGGTGCAAAGTCGATTTGTTGAACGACTGATCTGACTGCGGTACATCCAACGCCGGGTTCTTAGTAAAGAAGCCATCCGGCCTAAGCATGGCGCTCACACGCTCCATGGGCATAACCGGGAAATCCTCGATACGCGGGTTGTGGGTAAGACCGAAGGCTAGAAAACACAGTTAGCGAAAGTCAAGACTATCAAATCTGAGAGATACTTACTGTGCCAGAGGACCACGTCCTCATCCTCGACGGCGTCATTTCGTGCAGCCCACTTCTCCACGCCTTGAGACTCTTTGCTCTGGTTTGTGAATTCGCCGGCAGCGAAGAGCTCGTCGTCCTGGTATTTTGTTACCCAGATTGGGCGGGTGGCGAACTGGGCGCGCTTAAGGCCGTATGATTTGGGGTTGGCAAGGAGCATTTGGCTGGGGGAGGTCATCAACTTGTATGCGATCGGGTGGTGTGTGATCGGGTTGATGATGTGGTCGTTGCGGATCTTGAAGACGCGGTGTTTCTCAACACTAGTTGAGGCACTACCGCTCGTCTTGATGACTTGCTGCTGGGTGGTATAGCCCACCAGGTAGGGGTTATTGTCGTCCTCTGGCATAGGGACACTGTCCTCGTAGTAGATGGTGTTCTTGTATCCGTCCAGTGCGGGATCAATGCGCAGAGAGAACATGTGTTGATGGAAGGGGGCCATGACGCCAGGGCCGACGTTCGTTCCCCATGGGACAGTTTGGCCATTTTCGTTGTCGAATGGAACGGTAGAGAGGATACCGGTTGCGCGGATCTCGAGCTCAATGTTGGCTGCTTGATCGAGGATCACGGCGAAGATGTATTCGTAATTAGCCACTGTGCAGATCATCTGGACGACGAGCTGGCGGTTACGGACGACTGTTGCGGCGCCCGTTCGGTAGTTTGTGTGCTTATGTTGTATACCCGAGTCAACTTCATGAAGACAGATTACGTTCTGGAGGAGGATAGGCTCGCCCTTGGCGTCGGTGCGGTAACCGCTGAAATATTTAATATGACCAAGGCAGTCGCAGCCTAGGGCCAGTTGGTTGGCTGTGATACCGAACCCGACATCGCCGACATCAAAGGCCTGCTTGCGGTGGTAGGGAGCACGAGGATCTAATGGCGTTAGTATCTAGGTTCCACACCATTACGCAAGACAAGGTGAGAACATACCTCCATAGGGAACAGTCATCTCGGAGAACGACAGGCGGTAGAAAGTGCTCCGACCATCGTAGGTGAGGTTGTGTAACACCAGCCCCTCGCGGTTGTTGAAGCCAACACGGAAGCGCCATTTCTGCCATGAAACGGCATTTCCAATCACACTGAACGAAGGGCCCTCGGGCTGTTGCACAATGTAGGGCTTCAGATCAGTGCGTATCGGTTCATCGAGCAGCTCGTGGGCATATTGAATAGCCTTCACGGGCTTCCACGGCTGCGTGTCCATGGTCTGGGAGTCTGCACCACCAGGCAAGTAGTCCATGCGGACCAGTTCGCGGGTAATACCATCAAAGACAGGAGAGAACTTGCAGGGAAGAGAATACTGATTGTTTTGGGCGTGATCGGTGGCTACGATATACATGTAGCACTGGAACAAGCGGCGGGATTCCTTGGCGTCGTCTGTGCCGTAGATCCACGGGTCTAGGCAGACGGTCATGCCCTGAGGCAGTTGCAATTTCTCAATCTCCGCCTTGACGACAGGGTGATCAAGACACAGCTGCTCAATTTCAATCATCTCGTCCACATCCAATGGACCCTGGACTTCCTTGGGGAGTTCCTTGGCTGAGATGACGGACTTGGTGTCTGCGTTCAACAAGGCCTTGTAGAAGGAGCCATTGTCTAGACGGTGGAACAGGGCCATCAGCAGACGGGCGGGCTTCGGAGGGCGCGGCTCTCCACGGCGCTCAGCCTCGAGGTAAGGAACGACCTCATGCTTAGTAGGTTCCTGGAGATCGATGCGCTTGTAACGCAACTTGACCCCGGGAAAGGCGGACTCGAGGATGCGGACCGCTAGCTGGATCTCCCCAGGGGTGATGGGGTCAAAAGGGTGTAGGCTAGCCATTGTGTAAGAGTATGGAGTATGGCAGTGAAGCGGAGAGGACAAATCGAGACTTCTTAAATGCCCGCGGTACCTGGGTGCCTGAGGGCCTTGTACCCTGGTATGTCTTTCCGTTGGCCACCTTTAATCCACCGGGCGCATCTTTGCCCCAAAGTGGTTTAGCGCGCGGTGGAAATAATTGATAAGCGCAGATAACTGTGGCCATTTGATTGGCGCGTCCTTTTGGAGATGACTTACCCCAAGATACGGGGAAGGCGATACCGCGAGGCTGTCAGAGCTATCAGAGCCGTCACAGCCGTCAGAATAGTGCTATCGTGATAACCTCGGGTCCTACGGTATTCCTCTTCGGGTCCACCCGTGGAAGATGACTCGGATAGTTTGCCAGGCATCAAGGCCATTACATCTCTCCACGTGTAGACCAAGTATGGCCCCTCGCGTGGGACATTCCAGCCCTGGATGAACCACCGCGCGCCCAACTCCAGCTCTTGCTTTGACCGCATCAAGTTCAGTGATTCATTCATAGCCACCACTATGCTATGTTCCAAATTAGTTTCCCGTCCTTTGCTATTTACCTATGTTTGTGATGGTGAATAGTGGTGTTGGCCAAGACCGGGTGGAATTTGGGATGCTACCATATCAGATCGCCCTTTCAAGATCCAACGCGAATAACATTCCAGATCTGAATCGGGCCAGACTCTCGCCCTCCCGTATAAATGCTCATCGCGTCCACTTCCGCGCGTGTTTTGATCCATCGACAACGACCGACAACCATGAAGACGACAACTGCGACCCTGTTCCTGTAAACCCGGGGGCTTTCATTCATTTAGAGGAATTTCATTCTTCTGGAATCACGATCATTTCATCGTCTCATTCTTTTATTCGATCTTTTCAACCGCCCAACTCACAATTACGGTCATTTATAATCTCCTATTTTCATTCATTGAATCTCTTTCATCATGCTGTGGAGTACTTCCCTACTTCTTCTGGCCAGTGCCGATTACGCGTTGGCATCCCATGGCCGATCTCATGCGCACCGTCATCGTGCGCATAACCAGGCCAAGCCTGCGGTTGAAGGTGTTGAAACCATGGACCCATGGGGTTTGGCATGGGCTGATGCCGCACCTGCGCCTGTAGCTGCGCATGAAGAGGTGCATACTGTATTCAAGACTCTCACCAAGACCATCTATGGAAAATGCGCGCCGACAAACACTGGTCTGACGACTAAGATCCTTGACAACATTGTTCCTCGGCCAACTTTGACGAAACCTGAGCCCGAGTCTACCAACTCAAAGGTCACCCAACCAAAGCCAACCGAGTCGAAGCCAACCGAGTCGAAGCCAGCCCATCCGATTGCCCCCAAGCCTGAGTTCACAAAACCAGAACCAGAACCAACGCAGCCACAAAATACTATGTCACTTCCCGTTCATTCGGAAATGCACTCTCATTTAACAATGCACGCTCATTCGACCACCGATGAAGTCACCACCATCCACATCCACAAGACAAAAACTGTCACAGCGACTGTCACAGCCACCGCGTCGACCGCCAAGGTCAGCGTCGATGTCACAGCCCCCAAAGGTACTATAATCGCGACTAGCAGTTCAACCAGTGAATCAGTCGAGGCAAGACCAAAGCCCGACCCCACACGGACAAAGCAAGCACCAAACGTCCTCCAAACCCTCGACAACCTACCGGGTCAAATCCCAGGCGATATAGATCAGATTCTTCCCGGTGTAGCAACCGTCGTTCCAGTCCCCGGCCTCCCAAACCTGGACCAAGTCCTTCACCCCGGCTCCCCTGCCATTCTAGACTGGACCTCCATCCCCTCCACCTTCACCAGTGAAGGCTTCGGCGGCCAAAGCTCACCATCCGGCAGCAATATCCAGTACAAAGGCAACGTCGGCAAACCATGGGGCAGCAACATCATCTCCGTGAGCCCGGCAGCCGCCCACCGCTACAAATACGTCGTTCAATTCAACGGCCCCCAAACCCAGCCCTGGACAGTCCTTATCTGGAACAAAATCGGCCCTGACGACAAAATAGACGGCTGGTACGGGCACTCCGCGTTGACATTCGTCATCGCACCGGGGGAAACACACTACGTCGCTTTCGACGAGGACTCGGAAGGTGCATGGGGAGCCGCGCCAGGAACGCATGGTCTTCCTACCGATAGCTGGGGCGGGTATACCTCCACGTGGGGTGAGTTCAGTTTCGGAGATGGAGAGAATAATGGGTGGTCCGGTTGGGATGTTTCGGCTATTCAGGCGCAAGTTGCAGGCCAAGAAGTTCAGGGAATGAGGATTTGTATGGCAGATGGGAAGGGGTGTTCTGTTATTACGCCGGGTGCTGAGAAGGTTGTTGATGCTTATACGGAGTCGAAGAGGCATCATGATGGGATTGGGGGTGCGGCTAGTCCGGGGCCGGTTAGGTTGGTTGTAGATCTGGATTATCAGGAGTAATTGCCCTGGGGTTGTGTTGGATGCATATCTGGAGTTATGTGCTTTTTTTTTTTACTTTTTAGGGGGGGGGGAGATAGGATTATTTGTAACGAAATTTTCAAGTATTTGAAGTAGTTTTCAGTTTATACACGAATCTCATTTTCTCCCAATTCTCTTACAAGTAGAGGGGTTTACATGGCGGGGATGTTGATTGTCTCGATGGACCATACCTTGCCACCCTTGCTGGACTTCAGGCCAGTGTAGGTGGCACCTGCGGCGGAGGCAATGGTGTCGCCGAAGGTGGCGTCGGCGGATGCGAGGGTGATCTTGGTACCGGTGTACTTCTGGGCGGCGATAGTGCCAGTGCAGGAGGAGTCGCACTCTGTCCCTGTGCCGTAGCTAAAATTGATGTCAGAACAAGAATTCCCAGATTCTACTTAGCAAACTTACCCAGTCATGTAAGGCCCAGAAGCACGGGCATAGGTAGAGAGAAGAACACCAGTCTCGACATTGGTGACGGTCCTGTCGAAGAATATGAGTGTCCACTTTTTGTGCGTTATAATTCTCGCACTTACTGGTTCCAAGTCTGTCCATCACTCTCCAAGTTATACTCAATGCGAACCTTATCTGTTCCACTAACCGGGCTTCCATTGCCATCAAGCTGACCGAAGGAACCAAATACACTGGCGCGAACGCACCACTGGCCGGTGGTGGCACCGCACCAGGAGTTATCGGGCCAGCTCTCCAGGGTAGTCTGGACCAAATCACCAGTCCCGTTTGACATGCCAGGCCACAGAAAAAGCTCTCCATTCTGGCTTGAAGGTGCAGTTCCAGGAATAATAGTGGTGACTGCATTCACGATAGTCGACTTGGTCGGGCCAAGAGACACACTGCCGCCCCAGCTATCGCGCTTGACATTGGTTGAGCGGGTGTCGAAGAGACTAGCACTAGCCAAGCCAGCAGTAGTAAGAAGGGGGAGAAGTTGCATTGTGAGGGGTTCGATTTAGAGAGGTGTAGGGCTGGCTAGGATTTAGACGGAGCTACCTCAATGTTTATACCCTGATCCCTTGAGCTAAAATTCTACAACAAAAGGATTGACTGGTGGAATTAATTAGACAGCTGTCAAGGATCTCATGCCGACATCAAGCCAGGTTTTACCTCAAAACAGTCTTAACTATCAGAAGGCGCTAAACTAGTGAAACAAGAGGGTCTACGGAGGGTCGCCGTCCCATTCCGTGCTGCACCCCGACCTTAATATTTGCCAAATACTTCGGATAACGCCACAAATGCAGAACCAAATCCGTGTTCTGGGCCCTATTCCAATAGAGCTGATGACAGGGTTTTACTGGGAAGCACCACAGGGTCCAATTTATATTGTTCACGTAAAACTTCGGGTGGGGAAAAGGCAATGCAGTCAGTCAATTCAATTTAGTTTAATAAAACCCCCCGAAACATTCCTTTAATCAAGATACTTCCCCTTGCTCTCTTCATGAATCACATCGAACAAGGGCTTTGCACTGAACCAGCCCGCGACCGGTGTTCCGACCGTCTTGTAAGTGAATGCCGCGTCAGCTTCATCGATTTTCACCGTCTCACCTCCGCGACCGGCTGCCGCTGCGTCCGCGAGGAGTTGTGCGTAGCAGCACTTTTCCAAACTGACAAACCAGAAGACAGTCTCTTCTACTGATTTTCCGACGGTCAGGAGACCGTGATTCTGTAGGAGGGCGGCTTTCTTATCGCCCAGCTCTTTCGCGATCTGTTTACCCTCTTCCTCGGCAAGTACGACACCGTTGAACTGTTTATACACGACATGGTCCTATTCTTTGTCAGACCTGGTACTCTCTTAACTCTTCAAGGAAGGATGAAAACTCACATTATGGAAAGCGCAAGAATCCTGCGTAATAATATCCAGCGGCCGACCCAGCGAGCAGAATGCGCGCCCATGAATACTATGGCTATGCGCTGCACAAAGTACATCGGGCCTAGCCTCGTGGATCGCAGAGTGAATCATGAACGCCGCAGCATTGAGTAACCGGTTCGGTCCACCATCAATGACCTTGCCGTGGTGATCGACTTGGATCAGGTCCGATTTCGTCATCAAAGAGAAGGCACGACCGAAAGGGTTTACCCAGAATGTCGTTGGGTCAACGGGGTCTCTGAGCGTGATGTGGCCAGCGACACCTGCATCATGTCAGTATTCGGTTCGGCAGGATCGAGTAAGGTCATTACCTTCGTCATAGCCAAATTTCCCAAAAATACGGAACGCAGCAGCGAGTCGACCCTTGAGATACTCGCGCTCTTCAAGCTTTGTCTCGAATTTCGGCATCGTGGGCATCTGCATTTTAACCTTGGCTGATTCGGCGCCAGCAGACTGCGACGTCTGCGGGCCTTTGGCTGACATGGTGGAGGGGATGGTTTCGGTGGTGGTTGAGGGGGCCATTGTGGATTGATTGTCGCAAAACTGACTCTTTGGATGGATGTTGAGGTTTACTTCAGTGGTCTCAAAGGAGTACATTTAAACGGAGCGGGGTTGCTGATATTCGATCGCGATAGGATTGGGTGAAGGCAACCGAGGTTGCGGTGCGTTCTCCGCTTCTCCGCCTGGCTAAAGTTCGGATTTGGATTGGATGCCCGAGGTAATACAGGAGCTTAAGTACACAACTTATGCTATTCAAGTATGTAAATGCAGAGAATGTCCGAAATGTATATTGGCTGGATGCATGAAAAGGTGTTGAATAAGTATCAAAGGAGCGTCAATCTCACACTGTAACCGCTTGGACTTACAGGTGTGGACGAAACAAAAAGGTCAGAATCTTCGAATTTACATGGTCTATAAAGGCAGTGCCGGCCAGTGGCCCAGGTTGACGTCTTTCAAAAGCGCATCGAAGAGTTTCATATCGGCATCATTCATGTCATGACGAAGGGCTGCAGCTTTCTGAGGTGCGCCGACTAGCGGCTTCAAGTCCGCTTCGCAGAGGGTACCGGTGGCAGGAAGATCGCCAGTTTGGAAGTAATTGCGGATTGACTTGGCAATACAGACGGAAGGTGCAGCAATAGTGGTGTGCTGAGTTTCATTCACATTAGTCTCAAGACGTCACTTTACATAAAGTATTCCTGGAAAGAACTCACCCCTTCGGAATCTTGTTGGAGTAATCTAGACCCGGGGAATTGCTGCGACATGTGCCGTGCGCTGTGTAACTTCAAGTCAGCATGATGTAATCATACGAATAATCGGCAATGTTTGCCTACCTGCTCAAAGGCGTCACTGGGTCGAGTGTATTCGCCACAAACAACATCGGGTGGGAGGTAACACCGCCCCACGGACCTAAAGATGATCAGTATCATGATGGATATTCTACTTAGAGCCATACCTGTAAACTTATACTTGGCCTTGGCCTTCCAACCGACACATGCCAGCTCAAGTTGGGCCCAATAATCTCCAAGTGCTGCACTGTCGGCTCTTAGATGATTCCACTTATCTTGGAACTCTTCTATACTCAAATGAGCCATATACTCTGCGTCAGTGCAGAGAATAGCAGCGCTCGCATAGAGACTATTATCCTGTCCCCGCGAACATTCCGGTGACCACGGGCCAGCGATACTGCATTCGCTAGATGGACAGACGGAAAAGTGACTGCGATGTTTGAAATCTGCCAAAGTTACAGGATTCCCCTTCATCAACTCGCTCATGTGGTATGCCAGAACAGGAAACGCAAGTAATGGTTGATACACAGCAACGCGAAGAATAGCCTTCACGTCTGTCCAGGTCACAACCTCGGGTCCCCGAGTGGCCGATGCCATCACCGGCATCGACATATTTAGAAGCTGGTCCTCGAGTGACCAATATGCATCCAGGATGGCTTGTGCTCCTCCTTCAACAAACAAGGGACAGTCATTTGAACCGACGGCATTACAGTAGTGACCAAAACGACTGAAGATTGCATCAGCGTCAGCTATTGCACTTGGCCCGCGCCCTTCGTAGTACTTGTCCATGTTGACGACACCATCGAGGACAGCGCGTTGAACCCGATCGGGGAAGAGGGCTGCAAAGGTTGTGCCAAGTAGAGTACCGTAGGACCGGCCCCAGTACAAGAGTGGCTCCTGATTGATACGCCACTGCGTGCGTCTCAAAATTGCACGCGATTCATCGGGGCCGTGACTCTGATCAAAGGAAGCCTGTGCCTTGAGGCCCTCTTTCTCACGCCATTCACCATGGCGCTCAATGATAGTAACCATGTCTTTTGCGACCAGGGGAGTACTAACATACTCCATCATGGAATCATTCTGGTGGGGCAGATCTGCCATTTCCCAGAATGAACATCCCGAGTTCAGTGCCTGGGTACGCTGCCAGTTCCTAACCAGTGATTCCGGGCCACTTCCAAGCATGCCTTCCGCCGAGACTTGCAATTCCCAGTTCCGCTGCGATACAGGGTCTGGAAAGCATGTCACTGCCGGTGTCGTGGATCCCACACCACGTGGGTCAAATCCAATAATGTCGAAATACTTATCGCTGCTTTCAGGCGCAGGGAAAATAGGATCACTCTCCGCGTCGACAATCGTCTGTAAATTGCGACCAGTCAAAATTGCCTGCAGGGTTCCAGGGCCACCCGGACCACCTTATAAGGTAAGTAGGAGATACTTTTCTTTCACGACCTTCTAAAGAATCGACTAACCTGGGTTAATCAGGACAGCGCCTCCATAGCGGGGGTCTCCAACCGGGACTTTCGCTGGGATTCGTACCACAGCCAAAGTGAATTTTCGATCCTCAATATCCGAGCGATTATAGTCCATCGGAACCTCTAACCGGGCACATTGGAAACCATCTCCACAGTCATGATACTCCAGCGACTCCGAAGGAGGGATGCTCTCCCAGCCAAATACGGACTCTGGCACAACCACCGGGGGGCTAATAGGAGACCTAAGAACCACAACCCAGAAATAAGCCAGGCCAACCACAACCGCAATAACCCATCGTCCTGCGATGTTTCGCCTTGACGGGGACGTCAGCGGGCTCGGGCTCGGGTGCGGGCGTGGGTCGATCGATTTCCAGTCCATGGCTCACGCGACCCAGTGATCCACACGGGAGTTTGACAAAAGCACCCAGTCGAAGGCGAAAACACACCACCAATAGAGAGAACAGGCGTGGACATCAAATATCACCAAATTCCCTCTCCATGAGCTGGAGAAGGTGATCAGATAAGAACACGGCGGAAAGGCGGCGCTGGGCCATGGCTGATCGAAGGGGTCCATCGAGTGGGGAGCGGCTGGGACCTCAAACCTATCGTGGGTCGCAAATGACGGCGGTCGCGTTGATCGCTCACGATGCGCTCAGCTGGACAATTTTATTGGAACCAGCTGACCCATAGTTCTGGCGGGCGCATGCAGGAGGAAGAAAAGTGTACTCTGCGCTGATAAATCCGTGCGTTTTGATGGGTTGGTGATGCTGGTTCATTCCTCTCTGTCTCGGGTCCGTGCTGTAAGGGCCTCGCTTACCGATGTGTTTGGTGACGATTCGTTTGTGGAGACTGGTGATCGCGAGCTAGTGACGCGCAGAAAGGACCGCTATTGCAATCGATGGGGCTGAGTCGTCGATCGCGTTGCTTTTGTGATCAGTCCAAACGTGGGCAGACGCACTAAGTATTTTATCTGCTTTGTGCAGATATGTCATCCTTAGCAGCACTGCGCATGATTAATAGCGGATAGAATCTCAGGAAACAAATACTTAAGAAGTTTTCTCAGCCAGACTAGAAAAATATCAAGCTTCTAGTACTAAGTCTTTAACTGCAATACAATTGACTAGGGACATTTGAAGTATGAACTCCACCTGATCCTAATTCTCTACAAACGATCACAAGTAGTAGGGAAAACCTAATAGAGGGCGGGAACTGCTTTTCTTCCTTTCCGTAGCAATACAGGAACAGACAAGATCAAAGACTACCAATCCAGATTCTTATAGCACTTGAGGTTGACGGGGCCTAGTGCTCGACAGAGAGGGTAACACGAACAAGCCGGGGTTCGACGCAAGGGCCTAAAAGTCACGAGGGGTAAATGAATGGCCCAATGCAGTGTTCTTACAAATTCAATTCTTAGTGACAAGGTGAAATGCTCCGCTTTGAATTTAATGTATAAGACTTGGTGATAATGTCAACATGCTGCGTTTGCGAAGCGCATAACGATGGCATTGGTGCTCCAGATACATTGGAATTTAGTTAGGTCTGATCCAAAGCACATACACAGAGGGTTCAGCGGCCGGGGAACAGAACAATAGACGTCAATATACATATAGCGTATGTATGCAGCGTATACAAAAGGCAAAGCTTCACAAACACAAAATCAGTGGGTGAGGTGGAGACACCTTTGTGAGAAACCTAGATATGTTGATGCTTCCAGTGTGTAGATAAACCCTTTGTTCCGTTTGTCCCATTATACTACAACATTACAACGATAGCTTACAGTAAATTGGGCGCGCATGGTTAGCTTTGTCGCTCATTTGAGCACCCTATCTACCAGAATCTTAGCCCTTATAACAAGACGTGACATGTTTCGGTTGAGACTACCTCCATTAGGACCACGTAAGCTAATGACCCAGGAAGAATAGCCGCAGGGAGTATATACGGGGAGGAAAAACATCACTACCAGTGCTCATGGACATCTGTAAAGGACTTAGTGATCTCTCTAACAAGCTTGAAGAAATTCATGCTCGTATGCGAGAACTTTTGGTCGGCCTCAACAATATTGCAGAAAGCCACCTATAAAAATTCTGAGCACAGGGCCTTTCATAGTTTGCTCCTTTGCATATACATGTGCTAGAAGCAACGCTTGGAGATAACGGGTTATACTCTTTCCAAGACCCCATTATGGTGTCGGTGATACTCTGCAACTACCTGATATGATGTTGTCATTATTGTTCTTTAAGACACAATATATGCTACTCGTCTTTCAAACATTGCTCCTTTATTAACTTTATCCACGTATTTTGAACTTAACGTCGTCCACACCGCGCTATCGCTGTTGCCAACGAACCTCTAGTCGAAAATGCCAAATCGTTCGATCTCACTAGGCAATCCTCGTTCCAAATATTGACTCTACAACGCCTACCCACTCTTCGACTTGGCAACACTCGGATAATACAAACCCGAGTGATTCCGGCTCAATCTCCAAGCAGGATGAGATGGATGGCTATGCAGAGATTTAGGAATTAGAGGATGGGGAATGATTTGAAGGCATGGGAATTGCGCGATTGAAAGAATTGACAATCTGAGAAAAAAGAAAAAAAAAAACTTCTTATCTATGAATGAGAAAGCGCTATAGAATACCGATGAATTGACAGTTAACGCCGAAGAATGACAGTGAAGCTTATAAGAACTAGACTCCCGAGGAACCATCAATCACGTCAAAAACACCATGCAAGACAGATAACAGATCACCGCGAGACGTCACCAATATTTGCAATCGCGCTTACTTTTTCTTGGTTATCTTTTCACGACCAGGCGTGGAATTTTCGACTTCTTGCAAAAAAGCAACGAGTGAAGAAATATCATCATAGTCCATCCACTTCTTGCCCACCCTATTCCTAACAGACGGGAGGATAGTATCAACAAGGTGGCGAAAATGATCATGGTCTCTAAATGAAACACAAGGCGTATATTGCTCGAGCCAGATAGCAAATTCCGTCACGGTCTGGTATTTGCGCTGTGTTGATTCATGGTACAGTTTGACTGCCGTGTCTCTGGGACAACCCTCGCCTCCTACTCCGGCTAGGAATACGCACATGTCGAACCAGGTCACTCTGCGGAGTTTGCTGGCATGCGCGACCCACTTGGCTTGTAACAGGGGAACCAGGGAACGCTTTGCGGCGTTTAATTTTCGGTCATCGTTGTAGTAGGCGGGGTGTTCGGCGAAATGGGACTCCATGAAAGTTAAGAACTTTCGTACCTCGGTGAAGTTTTTTGCTCGACAGGGCGCGAGGCAGGGTTCTGGGGGGACTGGTGACATCCGCCGTGGGCCTGTTGGTGTGTGACTGGGTTCTGCGCGCATGCGTAGCATTCGGCGTGGGGTTGTCGGTGCATGGCTGGGTGGTTCTGATGGGGGTGGGCTGCTTCGACTTGCATTGCCTGCTGTTTCATCAGCGTTGCTGGGATTTTCTTCATGCTCGGAGGCGGAGGCTGAGGCGGAGGGCTCTCCCTCGTTTTCGTCGGCGGCGCCATCACCATCCTCCATTTCACAGTCTTCGGAGCCTGATCCAAGGTCTGGCAATTCGCTTTCTCGGTCTGTTGTAGCGGCGCCCATAGAAGTCGACTGAATCAGTTCATCAATGGCCTTTTGTGTCTTGCTTTGATACGAAATGAAGGGACGCGACTGTGCTCGGATGCGCTGCTCGCTGACTGAGAGGACTCGATTTCTTGCTATAGGAGCAGCGGACTTGGACCGGATGGGTTTTCCTTCCACCGACTCGATTGGGCTGGCGGCGCGGTTCGCTGTGAGAGCCCGAGCCGAGCCCAATATGGTTATCTCGTCATTGATCTCACCATTGGGCATTCTATTGCAGGTTCCATTGGGGGCACCATCTGCATTATCTTGAACAGCAGCCATTTCTAGGCTGCGTGTAAGGCGACGCTGAGCTTCTATTTGAAGACGAACTCGCGCCCGAGCTTCAAGAAACAACCGCTGATCTTCAAGGTACACATTCTGCATCTCGACAAGCACCCTCCGTTTTCTCATCTCCTCGTTCATTTTCACCATCCGCTCCAGTAGTTCATCCACCGGTCCCTCCATCTCGTCATGTGTGCGTTTGAAGGTCGGAAGCGGCACATATGGCGGTTCGTAGATCGGTATATCTGGTACTTCATTTGGGTTGAACGGCAGCATAGGTTGCGATCCGTTTTGCGGGTCATGTTGCGATTCATCCTGATTGTCTTCCTCTTGGTGTGCGGACGTGGTGTTCCTGACTTCAATCTCATCGGCCATTATGGCGGTGGCCGACGGGCATGTTTTGTGGGATTGGAATTCTGTGGGGGCCGATTGTCAAGAAGTTACTAACGCACGAGCTGACATGACATGTCCACGCGGGTGTTGAGGCTGCAGATGACAGCTCCAAATGTTTTACTCCTGAGAGTTTGGCGGGCGGATGTGAATTGCCCGTCAAATACGCGCGTATCTCGGGCGGTCAGTAAAAAGCGGTGAGAGAAGGGCGGTGTTTACAATAGTTACAATCTACACCCACGTTTACAGACACTTTTTTTTCTTTGATCGCGATCCTTCATTGGTGGTCTCGACTAATATGGTTCGTCATCGTTGATATCAATAAAAAACGTGAGGCTGCTCTCGTTTGGACGATTTACCAGCGGCCGGACTCCTCCAACTGGCGCTCGGCGCGCTGCTGGGCGTGGTGCTTGGCCTTCTCGCGGTCGACGAAGTCCAGACCCTTGGTCTCGACCTCACGGTCAACGAAGGCACCGATGAGACCGGCAACGACCTCCTTGGCCCTGGCGTGGTTATCAATCTGGCCTGCGGAGAAAGTATGCGTTAGATATGTTGGAGTTATAGTGGGGGAGTATGGTCGTACCGTTGCGAGCCTCGTGGTCCTCGTAGGCCTTCATGGCCTCGAAGGCAGCGGCGCCACCGATCAGCTCGTGGGAGAACTTGGCCTCGTGTTCGCGGGGGTCAGTGTTCTGGAACTCGTTGTAGTGGCGAGCCTCCTGAGAATCGTCTGGACAGCGAGAGTCAGTTAAATGACCTCACACGGAAGACAGTAGTGTGACTTACCGTTGAACCAACCCATTGTGAAGATAGTGTAGCTGAAGTGATAGAGATGAAAAAGAGGTTGTAGTGGGAGATGGTAAAAGGGAAGGAAGAAGAGTGAGACGGTAGGTACTTATAGCCCCTCCACGAGCTCAGCTCAGCTCGTCCCCTCCAAAGAGAGCCCCTGGTCAGAGAGAGCGAGAGGTACCCATGGTCTCCATCGGATACGTACGGATTAGCGCCAAGCAAGCTTAGCTGTGTAATAACCGCCCGATTCAGAATAGCCCGGTAATAAATAGCGACCTGCTAACTGGATCAGGAAGTGGACCTACATTATGATTGGGCCAAGTGGTCAAGCTTCCTTGCCCAGACAATCGAGGCAAATTGACTGATGCGGAAAATCCTCGCAAATCACCCTAGATCCGAGGTCGGAAGACCAGACACATGTTTTCAGAATCCCGCGTGGAACCATATTTTACGAGACGGGAAGCAATTGGGTTTGGCCAACCTGTATCAAGCGTGACGCAGGCAACGAGGGGCATTGGATGATGCGACGCCACACCTGTGCGGGGGGAGTGTGGCAATGACGAGGCTATGTTTCATACCTCGCCAATAAGATCTAGTGAACTGGCCAAGTTGAGCACCTATGAATAGTACAGACAAGAATTGTTTCATCTCTTGCATCACGACGCCCCTGAATTAGGCCCCCGTAAACAATTGAGGCGGTTCTGGTACTGATCCATGGTTAGCGACGGGGGGCCTGCGCCACGGAGGGGCTCAATTTCCGGACCACCGGCATTCAACACGCCGATCGGTGCATCGCATATATGCGTAGGGCTACGATGCAAGTAATGCAGGTGCATGGAAATATGTACAGAAGTAGAACTTCAAAGTGGACATCATGGATATGAAATCATGGGTGCATGAATAAACCGAGTTACTTGCGGAATGGGTGTACTGATGCCACGAGTGAGCTTCAGCTCCAGGCTCACCGCAACATTGGACTTTGGCGGAGCCTCGTTGGGTTCCGACATTAGCGTCTTGGAATACATAAATTGAGGATCAACACCGGGGACTCTAGAGCTCCGGGGCTCTCTGTATGGCGTATGGTGATACAGATTCACCGCAACTTGCTCGTAGAACCATCTAGCATCGTGGATTCGGCAATGCCCGAAAGCTGTCCGAATCGGGCGACGAGTGGGTATTCAGTGAGAGTGCACTATTACTTATGCTGCGCTTCTAGTTCCTAGCGCCCCATTGCCAAAATTTACTGTGATCTTGAGGACCTTTGCCACCTTGAGGCGATCCTCTGCGTCTAGTTTGCCTGCTCCAAGCCTAGACCCTCGGCGATGGACCCTATAGCAGCCGTAGCTACATATCATTCTTACATACTGCTACACCCTTCTCATCATCTATCAGCAACTTCCCACGTGTGGTTCGGATAAGAACCAATCGTGCCAGACTACCTCCTTATACACACCCACAGCAATATACCTTCCTATCATGATAGAAGCAATGTCACGGTAAAGACCACATGGCCAGTATATTAGCTATTATGTACAATTTTTTAGATCGAAAGCCTAGACCTCCTCCCACAATCAATCAACCATTCAGCGCTTCTTTCCAGGCGACCCAAGCAAGCAAATAAACTTGCGATTCGGCGTCTCATCCAAGACATTCTTCACCAAGTTCCAAACATTCAAATCATAAGCCTCACCAATATGCCCAACGGGATCCAAAGGACAAGTCGACTGGATCCAAAGATTGGTCACACCATCTTCATGAACGAAAGCAGTTTCAGGCGGGGTGACAAGCTCATCGTATTTAGACGCGATGATGGTAACCTTGTTACCCTCCTGAACGATAGGGTTTCCATCATTCAAACGAACAATGGCAGCGCCATCGGGACCGAGATCGTCACAGGCGCCGCAGCCGACGGTATCGAGAACATCGGCCACGACGTCGCGAGTCAGGTTGCCGAGAAGATAGGCCAGGTTGTAGAGGCCGGCGAAAGTGGTGTCGTGTGTTGGGGGTGCAATGGCGGCGATTTTATCGATGAGACCGGACACGCCCTCGAACTTGGGCACGTAAAGAGATTGGAACGCGCCTTCGGAGTGTCCGACGAGGTCGACTTTGCTCTTTCCGGTCTTTTCAACGACTTCTTTAATGAAAGCTGCAATTTCAGGCGCCGAGTCGGCGATATGCTTGAGACCGCCGACGAGCGGGAATCCCTCATATGCACCATAGGTCAAGGAGTAAGTACAGTAGCCCTGGTTCTGTAACCAGTACTGCATGTAGTTCAGATCTTCATAGTAGGTGGCGCCCAGACCGTGCAGGAGCACGACGGGGTTGGAGTCGGAGGTGCAGGAGTAATCGTTGATACCAAAGACGCCGGCCTGCACGGCCGACGCGCCTAGTAGGGCTGAGGCGAGTAATGAGCGGAGAGAAGGCATGGTTCCGTGGATTGAAGCTGATAGTTCTGCGGGAAGCGTCTAAGCGTTGGGTTTTATGATTCTACGGATGAGCTTGAGGGCGGGCCGCGATCTCCTTTTCTCATTTCCTTTTCATTTCCCTGATCATTTTTGGATCCATCGGTTCCTGGCACTATCGATTGCCAATCTGGAATAGCGTGCTGTGAGTGGTTGGGAGTGCGGGGAATGGGTAGTATCGGGGTTTAGCTTCATCAGGATGAAGTGGAGGTACTTGTGATCTGGCCCAATTAAATGTGACGAGATGGATTGTTTTGGCCAGAGCCGTGTGATCCATCACTTTCACATATGTCAGCTTGCAGGCAGCTGACAAGGCATGCGTTCATGGAGACAAATATCCGCCGCTGAGACATGCATAAGTTGAATAGGAGTGAAATGTGCCATTGAACGTTGGAATACTTTTGAAAAGTTCGCTGCTAGGGATATCTCGCGCTCGTCATACAATCATTTAACGCTAGTTGTGCCAATGTGGCCGCTCATCCAGAAAAAGTGGGTAGAAAAGAATCAGAATGGATCATGGTGAATCGCTGTTGAGGGGTGAGTTCTCCCGAACTGATAACTCTGGCATTGCACTGCCCCAGAGTCCCAAGGCGTGGCGTTTCTCAACCAGCTGCAGCACTTCGACCAAAAATTGGCGCTCGGGGCCCCCATCGGGAAATGCCTCCCAAGCCACGCGCGTGGGGAAGGCAAGGCGATTGATCATATTTCCTGGGGCTGTTAGGATGTACCATTCCAAAGTTCGGCAGATACCGCATCCCAAGTCATATTGCTCCATTGGGGTAACCCGGTCCACCGGGCGCTTATCAACGGAGGAGAGAATGAGTCGGAAAGAATAGTAGAGGCACATGGTTTGTGCGAGCAGGAGGTTGGGGTAGGAGATTTTGGTGGGGGTGAAGATGGCACCGGTGCGTAGGTCTCGCCGTTGGAAGATGGGGAAATCTTGGTCTTCTGTCTGTTCGACTTCTCTTGGAGCTCCGTCCGGGTAGCACTCGACCCAGTCAATGACCCATTGCCGTAACTTGGCAGTGAGTTCGGTAATGCCGTTCCAAAGAGTGGACTGCTTGACGGCTATCTCATGCGTACTCATAACAGACTCTAGCTGCTTTTCTTGGAATGCGTCGGACTGGGCCAGCAGGCCAGGAATATCTGCGGCAAGGTCCAAGAGGTGATGTAGAATATCTTTGGTGGTTGTGCCAGCTGACCATGGGATAGTTTTCCATTCTTCTTCGGCCAAAAAGGATGGTTTCCTGGCCGCGAGTGCACCGCCAATCTGGATCATTAGCGTGATCTACATGAAGTAGGGGGAATGAGTAGAGACTTACCCAATATGGTCGTAATTCGGTGAACATGAGATGCTCGACTCCATACATATGGTTCTCTGGTCCTCGATGCTCAATCAGGCGCACCGCACCTCGAACATGAGCAGAGACACCACTCTGCGTCGTACGCTCCACACTCTCAAACGCAAGCAGGAGAATCACTGTTACCAGCGTTGACTCGGCCTTGCAACGCTCGGGGTCATTCAAGGCGTCCTGGAGACCGCGTAGCACACGAGGATATAATCGGAAGCCTGAAGCCTCGATTTGCTTATTCTGAACGGATCTACCGAAGAAGGCAACTGAGACAGCCTCGTAGGCATCCGAAATAAGAGGAGAGAACATCCGAATCCCCGCTGCAGCTCGCAGAGCACCTGCACGGCCAGATTTCAGATCCACTTCCGGAGCAAAGGCATCGACAAATCGCTCAACAAAGACATCGACCACAGGTCGCTGCATGTTCATGATGGATGTCGCGCCGGACGATGACGAGTCCGACCCACTCCTTACAGAAATTTCATCTTCATAATCGTCCTCATCATACTCAACGGAATCGTTGAAGTTGATTTCCTCAACATCTGACCCACGGTTGCGGACAACCAGAGTGGATACGGAAGAGCCACGCGATTGCCTGCCATAATTTTTATACGCTGCAGGAACAAAGTTAGACTATGCACGAGCAGCCCAATCATAAATCTTATCTCCTTACCATCATGGCCCTCCCAGGGGCCCACAGGCACCAATTCATCCTTCAAACCGCCATGTGCGGTCCGAATATCCTTGACTAGGGATTCCACCACGCGAGGCGGGGCCGAGCGAATAGACTCAAATAAGCTCTCAAGCTGGTCCAGCCGCTGGAGATCCTGGGCCCGAGACCCTGTAGATTGAGATAATTCCCCGATTAGCGGACATTTGAAGACTCCGGGGGTCCGACGGGACCCATCCTATACATACCATCTTGCCTCACATCTATACGCGCCCTCAGATCGCGAATCTCGTCCCTCAGATTCCGAATTTCTTCTGCCTGGCTAATCGGCTGTGCATCTTCGTCGGGCACATTCTCATACACGCATTTTGACGGATACCCATGTGCACAGCACGCGTGGCAGGGCTTGACTCGGTCGCACTGGACGGATCGCCGTTAGCTCGGAATGTCTCAAGCCCATAGCCTCAAACCCCAGTGGGACGTCTGGGATCGGGAACGGTCCCTCCCCGGGGGATCTGAGCACGGTACATACCTTGACCTTGCGGAGCCGGCAGACTTTACAGGATCGCGACTGGCGATTCGGCTGTTTCCTGAATCGCGGGTCTGGGGCTCGCGTGTCGGCCATGGCGCTGTCGTGGGAGGAGAAGGAGGAAGCACCATGGACCAACGACGCTGCGGGATTTAGGCGAGCCAGATTTCCGCCGTGCGCGTCCGAGATCTCTTGCTCGGAGCTTGCGGTGTGGACCACCCTGGGCCCGGTTTTGGGGTCTTGGGAGCTCTCCTACTCTGGGCCCGCTGATAGGCTCTGCGGAGGCCGTTTCAGCTCCGCCAGTTGCGACTGGGCCCGCCACTCTGCTTGGTTATTGGCGCATGTCTCGCTGAGGATTGCACGCTGTCTGTCAGTCGCTCGATAGGGTAATGAGGGGCTGAGACCTGGACACTAGGATAGGAGGTGGCATGGTGATACGGTGATACATACGATGGCGTAAAGGTCTAACGGCCCTAACGGTCTAATTTTTCTGTGTCGAGACGCCAATTGAGCCTTGTGACCGTGGCAAACCACCACAGGCTCCGCCAAAAAGAAAAGAAAATAGCCTTGTTACAGTCATTGATTTAACACTTGGTGTCGACTTGTTTGAATTGGCAATCAGCAGGTATCGAGACGCATATGCCGGGACTCGCGAGAAAGGGTGCTTTTGTTGGTGCCCCGCCCCAACGGCTCACGGCTTACCTTTCCCAGACCCGACAGTATCCAATTGCTTTGGCCCAACACATTAAATAATCAATTGGCAAAAGTCACTCCCAATTCAAGTCAGTCTGCCTGGTTCGAGTTTGGGGGCTTGGACTGACCGGGGTAGTGAATAGTAAGGAGCTACGCAGGGATCGGCGTGCGCGCAAAGCTCAGGCCTCAGGTGAAGCTATGACCAGCCCTGGGGCTTAGAACAGCCAACATGTATAAAATTTCGTTATACTTCTAGTCATAGCTTCTAATATCTATCGACCTTTACGCATCTGTTGATCAAATCAAATCTCCTCAAACGCTCTCACAACAAACGACTGCCCCTGAATAACGACCTTCTCCCCGGGAATCCTCCACGCCCCCTCTCCCTCTCCCTCAAACCCAGTCTTCATAGAGGGCACATCACCAGGCTTAGGACCAACCACATACTTATCCTGCCAAGCACCACTCCACTCCTCTCTCCTAGCACTAACCTCCTCCCCAGACCTCTTCACAACCCAAACTCCGGCCTCATCCTTCTCCTTCTTATGAGTCTGAGTCTGCTGGAATGCCAAATACGTTCCCCAGATCCTTCCTAAGAAAGACTTCGTAAAGCTAACCTCGGCGCCCTCCGCAATCTCACCATGCTCAGACTCCAGAATCCAAGACATGCCTTTCTTCGCACCCTCGGGTCCCTCTCTAAAGGGCAACTCGCGCCACACTTCCTCAAAAGCGGTCATCGGCGCACCGGGGAGTTCAGGGTGCGGCATCTCGCCGCTCTCAAGCTCGTCACCGTTGGGCAAGGGACTGAAGTTGCCCACGTCAACGATGCCAATTTCATTGAGCGAGTCCAGCTCGCGCGTGAAGGAAACCTTGACTGGTGAAATGTAAGTGTGGATTCAATAGGTCCAATTGCGAGATTGCAGATAGTTTAATGGGCAGGTGAGGGCACTCACCAGGTGTTTCGTTGGGGTTCTCCTTGACTGCCGTACCGGCCATTGCCCAGTCAATTGCGCCTGATTTCTTATCCATGCGCAGATCCAGGAACCATTCTCCCACGGAAAGGACGATAGTGTCGGTTGTCTCCTCTGGGACCTCAGGGACCCATCGCAGCGAGAGACGGGTTGTGAAGCTGCTGATTGAGCCCATGGCGGAACCGGTGGTCATTGTTACGGTTCAGGTAGAAAGATGTGGAAGAAAGTACCCCGGATCAGAAGTATTGAAAGTGTTTTATTTTATTGAGAACGTCAAGGTGGGTTCGGCATTGCGGACGAATGGAGAAGCTGCAAGAGACGGATGTAGATTGTTCTGTGGGAAAGTTAATCGCGACTTTTAGCGTTTTGCCTGCCACGCCGGGCGAAAATCCATTTTGAGTAAGTGTATCCGCTTAATAGATTACTTTGTGTGTGCAATCTTTTTATGTTATGCTAGATTCTGTTAATCAGTCTTTACAGCAGCTACAAGCTGATTAGACCGCTACTGTTCATCGGTGGGGCGTACTCAGATCTACTCAAAGTAAAAAGTGGGAGGTTGACTAGAATGGGAAGTGCCAAGCAATGGAACCAGAGGAATGGTCAATTGTAAACCGAAATGAATTAATCGTATATTCGTAATAGCATAAGCATAACTATCGTACACTAACTATCTAGACACGCTGGTGGCCAATGCTAGCAGAGTTGTCAAGGTCAGAGTCCACGCGAGGATCCATCTTGTTACCAACGCTGCTGTTGTGGGGACCCGCGTTGGTGCTAGTTCCAACGCTACCGTGCTGGTTGTAGCTGCTACCAGCACCAGCACCAGAGCTGACACTGCCGACATGAGGGTTGACACCAGCAGTCTTCTGGGCCTGCTCAAAGGACTTTGTGGTAGTGTTGGGGTTGCCGCCCGTGTGCATCTCATCGCTCATGCTGGAGTGGTGAGTCTTTTGCTTGCTCAGGTCACTGTCGACACGAGGATCGACCTTGTTGGCCAGGTTGCTCTCATGGGGACCAGCGGTGGAGGAGGCAGGGCCGGTGGCATAGGAGTGAGTTGAAGCAACACCGGTGCTGCCGTGGCGGTTGGAGAGGTCACTGTCCACGCGGGGGTCGGCAGTGTTGGCAACGTTGCTGCTGTGAGGGCCATAGTTGGAGGAACCCGTGGTGCTGTGTGTGTTGTGGTGAGCACCAGCCAGGCCGGCGCCGGCGACACCAGCGCCAGCCAGTCCAGTACCAGCCATACCAGCATTGGAGTGGTGGCCAGTAGTACCGTGACGGCTGGAAAGGTCACTGTCCACGCGGGGGTCGGCAGCGTTGGCAACGTTGCTGCCATGAGGACCATAGTTGGATGATCCGGTGGTACCGTGGGTGGTGTGGCTAGCACCAGTCAAACCGGCACCAGTAGAGGTAGGGACGGCGGTACTGTGGGTGTTGTGGCTAGTACCAGTCAAACCAGCACCAGTCATACCAGCACCGGAGTGGTGGCCAGTGGTGTTATACGCGGAGCGGTCGCTGTCGACACGGGGGTCGGCAGCGTTGGCAACGTTGCTGCTGTGAGGACCATAGTTGGAGGAACCCGTGGTGTTGTGGGTGTTGTGGGTGTTGTGGTGAGCACCAGCCAGGCCGGCGCCGGCGACACCAGCGCCTGCCAGTCCAGTACCAGCCATACCGGCATTGGAGTGGTGGCCAGTCGAAGAAGTGTTGTAGCCAGTAGTACCGTGGCGGCTGGAAAGGTCACTGTCGACACGGGGGTCGGCAGCGTTGGCAACGTTGCTGCCATGAGGACCGTAGTTGGAGGAGCCGGTGGTGCTGTGGGTGTTGTGGCTAGCACCAGTCAAACCGGCACCGGTCATACCAGCGCCGGTCATGCCAGCACCGGAGTGGTGGCCAGTGGTGTTGTAGGCAGAGCGGTCGCTGTCGACACGGGGATCGGCAGCGTTGGCAACGTTGCTGTCATGAGGACCATAGTTGGAGGAGCCGGTGGTACCGTGGGTGGTGTGGCTAGCACCAGTCAAACCGGCACCGGTAGAGGTAGGGCCAGTAGTGGAAGAGGTGTTGTACTTGGAGCGGTCGCTATCAACCCGAGGGTCGGCAGCGTTTGTGATATTACTATCATGAGGGCCATAGTTGGAGGATTGGTGGGAGTTGTGGGTAGTGCCAGTGTGGGTAGTGCCAGTGTGGGTGGTGCCAGTCTGCTCGGCCTTCTGCTCGGCCTTCTCCTCCTTGTGCTCGGCGATAACGTCCTTGACCTTGTTGATGATGCCAGACATGTTGATGGTTGATGTGTGGGGTATATTGAAAAAAAGTATTGAAGTGTGCTGAAGAGGGCTTGGAATAATTGCAAGTATAGTAGGTTGAATTATTTGTGTTTGATGAAGACCCTACTTCAGCAATTGACTGCCTTTTTATAATGCTGAGCAGGACAAGGTACCGTTTACATCGTGAGACATCTTGAACAAAGAAATGACGTTGGTCATAGTAGGATCGTAGATCAATGGTAACAAGATAATCATCATGTCGATCTTTTTAATCTATGCATAGCATGTCAGTGGTCCAGGGAAAGCGACCCATGTGTCAAGTTGTGGGGTGGAAGCTGGTTTGGCAAGGAACTGGGTGTTTGATGACATAGCGGAACGTCATAACCGGATTCGGGACAGCGCCACAGAGTGTAGATCAGACATCAGCCTTAAGCGCAGAATTCATTTCGAAAATAGAACAGCCCAGACAGGCGAATATGTTTGGCTAGACTGAGCTATTGCGAAACTGACTAGGGTAGCTATCGACATTGGCGAGGTTACCCCTGCAATTTACTGTCCCTTTCGCGTCATCTTGTAGTCGGCCAAGAACAAGATAACCAACAAACACCTCGAAAACACCGTCGATCTTCATTTCTCAATTCCATGGAACCAGTGAACCACTAGGCAACCAATTTTTTTCTTCTACAGTATACTTGGATGATAAGAATGACGGCGTTGAGCCACCGTTGTTACCCCAGGGCCCCAAACCCCCAGTGGCAGTGTAGGCAGGATTAGGTCATAGCTCCATTAACTTGAACCTCAACGACGGATAGCCAGTCGTCAGCCGTATTGAGTACGCCACCGGGATGAGAGACGTTAGTTGTTCAGTCCTTGCCTTGTACAGCACATTCTTCCATAGACCGCTGGTAGCATCGTGTTGCGTCACTATTCTACACTTGGTTTCTAAGACGCGTGGCGCCATTCTGAGTACATTCTTCCTGGAAGAAGCTCTCAATTCCGCCAGCTCAGTTTTTCTTATGTTCCCTATTGATGGCTAGGCTGAGACTACTAGTGTCGTCATTGCTTATGGCTAGGTGAACTTGCAACGGTTTTGTCCCCGGCCATAGCCTCAACCCAGAACAACTGAAACCCTTCGAAGTTACAGTAAACAATCGATAATTCCAGATCGTCCGTGAACAGTTCGTGCCTTAATCAATTTATGACCTTAATATAAACTAATCATGTTGGTGACGTGGTCGCTAGGCCCAGGTGTGCTCAGGCAGCTGACGACCGGTGAGAGAGATCAGCCCCACTTGATGACGATCCGGCGAGTTTAGCTGTATTTCCATCAAATTCTCAGCCACGGGGAGCAGAACAGGGTCCTCAAGTTCCAGAATTCCGGGACAATAATTGCAGGGTACAATGTTGAGTCTGAATAATGATGCCCCTCCCCCAACTGCACAGAAGTCTGCGATCTTCATCCACACCATTGCCATGTATTAGACTGTAAAAATCGATTATTTCTTAACCCTGCTAAGTTGATCATACAGCCCTGTAGATTTGGAAGCTTGGAAGAGCCTTCAAACTCCCCTAGGAACACACACGTATATTTCCACACTCTCGTATCTCTTTTGTGTTCTTTGGGGGCATGTTTAATATGTGCTATCTAGTTATCTACAGGCTTCAATGGTGCCTGGATGATGTAAATGCCGTATGCGACCGTCAAAAATAGGTGTCTGTTTCTTTTGGGGTATCAAGGGAACCCTAGAAGGGCAAGTGGCTTCACTTCGTGTGAGCCCTCATCATATATATCCTCCGAGTCGGACACACCCAAGGGGTTAGGCTATGTATATATGCAACATCCTGGAGTATCGGCTCTTTTTCTAGGACCGAGTAATTTACTCGGAAGATCATTTCAGGTCTTCGGTTCATCTAGGCCGGTGAAAACACTCAGGCATGCTCTACTTCAGAGGCTAATCGTATAGACCCGTGAACTATTCTTGCTAAGTATTGTACGACGGTCTAGGCCAAAAGTCCACCGAATTCCAACATACCCCCCGAGACTTAAAATCGGGCGGAGCAGAAATAGCCGGACAGATTAAGGTCCAGTCGGCTTTTATCACCCATAGCCAATCATATCGGGAGGTATTCTGGCTGAATGCATTACTGACAACCGACCGAGGCTTGCGGGCAACATCATGTGTAGGGATTCCAGAAGCCAGCGAAAGCCAGGAGTAAGACCGACTCGCATGGCATTTTCGTGACTTTACTCGGAGATGATGCGAGACTCAAAAGAGGCTTGGCTTTAGTGGACATTTGGGATTTGGGTATTAGGATGGCGCGGCCTAGCTTTGGATCGTGGCGTTATTCGGCGAGAGTCCCGGGGTAGCTGAGCTTTGGGCATGACTCGGTCAAAAATATCTAGCGTCGAGCCCCTTTCGAGCCATGGCCATGCATCGATCAACAAGCCTCAATTACCGTGGTCAAGCTCAGACTAACAAGAGACAATCAAAGAATGAACAGCGATATCTAAGGGGTGGCTTCGGGAACAGATTTCCTGGGATGCAGCCCAAGCTTTGCCTAGAAAAAACAGGATGGCAGATAAAGCAGGAGCCACGCGCCATGAGCCACGCGCGGGGGAAATGAAGTCAAAGGTCTAGCATGAAACTTAGAGTTCCACGGCTGATCGTTCAACCACCCGGACTTAGTCCGACCGAGGAGGCTAGAAGAATGCTGATTGCACGGCCGACTCGATACGGGAGGCCATGGGGGAATGTCCGGGAAATAAAGCTTGGCTAGCCGCCGAAGAGGGGATAACGAGAGCATATCACCCGTCAGGGGCCCTTCACCCCGGATTAAGAGCGCAAAACCCACGCCCCATCCGTGCAACCCCCACGGTGGAGGCCTTCCCCGGCCAGGTCTGCCTATCATTGTCCTGTATAGCGACCCATGACACCATGAAGCCTCGTATATCTCCGCATCCTGCACTTCATCCAGCACTTTATTGGCAAGCTCCACGCGGGTACTCCCCCCACGCTCTCCTCCAGAACCAACCGGGATAATTACGATTGCCGGAAGCGTCTGGAGGATAACCCCATAACGGTCCTAGTCGCTATGCAAAACTTGTAACATGACTTGCCCAATCTGTAGGGCTCTTCTCTTGGCGTTGTAGAGCATAAAGCGCTGACCCCGTCCCTGCTGGGGATCCTCACATTTCATCCCCTTTTTCTCTCACAACTGCTGTACCTGGTCCCTACCAGTTCTAGTACCAGCACTGGCACCAGCATCATGGTAGACAACGAACATACCATCGCTGATAGCGATATGATGGGAGAGAAGGCGGAGATGTCGCACGAGGAAGTTGTGCATCTTACGGAGTTGACCGAGGAAGAGAAAGTTCTTGAAAAGAAGCTGCGCCGTCGCATTGATTCATTGATCATGCCCCTGGTGGTGCTTGTTTACCTGCTAAATTATATCGATCGGTGAGTAGTGAACTAGTCAGCCAATTGAACTCTAGACTGACTTAGTTCTGGATAGCAACAATTATGCCGCGGCCAAACTCCAGGGTCTCACGGAAGATCTCAATTTGACCGATACCGAGTACCAAACCGGTCTTTCGATTCTCTTCGTCGCATACATCCTCATGCAAGTCCCGAGTAACTTGCTGCTGAACTATATGGGCCGCCCATCACTATACCTCGGTTTCTTCGTGACAGCTTGGGGACTGGTCTCGGCTGTCACTTCTCAGGCAAAGTCCTACGGTGGCATCGTGGCTTGTCGATTTTTCCTCGGTTTCGTCGGTAAGTCGCCATTGGATCATATTATCTAAGCCCTTTCACTAATACAGGTATATAGAGGCCCCTTTCTTCGCCGGCGTTCTCTTTTACCTGTCAAAGTGGTACACTAAGAAAGAATTGGCCTTCCGGATGTCTATTTTCTACTCTGGTTCCCTGATTAGTGGTGCCTTCGGAAACCTCATCGCAGCCGGCATTCTGAACGGCCTGGCGGGACAGCGTGGCATGGATGCATGGCAGTGGCTATATATTATTGAAGGCAGCATCACTGTTTTCGTTGGCATTGTAATCTGCTTTGTCCTTCCCGATTTCCCAGAGACATGGAAGCTCCTATCGCCAGAGATGCGAAAAATTGCCGAGCGACGTCTTGCCATTGATGCCGCCGAAGCCGATGTGGATGAGAAAGGCAGCATGAGCCAGATTCAAGGTCTGAAGCTTGCCATGACTGACATGAAGACCTACGTTCTCGCCCTTGGCTACATGTGTATCACCGGCGCAGCTGGTTTCCAAAATTTCTTCCCGACACTCACGGAAACACTGGGATACCCTAAGACGATCTCGCTGCTGCTGTGCGCCCCGCCATATATATTCATGGTCATCTACAGTTTATCACATTCGTGGATCTCGGATAAATTGGGGATCCGATTTTGGTTCTTCGCCTATCCAGTCATCCCCACCATAATTGGCTTCGTCATCTTCATCAAGACGGAAAGCTTCGGCCCTCGCTACTTCTCCTTGTTCTTGATGGTCTTCGTCTTCGCCCAGAACGGCACCCTCTATTCCTGGATCGCCAATGCGCTCCCACGCCCGCCTGCCAAGCGTGCTGCCGCCTATGCCTTTATCAACTCTATCGGTAATTCGGCCAGTATCTGGACTCCTTATACCTATCTTGAGAGCGAGAAGCCCAAGTATTATACTGCTATGTATGTTTGCATTGGCTTACAGGTTTTGGGTCTCCTCTGTGGTGTCTTCATGTACTTTAACCTGGGCATGCTCAACAAGCGACAGGAGCGCTTGGAGAACGAGGATACCCAGCTTACAGAGAAAGAGCTCCGACGGCTGCACCTCACGGCAGAGACCGAGGGAATCGATATTGCCGCTGCGCGGCGGTTGCAAAAGGGATTCCGCTATGTGCAGTAATTTTCTCGAGTTTACAATTAGGAGGCTTCTTCCAATATGATTTCATGGCCGTGTGTTTCGCTTCCGTTTTCCAATAGGTTTGGCGCGTAGATCGGCAAATAATGAATGTTGCGTGGTAAACTTGAATTGCCCGGAACTGGAACTCGGCAAGAGGAGCAACGCCGAGCCGTAATGAGACAAATGCTAACAGAGCAACGCGATCCTGTGCGGGGAAACTAGATCCCGCTAGTGGCGCGACAATGAGCTGAACAGTGGCCAATGCACCTGGGGAAGAGCACCCATCGAAGTCTCGGCTACCCTAAATCATTAAAGGTGACATTTCATGGAACTTGTTCTGCTTAAGTGAACAATATCACCCCCTGCTCAGAGCCGCCAAGGTTCCCCGTGTCCGTGCCAGCTTCAGGGCCTTCCAACACGCGCATTCGATATTGACTTTGCCCCCCCTCTCCGCAATCACCCCACCTTCACTCAACTATGCAGGCTCTCTCACCAGTGAAGAGAGCACTCCCGTCCCATATTATCACCCGATACTTTTCTGTATCATCCTCAATCATGGGAGAAGGTGATACCGGTGCGCCGAAGCCGCGGGGTTTCCTCGCTGAGTGAGTACGCGTTTCATATTGACTGCGTGACGTCACTAAATCCCGGCATCAGGAAAGACACGTTCACTCAACGCGGGGCAGCCCAGGAGGGGATGTATATCAAAGAGCAGGAGATGGAGAAGTAACTATTTTCTCTTGGGCTGTTTGTCATGATACTAATGTCCTGGCAGAATGAGGCTCCTTCGCGAGAAGCTGCGAGAGTCACAGAAGCACATGGAGGAGCTCGACAAACATCTGTACGGACATCTATTCTCCTCATCTCGTAATAGCGGAAAGAACGCTTCGGTCACACATGCTGACAACTTTCATAGGGAGGAATATGCCAAGACTCAGGGCGGCGAACAGGGCTGATTCTCTTAACTCTGTTATTTTGTGGCGACGTGGGTCATCAACATCCAACAGACTCGAGTGCCCAAGCAATCATGCGCTTATGAGCTTCGCTGTCTTCTGCATATAATTTAAAACCTTGATGATATTGTTCGATACCGCACTCTGAATGCAAATGCCAATTTGAAACTTTTATTATTCATTCGCACTCTCACCAGGCTGTTGGCCACACCTCTCCGGCATTAGATCTTAGCCTGCCATCGCCATCGATAGCTTAGACACGCCCATCTTGCCATAACGAACATGCCTAATGCAACTATCAAGACACTCCCCAAGTACGCCACCATGGCCTGCTTACCAACCTGCTCGAGCATCTCGCCACCAATCGGGATACAAATGAGAGTCCTATCCTAGGCATCAGAATCAACCGAGGAAAGATAGATCGAAAACAGAGAACAACTTACGCAAAGCTCACGCAGGAGTAGCAAATCCCAAAGCGGCCACCGACCTCACTAGCCTTGGATATCTGCCCGATGCAGGCCGGCGCGAGACTCAAGAAAGAGCCTGACGCCAGTCCAAAGATTGCGCTGAACATGTAGAGCCCGGGCAGTGTGTTTCCAAATGGTAACCAAATGGCGAAAATTGCGATTACACCGAGGCAGATAAGTCCGGTTTGTGTATTGATTCTGCCGTATTTATCGGCGATACCTCCGGCCATTAGTCGGCCGAGGGTGGAGAACCTGTTAACGTTAGGATCGGAGACACAGATCTGCGGAATGGAGAGCGCCTCATACACGTTTAGAGTTGACAAGAGAATGATACTGGTAGCGGTACTGAATCCCTGCATCACCACATAGGTGGGATATAAACCCAGACCAGCGAATACCTCCAGTTCCAAACCTATCAACCAATCAGCATCCCAGTCCCCACCCGCAACACCGAACACACTCACTGAAAGTCCCCAGCGTCAACCAAGTAAACCTCGTGTCCTTGAAAGCCCTCAAATTAATAGTCGACCTACTCCTTCCCCTCGGCAACCTCGATCTCACTAACAAAATACCTAGCCCACACATAACAGCAACCATCAAAGCCAGCATCCGAATGGCCCACTTATACCCAAGCCGCGTAAACGCAACCCTCAAAACAAGCGGAAACATCACACCTCCAAGCCCCGCCCCAGCCATCGCAGTCCCCAACGCCATCCCAACCTTCCGATCAAACCACTGCGGTACAGCAGCCATCGCAGCCGTACTCAACAACGCAGCACCCGTACCCGTAAGCACACCAAGTGTCAACATAAAATGCCAGTAAAGGGTACACTCCGCCAACAGCAATAACCCAGCAACATAACACCCCGTTCCAGTGATGAGGATGCCGGTAGGCCCATACCGGTCAAAAATAGGGCCGATCTGAACGCTAAGGACAAGTCCAAAGAAAGTGAATAAGCCGGGGATCCAGCCTATGGCACTGGTGGAGTATTTTGAGAGCTGGTGTGTTGCAAAATAGCTTTGGAGGACACCAGTTGAGTTCATCATTCCGTAGCTTGCCATTAGGAGGAAGAAAGACCCTGCTATGACGAGCCAGGAGCGGGTTCCGCCGTCGGGGAATGTGTCGTCAGGTCCAGAGTCGCGGATATGCGTTGTGTGGGTTGTTATGGCCGACAGCTGGGCGGGAGGCTCGATTATTTCGAAAACTGATTGCGGTCTTTCATGACTGGGTTCATTGCGGTGGTGGAGGCTTATGTGGGAATTAGTGTGGGTGCTTGGGCCGGATATATCTGGGTAGTCTGGAGCTGTGTATGGTTGTTCTGAGATGAAGGGGCCTGGTTTTGATCCAGCGGTCATGATGATAATATTAGAGGTTCCCAAGTGAGGTGGTAGGTAAAGAGTCAGAATTTTCCAAGGTAGTGGTAGAATGTGTTGGCTTTATCTCATCGTCGGCTTCGATCCCGATGTCCCGGAGCTTCGGTGACTCACTGATAAAGGTGTTGTACGAGCGCATGGGAGTCAAAATTATAGGCTATTTTACTGGGGCTGATGGGGAGTAAATGCAGTAATGAGGTGGGGAATTGGGGTTTGCGTCCCTAGGTTGGATATCATTTGCGACGTTGCTGGTTTTGTCGGGATGGTCTCCCGATATTTTCAAAGGCCGGTAGAGAGGCGGATTAGCTTTCGTATTTTTTTCGAATATGATACCTATTTATATCGATATCCCTGGATGCCACACCTTCAAATTCCACTGAAAGACGACATTAAGAAATGGTAGACAGACACCCCATTCCCTGTACCTATCAATGTGGAGCCTTGACCCTCAAAACTGCCCCGCGCTCACTAGTGGCGCTAGTGCGTTTAGAGAGCCCGATGATCTGAAGAATTCATTAATAAATTATCGGATATTAGTATTGCTTGAAAGTTACTGCGGTCACTGTGTGGCCATGACATTTGGTCGATGCCAGACTCCAGATGCGGTTGGTGAGAGAAATGCAATTCTCGAAAACCTTAGGGTACTTCAAAAGTGTGATCACTGTATATGATGCACAGAGCGCTGGGACTGGTAGATTTAACAGAAGAAAACCAGATACGATTTTGTCATTCAAGGTCGGTCCATAGGGTACTCATCCTGTGCCTCGTGCCGCTGTGAAAATTGCAATCGATCGACTCGCACCTTGGTATGCCAGCTCGAACGATCATATTCTGTTTATATATTATTTGCTCATCTATGCAATTTGTCAATTGACTTTCGATCGGGTGTCATAGGTGTGCGGTCATTGTGCATCCGCGGGGAGGTGGTCTGATCGGGTGGCGAAACCCGCGAGCCAAAGATCCCGACTTTTCCCTTGCGGTCAGCAATCAACCAGCAAGAATGGTGTGACGTGCAATTAATGAGTTACCTCAGCATGGTTCAATCCGAATAATTTTCTGAAGTGTCAGGTGCCTCTAGATTTGAGTATAATATCTCCCTTCCCAGGTCAAGAAGGCAAGGACAATCACCATACAAAAACCTCCTTGGTTTCCCAATTTCTTCACAATGCAGTGCGGTACCAGAGTCTTCACCAGGAATATCACTCCCACCTTACCAAGCCGAAGTCGCAGCAAGCTCCGCGTGGTCAACACCACTCCAGTCAAACCTCAACCTTCATACAACCCTTCCCCTGACTCCGACGAACTCGCATATCGCCTATGCGAACTCTCCTTGAGAAAAATGCAAAAGGAGGCGCGAGCCCATGAGCCCGATCTCCGACACTTCATTGCTTGCAACTCCATGCAGCGCCTTGCACATCAAGATCTCTTACATCGCCTGGACCTCCTATACCGGGCTGGGATCCAATCTCTACCCCTTCTTCCCGGAGTGGAGGACATGTCCGATGACGACGAGATGTGGGACATGAGGACCCTTGAGTTGGCTGTTTCTGAGTTAGAAAGAGCGAGCAGGAAGGGTGAAATGGCTCGTCTGATATTCTACCAACAGATCAACGAAATGTGACATGAAATACCCTTGGGTATCTCTGAAATGCTGTCCACGAATGATGAATTTGAAGTTGCTGCACCTTTAGCACTGAATTTTATTTTTGAAAAAGGCTATGTACTTAGGCCTTTTTGGGATCCATTATTTTTTAAAATTTAAAAATCCAACACAATTAATGGTTGTATGATCACTGTGCTCTCACTTAGCCCTTCACTTTAACGTCACATTTCACTTACAAGCACCGGCACCCCGAATATCATCTTGTAGAATTGCATTGCGCCAGCGTTACAATCGCGTAAGATTCCCTTTTTTATATTTGAGCGAAAATAAATTCCTACATATTCCTATGTTTGCAATTGCACGAGTTTGTACATCAATTATCGGGTCCTGTGTTTGGATCGCGCCTGCGTCGTAATTTAGGTAAACCTCCTTTTTTTGGCCTTGGGCGATACCACCGTTCGCCTTGTCAATATGTGAAGCCTAAAAGTGAAGTGCCAACGAGCTCCAGGTTTGTGACTTACTTCTCCGAAGTCTGCTTCCATTCGCAAAACATCTAAGATGTACACATTATAGTCTTGGATTTATTCATATGCTTTTCATACCTTCTCTTTGCCATTCCAGATTTCGTTTCACTACTGATCATCTACATCATGACCGATTTTGACACTTTCTGTTCCAGAATAGCACTCTGAAATATTTCAGGTTTTACAAATTCAGCGCCCATCCGCAAAGTCGCCCAAGTCTTACTTTCCGCAGCTTTATGCCATTCACCTATTCAAATCAACCCCAGTCCAGCATCCCGATAAACATCCATAAATACTCTCCGCATCTGCGACAAGTTCCTTGATTTTTTTGGCGTTCGACATATTCACTCCGACAACAAATCCGACTTTATGCCATATGCAGCTACGCTCATGAATGCCCAGTTCTAGCATTGAGAGGCACTCCTGCAATGTTGGCATTCTTTTATACAAGAGAACACTCTTCTCCCCCACCCTCACTCACCCATACCGACCAACGAACATCTCTCGTATTCTTCTCACTCATTGCCTCCAAGTTGCATTAATCATTTGGAGAAGACTTTGGGCGACCAAAACCCAAAAACCCAAATATCCCACCGCCCTCACCATACCTGTGTGTCATTTTTTGCGCGCTTCTTGTGTTGATTCACGATTCACCCATGCTAAATTCGATTTTCAGATCAATATCCTTGTCGCCATTCTATCCACAAACAACGAGGCATACTTCACGAAAGCTAGAACACCTAAGTCATTGTCATCTTCATCAAATCTTTACGACACCATACTTCAACCCTGATCATGGAGCAACGCAGGTGCCGTGAGTGTATCCAAGTCCTACCCATCCGAGAATTCATGAGCTTGAACGGCTCGGGGGCTATTGTTCAAGCATGCTTCGAATGTCGCCTGAGGGAAAAAGAGGCAAGTACCCCATTACTATCATTTCAACGGGTTATCCATGGCTAATTAGATAACAGCGGCGTGATCAACGACGGGTAAAACAGAAAGCTCTCTTAGAGAGATTCGGTACTCTCCAGCAACAGATGCCACAGCTTGCGAATTACCTCTACAGCGATTACCCAGCCCCAGCAATTCCGGGGAGGATGGTGAACTCATTGAGGCCAATGATTGAATCAAGCTCCTTGGGATCGCAGATCCCCGGCACCCTCTCTACCTTTGCGGGTCACCCCTGCAACACTCTCCAACGGCCGCTTTCGCAGCTTCCTTATAACCCCTACAACCATAACTATCCCGTATCGATGATTCCAGCAATGTCGAGTCCGCTGAGGCGATTGACAGAATCGACCGTTCCGGGGTCACAGATTACCGATACCGCCTCTTATCTCACGATGGATACTGGCATCACCGCTCCTCCTCTTTCTCGGCCTCGTTCACCAAGGGCCTCCCTCCCATCGAATATCAGCGATGAAGAAGGGAGTGACCAGTCATCTGACGACCCCGAATTCTTCCGATGTTTCCACTGCGGCTTCGATCGCAGCGTGAGACTGGATTATGAGGGAATTTGCGTGTACTGCTTGGAGCCGAAACAAGAGTGGTGTTTCAAAGGCAGACATGAATCCGACGAAGCTGCATTTAAAGACGACGAGGGAACACATCACATGTATTGTGAGAAGTGCCGGGGTCAGAAGGAGGATGAACAGGAGGGGAAGCAGAAGGAGGATGGACAGAAGGAGAATGAAAACGAGGAGGGCAACCAGGAACCGGAAAGGAAGGAGGAGCAAGGACGATAGTGGCAGCAGCGTTAGTGATCAGAACAGCGATAGCGAGAATTCTCGCGAGTGAATCATCTTTAGATAGTCTGTTGAGGCCCGAAAATAACAACACAGGGGATGTTAGCCCTAAAGGCAACAAATGCGAATGAAAATCTGTAGATGTAGAGTCTGAATTGGACGTTAGAATCTTGCAACGGAGTAGACACGGTGTTATTGGACCTGCGCGGCGGAGATTTGAGGCATGAATCAAGGGTATCTATCAACAAAGAGCCAAATCTTTATTCGGGGATAAGACAGCGCAATCCCGATCTGGCGTATATACGGAGTAGTGAAGCCGAGTGAGCCTACATGAGTGGTCATGACTTCTTTATCTGTCTGGGAATATTTATAAAACCTCGGAATGGACATCTTCCAGAAGAGACCACATGATGTCTCCGAAGAAGCTATTCACGAAGACACTCACGACTACAATGAGGCGTTTGTGACTCTTCGCATTATCTCTAGATAGAACCGATCAGGATGGCGCGCTTATCTCCGGATCTTAAGCCGTCCACGGGTTTACGGGTAGCCGTGAGTCGGGGTGATTAATCGTCCGAATGCTAACGAAAGTGGCAGCCGCGTGGACTCCGACGATGCAGAATCCGGCAGCCCGCTGACTCAGCGGCTTCTTGCCAAGGGCCCAGATCGGATTTGGATGAGTCACCTTGACCCTCGGACTCTTGGGCGTGCGAGCCCCGATCAAACGGATACGTTCTTATCAATCATTTGACGGCTTCAGCGGGGCCTACTAGGCAGGTGAGGCGGATTTCTGTCACAGCGGACAGATTTCAGATCCATGCATTCGGCCGACGACACCCAGCATCTGGACAGGACACATTGGATCCAATCCAATGTTTCGAGAAGCAGATTGGATGACTCAGCGGAAGGAAGCTGTCGTATCCTCCGTGGATCGTCCGAAGCTCCACATCATCTTGGTTCGCAGAGATTTTGGCCCATTACGTGGGTCATGCATAGCACCCACGCCATTCGCATGGAAAAGGGGGTCTGAAACGAAGTAGTCTATTTGCTATGTGCATAAAACCCGGGAATCTCGCATATTACCTTCCCAAGGGCTGGTTCTAATTGGGCCCGGACACTCGGGGGAATCCCAACGCCCGTCAATTTAGAGGCCCCACCGAGGCCATTCGTGTATCCTTAGCCCAGTATAAAACATTCAGGCTCCCGCGGATATGTACTAGGGGAAAATTCACACTCCGACACGGTTCAACATGGAGGGTACAACCCAACCCTCGTCGTCGTCCCGGAGAGGGTCGATCGATATCAAGTTTGAAACCGACAGTGCGGCCACGGTCATGGGCGATGAGACCCCTTATAAGAACGACAGCCCCGATACCAGCCAGCACAATGACTGGAGCTTGCTATCTCGCGTCCAGGAACAACACGAGCGAGACTTGGCCTCTGGCTTCAAGCGACAGGAACTCGGCGTCACCTGGCAAAATCTCAATGTCGATGTCATCAGCTCAGAAGCTGCCGTCAATGAAAACGTTTTGTCACAGTTCAATATTCCCCAGCACATCAAGGAGTCGCGCAACAAGCCCCCGCTTCGCACTATTCTGAACAACAGCCATGGCTGCGTCAAGCCGGGCGAGATGCTCCTCGTCCTAGGTCGTCCAGGCTCAGGTTGCACAACTCTTTTGAAGATGCTTTCAAACCGCCGCGGGGGTTACAAGTCAGTTGAGGGAGATGTGCGATTCGGCTCACTGAGTTCCGATGAGGCCACCAAATACCGTGGTCAGATTGTTATGAATACCGAGGAGGAATTGTTCTTCCCTACCTTGACTGTCGGTCAGACTATGGATTTTGCTACTCGCCTCAAGGTTCCCTTCAAGCTTCCGGACGGCGTTGAATCTGCCGAGGCCTACCGTCAGGAAACCAAAAAGTTCTTGCTCGAGTCGATGAATATCTCTCACACCGAGGACACAAAGGTCGGCAACGAATACGTTCGCGGTGTTTCCGGTGGCGAGCGTAAGCGTGTCTCGATCGTCGAATGTCTCGCCACTCGAGGATCGGTTTTCTGCTGGGATAACTCCACCCGAGGACTGGATGCTAGCACTGCCCTGGAATGGACCAAGGCTATTCGCGCCATGACGGATACCCTCGGTCTCTCGACAATTGTTACCCTGTACCAAGCCGGCAATGGCATTTACGATCTCTTTGACAAAGTTCTCGTTCTCGACGAGGGCGAGCAGATCTATTACGGTCCCCGGGCCCAGGCTCGGCCGTTCATGGAGGAGGCTGGCTTTATCTGCCGTGAAGGATCCAACGTTGCTGATTTCCTCACTGGTATCACCGTGCCCACGGAACGCCGGATTCGTGACGGCTACGAGAACCGCTTCCCTCGCAACAAGGAAGCTCTGCGAGAGATATATAAAAAGTCCGCCATCCATGACCAGATGATCACTGAATACGACTACCCGAACACCGAAGAAGCCCGCGAGCGAACCCAGGACTTCAAAGATGGTGTCGCTTTCGAGACGAATAAGCAGCTCCCGAAGAATAGCCCCCTGACTGTCAGCTTTATCGAGCAGGTCAAAGCTTGTGTGTCTCGACAGTACCAAATCATCTGGGGAGACAAAGCTACTTTTATTATCAAGCAAGTCGCTACCTTGATGCAGGCCTTGATTGCCGGATCCTTGTTTTACAGTGCTCCTGACAACTCGGGTGGTCTGTTTGTCAAATCTGGTGCTCTCTTTTTCTCGTTGCTGTACAACAGTCTGCTCGCCATGTCTGAAGTTACAGACTCGTTCCACGGTCGCCCTGTCTTGATTAAGCACAAGAGCTTTGCTTACTTCCACCCCGCGGCATTCTGCCTTGCGCAAATCGCCGCCGACATCCCTGTGTTGCTGTTTCAGATCTCCATGTTCTCCCTTGTCGTCTACTTCATGGTTGGCCTGACGATGTCGGCTGGAGCGTTCTTCACATACTGGATTCTGGTCTTTACGACCACAATGGTAAGATTCAGATCTGTTCCAAGACTGAAACAAACTGACTAATATTTTCACAGTGTATGACTGCTCTATTCCGTGCCATTGGTGCTCTTTTCTCCACATTCGATGGAGCCTCGAAGGTCTCTGGATTCCTCATCTCCGCACTGATCATGTACACCGGTTACATGATTCAGAAGCCAGAGATGCATCCCTGGCTGGGCTGGATTTTCTGGATCGACCCCTTGGCCTACGGCTTTGAGGCTCTTCTTTCTAACGAATTCAATGGGAAGACAATCCCTTGTGTTGGTACCAATCTTATCCCATCAGGCGCAGGCTACGATGATCCTGCCCACCAGTCTTGCGCTGGTGTCGGCGGTGCTATCCAGGGAAACACTTACGTCACCGGTGAACAGTACCTGGCCTCGCTCTCCTACAGCCACTCCCACCTGTGGCGCAACTTCGGTATTAACTGGGCGTGGTGGGTGCTTTTCGTCGTTGTCACAATCATCGCTACTTCCAGATGGCGATCCCCCGGCGAGAGCGGAAGCTGTCTCGTCATTCCCCGTGAGCGACTCGAGAGGCATCGCCAGGTTGCCAAACCCGACGAGGAGTCTCAAGTTCAGGAAAAGTCCAAGAGCCCGTCCGATTCCGGTGTCGTCGATGAAAACAATATTGACCAACAGCTGGTTCGGAATACATCGGTCTTCACCTGGAAGGACTTGAAGTACACCGTGAAGACTCCCAGTGGCGACCGCGTTCTGCTCGACAATGTCTTTGGCTGGGTGAAGCCGGGTATGCTGGGCGCCTTGATGGGCTCTTCCGGTGCTGGAAAGACCACTCTGCTCGATGTTCTGGCGCAACGTAAGACTGACGGTGTTATTAACGGTTCTATTTTGGTTGATGGTCGCGAGCTTCCCGTTTCGTTCCAGCGCTCTGCTGGATACTGTGAACAGCTCGATGTTCTTGAGCCTTTCGCTACCGTTCGTGAATCTTTGGAGTTCTCGGCTCTGCTCCGCCAGGCTCGGGATGTTCCCCGCGAGGAGAAGCTGAAGTATGTCGACACTATTATCGACCTTCTGGAGCTGCACGATCTGGCGGATACTCTGATCGGCTACGTCGGTGCTGGTTTGAGTGTTGAGCAGCGCAAGCGTGTCACTATCGGTGTCGAGCTTGTGTCTAAGCCTAGCATTCTGATTTTCCTTGACGAACCCACTTCTGGTCTTGATGGACAGTCTGCTTACAACACTGTGCGATTCTTGCGTAAGCTAGCCGATATTGGTCAGGCTGTTCTGGTTACTATTCACCAGCCCTCCGCTCAGCTGTTTGCTGAATTCGATACTCTTTTGTTGCTCACTAAGGGCGGCAAGACCGTCTACTTCGGTGACATCGGTGATAACGGTCAGACCGTCAAGGGCTACTTCGAGCGCTACGGCGCCCCTTGCCCTAGCAACACCAATCCTGCGGAGCATATGATTGACGTCGTCTCTGGGCATCTTAGCCAGGGCAAAGACTGGAACCAGGTCTGGCTCGAGTCTCCCGAGCACTCCCATGCAGTCAAGGAACTCGATGAGATTGTTAGCACTGCCGCGTCTAAGCCTCCTGGCACGTTTGACGATGGACATGAATTCGCCACCTCTATCGTGGAGCAGACCAAGCTTGTGACCCTCCGCATGAGCACCGCTCTCTTCCGTAACACCGACTACGTCAACAACAAGTTCGCTCTTCACATTGGATCCGCTCTCTTCAACGGTTTCTCCTTCTGGATGATCGGTGATAGCGTTAGTGCCATGCAACTGCGTCTTTTCACTATTTTCAACTTCATCTTCGTCGCCCCCGGTGTCATCAACCAGCTGCAACCCTTGTTCCTGGAGCGTCGTGCTATCTACGAGCAGCGTGAGAAGAAGTCCAAGATGTATTCGTGGTGGGCGTTCGTGACTGCCCTCGTCGTGTCCGAGATCCCATACCTTTGCATTTGCGCTGTCTTGTACTTTGTTTGCTGGTACTGGACCATTGGGGGAGTCACCGCTGCCGATAAGTCCGGTCCGGTCTTCTTCATGATGCTCCTCTACGAGTTCGTTTACACCGGTATTGGTCAATTCGTCGCAGCCTATGCCCCCAACGCCACCTTTGCCGCGCTGGTCAACCCCCTGATCATCGGTACCCTAGTCTCTTTCTGTGGTGTTCTGGTTCCCTATGCCCAGATCCAAGAATTCTGGAGATATTGGATCTATTGGTTGAACCCCTTCAACTATCTCATGGGTGGTCTCCTAGTCTTCAATATCTGGGACACCGACGTGAACTGCAAGGAGAAAGAGTACGCCATCTTCAACCCTGCCAACGGAACTGCTTGCGGAGACTACCTCAAGTCTTATATGGAGACCACCGGTTCGCGCATGAACCTGGTCAACCCCCTCGCGACCGAGTCTTGCAAGGTCTGCGAGTACGCCCATGGAAGCGACTACCTCTACACTCTCAACCTAAAGGAGTACTACTACGGCTGGCGTGACATTGGCATCGTTGCCATTTTCGCTCTTAGCTCGTATGCTTTGGTCTACCTATTGATGAAGCTGCGGACCAAGGCCTCGAAGAAGGCTGAGTGATCGAATGAAGATACTCTGTTAATGGGATAGATCTTTAGATGGGCATTCTGGGGAGTTTTTTTCTTGTGAATTTTTAATTAGTCCCGGCATACATTTCCTGTTATTCTACATTCATAATAGTATCATACATACATTTCCTAGATTCTCAAGCTTAAGTTTTTGGCTTGCGCATGCGCAATATTCCTCAGGTTCACTAAACATCCCAGGTCTATAAGATGATGTTGTAGAGTTTTGATAACGACCTTATCCTGATTCTTCTCAGAAATGATCGTAAATGACTTCTTTGCGGATTCTTTGTCTCTTTGCAGGCGGGATACCATGAGTGTGCCACTCTCACTGTTTGTGAAGCTGTCTCCTGCCAAATTGCATATCGTAAAGTCAGCGTCTTGGAGCGCTTGGACTAGACTTTTCTTTTCTATGACATTGCTTTGGGAGGGGAACGAAATATCCCTTCAGGCCACAGGCACAAAGCACTACTCATTATTGCATCCAGAATTCTTCTTTCCGAGTGGAAATTGTCAACAATCAAAAGATAGCCGGATGGTTTCAGTAGTGATTGGAGATTCGACAGGGCTTTTTTCACGGAATGCACTGAGTAAAAGCCGTGAGGAGCAACAACAACATTGTATGAATGTTTTTCGAGCCCCTGTTCCAAAATATCGCGTTCCATGTCAAACTTCTTATAATCTAACAGTTCAGACCAACGAGCTAGTTTTGATTTGAGTTGTTCTAGCTCCGAGCTTTGTTTGTATGTGAAAGTGTATTTGATGCAGCACGGTATCCGATTTGGATTTTCCAATCCGGCTGCGAGGCTTTCCAAGAACATTGTGTATGGCTGACCTATTCCTTCGCAGATCTCAAGAACTGAAATATCTGGCTTCTTATTGCCGAGCAGTGCAAGATACTTTGTGGCACAAAGATAAATATGATCAGTGGCGAGGATCTCCCAATAGGGATTCCAGAGCCTGAATCTGCTTTGTTGAATGTGCCTATCGTCACCATCAAATATTGAATGCAAATGTGCTCCGATAGCGCGAAGTAGTCTTTTCATTGGCTGAGGAATCTCCCTTTGCTTGTCTCCTTCTGTCTTTGTTCCCTGGTTTATCTCTCCGTGCGTATATTCTCGGAGAAGTTCGGCGAGACTAGACCTATACTTGCTTACAACTGAATCTGGTTGGTTCTGACCATGTTGATCTGATCGCATAAGGAAGTCCTGGATGAGTTCAGTCGCATAATTTTCGTAATGTTCCCGCAACGATGATTGCTCCTCTGATTGAACATGCTCTTTGAGAACTCGATTAGAGTTGACGTTGCCGAGAAGCAATTCAGGACCTGGCTGCCACTCAACCCCAAAGATAAGAGGAGCGTGTTTTGACGACTTTACATCGCTTGTCGCAATGTCAAGTCGTTTACATCTTAGCCTTTTCACGTATATCCTGGGCTCTGAGCTACCCATCCCATCGCTGATCTCTGCTGCGACGATGGATGCCAAGACTGTATCCCCTGAATCCGGTTGCACCTGGGTACATGCACGAAGGACTCCTCCGGCACAGGAGTTGATGCAGGTTGCCACTCGTATATTTTCGATCGAAACTGGTATCATCGGCCCTTTTTCCAGAGACGCATTATCCGACAGTGTGGCAAAGATTGCGTGGAACATGCTATCTAACGTGCAAGGATGGATCAATAGCGGATGCTCAAACTGCATCGGCATGACTGCTGCCGTATTGGGAAGTGCAATTTCCGCAAAAGCAAGTGTCACTATCACTTGTATGTGCCGATGTCAAATTGGTAAAGCAAGGGCCGTAATCCAAGCCGATATGACGTAGCCCTTCATATAGATGATCAACGTTAACCACTGAGAAGTCTTCGGAGTCACATTCGGGGAGCGTCGTTGAGCCACCTACTTCGCTGATCTTCACTCCATCAGTGGCTCTGTGCTTTTTCTCCGCTTGGACAATCCCGGTACAATGCTCGGTCCCTCTGTTTTCCTTCGACACCGAGTACACATGGAATCCATACCCCGAGCCCGACCGATCGGCTTCGTGATTGAAGTGCAATGATGTCATGATTTCAATGCCAGCGGTTTCAGGGATAATTAGCGCCGATCGAATTGAAACTTTCCAAGCGAACGCAGCAATGTCACCGATATCTGCGACCAATTGCATGGCCGCTTCGATCGCCATGCATATGTATCCTGCGGCCGGGAAGACGATATCAGATTGAATCGTGTGGTCCTTGAGCCAGGGTATCTCCGAGATGCGCAAGTAATTTCGCCAACGTGGTTCGAATGGGCAAGCCACGTTGTCTGTTGCTCCGAGTAGATCTGTTCGGGGGGATTCCCGGTGTCTGTATGTTTTACTCATACGGGGTTCGGCCCAGTATGATCTACTGTGTTCCAGGAAAATATGGGGGTAGATCCACTAGAAGGCGTGGACATCGTTGGTTACTCGCTGCGTCTTGACGATTGATTGATTCAAAATTCAATGGATAGTTCACAGATGTCAGACTTTTCATGGCGTTCATGCCGTCTAGCCCGCAAGATACGGCATCTTGTCTTCGTACCAAGAGGCTGGCATACTCGATATCTGCTGCCTTGAGCTTCACATCTGCTTGAATGATTTGCTTCACCGGGGCAGCAAGAGCCGAATGGGGACCAATTTCGAGAATAAAATCAACGTTTGGCTTCTGCGCGGTACCCACTCTCTTTGCCCGCCTGCCTGCAGGCGTTCCGATTCCGGTATGCCGAGTGTTTGTCTCGAAACAGAGTTTCTTCACCGACTCGGCGAATTTGACTTGACCAAGTAAGTTCGACACCCCGTCTTGAGGCCCGAGCGCTTCGGGTTGAAGCTCCGTTCCCGTGACAGAAGAGAAGAAGGAAATCGGGTCGGTCAGGTTATTAGGGTTCTTTGGCGCGGTGTGTTCTATTGATTTCAGGTACTCATTCGAGACAAGCTCCATGTAATGGGAGTGATAAGCGACATCCACCGCTAAGCGACGGCTGAGCACAGGGCTCTTTTTGAGGCCTTTGTCTAATTCGTCGATTGCAGCTGCATCCCCGGATATTGTCACGCTGCAGGGACTGTTCACGCAGGCCATGACAGCCTTTCCGGAATTCATTCTAGCCAAGAGAGCTTGAACTTCTTCCGATGACATTCGGATTGCCATCATACCACCATGTACTTGGGCCGTCAATAATGGGCTGGCAATCACCCCACGGTGATACGCTATGCTCATCGCGTCCTCCAAGCTCAAGGTACCACTAGCGTATGCAGCGGCAATTTCACCGCTAGAGTGACCTGTGACTGAGGCGGGGTACACTCCTCAAGATACGAGGAGATCGACGAGCGCTATTTGCAGAGCAGAGCACACGGTCTGGCTGAGCAAAGGGTGGCTAAGATGGGAGTATTCTGAACTCCTGGCCATTTCATCTGTAATTGATCGGTCTCCTTTCAGTCCACACAAGTTAGCCCTGTGTCCAAGTCTGCGTACCGTAGACACTGAATTGGGCTTGAAGCGTCTCTAGGAATGCGTCAATCATGGTGATTGACTCCCGAAATACCGGATAAGCATGAAGTAGTTCCTTCCCCATGTCAGCCCATTGTGCTCCTTGACCGGTGAATATAAATGCCAAGGTCCTTTTTCGAATAGAACTTCTTATTTGAGGGGTTCCGGAGAGTACATCAATTAGGGTAGGGACAGAATCTCCAATAACTGCTGTTTTCCACATAAATCGAGATCGACGTTCGTTGAGTGTAAACGCGAGATCGTCCATAAATTCATCATTCATTAATCCTTGTTTGGCCACAAGATAATCGCGCAGTCTTCGAATCTGCTCTTGACATGATCGTTCGTCAAATCCAGAAAGCACGAAAATTCTGTTCCTTTGTGATGGCCACCCTTGATGCGCGAAGTCAAGCTGCGACTTCTTACCGGAATTTGACGGTCCCAAAAACCATCGTTGTAGCCCACGGCTAGTAAGGTACCCCGAAGGCATCTTCAATTCCGACATGAGCGTTGGATCCGCCATACCCGAAACTGTTGACGGATACCCGATGGGGACCAGATGGTTCCCATGGCTCAGGTGTTGATTGAACCTAATGATGTCAGGACAATGTAAATATAGAACTCCGAGAAATACTTTACAGACTTTCAAATTCCACTCCTCCAATTGGATCCGTGGGTTTGGTGCTTTAAAGTTACGACTGGGTAGAATCATGCGATTCTCCAACATGAGGACAGCCTTGATGACGCCCGCAACCCCACTTGCACCTTCCAAGAGTCCGACATTTGTTTTAATTGAGCCAATTCTTATTGTTGGTCTAGACTCATAAGCGGATCCGAAAGCTCGAGAGATCGCGCCCGTCTCGATTGGATCGCCTCCTTGAGTGCCAGTGCCATTGGCCTCAACAACTTCTGTTTCTTTTGAATCCAGGTCCGCCCTCGCATAAACATCCCGAATCAAGGTTTCCTGTGTAGTGCCGCGTGGAAGTGTGATTCTCAGAGTACGGCCATCCTGGTTAGATCCACTGCCTCGGATGACGGCGCATATGGTGTTTTGGTCGCGAAGGGCATCGCCGAGTGGTTTGAGTATGAGGCAATCAACGGCTTCACCTCGTGCGTAGCCATTGGCCCGCTCACCAAATGTGTAACAACGGCCGTCTGGGGAAAGAAACCTGGCACGGCCAAATTATAATTGATTTATTCGGGATTTGCTGTTGGTACTGACCTCATCATACTCATCGTCGACATGAATTCGTGACTGAGAATGAGATTTACACCAGCGGTGACTGCCATGGACGCGTCACCGTTTTGAAGGCTTTGGCATGCGACAAGTCTGCCTGAACATGCTGTGTCTACTGTGACGCTAGGACCTTTCAGATCAAAGAAATAAGAAATACGGTTGGAAGCCATGGCACGAGACTGGCCAGCGTTCGTGCACCGGTACATTGGTACGCATTCTGGATCGCGAAGAAGTAAATCGGTGTAATCGGCGCTCAAGGATCTCACAAAACAGGATGTTTTGCTTCCCATGAATTGCGACAGGGGTATTCCGGCTTTTCACTGTCAGTACACGAGTGATAGATGTTATGGAACAAAATACCATTCTCTAGTCCCTCATACGACATTTCAAGCAATAGGCTCTGTTGAGGGTCCATGGCCTGGAATACACCGTTAGTTATGTGACGAATTTGGGGTTTTGGTGAAATATACAGCAGCCTCGTCGCCGGTCATATTGAAGAATGGCGCGTCAAACAGAGACAAATCCTCTTCCATAAGATGTCCTTCCTTGACATTTATCTGCATCGTTGCTATAAGTATTTTGATTCAATGCCTCCTCTACTCAGAATCTTACCGTGCCATGCCGAGCGTGGTCCGGATGATGGAATGCCTTGTTATTCCAACGCTCCTTTGGGATAGATTTCCATCCCTCCCTTTGCTCGACGACCATCTTCCAAAGCCTTTCGACATCTGATGCGTCGCCAGGTCCACGAAACCCCATCCCCACAATTTCCATAGGCATACAAGCATCTGCAGCCAGGATGGATAAATCTTCGCCATTGCCCCCCAACCCCGGAATTGCAATGCCCTCTGGGAACGGCTCCGAGTCACTGAATTTGATGGTTATTGGGATGCCCTGCATGTTTCAAGGGCTAGCTGTCAAGCCAGTTTGATCAATCAGATGAATAGTTGGGCTAGTTTGTAGAGAGTGAAGTGAGCTGCCAATACATCAGGTCTGAAGAACCACAATGGCCCGTAAACAGCTCATCAAATCCTACATAGTGTTCTCGGTTTATTCAGGATTGAGGTCCAATTTCCTTAATACCAGGCATGGGAAAGAAATTAGCCGGCTTGAGCCCAGGAAATAGTAACACATGCCTAGTAGAGCATTGCCTAGAATAAGATACACTTGATACTCCTTCCTTAATGAGATAGTCTTTGTGATTGAATTCATTGGTCTAAACCGTTTCTACAGTGGCATCGGCACATTCCCGACATCTTCATCGATAGCCTGCGAACGGCGTGGGCCAGGATGGCGACATTTTTCCGATCAGTAGGAATATCATGACCCTTTTCATGCACCACGAAAGGAGACGATTGTGGGTCACAAATTCGGTGAAGTGCAAGTGAGCATGGAAACAAAGGATCCTTGGCCCCTGCAACATTCACGCAGGGAATTTTGATGTAGCCCTCAAGCCCCTTATCGACAACAGGATACTCGCCCGGGTGCATACGGAACGGTGGCAAAGAATTGACGAAGATGGCGCATCGAACAAGAGGCGGCTCCTGTGGCAACATTTTGGCAGGGTGAATGAGTAACCCTGCAGCCAAGGTTCCCCCATGTGAGAAGCCAAGGACCCCGTCGAAGGGGCCGTGGAGGGCATTAGTCTCGTACAGCAAGTTGTACGCCTCTAAGATTTCAGATCCGTCGTCTTCGGCAGAAAAGGCTCTTGGAATTCTACAGTAGCTGTAGTACGGACCATCATAGTAGCCTGCAATGCCTGGTCCGGCATCTGAGTCAACCTCGCCTTCGAGGAAGTGAAATGTCACTGTATTATCCCGCTGCAGATCCCCAATAAGCCCGCCTGTCAACAATCAGAATGGGTCATATGAGCATTGTTCGTTTTTCTGTATTTAATTGGGAACGCAGGATCTGCTAGCTTTCAGTACAGTAAATTACTACCTTGTTTGGAACCTACTGACCTTCTCACTTGTCCCCCAGCCATGGACACACAAAAGCCGCAATGGCATCTTGTGGCTATGAAATGCAAAGTCGTCGGTAGGGGTTTCGGTTCCAATTTTTAGATGGATCTGTGTCTCAAACTTCATAATTTCTGGCTTCGCTTTTTAAGTCATTTTATATCTACCAGCTTTAACCCATTCGACCCCCTGGACTCACAGATAAGCCGGCCACTTAGTACGCCCGCTCCGACGGTCAAGAAGTCACCGTGCAATTCGAATCATCCTGGTCTCTTTATAGGCTTCGAGAACAAGTTGCATAGGGAACACGGGGCCTTGGCAACCTTACTATAGGTTGCGCGTCTTGAGAATCATACGAGCAAGTAGTTCATCTCATCTGCAAGCAACGGTCTTTCAAGAATTTTAATTAAAACTGAAATTGGATATGAGAAATTCTCGTAAAGTGATCATTGAACCAAGCGATCTTAATATTTCCAAGAAACCAGTAGTTAGATGTTCCGAGTAAGAATGCAATTCAAGGTACATGTGGCTTTTCCAGGCACCCAGGCAGACGCATCGGTAGTTACAATTTAAAACAGTTAGACTTAGAAATGAATTGTTATTTCAAAACTCGCTAGCATTCACTAAATCTTCTAAGCTCCATAGTAGAAGCTTGGATCTCTACGCGAGGTGGCAGCCTTGACTATATCAACCGATCTGGACGAGCGATGGGCGATGACGTAGCTCCGTCGAACCTCGCCAGATCGCGATCCCGGCTGCCACGGCTACGGCCATTCGTCCTCACGCGTATTTAAGATCTCAATCCTCTCCGCGAATAAGGGATCAGCTACGTTTACGTTTATGTACAAGATGCCGTGGTCTTTCGCCCTTCCGCAAGCTGTTTTCGCGTCACCGCTGTTCGCGGTCGGGACCCCCATCGTGGGAGGCACCGCTATCGCTCTGCTCACCAACCGTGAGTGACCCTGACATCTGATGGGGGCCCTGCGATATGAGGGATATAGCTGATCCAAGGACTGGTCAGGGAACGCGACCCAGGACACCTATCGCAAGCTGCGGCAACCCCCTTTTAGCCCCCCGGCTGGCTCTTTGCGCCCGCATGGACTATCCTCTACGGATTGATGGGATACGCTTCTCATCACGCAACAACGGTTGCCCACGAGTCCCTCTCGTTGGCTGTGCGCGATAGCAACGCGACCGCCCAGACCCTGTACACGACCCAGCTGGCGCTAAACTTCCTGTGGATGCCGTTGTTCTTCGGGGTGGGGAGGCCGGCCGCGGCCCTCGGCGATATGGCTCTGCTCATTGGCAACGTGAGCCTGCTTTTGGCTAACTGGTGGTCGGCGGATCGCACGGCCTTCTGGTTGATGACTCCATATTATGCGTGGTTGGGATATGCCTGCTATCTCAATGCAGGCACTGGATATCTGAATGGCTGGACACTTCCAGGGAAGAAGCGCTCGGATTAAGCAATTGAGTTTCACGATGGTGGATCTGGTCACATTTCGTTCTAGCAATTGAGATGAGAATAGCGCAGGCGTTAGGAGAATCAAATGCATGAGAAGGGCCCACTTCCTGCGAGGTGGCGCCCTGGGCTGTCACCTTTCGGAGATTCGTCATTTGTTTCGATCCCTTGTGTATGTGTCGGTGGGTCTTGATTACTGTGTTTCTATCTATAATCCGCGCAGCTAAACTGCTGAAACTGGTTCATGCTCTGTGCTCTCCCTCCCCACCAGCCCACCAGGGCTGTGATTGACTCTCGTCAGGCACCAGAGTACGTGTGATGATCCCATCACTGTGGGTCAATATGCTGTATTCCCAATACTCCTTTCCCCTTGCGAAAGTGGACAAGAGCTCAGGAGGTGGCCGAGCATCGTGGACCCACGATCGTCACGGGCTGGAAACCCAAGGAGAGCAGATAAGGGCACACATACTCAAGATAACCGCACCTTAGGGTAATTGGAGACCAGGGTCAGCTGGCCTGATACATTTTTTAGCTTAGTTTTCGGGAAGAAGCTAAGACCGGGATATTGTGAAACTACGGTACGAACCAGCGGATGCCTTCGGTGCCACTGTCAAACTGGATCGCCACCCCGACCCACCGGCCCGAGATGATGTACAAAGTGGTACGTACTCAAGTCTAGAACATTTCGCCATGGCTGTCTGGTTTCCCCCGGGTCCAAGGCACGAACCTACGCCTTGGATGGAGGGGGGAGAGGAGGGGTCAGGGTGACGGAGAGTGAGGATCCATGTCGGTTGATTAGGGCTTGGTGGCTTGGAAGCATGGAACTAAAAAAAAAAAAAAAAAAAAAAAATCTAAACTCAACCCATAGAGAAAAGTTCGACCACTTACACACGGACCTTGTGTCATACAGAGGGAAAACAAAAAGCCATTTGCTTATCGATGATTTCATGTGGATCATATGGCGATCGCATGTCTAGACTCCCGGATTCAGCGAAAAAAAGCTAGCTTGCCATGGATCCGTGGTCCTTTTTCTCCCCGACTCGCCTTGGTTCGGACTCTTGGCTAGCTATTTGTTTTCTAATCTATTTTTTGCCTCTCTTCTCTCATCTTTTTCTTTTTTCGTTCCTGTGTTCCTTAGATTCTTCTACACTCGTTGCATAGTGCAAGAACTGCCGAGACGAGCATTCCGCGTCCGGAATCTCGGACTCTTTTCAATGGCAGACTCAATCCCCAACCCGCACCCCAGCCCGGCCGAAGAATACGACGAAATTCCATTTCCAATTATCACGCCGCCTGCAATTAGCAGCAGGAACAGTCTTGAGCGTGAAGTCACCGCGGATGCGCACCAATACGAGGCGGGGCTGCACGATCCCGCGCCGGCGCCAGAGCCTCCAGTCGAGCATCGAATCCGGTCGCCGCGGGTGCGCTTCGAATCTATCAGACGCTCAATAAGCAGTAGGTATCATCCCGACCATCAAACCAACAACCGCATCTTTTCCGATCGGTCTGATGCACCTCTGCTGCCACCCACGGAGCTAAGCGAAGTCCCTTTGGTCGGCTCCGGAACCATCACCCCGCCTGCCCCCGCATACTCGCGTAGCGGACTCGGTACTAGTACCACGCCAGAGGAATGGCCGTCTCGCGACTCTGCCGACCCGGAGAAGCATGGACACTCTGGATTCATAGAGCGGACTACTTCCGCTCGCAATCGATTCCTTCATGCTGGTCAGATTATCCGACAGAAGACTCACCGGCTAGGTGAGCGACTCGGTCGGCCTGAAGATGAAGGAGAGCCTCTCAATGCATCGGTTCTCCTTGATGACTTCGAAGGAGGGATCCCCATGGAGGAGCTCCAGGCACGCCGAGCTCGTCAGGAATCAGACAGATTGCAAGCCATCGAAACTGGCGAGACCCTTATTGAGCCCCCGCCCAGTGCTGAGGCTCATCGTCTGGTGCGCAGCATGACCCAGGTCCAGGATAAGCTGAAGCGCAAGCCGCAAAGTGCCTACCAGCGATCTGGAACCACCACGCCCGAGGGGGTCATTCGAGACTTCGCAACCCGCCGGCGATCCAGCGGGCTTGCTGGCGGCAGTGGCATCTTGTCCCAGTTGCTGAAGCTGCATGCGAGCCAGACGGCAGGCTCTCGCCCCGAGAGTGTCATTACCGATGACTCGGACAGCGACACTCAAGTTTCATCGGGTGCGACAACCCCGAAGAAGGGCGGTTCGCTCTCTCCTTCCATGCCGACTTCTGGGGCTGTCACTCCTCGCAAGGAAAAGCTCAAGTGGTACAAAAAATCTGCCCACCGCTCCACCTCATCATTGATCGATGCTTCTATGAACCTGAGCGGTACCAGCCTCCCAGCCGCCACCGAGGCTGTCCAGGGTGGCAGGCGACGCAAGAGGGGCAAGCGTAAGACTCGTCTGGAGGACGAGATTCGTGTCACTGTTCACATTGCTGAGATTATTGCCCGTCAACGTTACATCATGCAGCTGTGCCGTGCGCTCATGCGCTATGGTGCTCCCACCCACCGTCTCGAGGAGTACATGCAGATGACCGCCCGTGTGCTTGAGGTGTCGGGTCAGTTCCTGTATCTCCCAGGCTGTATGATCATGTCATTTGATGATCCGACCACTCGCACCGCCGAGGTGAAACTAGTGCGCATGGTGCAAGGCGTTGACCTCGGTCGGCTCGCCGACACCCACAACGTTTACAAAAACGTCGTGCACGATCTGATCGGTGTCGAAGAGGCGACCCACGAGCTTGACGAGATTATGTCTCGCAAGCCGCGCTTCAACAAATGGATCATTGTCCTCACGTACGGCTTTGCCAGTGCCACTGTCGGTCCTTTCGCTTTCGAAGCTCGCCCGATCGATATGCCGGTCATTTTCCTGCTCGGTTGCTTGGTCGGGTTCATGCAACATATCTTAGCTCCACGCTCCGTTCTCTACTCTAACGTCTTTGAAGTCACGGCTGCTGTCCTGACCTCTTTCCTTGCTCGCGCTCTGGGCAGTATTCGACACAACGGTGAACCACTTTTCTGCTTCTCGGCTCTAGCGCAATCGTCAATCGCTCTTATCCTCCCCGGCTTCATGGTTCTTTGTAGCAGTCTGGAACTGCAATCGCACCAAATTATCGCCGGATCCATTCGAATGGTCTACGCCATTATCTACTCCCTCTTCCTCGGTTACGGCATCACAGTTGGTACCACTATCTACGGTCTTATCGATGGTAACGCCACCAATGCTTCCTCATGTTCCAACTTGGATGTTTGGGGATCAGTATACACTCGCGAATTTCCCTTCGTCGCTATCTACGCCGTTTTTCTCGCAATAGTCAACCACGGCAAATGGAAACAGATGCCGGTCATGGTTTTCATCGCTGTGTGCGGCTACATCACAAATTACTTCTCTCAATCCAAACTGGGCACCCAGTCCGAAGTCGCCAACACCGTGGGCGCTTTCACCATCGGTGTCCTGGGCAATCTTTATAGTCGCCTGTGGCACGGTCACGCCGCCACGGCCATTCTCCCGGGTATATTCGTACTCGTTCCCTCTGGTCTCGCCTCCAGTGGTTCCTTAATAGCTGGACTGCAATACGCCAACGAGGTCCGACAGAACCTCAAGACCTCCGGCAACAGCACATCCACCAGCGTACTATCCGAAACATCCGTCGCTAGTCTCGGTCTCGGTATGATTCAGGTCGCCATCGGCATTACCGTCGGCCTGTTTATCGCTGCCCTTATCGTCTACCCATACGGTAAGAAGCGAACTGGTCTGTTCAGCTTCTAACCGACAGATCCATTGATCGAACATATACTCCATTTACATTCGTTGTTGATTTCTTTTGATTTGTCTGAGCATTTACTGAGCGTTATATGCATGTTTTACAAGCGCAAGCGATTTTCTGGGAATCTATAGGTATCTCTTGAGCGATTTTGATGGATTATGGGTAAAGCGGCTTTTCGAAGGACAAGGTGTATTTGATTTTTCGGTTGTTTTTTTCCCCTCCCAGCACATAGATGATGAATCATAGATTACATACTACATTAGAACATGGTCAAAGTCCGATTTCACGCTTCCTTACTTTCTTACTTTACAAAATCTCCCGTGGAACCATGTGTTTGATACGAGAAAGCTTATTTCCAGATATAGTAATGATCGGCCATATCTGATGCTGACCTTCAGCTTGAGTCTGATCTCCTTAATGCCTCAGCTTACTTTTTTATCCGAATATGCTCTCAATTCCTCAACCCCTGAACCACGCCAGATGGAAACCACAAACGGGGCCAGCGGCCCAACAAATGGGTCCAGCGGAGCCTGGAACGCGGAATCCAGAATCATTCCACTAGAGCCTCTAGACCAATGGAAGCCGATCGATAACATCCGCACATTCGTCTTCCTAGTCGTCCGCGCGATCCTGAATGAAGAAGCAATGCGCACAGCCTTAAATCGACTCATCAGAAACCACCTGCCGATCCTTGGAGCTCGCCTCGAGGCCATTTCCAAAGATGGGAACCTAGCGTATCGTCTCCCCACGTCTTTTACAACCGACTATCAGCTGTTCCACTGGTCATCTGATACCGTTGACTTAACGTTCGCAGATGCCCAGTTGCTGCCCAAGGTGATGCAGACAGATTGCGAAATCTTGCACGGGCCATGCACTATCCCAGAACTAGAAGGTAAATGGACTCCTTCCACTTGGCCTAAGGAGCGGAAATTTGAGAGATCGGACACGCCGCTTCTGCTCGTGCATATAACGAGGTATGCGGATGCCACGGTTGTTGCGCTGAACTTGCCTCATGCGGTCACCGGTCAGATGGGGTTCGGGTGTTTGATCGAGGCGTGGATGCAGCTGGTCAAAGGGGAGACCCCGGCGAAATTTCTTGAGCTAGAGCCTGGTACGCTGCACGGACTCGAAAATCTCTCTTAGAAAGAACTCCGGAGGAAAAACACTTTCCGCATAATGAGTAAATCGGAAAGAGTCAGGGCTATATTGAACTTCATGCAAGATCTCATACTCAACTCAAATGAAGTTCGCCGATTGCTGTTCTTGCCTATCAGCCTTATTGAAGGCCTTCGAGACCGCCATACTAAAGCCCTTAAGGCTAAGTACGGTGAAGAAGCACCAGCATTGACAAGCGGTGACATCATTATTGCACTTTTGGCTAAATTAGCCTATCTTGGACGTAAAACCTCCAGGACTGTGGCCATTACTTCAGCGATGAATTGTCGCGGGCGACACCCTGCCCTTCCTGCCGACAAGCCTTATCTTCACAACGGCACATGCTACGCCCTTTTGCATACACCAAATCCGGACAAAGTCTCACTCGCAGAATTAGCCTACAAACATCGTCTCGCGCTGGTCGAAGGATTGAAGGTGGAGAATATTGAGCGTTCTTGGGCTGTCAGTAGAGCGCATTGGAAACGTCACATTTCCCTCCACATCGTTGAGCCCGGTCAATTGAGCTATTCGAGCACGAATTGGTGCGGCGCGTGGCGCAATCTCGATTTCGGTCCAGCTGTGATATCGAGAGAGGGTGATGAATGTCCCAATACTTCGCCACTTGTGCTGGGGCATGCACTACAGCGCGCTTATCCGACGAGATACAATACTCAGATCATGTGTAAAGCCGATGGTGGGTTCTGGTGTGACTTCACGATTTCTGCGAAAAGGTTTCCCTTGGTGGAGAAGCTCCTGAAATCTGACCCCAGATTGAGTAATGTCTAAGACCTACTGATGTTCCTGAGGGACAGTATGCAAACATCTTAACATGTGCACAGAAAACAACCTATAGTTCTCGGAAAAGCCAAACATTTCATCTGTCAAGCTCCCCGTAGAGAATGAGGTTTCCACCTGTCTATTAGCTTCAGATGCCTTCAACTTGGCGGTAGAACCATCCTCGACTTCTCCAAGGTGAAGGCATTATAGCGGAGAAAAGATTAATGAACCATCGACGGACAACATCTTCCCTATCTTAGATATCAAGCGTGCTATAATAGCTGACTGTAACATAAAAGGAGGCCGATTTCCTTGCAGGCTATTTGAATTACTTCAGACGCATGTTTTCGTTACCGACATTGTCCCCATGGGCGGTCACTTTACCTTGGAGCATGACCTACGATACCACTATTGCTACCGAGGCCGGTCTTTTCGTATGCGGTGATGAACGAGGCGGTCGTGCCGTGGAACTCTTGCCAGAACGGGTCCGGCCATTTGCACCCTCTGGCTGGACACTCTGCCAGGGTCAACAAGGCCTCCAAGTACGGCGAGATGTGCGATGTGGACGTTTCGTATCCTCAGTACTTGAACTTCTTCTGGAAGCACAACACCAATAAACCCAGATAAACTTGCAAAGCATTAGAGAGAGAAGGTAAATGTGAGCCCAAACGCAAACTAGCAAGTGTCTGGGATAGTTTGTTTTACAGTGATTCCTCTCCAACCAGACAGGAGCTAGAGATATCCTCGGTGATTCACCCCGCTTCTACCGGAGAAAATCCGCCCCCACGAGTGGAGGAACCCACTCTGGGCTAAGGGCGGCAAATGCCGCCTGATAAGGACAACTCGAGTCTCTCGACTTCCGAAGTGGAGGCACGGATCTGAGGTCGCGTTGATAAACACATTGCTTGACTGACACGTTCGCAACAGCCTCTTCCCGGATATCTTGAAACTTTGTGTCGAAGTCGCCTCTGTTACTCATACGGCTAGTTATTTTTCAAACTCCATACATACAGCACTATGAAGCCATCGCTTCCATATGATTCTTCCACGCTTTCCATTTGGCATCGCACGACACGGTCATTCCCACACCTTCATGCAAATCATTTTGCCGATGTTCCGGCTTCTGCAAGATATCTCATTATCGGTTCCGGCATTTCAGGCGTTTTAACTGCCTGGAAGCTTGTTGAGAGCGGCATCGAGGGCGATGAGATTTTGATCATTGAAGCTCGAGAAGCTGTGTCGGGCGCTAGTGGCAGAAATGCCGGCCATATTCGACCTGGTAAGAGTTCCTTTTTCCCTTAGTTCTAAAATGGTCTTGGCTAACGCTGTTCTAGATGCTTTCCGTGGTTTCTCTGGATATGCTTCATACCACGGACCTGAACAAGCTCGGAAGATCCTGGAGAACGAGAAAAGGGTGATGGAGGATATCCAAGACTTTGTGAAAACTCACAATATCGACTGCGACTTCAACCTGACGACGACCTTCGAAGTTTGCTTCTCCGACAAATTTGCTAAAGAAGCAGCCGACGCCTTCGAAGCATATAAACGCGCTGGTGGTGATGTGGACCCCGTCAGGTTCTACGAAGGTGAGGAAGCAAAAGCGAGAACTAAGGTTCCAGGAGCTTTATGCGCCTATGAGTGGACCGCTGCATCAAATCATTCTGGGAAATTAGTTCAGTGGATTTTGAACGACGCCATTAAAAAAGGAGTCAAGCTATGGACACATTGTCCTGTAACGAAAGTTGTCAAACATCAGAGCTCTGAAGACCAATTTCGTTGGGACATCCATACTCCCCGTGGAGTCGTCGCTGCTGAGACCGTCATTCACTGTACTAATGCCTATGCGGCCTATCTGATACCAGAATTAAGCCAGTTCATCACAGCAAATCGCGCCCAGTCTCACGCGTTCATTCCGCGGTATTCGCTTTCTGGGGAGCATAGATTGAAGAGCACAATGGCTCTTCGGTACGATGTGGGGAGCTTCTTCTCTGTGAATCCTTTGCTCAATGGCACCATTATATTCGGCGGGACGGGGATCAGGAGTCTTTCTGAAAACCCCGAGGCACCGTCTGGATTCATGAATACCTTTGACGATACCTCCTACAGCAATTTGATCGCAGGAACTGCTACAAGAGAGTTTAACTCTCTATCTCGAGAGGCAGCAGAGGTTCCGCTGCGACATGGTGAAGGTTTAGATCATGCCTGGACCGGAATCATTGGGATGACCCCCGACAGTGTACCTTTAGTCGGTCCCCTTGAGGCCCTTGAGGGCCAATGGATTTGTGCCGCCTTCAATGGTCATGGTAAGTTTCCTTGTACATTTGTGCTCGTCATCGCAGGGCTGATCTTTATCTTCTTCACAGGAATGGCGGGCATCTTCAGGTGTGCCCCTGGATTGGTTAAGCTCATATTAGGGCAAACTTGGCAGGATACCGGTCTTCCCGAATGCTTCCAGATCAGCAAAGAGAGAATCGACAGATTCAAAGAGCCTATCAAAAGTTCCCTCTGAGGCATCATCTTACATTGGCAGCCGAGCGGCCTGAGCGTACTCGGCAAAGGTCCAGCCCAACGATAGTCGGATCGAACACCGAAGGCTCCTGCACCAAGAATGACTGGAAATGACTCATACGCTTCTTATTATTGCTATTTGTCAGCCTCGTCTTTAGTCTAGCCTAAGCTATTTACGTCCTAAAACTTAGGTAGTTGCTAAGAAATAGAATTTCATAGAGAAACCTGAGTCGAAGTCGAAATCTTTCAGCCGTCGGAACCTGCCGATCGTAATCACCACACAACAGAACAACGTGTGAAAAATTAGAACTTTTTCATCTATAAGCATCTAGGAGTTCTAATACCCATACTGCAATAACTTTCGATTCATAAGAATCCTGGAATGCGAACCGTCATCTCCACCGACTACGTAGTCACAGACCGAGCGGGTGTCATTGAGAATCGACACGCCTTGCACGCCGCCATCGTCGATGGCAATGGTCGTCTCTTATACAGCGTCGGTGACCCATCGCGAGTCACACTAGCCCGATCTGCCACCAAGCCTGCACAAGCATTGGCTATTATTGAAACAGGCGCACTAGAGAAATTCAATCTCGACGATGCAGACCTCGCCTTGATCTGTGCATCTCACAGCAGTGAAGAGCGACATATTTTGCGGGCGCGAAACATTCTCGATAAAGTTGGCGCTCATGAGGAAGATCTCCGGTGTGGAGGACATGCTCCTGTCTCTAGAGAAGTGAACCGCGCTTGGATCAAAGCGGATTTCACCCCGAGTGCGATCTGCAGTAATTGTTCCGGCAAGCATGCTGGCATGATTGCTGGAACGAAGGCTCTCGGTGCTGATGTGCAGACTTATCATTTGCCCACGAATTTGATGCAATGTAAAGTAAGAGAGGCCGTGGATCAGGTATGCCGCCTTGGTGAGGGCGAATCGATGTGGGGACTTGATGGGTGCAATCTTCCTACGCCAGCGTTTCCATTGCATCGTCTGGCTTGCATGTACGCTGTTTTTGCTGCCGGGGCAAGCGGGGACAGTACTGATTCCAAAGACTCAACGACACGCTCATTGAGCCGAATCTTCAACGCCATGTCTCGTTATCCAGAGCTGGTCGCTGGTGACGAGAGATTTTGCACAATCCTGATGACAGCGTTTGAAGGACTTCTCATTGGCAAGCTTGGCGCCGATGGCTGCTATGGTATTGGAGTTAAAGAATCAGAACAGACCAAGAAGCTTGGATCAAATGGCGCGCTTGGTATTGCTGTGAAGGTTGAGGATGGAAATATCGACATTCTGTATTTGGCGGTGGCGGAGATCTTGGAGCAGCTCGGGATCGGAGAGCCACGAATGAGACAGTCTCTTGCTCAGTTCCACACCCATGAGATCAAGAACACTGTGGGTATTGTTACAGGACATGTCTCGCCTCAGTTCAAGCTGCGGCCTGCGTCATGAAAGTTGAATGTCTATAAATGCGGGGGTCCTCGGACACCCGGGATTCCGAACACCGTCGATTCCAACGATCGTAACGATGTAATCTAGCAAAGGTAGAAATGCGGAATCAACTCGAAATGAGCATAAGCCCCGCAACAAATATCATAAAACGGGGCATCTCTTCTTCTTTGCCGCCAAAACGTTCTTCATACGTCACCACTTGAAGAACCAGACCTTCTTGTATCTTGCTATTAGAACCGCATAATATGGCCGTATCCAAGGTCGCGATAAAAAATGTCCACTTGTTCGACGGCTTCTCTTTCCATTCCTCAAGCACCGTGGTGATTGACGGGGACAGGTTCGGCTCTCCTAATGACACCACAGGGGCTGAGATAATCGACGGCCAAGGCGGATTTTTAATCCCCGGTCTGATTGACTCCCACGTGCATATCCGCGATACAAAAACTCTTGAGTCGTTCGCCGAATGGGGTGTGACAGCCGCCGTCGACTGTGGCTGTTGGCCGGTTGACCTAATGCAAAGCCTTCGCGAGCACTCGACTAAGGCCGGGGTCCCTGCCCTTCGGTGCGCGGGGATAGTTGCAACTGCACCTGGGAGTGTCCACAGCACATTCCCAGGTCTACCTCCGAGTGCACTTCTCGCCGGAGCGCACCAAGCAGAGCAATTCGTCGAGAACCGCGTATCGGAAGGAGTTGACTTGATCAAGATCGTTGCCGATTTCCCTGGTCCAAATCAAGACACAGTCAATGCACTCGTTGCAGCTGCGCGCAAACGCAGCAAACGGAGCATCATTCACGCGTCGACAAGTGTTGCCTTCAATATGGCACTGCAGGCCCGACCGGACATCATCACACATGCCCCAATGGACGAGGTCTTGGATCCGGAGACTGTTGCAGTCATGGCAGCTGCGCGTATTGTGTCCATTCCAACACTCACCATGGAAGAGGCTTTATGCAATATCAAGATCCGACCGAACGTGGACTATTCAAACGCCCGTCTCTCAGTTGAGCGTCAGTTTGCAGCTGGGATCCCAATATTTGCTGGAACAGATTCAAATGATAGTCCAATGGCGCGTGTGACTCATGGTGAGAGTATCCATAGGGAGCTGGAATTGCTAGTTGGTGCTGGGCTGAGCCCCCTTGAGGCACTGCGTTCTGCCACCGTTGAGCCGGCACATTACTTTGACTTTGACAGTGGTATAATCCAAATGGGGAGATTGGCTAATGCCGTGCTTCTAAGATCTGATCCTCTCGTGGATATTAAAGCGACTCGCAATATACGCATGGTGTGGTGCCGCGGCACTCGAGTTTTCTAAGACGGCTCCTGCGTTTTCAAGTATATATTACGTTCGAATATTCACAAACTATATTGCACTTGGTGCTACTCTTTTCTTCCTGAAAAAGCAAATTAACCCTTAATTTTATTCCGGGTTGAATATTGTAGCTATTCACAAAACTTGAAATCTGGGCCTTCAACCTCACCTGGAAGGTTTGCAATCTTAGCAAGAGTGGATTACATGCATTGAAATCGTAAAAGAAATCAAGATACACCTTTGAAGTTAACCATGAGAGGGCTAAACTTAACCCGAACATCATCAAGTTTGAGAGCAACAGACAAGACTGCTCTCGAAAGCAAACAACTCTTCACACAACACTGTAGGGATAGAGATTTATTTGAGCAGTCCAGACGGATAGTATCGAATCACTGGCTGAAGTCAAATTACTGCCACAAAAGCTCTTGTCTTTCACGGAGCAGCTCTTCTTATAAAGACAATTGATGGTGTCGGGGGTTCTATTTTGATTAGAAAAGATCCCGTTCGAAGAAGTGAGACCCCATTCTCCCGAGTCGTTATTGAGTTTCACTCTGATATCAAGACAGGTCATTTATATTTTTTAAAGACTGGAATCACGCCAGGGATTGCTGCTGGCTGGTGCCCTTTCATCTCTGATACTGCGAAACCCACCATCTCCTGAGTTTTGTCGGTGTTAAACTTGTTCGGAAATTTACAGATGGCCAGTTACGGTGAAATATCGGCTTCGCTCCTCGTCAGGCAACGATATCGATTCTCAAAGAACTTTGATAAGGGGCAGTCGGAGAACTCTCATCGCCTTTATGCTGCCCACCACGAGCCCCGGTAGCCAAAGAACGAGGCGAAGCAGGGACTGGGCCTGTTGTTCAGGGCCACGGGATTGTCGACTATTGTCTCTAGGTGAGGACTCTTGCAGAGTACCACGGACCTGACGAGAGGTATTGAGCTGAGCTGAGCCTGCTGGGTACGCTTATGGCGCTGACGAGCCGTCTCTTGGTGGAATTTTTCGTCGTCGGACGACGAGGGGAAGCGGAAATGCGGCATTTTGACAGCGGCGGCGATAGTTAGCACTGTATTAAGAACACGAAGATCAGGGACGATCTCCCTCGAGCAGGAGTGGGAACGAGATACCCTAGCTCGATATAAAGTGAATGAATATGAAGTGAATACTCGTAGCGCGAAGTGAATGCAAAGTGAATACGAAGTATCATTCCTTAGGTAGCCGCTGAAGCAGAAGGGGCTAGGGAAGGGCAAAGACTCACGGTAATGCAGGCGTATTAATTCAGGCGTATCAGTTGGGGAGAAAGAAGAAGAAGGTTTGGAAAATAAGAAGAAGGGCCTTTTGTATCGACATCTCCAAAGGAAAGTACCATGTGGAAAGTTTCACTTGCTGAAATTCTACTTGATACTAAGCAAGCATTGCATCCGACGGCTCAGCCTTACCCGGACACCCCATAAAGCTTATTGAGGAACCCCTTTCTCGTCGCACCAATCACATGCTGTCCGCAAGCCGTCACTACCGCCCGGAAGTCTCGGGCGGCAATTTCTTTATTCCAAGAATCCAATCAAAAAAAAAAAAAAACATACAACAGCAGGGATTCGCTGGTGGTCACCCACCCAACTACTAACCTGCCGGCGTGTGGCTTAAGTACGGCTGAGCGGACGGGAAGCCCTGTTCTCCACACCCTATGGTCGTATGTACTGATGTACACTGAAGAGAACTACAAGTGTGAATTGGTACGGCTAAGTGCTATGTCCCGGCTAGCCAGTTAGAATTGGATACCTTTCCCCTATGCAAGGATTTTCCTCCCTACGCCGGAGGTTGTTGCCTTGTAAGGTTTCAATGGACCAAAAGGCCACTGAGAAGACCCATTCTACGCAAGACCCTTGGGACGTGGTTTCTAAGGATGGGGATATTGTCAGGACTACTGCCTAACCGATACCGAATGTGGCCTGAGGCATCACTGAATACCTCAGGAACCGCGCGAGGGTGCAGTGACCTGTATGCACGAACCGCACAGGACGTAGTTCTTACAGCCTTCAGCAGGGGTAGTCTGTATTGAAATAATCCCCGCTCGTCCTGGAAAGGCCAGCGTTCAGTTTACCTTACAATCTACCATATTGTACACGCACGTGAAGGCTTCTACCTCGCTTACCCACTTACACCTAGAGACTCGTCTCACAACGAACCGTGGTCCTGGAGCATACGTTTCTCTTGGTCCATGAATTCGTCGGCAAGCTCAATGCACATTCCCTGAGGCCTGATGTTTCAGAAAATGACTTCTGACATATTATCTGATAGCTACTGCTGAATGTGTTGCGAGAGTTTCAGCCATCGCGAGGCTTTGGGGTCATATCTTGGGGTCTTGGAATGTCGGTTTCTCGAGACCGCGAGCCTTTAACATCTGATGAACAGAGTTGGACCACGCAGAGGAATCCTGGGGCCTCTCTATAAAGACTGCTGTCATGTTCAAAACAATTCCACCAAACTCTGGGATATCCGCAGCCTAGTCCACTACTTCATCTCCGCAATTCCGACCAGTCGCAGCTATTGAGTTCCATGTCGGCAACCGACAAGGCTGTATGGTCTTTTCTGGAATTATTGAAGCAAGCCAGTGGTGTAGCTTTTGTGATAGGTAAAGTGACCCACTTTGGAGACGTTGTGAAGATGGATGGGGTTTGGGGTCAGCGACTAAATGAATCAGTCGTGATCAGGGTCTAAAGATTGGAAAGTAAATGGAAGATGAGAACAATTTGTTCTTTTTCAGGAAGAGGTGGAGGGGAGAATCAGAAGAGTTGTGGAGGAAGGAAGAAAAGTTAGTCTCAATCATCCCTCACGATCCACTCGACTCTCAAATTATCTGGCACCTTTGACTGTTTGTACATTCGTTTGTTTTACACAATTATGCAGTCTATAATACAATCTTTGTTCAAGTCTCAAAATGCATTCCAACCAACGCCATTTATGCTGATCTTACTGGCGCACCAGAACACCACGATACCGCATCTTGCCACCACGAAGAGTCTGCATCGCTTCTTCAATTCCCTCGCAATTCAAGGAGAACTTCATGGTCGTAGGAACAATCTTCTTCGCAGCAGCGAACTGTACCAGAGACTGGAGGCTGCGGCGAGATGCGACAAGGGAACCCTGGATCCGCGCACCCTTCGTGTTCATCGCCAGCATCGGAACTGGCGAAGACGCAAAGTCGACAGTCAAAGGGTAGATCGCTCCATGGATATCCATCAAGGGAAGCAGGCTGGAAATTGATGTTAGTAACGCTCAGTTTTGAACAAAGTGCCACAGAAACTTACGAAGGATAGTCGACATTGGCGCTACCACAGAGCAAGAGGTGGTTGACCGGCTTGAAGTCAGTCAACTCCTGTCCAGTCTTGAAAACATGGTACTCGGAAGCACCGAAGCTGAAGGCCTCCTCGCGCTTGGCCTCGGAGCTGGAGAAGACAACCACATGGCATCCCATGGCAGCTGCCAGCTTGATAGCCAGATGGCCGAGACCACCGATACCCATGATACCCACGCGGTCGGTCGAGCGAACACCATATTCAGACAGGATAGTCCACACGGTTCCACCAGCGCACATCAACGGCGCAGCATCGGCAGAGTCATATCCATCGGGGATAGGGACAACGCAACCGGCATCCCAGACGACACCTTCGCTGAAAGATCCCAAATCGTGATCGTGGCTACCATATTCTTTCTTGTTCTCGCAGTATTGGTCCCATCCTACAAATCTGGATCAGCCTCTCGTTTGTGTCATCGAAAATCGGTTTGTAACATACCAGTCAAGCACTTTTCACAGGTTCCGCAAACATAGTGAGTGAACCCAAATCCAACGCGCTGGCCGACCTTGACATTGGTGACATCACGGCCGATCTGACGAATAACACCAACACCTTCGTGGCCCAGAACCATTCCAGACTTCAAGAAGTGCTCATCGGTACCGCAGAGGCCGGAGTGAGTGGTCTCGATGTAGACTTCATTATGCTCAAGAGCGCGAGTAGTCTTATCCGCGACGATCTTTCCCTCCTGAGATCCACGGAAAACTTCGAATGTGACGCTCATTATGGTAGTATAATCGGAAAATGATCAAAATATGATTTAAACGGATGTTTTATAGGGAACGAAGCTGTGAAGAACTGCGAACCCACTCTGTCTTTTAAGCAAACTTCTGGGCCTCGGCACTCCTGAATTACTCAGTGATCTGTCCCTGAGCTGCCCTGTTGTTCCATTGAACGGCCGGGGCAGATTCCCAAAACAGATTTCTCCATGAAGATTATGGTGGATCACCACGTCTATTGTGGATCACCACGTCTATTGTGGATCACCACGTCACTAAGGTTATTGCAGAGAATTCTAGAAGTCGGTTGAGAATAATCGGATAATCTTTACTGAAATTTTCCCGTTGATCCACAAAACTCAATTGCCGAGCCATCCGTGCCGCTTTATTCATAGCGATCAAGCCATAATTGGTATCAGGTCCCACCAGGACCAAGTTTTTTTTGCTAACGGCGGCGCAACTCGTTTGTCCGAGACCTGGTTGCTCGGCGACTTTTGTGTGTTGGCTCTTCACTGTTAAGCCGCGGTCCGATCGTCGATGTTGCCCCTGATGTGAAGTAATCTGTCGATCTCAAATCCATGGTACGCTTCGAAACAGAAGCCAATTTCCATAATGGACAGATAAGAGGTCTTCTCCACCGTTGATGGATCCGCCGAAGCCTGGAAATCTTTTGTTTGCAAGTCTAGCCCCTTTTTTAGCTAAAATCACAGTGTAACGCAGATGAAAGGTTCGGACTTGATTACCTTCAGCCTTTTGACCACCTTTGAGATCCTATTCCTGCTCTGACTTGATCTCGACACTATCGCTTTCCTAAGTAAACGGCTTTCTTGCCCATGTCCTCGTTCTTAAGATGACAATTAGTTAGCTCTTTTCCGGATTGCCACGGGCAATGTCTTACGCTCTGTGATAAACGTGATGTCGTGGGTTGGTCAACTCTGAACGGATTTTGGCTGCATAGACAAGGACCTCATCCTTCAACCAGGGCTCCGGCTCACCAAACTTGGTCAGCACGAACATTATATAGCCTTCCAAACCGTTTGACCAATGATGGAAATTAAGAGCCCCGACTTCTTTCAACAACTTGTCTCTCGGCCAGGGCCCGATCGGCCACTTATAGACCTTCTCCTGGATATCCACGAAACCAGCCTTTTCGATGGACCCGTGAAATGTCTGATAGATGTTGATAGGTCGGCCCATTTTATTAGCGGCGCGACTTATCAAATCGCCAAATCCAAACAAGATGTTGTCTGGAGGCACGCTGCCGTCGTCACATTCCACGTACATGCTGGGACCGAGATGCTCGATCCAGCCACCCGGTCGAATATTTCTGCGGGTTTGTAAGCTTTTCTTCTCTTGGAATTAGGATTTTGAGTGCATACTCATAACATTGCTTATAAACGCGATCTGATTCTTCGGTGGTGAAAGCTGAATCCAATATGCGCAGGTGGACGAGGTCAAACGGGTCGCGCCAAGTCCATTCCTGCAATACATCGTCTACTTCCAGAACGCAGTTTGGTGGCATCCAGCTCACTGGTGGTGGAAAAAGGTCCACGCCACGGACGGTGGCTAGTTGCATCAGTTCAGCCATTCATGTTGGTGTGTGAAAGAACTTACTGTTGGGTAAAAGATCAGCAACCTCACTAGGGACATTAGTTCAAGCTCCAACTTCTCTTGGCAAAACAGCTTACATAGCCCATGTACCCTTGCCGGTTCCAAGGTCTAGAATGTGCTGTCCGAGAAGGTGAATTAAGCATCTTAGTGTGGGTCAAAGTATGAAATGGGTACCTTTGGGGAATCTCCGATCGGAGATTGGAAATACGGATTATCTGATTTCGCTTCTGATAAAAGAGCCACGACATGACTGGGGCTGTCAACAGTAATTTTCGACGAGTCTTGCGGATGAATGGACGCACATGCATTCATATGCCTCGAACTGCTTGTCGTCGACGGCGACACTGCAAAAAGTCAGTTGTAGTCTAAGTTACTCTTTCTAAGAACGTACGCATATGTGGATTGCCTTAAGTTTGCGTATCTGGTGGTCTTGTTATCCGAGGTGTTCAAGTGAGCCATGGCTATTTCACCTCGAACCTTCGGCCATTTTCCATGAAGCCTCGATACACCGAGGACGCGATCGAGGTGGTTTCTCTGCTCTGTAAGTTAGATGGTCAATCAGATGGATTTCTGCCGTGATGAAACATACGACTGCCAGTCATCGACGCTATACTCGTTTCCCAGATCATAAAGAACCGGGTCCTGGTAAAGAAAGGAGTCATGAGACCATGTGAGTTTCCAGGGGGGCCATGGCCACGTACCACGGCGATTTGGTCGTTTGGCACCATTATTATTTGCAAGGCAACATTCAAGAGACAATTACTGTCCTCGGAGGGTTTTGAGATGCAAGAGTGGCTGGGACTGGTATTTAAAGTGCCGAAGTGACCCTTCGGGAAGGAGATCCACCTGGGGTTCAAGTACAGTTGTGGGCCGCCTAAGTTTCTTTGTCTCCTTTGTTTGTCTTCTTGGGTGGTCGCTAGGCAAATTGTTACATGATTGGCGCTTTAGGGCCGCATATGCATCTGAAACAGACAAATACCGGTTCCACAACCGCCGTCATTGAATATTATTGGTTGATCACAAACAGCCAGTATTTTGGTCTCTTATAGGGTAGGCATCGGATACCGAATCCGTAGCCGATGTAGGGGTAATGCTATTAGTACAAGCTGCTATGGCCACGGCCCTTCTCTCCGCGGAATTTATGCACCCTGTCACACCGACCGGAGCCCGGCGATTTTATTCGTCCCTTTTGACCGTTAGGAGTGGTGAAACCCTTCTCATGCTGGACGTTGCAAATCTGATGATTTCAAATTTACATGGTCGCGATAACTTTACCATCTGGTGGGCTCTGTTTATCTGGATGTAGGCAATACTTGAGCAAACTTGGAAGGGCTCGGATCGCACGCGCGTCTGCGGCGGGGTACGATATGTTGGAAAGGACCTCGGGATCCTGCGACAACCAACGGTTCGTACTTTTGCGATATCCATCATTGGCTAGGTTGTGCAATGGCTTGACCTCAGGACCTTATTGGCTTTAACGATATCCAATAGCCTGTATCGGGATGAAAGTTACAGCTAGATTTTACTTCAATGAGTCTCCGTGGCTCAAATGGATGCTGCTCTATAGCTCGTTGTCTCGTCCTATCTTCCCGGAATGGTATATGCGATCAAGCCAATACTCCGCGTTGACTACCTTCCAACATTCTTCCGGTCTCCATTATCGGTAATGCGTGACCTGGAAATTTAATCAACGTCGTCTGTATTTATACTTGGACAGATGATATTGATTTTCCAAGTTAATGGAATTTAGCCAAGCGCAAAGCATCTTCAGATTCAGAGTAAGTTCAAAATATATATCGGAATCACAGTTTGGGCATTTGGCAAAGTACCTAATCACTTATCTTGTTTGAAGAGTGTTGGACGTACAAATGCAAAGAGCACGAGGATGGGCCTTTCCTTTCATCAAACCAACTTTTAAAGGCATTGAAAGACGTTAATTTGGAAGATAATGAAAACTCTTGGCTTTCGCCCATTAAGGCAGCTGCAATTTTTGCATGCTCCTTCATATTGTTATATTTACAATACTATAATATATCATCGGCCGGATGGTGTAGTTGGTTATCACGTATCGTTAACACCGATAAGGTCCTGGGATCGAGCCCCAGTCTGGTCAATATTTTTGCTTTTCTCGTTCTCTTTGAGAAGCTCGCAAAGTTTTTTTGGTGGGTCGTTGATGGGTCAGCTCGGGTTCTTGATTGGCGGTTATCTATCGCCTATGAATACACACACCAGTAAAATCGATGAGCTGAGGCGTCATCTTCATACCTTTCTTTGGCTTGATTTTCTTATCAAATTACTGGGAGGGAGAATATTGTGGAAATTAAGGTATATGATATTAACCCGTGTCTATGACAAAAAACGGAAGCCTACCGAGGTCAAGTAAATCACAATCTAAATTCAATGTCTCATCAACGGCAGCGCTCAGCGCCAGTTATCAGACCTGGCCATCATGTAACCTTGGAAGTTGGTGTACCCCACTCGGGCAACCCCGCCCAATTGTCGTGGTATATGTACAAGGTCATGCTCTATGTACAAGTCAAATCTGTCCCAGAAAGTCGGTTGACCTCGGTATCAAATCCATAGTGTCGAGATCTTTTAGTAGGAAGGAAGCGCCCTTCAAGTTGCAGCTTTCCACTGATAATTATACATCGTTGGCGCAAGACCAACTGCTGGAGCTAGAGTCATTGTGGATCGCGACAGCGGAGACGTAAAGACCGAGTCCACACTGAAGAAAGTCAGTCATGTCAACACAGGTAAGACAGGTAGGATATAGGGACTCACCATAGCGAAGGCAATTGCCAAGATCAGAATATTGATGATAGTCAAACAAGTCTTCTTCCAGTTCTTGAAAAATTGACCCCGGTTCATGTAGAACCAGAAAATGGCAGGGAGGCCAACTGCTTCATGTTAGCAAAAATGCAACTTCAACTATGTAAGGGAGGAATATGACATACAGCTGAACCAACTTCCAAACAGCGCACTCTATAACGAATTTTAGCATTAGCGAATATCCTTAGATAGATCTAACGAATCCCACGACTTACAATGAGACTGAGCAGGTCATTGAACACGGGAATCGATTCCGCGACAACCCATGAGATGACCCACACGCCGATACAAATGGCGACCCAGGATCCAACGGAAACGAAGCTTCGGCTGTGCATCTTGTCGGAGCCGCGGAAAAGGCGAACGTAAATGTACTTGCACGCAACGTGACCCAAGACCACACCGGAGAGAATGACCTTGATTAGATTAGCATATGATCCATAACACAGGTGAAACGAGAAGTGTAGACTCACAGTCGGAATGGCTAAGCCCCAGGCGATCTTGCTCATCAAAGGGCTCAGAGACAAAATGGCAGGAGACTCAACATCGGGTCCAACGTAGTGGTAGATGATCAGAGCACTGATCAGGTAAAGGACCGTGTCGATAATTTGAAGCATAGCCAGCGACTTGTTGAAGGTCCGGGGGTCCTCCATCTCAGACATAAAACCAAAGTAAGCAATGTGAGCAACTGCAAATCTCATTAGAACATGGTATGAATTACGGTTTAGTGTTTCAACTTGCGGTAGGCGAAAATGATGTTAGTCACCGCGAGGAAACCGTCGCGGAAGCTAACATCAGTGGTGGCATGGTTGACGACATGGCCCTTGCTCTCGACTCCAGCAGTGACCATAGTCACCATAACGGCAACGAAAACACTCAAAAACGCTTGAAATAAGTCAGTCACACTGCTGTAAACGCACCGACTGGGCTACACTCACAAATGCAAGACATCCAATAGACTTTTTCCATGGTACGAGGCAATGCACCAAGGAAGCAGATGACCAGACCAACAACACCAAAGACCAGTGTGCAGGTGCCGTGATCAGTCAAAACGTTCATAAGGATGTTGAAAGTCAGGATGTTGCTGGCCATGAGAAAAATCAATAGCAAGAGTTGGCCAATTCCGAGTATTTCACGGCCGACACGGCCCATCAGGAGCTCACCAGCGTCTCCCATGCTGTGAATTTCTGGGTGACGAAGCTTGAACTGGCCAATCTCATAACCCGTGTACCATGAAAGAGCAGAGATGAACAAAATCATGATTGCAGCACTGCATAAAGACGTTAGCACAAATTTGGATCTAGACAAATTTGATAAAGAGATACATACGGAGCCATTCCAAGGGTGGCCACAGCGGAGGGAAGAGAAAGAATTCCCACAGAGACATTCTCGGCGATCATCACTTGAGATATTGTTAGAATTCGCTTTAAGGGTGCGTGGTATTCGCAATTAGATACTCACGCATTCCACAGTGCCTGGTTAATTATCATTAGCGTTCTTGATCTTCCAATGATAAACTTCTTTGTGTGGGAAAAGAGTCACTTACCACCACTTCATAGTCCGATACTTGATTTCAGCGCTCTCCTCATTGCCAAAAGGTTCCAGATCCTTTGCAGCAAATGGCTTTTCACCATCCTTGAGGGGCCCGTCAATGGGCCCTTTGGCATCAACTGCATATGACTCCTCGTCACTCATAATAGGCAACTTTCGTTCCGCTTCTTCACCAGGTCGAAAGTTTTGGCCAACAGTAGCCCAGAGAGAAAAAACAAATTGACGCGACTATGCCAGCATTGACTTCGCACGGATGATAAAGAAAGCAATTTCAGAAATGTCTGCAATTGTACCCCAACCAAGCCAAGAAAAAATTTGAAAGTGCCCCGGGGTTCTGAGTGGATCCCGGGAAACTTTTTGACCGCCTGCGGCGTGCCGGGTTGACTTTAACTACTGGCGGGTGTTGCCGAAGCCGGTGAAATTTTCGGTGCTCGGCATCGCCGATGAAATATTTATTTAAAACCTCGATTTATAGTTGATGAAAAACTTCAGTAGTGACGATTTGGTATACTAAGGTAGAGTTTATGTAGGAAGATGGATATTCAACCTGAAATTCGGGTTTTCCGGAAGTTTCCCGCCTCTAGTTCCATAGTTGGCAAGGAGTGGCATGAGTGCGGGTAGGTTGTCAGTCTGACATTCCTCGTTGTTTTCGGTGCCATTGCGTTAAATCAGTTACTTCAACGATCGTCCAATATGCTAGTTGGATCAACAGACAATGTTAAAATACAAAACATGCCATCTGGAAATTGTAAGAAAGACCGTTCAATGCCTCAAAAGTGAGCATGATCCTATGTGTCATAGCTACCCCATTTTCTGTCTAGCCTTTGCCCCCTGAATTTGATATCTCTGAAAGTGAATAAATCCGTGAAGTAATAGAAACATTAATCTTTCATCCAAACAAAAAAAAAAGAGCTATTATAAGGCCATTTTTCTTCATAGCTTTCTAAATCTATATGCTCAACCTCTTACCAATCAATTGGCCGGATGGTGTAGTTGGTTATCACGTATCGTTAACACCGATAAGGTCCTGGGATCGAGCCCCAGTCTGGTCACTTTTTTTGCCTACATCATCCTCTCCAAGTGGATCTAGGGAGTCAACATTTTTTTGTGGTGTGGTGGATCTAGTCTCGGAACGAGTAAAGTTAGCTGGCGATTCAATCACGTGAACAGGCAAGATGGCCGAGTTGGTCCAAGGCGTATGGTTCAGGCTCACCTGATCCAAGTTTCCATATCTCGTTTACGGGGCGTGGGTTCGAATCCCACTCTTGTCAAATACATTTTTTTCATGTTTCAAAGTGTGGTAGAGAGAGAGCAGAGGCATCATTCAAGAGGTGTTGTCATCTGAAGATTTTTTTTTCAAACTTGCAAGCAAGAACTAAGTGCCTACTTAGTTTATAAGGACTTAAGAATTTGACGCCAATAAGGACAGCTTCCGAGACCAAACATCGCAGCAATACTCCATGCCTATGCTTAACGAAAGTGTAACAGCCGAGCCAACTGGGAAATCAAGGCCGGCTCCGATAGTAGGGGTAAAGTCTTAATTCAAGTCTCTCGCAATTTGATGTCAATTGATCAAGAGAGAGCGACGAATGCACTAAAAGCTGGGCTTACCATTCCGACTGCCTTACAGACTATGGGTGTGCTTAGTGGAGGGGGGGGAAAGGTCAGAGGCATTTTTATATGACCTCGTGTTAGGCGGCTAAGTGCCAAACAAACCTTGGAAAGTAATTACGAAGAAATGCATAGACCTTCGTTGGATATATTGGAGAAAAGACTAGAATGTTCCAAACGGTCAAGACATTAAAGAAAAGATCGTTTGTTTACCCTTGATGTCATTCATTAGAGAGGCTTTCAAGCTAGGAATAGAGAGGGTAGTAAAAGTGCTTCGGGACCGAGACACCGCGGTCTTCATATAAAGCTTCCATCAAGCCGCCAATGAGTTGAGAGGAGGGCGGTAAGCTAACAAGCTCGAGATTCGCTTGTGTACGCACAAGATACCCGAGAATCGCAGCACTGACAAGGTTGGTCAAATCACCTCGCTCCTCACGTAATGTGCGCAGGAGCCCTGTGGAGAAAGCCATTTCTGGATTTTGTATATGACCTCCAGTCATCATGAAAGACCTTTGCATTTAGTTAAGAGTTTCCTGTTTATTACAAACATGGTCTTCTGGACGTCTACAAAGAATGGCTGAGAGAGCTCGAGGACCAAAATGTAAATGGCATCTGTGTCATTTTGCATACTGACTTCAAGCATACTGAGCATTGATACATCTATCCCAAAATTTTGTTTGTATAATTTTTTAAGCACAAATCATGGTCGCCCATGATGTAATGCTAGGATACGCAGATCGAGACCTTGCTGCAATCTTCGAATGAGTCGAGCAGAACAGATTGCCGTAGTGCTCTTCATCTCTGGAGTTAATATGAATAAAGAATGTTACTAAATCAGCATAGTTGGCGTCCACTAGTGAAACAAATATTTTACGCCCTGTTGAGCTCTTTGCAAGCCATATCTAGTAGGCCCAGCCCATCAAATATACCTTACCGAGAATTCCTAATAGAACTTGAAAGACCTGAGTGGATCTCAAACTCGTAACGACAAGGTTATTAGGCTGATATCGGCGCGTATATTAGGGGGAAAGTGATTTGTATTTCCACCTTCAGCCCCTCCGCCCGGGGAAAGATATGAAGCTTTCACTCATCCATCTGTGCGAAATTGGGTGGCTACTACTCGGTTGGGCAAACATGACAGGGGTGCGCCCGTTATCCTTCAAATAAATCGTACCCGTCAACCTAATTCGTTCGTCCGAAAAACGCTCTGCAGAAGCCAAAATGATCAGTCAGAAACAGTCAGAAACAGTCAGAACAATCAGTGCAATTCGTTGGCCACCCTGGACGTTGAAGGCTGGCACTATTCCATACATCTTTGATAAAACATTATCCCAGCCATTCATCTGTCACGTTGATACATGAAATCAAGAGCGAGTAAGCAACAAAAGGTTTTTCATAGGAGACAGCCACCAAATCAATCAGAAACAGACTTGGAAAGCAAAAAAACACAACATGAAAGCAAAGCAGAACTCCAATATCAAAAATACGGAAAGAAAAAACGCGGCATCAGGTATCCATCTCGGCTAGGTAGTTATCTGTGTTTTTGTCTTCGCCGGCAGACACATAACAGAGAGATCTCAAACGCCGCCACCCCAGAATAAAGGAGAAAAGCGCGCAAAGAACGTAGCTTGCGCAGTACTTCCATCATCATAGTAGTAGTAGTCCATCTAGCAAAAAGCCCATCGTGGCTCGAGTCCATCAACACGGGCATCCAGAGAGCTACTGGCGAGTCCTGGGCTAGCGTTCAAAGGTCCGTCGGTCATAAGATCAGGGGGAGGGGTGTGCATTTATTCCATCGCGGTCTCCCAAGTGGCAAAACAAAGTCTCATGGGGTCCATAAACGCGGCACGGAAAAGTAAGGAGAAAACGGGAAGGACCAGGGGGTCATTATCCACGGAAGTAAAGTTTATCAATCGGCCTTCTTGACTGGGGAATGGCCATATAATTCGGGTAGGGTTCAAGTATTTGCGAATCTGACGCGGCGGCGTCGTTCATTGATCATTTTCTCGGTGTCAACATAAAGACGGTCGAAGAATTGCATTGCATCGGAGTCCTTGAGGATCTTCGCGACTTGCGTTCCTGCGGAAATGAGCTGGAGCACATTACGATCATCCTTGACAGGCCGGGAGCTATGCTTGGCAGCGTGACGCATTTCCAGGGAGTTTTCCAGGACAGTGATCAGTTGCTTGATTTGGCCGTTGTGCAGTGCGTGGCGGGGGATGCGGCGGCGAGTTGCTAGTCTCTTTAAGAGGTGCACCCACTCGTTCCACTCGCGGTCCGAGGGGACCTGAACTGGCCTCTTGTCCTGTTCCAAGGGGATGGGGAATTGGTATCTGGCAAAGAAATCATAGCCACACTGGGAGAGGCGGTCGTTGACTTGGTGTAGAATTCTGTCTTGCTCTGAGGCATCGAGATTAGTAGGGAGCTGGGGCAGCTCCTCCTCTCGAGATGAGAGGCTCCGTGAGGCAGGTGGATCCAGAATCTGATGAGGGCCATCAAATTCATCCCGGTTGGAAGTCCGTCTCTGGGAAACGTATTGCGGATTTCCGCGGGTTGCATCGGCAGCTCGCAGGCTGTTTCTTTCCACGATGTATTCCGGGCTTTCCGAGGAAGTAAATGGCCTAACATCATGTCGTATTGGCTCCCTGGGCATCTGGGGGCGGTTCCATTCCGGGTACACGGGCACGTGGAGCATTGGCTGGCCAGCTGGGGGGTAGGATAACCGCCCCAGAGGCGGATTCATCATAGGTCCATGGTTGTCCAGAGGAGATGGAAGTCCGTGGTAGTGGTGTCGGGGTTCAAAATCTATTGAGCCCAGTACAAGTTGGCGATTGTCATTGAGGCCGTATGCCCGAGGCGCTGACGGTGCCCTTTGGCTGCTTAGCAAGAGTAATGGAGGACCGCATTTCGTCGGAATTGGGAAGATGGGGAGAAAAAGCCAATATACATGGTATGGAAGTACCTTTGCCGGTGGATTATGGGAGTGTTTCCCGGTGTTGCGTACATAGTGTGTTGGGCCATTGTGCTATTGGGAGGTGTGAGCCGAGAGGACCAATGAGAAAGACCTTGCGTTGGAAATGATTGGAAAGGAGGCGGTGCATGTTGGTGCTGACCTAGGGCGAGGTAATATATCCAATTTGGTGCTGACAGAGCCTGCTCGGGGTCCGAAACTGTATGGTGTCGCAGAGAGTGGCTGGAAACTCGCTGGGACCGTCAAAGGAGGAGGTACCATGAAGACAAGATATAAACTAGCGGCAGTCCACAATGAAGACAAAAGCAAGGAAGAAGAAAGTCAACTTATGAATAGGGGTGAAAAAGAAATATGTTCAAGAGCGTCGTTGGGCGAATCCACGGCCGTTAAGAAGCGCTGGATAGTCAAGGCTAAGGTAATATTTATGACCAGGAAAGCCCGGGTTGAGGATGCCTAGGATTGTGCCTGACGCCCGTTTCTGGAACTATCAGGGCTAATCCAATTCCATAAGTGGATGGAGAGCCGCGCTAGAAGCTTTTAAGCCAGAAGTGGAGATGTTATGGGCAAATGATGCAGTGGGTGGGACTGGGCGTTGCCCTTAGGTATGAGCCAATTGCACCATACAAACAAGGAGGCACCCCGGCTCTCCTGTGCGACAGGAAGAAGGCAATGATGAGGAGATCTTGAACGATCGAGCTCGAGTCTGCTCCGCTATGAAGCACTGATTTGACGTGGCTAGGACACCGCCGGAGCGGCTCTAGGATGTTAGGGGGGGGTCAGTGTATCCACCTCGATCGAGAACCGGGGTGGGTTTACGATCCCGTGGTTGGATCTTCACGGACCAAGAAAGGGCAAGGACCACTAGTAAGTGACGCCACTGAATCCTGGTGCGACAATCACGATGTAGGTAAATGAATTTAGGCACCAGTTGGGTAGAAGGGCATGAACGGGAGCCAGCTCGGTCTTCTAGTTGGCTGGTGACGTGAATGTGCCAGGAGAGATCTGCACACAATGAGAGCTGGAAAGTTGCGCCTAACGGTGGAGGCGAAGCACGGAATCCCGTGATAATTAGTCTTCAGACGCGGCCTTGGACTCCTTCACCCTGGCGCGCGATTGGGCATGCAGAGCCGTTGTGGCCCAATCAACGCATGGACCATCTCTATATCTCGACCGCGATCGACCAGTATCCATGCTACACAGTGGGAAGCTGGCTGGAGATCCAATCTGGGATAGACTTGCAGCCCAATGGACGGCCCAATGTCTTACATTCTCCGCAGGCCCTGCGTCCAGCCATGTATCGAAGTTGGGAGCAGGTGGCAAATAATTAGATAGATTGTAGAGTGTGAGAGGCGCTGCTCCGGTCGAAACAGCACCTAAAGGATTGGGTGTTTTGGCATGGTATCATTGCTCAGCCATTGCTGGTAATCGCAAAGTTTATCTCGATGACAATCTGGTGATCCGCCACTCATCGCCCTCGGTCCGGCAATTCTACGCCGATACGACGGGCATATTCCTGTGCATTTCATGTGAGCTGTCTATTGGAGTACTGAAGTCAGCGGGTGTAATATCTGCATACCTCGCAGCTCTGCCGAAGGCCCTCCTCGATACCGATGCGAGCTTCGTACCCTAGGATTGCCTTGGCTTTATCTCCGCTCGCATATCTGACAGCACACGCATCCCGAACACTGCCTCGGCTTAAGGTGGTAGTAGACCCGGTCACCCAGCTTGTTATCTCACAGGCCAACCCCGCAAAATAGGCCAGCCCCTCCGGGATCCGGATCTCGAAGGGCGGAATATGACCGAAGTGAGCCCATATTGCGAGGCAGAAATCACGAAAAGCTATGGGCTCGTTGTTTTGGATAAAAAAAGCTTCTCCTGCAGCCGTGCGAGAAGTTACCAGGTTCTCCACAGCGAGGACATGAGCGTCTGCAATATTACTCACATGGGTGACATCCCACAAATTGAAGCCATTTCCGATAATGAACGGAGTCTCATACCTGCGTATGCATGCATGTATGGCTGGTACTAGCTGGTAGTCCCCCGGTCCGAAGAGCACTGATGGCCGAAGGGCACAGGTGGCCATCTCGTCGCTGGACGCCTCCAGGACAAGCGCCTCCGCTGCGGCCTGCGTTTCAAGTCAGCATTCCCCTGCCTTATCCCTGCAAGCGCAGAAAAGAAACGGTGGGGCCATAGGAGAGTATGGAATTAATACCTTAGACTCGCCATAAATGAGCGACGCTGGTGATGTTGGCCAACGCTCATTGATATTGGGATAGGATATACGTAGGTCATCGGTCGTTACGCAACAAGTACTGGTAAAGATGAAAGCCTCGGCCCCATTTTCTGCGGCAGCGTTCAGCATATTTCGAGTGCCTTCGACATTGGTCTTCCACACTGTGCGCTCCAGTCTTCGGCCGAACCGATCGGCCAGACATGGTACGATCCCCGCAGTGTGGATGGCCACATCCGGATTGACAGTCAAGAATGCCTTGCCGACTTCGCGCGCATTGGTGACATCAACTTGCATGCATTCCACTTGTTTGGGCAAGTCATGCTGGGGCCGTGGAGGGCTGCGATCGATGACGGTGATAGCGCAACTAGGATGTTTCTCTGCTAGGGCGCGTATTATAGCGGAGCCGACAAAGCCGGTGCCTCCGGAAATCAAGACTTTCTTGGACGCCACGATCTCGGCCATCGCGGGGATTGATGTTGTTCATGGGCAGTGAACACTGCCGTGTTTCATTCCAACCTTGCGGGACCCAAAGGGCGGCAAACCAGGGATTGGCCATTCGCGTGACTCGGTGCTACCTATACCACACAAAGTAAAAGACAGGTCGATAGGAGTATCTGAACATATTTTTGAAGTCGTAATCTATACACGTCGCCTTGGGATGAGCGACCAGGAAATGAGATACACCCAAGCATCTAATATACAGATCCTCGACCGAGGCAAATGATCCCAGTCGCAGGAAACAAACGAATCTCAAGAGGAGATCCCGCTGCGACGAACCTGCAAAACTCCAGCGTAAATGCAAAACAAAAAGACCCAATGTCTCCAAGCTTATTTGACACGGACCAAGGCCTGGCCACCAATCTTCTTTTCCACACACTCGCGAGCCTCCATGATTCCCCGATCTGTAGAGACGTAGAGACTCTCACCAGGGGAGCGGAGTCCGGCCACATAATTGGACTCTTCACCACGAACAATCTTTCGCAAGTCCTCAACGGTGACCCGGACTCGTCGTGTCGGCTTGCTGACCAGCTGAACCTTTCCCAGGACAGACTCGTTCTGCCAGTACTTCAAGCCCAACCAGAGGCGCCTTGACGCAATGTTCTCACGGGTGATAGGCTCGACATCATTAGCGGTAGGGAAGCCGAGGATTGGGTGCGCAGGCGGAGGAGTCGGGCCTCCGCGGACGACGGTGGAGAGGTAGCCAGAGTTCTGGAGAGCCTGGCACAGAGCCAGGTGCATCTTGGTGTTGGGGATAGACGTGAGGCCAAGACGAGCCTTGGTGGCATTGTTCAGGTGCGCGCACACCGAGGCGAGGTTGACGAGAGACATGGTGCTAGGCCGCTGCGACGATTGGCCCTTCGGGGGACCGTAGGAAGGAGAAAAGGTGCGTGGTCTCGGCAGGCGGCCGGTGGTTATCGGAGGATGAAGAGAAGTCTCACACGAGGTGGATCTTCGATTAGAGGGTTAGAGCAATAGCTCAATTGCGCGTAAAGATAGATGATGAACGGCTGCTAGTGATCGCGAGGCCAAAGTCGGGGGAGAAATTTTCGGAGAAAAGGTAATTCCGGGCATAACACAGAGAATGCCAAAAGAGGAAAAGTCACTTGTACTTGGCTCCACAATAGCGGCCATGTGTGATAGCCAAGTACTCGTTACTTGTGTCACATCACACTATACGCGCCTGTTCGGCGGCTCGAGGGTTCGTCTCACAGGCTACCGTGATCAGACCCCGCCATGCAGCTATAAAGCTATTGTGAGCCCCCTCTTTTTCCTTTGCCTCGTACCTTCTTTCTATATTCACGGACAACCATGCCTCCGCTACCGGGCGAGGAGCGTCTTTTGACTGTGTAAGTCATGCTAACATGTTCCCCACAGACTATCGCTTTTTCGAGTAAATGGAGTCTAATTCTGCAACTGCCGTAGTTTTGCGGACATTCATTACTATTTCGCAGCGCCAACTCTAAAGCCTCTCCATCACCGCTTTGATAAAGGTTCCTACTTGTATATCTACCAGGATGCCTCTCAAAACAAGGCGCGAGTCGAAATCGCCAATAACCCAGGAACACCAGAGCAAGATGCATTCCATGGCGCCTTGCACAATGTACATATCCGACACTCGACTCATTTCCCGACCTTATGCACCTTAACTGTTGATGGAGTTAGCAACGCCCCTCAACCACAGCATGCATCTCAGTACGAATGGCGACTGCCAAGCGGAGACCCCCGCAACGAACGGCATAGCCTCCTGCGTCTTCACACACTCGATATTTATTTCTGGACATTGGACGATGCCAATCAGTTCTTAGATACAGCCGGTCATGTACTTGAAGCTTCGCAGGTCAAGTCGGACCGTACCAACACTATCCCACAGCCAGAACAGCCGATGAGTTCCGTGGTACAGCAACTTGAGAACATAGCTGTCTCAGATCCGGCATATCAGAACGGACAGACTCGCAACTCTCGATCTGATTCCGCGCCTACATCAGCACCAGCTTCGCAGGGTACCCACCAGCCTATGAGCTTCCCACCCCCTCCTCCTAGCGGCCCACCGGCCGACCAACAAGCAAATATTGAACAGAATCCCGAGAACAAGAAAGAGCCAGAGAATTTTGCACCTCTTCCATACAACCCTGCCGCCCCAGCAGCACCAGAGCCAATCAAGCACCGCGAGAAGACCCCGCCACCAGAAGATGGAACCGAAGGCACTGGTTTAATGGCAGCCGTCGCCGCAGACCATGGCATCCCCTATACACCCTCACAGAAAGTCGGAGGGGTACCATCATTCGGGCCCCCACCGACCTCAACGCCCGGAGCACCATACCCAGGTGCATCAGCTATGGCTCCAACAGGCTATAGTTCCCCTCCACCGAGCGCCGGCCTCCCAAGATCAGCCACATTCCCCCTCCAACAAACCCTTCCAAGCCCCGGCCTTCCATCCTACAATCAAGCCTATAGAACTGGCCAAGCGTGGCCCGGCTCGCCGCCCGAAGATCCAAATGCTCATCTATTTGCACAGCAAGCGTACGGATCTCCGCAGTCACCTCCTCAGCAACTCCCCATTGGCGGGTACTCGAATTACTCGTATAACCAGTCGGTGACGGGTCATACACCTGGTTCGTCTGAATATGATATCCATAGTCAGGTGTACAGACCAACTGAGGCCGAAGCGGGTTCGCATGGCCAGAAATATGCGGCACGAGCTATGAAAGCTCCCGGGCAGCGACCAAGAAAGTTAGAGGATAATGCGGCAAAGTTGGAAAGTGGAATGAACAGGTTTTTGAAGAAGCTAGAGAAAAAGCTGTGACGTGAGATGTTGAATCTCGGTTGCAGGTTTAGTATAGCTTTTTGTTGCCATGCGTGTTTGTCGTTTAGCGATTTCAGCTGCTGGACAGCTTCAATTGATAGCAAGACCATTCTCTACATCTCATGTATCGTACGTCTACCCAAACTTGAGTCTACAAGAAATATCCACAAATTCGAGAAACTAGTAACTTATTGTCTTCCAACCTAATTTCTCTTGAAAGTAAATGACAAAAAATGTAATATGCTCAACCTGAAGAATGCAGAGAATCGCTCAATAAACCCATGCTCAAGAAATCAAGAAGTTGAAAAATGCAACCAACAGACAATGAGATGACAGACTAGAAGCTTGGATAATATCCAGCCCCTCCATGAGAATGGAAAAGATGCTTAAAAGAAACCTCGCAAAGTTTTGCCAAGAGGTAGTGGAGCGAAGCTCCCTGAAGTGAAATAGCCAAGGGTATAAGCACAGAAGAAGATTAAAAGTGTGAATAAGAATTTAATCATGCCAAAGACCGTTCATGGCTAACTTAGCTCAGGTTCAGGCTGGCAAAGTCGATGTCAACGGTGTCCGACTTGGTCTCCTTTGTAGCTGGCTCCTTTGCCTGGACAGAGGGCTCGGGGGCAGTGGCATCCTTAGAGATCTCGAAAACGTCCTCATCGGCCCTAGCCTCCGGAAGAATAGTCTCTTCCGCAACCGTGGGAATAACTTCCTCAGGCGCCTTTGCCGTGTCCTTTAAAGACTGGGAGACTTCTGGAACGACCGGAACAGACTTGAGCATGTCGTGCTCCGCAGCAGGGAGCTTTTCGACAGCACTTTCGGCCAGGACCACCTTGGTCTCTTCCTTGGGCTCCTCAATCTGGACCTCAGAGTCGGTCACGCCGTCGGATTGCGAGACATTCTCAGTCGGGATGTCCTCAACCTTCTTTACATCAGCGACCACAAGGGTCTCCTCAGGAGCTTTGTCCTTGGGCTCGGTAGTAGTTTCAACCGAAGCGGCCTTAACAGCGGGCTTTGATGAAACTCTGGGGGCTTCCTCAGTGGCAGTCTCAGCCGCAGTCTCACTGACAGCCTCCTCAGTAGCCGGCTCAGCCAACTTGCCGACAGACTCAGGGGTAGACTCAAAAGCAGCTACGGTTTTTGCGGCCTCGACTGGTTTGGGGGCAATTTCTTCCTTGAACGGTGCAGCAGGGACCTCGGGCTTCAGTTGCTCAACAACAGTCTCCTTGGGTTCCTCCGCGACTGGCTCTTCTGGGATTGTCGGCACAGACTCCTCGATGTTCTCCTTCTCGGACTCCTCAGCTTGGAGAGGCTTGATATCTTCCTTGTGGGGCTTGATATCCTTGTTGGAAGCCTGAGACTTCTCCTTTTGGGGTTGCAGAGGAGCAGCCTTGGTCTTGGCCTGGGGCGCGCTGCGCTCCGGGGCTCTTCCCATTGACGTCACGGACGCCTTAGCTGTCACGGTGTTGCTCTTAGCAGGAGCCTTGGTCTCAGGTCGGTCATGTAGCCTACTCCTAGAGCTCTCGGTAGGTCGCATCATGCGAGCTAAGAACCCGTCGGCGGGCTTGGCGCCAGCGTCGCTGACGCGAGAGCTTGGCCGGTCTTGGGTTGACTGTGCTGGAAGAGAGGGACGAGAAGACTGGCGACGCACGCTTGCGGTGACGCCGTTGGTCGTCCGCGTCTGACCTGCGCCCACGGCGCTCTTAAGTGTGGAAGGCTTCCGTGCCAAGGTCGAAGCAGTGGTGCTAGTTCGCGCAGTCGGGGCCGATGGAACTTGAGACCCTAATCTGGCCGAGGATGCTTGAGTCGGTGCGGTTGCTGAAGCGGGTAGTCGAACAGATCGGGTAGGGGATCTTGTGCGAGGCTTGCCTCCCTGGGAGTTCGTGGGAGAGGTCTTCTGAGTTTCTTGAGAGGGAGTTGCGCCACGAGTCGTCCGGTGAGCGGTCCTCGCTGCGGGATTCATTGAGACGCGACTCGGCTTGCGAGCGAGAGCATCAGATCGCTCCTTGGCCACCTCTCGGGCCGAAGGCTTAGCAGCCGCGTTGTTGGTAGGTGATTTGGAGGATATAGTTGCCGGCTTGCTTGTCGCATTGGTCTTAGTAGCATGTATGTTGGAGGGCCGTTTGGTGACCGTCTTGTGAGCTGGTTTCTCTGCAGGAGCTCCAGAGCCAATGGGCTTTGTTGCGCTTGGCGCAGTCTCCTCTTTCTTCACAGGTGTCGGCTCTTTTGGCGGGACAGTGGTGTCTGCACGACCTGTGGTCTCTGCATTGCCCTCATTTTGTTCGGTGGTCATTGCTGAAGATTCCTTCGGCTTGGGTTCAAGGACAGCTTGGTCTAGGACACTGGTCTGGGATTTGCCGAGATTTCCAGCGGGAGTCGGAGAGATCACATTCTGCCGACGTGCCTCAACCTCGTCCGCATTGATCTGCGGGCCAAAAATCCCAGGGCTATCACTGCGCCCACTTGTCTTCCTCAACGGCGAACCGGGGTTCGATTGAATGACTCCGTCGACGGTAACGAAGCTAGCACGGACCCTGGAGAGCGGTCTTGTTGATCCCGGGGTAGCGGAGCTGACGGGAGACCTCCCACGCGACTCTGGGGAAACGACGGGACTCTCACCGTTCTCAAACTTGGCCAGCAGGCTCCGGACTCCGGGGTGGGCGTTGTCTGACATGGTTCGCAAACGATCACCACGTAGGGTTCAAGCAGTCAGGGGTGGTGTAATAGAAGGGTTCGGGACGCGTCGAGCGCACAGGGGCGCGAGGGTGCGGTTGAGACGGGGGCAGATGGTGAGTACCGAATCGCTCGCGTTTTAGAGAAGCAAATGAACACGGTGTTTTGAAACGAGCATCGGAGGAAGGAAGGAGACGTAAAGAAGGGTCGATCAGGAAGGTTAAGACGCTAGTAATGAATTAGCGCCTCCAATGGAGTGAAACAGCTGCATACAATAATTGTAACGTTTACGCCGGGCTCCCCCTGTAATTCAGGGGGCAAATGACGGGGTTTCCATCTGTCTGTAACAGTGGTTTAGTGTTCTCATACCTGGCCTTTTCTCCTGAACTCCTGCTCATCTCCGTCCATCGCTGTTGATCTGTCTTACTATACTGTTGTCCAGCGTTCGGCGTTCAGCATCCAATGGAACCGGTTTGTATAGAAACCTCCTTGCATGGGATCTAGGCCTCAGGCTGCACGTAAACACGCAGATTGGCGATCCAAACTTCGATCGGATTTAATTCCATGGTCCGGGGAGCCGATCGCGTCACGTATCTCATTTGCTTCGCAGCACCCTGATCCTGGACTGATTTCCCTCTAGCTAACCCCTAGTCATTATACAGCAATGTTCTAGAAGCCGAACTAGTGCTTAGGTGCTTACCTTTAGAAAGGGGTCAATTCATGACCCCCACTATGCTGCGTTCAATAGCGTCACGCTGTGGGGGTCCGGCGTCAGTGCCTTACCCGTAGCTACCCGTGGCATCATAGCTGTCATTAGGGAATATCTAACACATGGTGCATATTGTCTTGGTTCTTCTATGCAAGTTGCTCACAAAGACTATCTAGATGCACTTGCAAGATGCGTTTGAATGCCACGCGCCTGTCAACATCAAGCGGAGCGGCCCAACTAATTGCCGGTATTATGTCAGCAAGCGTGAGCTGGAGGGGGTTCCAGCATTTATACGACGTCTACATTCCTTGACCTAAAAGCATGCTGATGGATGATTGAAGATGGTCGGCGTACCTCGAAGCAGTGGCTGCTCTACCTGTGTGAAGCGCCGAGTCAAAGTGGGTGTGTTGCGGTTCAGACAAATAGTCGTGATTCTAACAGCGCCACAGTGTGACGAAAGAGCCCCTGGATGTGTCAAATGCGAAAAGTACGGCAAGCCATGTCCAGGATATAATAGAGGCTTTAAATTCATTACCGGAAAACCATACCGGAGTCGGCGAGTTCGTCCTGATGGCAGTGACAGCATAGACGGAAAGCGCTCGGTATCTACCAGTCCAAGCACAGGAAGTGATAGCCAATCTTCAAGCCAGGAGGTTCTTCTGCCAGAGAGACCCTCCACCCTTGTATCTGCGGACTTGAATGTCTTGCAAAGTTTGGGCTCTCTGATTGTGGACTTCTCTCAGCCCGTATCATCTAACCAGAACCATTTTGCCCACCACTGGTTTGGCTTCCTTCCGTCTATCTACGGCCTGAATCACACACTGGATGCAACGATCAAGTCCTTTGTGGCGCACCATTATGGGAAAACCTTTCAAGATGAGCAGATGGTTGTCTACGCCAGATCTGCCTATGGGGAAGCCTTGCATCGACTTCGCAAGGCTCTGACAAGTCCTTCAGAATGCTTTTCAACCTACATATTTTGTGCGGTTGTGCTATTATGCATATACGAGGTAAGACTGATAATTAGTCGGATCCCTTTACTACAAGTGACGTGCTGGATTCTAACTACACTACAGCTCTTTACAGATAATGAAAACCCCGAGTCTTGGATGAAGCATGCTAAGGGGCTCGGCCAACTGATCAGAGTCAGGGGTCCCGACCGATATCGCAACCAGCTCGATATCACCTTATTAAAGGCCTCTCGTGGATTAGTAGTACGTAATTCGTACCCACACTTGAGCGCTTTTAAATCTTTGGATTCTTTTCCCTAACAAACCAATAGGTCATGCATTCGATGTTCTCTGGGGAGCAATGTTTCCTGGCCTCCGAAGAATGGCACCATATGATGCAGCAACAATACACAGCAGATATGCCGACCGATCTCCACAACAGTATTGAGCAATTCTTCGCTCTTTTCACTTACGCACCTAGCCTCGTTCACAAATTCTACAGCTTGAAAGAGGTGGACTTGTCGACTCTAGAGGCACAACAGACTGTATCAGCTACTCTCACACAAGCCCTTGCCATACAAAGCAAGTTGGCTATTTGGCATGCACAGTACTCTCAAATCGCCCCACACCCAGTTGAAATACCCTCCTCTACAGAAGATGAGGTATACCCTGCTATTCTCGTATACGAGGAGATGATTCACGCGACGATATATTGCGCTTACTACGCATACATGGCGATCATACACGAAACCCTCAAGACGTTTGGCTATCCCGGCCCTCACGGGTCCATGGTGATTTACTTTTGCGATCAAATTTGCAAGTCGGTTGAATACAGCGGCGTTGGCGCTCTTGGCCCATTTCGACTGGGATTCCCGTTGCGGGTGGCATATGAAGTCAGTGGTCCTCTCACAAGATCATGGATCTTAACGCGGCTAGAATCATTCTCAAAGATATACGCCGCGGCTCGACCAGAGAACTACGAGATTATTGAATAATGATTTGTGAAGATGAAGACTAAATTCTGAAATCAATAAAATATCCCCACTCTTTTCAAGAGCCATCCCTATCATCAAGTCCCCATTTGACTATGGAATCAATTACCTAGCCCTTCAGCATCAGCATCACAAGCTTCAATATTCTGCTTCAAATTGGCTGACCAGATGGGCATCGCCACGGCGCGGGCTGTCAGAAGCAATATGACAACAAAGATCTCCATCAACAAGCCCATAGCAGCTAGGGTGCCGACGCCACCCGTGACAGGGTTAAATTTTGGAGGCCCATATTCCAACAGGAGGAAGTAGACAATACGGATCAAGAGGAATGGGAGTGCGAGAAGAACCAGCAGAACTCCGCGATGACCCTCCACTGGGAGAGTTGACCGAGAATTCACCGCTAGCCAGACAACGAGCCCGCACACAAACGCGAATGTGACGATGAGCAGGACAGATCCTGCTTCTCCAAGAGCGGATATCTCGACAATTCCACCCACGATAGCGAGCACAATGGCGATGACGATGGGGAAGCGGAAGCCATGCAGAGCGAACCTCAATGGCTTTGGATAACTCGATTTTCCGGGCCCGAATTTTCCTGACTGACCACTGTACCGAAAAAAGAAATTAGCTTTGTTAAATATTTGCAAGGATTACGAGAGGGTTCATACCATGCCAAAAGAACAAGGCTCACTTCGAATAAAAGAGGCGAAAGGCCAGCGTTTTGCATGGCAGATTCAGCGATAAGCATAGATTTGTTGGGCTCAGAAGTCGAGAGCATTATAGCAGATCCCGCAATGCGTACTGGAATAGCAACTGTTTAGATTCTGTCGTCTCTTTAATCATTCAGTAGGACTGTCCACTTACCTTGTGCTAGGATGCCAACCATACTCCACCAGGAATAGAAGTAGCAGCGCCCATGGCTCTGTCTCTTATTATGGTGCCAGTAACGCCATTCCTGCATATATCGCAGAGGTATTTGAGTCAGATGGATGATAGAAAAGAGGACAATTTCCGCGATAGCGATGTTCCTTCTCCCAGGGGAGATCAAAGCATCAGCGCCCCGCGAGACGATCGAGGCTGTCATGTTGGCTGTAAGGGAAAAGGATGAGTAGCAGATGTTTATTGAGTGCTAGAGTAAGATTCACATCTTTTAAGTATTCATCTATGCATGTTCCTTTGCTTCAGGTTTTATTGTACTGCTATAGATCCAGTGGATACACATCGCGGTTACTGACCACTTCGGGTTTAGCGTGACCAGTGGCCTGGCGTAAAACCTTAACGACATACCAAAACCCCGATTTAAAGGATCGGGCCCGCCGATAAAATGGACAGGGATTGGATCAGTGCACTGCCAAGGCCAAATAGAGACCATAATCAGGTGAGTCTGCCACAGGAGCGTTGCTCGCGATATCTGTCCCTTTCGGGTAAGGCACCTAGAGCCTCCCTGTGCGGCTGAGTTGCGCTCCTCGTTGCTTGTGACCATTTGGGACTATCATCACAAATCGCTTTTTCAAAAACTAATCACAAGACACTTCACTCCGTATATGCGTGAAATAAATGCTCCAGGTCGTAAACATCCGAACCGCGTGCTTTACTCCGGACCCCGGAGTCTGTCCGGATCAATGATATTCCATCACCGCATACAAAATGTAAAGCTCCGATGACGGCGAATGCCCGAAGCCAGGAAGCATCCCTCGAACAAAAATCACAATGGCTGCTGCTGCTCGGACTCTTCGTATTGGTATGGGCCCAGGAGCTGTCTGGTGGTTGCTTTAATGAATTGAGGCTAATTGGAGCTGTATAGGTCTCATCCCCGGAGACGGCATCGGACGGGAGGTCATCCCGGTACGTACCTCTCGCACGAGCAGAGCGAACCCCAATTCTCAGACCGAGAAACTGACAGGTGCATTATAGGCTGGTCGTCGTATTCTCGAGTCTCTCCCCTCGTCCCTGAACCTCAAGTTCAGCTTCGTCGACCTCGAGGCCGGCTATGACACTTTCCAGCGCACCGGTACCGCTCTGCCTGACAAGACCGTCGACATTCTGAAGAAGGAGTGTGATGGTGCTCTCTTCGGTGCTGTCAGGTGAGAACTCAGCCTCACCACCCAGCTCATCGAACTCCCTGACTGACTCTCACCACCACCCAGCTCCCCAAGCACCAAGGTTGCCGGCTACTCTTCCCCCATTGTCGCCCTGCGCAAGAAGCTCGACCTGTACGCCAACGTTCGCCCCGTCAAGACCACCGTCGGTAGCAGCAACGGCAAGCCCATCGACCTTGTTATCGTTCGTGAGAACACCGAGGACCTCTACGTCAAGGAGGAAACCACCCGTGAGACCCCCGAAGGCAAGGTCGCCGAAGCCATCAAGCGCATCTCCGAGCGGGCCTCGTTGCGCATTTCCACCATTGCTGGTGAGATCGCTCTCCGCCGCCAGGCGATCCGTGCCGGTAACCCGGGCCTCTCCACCCGTACCGAGCCCATGGTGACCATCACGCACAAGTCCAACGTCCTGTCCCAGACCGACGGCCTGTTCCGTGAGACCGCGCGCCGCGCCCTCGCTGCCGAGAAGTTCTCCTCCGTTCTCGTCGAGGAGCAGATCGTCGACTCTATGGTCTACAAGCTCTTCCGCCAGCCCGAGTACTACGACGTCATTGTCGCCCCTAACCTGTATGGTGACATTTTGTCCGACGGTGCTGCTGCCCTGGTCGGCAGTCTGGGTCTGGTTCCTAGCGCCAACGTCGGTGATGGTTTCGCTATCGGTGAGCCTTGCCACGGTTCCGCTCCCGATATTGAGGGCAAGGGCATTGCCAACCCTATCGCTACTCTGCGCAGTGTTGCTCTGATGCTCGAGTTCCTCGGTGAGGCCAACGCTGCTGCTAAGATCTACGCTGCTGTCGATGGTAACCTGGATGAGGCTAAGTTCCTGTCCCCTGACATGGGTGGCAAGGCCACTACCCAGCAGGTCCTCGACGATGTCCTCAAGAGACTGTAAGAAATAACTGTACATAGACCCCGGCCTGAGTGAATAGTGCAGGCGAGGAAAATAAAATTGACCGAGTTCTTGTCCGAGTATCAAAGATCTATCTAGTATGCTCTAAATCTTGTATGCAAGGATCTCAATTGAAAAGATAGACAGACGAGCCTCCGCCTCCTAATCAACCTCGTCGATCTCATTGACCGGTTCTTCTTGAGAAGGGGGTTGTTCACTCTCCGCTGAGTTCCGAAGCAGAGTAAACAAAACCACAAGGTAGACCCTCCCAGTCTTCGAGTCCTTCAAAACATATCGAAGCTCATTATGCTCATCATCCACCATGCCCTCCACAGGAATGTGGAATCCAGGCAATTTGACAGAAATGTCTAATCCCAAGTCAGCAAACCATCCCCATGCGAACAAAGTATACAACACATCTGGATGAACTTACCACTGAAACACAAATATTGATTCCCAAAATCAGCCAAGTAAGACCTCCCCTTCTCAAAAACAAAGGCCTGGCGATTCGCCTCCGTCTGGAAATGCTTGCGTCGCCCATCCGGTGTATCGGGAATCTGAAGCTGGCTTCGAACTTCTTTGCCCGTAGCATCAGCACCTTCTTTCACAACATAATCCCCCTTCACATCCTGATGTTCCTTGTCGCCAACCCGAAACTGATTCCAGGTAGCTAGTGCAGGACTGTACAAATACGGCTTATCGGCATAGGCGTCGCCCTCGATGGAGGGGTCTAGAGACCATTGCACGAGACGTAGGGCTGCGTTGAAACCCATTGGCAAACGATCGCGCAGAGGTTTGTCGAAGTCATTGCCGAATATTAGGTCATTGCCGTTGATGTCTTCTTTTGGAGTGAACGAGATGGAGATGGAGTATTGGTCGTTTGTGTGGAGGGGGTCTTTGAAGTAGGGGTTCGTTGTGGGGGAGTTCTCAGGGTAGCCTGGGTGTTGTTAGCAATTTATATCTGCTTGATGGTCGCATTTTCTAGGGCCTCAGGGTACCCTTGTAATCTTGAATGCGGATGGCGAGGTCTAAAGTGACGCGATCGTTGTCGATACGTAAAGTGTCGCCGTTGACATGAACGTCCTGGTGCGTGGTGGGGTCGTAGTCTGGTCCCGCTGTCACCTTGATGCGATATTTCGATTCTTTAGTTGACGCGGCCATCCTGATATCTTGATGCTTCTCCGTGTAGAATGTGGGATGGTGAGCAGCAATATTGGGTCCCGCGAAGAGCTGATAAGCTGACGATGTTCAGGGTTTCAACGGCAGCGGCAGCTATAAGTGTTGGTAGTCGCTGTTTTAGGAAGGGGAAGGGGCTGTAAGTAGGATGCAATGGGAAGAACGGTAAAGAATGGAATGGGTTTATTGAAGAAGCTTGGAACGAAAGAAAGCTAGAGCTAGCTGCCGATTGACGTCGGTGTCCCATCATGACCAAGGCGGCCGAGGAACTTTACCAATGTGGCTTTGACAGATCCACTCCCAAACTGAAGAAGAACCCATGATGCGCAATTTCTCACTACGAAGCTATTTGAGTGCAAAGCATCCGGAGAATAACAATAAGAATAAGAATCGGGCATATTCCGCTCAAATATTTGGGGGCCATGAAGGCCATGGCGGCCATGACATCAGGATCCGCAAGGCTGAGCTCCGCATATTCGCGATGATTGGCGGCGGCGCTACATGCCCCCCAAAGCGGGTGATGATGAGCGGTAAGATGCCAAAAACTGCGCCCCAGATATAGCCGAGCCCTCTATCGTGAGTTAAAGTTATATAAGGGCCCGTAAAGCTGCGGTTTAGATATTTTTTAGTTCAATCTTACGTGGTTAAGTTATAATCAAGCTGAACAATCTCCTCCAACATCCAACATGGAATCATCTCAAGAAACCTCCCCAATGCCAAGTCAAACGTCCGAGACTGCCAACCCCTCTCTCACAATTGACTTCTCATGGCGGAAATTCAAGTCCATTATTTATGAAGGCGACACATTCGGCGGCACACCACTATACACCCTCCAATACAACTTCCTCGGACGCCTAAAACTCATATTCAAACGAGTCTCGAACCCAGCCGCCCTAGCCGAAATCACATCTGAAGAAACCTCAAATACTCAAGATGACAACTCAGATGACAACACCACCGGCTCCAACATTGTCGGCAAAGGCAAGATCCGCGCTGTCCGCATCGACGCCGACTACGAAGTTCACGGCCGCTCTGACAAGTTAGTTGCACAAAAGCGCTGGCGCACCGAGTACACGCACCGCTCCAAGGCCATGTCGAATGATGGCGAGCTTGTCACGATGCACTGGCTGAGTGATAGCGACTTCAAGACGTGGGACTTTATTTGCGTCGACGAGAACCAGTTGCCCGTGGCTAAGTTCACGGCTAATATATGGGCACTGAAGCAGCTTGGCAAGATCGAGTTTATGGGTCCCAAGGCTCATGACCGGGTTTTCCAGGAAGAGATTATGGTTGCTGGTACCACGTTGGCTTATTGTATGATCATGCGTGTCAATAATCCTTTGGCGTTGTTGGGTTCGGCATTTGCGAAGCCGGGGCATGATAAAGATTGGAATGACGAAACTTCTAAAGGTACTAATGGGAAGCACTCTGCTGTCTAACTTTTGATTGAGTATTTGCCTGGGTTTGACTAAGTGTCATTCATAGATACCACTGGTGTTGTTTGAGCGATTCCCATAGATATTCTAATGCCAAAAATAATCTTTTCACATTCAAAGTGTCTATATGTAGATGGAGATCAGTGATTCATAGTGTGAGGCTCTACCAATTGATAGATCATCTCTCAACATTTGCGAGGAACAAAAGTTGAAATCGTCGCAGATAGGGACCTATTCCAGCACAAAAATGAACGCTTTCATAGTTCAGACTCAAGCCCTTCGTCTCAGAAATAAACCCCGGATGTTGAACATAGCCTCATCATCTTCCACCTTAAAGCTGATATATTCTGTCATGCTATATCCACGCAGCACGTGAAAAAATTCTCCGTGCATCATTAGAAGAAGCACAAGAGGAGAAAAATTCGAGTATAAGCAGTATCGGCTGTTTATAGACCACAGCAGAACATGGTGTCAATGAGTCATGTAGACTGGGATTCGAGATTGTTAAAAACAATATGAGGAATGTTTCAAGTTCATTTAATCAATTAATGTAAGATGGTTGTTTCTACCGAAGGATTGAGAGGTAGTCCCTTATAATTGACGTGTTAGGATTCAAATCCAGGACATGCCAAATTCCCAACAGAGTCTTTAGGCCTCGTACCTATAGCGAATGGCGAAACTCTTATGCAGCAATGGTGGTGGTCGCTTCTCGGCAAAGAGGCTGTGCAGGGCAATCTCGGGAAACACTGCCCTATCTTCGCTAGTTTCAATAGTTTCCGCTGTTTCAAAATAAAAGCATGGGTTTCCCCACCAGCTGAACTCTAAAGTAACATCATTTAGACCTCGCCAGTGCCGCGTTACGGTCCGCCGCTTCTACCCATGAAATCCGCCTCAGATCTTCCAAAGCTGCAATAGTATCCATATGTTCCTCCCCCAATGTGCTTCGTCTTCGCGTATAAACAGTCTCCGCAAACCCACCCGCCTGATCCCATTTGCCTTGTGACTGATACATGAACCCGAGATTGGACATAACACTCAATGTATGTGGGTGCTTTTCACCTAATGACTCTTCCATCATGTGCAGGACTTCAGAGCCTAGCTTCGTTGCATCGCTTCGTTGTCCGTTGACATGGTAGGTCACCGCCACGTCTGCCCAGGCAGTCAATGTATGCGGGTGACGCTCTCCGAGAACCTCTTTCAACCCCGCCGCCGATTTCTCTCCAAGATCTTTGGCTTCTTCTAGTTGCCCTTGACTGCGACAGGTAGATGCAAGGTTGCTGATCGACATCAGCGTCTGAGGGTGCTTTTCACCCAGAGCTGTCTTGCTAGTTGCTACGACTTCGCGATCTAGGGATTCCGCATCTGCCCACCGCCCCTGGACGCGATAGGTGGATGCTAGATTGGCAATAGACGTGAGGGTCAAAGGATGCTCTGAGCCTAATGATTCCCGTCTTGCCTCGAGGACCTCCAGATCTAATCTTTCCGCGAGGGAAAGATGTCCCTGGTCTCGGTAGGTTGATGCCAAGTTCGATTTCCATGTCAAGATGGAAGCTTCCGTTGCGCCGAACTTCTTCTCTCCCAGTTCCACCAATGATCGTTCGATGGATTCGGCGTCTGCATATCTCCCCTGGCTTGCATACGAGGTTGCAAGGTTCGCCATGGAGACAAATGTGGAGGGGTGACCTCGGCCAGAGGTCTCTGCTTTAATCTCCAACACTCGAGAGTCGAGCTTTTGGGCGTCCTCCCATCGCCCTTGGCCTCGATAGGCTGATGCAAGATTCGACATCGAAACCAATGTCTGTGGATTTTTCTCGCCGAGGATTTGTTTTCTCAGTCTCGTGACTTTCTTGCCAAGCTTGACCGCGTCGTCATATTGACCTTGCCCCCAATATGCTGAAACCAGACTGTTCATTGCGCTCATTGTTGCCAGGTCCTCTTCTCCATAGCTAGCCTCACGGACATCGAGGACCAAGGTACCAAGTTCAACTGCTACAGCCCACTTGCCCCTTCTCAAAAAGGATTTTACCAAGTTGTCGAGCCGGTTCAGTGCATCGAAAGTCGGATCGGATTGAGTATCGGCATTGTCGGCATCGGCGGACTCTAGAATCTTTTCCACATCCGAAGCTTCATCGGCACGATCATTGCTTCGAAGTGACTCTGCAAGGTGTCTGGCTCTCAGCGGGAGCGACTGATCGGAGACTGGGGATTTGTCCATGGGATTATCAGGGAGGGGGAAAGACCCGTCTGAGACGGAAAAGAAGCGGCGTGATGACATGGACACGCGGGGCATGATCAGACTAGTCGCTTATCGCTTAGGTCAGGGAGCGAACGAGGGGGCACCAAGACGCAATGTTTCGTATCTCCACCATAGTTCCCCATAAAACACGGGATTGTGATTGTTAGGGTTGGGGTTGGTATCCCAAGCCTGCGCCTTATGCCGGCTAACTGCAATTACTCAGGGCTAGGACAACATACCTGGGACTTGTCTATTGCACAATCTATGAATTTTGCTGCCTAAACTGAATGAAGCCCTGGGGACGAGGGGTTTACACCGTTTAGATTTGCCCCAGGTGTGGACTCGGCCGACGTCAGCCCTATCAGACTGACTCCAGTGGATCCACACGGTTCATGCGCATCTGTGTATCACACTAGTAATAAGGCTGAAGGCTGCCCGTTCTTCCGTTTATCCGTGTTCCCGTCCTTCAGCATTCATCATTTTGATTTCAACTGGGCCAAATTTTGCTTTGTGGACCCTTTTCTTTTCCAGCAATCGCACGGCTTACCGTCCGCCCTACCGGCACCCTCGGTTACACAAAAGCCGCAGCCAAGAAACACACAGTCTTGATGGTCTCACTTACATCGAGACCGGGCATGGGTCAGTAATGAAATATGTACATTGCCATTTATCATAGATAAGGCTAAGGTGAAAAATCAAGAAGGGAAAGGAACATCCCGCCCCGGTGCCTGCGCAACCAAGTATGCTAGCGCTTTCCGAACAATATCATTATTCGATTCGGATGCACGGCGTGTGTCAGTAACACCATAAAAGTGTCCGATGCACGGTCAACAACGAGTGACGTGCCCGTAACCCCCAGTATGCCCACCAGCTTGCATGTTAGCCATGGGCCCGGAAAAGTAAAACTGATCAAGCTCAAAACCAACCCTATGCGCATAATCAGGGAACTTCGCGTTGAAGTTGTTGAAGGTGAAGTCAACTGCCTGAGGCGATCAGATCTCCTTGCCACCATACGTGCCCTTGTTTAGAATCATCTGACACAGTATAGATATATCCCTGATAGTAAAAAACAGACCAATATGTCCGCTCACACCATCAATTGCCCCAGCGTTCTCATCATGAATAGTACCCCGCTCTGACTTCGCATTCTTAATCGACAAGCAATCGAAGTAACACCGAAACGGTACTGAGTTATGAGTGTGGAACAAGAAAGCAGACATTTAATTAATGTACACCGAAATATCACTATGCGGATTTATGTATAGAAGAATTCCCACATGTGCAGACCAAAGAAAGGCAGTCTAAAAGCCCACCCGTAGACAAAGGAAAGGTAAAAGAGAAAGAACTGAAGTACAAGATCTATATATCAATCAGATCAGACGAAGGCAGATTGATATCAGAGTCCAATCCCTCCCGCAGATCCGAAACGTCCTCACTCGCCAGCAGCTCGTCCTCAGTAAGAATGCCAATCCCACTATCCATGCGACGGCGATTCTTACCCCGGCCCATCTCAATATCAACAAACCTGGTCATGCTGACAGGAGTAATAGGCTCACTTCCCATGACGGTAGTCCCATCGGACATGAGATCGTCCGATTTGAGCTCCCAGTTGGCCGCGCGGACCCTGGCTCGTCTTCGCTCTGAGCTAACGCTCTCTTTCATGGAGGCAAAGGCACGAGCTTGCTCGGAGGCCCACTTCTCGAGGAGATCATCACGGGCATCTATTTCCATATGTAACTGCTCCTCGAGACCTTGATTCATGTGACGGAGGCGCTGAGCTTCAGATCGGGTTTCCTCAAGCGAGGTAGTGAGATCCGAGATACGAACGTTGAGAGCTCCGGCGTCTTCTTCGTATTGTTGTAATTCCTTGCTTGCATTTTGCTTGAGGGCATCGAGAGCTTCTTCATGTTCTTTCTCCAGAGATTCAGCTTCGGCCGTGAGGTCGCAAGCACGAACTCTGTTATGCTCCACGGTTTCTTCCAGCTGGCGGATTCGAGATTCATATTCGGATGCCGATGTCTCAATAGCAAATCGCTGCTTTCGCTCACAGGCGACTAGCTTCTCAAGGTCAGAGATCTGCTGGGCATGTTGATCCCTGGCGGCTAGGTTCTCATCTTCCAACCTGCCCACCAGCTCTTCAAGGCTCTTCACATCATCATGGTACTTGTCCAGTGCGGCGTTTAATCTTTCAATCCCGATATTTTTCTCCTCATGTTCGTTCTCGAGTTCTTGCATGCGCATTCTAGTGTGGAGCATATCGCCTGCTGAAGATGCGATCGAGTCCTCGAGATTGCAGATTTTGCTTGCGGCTGCCTCGTACCGATGTAATAGGTTGTCGAACTGGCCGCGAAGAGCCTTCTCTCGGCCAAGTGAGCCGTAGTGATGCTTGCGTTCCGCACGTAGGTCCTTTGCTAAAGACTTAACCCGCTTGACTAGGGCACCTAGTGTTGCTTTCCCATCTTCGAGACCGTTGGGAGTCTCGCCCGGTATGATACGTTCGAGCTCAAGGCGTGCTGAGCGGAAGTGGGACTTCATGTCAGAGATTACATCGTCTGCGCTCGTGCCCGGGAAGCCCAAGGTGGAACACTCCTGATTGATTCCATCAAGGGCTCGAGTGACGTCGGATGCGCGAGAAAGTGCGGCTGTCAGGATACAGATCATATTATCGAAGAAATCTGGCGGCGGCGACGATTGGCGGAAGATGTCACCCATGCCCGAGGTTTCGAATGCGCTGATATGCGAGCGACATGCGTTAAACAGTCGCTTCTTTTCATTCCTAGCTGTCTCCAGATCGAGTGTGAGGCTGTGAAGATCCGAGTCTTCAGTACTATCCGGCGTTTGTGTTTGAGTTGACACATTGGCATTTGACTGATCAAGCATCAGACTATCCGACACAGGCGAGTGGCAATCCCGAATCCCCCGGAAATCGGGAGAGTTGGAAACAATGACGGCACTGTCGTTGAGAACGAATGTTTCTCCTTCATTGCTAAAATCGTCGTGATTGCGGAAAGAGGCCACGGAGACTTCGTCGCGCAGACGAGACGTCTCACGCTCGAGTTCCTGGATACGAACTTGGGGAGACATCCAAAAAGATTCATAAGATGGCAGGTCATCCTCTGGGATCTCGCGGCTTTGCTTGATAGCGATCAACTCATTTTTTAATGAGTCTCGCTCTTCACGTAGAGCCGCTAAGGTCCTCTCAAAGGTAGACGTTTGGCGCTTCTCACGCTCGATATGATTGATTTCATCACTTAAACCGATCCGGCGAATCCTCCTCTTGGTGCGTATGTCCAGAATCTGACGCAGAGGGGTAAATTGCATCACTCGCTCGGAACAACTCTCATCAAATGGCTCGATCGTATCGAAAGACCTTTGAAAGCGTGGTACTGGTGCCGATCTCCGTCGGGCCGTTCGGCTCGGCGAGCGATCTCCAGGAGTTGGGAATTGGGTGCTACGCTCTCCAAAAGAAGTGCGTTTCATCGCCGGGGTCAAGCCGGTTGAACAGGTACCAGCATCATGCAGGCGAGGACCGGGGTCGGAAAATCGGACTCGCTTCCTGCGTTTTCTCGGAGTGCTCGAAGTACTCTTGGACGCGGTACTCTCGGCAGACACACTCGGTCTTGTGCGTTGAGCGGTAGGAGACCCGCATCTCGAGCTCAACAGCGTGCTGTTTCTCCGCTTTCTCGCGGATTGTCTTGTCTCCATTATAGGTTAGAGGTAGTGGCGGAGATAGGATTGTATAAGTATCGGCGCCACGTAGACAGTGCGGGGGCGGTTGGACAGGACAATAGATTGAGTTGCAGATAAATAAACAAAGGTACCAAAAATCTGTCCGATTGGCGCCTTTATGGAGCATTTCTATAGATCACAACATAAACAAACACGGTGGGGCGCGTGTAGGCAGCAGGTGCCCCTTAACGCGTGCCTCAATGATATTTCCTATTCCGGCCACGTAAACATGCTGCTTCTTTGGGTGGTCACGTGTAGCCCATCAAAACAATCTCTGCTATTAATGAACTGATCACTTGTTAGCTCGATGTTTCATCCAGACTTTGCATGAGGATTCAAGTTTGCACGGTTCCAAGGTTGGTGGTCGAATCTCATCGGTAGAGTTGTTGCCGGTGTATATAGTGCACCTGACAACGGGACACGAAGTCATCTGACCATCGTCATGTGAACAAAGCTGGTTTTATTCGCCTTGGGCTTTTTCTCTCTAGGGCTCTTGAAAGCCTTCGCGGAGCTCGGACCGATTTTAAATGAAAATAAAAATAAAAATGCATTAAATCACACATCAAATGTGCATAAACGCTTTTTTGTTAAACAAAGGCACCAAAGTATGCGACACCTACATAGTATGGGACCTAGCCATGACAGCGGGCAGCGGGGTGATAGGAGGGGTGCACTGAGCTTTCGAGCTAATAGCCGAGAGGAGATCGATCTATACTCTTCGGGGCTTGATGCTCGGCCAAAACTACGAGCTAGCAGCTTGTCTGATACAGGGGTGCTCCTAGGTGCCCGCACAAAGTCACCTAACACGCAAATTTCAGATTGTAACCTCCCATTATCCTTTCTGTTCCCTCTCCTACTTTGCCATTCTTGGTTTTCGGAGAGAAAAAGAGGACGGGCGTCATTTGTGGCTCGTGCGGAGTGGTCTCCAGTTCCTTGTTATCTCTTATCTGCCGACCCACCAGTTATCGAGCTCTCCTCACGTCCAGCTTCTGGGTCTCTCCAATCTGCTTGGTATCAGCCTAGTCTGCACAAGGTCTCGCATAGACACTTATCTCTATCCCCTCGAAGCGCCTGCCATTCGACTCTTGACTACGAGCCTTGTCAGTGATGTCGTTTGCGTTGAAAGAGACTGAGCAGTGAGCACCTATACATCTTCCTCTGGAAACCCTCGGATGAAGCGCAGTCAGGATGGCTATAGTCGCTTCATATCGTGAGGTAAGTTTAACTACAGTGGAATGCAACATGGTGTGAATAGCCTTCTGATCAAACTGTGTTGGTCATCTGCAGTATTCCTGCGACCACGAGCTTCATGGCCAGATCGATGAGGTCCTCCCTGACCAGCCACGGGACGACATGCTCCAATCGCCCTGCCGTATTATTAAGCTTCCTAACGAAATCCTCGACCTGATTCTCTCCTACCTATCCGCCCAAGACCTCACACGCCTGGCCTCTACCTGTCGCAAGTTCAGCGAGCATAGTGCCAGTGATATACTGTGGGGGAAATTAGTCAACTCACATCTACCGAACGGTATAAAGGATCCGGGTCCGTTCGAGTCTTATCGCCGGTTGTACCTTGCCCACCTCTCGTACTGGTTCATCCCCCAGTACAAGATCTGGTTCTCCGACCACGATCACACGGGGAATTTAATTCTAGCCCGTTATGACAATCGAAGGGGAGTGATTGATGCATACCGAATCATCGCAGAAAAGGGTGCACCACAATTTCACGTCTGGGAATCACACCCTGAGGTTGTGATCCTCGCGTTCGAACCCGAGGTTAGCTTGTGGCTAGATGATCCTGTTCTGGTCCTTAAAGACCAGGATCCATCGTCCAAGGTAGCGGCATCTCAAAAGTGGATGCCTGAGCGTCGAATGCCCATGTCGGCGGAATTACACGGTCTTTTTAACTCCTTGATACTGTGTCCCAAAGACACCCAATCAAGCAATGAATCGGATGCCAAACTTTGGCCCCCTCCATTGATACCCGCGAACAGCCGCATTGAGAGGGAAACATCGCCTCTCAGGCTACCCGAGCGCGCAACCGAAGTTTCAGAAAAAGGGTTCCGTATTCGAAGATGGGCACATTTCCGGTTTGGATTCCAGGCAGGGTTGGCTAGTGAGAACGAAGCAATCTTCTCCTACGCCACGCTTGACCCGAGCCTGTATATGCCAACAAGAGAGAAACCCTACCAGGGTATCTGGGTTGGAGACTATTCTGCACACGGATGTGAATTTCTTCTGCTTTTCCAGGGAGATCCGCCTCCATCGGAATCCGAGGAGAATGAAGGCGAGATCGCCGGAGACATCGTGCAGAAAGGTAGCTTGGAAGCAGTCAAGCTTACTGGCGACCCGAATGTCCCTCGTGGCGAGTACTCGTTCCTCGCCGAGGACATTGGTTCAAATGGGCTTCTCTCTGTGTCGGACTCGAAGCCGTTTAAAGGCGCACGAATCGTGCGTTGTAAGGGACATCTAGCTGGTCTTGGTTTCCGCGACGGTATGCATGCCTCTAGGGACCTAGCGCCTGATCTAATCTTTACGTTTGAACAGACACTTTCATCGACTCCCAGCTTATTCTCATCTCGACAGATTACCTAGCACACTACTGGGTGGAGTTGGGGCACATCTCATACTACCGCCGTGTGGATATCGATGCTCTCTTGCAGACCTGAGAGGAACTTTGGCATTCTAAATCATATATTTTGTTGGATGTCCTTCCCTCTTTACTCGTTTGATTCGCACCTAGTCACGATCACGCTCTACTGCCGCGATTCTTAGTGTTACATCATCGCACTCTCGAAGATGTACCGGCGAGGTATACGCGGATTGTCTTTAGAACAAACGCTTCCAGTTTGCCTTTGATGAAATACTTGCACCTTCGAGACTCCCTCATTGGAACTGATTCGTCCCATTGCAACCTCCAGCCCTTTGCGCCCATGTTCAAAACTACGACTTTCAACCCGGCTTAACACAGCACATGACACAAATGCCCTGAACGCAGCCCTCCTACAAGATCCAATGTGACTTCACAACCGCCTTACAGACACAGTTGATTGTATGATGGTATAGTGGAACAGGTACAAAGGCAAAAGGTATCGGATAGAACAGAAAAAGCCAAAGACGCCGAACGTGACCATGTCGAAGTGAAGATCGCAGCGCAGAGAAGAGTAGTCGTCACTCGTCAATCAAGCCATGATGTGCACATCGGCGGCAGAAAAGGAATATGGAGAGCATCACAGCAAGCACCCTGTACAATAAACCCAAGTTCGAAACATCGCCTTGGCGGGATACATAGGAGTCCATCCTTTCCTTTTTCATGAATATTTCCCAGTCCTCCTTCTTCAGTAAATACACATCATGCCGAGTCGAAGGTGAATCTCAAGTCATTGAGAAGGGAATCATAGCTCGCCTCGGTATCGTAGCAAATCACCGTCTCCGCTCAAACCAGCTGGAGGAGCCCATGACAGCCACGGACTGATCCATGACCCATTCGCCGACGCCGAGGTAGTTGTCGACCCAACGCTTGACTTCTTTGTTCTCAGAGATCTGTTCAGATTTGAGACTGGGGCTATGAGATCCCCACACGACCCATGGGGGGACGCGAAGGATCAGACTAGTTAGCTTGAATGTTTCCTCTCGAGTTTTCGAGTCTTTCCAGCTTCTCTGATAGGGATATGCGGAAAGCTTTAAAAGACGTGGGCTGGGAAAGGATCGTATTTACGTGAGGCCAGTGGAGCGTTTGACGCCAGCCAGGAAGGCGGAGACTGTTTGGAGAATAAACTGTTAGCTTTGTCTCGGTACATCCTCCAAGAATGCACACGGAGAGCTCACAGAGGACGGCATCGAATGCGTAGTGGGTGAGACGGCCGAACTGTTGTTCAACAAGCGGTCAGCGAAGCTGCTCATTTGTGGATGGCTCTGAAGCTGGACGGTGCAAAAATCATACCATTTTGCTGAGAAAGTAAAGCCCTATCGCTGAGAAGAGCATAGAATCGCAGTTTGGAGTGTACGGAGCAGCAGCAGCAGCAGCAGATGATGCGCGGAATGAGACGGGGAAGGTATCACGTGGATCCTTTTCATGTGACGTCGGCTGGTGGCAGATCACGGGGTGCTGATACCAATATAGACACCTTGTAAACAAGGCCATACAGCTGTGTACAGGGCTTATCGATAAGGTAACCCGCCGGATCCCACCAAGCTCACCGAGTCCACCGAGTCCACCGAAATCCCTTTTCTGTCACCCGGGGCCATCAAATTGGGTGTCTTTATTTGTCACGTTTACTCGATAAATGGACTACAATGTACGCTGCGCGGTCCAGTACAACCCCCAATGCAGGCGGGGGAGCTTGTATCTTTTTTTTTTTTTCGGCCTACAGCTTCGGATGCCGCCGCAACCGATTGCCCAGGTGACTCCTGTCCTGAGGCGGCGAATATTGGTAGGCATAAATCAGGGAGACAAACTAAAAGAATAAAAGAATAAAATCACAAAATAATAAGATAAATCATATAATTAGGCACAGGACTGGGATTATAGCCAGGTTGGGCATAGCCAATGCACTCACCCACGGGGGCGAAAGCGGATAGCGGAGATAGTCTAGAGGTATTGGCGGCCAACATTTTCCCTCCCGCCCCTCACTCAACTTCTTCTCTCCCCCCCTCCTAGCTTTTCTCTCCCACATCCCTCCAACCTTCATTCTGCCATCACAATTCGTTTGTCTTGAAGCAGATCAAAATGGCTGCCACTAGCTCCCTTGACCACCTGTCCAACCGGATGAAGCTGGAGTGGCACTCCAAGCTCAACACCGAGATGGTGCCGGCCAAGAACTTCCGCCGTACCTCCATCATCGGTACCATTGGTATGTCTTATCCCAGCTCGCCTTACCACCTTCGGCTTTCACTCCGAAGTGATTGCCTCGAAGCGGGGGGGGGGGGGAATTGTGCTAACATTAGTCGCCATCCAGGTCCCAAGACCAACTCCGTCGAGAAGATCAACGCTCTCCGCACTGGTAAGGCAACCCGTGCCCGCGATCGATTCATCGCGTTGTTGTTCGATTGATAGACTAACGAGACTGTAGTCGGTCTTAACGTTGTCCGTATGAACTTCTCCCACGGCTCATATGAGGTGAGTGACCTTTCTATCTCAAACATGCGGTGAGACAGTCGCTGACACTTGGCATTCAGTACCACCAATCTGTGATCGACCACGCCCGTGAGGCTGCTCGCACCCAGACTGGCCGCCCTCTGGCCATTGCCCTCGACACCAAGGGCCCCGAGATCCGCACCGGTAACACCGTCGACGACAAGGATTTCCCTATTAAGATGGGCGCTGAGATCAACATCACCACTGATGATCAATATGCCACTGCCTGTGATGATAAGAACATGTAAGTCCTTATCGTGTCAAATTGCGACTTTTTTTTTTTTTTTTTGGGCGAGGCTAACGCACGGCCATCTTGCAGGTACCTTGACTATAAGAACATCACCAGGGTGATCTCCCCCGGCAAGCTCATCTATGTTGATGACGGCATCCTCTCATTTGAGGTCCTCGAGGTGTTGGATGAGAAGAACCTGCGCGCTAAGTGCTTGAACAACGGCAACATCTCCTCCCGCAAGGGTGTCAACCTGCCCGGTACCGACGTAGACCTCCCCGCTCTGTCCGAGAAGGATATTGCCGATCTGCGCTTCGGTGTTAAGAACAAGGTCGACATGATCTTCGCTTCCTTCATCCGTCGCGGTAGCGATATCCAGAGCATCCGTGATATTCTCGGCGAGGACGGCAGCGAGATTCAGATCATTGCCAAGATCGAGAACCAGCAGGGTGTCAACAACTTCGATGAGATCCTCGAGGAGACCGATGGTGTCATGGTCGCCCGTGGTGACCTCGGTATCGAGATCCCTGCCCCCAAGGTCTTCATGGCCCAGAAGATGATGATCGCCAAGTGCAACATCAAGGGCAAGCCCGTCATCTGTGCCACTCAGATGCTCGAGTCCATGACATACAACCCCCGCCCCACCCGTGCTGAGGTTTCCGATGTTGCCAACGCCGTTCTCGACGGTGCCGACTGTGTCATGCTGTCCGGTGAGACTGCCAAGGGTAACTACCCCTGTGAGGCCGTCAAGATGATGCACGAGACCTGCCTGTTGGCCGAGGTCACCATCCCCCACTACCAGATCTTCGATGAGCTGCGCAACCTGGCTCCTCGCCCCACCGAGACCTGCGAGTCCATGGCCATGGCCGCCGTCAGTGCCTCCCTGGAGCTGAACGCCGGTGCCATCGTCGTTCTGACCACTTCCGGCAAGACTGCCCGTCTGCTCTCCAAGTACCGCCCCGTGTGCCCCATTCTGATGGTCACCCGCAACGACACCGCTTCCCGGTACTCCCACCTGTACCGTGGCGTGTGGCCCTTCTATTTCCCTGAGAAGAAGCCCGACTTCAACGTCAAGATCTGGCAGGAGGACGTCGACCGCCGCCTCAAGTGGGCCATCAACCACGGTCTCAAGCTCGGCATCGTCAACAAGGGCGACCCCATCGTCTGTGTCCAGGGCTGGCGTGGCGGTATGGGCCACACCAACACCGTTCGTGTGGTGCCCGCTGAGGAGAACCTCGGCCTGGCCATTGAGTAGACCTGCCCTAAAAGTTGGACTTAGTATCCGACATTTGATTTTCATTTTGGTTATCGCTGGTGCGACGGTGGGATACATACCTTTTTTCTTCTGCTGTTTCTTCGAAGCCCGTTCTGTGTGATCTGGATCATCGCTCTCTTGGATGAAGTTAATGCATTGTTCATGTAAATGAGACGAAATTTAATGCCTTCCGGTCAATTGTCTTGATAGTAAACTGCCTCGTTAATAAAACTTAGCTCCCCAGAAAGGGAGAGAATAGACCTGTAAAGCTGTCAGTTGCGAGCCCGTTAGTTCTGTCGACGCCGCGGTGTAGTGCGAGCGACTAGTCTGCGCGCAGCATAGCACGTCTTCTGCCAGAAGATGAGACTCATAGTTGGCAGATGAAGCACAACGCCGTAAGGCCCAGCATTCTCTGACCACGGTGAAAGAACAAAAAGGCGAAAAGAGCGCAGAAACCAGTCGGGACAGAAATCAGTCGACTGCGGGGAGGCACGAAAACGCGCGCGCCGAGACCGAGGCTCCATGTGTCAGGCGCTGCATACTGCGCATTCTGCATTCCGCACGTTATTGACAAGCGAAATTAGGACTAGAGAAGACGAGAATCTCGTCGCGGATGAGAATTGGAAGGAGTTTGCAATTTCTTTCTTTGGCGAAGTTCCTACGATGGCTTAACGCAGTTCCCGAGGGCAGCTCCATCGGCTCCCGGTTTCTGCCGAGGGTTTTCGGGATCGTGGGATCCTCAATAGTCGGGTTCCTTTAACCCGGCGTGCAAGGCCTAAAGCCTGGATTCTGGTCAATGGATGTCCCTGGAGAGGTATGCACGGCTAAAAGTGATCATGGTTTTGTTTCCCAAGTTATATGCAAGATATATTGGCGTTGAACTACCTAGTGGCAATCATTCAAAAGAATGTACATGATCCAGCTCTGGAGTGATCGGGATGAAAAGAAACTCGACTGAAGCCAAGATTATGACAGTCTTCGCTAGAAACATATACAATAGCTCTGAGGCAAGATTGCAGCTGCGGCAATGTTTCGTGTATACTGCCCCGGGACTCTCCATGCAATTCAGGGGCATCAATGCAATGTCATCAAGTCATCTATCATCAAACCAAAAAAGAAAAAGAAAAATAAAAGGGACAGAAAAAGGTCATCATATGTGCTTCTATGTGGTCGTGTCGTGGATCGCAATTTCCATCATTGGGAAGTACCGGCTTCCACAATTCCATCGGCATCCAGGTCTGTGACCTGGGAGATCTGGTTATCGCCCTGCAGGTATCGATACATCGGCTGGAATTGATGCCAGCAACTGGTTGGGTCAGCATCTGAGTAGTTTGAATGGGTTGGTGTCGGCTGACCTCGGTGCCTGGAGGACATATCGCGCCATGGCTTCACGGAATCGACTCTTGTACTCCCTGGGACTGGTTACGGTAGGGCGATTGCGACCACCGCCGGCAAAGCCGCGATCTTTAATCCATGACTCGAGTTTCTTGTCCCATGTGTACGTGCGGATACAATCGATGATTCCGACCACGAGCTCGCTCCGTTTTTCGTCAATTGCAATCATGAGCGAGTAGTCCATCACATTCTGGCGGGCGAGGAAAAGAGTGTCATTCCACACGCTTTGACCGAGGAGTTTCTTCGAATGCTCTCGTGCGAAGAGGGGGGATTCGTAGATGAAATCGACCATGTTCTCATCCAGCAGGACTTCATCACGCTCGCCTGTGCTTTCGACCTTGCGGTTTCGCATTGAGCCCTTCAGGTCGAAAATGCGATTCGGGGCTCGGTCGTAAAAGAGGTTCTCCATCAACAGAAGGAACCAATTGAACTCAATTCCAGTAGTCGGGTTTTTGATGATAACCTGGTAGAAACCAAACATCTTGGCAATGGCAGTCGGCAGCTCGTGGAACAATGCTTCAGACATTATTTGGAAGTAAGCCGGAGCGAATTTGAGGAAAGCCTGGGTCTCAACCGGTGACAAGGATTTGAGGATAAAACGATCGTCCAATGTCTTCAGGAACAGTGACCTTGTCTTACCACCCTTAGAATCCCATTTCGCGCAACGGGAGAGCGATTCGACGATCCGATCGGCAACACCACATTTGATGCGTAGCGCATCAAATTGCTCAGCGTAGAACACTTTGCATAGCATCCTTGCCTGACCCTCCTGGAATTGATATTTTAGATGTGTACCAGTCTCCCGCAAGAGAGCATGTTCGACTCGAGCCTCCCTTGCGGCTTCTGCAGTAACAATGGGGCTCTCTGGCTGCTTCTCGATCTCGTCAAATCTTTTTTGAATGCTTGTCAACTTTTCCTTATAGTCAGACG